AATTTATTAAATTTAATGTTATTAATATGTATAATTACTTTAAAATTAAAAAAAATAAAAAATAAAAAATAATATTTAAAATAAAATATAGTTATTTTAAATAATTATATTATTTAGACTTACTAATATATTAGTAATATTCTAATAGTATATTAATAATATAATATTATTTTATTTATATAATTTTACTATTATATATTTAGATAATATCTTAATCTTTTTAGATATTATTATTTATTCATATTTAACATCTATATACAACCTTATGGGTTATGACAGACACATGCTCGGGTAAAGCCCTAGGCCTAGGGCCTAGGGGCTCACCCCTAAGAGAAATTGAAAAAAAAAGCCGATGCGGGGCTCGAACCCGCAACGTTCAGATGCCTCGAAAGATAAGAGTCTGACACTCTACCGATTGAGATAACCAGGCAGTTGATGGCCGCCGCAATTTTTCGCATTATATAGTTCTCAGCCTTTTTCAACGACGAGATTATATATAATTATTTTATTTAAATTTTGGGGAGGGCAAAAAAAACTTTGGATGATTAGATAGAAACATTTGATTTGATGGATTACAAAGTGTTAGTACTTTAATAAAGGCATGGATCTATTAGCACTATTTACAACTCGTAGCTCTAATTGAAAGATCGATCTTTCTTTCGTTGTTGATTCTGAATGTAAAACTGTTGATCATATTGAGTGTTGAGCTCTTTAGGTGTTAGTGCTAATTCCTTATAACCGTCTAGATATCTTGATATGGGCTAGCCATGTCGTCCGTCACCAAATATCTTATTTTAGCGTGTGGAAGTCGGTTCCATTGCTGTCATAGATTTCTAGGGTGAAAGATGGTTGTTTCGTTGTATTGGAAGAAGTGAACCGCTATTCCCTGTGTGCCCTCTCTTCATCTTGAATATGGAAAAACTGCCTAGTGCTGCTTCTTATGAGCAGTCAATGAGAGAGAGAGAATGAGCGCACAAATTTCAGAATGTAGCCAACTGCAACATCCGACTGAAAAAGTTCAGAAGTGGGTGTATTCTTTCTGACATCCGTTAGGACAATGACTGCAATAAACGATTCAGCGGTTGAGCTTTTCCAGATACTTCAGATTTAGAACGCACAGAAAAAGCCTCAGATTGACCATCAACAATACTACAAGCACGCGGGATCACCGCCAACAACAAGTTCTGCAGGAGTAACACTTATGCAACAAGGGCAGGCTTAGCAAAGGCGTATAGTGAAGCAGCTAGAACATGAACGTCGCCAACAAGCCGTAGAGCGCGGGAATGAACGACGTCACTACGAAGAGAGCCGTGAACAAATGCGCATCCGCGAAGCACAGCGTGACGAGCAATGTAGTTACGTAGTGACGCAGCTACACCCGACACGAACATCATGATGCAGTGAGATGACAACTTTGCAACTTCAACACCCAGCTTTCGGACGTTGCATCGCGCACTAGTTCTCAAGAATCGTTAGATGAATAGAAAAGTCATCACCTATTGAATATGATAGCGTTGATAGCGGTGAGATCAATAAGGTCGACAGTGGCAATGGTCACGATGTCAGCGAAAACCCCTCCACTCGCCAATTCTGCTCGCTCGAGAAGATTTCGAAAACGATCCTTTTACTTTCAATGATACACTAGACTGCTCAGTGCCCTTACTGGTCTAGTCCTAGCCTGCTTAGCGTAGCACTTCTCGGAAACACAACAGAATCTACAGCTTGTCATGCACGACGCTGAGTCTTGCGGCGCAAAAGGAATACAGAGTGTGACCTTCGAAGCAACAAGGTTGGTGGGAATGCTAGTGAGTAGGTGAGGAAGGCTGAAAAATAACAGGAATCGAATTTTGGGTAATATTCATGGTGGTTACTAGACCTTCTTCACGTAAAAGAGCTGCTGTTTCCATAGTAAGATACCCCTAAAAACCGTAACGCCGTAGATGCAATGCTCGATGACCAAATCAGAGCCCATAAACCTCACAGMGGGAGAACCCCGCGCCTATTTGATCACTTCTCCGGAGCATCAGGAAGACGCTCAATGACATATTTACCTCGAGCCACATTCATAATCGGCACACCAGGGATTTTGCTGCAGGCAAACGTCAGCCAAATTCAATACAACAGAATCTCGAGAGGCTTGATGCCTTCTTACCGTATTCTTCTCTTCAAATCTTTATCATTCGTCGCTACAATGTAGACTCTGTGCTTGATCACTCGATCAACCAAGCAGTCATCCGCATAAGTACCCCGGTGATCACATTTTATCCGTTCGAACCGAGGGTCCTTCGCAATGCGTAACGCTAGTCGATATTTCGGGCCTAGTTTTTCCAACTCCGCCAGCACACAGTCTGTAATAACCGGTGTACATTTGGCGTACAGACAGTCCATCATTGTCGGGATCACTTCTAGTTTATGTTGCACGCTGTGGGAGAGGAAGTTGGTATCGACCAGAATCGAGTATGGAGGGGTCAAGGCCGTGTTGTATTGGAAGAAAAGTGACGAGGAAACTTGAGGGCTGTTATTACCGGCCTGTTAGCACCCTCTATGTCTTGTCTCGGACAATTGGAAAACTGACATTTCTCTGACAACATTATCGTCCTTTTTCTTGTCTTTTTCTGCTTCTTGAGGTTTTCTGGAGAGAATCGGTTAGGCACACGAGTACGAGAAGAGGATCCAGCTACACTCACAATCGACTGTCTCGCAGTGTGATGGCGCGCTTGACTTGAGCAAACTTGCGGACCTTCTTCTTGACGCCCATTGTGTATTATCGTAGGTTCAAACTCAGGAATACAGCGACTGAGTTGTCGTTTTGTTTGCTGAAAGACTCGAGGTGAACAGCGCAGAAGTGCCGACTTGGTATGGGTGAGGTCAACAAAAATTCTTATCGCAGAATTCGAACAGGATAAATTTTGTGTTTGGGTAATACCGTACTTCCTTATCGGACCAATCATTGATGGCAAATAAGCCAAGCCGCCCCACAATCATATAGTGTGAATTTTTTCGGCGCGTATTTTCTCGTATCGACTGTCTTGATGCTTAAAACAACTTCATTCGTTCAGTCTTGTCTATTAGGACTGCTGGACTGACTGCTCGCAGTGCCTCTTTTGACTGGAAATGACAAGAATGAACTATATTAGGAATCACAGCCACGAAGTTTCTCACAGAGAATGGGAATTCCGTACTTAACGCGACATCTCGCTTCCTTCTCGGAATCGACTCTCCTAGGGAATGGCCAGGGCCCCTCATGCAAGACTGTAAAGTCTGTTGTCATTGATGGCCCTGGGCTTGTGTATTATGTACACTCTGTGCTGTTATCACAGGCTAGCAACAGTCTGAGCCAAGTGGAACGCCAGCCCAGCTGCGATGAGGTCAGTGTGGCGGTCATGACCTATCTCGTTCTACTGCAGGCCTCGGGTGTAAATATGTATGTGCTCACTGCTTGAAACCGAGTAGAAAGTAGTTCCACTAAAGTATCAAGTATGATCCTAGTCTCAAGATATATTTCGATGGTGCTCTGCCCTTGAATAAAGCCGAGACTAGACTGTCGAGACTGGAGGCGTCGAGGAAACAGTTGGAGATCTTTTGCCTGAGCCATCGGGAAGGGTTCAGGTGGTCTTCAATCGACCGCAAATCGGTGAGGATTGATCCCGTCAGGCTTTTGCAGGATTCCCATACTTCTTTCAAACGGTCCCTTTTGCCAGGAAATCCGTTCATGGTCTCTGCTGTAGTCGAAGATCTGAAGACACGATGGACTTGTTCAGCGATGGAATCGTATCTACCCCGGACCCTGTTTGATTTATACAAAGATAAATGTCATCCCTGGTCGGATTTCACTGAGATCATTCCCGGAGAAGCCGATGTATTCTGTGCTGCTCTGGCGGCGCAAAATCCAGGCACTGCGATACTCACAAGCGACTCTGATCTCTTCCTCTTTGAAACTGGACTTGATAGCGCCATTATATTCTTTGATACAATTCGCGTCGAGGGATACGGGGATGAGACCGGCTTAGCTGAATCGCATATGACCATTAAAGCCATGAAATACCGTCCCGCCTCAATCGCAGACCGCCTGGGCATCCCTGCATTATCCTACCTCGCCCACGAACTGAACCAAAGCTCCCGATCTAAACTCGCCGAGCTTGTCCGTCGTGCAAAAATAGCATCGGGCTCGAGCTCAAAGACCCCGGCCTACCTCACATTTCTGGAGGAATACGACCTGCAAAACGTCCTTCAATATGATCCCTCAGAGGCACAGACTCTACAAAATCTCGATACAAGAATATCAGAACTATATATGCAATGTCCCTGGACCAATAGCACTTTTCAGGATCAGAACCAAGCGCCTAGGATATATCTACCTTTCCTAGTGGAAGACCATTCGCGAAAGTGTGCCTGGGCCGAAAGTGTAGAAATCAGAAGACTTGCGTATTCTCTACTCAATCTCAACGCTGCTTCATCAACTGGGTCCAAAGTGACAGTTGTGACTGAATGTGTACGGCGAGGGAGAAGATTCTGCTTCGATAACATCCATCTATATAGCATCGAAGGAGGGGAAATTGAGAAGGAATTGGGCTCTTTTCTGGAAACACTCAAATCCTTTGAAAGACGATATCACCTTCATCATCATCAGCATGCAAGCTATGAAAATCCACTCTTCTGGCGAACATACGCATTATACGAGATCAATAAAGACTGGTTCACGACCAACAATGATCCTTCCGCATTCATCAATCACGCCGCACTAAAATCCTTCCTCGGACTCAACCGGGTCAGTGAAAACGATAGATTTTATAATGAGACTATTGTGTGGGACGATATCCATGCATTGGCACAGTTGCAAGCAGTGTTGTATACATTACGCATGGTTAAACAGATCATTCAGGGGTTGACACTTGAGGGAGGAGGAGGGTCACTTGGGCAACTTCATGATATTTTGGCACGGCTTCCGCCACTCCATGTGTTGATGAGATCGTTTTACGAGGTGAGGAGAGAATTGTATGGGGTTAAGTAGAGGCTGGCTATAGATACCAGCATTCCCCTGTCATCGATCAAGACACATAGATCTATTATCATAGAAGAATCTTGAGCGTTATATGGAAACAATTCGTCCCTGGTGATGATAGTAAACATCTATTTACATGAAAGTACACTATTTTATCTATCGAGATGACCGGAGGAACCCAACAATTCCACGACAGTATCCCATCAACTCAGACAAACGTCTAGCCTCACTCTCCTGCTCCTTCTTCCAATCCATCAAAGCAGTACGCAAAGCGCTTACTAGATCCTTATCTGACGCAGCAGTCGACAAGTCACCATCACCACATATCAAATCACTATGCACTTTCAAGAGCACAGCCATCCAGGCGTTGACTAGTTCGAAATCTTTCTTTAAGCGAAGTCTCTCCGTCAATGCGTTCACAAAGCTGACGAGCTCGCAGTATCCATCTGGGAATAGCTGGACGTTCAATGAGCGGATTTCGAGATCAGTCTTTCCGGGTGATAGGGACTTGAAATAGTCGATGAAAGGTGAGAAGTTCTTATTGTTAGAGCCTGATCTCAACAGTTTACTGACAAGCGAGTCCTGTTGTGATAGGATGCTCCTGGAGATCGGCATTGGTGCCGTCTCTATTTGCTCCTCAATGCCAGCTTTAAGAGTTAGGGACTGATCGTCCTGAAGAGATGGTAGGAAAAAGGGTGCCTTTTCGGGAGCTTTGGCCGGTTCTTTAGGTTTGTTGCGAGCCTGTGTTGTTTATTAGCATGTTGCTCGATGTGAGAAGTGACATCTGATAGACTTACTCTGACAACGTCTAGGTTGATCAGTGTTTGCCAGGCAGCTCGAGGAACAATACTCAATGTTGTCATGTCCCGGTCAAGCTGTTCGAATGATATGGTCGTCTTATCTTTATCTTCAACATCCACATCGGTGATCAGTGCAGCATCAACCATGCCCGATCCTGTATCAGTCGATGTCACAGAGGTCACATTTGATACTAGCGCGGTCTCGTCAATGTGAACAGGTCTGAAGTTGGTAAAAAGACTCTTGTTGTTCCAGATGTGCACACCGACCTCATCTGCATGAGCAGTGGCGAGGTATTCCCCTGTACCCGAAAAGGCAAGAGCGGTGCATGTTGTTGGTACTCGGAAGACGTCAACTAAATGACCCGTTGGTAAATCCCAGACTCTTATGATAGAGTCCATAGACGCGGCTACGATCCACCTGCCATCGTTGGAGAAGACAAAGTCGTTGATTTGTCCTCGGCAGCCCCAAAGTTCTCGGACAACTTTCTTGGTTTCCAAATCTACTACACGGATGGACAAGTCATCACAGCTTAGCGCAGCAAGTTCATTGATACTGCTGAAACGTAGTCCAGTGATGGCTGTCATAGGCGCCCAATCTAAATCTGCAAGAAGATGCCCGGAGTTCAAATCCCAAAACTAATATTATTAGTGTATTGAAATGAGATTGAAACGTAGGTATAACCTACCTTGAGTTTCCCGTCTAATCCACAGCTAACAACATTTCGGTTCAAGTTGTCGATTGCAAGGCCAGTGACAGCCTTGGTGTGCCCTGAGACTGCAATCTTGCCAAACTTGTTCTTCGATGACGGAGATGGCGGAAACCGTTGCCGACGCTGCCCAGACTGTAGGTTGTAAATGTCGATAACACCTCCCGCGGAGCCCACGGCAGCAAATGTGCCGCAATTGGAAATTGCTACGCTCTGTAAGAAGTCAGTATAAACATGCGAAGGTGAGAAGGTGTCTACGCACCTTGACTTCTGTTCCATCACTCGTTTCGAGCGCCCAACGACCGGCCTTCTTCCTACCCCAGTACCAAGTGCGTGCGTACTTGTCACCCCGATGTGCTGTTACAACACTTTCCCACCCATTTTCTCCCTGTGGATGCTTTTTGATATCCCTCGAATTGGTCCAGACTTGCTGACTACTCGCCCCCATTCCAGGATCACGATTGAGTGAGCAAGCGATTGATGTGATTTCGGGAGCTTTCAGTTCCTCGGCCGCCTCTGCTGCGCTGGATATGCCTCGTTTCTTAGCAGTGGCCTTGACTTTGCCCTGCGAAAGCTCAACATTTTGGCTATCTTTGCGCAAACTAAAGGCCCAGAAAGAACGATCTCTGGATGCACTTAGCAGCCACTTGCCGATAGAGTCGCTACCGTCGGAAGCAGAAGGCAAGAAACGAAGGGAACAAATCGCCGCAGCATGACCACCTCTGGCATGCAGTGGTCTCGGAATTGGCGAGAAAGGCGAATCATCGAATATCCACGTTCTCAAAGCATTGTCTCTTCCAGATGAAACTAAGACTGGCTGGCCGTCCAAAAACTCAATCTTATTGACACCAGTATCAGAGCTCTGAGCAGTCATATCATGCGCGCTTCTGAGCACTCCCGTCTTCTTGCCTCCTTTGTTCAGATCCCATAAAGTAACGTCACCGCTGTACATCGATGCCGTAGCCATGACTCCCGCCTTCCTACCATCTTCACCAGCTCCCATACCATCAGTTCTGAATGATATCGAAGTTATTGGGTATGATTTTGAGGTAGATGCGTTCAAGGAGAGGAGTACCTCGTCGGAGTCGACATTTCGAAGGACGACGGTGCCACTTCGGTAAGCAATAGCAATGAGTGAAAGGACAGGGGTTGCTTCTATTGCAGTGACCGCATCGTCCTTGGCCGTTGAAGGCGCAAATCTGTGCAAAAGCTTTCCACTGCTAACATTCCATAGCTCAACGGTACCATCGTATCTTCCAACAAAAATCTTGTTCAGATATGTAGGCATGTTACAAACATGGCCTGTGAACACTGGCAGGTCTGAAGCGCCCCTTGAAACTTCTGGTACTAATGTTGTAAAATGCTCGAAAGACGGATTCTTCCATACTTGTATACTCCTTGTGCAACAGCCGATAATCCAGGATCCAAAAATGAGAATTCGCGAGACGGTACCGGTGGTGTTCGGGGCATTTTCCAGCTCAGCGATCTTCTTTCCTCGTTGAAATACCCAAATTCCTGATTCCTCTCCGGGACGTAGCCCTCCCCAAGCGGCGAACACATAATTCTTCCAAGCATATGTCGCCGTAATCAAACCGGGAGTTCGAGGTTGGCTGGCAAACACCAAGCTCAGACCGCGCTTGAGGTCATAGGTTTGGAGTACCCTTCCGACTGAAGTTGTGATTTGATATGTTGATTTTCCAAGACGCACCGAGGTGAACGGAACTGTAGTTGGGGAGACCAGGCCAAGAGTCTGCGTAATTCAGAAAAAGAAAGTTAGTAAGTTGTTGTGGTAGTTATGCTAGATACCAAATAGCGCCTACCCTGAAATGAGAAAATATTCGGGATTGCGATTCCTTCTTTTCTTGCGACAGCAATTGCGGTTGAACTATTCTCTGTCGTTTCGATACGGGAAGGTCAAAGCCATCTCCGGATATGGAAGGCATGATGCCTTACGAAATAAGAAGGTTCACGTGTTGCAAGTCGAAAGGCGCGCTCTGTTGTACGCTCCAGAAATTTTTTGGAGGCTTGCGAAAAGGAAAGAAAAAAAGCTACGGTAATAAAAACAATTTGTAATTTTGATACCTTGGTAATACTATGATCAGCTGTAAGTATGAGACTTATCAACCAATAGCAGATGGTATAGAGCAGTTCTCCCTCGGTACATCCAATCAGAAAACACCTCTTCACAGTTTCGTTTCTGGCCGGTAAAATACCGATACATATCCTTACATACACTGTTACCATACCGACAGTCGCTCTCTCCTTTGCAATTAAATTATCCCCAATGATCCCCAACTGCTCTGTTTCTAAAAAGAGAACATACGCAATCCTTCTAGTGATCTCATTTGGTTTGAGCGTACGTCGTGCTTGTGCTACAAAGTAGGTATTGAATACGAACAGTCTATTGTATACCGCCATACTGGCCGCAATGACGTTGATCCTATCGGAGGTTTCAGACGGGCTGCCAAAGAGGGGCTCTCTACATGATCCTTATAACGTCGCTGCGCTGGACCCCGTGAGAGCAACGAATGTCGTGATAAAATCTGCTTCAAGTGAGTTGTCACCTGGTCAGAAATGGGTGCGAGTGTACGAAAGAAGTCATCTGTCCTCTGTTTGGCGGGCTGGCTGAGCAGATGAGATGAGATGGAGGAAGTTTCCCTAGTGGATGGGGTCGACCCAAATTCTGCTTTCCTCGAGGGAAAAAAAGGTCAATTCTGACCTCACTACTCGCAACGATTGGCGGTCTGCCAACCACCACCTTCCCTTCTTCTCAATGATTTGATCGACCAGCTCGCATTTTAATTCTAGTCTCTCGCTCTGTAGTTGTTCGATTCGAATTTCCTGTTCTTATTCGCAACAAATTTAAAGAACGGTTTGGCCTCCCGTTGCTTTTTTTTAGGGCTCGAGCCGTCAACCATGTCGGAAAATGCTAGTGTTTCTAGTGGCCAACCCCAAACATTAGCGACCACAACCAGCAATGATGGGACATCAACAGCAGCAACAACGTCGTCAGCACCACAGGGCCTGTCTGTGCCTGCGGGCACGAACAAAGATGATCGGCTTTCTCCCTCCGCAGTGATTACCAACGACGAACCCCGCCAGACCTACATCTCGGATCGACTAAAGTCAAGCTCTACCTCGTCCGTCAACGAGCTCGGCGTGTGTGACAATGCAGGGCAAAATTCCACCACCACCGACTCCTTGCATCCAGATTCAAAACGAATGTCTTTCGCCTCTTTACGCTCCTTAGGTTCAGTCAGCATTGCCGGCTCTGTGAATGCTCCTCACGATCCTGCAGCAGCAGCTCCCAACGAAGACTCTCAAAAGACAACTTCGGGCTATACGAGGTCATCAGTTTCATCCGCCGATTTCCCCGCCGCTTTTCGATCGGGCCACGCTTTATCGGGCTTGAATCATACTTCTCATGGATTATCATCTTCGCGGAATGAAACACCCTCCGAGGGAAGGCGGTTATCGCGACCAACACGTTCATCGAGCAGAGCTCCAAGGAGGTTAAGTGGAAGCACTGCCGCGAGCTCTGCTAGCGAAGCAGAACCTCGCCCACCTTATATCGGTAGAATCGGCGTTTGTGCTCTCGATGTCAAGGCGCGCAGCAAACCGAGTCAGAATATTCTGACCCGACTTCAATCAAAGGGTGATCTGGACGTGATTGTCTTTGGCGATAAAGTGATTCTAGACGAAGCAGTTGAAAATTGGCCTGTATGCGATTTTTTGATTGCTTTTTTCTCCGATGGCTTCCCGCTCGATAAGGCGATAGCGTACGCGAAATTGCGAAAGCCTTTCTGCGTGAACGACCTGTCGATGCAGAAGATTCTATGGGATCGCAGACTGTGTCTTAAGGTTCTGGACCAAATGGGTATTCCCACGCCCATGAGAGTTGAGGTCAATCGCGACGGTGGCCCAGTGTTGGAGTCAGCCGAACTTGCCCAGCATCTTCACCACCTGACTGGCGTAAAGCTTGAAGGTCCAGATGATGGCATCGGCGGTGGAGCCGTCAAGTCACAATCAATATCATTATCTGAAGATGGGGAGACACTTATAGTTGACGGTCAAACTATTCGAAAACCTTTTGTTGAGAAGCCCGTGAGTGGAGAAGATCATAATATTCACATTTACTTCCCGAAAGATCAACAATATGGTGGAGGCGGAAGACGCTTGTTTCGGAAGGTGGGAAACAAGAGCTCAGAATATGATCCGAGTCTTGTGGTGCCCCGATCTATCACGGAGAAAGGCACTAGTTATCTCTACGAGCAGTTCCTGAGGGTTGATAATGCTGAGGACGTCAAAGCATATACCGTCGGACCCGATTTCTGTCACGCCGAGACTCGCAAGTCTCCAGTCGTAGACGGAGTTGTGCGGAGAAATACTCACGGAAAAGAGTTGCGATACATTACCAATCTCACAAAGGAAGAGGCTGCCATGGCAGCCAAGATTTCCAACGGTTTTGGCCAGCGGATCTGTGGTTTTGATATGCTTCGCGTTGGAGACAGAAGCTATGTCATCGACGTGAATGGCTGGAGTTTCGTTAAGGATAACAACGATTATTATGACAAGTGTGCAAAAATCCTCAGGGAAATGTTTATTAACGAGAGACGCAGAAGGGACAGGAATTTCGAGCAGTCCGAGCCCCCCTCTCCGGATAACGTTTCGTCTAAGAGAGGCGTTTCAGGTTCTCATCGCAGCGCTCTTAAAACCATCTTGAAGTCGCCGAGTATGTCTAGAATACACAGCTCACCGCAGGCGCCTAAGGATCATTTCGTGGCTTCAGATATTATCAGCCCAACGTCAGCACCTGCCGGGGATATAGTCAAAGCTTCACTGTCCCAGTCTCGGGAAGAACTTTCGTTACCCGCAAGTGGCAGTGCCTCAACGACCCACTCGCCAGCGCTCTCAATCTCAAACGAAGAAGAAATAGTGCCGTTACCAGCTTCTAAACATTCATGGAAACTCAAGGGTATGGTGGCTGTCATACGCCACGCTGATCGAACTCCGAAACAGAAGTTTAAATTTACATTCCACAGTCAGCCTTTTGTCGACCTCCTTCGAGGTCATCAGGAAGAAGTCGTTATCAAAGGTGAAGCTGCTCTTGCAAGTGTGGCCGAAGCTGTTCGAGTGTCAATGAAACAAGGTTTGGAGGATATGGACAAACTCAAACTTCTCAAGATTTCACTAGAGAAGAAAGGCAACTGGCCAGGGACAAAAGTACAGATCAAACCCATGTTCAGAAAGCGAAGGCCAGAAGAAATGTCAGGTGCGGCAGATCCACCGACATCTCCTCAGATCAGGAGTGCATCCCTTCCAGATGATCCAGCTACACCATCTCAAGAATTGACCTCGGACTGCGAGAAGCTTGCACGGCMGCAGACCCGTAGTGACTCTATTTCGGGACCTACATTTTCTCGATTTTCTGCGGCTGAAAATGATCTCATCTTAGATAAGCTTCAATTAGTTATTAAGTGGGGAGGAGAACCTACACATGCTGCCCGATACCAAGCTCAGGACTTGGGTATGACCATGAGAGACGATTTGAAACTCATGAACAAAGAAGCCCTGAATGATGTTCGCATTTTCACCAGCTCGGAGCCTAGAGTTAGTACAAGTGGTAAGTGCAATCCGATTTTCTACCATGAAGTTCTGTGGTCTAAGTCTTAGTAGCACAAATTTGGGCTTGTTCCTTCTTGGATGAGAAAGAGCTCCCAGAAGATTTTATCCAAGTGCGGAAAGATCTTTTAGATGATTCCAATGCAGCCAAAGATGTCATGGACAAAGTCAAGAAGAAGCTAAAACTTTTGCTACGCGAAGGGTCCGCACCATCTCAATTCACCTGGCCGAAAGACGATTTTCCAGAACCGTCCGTAGTCCTTGCGACTGTGGTGCAATTAATGAAATACCATCGAGACGTGATGCGCCACAACTTCCGCCGGCTTGCACGTTCTGATATTGTTGATATTCCCGGGAACCCGCCCAAGAACCCTGAAAGCCCGCACGTAGACTCGATACAAGGTCGTTGGTGCACAGGCGAAGATGCCGAACTGTTCAAAGAGAGATGGGAGAAGCTTTTTGCAGAATTTTGCGATACAGAGAAGGTCGATCCCAGTAAGATTTCAGAACTTTATGACAGTATGAAGTTTGACGCACTACACAACCGTCAATTCTTGGACTGGGTTTTCACACCTCCCGATGGGTTTAAAGTCAAGGAGCCGAGTGGGTTGCCATCACAACAAGTCATCGAAAGTGACAAATTCGAAGAAAAGACCGACAATGGCACGTTAGTCGAGAGAATTGGATTCAAGAAGAGAGCTTTAAGTATTGTGGAGTCCAGACGGTTTGGACGCTTGGAAGATGCTTACGATAATTACTTCAAGCTGCATGGCAACCCCAACTCTAAACGAAAAAAATCCGACGAGCGTCTTGTCAAACTGCGAGAGTTGTATAAACTGGCCAAAGTCTTGTTTGATTACATCACACCTCAGGAGTATGGGATCAAGAATAGCGAGAAGCTGGAAATTGGGTTGCTTACTTCGCTGCCGTTGCTGCGAGAAATCGTCCGCGATCTTGAAGAAGTCCAAGCCTCGCCTGATGCAAAATCCTTCTTCTATTTCACCAAGGAATCGCACATCTACACTTTGTTGAACTGTATTCTGGAAGGCGGCATCCAGACTAAGATCAAACGAAGCGCAATTCCCGAGCTCGATTATTTGTCCCAGATTTGCTTCGAGCTCTACGAGGCCAAGGATAGCGACACGGATACATTCTCGTACTCCATTCGAATCTCCATCAGCCCTGGCTGCCACACTTTCGACCCTCTGGACGTTCAATTAGATTCTCGCCATGCTATCGGATGTGCTCCCCGCAGAAGTCTGACGGCACATCAGGATTGGAAGGAAGTGATTGAGACTCTGAAAGCGAAGTTCGATACGTGAGTCTTGAGGCTGAAATGACACCTATTGTACTGATTAGCTGACTTTTAATACAGGGTAAAACTGCCCAAGAGCTTTATAGCGGTCAATCTTAGTGACAAGCATGCTTATTAATGTGGTGGAGGGAGTTAGGTATGGCTGGCTTAGATGGATTGCATATCGATTGGATTTATCTGTAATTATCAAGGTGGATTGAAGGTGTAGATCGTTTCAACAGTAACATACAAATAGACAATCGAACATTGCTCAATTAATCACGTAGCTGCTGTAAAAGATCAAGTCAGGTCAGGGTACGCCGTAATACGTCGCTATACTCATCCACCACCTCATGTCTTCTATTGATCAAATGAAGTACGAATAATATAGAATTGCAAAAGAGAATAAGAACATTTAATAATTATAATTCAAACGTTATGATGGGAAAAAAATATTATAGCGACAACAGTGTGATTCGCACACACGCTTCTGAAGAGGATGCCTTTCATAACTCCTAGTAAGGAGATCAGCACATCGCATTTGGTCCACCTCCCATGCGAAACCAGTGCTGGCAACGCTGGCTAACCTCTTCCAGGTTATCTGCGATCAGGCTGAGAGTTGAAAGCTACAAGCAACATGTTCATTCTGTGTTCGTGTGAATACAGAGATATTCTATCATCATATCCTCCATCTTCGACTGACCTATCTTAGTCTAGCATAAAAGATCATGCGGGACCGCGGTCAAAGCACGCCTCGATGATAGCTTCCTCCTATCCACGCTCAACCTCCTGTTGATATGGGCAACTACAATGACCCTGCTGCCACAGCATATCACCAACTACTGTGATAAGATCCGCGAAAATACGACCCATTTTTTGAACTGTCGGTACCTCGTTTCTCCATGCTCATCACCCCGCGAACGTATCAGCTCTCCCAGGAAGATACAGATCGATGGAACCGAGCCTCAGATAACGTCCACCTCTCACCTCGATTCCATACTTTGATCGGTTGGCGCGCTGATAAAGCTGAAGCTTTCCGGGCTTATAAAATGCTGTTGGTGCATCAGTCGGGCTATGTGCGCGTTGGGGAGGTTGTGAGGTTCGCTCTAATTTATGATATAAATAATGATGCTTGCACATGCTGATCGGATCGCTTGGATTACTGCAGATACACATTGACGTACACGCCATCGCTGGACCAGATACTTCCGACGCCAACGGAGCTTCATGTAAAAGTGAAGAATACCTCTGCTATTCCGCTACGAGCCGCGTACCTCCATGGACCCTACACACTTTATACAGCATGCTATCCGTCTGAATTCAATCCTAATCAGCATTATCATGACAGCGAGACAAAGGGCATTCCTCAGTACGAGCCGTATCTTAAGGCCGGTGGAAGCTGGACAGCGAAGATCCCCGTGCCTGAAGAGACGCGGCTTACCGTCCCCGGGGCTAGACATGGCAACCACAGCGGCAGCAACCTGGGCTCAGAAAGCGATGACGAACCAGGACGAAAGAGCATAACATGGATCATTGAGATTACGTCGCAGGTGATATTCTCTAGCTCAGCGGCAGTTCATTTCGAGTTGTTAGTCGGTCGTGACCAGAAATCACTCGAGTTTGGCATTAATGGCTCCTTAACGTCTTCCGGCGTGCCTCCACCAGCCCATATCAATGAGCATCAGATTTTGCGCAAGGGGGGAAATAGCGATGCTCCGATTATTGCGACAAAGGGCGTGTTTTCGAAATCGGTTAGGCTGGTATTTGATGATATCAAGAGTCTGTGGAATAGTCCCGAGTGCTCCGCGTTCAAAGAGCGCGAGGAAATCAATTCGAAGCTGGTTGCGCTATCGAATCAACCACGCAGCCATCATGTAGTCCACGCAACAAGTCTTTCGCCTCAACTTGAACGCAATGCTTCCATTAAAAAGAAGAGACGAATTCATCTTGTTGTGTTGACTCATGGATTACACAGTAACCTTGGGGCCGACATGTTATATCTCAAAGAAAGCATTGATGCCGCTGCCGAAGAGGCTAGGAAGGCGAAAAAAGACTCTACAAGTCAATCGAGTACAGAAGATGAGGTGGAGGGCAGCGAAGAGCAAGATGAGGAAGTTATTGTCCGAGGATTTCCGGGTAATGTTACGCGCACAGAGCGTGGAATACAATATCTTGGGAAACGGCTCGCCAAGTACATCCTTCTCACGACATATCCGGATCAACCATACCTACCAACCAAGAAGAAAAAGCAAAAGGGCAATGCGAGTGCTAGCTCAGGCGTTCCGATAGATTACGACCCTTGGGATAGACATCCGTCCGATTGTCAGGTCACCAGCATCAGCTTTATTGGACATTCGCTCGGGGGCCTTATACAGACATATGCGATTGCTTATATTCAAAAACACTCCCCTGAATTCTTTGAACGGATCAAACCCATTAACTTTGTCGCCCTTGCTACACCTTTTCTCGGACTCAGCAACGAGAACCCCGTCTACGTACGTTTTGCGCTAGATTTGGGGTTAGTCGGGAAGACTGGACAGGATCTTGGTCTAAGTTGGATGTCTCCTAGAGTTCGAAGCAGATGGGATGCCATCATTAGCAAGTTTGCAGGCAATTCGGGCCCATCGCAACAAGAGCAAGCACCGGCTTCCAAGCCATTGTTGCGGATATTGCCTGCTGGCCCGGCTCATCAAGTTCTACAGCGCTTCAGAAACCGCACAGTTTACTCGAATGTGGTGAATGACGGTATCGTGCCATTACGGACTTCGTGCTTGCTCTTCCTTGATTGGAGGGGCCTCGATCGAGTTCAAAAGGCGCGAAGAGGAAATGGTCTTGTTGGCACCATGGCAGAATGGGGGTGGGCCGAACTCACGGGAGCCAATTCGGTTTCGCCAGCTGCACAGGATCATCAGCATCACCGTTCCCAATCCAATATACCTGCAGTTGATGAGATACAAGCTCATTACCACGCCGCCGGAGTTTCAACGCTGAGCTCGCATGGTCAAGCTAGTCCCGGTCTACTTCCATTACCATCACCGACGCCAGGCCAAATCCTCGAAGAAGGCCTGATCCAAGCAGAACCGGAGCCAATGTCGCCTGTGAGTACAGGTTCGAATTCTAAAGAGCATCATCCACCTTCACCCAGTCCATTCAACAATCTCTTTGGAATGTTCCAATCGAAACAATCCAGAAGCTCGTCTTCTAGCAAAAAGAGCACTAAGATCATCCGACAGAGCCAAACACTTGCGCCTTCTGGCGAATCTACGGATAACATGAACTCTGTAGAGTCGTATCCCCCAATCGTCCGGGGCAACTCCCTCTACGAAGACGAAGATCTCAGTGCTCCTCCCCGAACCACCATCTTCGAGTCTGCCGGTGACGTGCTTAGACCCCCTTTGCCCCCAGCAGAGTTTATCACAGACCCAACATCAAGGCCACGGACTATTTTCCATGATCGTATATATCACCCAGAGGATATACCACCTCCCATGCTCAAGAAGCGAGGCACAATATTCAGCGGCTCGCGTAGTTCGAACAATGACACAGACGTCGATATCGACCAAGTAGCTGCTCAGGGATACAAAGGAAGCGGTTTGCGGGTTGAAGAAAAAATCGCGCGAGCGTATCACCAGGGACTTTCATGGCGGAAAGTCCTTGTACGAATGGAGCCCGACGCTCACAACAACATTATCGTCCGACGCATGTTCGCTAACGCTTACGGCTGGCCCGTCGTCAAACATATGGTCGACAACCATTTCGGCAATACTTATTCCGCCCGAACAGAAGATGCACTAGAATCCAACCGCGAAAGAGCAAAACCTCTCGATGTCAGAGTGACAGATTCGGGCGAGGAGACGTTTGGTCAATCTCCTCGACAGCAACAGCTACCATTCCGCCATTATGCCAGTCTGCCTCCGGACATTGAGGGACAGGGACATTCGTCAGAGGTCTCTGAAAATGATGGTGCAGCAACACGCCTTGCTGATGTAGGCAGACAATCGAGTCGAAAGTCGACTGATTCCGCGAAATGGACTGATCGCTACTTTTCAGGAGGGGATTCTGCGTCCGAGGGACAAAGCGATCATGAAGAGCAGTTGGGCTAGGCACACGAACTACACAGTGTTGATTAATATAATGAGTACACGATTTCGGCTATGTATATAGATAGAATGTTCAATAATGAATGAGTGGATATGTAATGTAATTCAGATAATTCTCACCGTAATGTTGAGTCTATGTTTATGTACTTGTACAGGATGGATCCCGGGAGCCATAGTAGTGCCTGATATTCCTCCCGCTTTTGACCCCTCCAAAACATACGTCATTCTGTTATTGCAGTCTCTAAGTCAACAATGGCTCAACCATTGCAGACCTCTCCTAATCTCAAGGAGATTCACGATGTCCTCATCGATATCGCCTTCGAAGCTGGCAAGGTAATCACCAGCAGCCTGCCAACAATCAATTCGACGGACTCGAAGAAAAACAGTCAGTCTTCACCTCCCGAAAGTCGTACATATACTAATCAGGACAAGGCTCCGACCTCGTCACTGAATATGACAAGGCCGTAGAGAATATGGTCTCTACGAGACTGAAAGCCAAGTATCCCGATTACGAGTAAGCCAAATTCCTCACCAGCCCAACAAACCATCACGCTGACAGTGGAAATGAAGCTTCCACGGCGAAGAAACCTACTCTCCCGCCCACCCCCTAACCAATGCACCAACCTTCATCGTCGACCCAATCGACGGCACTACAAACTTCGTGCACGGCTTCCCCAGTTCCTGCATCTCGCTGGGCTTCGCAATTGGGCGCAAGCCCGTTGTCGGGGTCGTCTACAACGCTTTTACATCCACACTGTACTCCGCTATTAAGGGGCAGGGCGCTTTCCTCAATCGCACTACACCTTTACCTTTGAAACAGGGCGATAGGCTCGAAGCGTTGGATGGCCTTGATAAAGCCTTGATTGGGCTGGAATGGGGCAATGAGCGCAGTGGGCCGAATTGGGATGTGAAGCTACAGACATTCGCGAGCTTGGGGAAGACGCGTGAAGCTGGTGGGGCGATGGTTCATTCTATCCGGTCTCTGGGCTCAGCGGCTCTGAATATCTGTGCTGTTGCGTCCGGGGTGCTGGATTGTTATTGGGAAGGGGGCTGTTGGGCTTGGGATGTCTGTGCTGGATGGATCATTTTGGAAGAGGCAGGKGGGATTATGGCGGGTGGAAATAAGGGCGATTGGACGCCGGCTATTGATGGGAGAGTGTACACGGCTGTTCGTCCGTCGCCCGAGGGTAAAGGGCAGAAGGAGCTGGTTGAGGAGCTTTGGAGCCATGTACATGGTCGGTTGGAGTATTGATTGAAGCGATATGTAAAAGGGTATTGATGTGACCCATGCATTTGATACCTAGTTCATAGAATTTAAAACGAATGGCCTAGTTTTTCTCTCTTTCTATGCAATTCTGATGTTAGCGTGTACTTATGTACATACATGTAAGTATATATGTAAATATGCCCTGATTGGTCATCGATGGACGTCCCTGATTCGATGATAAACTCAAGTAGAGCAATCCCAGCCGTGAAGGAGCGTCAACTACCCAAATCAACTTCAATGAAAGCCAGTCAATTCATCAAGGTAACAAGTCTACTGAAATAGAAAAGTACCTTTTTGTACCGTCTGATCACGTTGTCTGTCGGAGCCCAAACGGGGCCGGCCACACCAGCTGTCTGTCTGTCGTACATCACTGTCCGAGCAACCTGCAGCATAACAATCAAATCATCTCCAATCCATCTGCTTTTATCAATTTCGACGAGCTACATCGATCTGAGACAGCAGATACAGTAAAAAGACAGAATGTCTTCCAGGATTCAAACACATTCAGGTGTTGTTCATCACAGATCATCGAAGAGAAGAGGTCATGGAGGTCACTCCAACCACGTCGATCTCGAAGAGGAGAATCGAGGATCATCAAGAAGACATCCCAGAACAGTAGAGCAGCACGTTCCACGTCATGAGAAACGGCGTAGATCTTCTTGGATGCGTTTCGGTGGACGGACTGAGCCGTTGGTGCTGTTGACGACGGTGCCAAAGGTTCATCGGCCAGGTTCGCATACAAAGTATCATCTCAAATCAAATATCTGCTTCTCAATGTGTTTGAATTGCTGATGCACAGGTTAGACATCATAATCCCGACTCAGCCAGGAATACAGACACGCGGTCGAGCTATACAGCACAGGATCCAGGTCTATCAAAAAGCTCGACAATCTCCAGCACACGCAAGTCACAAAAAAAGGCGCCTACCAGTAGTCTCCTTTCGTTATTCTTCGGACCTGTGAGCGTTCAGCCAACCAGATCAGTTAAATCGATCAAGAAGTATGCATCAACCCAGCCCCCTTTCCAAAAGAAGGGTATGCTAATTCCAAGAAGAGTGACCTGCGTAAGCTGTCTGTCAGACGATATACCAGTTCCAAAAGCAGCAAAACTAGCATGTTCCCACCACATGTGCCATACATGTCTTCGACGACTGTTCACACTATCCATGACAGATCCACAACAACACATGCCGCCCCGATGCTGTACTCAGGCCCACATCCCGAGCAAATATGTTGAACTTTTGTTCGATCGCGATTTCAGAATCAAATGGAACTCGAAATACGAGGAATACACGACAAAGGACAGATATTACTGTCCCTCTCAGCGGTGCGGGAAATGGATCAAAACAAGTAACATCATCAAAGACCACAATGGGAAGCCCAAGTATGGGAAATGTTCTCACTGCAGGACAAAAGTATGCTGTCTTTGTCGCGGCCGATGGCATGGCAGTCGGGGAGAGTGTCCCAAGGATGAGAATGTGCAGAGATTAGAAGCAATGGCCAAGGAAAATGGCTGGCAGCGATGCTACAATTGCTCTTCGATTGTGGAGTTGAAAGATGGTTGTAACCACATGACATGCCGGTGCAAAGCCGAGTTCTGCATGAGATGTGCCAAAAAGTGGAAGACGTGTGATTGTCCGTGGTTCAACTATGATACTGTCCCTGATTATGAGGAAGCGGTCGAATTCGATGATGCGGCTATCTGGTATACTGACAACGACGACGATGACGACGAAGATGTCGATGACTGGATCCGACACGTGGTTGGTGAGCCGGCATATCGTCGGCAGGAGGATTTTGCGCAGCAATATATTCTGCAGCAGGTCCTTCGGTATCGAAATGAGTTTCACGAGAGATTAGTGAGAGGCGTGCCACTGCATCCAGAATCGGAGCAGGCTCGGCAGATACGATTTGCGGCTCGTGTGCTACGTGGCTAAGAGATGCAGCCTCGTTGTATGTGTGGAATTTCTTGAAATAACTTTGCGGCGTCATTATCGATAGGTGGTAGACACATATATTGTTTAGAATCATGTTGTCTCCAATATATTGTACGATGGATCCATTGATACTCGAGAATTGAATGGAACTCTTGCATGCAAACAAACGCCGATACTGGAAACTCACAGATATTGATCAGAACAACAACCAATCGAAAACCGAGAACAAGTATATTTGTACCCGTGTACAGGGTTGTATATGTTCAAAGGCTGAAAAAATGAAGATATAGAAGTGGCCACTGGCCAATCACGGCGCCATATTTCTCCCCACCACAAAAATGTCACAAATCTATATCCTGCCAGACATTCTCTTTTCATCCTCGATTCGCATACAGGCGAGGTCCTAATCTAATCGACTAATATCCGGTTCCTTGAGTTATTGATTTGCTTATTACGGCCATCACCTATCTACCAGCAAAACATAGAAATACGCTATTCGAGAGCCCCTCGATCCATACCAGAATGCCCACGGAATTAGAGGAAGCAAGTTTTATATCACATCACACTCTGGCTAGAACGGCAACTGACTATCCTCCCTTAGCTCGTAGAGTTCCTCGGCTCTCCGAACCCTCAAATTAGGCAGATTGGTAGGTTGCCAGACTTTATTTGAGGTCATATTCACTAACATATATGGTGCAGCCGCTGCAAATCTCACTATTTTCTCTTCAAGTCAACCTACGCTTTTCAAAAGGGAGAATTTACAGCCAATCAAAGATTTGAAAGTCCTTGTTCGAGATCACCCGGTTTGTCACTGTCTACCTAAGCCTATCAGATATATCTGCTGATAGAAGAATTTTTAGACTATTGCCAAAGATGCACTTACAATGTTAATCAACCTCTCTGCGGACGGGCAGATATTGAGATTTCTCGCAGATGATGATGACTTCGTGGAGCTGTTGATTGCCAAAGTCACTGTTGGTTTATTTCCGGCTTGTAGAAAAAGGAACGACTTAAGCTAACTACCACCACAGAATAAAAACGAACAAAATGCAGACGACATCGCAATGCTACTAGCCAACCTCGCAAAAGCGGACAGTTTCAGCCGCATCATCACCCTCACAAGAAAGAAAGCAGACGATGTATCCACGTCTACAAACGCGCTGGATCAATTACTAGACTGCTTCGTCAAGGGAGCCGAGGGGGCACTCAACAAAGCCGCAAACTACGACTATCTAGCCTACGTTTTTGCAGACCTATCAAAGACTGAAGAAGGGCGTAAATTTTTCACGACGAAACAGGAATATGACGGGGTTATTCCTGTTACAAAATTGCTGGTTTTCACGGAGCATCTAAGCGATATTCGGCGAAGAGGAGTAGCGTGGACGATCAAGAACGTCTGTTTTGACGTCCAGTCACACCCCATGCTCATCAACGAGGAAGAAGGCGAAGGCGCAAATCTGCTTCCTTATATCTTACTTCCCATGATGGGGCCGGAAGAGTACCCCGATGACGAGTCGTCGGAAATGCTGCCAGACCTACAATTATTGCCTCCGGATAAGCAACGAGAGACAGACCACCAAATCATCCTTGCGCATCTAGAGACTATTTTGTTGTTGACTACGACTCGGGAAGCGCGCGATAAGATGAGACAGGTGCAGGTTTACCCTATCATTAGGGAATGTCATGCTGGTGTTGAGAGTGAAGGAGTCCGCGAAGGGTGTGATCGGTTGGTTCAGGTCTTGATGCGTGGAGAAGAGGGAGAAGTGAATGAAGCCGAGAGAGAGGCTATGGAGAGGGCTGGAGTACATACGATGCTTGGTCAAACAAAGAGAATTACGGAAGAGGAGGGGGAAGTAGAAGAAGAGGATGAGCAGATAGTGGATATCTTGGCTTAGTCGATTTTATGTCCCTCGAATTTCAAATGAAAATAGAAATAAGATCATGTATGAAAGAACGTCTTTATTTGTAAATTTATGACGATATTGATGCCTCAGGCAGAGAGGCCGCGGCGTTTCCCCGACCCCGAGCAGACCTCATCGATAAACGTCGAAACTGACATCGTCGCGTTACACTCGACCACCTGGAACACAACAACGCCGCAAGACAGTCAACCCTTCATTTGCGGCATCCCATGGACGGCAGAATCGAACATAAGTGAGTTGAAAGTGAAACACGTACAGCTCACCTTCAACGGCGACAACCTTTATCACTACGCCGTCGGTGAGTTGACTGCTTCGCGCGCCACAGCTTCTCAAAGCACCACTCCTCGCAGCCCATCAACATGGCTACACCCACAGATCCCAAGGTTAACAGACCGGCAACCGAAGGCGCTCCGATGATGAAAATTCGTCGTCCCAGAGCAGCAGATCCCCTCGTCCGACCCAAGAGGAGACCTCCACCAGGAGGACGACCAGCTCCAAATTCGGCAGCAGCAAAGGGCGTGCCAGCTCCAAAACCGACTACAGCTACCCCAGCATCCATCAAAGCTGCCACAGAACCGGCGCCGCTTCGACTTCAGCGACCTAATGTACGAGACGATATGACCGTGAATGGATTCAGCGGTCCGCCACTCTCGACATTTACAGACTATCCGCTCGTCACCACCAAGCGCGCGTTGCGGGAAGGACTGAAACATCATGTCGCAAAGTTCATCTCGAAGAAAGCCATCGATCCAAGAGATGAGCAGCAATTTACAAGACCAGTACGATTACAGCGTCGCGATCCACGAGCAAAGCCCCCGGACCCAGATGCCGTCAAACGCGAAGACGAGAAACATATTCCATGGGCTATGCGAGATATGACCGAGGCCGAAAGAGCAGAGTTCGAAGCAAAAAAGGCAGCGCGAGAGAAAGAGCGAGAAGAGAATCTGGCTCAAATCGCCCCTTCAGCAGCCACGGCTCAGAAGCGTACCAATCAACAAAAACCGAAAACTCAGCAAGTCATGAAAGCAGACATGACCGCAGAAGAAATTGCAAAAGCCCGAATTAAGTACGAAGAGGCTTTACCGTGGCACATGGAGGACTTTGATAACAAGAATACCTGGATGGGAAACTACGAGGCGGCTCTGTCAGAAACGTATGCGATGTTCGTACTTGAGCCTACTGGAAAGATGAGAATGGTCCCGATCGACAAATGGTACCGCTTCAGCGCGCGAAACGCGTTCAAAACGTTGACCATTGAAGAAGCCGAGAAGTTCATGTCGAAGAAGATCAAGGATCCGCGATGGTTCATGGAGAAGCAGCAAGAGGCCGTCAAGCAAAAAGAACTCGACGCGTATGCAAAACAGAGAAAGGTCTATCGAGGCAAGGAGGTGTCTGCTACAGGCTTGGATGGCACCGACATGGATTTTGAGGAGGATAGGTTCGCTGATGATGAAGAGGTTGATGCTGGTCTTTTTGAAGAGGATGAGGATACCAAGGCTGCCGAGCAGCGTATCAAGCAGGATCAACTGAAAGCTAATGTTTTCAACCTAAAAGAAGAGAAGGATTATGACGAGGAGGAGTTGAGGGAGAAGAAGGAGAAAGAAGCCCGCAAAGTTATTGGTAAGAAAGTGCGAAAGGCACTGCAGCGCCGGGAGAAGAACTTTGATTATAGCAGTGGTTCGGATGTCAATCCTTATTCTGATGAAGAGGTACGTTCATCATCCCCCATAAACATACGCTTACTCACAGTCTATAGAGCACCGAGGAAGACAGCGAGGCCGAGAACGAAAAAGAAGAGGACAAAAAAACCGAAGAAGAAAAAGCTCTTGCTAAAGAAAAAGAGAAAGAATCTGGCGCGTCCACAAAAGCGAGCACACCATCTGGCCGTCCAAAGCATACGGATGCACTCAAAAAGGCGAGCGGCATCGGCCGTAAGCGTATCGGATCTCCCAACCTCTCAGATGCCAGCGGAACAGACACGTCTCGCAAGAAGCCGAAGCACGCGCCTCATTCTGTTCCTTCTCCATCTGGCCTAGCCGTAAGCTCTCCCCTCTTTTCGGTATTGATTCATCTAACAACGTCCAGCAGGCAGTCAAAAAGAGAAACCGCATCGGCGGTCCCGGCTCAGGCAGCGACATCGAAGGCGGCGCCCTCTCCGGCGCCGACCTCAGCGACGCTGGAAAAGCGAAGAAACTCAAACTCAACCTCTCCCGAGCCGGTACACCCCTTGGCTCGCGCTCCGGTAGTCCAGCCGCGCCTCTACGCGCCGGAACACCAGAGGGCGGCTCAACCCTCAAAGGTTCGCCTAATCCTCCCCATATCAAAGCCTTCCATCAATATACTAAATCTGATTCATCAGGTCCCCTCCGAACCTCAACCCCCCGCCCCTCCATCTCTAGCGGCGCGGCATCCCCAATCGCATCAACAGCGAATACAACATTCCCAACCCCCGCCGAAATCCACGCCGCAATCCCGGCTTCCGGAATTGCAAGTCGCGACCTCCTCAAGATCTTCCATCCGCGAATCGGCGAGTCAAAGGAGAATCATAGGAGGTTTATCGCGATTGTTAAGGATGTGGGTGTTTATGGCAAGGAGGATCGGTTGTTGAGGCCTGGTGTTTTGAAGGAATGATCTCCTGAATTACACTGATCAGTCAAACGGGCTTGGGTCGGGGTTGCTATTGTGGGTATTTCTTGCACATCTTGGGTGAGATGGGTTGTTTTTCGGTGCGATATCAGCATGGATAGATAGATGTACATCTACTTTCACTTGTACCTCGGTCTACTACCGGTACATATCATGACACAACCTAGCTAGCAAGCTAGCTAAATATTCGGACAGTCAAGACGAAATAATATACTAAGTTAGACTATCTTTTCTTTGTACTAGAATTCTTTAATAGAAAAACAACAATTCAGATAACTCATCGATTAAAATGTATAAGTAGGTACATCTATCTTCATCCACAAGAAATAAAACAGCGCCATGGAATAACCGACCAATCGATATCTAATAAATCAAACATATGTATAAGGCAAACAAAAAGAAAACAGATCATCCATGCATGAGATTGACATAAAAAAACTATAAAAACAATCATTACCTTCCTTATAACTTTTATCCCTATCGAAGAATTAAGCAGATCTAAGAAGCTCGAGCGGCGGCAACGGCTTCCTTGGGATCTTCATATTTATCCCAGTTGGCCAACACGTTGGCGATACGTGGAGAGCCGGTGAGCTTGTACACATCCTCGAAGTATTCCTTCGTGATCTCGAAAGGACGAGCGGTCACGTTGGGAATGTACTTGCCGATCAACTTGCTGGGGTCGATGGTGGTCTTGTTGATTTTCTTGAGCAAGAAGGATCGGAAAGGCTTGACACCCGAGCGCAAGAATGTGCTGTGGAAAGGAACATCGATACCGCGGAGAGGGATGGTAGCGAATCCACGCTCCAAGACGATTGGTTTGGGCTTGGCTTCGGTTTGCTTGACACACTCGTGGATGATTTGTACCAAGTGCTCCTTGACGTCTTCGAGAGACATTGTCTGCATGAGCGCTTGGATGTCAATCTTCTGTGCCTTGAGCACGTTCAATAGGTTTGTAAGAGTGTCGAGAGCACGCAACTAGATTTAAGTCAGCAGTGTACTAAAAACTTAGCTATTAGATGAACTTACATCTCCAGCAGCAACGTATTGCATGTTGGCCACGTTGTAGTTGACAATCTCCAACAACCAACCAGTAACCTCCGAAATGTTTTCAACACAGTACTGCAAAGCCTGCTCATTGAAGGTCTTGGAAATGCGGCTGGGGTTGACAGCGCACATCGAGTAGTTGGAGCGACCTTGTTCGTCACGTTCGACAGCGACTTGCATGGTCAAACCACGGTAGAACACGACGGATACCAAGCTCTCAATAGGCATGACCTCGGCAAGAGCGGCCAAAGCCGAGTACTCGCCAAGAGAGTGTCCAGCAAAGCTGCTGTCTCTCTGGACGAGACCCTTGGAGCGCATATCCTCGAAGCTGGCCTTCTCCATTAGGGTCAATGCAGGCTGGGTGAATTGAGTGGCAGACAAGAGACCTGCGGGAGATCGGTAGGTGTAAGAGTTGGTGTTCTCATCGACCTCCTTGAAGATCTTCTCGGACTTGATGGATCCATCGGCATTGACAGTCTCGAAAGTCATCGACATGTAGTTCTGTCGAATGGCTTTTCCTCGTGGACCACCAAAGTAGATGGTGAGCTCCTTGGGGTTGTTCTTCACAATGTCAATGATGGAGAAGCCGTAATTCTCCAAGAAGTGCTTGTCGGCACGGTCCCAAACTTCCTTTGCCACTTCGCTGCTAGCATAGAGATCCATACCCATACCTTGTTCCTGAGAGCCTTGTCCAGTGAAGACATACGATGAGACAGGCTGCTCAACTTCTGCTTCACCTTGCAATACCATCTCTTCGGTATCCTTGTTACGCACCTCAACCTTGACAATCTTGCGACCAGCAATCATACCAATGTGCTCAAGCTTCACGGCAATCGCATCGTTAGGTAGCACCATACCAACAAGGTTGACATGGAAGCTGCGGACACGGCCGATGTTGTTATCGGCAGCCCAAGTCTCAACTAAGCTTCGGACAGCAGCACTCGAGTACATTCCGTGAGTGATAGTGCCGGGCAACTTAGCATAGCTCGAGAACACACGAGAAACGTGAATCGGGTTGTAGTCACCAGACACACGGGCGTAGTTCTCATTAGAGGCAGGAGCACGGAGCTCGAGAGGCGTCTTTCCACTAAGAGGAATAGGGTTCTCGAAGTTGACTGGCTGTTCAATGGAGGAACCGTTGCGCTCAAGGTAATCGACGACGGGATTACCGTGAGACAGACCAGCCTCATAATCGACAGAGCCCACCTGGATGATTTCTTTGGTAGGCAACTCGAGGAGTACCTGACCGATGGTCTGGACGCTGCTGAAAACAGTCTTGTTCTTGAAACGAATAAGACTCTGGAGTCGGAAAGTCAAGGTCTGTCCGAGAAGTTCCACATCAGGTTCGTCCAAGCGGAACCATTCCTTTGAACGAAGAACAGCAATATCCTTTGTAGAGGTCAGATGTACTTGCATGGGAACCTCGTCTTTGCGCTGGAAAGTGTTCTCGTAGTCGTCATAGGTGCCTCTGTACAAGAACTGACTGGTGACATGCATGATCGGCTTGCCGTCGCGTTTGATGGTACCGCAGACTTCAACCATCTTACCCGAATCTTGGTTGATGACTGCGTTGATCTGCGCAGTAGTGTCAAGGACATCTCCAACCTTGAGAGGTTCAGCACCGGGAACCATTCTAAAACCGTTGGAAAGGTGGACTAGCTTTAGGAGGTCACCGTCAATTCTGCGCGGGAAGATGGGCTTGGTAATGGCCTTCCATCCTACAACAATAGCGAAGTCCATAGGAGCGTATGTGTCTTGACCAGGGCGGTTGACGAAAGCTTCACCGGTATTACCAACGGCGTGAACAAAGTCAGCAACAGCCTGAGCTGTAACAGTCTCACGACCACCATCAAAGATTGCAGTAATAGGAGTATCGAAAGGCACGTTCTTCTCTCCGAACCAGGCACGGTAGTAGAACTCCTTGATGCGGTCATTGCGGTGCTCCATAACCTCGTGGATTGGAGCATATCCAGTCTCGGGATGATATGTGAAGCGGAAAGTCAATGGAATGACAGTTCCCTCGGCAGTGCGACCCTCAAACATGGTAAGAGCAATCTCCTTTGGACCAATCAACTTGATCTCAACTGTCTTGACCAATTTCGAAGATTGACTAGGCTCCCTGACGCTAATGACGGTCTTTTCAGGATCCTCGGGAGACGCAATCTCGACATACAGACCTCTTGTTGGAGCGAGCAATCGTTTCAGAGGATTGGTCTCAAAGCGCTGGCCCTGAACAAAGACTTCTGTAGTGAAGAAAGCGTGACGCCATGAATAGTTCCTGCCGGCAAGAATCTGCATCCAGCTTTCAAGATCAGGAAGGGTGGCGGATGGGGAGCTCGAAAGTCGGTAAGTTGTCTTGTTGCCATCTTGAGAGACGGTCAGGCCATCAATCTCAGGCTCTTCAGCAAGGGGTTGAAGATGCTCTCCACCGAAGTACTCAATGACAGGAAGATCTTGCTCTTTTCCTGCATAAATGTCGCCAATAAGGGACTTGATATGTCCATTGTGAATGTTATCAAGAATTTCTTTGATAGGCTCATCGATTGTGTTGACGTATCTGACAGCCATAGGACCCTGTAGGATGGCAATTCGGCCAACGTCCTGACCGTAAACAGCTTCCAAGTCCTCCGATTGCCAGAGAGAGTCCTTCTTGAACCAGAATTCGAAATTCTCGTCAAGAGAAGGAACGAATGGCACAGGCTTCTGTCCACGACGCTGGCAAAGCAAGAGGAAGTGTTGCACATCCTGGGCATTGATCAACTGAGTTGACGCTTCTGGGTAAGCAGACAAAATCTTGTCAACTGTTGGATATGGCTGATCAATTTCGGAGTAGTTCTGGAGAAGAGAGGCTTKACCATCCTTGGAAGTGAAACGTTCCTCCACGCGGCGAAGAAAGTCGCCGGTGAGTTTCTTGAGACTCTGGTCAATCCAACGGGATTCGTGCTTGACGTACATCAGTTCAACCATACGGTGGACAACCTCAGTGTATGTCATGTCCTCTAGATCCACGGTCTCACCGGCAGAGTTGCGACCGAACCACACTTTCTGGAAATCATCGTTCAATTTTTTAATGATCCAGTCCCGGTTCTTCTTCAATTCGGGTATTCTCTTGGCCTTGTCAAGAGCGAAAATCTTCTTGTCCAACTCACTCCAGAAGAGCACACCACGGGTTGCGAGTTTGTGGATCGGTTCACCCATTTCGGACAAAACCGTGATAACACCTCCAGTAGGTTTCTGGTAGGTCTGTTCCCATTGGTCATCACCAACACCAGGAGCTGCAGCAATTGCTTTCTTGGCGTTGGGTGAAGTGTGAGCTTCTTTAGCAGTCATCATGCGACTACCGAACATGCAACCATCAAACGGCATGGGGGGGTAACCAAACTTGGAAGACCAAGCACCGGTGAGATAAGGATAGGTATCCTCAGAGCCACCGAAACCACTACCAGCAACCAAGACGATGTTACTGCATTTGCGAATACGGCCGTACATCGCCAAGATGGGTTGATGGAAATCTTCAAACGAATGGTGACCACCACCGCGACCACCAGTCCACTGAAGGATGACAGGGAATGAGGGGTTCGCTTTGGCGATGTTGATGACCTGCTGGATGGCGTCAGAAGAGCCGGGCTTGAAGGAGATGTGCTTGATGCCCAAAGTCTCAATGTACTCATTGGCGACCTCGATGGAGGGAACACCAGCACCAATTGTGAGACCCTCGATAGGCACACCGTCGGCACGGAGCTTTCCAATCAAAGGAATCTGCCATCCCATTGCACGAGGGTTGACGTAGATCAAATTGACAGTGATACCACGACCGGGAGGAATGGCCTTCTCAATCTTGGTGAGCGCTTCCGTCATAGATTTGGCGTTGTAGTAACCACCGCCTGCCAATTCAATGTGATAACCAGCGTTCATCGTGGCTGCGACGAAGTCCCAAGGAACTGTGGTAGGAGTCATACCAGCAACCATGACCGGTGGAACACCCAACAGTCTGCTCATCTTGGTGTCAACGTATGTTTGACCGACAGAGTTCTTCACGAGACGAGGTCCATGTTCCTTGACCCAGTCAACGGCGAACTTGACGGAATGTTCATCGCGGTCGAACAACTCGGGTTTGTAGCCGACTTCCGCATTTGTGCCGTCAAGGGCACCTCCAAGAATCACGCGGACGCCGGTGCCGTCCTTGTTGCGGTTTGTCAGGACACCCAAGCCGGAAATTCCTCCAGGTCCGAAATCAACGATGTGAGTAGCGCTGGGGAAAACGGTGGCTTGCTCCCAGTTCACAGGGTCACGGGTAATCATGCGCACGAGCTCGGGGATGATGTTCTTGTCGCCGATGGCTCGGAGGTCATCACCTGTCTTGGTATCGAAGACTGGGACGACCAGGGACTTGCCAGAAATCTCAATTCCTTCAACATCTTCCAAAATCTGGTCGTATGCCGAAGCCAAATAAGGACTGTGGAAGGGAGCAGTGATGGGGAGGAAGCGATTCACAAATCGAGTCTTGCGCTGGGTGAAAGGTACTCTGTTCTGGTCCAAGCCTGTTGGAGCCTTGACCTTTCGTAGACGCAAGTTCAAACCGTACAGAGAAATGGGAGGACCAGTGACGACAAAGTTTCGGGCACTGTTGACTAGAGAGATAGCAATGTGTCTGTCTTGAGGCAAATGTTGATTTGTGGCGTCAATATGTTCTTGCACAGCTGCACGTTGCAAATCGCGGATGGACAACATAGGAGTTGGAGTACCTTCGCCATTCTCAATCGAGTCTTGAAGAGTGGAAGGAGCAAGAGATGTTCGCGGGTAAGCTTGCTGACTGCGGAGACCGATCCAGAAAAGGAGAGTTATAGCATCCTTGGCAGCCTTTGCGAAGTCTTCCCATGTCTTTGCAGCCGCAATGGCAGCAGCAGTGACAACACCCTGCGAGTGACCCGTTGTTCCACTTATGCGCTCTAAAAGCTCGCCAGGTTGTCTACCCAAAACTTTGCAGGTCACCATGTAGTGTGCCAACTGTACCAAACCAATGAGTGGCAGACTGACAGGTGCTGACACGAGATAGTCGGTATCAGGCTGTGAGTCGCGGTCGTGAAGCCATTGTAAAACGTCCAGGCCTTTGGGGTAGAGTTTCACGGCGTCAGGGTCGCGTGAGAGGTTTTGGAGGAGTTCGGCTGTGGAAGAAACCAGATCCTCCACGAACGCAGGATAGGTGGTGTACACCTCTCGCAGTTCGTCGAAGTATTCTTCAATGTTGCCCTGACCACCGAAAACAGTATACACACTCGCAGTCTCGTCGGCGGCGGCGCGGAACAAGGCGGAGTCGTAAGGCTTTGTCGAACGACCTGCGGCCGCACGAGCAGCATAGTATCCCTTTACTACTGAAATCTTCTTGGCTGAAATTCCGGATAGTGTGGCGGCAACGGCATGAACGTCGTTTCCGCGCATAAAAGCTCGTTCGAACTCATTCAGAACCACTTTTAGCACTTCAAGGTTGGTGGGATGAGAGTCCTGGTCACCCTCGTCGACCTCTTGCGCCACATGGCCGACATATCGGGCCACTAATTCGAGTACTGAGGACGGCTCGTCGTCTTGAGCCAATTCATCTGTAGGTGGTGGCAACGACGCATTGAATGTGTCTTTCAGTTGCGCAGCCTGGAAGTGTAGAGATGTCGGGACGAGGAAAGAGAATTCGAGAGAGCCATGTGTGAGGTTAAGAGGGCGGAGAGATTGAGAGGAGCGAGGAGTATTAATGCCCGTCTGAGGGCCGGTAGATGTTCCGTACATCGCTGATTCATGCAAAGCGTAGCAAAGTTGAAATTAAAATATTGGTAATGATGACAAAAGGGAGAAAAGACTCGATCGTAATTCTGGACGAGTCAATGGTCAGTAAAAGAGAGCGCAAAGAAGCATTGGGGAGGGGAAGCAATTGCGAGCAACCACTTTTCTAGGACTTACTCAGATCTTGACAGAGAACTCCTTCAGCGTCCGCCAAAGCTGTTGGAGTCGACTGATGTCTATGTTATTAGACTTTGTAAAGATAAAATGATAATATGTGAAGAAACAAGACGTGGGAGAAAGGAAGGATTGTAAGATTGAGTCGGAGAGTAAGGGAAAAAAGGTTCAGGACGATAGCCAAAAGGGCAAGTGGCAGGCCACAGCGGAAGGAAGAGCTAAGTGATTACTCACGCTAGTACTTTTGGTCTGGCCTGACAATTGAGGCTGCTGAAACCAAGCGACCAAGCCAAATGTCAATAGGGAAGGGGCTACCGGGCAAACGGATGGGAAGGAAGGCAAGAAGGAGGCCGCTCTATTCCTTGGTGTTGTGTCTGTTTGTTCTGCTCCTGCCTTTTGACAAGGTCGCGCCTGCCGTTTCCCAATTTTTTTTTTCTCTGGTTGAGGGCGAAATTTGGAGCTGGTTGAACACCCACAAGCTCCAATCGGGCTTAGCGCACAGCGGATGCCCCCCCAAAGGCCAAACGGTTGGGCGGACCCAGCTCCCCATCGGCGCTGTGGTTGGCCGACTGGCGGCACCGTCCACATGGTCCGCTTAGTGGCCCTAGTGTCCCCTAACAATTTAGGGACTACATACTAACAAACAGTTGACACCGCTCCTAATAGTAGCTCCGAATTTGGATGGCAAGAGTTTACCAGCGATTTTGACATACCTTTGGAGCTGCAGCGGCATGTCTAATCGCCGAACGCTATCAGTATCAAACCATTGAGCCTTGACAGATAGCTAAGCAAGGGGTCCGTGGAAAAAAAGGCCCCAGGCTCCAAAAAACGCGGAATTATCGAATCATGCATTGTTAGACTCTCCGCTTATCCTATCGCGGTTAGCGCTCTGGATCGAAGCTTAGGGAAGCACAATCTGACCAATCATGTCATTTAGTTCATTCCGCGCTACTCCTCTTCAGGATCTAGCGGATACTCGAGTGCTGGCGGCCGGTCAACCTTCCACCCCAACAGTTGGCCTGGGCCCTTCCGACTGGTTCGTCGGGCTTGTCTCGGTCACGGCGTCGCTCCCAGCAGAAAAAAAAATACTGAAACGAGAAACGACAGCCTAGCAAAGACCGCCTGTCTCAACCTGCTCCTCCATCAGGAAGAAGAAGAAGAAGAAGAAGAAGGCATCGCTGCTTATTTCTGTCAAGGCACGGAAGTTATCTAATCGCCAATTGACTTCCCGCCTCTTTTCTCAAACCACTTTTTTGTGTCTATTCTCTGGTCTTATCCAGTCTTCCTTTATCCGTGGTTCACCCCCTCTGCAGCTTGACTCCTCATTTGCAATTGGAGCTGTAAATTTTATCTTCTTCTTAATAACCTTGCTCTTTCTTTACTCCTTTCTTCCAGCCGACCTCCTCGTCTCCTCTTCGATAGACGGTACCGTCAGCAAACCACTGATCACCAGAGTGTTCCTGCGCCAATTGTGACAGATTCATCGCTCTGTCATCTGGAACAGCTCTGCTGTGATTCATGTTTGCACCTTCGATTCCTTTTATTACGATTTAATATAATTCACGATGCGTCCTGAAGTCGAGCAAGAACTCGCCCACACCCTGCTGGTCGAGCTCCTGGCTTACCAGTTTGCGTCGCCTGTCAGATGGATTGAGACACAAGATGTGATTCTCGCCGAGAAACGGACGGAGAGGATAGTGGAAATTGGTCCAGCAGACACTCTTGGTGGCATGGCCAAGCGAACTTTGGCCTCGAAATACGAAGCTTACGATGCAGCCACATCCGTGCAACGACAAATCCTCTGTTATAACAAGGACGCCAAAGAAATTTATTACGACGTCGATCCCATTGAAGATGAGCCGGAAACACCAGAGCCTTCTGCAGAGTCCGGTTCGGCAGCCCCTACCGCCGCCGCTGCGCCGGCTGCTGCCCCTGTTGCTTCAGCTCCCAGCGCCGGTCCCGCCGCAATGGTTGAAGATACTCCTGTCTCAGCTACCGACATCGTCAGAACCTTGGTTGCACAGAAATTGAAGAAGGGCCTGACAGATATTCCCGTAAACAAAGCTATAAAAGATTTGGTTGGAGGTAAGTCTATTGCGAATATCTCACCCTGAATACAGACTGACTTTGCATCTACAGGAAAATCCACCTTACAGAATGAAATCCTCGGTGACTTGGGCAAAGAATTCGGTTCAACTCCAGAAAAACCAGAAGATACCCCTCTCGACGAATTGGGTGCCTCCATGCAGGCTACCTTCAACGGACAGCTCGGCAAACAATCTTCATCCTTGATTGCTCGTTTGGTGTCTTCGAAGATGCCTGGTGGTTTCAACATTACAGCAGTGAGGAAATATCTTGAGACTAGATGGGGTCTTGGTCCTGGAAGGCAAGATGGCGCCTTGTTGCTGGCATTGACCGCCGAGCCCGCTGCTCGTTTGGGCTCTGACGCCGATGCGAAGGCCTATCTCGACGGCATTGCAAACAAATACGCAGCACACGCAGGTATCAGCCTTTCATCACCTAGTGCCGGTGGTGATAGTGGTGCAAGCGGCGGTGGTGGCATGATGATGGATCCCGCTGCCATTGACGCTTTGACCAAAGACCAGCGCGCCCTGTTCAAACAACAGTTGGAGGCTATTGCTCATTATTTGAAGCTTGACTTGCGTGCGGGCGACAGGGCTCACCTTGCTTCCGTCGAGTCTTCAAAGGCTCTCCAGGCCCAGTTGGATCTCTGGCAAGTCGAGCATGGCGATGTCTATGCCTCTGGTATTGCGCCCTCTTTCGACTCGCTTAAGGCCCGTATCTATGACTCTTCCTGGAACTGGGCTCGACAAGACGCATTGAGCATGTACTACGACATCATTTTTGGAAAGCTCCGAGTTGTCGACCGAGAAATTGTTAGCCAGTGTATCCGTATCATGAACCGCTCCAACCCATTTCTCCTTGATTTTATGCAATACCACATCGACAACTGCCCCACCGAGCGAGGCGAAACCTATCAGCTCGCCAAGGAATTGGCAGAGCAACTCATTGAGAACTGCAAGGAAGTCCTCGGTCATGCTCCCGTCTACAAGGATGTTGCCATTCCAACTGCTCCACAAACAACCATTGACTCACGCGGTAACATTTCATACGAAGAAGTGCCTCGTGCAAGTGTTCGCAAGCTTGAGCATTATGTGAAGCAGATGGCTGAGGGCGGTCCTATCTCGGAGTACAGCAACCGAACAAAGGTCCAGAACGACCTCAAGAGCGTTTACAAACTCATTCGTAAACAGCATCGCCTGTCGAAATCTTCACAGCTCCAGTTCAACGCTTTATACAAGGATGTCCTCCGTGCCCTTTCCATGAACGAGAGCCAGATCATGCCTCAAGAAAATGGACACGCCAAGAAAGGCCGTATCAGCAAGCCTAATGGTACATTGCGTCCTGGAAAGGTTGAGACTATTCCTTTCCTTCATCTCAAGAAGAAGGATGACAACGGCTGGGAGTACAGCAAGAAGCTGACCGGAGTCTACTTGGACGGTCTCGAATCTGCTGCTCGCCAAGGTATCACTTTCCAGGGAAAGAATGCTCTCATGACCGGTGCTGGCGCTGGATCCATTGGAGCCGACGTTCTTCAAGGCTTGATCAGCGGTGGTGCCAAGGTTGTGGTCACTACCAGCCGCTTCTCTCGTGAAGTGACAGAATACTACCAGAGCATGTACGCAAGATACGGTGCCCGAGGCTCTCAGCTTGTTGTGGTTCCTTTCAATCAAGGCAGCAAGCAAGACGTTGAAGCACTTGTCGACTACATCTATGACTCCAAGAAGGGTCTTGGTTGGGATTTGGACTACGTTGTGCCATTTGCTGCCATCCCAGAAAACGGTCGTGAAATCGACAGTATTGACTCCAAGTCTGAACTCGCCCATCGTATCATGTTGACCAACTTGCTGCGTCTTCTCGGTTGCATCAAGACCCAAAAGCAAGAGCATGGGTACGAGACACGACCTGCTCAAGTCATTCTTCCTCTTTCCCCCAACCACGGTACCTTTGGAAACGACGGTCTTTATTCCGAGTCCAAGTTGGCATTGGAGACTTTGTTCAATCGATGGCACTCTGAGAGCTGGGCCAGCTACCTCACCATCTGCGGTGCAGTCATTGGCTGGACGCGTGGAACTGGTCTCATGAGCGCCAACAACATGGTTGCCGAAGGTGTCGAGAAATTGGGTGTCCGCACTTTCTCTCAGCAGGAAATGGCCTTCAACCTTTTGGGTCTAATGGCTCCCGCAATTGTCAACCTTTGCCAGACGGAGCCAGTCTTTGCGGATCTCAACGGTGGCTTGCAATTCATTCCAGACTTGAAGGATCTCATGTCCAGGTTGCGTAATGAGATCATGGAGACTAGCGCTGTTCGCCAAGCTGTCATTAAGGAGAACGCTATCGAGAACAAGATCGTCAACGGCGAAGACAGMGAGGCCCTTTACAAGAAGGTTGTTACCGAGCCTCGCGCCAATCTTAAGTACCCTTTCCCTGAGCTACCAAGCTGGGATGAAGAAGTCAAGCCTCTTCACGAGCAGCTCAAGGGCATGGTCAATCTGGACAAGGTGGTCGTTGTTACCGGCTTTGCCGAGGTTGGACCTTGGGGAAACTCCCGTACTCGATGGGAAATGGAAGCATACGGCAAGTTCTCATTGGAGGGATGTGTTGAAATGGCCTGGATGATGGGTTTGATCAAGAACCACAACGGACCTTTGAAGGGCAAGCCGTACTCTGGATGGGTTGATGCCAAGTCGGGCGAACCTGTGGATGACAAGGACGTCAAAGGCAAATATGAAAAGTACATCCTGGAGCACTCTGGCATTCGTTTGATCGAACCTGAACTGTTCAACGGCTACGATCCCAACAAGAAGCAGCTTCTTCAGGAAGTTGTTATTCAAGCCGACCTCGAACCCTTTGAGACCTCCAAGGAAACTGCCGAGGAATTCAAGCGCGAGCACGGTGAGAAGGCTGAAATTTTCGAGATTCCCGAGTCCGGCGAGTACCTGGTCCGCCTGAAGAAGGGTGCCAACCTGATGATTCCCAAGGCCTTGCAATTCGACCGTCTTGTGGCTGGKCAAGTTCCTACTGGTTGGGATGCTAAGAGATACGGTGTTCCAGAGGACATCATTGACCAGGTTGATCCTGTTACCCTCTATGTGCTTGTCTGCACTGCAGAAGCTTTGCTTTCATCTGGTATCACCGATCCTTATGAGTTCTATAAATACGTTCACTTGTCTGAAGTCGGTAATTGTATCGGTTCCGGTGTCGGAGGTACATCTGCCTTGAGAGGTATGTACAAGGACCGATACCTTGACAAGCCTGTTCAGAAGGATATCTTGCAAGAGTCGTTCGTCAACACTATGGCCGCTTGGGTCAACATGCTTTTGCTTTCATCCACTGGACCTATCAAGAGTCCTGTTGGTGCATGTGCCACGTCTGTTGAGTCTTTGGATATTGGTTACGATACTATTGTCGAAGGCAAGGCTCGTGTCGTCCTGGTCGGTGGTTTTGATGACTTCCAGGAGGAGGGCTCATACGAATTCGCCAACATGGGTGCTACCAGCAACGCAAAAGAAGAATTCAAGCGCGGACGTACTCCTCAAGATATGTCCCGTCCAACATCTACTACTCGTAATGGATTCATGGAATCTCAGGGTTGTGGTATCCAGGTTCTCATGACTGCCCAGCTGGCTCTCGACATGGGTGTACCCATTTATGGTGTCATTGCCATGTCTGGCACAGCTACTGATAAGATTGGGCGTTCCGTCCCAGCTCCTGGTCAGGGTGTGCTTACTGTTGCTCGCGAAAACCCCGGCAACTTCCCTTCGCCTTTGCTTGACATCAAATACCGTCGTCGCCAGTTGGAGATGCGTCGTCAGCAGATCAAGCAGTGGCAAGAGTCCGAAGTGCTTTATCTTCAAGAAGAAGCCGAAGCACTCAAGAGCCAGAGCCCAGAGTCATTCAAGGTTGCCGAGTACATGCAAGAGCGGGCTGAACATATCCAACGTGAAGCTATTCGTCAAGAGAAGGAAGCCCAAAGCAGTCTTGGCAACGAATTCTGGCGTCGTGACCCTCGCATTGCTCCTCTGCGTGGTGCATTGGCTACCTGGGGTCTTACTATTGATGACCTTGATGTTGCCTCTTTCCACGGAACATCGACTGTTGCCAACGACAAGAACGAATCTGATGTCATTTGCCAGCAATTGACTCACTTGGGACGTAGTAAGGGTAACGCTGTCTTGGGTATCTTCCAGAAGTACTTGACCGGTCACCCCAAGGGTGCCGCTGGTGCATGGATGATGAACGGCTGTCTCCAGGTCCTCAACAGCGGTCTTGTTCCGGGTAATCGTAACGCCGACAACGTTGACAAGGTCATGGAGAAGTTTGACTTGATTGTCTACCCAAGCCGAACAATCAAGACGGACGGTGTCAAGGCATTCTCCGTCACCTCTTTCGGTTTCGGCCAGAAGGGTGCTCAAGCCATTGGTGTCCATCCTAAGTACCTCTATGCCACCTTGGACAAGGCTCAATTCCAATCCTACCGCAACAAGGTTGAGGCACGTCAAAAGAAAGCTTACCGTTACTTCCACAATGGTATGATCAACAACACCCTCTTCCGTGCCAAGAGCAAGGCTCCATATGAGGACAACATCCAGAGCAAGGTCTTCCTCAACCCCGACTACCGCGTCAGCGTGGACAGCAAGACTGCTGAGCTCACCTACCCCGCCACCTTCTCGCCAACACCTACCACTCCTGTAGTCGAATCTGAGAGTACCCGCAAGATTGTCGAAACTCTCGCCGCCGCCACGGCCGGTCCGAACTCGCAAGTGGGCGTCGATGTGGAGGATGTTGACGCCATCAACATCGATAACGATACCTTTGTTGAGCGCAACTTCACTGAGCGTGAGCAAGTATACTGTCGCAAAGCGCCAAACCCTCAAGCCTCGTTTGCGGGTAGATGGAGCGCAAAGGAAGCTGTCTTCAAGTCTCTTGGTGTTCAATCCAAGGGCGCTGGAGCCCCGTTGAAAGACATTGAAATTATCAACGATGCCAATGGCGTTCCCACTGTTACTGTAAGCTTTCTTTCTATTCTTCCCTTTTACCACCTTACTAATTACGAGAATAGCTCCACGGATCCGCCGCCGAAGCCGCAAAACTCGCCGGCGTCAAATCAGTGAACGTGAGCATCAGCCATAGCGAATCCCAAGCTATCGCAGTCGCCGTTTCCAAGCTCTGAATAATTCTTTCCATCCAAATGAATAGATTTTAATATTTCATGTCCTTGTTCTTTTTAATGCTTTTATAATGAGCGATGACTTTTTTTTTCATAATTTTCCACCCTCATCATGTCTATTTATCGAGTCAACTATGTGTTTTGTATGTTCGTTTGGGGGTGTGCATGTCTGTGTGTGTATGTCTGTTCTGTGGAAACGTGAATGTAAAGGAAAATAATTAGAAGTGGTGGGATAACATAGAATTGACGATGATGTATACATTCAAGATACTCCTGTTTCTAAAGGTTGTACTAATGGAGATAGGTTCTTGTACCAATATCGAATTCCCACCTTGCATCTCTGATCAAGATCATTCCATACGTATAAACCCAGGTAACTACTCGTTTCATACCACCCCAGGAGTGCCTTTCTACAATACCCATCGTTCTTTTCCTCAGCTTGTAGATCAGGAGTATTCCAGCCTCGTATTCATTATCTTGTTTTCTATTTACATATCAAACAACGACCACCAAGCTCTCAGCCTTGTTCGGTCATGAAATTGATTCGGCACAGTCGCGGCCGCGAGAACGCCTCGAGAACAGCATGAATGTGCAGGGGATGCCTACTAGCTTGACGTCGCAGCATGGCAGGGTAGGTTTGATTGTCCAATTGTATACAGCTCTTATATATTGGACCTAAATGAACACAATCTAGCTTGATAAAAGGGGGCTTCCCGTCTTTCGACGTGCAGGTTACAGCCTTGTTTCCATGATTATTCCAGGGGCTCATCTACTACAGACTTTCAATTTTCCCCCATCTTTTCTTTTGCTTTGCCTTTTCTAGAAATCAGCGGACATCCCCAATGCTTCATGTGCTTTTGAATGATAAGCATGGCAGCAGACAGTCGTGACAGAAGCAATTTTATCAATACGGTAGCATGGGATGCTGACAACCCATGCATGAAGTACATCGAAGCCTGGAGTATCGAAAACACGAGTAAGTAGAGTTGTGTCCGGTACAGTCAGTCTCTTCTACAAGGCCATCTTCTTACATTCAATCTGTCTGTACAAACAAGACGCAATAAACGACGACAACTATCGCGAGCAGTATCTACGAAACGATCAAGAAGTCAATGACTGGCTAGAGCACACAGCCGACCCCGTCGCTAAGCAAGTCGGTAAACGAAGCGTTATCAATGGGGGTATTCGTCTGCTCATCTGCGAACGGCTGGAATACAGTCCCCCGGGATTTAGGATGAGTCGGTCGTCATTTCTGGCGGTTGAGAGAGCCTTCGGACTGCCGGGTGATACTCTCGCTGTGCTAAGTAGTAATGCCGGGGAGCATTCTGTCAAGTTCATCAACCTCTCAACAAAAGGTCGCGATTCAATTGGTGAGGGGGCATTCTATTATGCACCAAGGAGAATGAAGCTCCCTCGCTAACTCCAAGCCGTCAATGTTTAGAGATCATGCTCAAAGTACCTCAGATGTATCAAGTCGGGAACTTTGGTCTGGTATTGTCTCATTCGTTCAAGACGGGGATGACATCTGCATTCTTGCATGGTGGGAATGTTTTGACAGACATTAGCTATGCGACTCGCCAAGGAGTCGAGCCTCATCTCTCACACATCCGAAGACTGATTCAGTCAAAGATTGAGCTTTGGAGGCATCCGCTGCTCTTACCCGTCATTTTACTGAAGGAGCATTTATCTAAAGCTAGTTTCTTCAAGGGTTTCACTCTTCTACAGATTACCACGAAAGTTGAAAAATCACTCGGTGTCACCAAGACTGGGCGTCTCACGAAGCGCTCACCGGGGCGAGCTGTTGATGACGATGATGGCTTCCAGTACAGAAAATTAGAGAACGAGACAGAACGAGTCCAGCTGACTACGACAATCAACACGACCCTCACGGACGTTATCAGTTTCTCTGGAGTGCTCAAATGGGATCGTCGATTCTGTCAGTTCTTGATCAGGACATGTCATCGGCTGGAAGAATTGAATATTCATCATATGACTGAATCAAATCAGAAGCTACTAGAGTGGCTCSATGCACTCGAAGGCGGGATTGAGTCAAATGCAGAGCATGCAGAGACGCTCAGGGCAAAGTTGGAGATACAGCTCAGTGTGGTATTTGGCATCTTTCAAAAGCAATGATTAATAACGGGAGAGAAAAGGCTGATACTATCGCGTATCGAAACAGCTGTACAATTTCGTAACACAGGCTGATAGCAGTCTTAATTCAGAACTCGCTGCTCAAACAGTACTTGACAGCGCCGCGATGAAGACGCTTGCGTTCGTGACAACGCTTTTCTTGCCTCCAACATTTGTCGCGGTGAGCAATTACCCTATATGCGAACTTGGATTTGCATACCATACTGATTCTCCAAATGGGCCTCTAGACACTACTCAGCATGTCAATGTTCGACTGGCAAGCATCTTCGACTGCGTCAAACATTTCCCAGCAAGGAGGAGGAGGGGCAGGGGTGATCGTCTCTCATTTCTGGATATACTGGGCTGTCACCGTGCCCCTGACTCTTGTAGTTCTCGTTGGATGGAGGATATGGTGGCATCGTCAAAAGGAAATTTATAAGCGTACATATCCACGTACTAAGAAGTTGGAGGCATAGGATAGGCAAAATTGTGCGTTCAATGAACGTTGCATAATCCCCTGGCGTTGATATCTTCAATGCCTGGCACATTTAAAGATCTAGTTCCACAGAAATGAAGGATTGTATGGGAGTACACATATAATCGGTCCTATTGATGTGTGTACATTGCTAGTACAACTTTGAAGGATGAAAAAAGGGAGGGATTGTTGTATCAAATAAGATTGATTTTCCTCTCACAGCATCTAATCAACATCATCCACTCATACGTACTATATTCATACAAATATCTTTGCATCTGCTAAGCCAGCGAAACACTACCGCCCCGTCGCCATTCTCATAGGTCCCCAATTCACCTCAGGATTGAGCGGATACCGCGCCACTTTCTTCTTATTCCTGAATTCGGTCGAGAACTTTTTGCCTAGAGTCTCGTCGAAATTTATAGTCAATGTGCTCGGGTGCGGTCTCTCTTCTTTCGCAGCCGACTCGGCACCAGGAGCGGTTGCTCCTGCAGCTGCAACAGCAGAGGCAGAGCCAGGACGACCCTTCCGGTACAGAGCAGCCTCAATCCTCGTCGTGAGATCAGCCACATCCTTCCCATCTCGAATCGCAGTCTCAAGTTCCGTCTTCAATGCATCAAGTGCACTGCTCTCCGCGAATTTTGATCTATCCTTCTTCATAATGCCTGCACCCGCACTACCGGGCTTATATCGCTCTCGATTCGCCTCCTTCCCTAATGGCGGCGCATCTTGACGCAGCCATTCGCGCATGATTTCCCAAAGTACGTCCCACGGTGCGTCGGTGCGGACGCTGTTAGGTCTTGTGTGGCTGCGCGTTGTGCGATAGCCCAAACCGTGTAACGCGCCTCGGAACAGGTCGATGGGAACTGTCTGAGTATGCAGCACTTTCGCAAGCGCACTGAGACTGACGAAAAATGGGTATTTCTCTTTGAGGGCTGGCGAGAGGCGAGGGATTACAGGTGTTAATTCTTCTTGTTTTCGCTCCTCTTTCGCTTCTGTCGTTGCGTCCTCGGTCTCGGATCCCTGAGGAGTAGTAGCTAGATCTAGATCTTCCTCCAACGCGGTCGTCAACATCCCCTCGATTCGGTACAAGGTACGATACGCCTTTGGATCGACCTCGGGTATCAAATCCAGGATCTTTTGGATGAAGTGAGGATTGTGCAACGGTCCTCCCCACATAGGACCGGCTAAATGCGTCTTGAATCCGCAATGCTCGCAATACGGTGTTGCCGTGGGAGCCTGTCCCAGGCAATAATTGGTATGCTCTTTACCATCCTTGGCCGTTTTGACCTTGGTGCTGGTCAAATACTGTGTAGTCCAGGCGCCGCAGCCCGAATCACAGCTATACACTAGCATCGTGGTGCTAGACAAAGCCTTGACTTCGATGGGTGACTTGTGAACGCGCACAAAGACTCGAGCGTAGTAATCGATGGACAAGGAGAGAAGAGGCTCGATAGCCAGGCCGTATTTAGATGCTGAACTGGTGATGGCATGAAGGATAAGTCGGAGCCCAACTTCGTGTCCATGCGGTAACCGCACGGGAATGCCGCCGTACATCGCATACGTCTTTTCGGGGAATCCAGTTGACGCAAAGACTCCTGCATCCGTGCACGTGACGCACAGCATACCTCCGTCGTTGACTGCTTGCACTGCGGCGTCTAGGAACATGCCAGCGGTGCCATAGGGATCAAGGTCAATGACGTTGAACTTCTTCCCGTTTCCGTCGCTTGTGTGGTTTTCGCCTTGGAGACTGTACATGTATGCCCGCGCATCGCCGACGTTGGGTTGGACGATGTCTTCGACTTCATTATATTTGATGTTGAGTTTGATAGCTTCCACGGCCGCCGACGACAAATCATTCGAAACGATTCTTGTGGCTTGGGGAATTTCTTTCGCATATCGCAATGCTCTCAGACCGGTGGCAGATAGGGCATCGAGGATCTGAAACCTCACTGGCTTTGTCGTCGAAGCAGAATCAACTTCCGTCTCCGGAGGTGCCGCCACAGCCGCCGACACAACCTCATCCGCACCCTGCTCTTGTCCCTCACCATGATGCTTCTTCGTCACCTCCCCCTCACCCTCACCAGCGACAGCACCATCCCCCTCTTCCCCTTCCTCTCTCTTCCTCTTTTTGCTCTTATTCTTTCTTCTCAGCTTCTTCTTCGCAATCTGCTCCTGTATAACCGCAACATGATGATTCGCAAATACTTTTATGGCAAGCACACTCAAATCACGATTGAACTGCTGAATCGGGTTGTAGAACACCGAGGCTTCTTGTTCAAATCCGCTGCCGCGGGGCTTGATTTTTGATGGTTCGTTCTTTATGGGTTTGAGGATCGTTGCTAGGCCTTCTTGCACGGGTTCATAGTTTTTGCCGTTGATTTCGACTGTTTTGGAGGGTTCTGTTGGCGTTGGCGATGGCGCTGGCGCCTCGTTGGTAGCCATTGCTCTTACAGAGCAGTAGTTGAGGGCTTGGAAATGCTTTCGCCGGGGGGTATTTGTGGCTAACTGGATGTGTGTACGGAACAGAGCATTGATATCAAGAGATACTCGCTTCATTAGCCTACCATGCCTGTGAAGCCTGTCGCGGGATAAATTTGTCGGAAGCCATCGATAACCGATGGAGAAATATTTTGAGCGCACGGACCACTTATATCATTCTATCATTTTGCATGTGGAATATACAACATCACCTTTCAATATATTGTTATTAGTATATTACATTAGTCTATTTATTATATATACTGACATGCCACATTCCATCATAAGCATGAAACAAAAGAAATCCCCTACAACCACTCCCCAATAACAGGCACACTTGAATACAGCTTATCCCAGCCCGTCACTTCCCAGCTCGAGCCCGATCCGGCTCTTCCCACAATCCCCAGCGCACCAGCCAGCCAGATAGCCGCCGTAAGCCCTGCAATGCCATGTACAAGCCATTTGTTTCTTCTCCGCCTATCCCGCTCTTCCCGCGTCTCGCCAAGTATGCCCGCAGTCTTGGAGATTGAGCCTCTCTCTGTTCGAATCGTTGTAACTCTGATGCCCATCCACGTCGCAAGCCCGCCTACTAAATGCCACACGCTCGTAGCGACAAACAAGATATAAAAAAGATTCCAGAAATAGGGACTGCGCGCAAATCCGTGCGCGACATAACCCAACCCAACGCTCGAGCTGCCGCCGTCGACTTCAAGAGGGATAATCCGATTGACGCCCACGTGCAGACCCAAAAGCGGGATCATGGCATAACCCAATTTGGCTTGGAGACTCGGCACAGGCCAGGACTTAATCTGATAGCGCTGACTGCGTCGTTCGGCGCCGTACTTTTTGGCGCGTCTACGGGCCCGAATGCTGCGCAATGCGATTCCAGAGACGATATGTGCGACGATGGGGAGTGCTACCATGACAGGTTCGAGGGAGGGGGATTGATAGATTGGTCGCGTGAGCAGGAGGAACGAGTCGCTTGAGGGAAGTGAGCGCGTGGCAAGAGGGATGAGCGAAGTATTGACGGCATGTAACGCAAAGAAGACTGTAGGCGGATACGTCGAGTATCGTTGAACCGCCGAAACTGTATGTTGCAACACAGCCGTTAGTTTGCCATATGGCATATGCAAGGTGTAGATCCGTCAAGACGGATGATTGGATGAACTCACGCCAATAATCCCAACTATGTGGCTTGAGGCCTATACGCGAAATGCCAAAAGATCGAGGTTGTCCCGCAGCCGTGCTCATCGGCTCAGGGAAGTAGTCCCCGGTTTCGATATCGGGTGGATCATCGTCGACGGGCGAAGGCTCTAGCTCTTGCATGGACAGTATTGAGCGGGTGTCGATTGTATCGACGGCAGACAGGAGGCTGTCTGTTCTCGTTGGTCTGGCCATGATAACTACTAAGTAGCAGTCAGGTCGTTGATCGTTCGGGATCGGACTTTCAACGCGGCCTTGGGAGTAGTTCGGGTGGAAAAGAAACAAGTGGAAAAGAGAATAAGAGAAATGAAATGAAACGTTATTGAATTAATAAGTGTATATCGTATCACATTAAAAAGACATGGTGAGAGGCCAACACAGAGAGTGAGGATAGTATAAGCCAGAGGATGAAAGTCAGGAGATAAATATAAAAACAGGAACTGGCTGGCCGTGATTGGTTGCGTCATCCCAGCAGCCATCGAGCTCGCTGATTGGCTGAATAACCAGATAATTTATATGAAAATAACATTCATGTGTACTCCGTATAAACAGACAAGATCAAGAGGTATATCGGCCGTATCGAGAGTACTCTACTTCTCTAGTCGAGAATTCCGAGACTACCGCGAAAGACGAGTTGGCCTTCTGGACGGCATTTCACTGAAGAGGAAGTCGCGTCACCCAGTCAATTGAAAGCAATAGAAAGAATAAAGGTGTAAGATGCAAATCGAAATAATATCAGCAAGGTTACTATCATGTAATAAAGAGCTTTCACATAACGTAGTTGCAATGTTGTAGAAAAAGAGCTGACTGACTTCTTATCTTATCTGATTGATCTAGGCGGGTAACTACATTTCTTCTTGACATCAACCCGTCAACCACGAAACTACAACTTTTCAAGCCGCGTATTTGTTATTAAAAGTATACAGCATGGCGCCTGTAAGTATATTCTTATCTCAACTTAAAAAATAGAGAGAAAGACCGAAAGACTAACTCATCCATCAGCGCGGCTTCACCAACCCAGCTCCAAAGGTACCTCTACCTTCAACTCCCATATTGCGATCTCACAACTAACTACTAAAAAAACAGACAGATTCAGCCCGCTCAGCCCTGAGCGCATTCACATGCACCCTCTGCAACAAATCCTATTCCCGCCACCCGGAATACGAAGCGCACATCGGCTCCTACGACCATCAGCACCGCAAACGTCTGCAGGACCTCAAACAACTCTCTCGAGACCCCAATGCGGCCGAGCGAGCACGCAAAGCGGAACGGAAAGCTGATGCGGAGGCGGGGTTGGTGAGGGTTGATACTAGTACATCTTCTGCGGCGGGGACGACGACAACGATAACAGGAGGAGGGGGAGGGGGAGGGTTTAAGAAAGGTGGATTCAAGAGCTCGTTCACGACGGTGAAGGGACCTGCGGGATCTGCGTCGAGTACGGCGGCGCCGGTGCGGAAGAATGTTCTTGGTGGTGATGACGACGACGAAGATATGGTCGATAACACGAACAAAACGAATGCGTCTGGACCTTCTCCAGCGACGACGAATAGCACAGAACGGAAAACACTAGATACAGATGTTGAAAGCGATACGGATGATGAGTATAGGAATGACGACCCAGAGCAGGCTTATTATGATCCCTCGAAACCGACTGGGTGTTTTGATGGCTGTCCCGGGATGAAAGCTGTTTCTGCGTAATCACAACTTACTACTTCGATTCTTGTATATACTTTCGACTTTTATGCTCGGAGTCTGGCGTCTCTCATGATATCCTTATTTACATCCACCAATAGACAAAGTCAAACATAGTCGTACAATTCTAGAATTGGCTAAAGAGTAAAGTTGACAAAGGAAAAAAGTGCTCTAACAATATGTGACACGTGACAAAATTAGATGTTTAGATGGAAGAAAAAACCCTCCCAATGAGACCTGTTTTCTCTTCCAGTCTACATGAAAAGCGGCTTTTGAAAAATTACAATCGGAGAAGCTTGACGGCCTGGCCGACAATGGTATCAGGCTGAGGGAAGCTCATCTCCTCGAGCTTCTGGGCATATGGAGTGGGCACGTCGGCACCGGTGACACGCACGGCGGGAGCGGTCAAGTAGTCAAAGCCGTACTCCATGGCGACGGCGAGAAGCTCGGAGCTGACACCATACATGGGGAAACCAGACTCAACAGCCATGAAACGACCGGTCTTCTTGATGGACTTGATGATGGTCTCGACGTCGAGAGGCTTGACGGATCGGAGGTTGATGACTTCAGCATCGACTCCGTATTTCTCCTTAAGCTCAGTAGCGGCCTGGAGGGAGAGACCGACGCATCGGGACAATGTAACAATGGTCAAATCTTTTCCGGGGCGCTCAATCTTGGCCTTTCCGATAGGCAAGACAAAGTCGCTCTTGCGAACCTCCTCGCTCACGGGGAAGGACTGGCCGTAGAGAAGCTCGTTCTCGAGGAAAACGACAGGGTTGGGGTCACGGATGGAGGCCTTCAACAAACCCTTGGCGTCCTCGGCGCTCCAGGGGGCGACGACCTTCAAACCGGGGATAGCTCCGTACCAGGCAGAGTAGTCTTGCGAGTGCTGGGCAGCGACACCGGCAGCGAAACCGTTGGGACCACGGAAGGTGACGTTGCAGGGCTGGATACCTCCGGACATGTAATGGGTCTTGGCGGCGGAGTTGATGATCTGGTCGATAGCTTGCATGGCGAAGTTGAAGGTCATGAATTCACACTATGTCAGTCAGAAATTAGCATCGTAAGGTATGTAAGAGGTGACTGGCACTTACGACAGGGTGCAGACCAGCCAAAGCAGCACCAACGGCCAAACCGGCGAAACCAGCTTCAGTGATGGGAGTGTCAATAACACGCTTGGGTCCGAAACGGTCAAGAAGACCTCGAGTGACCTTGTATCTATTCATGTCCGTCAGCTCCATCTCGCTGAAGAGAATCCGCCACCGTTCTCAGTACATACGCTCCATTGTATTGCGCAACTTCCTCTCCCAAAACGAACACCTTCTCGTTGCTCTCCAATTCCTCAGCAAGAGCCTCGTTCAGAGCATCTCTGACGGTCATCTCTTTGGAAGCCTCGGTGGCATATGTACGGCGGGKTGAGATGGACTGAGCAGCAGCAGCAGGCAATCGGAAAGCTGGGCGAGAAATTGGGGCTGCAATGCGCGACTGAAGAAGACGACCGGCAGGTCGGAGAAATCGGGGAGCAGCCATTGCGCTGTTTGTATTGTGAATTAAAAGGGAGATAAAAGGAAGGAAAGAAGACACAACAAGAACAAATTGAGCGAGAATGGGCAATGCACCCTGAGCGATGAGCGATGGTTGATGAAATGAAGTTTTGGAGGACGGGAAACTATCGGACCGGAACTCTCAGCGAACAAAAGATTTTGGCGTGTAACAAATTAAGAATGCGGATTACCGTACGGAACACCGACCGGGTTGGTCTTGTTGGGATTCCGCTCACCGGCGCCTCTCTCGGTGTGAGATGCCGTATTGTCCGTACCGTAATTTTGCTTATCATCTTTACTCCGTCTCCGTATGTTCAACAAACACTCTCACGGAATTGCTTCATGATCCATCTGTCGCCAGCATCCCTCTCTATTGACGGAACATTCGTATGAGGTCTGTAGTAATCCAACTGCCTTCTCACGCACGCCGAGTGTATCGACTTGTTTCAAGCTCCTAATATAGAGTAGACAACTGTTGGTAGGAATCGTTGCCGTGGAATCCACAGGAGAATATATTTTGTCCACTCGAGAGATGCACAAGAATCCAATGTCTCTCCTCCACGCCCATAATATACAGCCAGACCGTACAGACCCCATGGCGCAAGAATAGAGATAGTGTATCCTAGAGAGATGTGTATAGCGTAGCCAAGGAGGAAGCTGGTGACTCGATCAGCTGCCTGTCTGCCCGCTAGCCAATCAGGTGACTCACAGCTGCGTACCTTCCGAGCTCGAATGTATCACAACATCGCTCCTCTTCTTGTACCACCTCTTCTGTTCTATTATCCTCATCATTCATGCTGAATGACAAGCCTGTTGGCATACACCACAACTGAACACCTCTGAACACCTCACCGTATAAGCCAGCATTCAAGATGGTTGCAAGCAGCTTGCTGCTCGGCGCGCTTCTGACTCTATCTCAGAATGTATACGCTGCACAGCCTGGATCTGCAAGCCCTTTACCAGCAAAGCTTAGAGATATAACATGGGGAAAACTCAATTTCCTGCATACAACTGACACACATGGCTGGCTGGCCGGTCATCTACAAGAGTGAGCCGTGCATTCCTGTAGATACAACGAACTTGACTAACAACTAATTGGCAAGACCATCATATAGCGCTGACTGGGGCGACTACATCTCCTTTGCATCACGCATGAGGGATATAGCTGAATCGAAAGGCTCAGATCTACTGGTCATCGATACCGGAGACCGCGTTGAAGGAAACGGTCTTTACGATGCATCAAACCCCAAGGGCAAATATCTCTACGACATTTTGAAACAACAGCACATCGATCTTCTTTCTTCTGGAAACCATGAACTCTATAAGAAGAACACCTCGGAAGCAGAGTTTCTCACTACAGTCCCCAGTTTTGGAGATAGCTATATCGCTTCTAATATCGATATCATTGATCCTCGTTCGGGTGACTTGGTACCGCTAGGCCCCAGGTTTAGGAAACTAACGACCAAAGTGCAAGGATATCGTATCATGGCTTTTGGATTCTTGTTTGATTTTACTGGAAACTATAACAATACAAAAGTTCAACGTGTTCAAGATACGGTCAAGGAGACGTGGTTTCAGGAAGCCATCCGGGACGAGGACATCGATCTTTTCATTGTATTAGGACATGTCCCCGTACGGTCTGAAGAATACGAAGTAGTGCACAGAGAAATCCGAAATGTGCGAAGCAACATTACTATACAATTCTTCGGCGGCCACTTTCACATTCGTGACTATGCCAGATATGACACGCAGTCATCTGGTCTCGCAAGTGGCCGGTTTATGGAGACCATAGGTTTTCTCTCAATCGACGACGTAAAAAGCTCGACACCAAACTTTAGCCGAAGATATATCGACAATAACTTGTTTTCTTACTACCACCATACAGGTCTCAATGAAACAAGCTTTCCGACGAATCATGGCCGGAATGTTTCACAAATGATACAGCAGGCTAGACATGCTCTTGATCTGGACTTTGTACATGGCTGCGCGCCTAAAGACATCTGGGTAGACCGCACTCCATACCCGGGCGATGACAGTATTTACACATGGCTGGAAACCGAGGTTCTTCCCCAATCAATTCGAAACCCTTCCCGTGACGGGAAGTCAGCTTTCGCAATTGTCAATACTGGAGCTATTAGATTCGACATTTTCAAGGGCCCATTTACCCAGGATTCGACATTCATCGTGTCACCATTTACGAGCGGCTTCAACTATATCAAAGATGTTCCATTATCCACAGCAAAGCGGATAGTAGCTCTTTTGAACGGAGCATCGAAAATCTTGACCGCGTCAAGTGAGGAACCTCACGGTCGTTATTGTCCTATGGCTCCGCCACAGCAGTGCGCATACCAAGCTTCTACTAGGAAAGCTAAATTGACACAACATTCTTTCATGATGCCACATGAACAAGCCGTCATCTCGGAAGTAGACCCTCAAGTGTTTCCGGGCTATACCACAATCGATGACGCAGGTCACGATGGCGACGACACTGTGCACTCTCCTATTGATTTCTACCACGTGCCAAACGTTATTCAGACGTTGATTCAACCTCCTGGGACTGATCTTTCCGAGGAAGCGACTTTGGTAGATTTGGTCTATGTCGATTTTATCGAGCCGTATATCGCTCTAGCAGCGAAATTCTCCGGTCTGCCGGTAAACCTTCCTGCAGACTCGGCTGTATATATGGAGGGGACAATGACCGACCTGATTCAGGCCTGGATCAAGGAGAACTGGAAGTGTGACACTTCGTAGATTTTTTATTGAGCGAACAGTCTTGCATTTTCCATATGGAGAAAATATTATAATACATTCATAGAAGATCAATCAGTCATCGCCCTCATAAACAAAAATGGTCTTTCCACTTCTAAATCCAGAAAGCGTATCCTGAACAGGATCCACGAGCTCCTTCGACTCCTTGTCATACGTCCATTTGACTTCCTGCACAGGGATATCCTTGAACTTGCCCGCCCGCGTCAACTCAAAGATATCCCTAATCGTATTCTCCTTTTCCTGCGCATTCTTGTCGCCCCATTTGCTTACCCAGAACCCATCAAAGACCAAATTCTTGAAAATCAGCAACCCCGACGGTAACGCTACTGGTTTTCTCGACATGGCGCCATAAGTCACCAAATGCGAGTCTGGAGCCAGCACTTTGGCCATAGCAGAAGCATTCTCGCCACCAACGCAATTCAGCGCGAGACGAATAGGCTGTTTACCATCGTTCGTGAGGTCCTTGACAATGCCCCTGAATTCCTTGGACAACAATTCCGCCTCGGTCACAACAGCTGTCGCACCCAAATCCAACAGATCCTGTTTCAAAGCTTCAGTCTCTTCGGGGTTCTCCCTCTGGCGAATCACATTCAACGTCTTTATACCCCAAACACGCGCAAGCTGTATAGCCGCACGACCAACACCGCTATTAGCGCCGTTCTGAATCAACCATTCCTCTCCACTGCGCAGCCAGTCCCAGTTACAGAAATCTTTGATCATGCGATACGCCGTAACGGGGTTGACGCTCACTGTTCCAACCTGCAATGGCGTCAATCCCTGCTTATCGATTTTGATTAATTGACCTTCTTCCAATTGGGCGTGTGTGCGCCATGTTCCTTGTCCAGTGCGTTTCATGACTACCCAGTCACCCTTTTTCAAAGATTGGACTTGCGGTCCTGTGGAGAGAACTTCGAAGGCGCCTTCATTGCCGCCTATGGCGCTCGGCTCGGTTGTTCCTAGGGCGTTGGTGAAGGTGGGTTTGGCTGGGTAAACGCCTTGGATTTGGTTGATATCTGCTGGATTGAGCGGGCAGGCGAGGAGACGGAGGTTGACCTGGGAGCCGCTTGGGGGGCCGATGGAATGTTTGTGTAGTCTAATTCATTAGCTTATATCAGAGTGATAAGGTGGGAGGAGAGCATACTGTAGGACATCTTTTGGCTCCCCGTATTTGGGATATACGAGTACTTTGGCCTGCGTATAGCCGTACGCAGACACGAATCGTTGTGCTGCTACTCCTGCTTGATATCCGCCTTGTATGTTTGTTCGGATGAAGGGAGCTCTAGCAGCTTCCATTGAGGCGCGATATGAGCTTGCAGCTTGACGAATGCTAGGTGCCGATGGCCTTAGAGCTCTTATCGTAAACATTTTGACACTTTAGGCCTCTGATTTCTTTACTAGAAGCACATTGATGTGATGGTGAGGTTCAAAATGTTGTAGAACTACCGAGAGGTTAAAAGAATGACGTACTGTTGAACACCTCGGGACGGATATTCCTAAGAAAATAAAGCGGGCTACGGACTTCATCCGAGCAACATTTATTTACCGACAACACAACATCAACTCATCGAGTGTGTCCCGTCGCACTCGCAGAGCGTCAATGTCACTGCTCCGCGAAGCTGAAAAATGTATCGCTAATCAGAAGCTCTTTACCGAGCTCAATGCTTTTATCACCCCTCTGCAGAGCCTAGGGACGTACGCGGATCGAATTCGGGATGCGGACATTCGAAGGGAGAATGGTATTTATCACCTAAACAAAATAAATTGATACCTATCAAATACTGATATTTGATGATAGGAACATCGAAATCCCCCCTCGACGGCCGTCTAATCGCCATCAAAGACAACATCTGCACCCGCTCCCTCCCAACAACATGCGCCTCCCGCATGCTCGAGAAATTCTCCAGCCCGTTCGATGCGACAGTAATCAAATCCCTAGAAAGCGCTGGCGCGATAATTGGCGGAAAGACAAACCTAGATGAGTTCGGGATGGGATCGCATTCGACGAATTCTCATTTTGGGCCTGTTAAGAATTGGTTTGATACTGTGAATGGGGCCGAGAAGTCACTTTCCGCGGGTGGAAGTTCGGGTGGGAGTGCGGTTGCGGTTGCTACCGATCAGTGTTATGCGTACGTCTTCTTACGACGTCTCGTTTGTGGTGTAAGGCTAATGGTAAAATAGTGCACTGGGTACGGATACTGGAGGATCTGTGAGGCTGCCCGCAGCATATACAGGCATCGTTGGATTCAAGCCTTCTTATGGTCTTATATCTCGCTGGGGAGTGATTGCATACGCCAATTCATTAGACACAGTCGGTATCCTTGCCAAGAAGACATCGACCGTCCGGGAAGTCTTCAATATTTTAAATCATCATGATGGGCATGATCCCACCAACCTATCCACCGCGACACGCTCCCGAATAGCCAACGCCGTATCACAACTCCACTCCTCAAACCGCCTATCCTCTCGCCCTCTCCGCATTGGCGTTCCCATTGAATACAACCTGACCGAAATGACTTCCCCCGTCCGCTCAGCCTGGCTCTCGGCCCTCCGCAGTCTCGAATCCCAAGGCCACACCCTCCACCCAGTCTCCCTCCCATCCACAAAACACGCTTTATCAGCCTACTACATTCTCGCACCAGCAGAAGCATCCTCAAACCTCGCCAAATACGATGGCATCAGATACGGCACCCGCGCCGACGGGCCCGATAAGGCGGGCGAAGAAGGTTCAACCGACTACCTATACGCGCGCACCCGCGGCGAAGGATTCGGCGACGAAGTCCGCCGACGTATCCTGCTGGGATCATTCAGTCTCAGCGCCGACGCAATGGACAACTACTTTATCCAGGCGCAACGAGTGCGCCGACTGGTTCAGAACGATTTTGACTACGCCTTTGCATTGACGAATCCGCTTGGCGATAATGCTGAGGTCGAGAATCACTCGTCATCGACAGACACGAAAGTTGATGTTATCGTAGGACCGACTACAGCCTCGCTGCCGCCGAGCCTGGACTCTGTGACGGAAGATCGGGATGTCACTGTGTCAGCGTCGTTGCATTCGTATGTTATGGATGTGTGTACTGTGCCGGCGAGTTTGGCAGGGTTGCCGGCTGTGTCTGTGCCTATCTCTACGACTGGTGATGATCTGGGATTCAATAAAGTCGGGATTCAGATCATTGGGCAGTATGGTGATGACGATCTTGTCTTGAAAGTTGCGGAGCTGTTAGAGGAAGTCGACGACAGGTCCAAATAGCGCTTCTCTGTTAAAGGCTAGTGTGTACGATTGAACATGTAGGAATACGTTGATTGAGATACCAAAGATTTTTTCATCATTTAAGCAAGAATTTGTTCCATAATATCTTCTTACAGAAGAATTTTGTTTTGATTTCCTAAAGATATACTATCTAACTCATTTCAACATCCTCATCATGCTGTCCTTGTGCAGCCACCGATTCCAGACCGGACATGAGTTGATCCTCATTCCCAACTGTATCAGCACCCTGCGTCCCTACATTGACTGTAACAGTAGGCGGCGCATCAGTCGCCGACATGGCTGCTTGGTACACCGCACCGACACCCTGCTGCACAACATCAACAGTTTGCTGGCCGGTTGCAGGCATGACCGTTGATGAAGAGCCGTTAACGAGTTCGGTGCTGATCACTGTCGGAGCAGCAGCAGAGGTGTTACTAGGACTGGGTCGAGGGTTTTTGGTGTTTTGTTTGGTGGCGGTAAAGCCGGCGTTATTCGCGGTTCTTGTAGTCCCATCTGCATCTGTAGTTTCACTGCCCCATAACATCACCGCTTCAATCTCATCTACCATGTCGGCCACAATATCTTCGACAATTTGATCATTGAATCGTTCCCCAAAGGGTTTCACAACAGTTGCTTGTTCCTGATTCTTCTGATCTTCTTTTTCACTTTTGATATCATCCTCCACAACAGGCGGAGGACCAAACCACCACGGAGGCTCAAACTTGCATTCCACAGCTCCGCCACCATAACAGCTAACTGTAGGAAAGTAGCCAATCATGCCGTCGTCCGCGTTCTCGCGCTCACCGATTCCCAGATTGTTGGTACCGTTGGTGAGTCGACTGGCCGGCGGCAAGAAGGCAAAGAGTTCTTTGAATGGTGTACCCATTTTCACGCCGTTTTTGAATATAGTGATACTCGAACCAGGTAGAGTGCGGAGGGATGGATCTTCGCTGTTGAATGGAGACGGTGGACCGAAAGTAGGTGTTTCTTTCAAGTTAAAGGCATAGTCGCGGAGTTGTTTTGAGGGGTATATATTGGATTGTTGCCAGCAGAAATCCGATTTGAGGTGAAAAGGTACCCGGTCTCGAATGAAGTTTGTGACTGTAGGAGATGTAGTGGATTGTTTATCAGACGAGGGGTCATATGTTCCCTCGACGACCTTTTTGTGGACTGATAAAGGAGGTAGCGTGATGAGTAGGCCAATAACATCTCCCTCGGCAATATCCTCGCCTTTGTCGAAAAAGTGCTCACAGCGCATGCGATTGATCACCTCCCCGTTTACATCGCGTATGCCATATCCATAACAGTCAACTCCGACATTGACGTCTAGTTCTGCTTCTCGTCGGGCAAACCCAAGCCGGACATGACCCCTTGAAGGCTTGGTGGAAGATGCATTTCCCTCAGTCGTCGCCGTAGGTTGCGGATCCCTAACAATACCACTAATCACCTTCGCTTCGTAATAATATGCGCCTTCTCGTGCGCAGACATTGGCTCGAGCGGAATGCCATGCATCTGTCGTCGTAACTGCCAGCCCATCTTGTGTAAATGCAATCGCCGAGGGTGAGTCCTCAAAACTGAAACGAGCATGATATGGCGCGACGTCGGTTTGTCGATATTTTATATTCGTAAACTTTGGATCAGAAATCGCATAACTATATCGGAACCCATTCTTGTTGGTAAGTTTATCGACCACCTCGTAGAAATCCCAGCTCTGTCCTATCACATCTGAAGACTTCCTACACATGAAATTCATCTGCCTTGGTTGCGGTGGGTATAAATCCGACGTTCGAGGTTCAGCCAACAGTGCCGGTCTAAGCATAGACAGTAGGTTAGACGGCCTTCCCGAAGCTGCTGCCGCCAAAGCTGCCTTCTTTCGAGGAGGCGGCGCAGCTACATCTGCATCGAGTCCCTTAGCCTCACGCTTTTTGCGACTGTCTCGTTTGTTTCGCTTAGATCGTTGTTCGCCTGTTGTGATAGGAATGCTGGGGGCAGGTGAAGCCTTGGCTACTTGGGTATCGGTTATGGTTGGGACGCTTGGAGCTGGGGAATTGATATTTGAAGAGGCAGCTGAGGAGCCGATGCCATGCTGAGTTGACGCCATGGTCTTTCAGTATGTCGGCGTTGCTAGGTGTGGTCGCGAATGATCCTAGTTTTGATAACAGAAGCTTCAACTCAATGTTTAATAGCATCTGTATATATCGTCAATGGCGCTTGTAGTGACTTTTAGTCAACTGCAACATCAAAGCATGAACTGTTCACGAGTTGTAAGCTCCTTCCGAGCGAGGCTTCGGAGCAAGAAACGCGTCGCGAGTGCTCGCTACGAGACCACTTCGTACTTCAAGTCTTCGATATAGGTGATCAAGGTTTTTTGAATGTGATTCAGGCGACAACTGTCGTCTCGAGTGCGTAATTGAGCTATCTGTCGGATCGCGACTTCCCAGACTGGAATTTCTGGAATGAAGAGCATCTCCGGCGGCTGGCGGTGAATTTGTTGATGGCCATATTGCCGGCAGAAGGCTTCTTGGCAAATGAGCAGGATGAGGCGGTATGGCGAAGAAAGGCTAGTCCCAAAAGTCTCAACCTTCCACTTTGGGCGTACATTTCCAAAAGAAGAAATTTTCTCCAGGATTTTAAGCAATTGTTCAGTAAGAATGGGACAGAATGCTTTGGTGATGGATTTGTCACAGAAATATATCAACGTATTCTTATTCAAGGAGCTGCGCTCGTAATATGTTATGCATTTAGTGACTAATGCTAATAGGAGGAAATCAATTTGAAATGATCCAAAGCCCCCTTCCCAAGCCTTCCTAATACTCTGAGTCCAGCCCTATCAAGTCCTTCACTTCAGACGGTGGTAACAACAGTCTTCGTAAAAATCCTTATTCTCCTCATCGTATCATAGATCAAAGAGGCAGCTTCGCAAACACCCGTCAACATGCCTGGTAGCACTTGACTTTGTGAACAGGACTTTAAGAACAGCAATGAACATATTTGTCCACTTTTGGACGTTGAAATCATTGATGATACCCACTAAGTTGTTGATGAAAACCTCGAGTTGAACCACTGGTATGTCTTCCCCTATAAAAGAGAAAACGTCAATCAGGATGAACACAGCTTGGCGCTTTGAGTTGATGAGGAGAACGTGTAGCAAGTGACACAAAGCAGGGGTGGCGTAAAACTTGAAATCATTGATAAATGCATCATCGTTGATAGCGAATTGTGGGTTAGTAGAGAGCAGCTGTGCATTCAAGTTGCGAAGTATGCCTGCTAAGCACCCATATTTGTCATTTTTGTCAGCGTGTTGACCACATAGCTAAAACAGAGGTAAGACCACGCCACGCCAGGTTAGCATGCGGTCCAAGATACAGGGCACAGTTTTTAGTGGTGACGCATGCTCTTGTAGGTGACTGAGATCCATAGACCCATTGGCTATTAAGTTAATCGAAGCGGCTGACTGATACCAGCTAACAAATCTGTATCCTTCAACAGGGTTATAGCGTGAGCGAGCGGAGAAGACGAAATGACTCGCTCGGCATCCGCGATAGCCTTTTCAATGTCACTTGTGAGTAGACTGGGAGATACAGCAATGATTTTCTGTAGTCCAGACGCGTCAATGAAGCTGGCAGATTTCACCAATTTGATGAAATTCGTTTGCAGAGTCTTCAATACCGGCTTTGATGGCTTGATCTTCAATGTCTTTTCCATATGATTCTTGCGGAAAGATGGATTCCATAGTATTTTCTGTCTTGAAGAATTAGTCAAACGATTTCTGTGTCATCGAAAAAATGAATCATACTAAAGGCCGACTCATCCATGCATTTTACCCTTATTTCTTTGGCATGTTTCGTGAAGAGTCTGAGAAATTTCGTGAAAATTTCTCGTTGGCTTGGATCTACATTCGAGAGTAGTTAAAGTACTCAAGGCTTACAGATCTTCAAAGTAAGAATATTGATGGTGTAACAATGATGTGGAAGTCAAAAATAGGGAATAAATGGACATCTAGGGTAAGTTGCTACCTTGGGAATACATCCAATGTTTTCTTTTTTCCATTATACTTGATGGCGGCGGATCAATTTTGTGAGCCTTTTTTTGCATGAAATAGTTGGTACACTCCAATTCGCGAAGTGGTATCGTCAATATGTGACAAACTGTGTCAATTCGGGCTTGTGGAGTTGAAGGCTGTGTCAAATATAAAATATTCACTCAGCTTCTGACAAAGTCAATCTCGTGTCACGAAGTGCTCGGAAAATTTCACCAAACATTGTAATCTAAATGAGCTTCCTGAGCGGTCAAACCTCTGGTCATTAAATGTGAATCCTACTGGTACTTGACTCAGTTTCGTCTCATCATGGCCTCTAAACTGTCCTGAATCAGGAGAAGACTCATAGGTGCTTATCAAGGACCTGGCCATGCTTCCATGTATTTCCTGGTATACATTTTCCTGCCTGATCACCCTTTGTAGCCCGGTCTTAGAAGCTGTGAAGCCGGTTATATATAGGCCATTACACATTATTAGGGTTTTCATCAGAATTTCATTGGAAAAAAACCAGGTACATGCTCATTCTTCTGTCTAGAGCGGTACTTCCCTTTTGACTCGTATATTTGGCCACAATGCTTTCATGAAAATGGTTATATGTGTAGGAGGAGACTGAATTCTTGTTGGGAGAAAAATAGCGGGGAGCTGATAAGCTTGGTCTTATCGGCGTATCGCACAGACCAGACCGCCACGGCAGAAAAAAATAATTCAGAATCATCACCACGGTATAACCGACAACCATTCATCATTCTGGACACGGCATGGGCGTACAATACATACCTGAAGAATAACTACGAATTCACACAGATTAAAGAAATGCCCAAAGCAACAACCCCCTCCCGCTCCACCGGGCGCAGACACAACCCTCTCGCCGACGACATCCTCTCCACCAGCCAGGTACGAACGAGCACAAAACCCGGCAAGAAACGCTCACACAAGTCCGCCAACGGCGACGACGATGACGATGGAGTCGAAAACAGAAAAGAAGGCTTCATAGACGCCAAGGCTTCGCGCAAGATTTTACAAATTGGTCAAGACCTCGCCGACGAAGACGCTGCGGAGCAACAGAAAATTTTGGATGAGGCGGGCGCCGGCCAGCAAAATAACAAAGCGTTTGATTTTTCGACCAGGTTTGGGGATGAGGGTGATTATATTTCGGACGACGAAGAGAAATTTGAGGAAGGGGATTGGGAGGATGAGGATCTTGACAGAGGAGTATGCCCTTGCCTTCAGAGTAGTAAGTGGGAAGAAACTAACTAACAGACGTAGGAGGTCGATCCAACCGATTTGGACATGTTTAATAAATTCATCCCCGCCGGTGACCAAGATCCTATTTTCGACCCGAGCGAGGAAGGCGAGGAAGGCTCGGGGGTAAATCTTGCGGATTTGATTTTGCAAAAGATTGCGGCATATGAAGCGAATCAGTCTGGTGACAGTCAACAAATCAAAGGAGGGGGTGCGCCGGAGGATGCGGTACAGATCCCTGCGAAAGCATTGGAAGTATATGAAAAGTATGCCTTTTCCTTGTGCACTACTAGTGAATGAAGCTAATTGTCTATAGAGTTGGCATGATTCTTTCGCGGTACAAGTCAGGACCTCTGCCCAAACCATTTAAAATCCTGCCTACGTTACCTCAATGGCCTACACTTCTCGATATTACGCGACCTGATGCATGGACACCCAACGCCGTCTACGCCGGAACCAGGATATTCATTTCTTCGAAACCGGCGATTGCGCAGCAATTTATCAACATGGTGCTCCTCGAACGGGTGCGCGACGAGATCCACGAAACCCGCAAACTCAACGTGCACGTCTACAATGCGCTGAAGAAAGCGCTTTACAAACCGGCCTGTTTCTTCAAGGGTCTGTTGTTTCCGTTGATTGCCACGGGGACATGCACACTGCGGGAAGCGCACATTGTCTCTTCCGTTATCGCTCGCGTGTCCATCCCTGTCTTGCACTCTGCTGCCGCATTACTGCGACTATGCGAAATCGCAGCAGAGCAGACGTCCGCATCGCTCTCCTCGGAAGGCACGGGCGCAACCAACATGTTCATCCGCGTCTTCCTCGAAAAGAAGTATGCCTTACCGTATAAAGTGATTGACGCACTCGTTTTCCACTTTCTCCGTTTCCGTGCCATGGACAATGCCGAAGATAGCATGATGGTTGATGGCCGTCCGTCCGCAGCAGCAGCATTGAACTACAAACTCCCCGTGCTATGGCACCAGTCCCTCCTCGTGTTTGCGCAGCGATATAGGAACGATATCACAGAGGACCAGCGCGAGGCTTTGCTTGATTTGCTGCTTGTGCGCGGACACAAGGAGATTGGACCTGAGGTGCGACGAGAGTTGCTTGCGGGACGAGGACGAGGTGTGGTTGTGCCCAGTGAGGAATCTGCAGCAGCTGCTGCTGCGGGTGATGATACCATGGATGTCGAGATGTAATTTCTCGACTACGTATATACATGATGCATAGACATGTTGACGAGTTTTCTTTGTTAATAAAACTTTAGGCTGGAAGTACTGTTATGTTGGTTGATTATAGTCGGCGTTGGTTGTTATTTTTGTTTTGCAGTTCAATCGATGATCATCTTATTTCGAGTCAGCAATCCTACCATGACCACAATGTACGTTGGTTGGTTCTCTAATTGCCACTCGAGATGTCAGCGTACAGTTGGTTATTCGCCGAGGCTGTGGAGGACTCGCTGCAGCGAATGGTGGGATTATATTCCCCGCTTATGCAAGTCCACCAACGCTGACTTACGCTATCCTTGGTACGTAGTAGCCAACGTCTCATTCTCGAACGCTTAATTATAAGTAATTACTCCGGTGTTGAGCCGTTCTCGCAGTAAACCACACTGGATTATTAGGCTATTTGAGGGGTAAACCAAGCCTCTTGGAGAGTGGCCGGCCCCTGGAGTTTGTGGAGTGTATGCAGGAGTCAGGAGTGTCGTACGAGTCCATAGGTCTATCCCTGCACTCCGTAAATCATCCGTGCTACGTCGGAGCAGCAAATCGTGGTGTGTGAGCCGACATGCAACGCTGCTGAAACGATGTCTACGAAGTACGTAGGTGGACAGTGGAGATAGGGCGGGGGCCAGAGTTGGTGGTGGATGTCCAGCTGTACTACGTAGTCGGCTACATTCCATTCCATTCCGCGATACGAATTGCTCGCCAGGAGAGGATAAAGTGAATATGGGATTGATGGCATGGTAAAAGAAATAGAGTCAGGATCATAGTTTGAGAGGGGTAGTCTTTCGTAACAAGGGGAAAGCCGACAATCCGAGAGAGGGATAGAAAGAAAGAGGAGAGTAAGGGATGAGACAGTGACAGTGGAGATACTCCGCTGACGCCACTAAGTCCTCCCTACATAGTAGTACACAGTGCGTCGGGGCTGGCCCCTGACTGGCTGCACTGCCCGACGTCACGTGACTAGCGACAGGCCACGGTGTCCTTATAAGCGTGGCTGCCTGCCCTCGCTGAGATGCCTTGGTTGACCAGGCTCCGTCCTCGCCCGCTTTATACTTACTCTCGCTTTGACAAGAACACCTGGCCTTTCGACTCCTTCCACGCGACTAGACGTCACCAGAGCGTCTGGATCTTCACTCGACAATACACTCTCACACCGTGACCCTTACACAAAGTGAACACTAAGTGAATTTCTACGACCTCTGGACGACTACAACTACAACTAGATCGACTCGTAATGGACACTCTATCGCCGATGGACATCCTCCGGGACTCCACCCCCATGGATGTCCCCCAGCTCACCATCTCGCCGGCAGACACCTCGCTTGATGCGTCGTCGCCGGCCGAGATCAAGGAAGAGACCACAGATGAAAAGAAGCCTGTCAAGAAAAGAAAATCATGGGGCCAGGAACTTCCCACCCCAAAGACCAACCTCCCTCCCAGGTTTGTCTCGTCTAGCCCTACCGCTGAACCACCTTACTGACTGTTGTAGAAAACGAGCCAAAACCGAAGATGAAAAAGAACAGCGCCGTATTGAACGCGTTCTCAGAAACAGAGCCGCGGCACAAACCTCCCGCGAACGAAAACGTCTCGAAGTGGAAAAACTCGAAGGCGAAAAACAAAAAATGGAACAGCAGAATCAGTTCTTGTTGCAGCGACTCGCGCAGATGGAGGCGGAAAACAACCGCCTGAATCGCCAAGTCGCGCAGCTCTCCGCTGAAATCCGTGGTTCCCGCGGCACAACTCCCATGACCGTGATTGATACCGCCTCTCCCACACTAACTCCGACGCTCTTCAAACGCGAAGGGGAAGACTTTACCATGGACAAAATCCCTTTTCCCACCCCCTCCATATCCGACTACTCCCCAAGCCTCAAGCTGGAAGATCTGGCTGAATCCGCCGACCTGACACAACATCCTGCAGCGGTGTTGTGCGACCTGCAGTGTCAGTCGAAGGATTCGAAGGGTCTTCCAGCAATCCCCTATTCGTCGACTTGGAGCAGCCAACAGTGGCAGCAAATGGCGCTACTACAGCTCCTCTTTCTGACGATGACTTCCGCCGCCTATTCAACAGTGATTCTTCCTCTGAGTCAGATTCTGAATTGCATGAAAGCGGGCTCCCCTTTGACCTTCTCGACGGAGGAGACGTATCGGCATTTGCCTTTGATTCACTGGTTGATTTCGACCCCGACCCTGTCGTCGGCCTCGATGACCTCGTCGACTCATCGATCGGTCTTTCGGATGAGAGTGCTCACTCGACTTCTAGCATGCAGCCCAGCCTTGGCGCGTCCACTTCGAGATGCGACGGGCAAAGCATTGCAGCTAGCGGTTGAAGCGCTCCCAAAGACTGTTGAGAGAGTAGAGGGGCACGAGACGATGATGCGGTGGGAGTCGTTGTTGACCATGGCCTGGGCGATTGACTCGATACAATCTAACCGACTGAAGGTCAAGACCCCTCGTGCACGCAAAATGAAACGAACCGGTATGCGGAGTTTTGGAGTTATGGGAATGTATCAGAAGCCTAGAGCTTAGTACTGTATTCTACATTATTAACATTTTCCTCTGATTTGATTTGTAACTGTAGTGTAGTGAGACGTAGCTAAGCTGATGGTGTAAGTTCTAAGTAGCAGCTAGAGGCAGCAAGATAAGCGCCTAGTGGCCGCCGCCGCCCGCTCCCCGCCTGTCACCTGGACATCACCTACATGTTCCGTTACCCTCACTACAACACTCATACCACACCTATCAATTCACAAACACCATCAAAATGCCCGTCCGAGACCCCATCTTCGAAGCTCGCACAAATGTCAAGGTATTACTTTCCTTTTGTCCCGTCATCAAGAACCGTACTGACTGCGTGGGTGACGGACAGCTCCATTCCAACCGTCTCAAAAAAGAAGCCCTCCGCGCCGAAGCAACCTACAAATCCGAAAAAGCCAAAGCAGACAAAGCCATGAAGAACCGTGAATTCCAAATCGCGCGCATCCACGCCGGGTCCGCAGTTCGCGAGAAGAAGAGACAGGTAAACCTCAAAGCTGAAGCTGCGAGGGCGGATGTCATTATCAACGAACTCAAAGCCGCGCAATCGACACGGGACACCTCGCGGACGTTGGCGCTGGCGTCGAGGGGCTTAGATGCTGCGAGCAAGAGCGTGAATTTGGAGCATCTGCTGGCGCATGCGAATAATTTCTTGGCGCGGAGTGAGGATTTCAAGATTGCGTCGAATGCGATTTCGGATGTTGCACAGGGAGTCTCGCAGCAGGAGTATGGTGCTGAGGGAGAGTCAGAAGTGGACAAGATGATGGAGCAGTTGGCGGATGATGCGGGCGTGGATTTGAGGAATGCGCTTGATGCGGAGACTGCTGCTGCGCCGAAGGAGGATGTGAAGGAGCGGGCGCCGGCCAGCAAAGCAGTGGATGCGGACGTGGAGGATGCATTGGGTGCGAGGTTGAGGGCTCTCAGGGCTACGGGTTGATTGTCTTGTTGTATTGCTCTTGGTTGGATTTCGTTACGGAGTTGTTTCGGTGTTTACAATTATGACATGTTAAGCGTATTGAAATTATATATTGGTTAAGACATGATACGAATCTATGCATTTTTCTGTTTATAGCAGGTCGATAAGTGCACCCTATCTGGATATACATCATCCAGACTACAAATTATCAGTGGATAATAGTCCACGCGGTACTTACAGTTACGTAGTAGGCTGTGCAATATCATCGCCACTCAATTGCAGAGCTCGGACTTACAAGTGCCAATCGCGACTGATCGGGTAGTCCAAGCCGAATTGATCGGCCATATGAACTTTTCCCGGGACGAACACCGACTTTTCACCATATAAGTCGTAGATAACCATCTAGATCAATTCCACATCTTCTTTTTATTTTTGAGAAAGCTGGACAATAATTGACAGCAAGCTGTCCAATCAACCAAAATGTTGAGTTCTATCCTCCACGAACTAGGCCTCGTATCGCTCTACCACTCCCCCCTGGACACAAAACTGCTCTGCTCGCAACGCTTCGTGCGCCTGTTTGCCTACGGCGGCTCAACACTCATCCTCGCTTCTTTCTTATCAGCGCTAGACATATCCGATGATCGCATTGGATTGTTCATGACGCTGACGCTGGTGGGCGATGTCGTGATCAGTTTTTTTCTCACATTGTTTGCGGATCGGCTAGGCCGAAAAGCGGTGTTGTTGTTGGGGTCGGCGTTGATGTGTGGGAGTGGTGTTGCGTTTGCGTTGTCTGGGAATTATTGGGTTTTGTTGCTTGCGGCGGTGTTGGGGGTTATTAGTCCTGGGTAACCCCTCTTTCCATTTCTGGGATTGTTGACCATTTCTGACGAGTAACAGAGGAAATGAAATAGGCCCCTTCCGCGCCGTCGAGGAATCAACTATAGCCCATCTCACGGCCAAAGAGCACATGAGCGATATCTATGCTTGGTACTCGTTGATCGGCACTGCGGGCACGGCCCTGGGCATGATGGTGTGCGGATGGGTCATGACGCTACTTCAAGAAACGAAACATTGGGATTTTGTACCTGCGTGTCGCGTAGTGTTTTTCATGTATGCCGGTGTTGGCGCCGTCAAGTTTCTGCTTACGATGGGATTGAGTAAGAAGGTTGAGGCTGAGAAGAAGAAAGCCCCAACGACAACCAACGGCGCGAGTGAGACGGATCCATTGCTGGTTTCCGGTAGCCAGGAAGAGACTGTAGCCGTCGTCCCGCCAAAGCAGAGAAAGCTGTTCTACCTCCCTGGGGTCGAGGCCGAGCTCGTCGGGCTGGTGACCAGTCTCTTACTCCTTTTCGGCCTCGACTCATTCGGCTCCTCTCTCGCCTCCTTGTACGTCTCCCAAAACTTCTATGCTTTGATTTACTGACTCCTGCTAGATCATGGATAACGTATTACTTCCGCCGCAAATTCGGCATGTCGGACGGTGAACTCGGCTCCCTCTTTTCTGTGACTAGCATCATCCAAGCAAGCTCCATGCTCCTCGCCTCCAGCATCGCGAAACGCTTCGGCAACGTGCGGACCATGGTCTTCACCCATTTACCGTCATGCATCTTCCTCGCTACAATGTCCCTGCCCAACTCCCTCCCGCTAGCAATGACACTTCTAATCGGACGAGCATGCACACAAAACATGGATGTCGCGCCGCGCGCCGCGTTTTTGGCAGAAGCTCTCCCCGCCGAGCAGCGCACGGCGATCATGGGGACTATCAATGTAGTCAAGACGACGGCGAGTAGCGTGGCGCCGCTGTTGACGGGTGTGTTGTCGTCGAGTGGGAAGTTGTGGGTGTCGTTTGTGCTGGCGGGTTGTCTGAAGATTATGTATGATTTGGGAATTTTGGTTACTTTTGGGGGAATGGAGAGGGAGAAGCGGAGGAAGGCGAGGGCTGCTCAGGAAAGCGATGACGCTTGATCTGTCCTATGGTTGGAGGAGGTATGTACGAGCACAAGCACTATATAGATTGGTTATATTGCATCAATGGATGTATGTACACTATTATACATTGATATACAATGATATACATGGGTATACATGGAGATACATGAGAATGTATGCAAATGGCCTGTCATAAGAAGTATATAATCTCGGCCCTATGATTGGTCGATCCCCAAGCACCTCATGCCATCTCAATGACCTCACCCTCCATCTTCAACGTCTCCCATCATCTTGTCTCAAGTTCCTATCGAAGATTCAAGATTCAAATGAGTATATTTGAACATAAATCCAATCACACCCACTCGTTCACGAATGTAATTCGCCATTCCTATCGCTCCACCCCTGCCGACTATCTAGGTTAAGTGTACGCCGTGAACGCGTCACCACAGCTTCTTAGTCCCGAAGCCACCGGCGGTCCTGGATGTACTTGAGATCCAGTGGAATGACTCGGATTTCTTCTGCCTAGATTTCATTCATTTGATCTCTACCAACGGTGATATAATTGGCCACGATTTGGAGGGATTTGATTACGTTAGCCGGTCTTACGTATTGCGTACGACTGCGTACGTGCTAGTCAGAAGGCTAAAAGGCTTGATTTCAATGAGTTGGGTGGGATTATTTTGATTTATCCTACTTCATCCAATTTCCATCTATATACCTGTTTGTCGTTTGGATAGAAGAAACTACAAGATGAAGACGGCAGTACTGCTTTCGGCGGCGTCGTTGGCGGCTGCGTTTGTGATTCCGGGGAATGACCAGCAGCTTCTCGAGGCGTTGACGAAGGATGTTACGACTACGACTGGTGGTATTGCGTCCGCTCCCGAGGAGGTGGTTCCACCAAAGGGAAAACTCGGTCACCATCACGACGACGAAGACGAGAAGAGCGGTTTTTCAGCTGGAGTTGATGTGAAGCAAAAGTGGAATCGTGTTGCTGGATTTGCGGATGGATTGGAGAAGAGTGTGATGCAGTTTGAGGAGGTTGATTTGGAGTGGTTGAGAAGATCGGATGAGCGGCCTTTTGGACGGGAGATGGGGATGGAGAAGCAAAAGCACCACAAAGAGGAGAAGCATGGCAAGAAAAAGCATCACAAGGGTGAGCATGCTCCAGAGCACGAAGTGGATGAGTTCGACATCCCCGCATGCCCTCATCACGCCGGTCCCCGCGGTCATGGCTTCTTTTCAAAGGCTTTTGGTCGGTTGAAGCACATACTCGGTTTCCCAGCACCGATGTTTGATGGCCCTCATGGCCCTCATGGCCCTCATGGTCCTCATGGTCCTCCTGGTCCCCCTCCTCACGGCCCTCACCATGGTCACGAAGAACCTCCCACCAGCACCATCTACGAGCAAATCTCCAAGAGCAAGCACACTCGCATCTTCACACACATCATCAATCAATACGATGAAGTAGTGAAATACCTCAACTCAACCTCTGCCAACTATACCATCTTTGTCCCCATAGACGCTGCATTCGAAGGTTTCGATCACCAGCATCACAACATCAGCAAGAAAGCCATTCTGCACTGGCTTGAGTATCACATCTCGCCGGAGGTTTATACCATCCACGACTTTTTCGATGTCCAGACTGTGCCGACTCTGACACACGAGGAGACCAAGAGCAAATTCCCGCAGCGTATCAGCACCTCATTCACCCACAAGGGATTGACGCTGAACTTCCACTCACACGTCATCCGTCATGACATTGTACGCTCCCCCCAAGATACATATATAGAATTAGACTAACAGAATAGCACGCCACAAACGGTGTAATCCACGCAATCGACAAACTCATCATCCCCGCCCTCTCCGCCAAAACCGTCATCGACCTCGTCCCCTCGCTCTTCAGCACATTAGACCTAGCACTCGTCAAGACCGGTCTCATCGACGTTCTCGACCCTAAAAAATCCAAGATCGGCGGTACACTCTTCGCGCCTACAAACAAGGCATTCGCAAAGTTGCCGACTAAAGTGAACGCATTCCTGTTCAGCGCGCCAGGCCAGAAGTATCTCAAGGCGTTGCTGAAGTACCATATCGTGCCTGGTCATACAGTTTTCACAGATGCGTATTACAAAGCCAAGGGTGACGATGAGGAAGATGGTTTGCTTGCTAAGAAACACGTATGCTCCCTCCCCATCCTTTTATTTCATGACGACCCTAATGATGATATAGCTTGACGTCCCGACCTACCTCGACAAGAAACCCATTGCCATCGACATCCGCAATTTCCATCGTCTGACTCTGATGACAGTCAACAAACACACGCCCGTTTCGGTCGCCAATGTGCCTGTCAAGGAGGGTGTTGTGCATTTGGTGTCGTCCATTCTGATCCCGCCTCATAAGCATGACCACGATGCCGATGTCCCTGAGATCGAGCAGAAGGGACACGAGCACGAACATGAACATCATGAACTCACCGTCCAAGAACTGATGGATCGACTAGAGGCGTATGTCGAGTAATCGACCATCACTCACTAATCCACTTCCCGACTTGATTAAATTACATTCTTTACATTTCATATTACCGATTTGACAGACGACAACAGGGTTGTTCCATGTCTCATCATCATTTTTCTTTTTTATCTGATTTGATTTGAATACTTGTCGACCAGACTGATTTCCTCTTATTTTGGCTGTGATTTAAATGGTATTTTGGGTATATTAAGTTTTCTTTAAATTGACTCTGATTCTATTCAATATATCGTAGATATCTAGTAGATAAGAGTATGCATGTTGGTGTGAACATGATGTATCCTGGCCCTGGAATTGTCAGCAGCAACGCAGAATCTCAGGTTCACTTCGTCAATTGACGCAGATTCAAGTCTCTGCTGATGACACTGACATGCTCGAGCTCCGATGTCCGAATGCCGGACTCGGCTCTGCGTGGGGTTGAACATATTCTCTGTTCATGTTCTGATTGAGATATTCCTGGATCTTTAAATAGATTCTCAAGAAACCCTCTGCTTCTTCCCCGCATCAAACACATTCCCTCCTGCAACAACATTTCCTGCAAATTTGCGCTTCTTCGCCTCCATCGCCTCCATTTCCCTTCTCATAATCATTTCCTGCTGCGAGACTTTTTGTTGCTGCGGGACAAAGGCAGATTTCTTGACGGATGCGAATGCATTTGACGGTTTGACGGCGCTTGGTTTGGTGGCGAATATATTCTTCGGCTTGGTTGTAGACGATGAGAATGAGATTGATGTTTTTGCTGCTGCTGCTTCAGGCTTTTCTTCAGGCTTTTCATCATCAACTGGCGGTGATTGAGATGCAGACTTCGCGCCAAAACTGAGTTTAACCTTTTCACCCTCCTTCCTCTCCAATATCCCCTTCTCCTCCGACTCCTCCCCACTACCGCCTTCAGCCTTATCAACAGCAGCAGCAGCCTTGGCCATTTCCGCTTTCCGTGCCCTCTCAATCTGCTGCTGAATCAACCTCTGCTCCCTCTCCTCATCCCCCTTATCCTGCCTCTCCTTCTTCATAACCGCCTCCCTCTTCTTCAGCGTTTCCGGCCTATTATCAACCCACGAAATAAACAACCCCTTTTCCGTCTCCTCGCACCTCACAATCCCCTCCCTCCCTAGATGCGCCGCAAACTGCGTCAAACTGGTCCATTTCGTCGCATTCATATGCACATGAGACTTATTACTAATAACCTGCTGATAAAAATGGTTCACATGCACTTTCTTTTCTCCGTGGGTGGTGCGTAGCAGCTCAACGAACTCGCGCTGGAATTCGGATGAGTATTTGTCAATAGTGCCTTTGGAGTTCTCGCCGATGAGCAGCATTTGCCGCACGTGCGATTCGGATTGGACGTGGCATTTGAAGCCGTTTTCGTCGCGGCAGGCCTTTTCGCAGGGCTGGCAGTACCAGCGTAAGCGTGTAAGTCCGCGGGACTTGAGCTTGTTGCTGATTGCTTTGGTGGAACCGGCTTCTGCGCGAGGCATTTTGGCGGTGTTGTGTTGTGTCGTGTGAAAAAAGAAGTGAGGTTGTTGTAAGAAGAGAGTTGGGTATGCGACAGAGAGAATAGATGTGGAGTGGCTGGGCGGGTGTGGCACGTGCTTACTTTGCCACCGACGAAATACGTAGTATGATTGGTTGACATAGACATACAACAGGTACATTCGACAATTCTAGAACTACATTTGATAGAAAGTAAACCACCACGCCCAAGCCAAACTCCATCAACACGAAGTATAAGACAGTCAACCGAGATGTAGTACTTTTCTTCTCCAGGTATCGATAGGTATGAAACAGACAAGAAAGAGATCAAACCAAAGCATACTCGTGAATAGCAGACGGCCCATTCTCATTATACTCTGACCGCGGCAAATAGCCCTTGTACTGGCCCTGGTTATCATTAATAAAGACAATCTTGGCCGCGATCTGCGCTCCCAAGAAAATCGACTCTTCCATCCCCGGACGCGGCGCGCCCGCTGGATTCGCGGATGTCGTGTTTGTGCCGCCTGCACCGGTAGCACCGGGCGCATTACTGCTGCCCTGATCTTTCCATTCGGGAAAGTAGTCCGGCGGCTTGACGGTTTTGACGGAGGTGGGTGTTTGTGAGTGGCCCGTGGACCGGTGCATGCTTGCCATGGCGAGATAGGCTTGGTTTTCGGCCATACCAGGTGTAGATGGTGGCATGTTGGGTGCGTTGGCGTGTGTTGCAGCAACAAGTAAAGGGTTGACGCCGTGCGCGGCTGGGTGGTAAAGAGGGCCAGGGGTTTGGTTTCCAGCCGCTGGAGTGGTTGTGCCGGTTGCCATGGGGGTGGATATGTTGGAGGGAATTTCAGAGGTAAATATGCCAGCTGATGGTGAAAGTATGTACTTTTGCGTGATTGTAGATAGCAAAGCAGGCACAAAGCCTATAACTCATTAGCCAGTGACTCAAAGATGAGTGCAGAATACATACCGCGAATACGACTTCCATTCCCGATGATGATCAGATTATCCCACAAATCACTACGTTTCGTAGCATCCGGGACAGCCAGAATGGTGTGATGAATCTGAGCTGCCAAATCTTCCAAAATTCCACCACTGCCCCGTTCTTTCCTATCCTTTCCAGGACTGGCAAGCAGAAACCGCTCAATCCCAACCTCAACATCCCGTCTCTGCCGCACATATTGAACTGAATCCTCAATGCGCGCAAACTCCTCAAATTGAAAGGTGGCCGTTTCTCGTTTCGAGTTTGGTAGCCTCATCGCTTTATTTGCATCAGCGCCACCCTTTTTCGGCCCAGCAACAGCTTTCTCCTTTTCGCGCTTGGCTAGAAACTCATTTGTATTACCGCTCGTGACAATGGCAGCGACATCAAGTATGCCTTCATCTTCTTCGTTCTCGTTGTTCTCAGTTTGGGTCCCCCGGCCAGGTCCTCGCGGAAGCTTCGACGCGTTATTCGATTCACTTGGACCCGTGGAAGCAGCGGCAGCTGGATTGCCGTTCTGGCTGCTGGCAGCAGTGGTTCCTGGTAACGGAGTTCCCGGGGGAAGAAGTTCTGTGATGTTGCTGCGTTTCAACTGTTCGCACATTTCTCTTGTGAACCCTTTTGATGCGAGCAGCTCCTCCAATCGATCCGTCATCGATTCTCCGCCACATCCTTCTAGAGCAATGCCACGGCCATTTTCTTGTACGACAGAATCCAGAACAGCAGTGACATTTGCCTTGCCGTAACCGACGTCAACAACAGTCGCAGTAATCGTGCCATAGGCATAGCACGCCGCGAGGGCTGAGTCCATAAGACAGAACGCAGGAGGTTTGAACTTTTCGAAAACGAACTGCGTCAAGATTTCGCGATCGCGCGCTGTCCAGGCTGGTTCGGACATGATCAGGATCGGGGTGTGGAATGGCGGGCTGAGAGTGTTGTATACATGTTCGAGCAAAGCGAGGAAACACGGCCAGTCGACAATATGCCCATTTTGTATAGGATATATGGCTCCCTCGTCCGAAACGATATCTTCTTCAAGAAAAGTTTCCTCCTTCGGCTCTGCTTCTTCCGGGTGGGTTTCTGTTCCATTTGTTCCTTCGGCAGCACTACTCGTCTCTTCTGGCTTCTTATCCTCTGTAGCGCCGTTCATGGTCTCAGTCTCTTCCTGCTTTGGCGCCTCCGCCATATCAACATCAGACTTCTCCTGTCCATTTGTAGTCTCGGTCGTAGTCTTGGTTGTAGTCTCGGTTGTAGAAGGTGCTGGTTTCTTTTTTTCTCGAATTTTGAACGGTTCATACTCGCCCTTCTTTTCGGCGGGGAACATGCGCGTGGGGAATCGGTGGCTTGCGGGAGTGAATGATTCCGGCAGACCTAATTGCGCGAGCGTGGTTTGCGAGCCTGGCGCGATGAGCTGATTCAAATTAGCGACTGTCGCAAGGGCAAGGATTGAAGATTCGTGGAGGATGCGCGACTTACCAGGACATGCTCATCCTTGAATTGAGGCATGTCGCCTTTCGCTGGCTGTAGCCTTATCAGCGACAACAAAAAATCTATCGATCAAGCAAAAAGAGAAAAAGACGGCGACACTGGGATGCTTGAGAATTGGAGGAAGTTGGAGATGTCAAGAGGGAAGCTCGATCAATTGCGGCGGATCAGCTTGGCGACGCGCTTTGCTCGACCAATCATGTCGCGGAATTCCATCTTCCAAAATCTACTCTCAACGTGCTTGTAACTCCAGTATTTCCATTGACAATATCGCTATCGCAATAAAAGTGTCTCCATTTCAGTGCTGAATTATTCGTCTGTTATATGCCTACCTATCATCTTGTATGCGGAATATAGCCCGAACCACGGGCAAGCAAGCCTACTCTATGCCAAAACATGATTTCTGTTGGACAGCTAAAGACGACCTAGAGTTTGTCCTACAGGTCATCGGTTATATGCACGCCGATATTGGCTCGGTGAATCCATCTTGTCACCGTTCCTGGTGCCCACTATCCATCGGCTTCCCGAACGGATCGCCGTTCTCTCCACGGTGCAGATGTATGTGTCTAGCACCTCACGCTAGGAGAGTCTGACCGAATCAGTTGTTGCCTTCATATACCAAGAGAAGACCGCTAGTATCTTGATGCCCTAATTACAACTACCACTGCTAGTATAAACATAGAGCCGACAGCGCAGTCGGCAACAGTCCGATGCCGCTTCAACCGGCGGCTCCACAGTCGAGTCGTAAATCCACAGCTGGATAGCTAGAGATTTTGATAAGTCAAGTAATCCTAGATATAAAATCTTCTCGTTGACTCGTTCTGTATCATGGATTTGTATCTGTGCAGTTCATGGAGGAATCATGGGAGAAACAACAATCTTTTCCGCGCCGAGCACTGACGGCCCGAACACAACAATTCCTAAAAAACCAGCAGTAGTCGGCTACTCCCTCCCCAAATGGCGCAAATACTTGATACTGTTCGTGATCAGCTGGCTCACCCTCGTCGTCACCTTCTCCAGCACATCCATGCTCATCGCAACCCCCGAAATAGCATTCGATCTCTCCACGACCTCCGAGATCCTCGACGTAACCAATGCCGGCGTGCTCGTAGCCATGGGTTTATCAGCCCTCATCTGGTCTCCGCTAAGTGACCTATTTGGTCGCAAAAGGATATATAATGTGGCCATTTTTTTCATGTTTGTGCCTTCGATTGGGGCTGCGGTGGCACCAGATTTGGCGACGTTTACGGCTATGAGGTTGGTGGGTGGGTTGACGGGGACGTATTTTATGGTTGCTGGGCAGACTATAATTACTGATATTTTTGAGCCGGTATGTTCAGACCTTACACTAGAAGAGTTGGAAGGTGCTTATTCTTCTTGTAGCTGTCCCGTGGTCAGGCAACGGGGTTCTTTATGGTTGGGAGCGTGGCTGGTCCTGCCCTTGGTAAGATACCTGATAGCACGCTACCTAGGCATAGATTCCAGCTGATAAGGCAGGTCCGTGTATTGGCGGTCTGATCGTCACATTCAGCCACTGGAGAAATATCTACTGGCTCCAGGTCGCCATGTCAGGCTTTGGTCTGGTCCTTTCTCTCATCGTCATCCCCAGCATCAAGCGAGAAGTCGAAGTCGTCCAGCATGCCGCCAAACAGAAGCTCTCATTCTTCGAAGCATTGCAGAAATTCAATCCTCTCGGCGTGTTTCGGCAGCTTCTTCAACCAAAAGTTCTACTCGCTGTAAGCATTGATCCCCCTTTCAAACATTGAAACGAAACTTACATAGGTAGGACGTAACGTGCGGCTGTCTAGCAGTCACCCAATACGGCATCCTCACATCAATCCCCCACGTCATAAACCCCCGGTTCAATCTCACCACACCCCTAATCAGCGGCATATTCTACATCGCTCCCGGCACCGGCTTTTTCGTCGGCAGCATCGTCGGCGGTCGTCTATCAGACCGTACCGTGAAACGGTACATCGCAAAACGGAACGGAATCCGTTTACCAGGCGACAGACTCAATGGCGGCTTGATAGGTTTGTTTGTGATTCTTCCGATTTCGTTGCTGTTGCTCGGATGGGGTTTGCAGGAGAGTATTGGTGGATTGGCGTTGCCGATTGTGGCTGCGTTTTGGGCTGGGGTTGGGTTGATGGGAACGTTTAATGCGCTGAATACGTATACAGCTGGTACTTCACCACCAATAATGAATTTGTGGATGGGCTATGCTAACGCTTAGGAGAGGTAAATCCTGCCAAGAAGGCAGATGTCATCTGCACCAAATACATTGTGCAATATTTTTTCGGAGCTGGTAGTTCGGCCGCTATTGTTCCTTTGATTGACGCTATTGGTGTTGGGTGGTCATTTACTTTCTGTACGCCTGCCTGTTTCTGTCCTATGCGTATTAAAGCTAACTCATGTGTAGTGGTCGCATTGGATTTTATAGGAGGTGGTCTGGTTTTACTAATTACCAGGTTCTGGACAAAAGTACCCGATGAATCCAGGTAATGCTCGTTGTTCTGATGATGAAGACATGATTTATGCATATAAGGTGATTTGATGTTTGAATTTTTGCATGATGATAATAGATATAAATATAGATTTGCATTCACCTAGCTTGAAACGAAGTTTATACCAAATCGAGCACCTTAGGGCTAGCCGTAAGTCGACACTTGACTCAATAAATAGGCTAAAAGCAGATCAATTCAAGTTAAATTTCCTGCTCCTTGAAACATGCATAGCTTGCCGATCATGTATAATTTCTTCGTAGTATTGATCTATTACCCCGCGTCTTGATAGGATGAAACAGCATCCATCCCTGAGTGTCGCGGAATATAGGCTATTTTAGTCAATGTTATGGCTAAACACTACCAGCACCTCTCGTCTCACCTTTCTTCATCGAGTCCAGCTCCCAATTTATCTCTTGCCGATAGATCACGTACCTATTGATTATTTAGATTTCCATCGCGACACTTGCCATATTCGTTACGTCAAGCACTTCACCTTCATCATGACTATCACCAACGACGAAGACGACGCCGAAAGGCAGGCATTTCTTCCTAGAGATACAAGTATTGAAGAAAAATCGCCTTCAAACACCGATTCATCGAGGTCGAAGTATTACTGGCATTACATACGATTAGCGCTAGAGATTTTTATGGCTCTCGTGATACTCATTCTATCTATTCGAATTTTTCATGACAAAAATGACAAAGACGACGGAAAGAGTAATTTGTCTCCGGTACCTGATTGTATGTTGACATACCTTGATAATTGGCTTGGTTTGCTAACACGAGACAAGTTCCATTAAAGACGTACACTTTCAACGAAGATACCAAATATTTGAATGAGAGTATGTTTAGTTCGAGGGATGCAACACTAAGGACACTGCACCATTGGGTCGAGCTGAGCTCAGGTACTAAAGCACAACCTCAGATCAGCAGATACAGCATCGCTGACAGATAGGTATATTATAGCTGGCAGAGGATACGTCCAAGTCAACGACTCCGACGCAATCGGCCTAAGTGAGCCATATACCATAGAAGTACACTCGCGTGATGAGCCAGTGTACATGATGTCCGTATTTCATCAGCTACACTGCCTTGTACGCCTCTCCCGAACTCTTTTCCATTCAAAAAACTAATTCGTATCAAATAGTCCTACCTCGTCCAAGCATACCAATCCGCCTTCACAGGCGCAGCACTAACCGAAGAACTCGCGCACCATTCTGCTCATTGCTTCGACTACCTCCGACAATCCATAATGTGCAATGCAGACACCACGCTCGAAGGAAAGACAGAGTACGAGCCGGGATGGGGGTCGATACACATGTGTAAGGACTATGATGAGATACTCAAATGGGCGAACGAGAGGACTGTAATGGCGTGGAGGGCTAATGCGGTTGACACAGCTATACTCTGATCAGCCCGCCCTAAGCTTGTTCTGCAGAGAGATATCAATCGTGTAAATAAAGTGAAAGGTATTCATCTATAGCCTATGTACAAAAACTCCAACTCCAACCATATCCTCCCAATCTATCTATGACTATCAGAACAGAAGAAAATATTACCGCGAAAACATGCCCGCTAAAACCCCAGCACCAATAATAACCCCATCCGTCGCCTCTCTCAGAAACACACTCTTTCCCCCTTCCTGCGGACCACCTTTGATCAGCAATCGGTCAATATACCGTTGACAATTCTCCTTGTACGTTGGATAATGCTGTATTATGCCGCCGATGTACGCAACGACCAATTCCTCGGGCCCGCCGAACCAATCTGGTCTTTTCTTTCCGCCGCCGGCAGTAGGGATTGAGAATGATGATGTGGTAGAGGACGGCAGACCGAAGCTGAGTTCGTGAAAACTTTTAGATGGTGAACTACTCAAGAACTGCGTCTCGATGCTGAATTGACTCGACGAGAAGGATGAAGAAGGCGCGTTTGGGTCGCGGAGAGATACCTCGTGGTTCGATGCCAGTAGTCCTACTGTGGCAGCAGCGACCAGCGCCGCGGAACGAGTCTGCACTGCCTGCGCGATTTCGCGGAGCGCGTTGGCGGTTTCGATGGTCCAGGACCATTCTGCCGGATACGGGGGAGGAGGGAGGAAATTCCCGTTGCCTCCGCCGGCAGCAGTGGTTTGGGCGTGGTTAAGTGTGTGCACGAGTGTTTGGAGAGGCAATTGTGCTGATATAATACTGATAATGGTCTCCGTGCGCAAAGCATACGGCTGCACGAGTGGTGCAGGGAGATATTTCTCCGCGATTCCCAAGACATTCACGAAATAGTCGTTGCAGATTATGCGGATGAGTTCGCCGATATACCGACCACCGGTCATATATTCTAGTGGCTGAAATCCGGGTCGCGCGGATCGAGCATCCAGTTGCAGGTCCCATTTTGTGAGTATGCCGTGCTCGCGTAGAGGTGCGGAGGCGCTATGGAGTGTCCATTCGGTGCTGACGAGCGTCTGCGCGGCGGTGGGTTCTTGACTCAAAATAATCCGTCCCTTTGAAGGATGTAGATCAGAAAGAGTCATGGGGATAGTTGCGTTACATCCTTCGTCAAGCACAATACCCATCGCGACGCGGCTGTTGGGGTATGATTTGATAGAGTAAGAAAGCGAGAGAAGGGTCGCGACGGCGTCGTTTGTGAGAGCAATAATCTTCAACTGGGGTAGGATATAGTGTCGTTGTCTTTTCGATGCTCTTGCCGTTCCTTCGTCCTGACTATCTGATCGGCGCCGCGTATGTCGTTCGTAGCCCTGGAGGATGGATTGTCTTAGATCCAGGTCTGTACCGATTGTAAATCCTTTGCCGGTTTGCATCAATGTCGCTGCTTCTAGCGATTCTTGCCTATTGTCGTCAGTATACTCCTGTCAATGTCCAGATTCAGGACAGAGTGCATCAGACAAACCTGATAGGAAGCCCAAACGCAATGCCCGTCTCAATAAACGTCGGCTGCTCAACATTTGCCCCAGCATTCGACAACAAATCATCCTTGACCACCTCCGCAATACAATTCCCAATCCACAGAAATAGCTCATGCGGCTCATCCTGTTTGAGGCGTTCCTCAATCCTCCAGGCCTTTTCGAGCGTTCTGCGAACTCGCGAATGCCTCACTTGGCGAATCACATTACTCATTGATCTTGGTCTAGCGTGGCCTTGGCCTCCTCCATTCTCTTCTTCGCCCAGTAACTCGATAAACGCGACTTTGAGCGTGGTGATGCCTACGTCAACAGCTAGGTAGCGCCCATGTTCCTTTCCCACGGGTAACCTCGTGACAGGCACAGGGCTAAACGATTCATCGTCAGTGTCGTTGTTGTTGGCTGCCAGATCACGAAAGACATGCGAAAACGAGCATGCGACGTCATACAACTGCGCGTCCGAGGTCTGGAGTGGACTAAGAAAGTCGCGGAGCGGTTTGCGGGCTGCTGCGAGACTCATTCTTTGATATGTCGATTCTCTCAGGTTTGCTGCAGTTGCTACTGGAGAAAACGTATCTATTGAGATTTTTTGCTGATTGACAGGCCAGTGTTCCCATGGTAGTGACGCGACAATCCGGCTGTTGGAAATCATGTCGAAGGCCGTGATCCTACTGTATACTTAGTATTGACCTTGTTCAGAATTCAATGAGTTGATGGTATACACTATGCAGCGAAGGCCATTGTGTCTTCTTTTCAAATTAGCAGGATTCTCTGTTTATTATGTATATATACACAAGCGATGTAACGGTGGGCAGAATTTTCTCTGATGGTTGTATCAATCCGCAAGGTGTAAGTTTAATCCTATCGGTATAGAGGAATATACTCGGTGTGGACTTTTGGCCACTGCAAGTCTGCAAGTGGATATATGTACATAATAATTATGACAGAAAAAAGAAAAAAGAAAACAAAAATCGAGAACCCTGTTAGTAGGCTAAGACATTATACGGAGGATGTACTATGTAGTGCTTTTCGATGGTTACAATCTCCTGTTGCGTCGGTCCACTCTGGGCCATCAAATGCACATGTAACTCAAATTGCCAACCAACCCTAGCTCCATCGCGAATACACGCCGTATATTGCACGCAATCTTGAAATTCAACCTAGTTCGTCGCTTAGCTCTGGGAATGGATTGGCTCGTAGCGTGTGTAAGCAAGTAAATTTAGCACATGGCTAAATTCTACGTCCTCTACAGGCGCCACCGGTGTTCTAGAGCTGTGTAGTTAAGTAGTAGGTGCCTACATAGTAACCCAGTCCTAGACAGTTAAATACCCTTCTCGATCCTGACCGACTGTACAATGCAACGAGATGCAATGTATCGCTAGGATGCACAAGGTTTGACTCTGATGCTTGATCAGCAGCATTTACTCGTTTTGGTAGATCAGTGCATATGTCTGAGATGTTAAGTACAAACGCAACGCCAAACACCTTATGTCCATGTTATAACGCCATCACATTTATTGTCAATGTCCCATGTTCAAATCAGCCGACCAATATAAACTTCACACGCTATGTTGTAACGCGTTGCCGTAGGTGGTGAGTACCCTTGTAAATCCCTCAAATACGATCATTTTCGAATCGCATCGAATCCGTCGAGAAACGGATGGTCACTCAGAGCCTGCGTTGAACTTCTGCCCGGCTGACGCAAATAGTTCCTGTTGTTGTCGTAGCAATTCCTCGGCCGTCAAACCGCTCTGTTCCATTTTACTCGCTTTCTTTTCCCGCGTCTGTCCATCGTTAGCCATCATTCTCTCTTCTCCTCGAATGATAGAACCCACCTTCAAAGCTTCCTTGTGCTCCTCCGCAACAGCAAGTACCTCACCAACATAATCTCCAAACCCGAGATCCCGCAACGCCTTTTCGACGTGTTCGCACGCAATCGTCTTTTTCGCTTCCTTTTCGCTGATATCGTTGGCCTCGGAGGAGATGAGCGTGATGAACTCGACGCAGCATTCCATTAATAGGTCGCGCGCATCTTTGGCGAAGGTTTGGCCGGTGGAGGGGGGCAGGATCTCGGTGATTATTTTTTGGACGGTTGCTTCGTATGTTAACTGTGTTCGATAGTAATTTGAGTTGTTGTGAGGGTAAGAATACCTTTTGGAAGCGATAGGTCGTCATTTGCTGCGCGTCGTCAGTGAGTACTTTAATGTTCGTGCATGTAGCAACGACTTACCGCCAAACTCGCGATCCGACATCTTGCCTGTAATACGACGAGTCGCGTAGATAGCTGCCTGACATGGAATAACAATACTGATTGAGACTCGACTGTCGCGGGGCCTTTCCTTTTGCCTGAGGTACAGTCGGAATACGCTAGTCCGTTCTCGGAAGCTCCCCACTTTCCCTTCCTTCCTTTTATTTTTCCCGTCGAGTTTTTTTCTTTCCTCTTCTTTCTTCTCTTTCACACAACAAACCATTATTATTCTGCAACATCTTTCTTGTGTTTATGCTCACTCGACTCGACTGACACTAACAACGCCTTGCAGTTCTTCGTAATTGGTATGTCTCACTCTACTATTCCATTGTCTATGTTCTACAAGATGAACTTTCGTGTCGCCCCTATCTTACCAAACCGTGGTGATTACCTGTCCCGCCAAAGGACTTTCTGAAGAATTTTCTTCTGATACAACCATCTCACTCATTGGAGAGTATGCAAGTTGCTGACTGCTGCTCAGAATAGGTAATAATGTACGTGCTACGTATTGCTATGACGGCTTTGGCTTGACTTGCATGATGTCGAATTATGTACTATCAAATTCGGATCCGATGTGATCGAATCTATCTATTCTGCTGATACGATTGTTTCACTCAATAAATGTGCTGTGGATTGCCTGAATAGGTGTTGACTTGCGGATTAGTTCCGAGATTCTGTCTCAAGTCAACATCACGGTATTTCAATGTAAGTACTATTCATCTACTTCAACCCGACGCGTGATGATGCCATACATTTCCATGCTAAGTATGAAGATGCTCGCATCTAATGCTTATAATGTGTATCTGCTTTTCATCTTTCGGCTGATGTCTTTAATTCAACGTCACAATTGTTTGTTTATTTTGATGAGCTTATGCTGACTTTACACAAGTTTATTTAGTCCTGGAACGCGGCGAGGTCTTTGTCGTTCCATCTGTAGTACGTTAGTTAGCCAATCAATCAATGCAGATCTCAGTTGAGTCAAAGAAACTCACGATATAAATCTCCCACTCAACTCCTTAGGCGCATCCAGCACCAACCGCGCCATCACATTCCCCGGCTGCTCCGGCTTTAATAACTTCCCATCTCTATGCGCCTCCTCGTATCTCTGAAGTGCTCCAGGCGGTAAATCGCTTGACTTGGCATGATCCTCGCGGATTTCTCGTTGCATCTCGGTGTCAACCATACCCGGTCGAAGGGAAATAGACGTGACATCCGGCTCTTCCACGCCCAACGCCATAGCGTAATAGTTGAGCGCAGCCTTTGTGGCACCGTAACATGCCCACCCGGTCGTCGCAGAGACCGCAGCGCCGGAGGACGTAAAGATGATTTTACCCTTGGATTTGCGGAGGGCTGGGAGAGCTGCTTTCGTCTGTCAAATGTCAGCCCAATTCGTCATAGCATCCAATACCAAAGATGGAAGCAGAGGGGGGAGAAACACACAAAAGTAACCAAACTAAAAAAATTAACGTCAAACCCATGCTTCCACAACTCCGCATCCGCTTTCCCTATAACCGCCACCTGACCCAAAACACCATGATTGAGTACCAACCCATCGAGACTGCCGAATTTGGACAGCGCTAGTTCTACGGCTTTGTCGCCGATTGTGGTATCTGTCAAGTCGCCCGCGATGTATTCGACGTTATTAGGGTATTGCGTCTTGAGAGTTTGGAGGGGTTCGGCGCTGCGGGCAAGCGCGATGATGTTGTTTGGTGGGCTGGTGGTGAGGAGGTATTTGGATATGGCGAGGCCGAGGCCTGGAGTTGTCAATTGTCACGTTCATAGACAAGAAGGGGGGAGTGATTACCTCGCGAAGCGCCGGTGACGATGATTGTTTTGGCTGCCATGTTTATAAGCTTGGAGACCTTTGAGAAAGGAATTGATTTGAAATGACGAAGAGGTGGGAGAAAAGATGGCACCCCCACTTCCCCAATTTCATCATGGCCGAGGTCATCGCTGTTACTCCGATAGTGGATGACATTCTACAATGAGCTGTACAACGAGCTGATAATGTATATGAAGCTTCTGGTTGATTCTTCTTATCAAGCAGGCGATATAGAAATGGACTCATAATGCCTGGTATCTATGCCGGGACCTCTCGATATCATGTCTACCCCGCTGCGGAGACGCCTTATGACATGACTCCAAATTGATTGAATCATCTACATCAACCTCCTCCAGCCAGCAGACACTGCAATCTGTCTCAACTCAAGTCAGCAACATTGAACCAGACACATTCAGTAAAATGGCAACAGTCATAATCGGCGGCGGCATAATCGGCGCCTCAATAGCGCACTACCTCAGCAACCCGTCCTCCTCGTCCAATGCTCTGCAAGACCACGAAATCCACGTTATCGAGTCCTCTGCTCACCTCTTCAGCGGTGCATCTGGCTACGCCGCGGGTTTCGTCGCAAAGGACTGGTTTGCGCCTGCGCTTGCGCCGCTGGGGAAGTTGTCATACGAATTACACAAACAGTTGGCGGCGGAGTATGATGGGAATAGGAGATGGGGATATATGACGGGGACGGCGTTAAGTTTGGATGTTAATCCTTCCAGTACAAATGGGGGCACGGGGTATGACTGGTTGCGTGATGGGAGTAGTAGAGCACTGGCGGCGAGTGGGACGAAAGACGTGGAGTTGGAGACGCCGGAGTGGTTGACGAAGCAGAAGGGGGGACGTGTTGAGGTGATTAGCGATGAGGATACCGTTGGTCAAGTGTAAGCTTTTCTTTGTTTGGATAACTATGCTCTATTCCTAATGGAATAGGGACCCCCTACGACTATGCCACTTTCTGCATGAAACGACTACCTCTCAAGGCGTGCAATGGCATCATCCTGCTCAAGTCGTCTCCGTGACTACCGATCCCACTACAAACCTCATCAGGAGCGTGACCGTCCTTAACTCCGAGAATCAGACAGAATATACCATCGCTTGCCGGAATCTAGTGATATGTGCCGGCCCCTGGACCAGTCTGGTCTACAAGACTCTGTTCCCATCTGCATCGGCAACTGATCGACCACACATTTCGTCGCTGGCAGGGTACTCGTTACTAATCCGCTCACCGCGTCATAGCCTATTGCACGAGCATGACCAATACAAGGGCAAAAGCCACGCTGTATTCACAACCTTACCCGAAGACGACGGCGGTTTCAGTCCCGAAATTTTCTCCCGCGAAGGCGCAGAAATCTACATTGCGGGTCTGAACAGCACCGAAATCCCACTTCCGACAAGAGCGGAGGGTTCAAAATCGATTATGGATGAGCAGCAAATGGCCAAACTCCGCAAAGTTGCAGTCCAATTTTTGGGTAAACTTGCGGAAAATGAGGAGACGGTTAATGAAGATGACCTGGAAGTCTTGAGGGAAGGGCTATGTTTTAGGCCCGTGTCGAGTACGGGGTTACCTATTGTCTCGCGCGTAAGAGATGAGTTGCTTGGTGATAAGATCAGTGTGAAATCAGATCATACGGCGGTTGGGAGAGAGATTGGAGGCGTGTTTATTGCGACGGGGCATGGGCCGTGGGGGATATCGCAGTCGTTGGGGACGGGCAAGGTGATTGCTGATATGGTGGATGGCATTGAGCCGGCGGTTGACGTGAGCGGGCTGTCTTTATAACTGTAGTTGTGTGTTGTATATACTTAAAGTTGTTGATTGTGTACATGATGTAGTGCAGAATGAATGATGCGGAGACACGACGCGTCTTCCCCGCGTTCCATTAATTAATCCTCTTTTGTCTCGAAAATTTCCCGCACTCTACGTTTACCCTTCTATGCTTTCAGCACTGCATTTCTTTATTTCTTTAACAATTGAAATACTCTGTGTCCACTAATATAATGGCCTCTATATACGAAGGCGGCTACAATGACAGCAACCGCGCCTTCCTACAAGCCTTCATGGCCCGATCAACCATGMCCTTTGACGAAGCCAAGCCAGTGCTAGCAGCCATATTCTCTGCTCAAGGTACTCCCTCCCTCTTCATCTCACCTAATTAAGCTAATCAATAAAGAAAATCGCGAAGTCCTCGCCGAAGACATAACCCAAGCCGATCTCAACTCCTACATCGCCGCCGCCAATAGCGCCATATCTCCCTTTGATCTCGAAATCCGCAGCGCAAAGCCTCAGCTCGCACTTGATAATAATAATAGCAATAACAGCACACCGGCCGCGATTGTCTACGCCCTCGTAAACACAACCAGCGACCCCCTCACGCAACTGGCAACAACCTACACCGTCGACGAAATCGCATTCGTGAAACGCTTACTCGACGCCATGTTCGAGACACACAATACGCGGCGGAGCGAGGCGATGGTGTTGTCGAGTATACAGGCTATTCAACTAGCAAAAGTCTCTTCCTCTTCTTCCCATAACGCTTCGGCGTCTGGGTCGACAGAAAATGCGAATCAAGGCGGCGCCGCACAGTCTCTCACAATACCCCAGGCAGAAACCATGCTGGCACGGTTAGTCGAAGAAGGCTGGTTCGAGAAAAGCGCCAAAGGATTCTATAGTCTTAGTCCGAGGGGACTGATGGAGTTGCGTGGTTGGTTGGTGGATACGTATAATGATGATGACGATGAGGAAGGAGGAGGGAATAATAGGGGGAAGAGAATTAAGTTTTGTGCTGCTTGTAAGGATATAATCACCATCGTGAGTCTCCCGAGTGAATTATTGGAGTATATGGAGGAGAGGAAAGGGTGCTGACTTGACAGGGCCAACGATGCGCGAATCGCGATTGTGCGGGTCGGTTACATGATACTTGTATAAGGAATTTCTTTCGCATGCAGCAATCGGAGAGGTGTCCGGTGTGCAAGGCCGAGTGGCCGGGTAATAAGTACGTGGGAGAGAGGGCGATCACGACGACGGAGCAGTATATGCAGGGGAGGAGACGGAGTGCGAATACTGCTGCTGCTAGGCAGTCAGGTGCTGGTGTTAATGACCAGGTTGATGACCAAGCTAATGGGGATGCGGAAGACGATGAACAGCAAGAAGAGGAAGAAGAGAAAGAGGAGGAGGATGAGGATGAGGATTAATGAATTCCGGATGATGTTATGATTGTGTATAGTAATCGACGAAGCAATACGGACTATGAGACTATGCTGGAAGCATGCTGAAAGAATCTACATGGTAGATCTTTGCTTCATAACCACAGAGGATGCGTACAATCTACCTTGGCGACTTCCTCACAGCACCATCTATCGCCTTTGCTACATGCACGACATTTGCGGTAGTCACTACGATATATCAGTAAAAACAGCAAGTAGGCTTAACAAAACTCACAGCCGGCAATTGATATTCGCCCACTTTTCAGGACATAAACGTGGTGATCCGCCTGCATGATGTCCACCTGCTCAGGAGTAAGACCGGTGTACGAAAACATTCCAATCTGAGGACGATATCAGCCTGCCCTTTGAAGGAACGATATTCTGAAGAGAAAGAACTGAATCTGAGTGCCTACCTGTGATGGAATATGGTCCCAATCCCCTGGCGTCCCTAAAGAAACCAACTGATCTCTAAGCGCCGTGCGCATACCTTTGATCCTCTCGGCCATATCTTGCAAATCCAACAGCCATTCTCGGTACAAGCTAGGAGTCGTCAATATCGCAGCCGCGATTCTGCCTCCTCTAGCAGGCGGATTCGAAACCTGGCCACGCTGTAAACGCTCAAGCTGGCCTACCGCCTTTGTCGCTGCTTCGGCCGAGGAAGTGTACAGATGAAAGGCGCCTACTCTCTCGCCGTAGAGGCCCATGTTTTTGGAGAAGGACTGCGCAACTGCGAGCTCGAGCGTTTTCCGGGATAGGAAGTGTCTCACGGCCCAGGCGTCTTCGTCAATGTTGCCGCTTGCAAATCCTAAACTACGCTATAAGCATTGCCAACTGGAAGGCGCAACGCACCCCAGCCCTAACGGGGATACTCACTAGGCACAATCAAAAAACGGAAAAAGGCCCTTCCTCTCACACAAAGCCGCAATAATTTTCCACTGCTCTTTGCTCGGATCAACCCCCGTGGGATTATGCGCACAAGCATGCAGTACAATGACATCCCCCCTTGTGGCTTGTGTCTCCMACGTTTGGATCAGATTCTCAAAATCGAGTCCCTTCTTCTCAGCATCCCAATATGGATAGCTCTTGACCTCGACTCCGCCCACCAGACTCCAGATGTTATAGTGATTTACCCATGTGGGATCGGATAGCCAGACTGCAGTCGGATTCAATGCTTCGCGCAAGAAGCGAGCGCCGAGACTGTTGGCTCCTGTGCCGGCGAGTGTGTGCACGGAGACGAATTGGTCTGCGTTAGTACCGTCGTCCAATGGACCAAAAAGAAGATTGCGAGCTGCGTTGTGGAAGGGTGCGTAGCCGGTGATGGGGAGATATTCGTATCGACCGGAGTCTTGGGTTTTGTCGATGAACTCTTCGGCCTTTGTCGAATCTTTATTAGGCACAATTTTCGCCGAGGAGTTTCTCGGACTCACCTTTTTGACGGTAGGTAACACCCATGGTTGCGAGTTGTCATCTCGATAAATCCCAGATCCTAGGATGACTTTCTTCTCGTAGTCATCCGCGGCGAAACGCCCTTTCAGTGCATAGTGCGGGTCGAGAGGTGCGAAGCTGAGATTAGAGAATGAAGAAGGAGTGGTGCTAGCAGACATGATGTTACATACGTTGCTGGCTGGTTGTTTAAGGTTGTTTGATTGTTTCTTCTCAGTCAGTTTACCAACAAGCGTGTTGTGCAGAGTTTGGTTTACTGCTTGATGCTATCTCTATCGGCTTCAGGGACAGAGTCAGGCCATGAGTAGAGGCATGTCAAAGAGCACGTAATCCTTTATGTACTATGTGGCAATTGAGAACACAACTACCCTGACTAATGCAATGCATGAGCGTTATGACTATGACTCAAGAAGTAGCATGCGGCATCCTTGCGACTTGAGAATCGTTACTGGCTTGTAGTCGCGTGCTGCGGACATTAAGAAAATGCCCTTATTTGGTAGCGTAGTTAGGGCTAGTTTTCAAGTGAGTCATACCAGTCTAGACTGACCACAGCGGGAATTCATTTCAACCATTGACATTTATACTTAGAGATGATTCATATTATTTATATTTCATTATATAGTTGAATGATTGTTACTAATTTCTATCTAATATGATGCAAGTATAATAAGACAATCTGAGCGTTTGGAGGTGTGGCCAGAAGGCTGAAATCAAGCAACCAAGCGAACCGTTTAAAATACTACAATATATTTCGCATGATTGGGTTTTGTTGTTTGTTGGACACACGTGGAGTCGGCTATGTAGGATACGCTGGATAGATGGTAGACATCAAGACGACAAAAACTAATCCCGCGTTCAACGAAGGTGAGATTAGGTGAGACCAAAGCCCTAAGCCTAAATTGCAAAGAGCCATATGTCCTACGTACTGAGATCACTAACAATCCATGCTTAGTGACTTGACTACGTATAAAAATTTTGTTTCTCCGCAGTCAACACGGGAAATCCACCGGCCCTGAGCCCGACGGATTCGAGGAAGTTTCTCTACACCGGCCACCCGATCAGACCCCGATGAGAGAATAAGAGAACCGTGCACCGGCTGTGAGGAATTGACCTTCCTGATGCAGGCAGACTCGGACCGCAGAGACAAAAGATGGAAAAGTCTAGAAGACCTGCTAAGGAACCAAGTACCTCCTCACTAACTTGTTTGGAAGATGACGGCAGCGATCGCGTTTTGTTGTATTGGTAATACAAGCCACCGGGTGTGTGGCGTTCCCCGCACAGTTTGTTCTTTTATTACGTGTAAAATTGAGTTTGATCTGCGTATTGCCTTGAACTGTAATTACAGACTTTCGCAATCTTGGTAGCCGCTTTCCAGGAATCCCGGTTACTATGACGCACTGTGATACAGTCAGCCAATCAGCTAGCTCCGTTCAATACGGCCGATCATAATCCCGTATTGATACGGTATTGTGGAGTTTGTGGGGAAGCTATTCGCAAAGCCAGAAGAGTCCAGAAGAGAAATCCCGCCATAGTTTGTAATATGTCTCTTTAATAAGAGCCAGGTTCCCCGGAATGTTTTCTTTTCTTCCTTTTTGTCACTTCCTACTACATAGCCACGTTGGGATCGGCACTGCAGGTATTGTACCTGATTGCAGTTGATCATGTATAGCGCAACGGTGAGTTCTACCACTACGTACTAAGAATCACGTCCCTCATCTAACTGTGTATAGCTCCTTCAGGCTTTGTGCCTTCTTCCTCTAGTCGCAGGTCTCCCGTTCAACGAGCGAGTTGACCAAGTCCTCCGCTCTTATGATCTGACCTCAAGACTCAACTCTCGTAGTCCTAAACCTTCAAAACATGGCGGCACCTACCAAACTCAATTCACCGGCGTAACCTGGGACCAACGCAACTGGCGCCTCCAGAGTACTGTCCTGGACCAGGGCCACTACGAATCCCGCGGTTCCATCGCTAACGGCTACATTGGCCTCAACGTCGCCGGCGCCGGTCCCTTTTTTGAGCTCGATACCGCCGTCGACGGCGACGTCATCAATGGTTGGCCTCTGTTTTCGCGTCGACAGACCTTTGCCGGGCTGGCAGGCTTTTACGATTTGCAGCCTACAACTAATGGATCGAATTTCCCTTGGTTGGATCAGTATGGTGACGATAGCGCCATTAGCGGTGTACCCCATTGGGGTGGATTGGTCCTAGATCTGGGTAATGGGGAGTATCTTGATGCGACGGTGGATAATTCCACCATTTCGGATTATTCGACTACCTATGATTATAAAGCTGGTGTTTTGTCGTGGGATTACAAATGGACTCCGAAAAATGTCAATGGGTCGTTTGGGATCAAGTACAAGATTTTTGCGAATAAGCTTGATGTTAACCAGGCTGTGGTGCAATTGAGTATTACGCCGTCGGCGAATGGATCGGCATCTGTGGTCAACGTCATTGATGGGTATTCTGCTGTTCGCACGGAATTTGTCTCGTCGGGGAATGAGAGTGATGCCATCTACACCGCTGTTAAGCCTGTTGGCGTGAGCAATGTTACTGCATGGATCTATGCTGCCTTGGATGGAGACGATGCTTTTGATTTCTCTTCCGCGACGCTTGTCAACGACAAGCCGTACGTGCATCAGAACGACTCTTCTATTGCGCAATCCGTCAATGTTACCTTTACTGCCGGTACTACTATCACGATCAACAAATTCGTCGGCGCTGCTTCTACTGATGCGTTCCCCGACCCTCAAAGCACCGCTAGAGAAGCCGCTCTAAAAGCTCGTCGCCGAGGCTTTGACGATCTCTTCCGCTCTCACATCTCCGAATGGGCTCAAGTCATGCCTGACGATTCCGTCGATGACTTCACGCTTGCAAATGGCACTCTGCCCAATGACACGTTCATTATCGAGTCCGCCGTTATGGCCGTAGTCAATCCTTATTATTTGCTGCAAAACACCGTTGGACCGAATGCTCTTCGTCGGGTTGACAACGCCCCCGTCAATGACTGGAGTATCCCCGTCGGCGGTCTGACCTCGGATTCTTACGCCGGACAAATTTTCTGGGATGCCGATGTCTGGATGCAGCCTGGCCTGGTCGCTGCGTTCCCAGAGTCCGCGAAGCGCATCACCAACTACCGAGCAGCCATTTATTCGCAAGCTTTGGAAAATGCAAAGACAGCGTACACCAGCTCGCAGAACCAGACTTCTTTCTCATCTGATGCTGCGATTTTTTCCTGGACCAGTGGACGATACGGCAACTGCACTGCTACCGGCCCATGCTGGGATTACGAGTATCACTTGAACGGCGACATTGGCATCTCACTTGTCAATCAGTGGGTTGTCAGCGGTGATAACGATACCTTCAAGAACACGCATTTCCCAATCTACAACTCTATTGCCACTTTGTATGGAGATTTGTTGAAGAAGAATGGAAGTTATTACACGCTCACTAATATGACTGATCCTGATGAATATGCAAACAATGTCGATGCCGGTGGATATACCATGACACTGATTTCGCAGACCTTGTCAAACGCCAACGCATTCCGGAAACAGTTTGGTATGGACGAGAACTCAACTTGGACAGATATGGCAGACAACGTTCTTTTGATTCGCGAGAACGATGTGACCCTCGAGTACACAACCATGAACAACAGCGTGGCTGTCAAAMAAGCCGATGTGATTCTGTCCACTTATCCACTGGATTATACAAAAAACTACACCACCAGCGCCGCTCTGAACGATCTAGACTACGTATGCCCTTTTTTCTGCTCACTTATTTGCTTACCCATCGCTCACTGACGTTATAGTACGCACTGAAACAATCCCCCGCCGGTCCCGGCATGACATACGCCATCTTCTCCATCGTCGCCAACGACGTTTCCCCGTCTGGCTGCTCAGCATACACCTACGCCCAATACTCCTACGACCCATACATCCGCGGCCCATTCTTCCAATTCTCCGAACAACTGCTAGACGACTACACCGCTAACGGTGGCACGCACCCGGCCTTCCCATTCTTGACGGGCCACGGAGGCGCAAACCAGGTTGTTCTGTACGGGTATTTGGGTCTGAGGTTACTGCCCGACAATGTGTTGCATATTGATCCGAACCTACCACCGCAAATCCCCAGTGTCAAATATCGCACATTCTACTGGCGCGGATGGCCTATCCAAGCTGCTTCGAATTACACGCACACCACCATCCAACGTGCAAGGAGTGTCGCTCCATTGTCAACCGCCGATCAAACCTATGCCAACAGAAGCATTTCTGTGCAAGTCGGCCAGAATACCGTCAATTCGACAACCTATTCCCTGCCTGCAAACGGATCTGCAATCGTCGTGCCCAACAGACAAATCGGCTCCATTAATACCGTCGCTGGCAACATCGCACAATGCAAATCCGTTCTGTCGACAGATGCGTATCAGCCAGGCCAATACCCCATCTCAGCAGTCGATGGCGCGGCGTCAACGAAATGGCAGCCCGAGTTTGCCGCGAACATCAGCTCTTTGACCGTCGACCTGACCAGCAGCAACGCCAGTACTGTATCCGGATTCTATTTCGACTGGGCACAAGCACCGCCTACCAACATCACCGTCCTCCTCCACAACTCCTCAAGCGCCTCCCTAACCTCTTCAAATTCCAATGGTGGCAGCTCGACAGTATCACTCAACGTAACAATCTCGGATCCCTACGACGCATCGACGTACAACGCGAACGTTATCACGTTATCGTCTAGTAACACGACAAATTATACGTTCCCGGCGCCGGTGTCGAAGCCGAGGTATGCGACTTTGTTTGTCCAGGGGAATCAGGCGCTGGATGAGACGGACTTGAAGGCTGGAAATGGGACTGGGGCGACGGTTGCGGAGTGGGCGATTTTGAGTTAGGTTTTCGTTCAGATAGTAGATATTTATATGTATATGTATGTCTTTGATATGTTCATGACAATGTTTCAAATCAATATATGTTATGGTGAAATAACGGTGCCTGCGGCTGGGCTAGAAATCCTAGAATGCCATCTCATTATTGTGCATGACAAGCAAAGCGGCAGTCTCATTGGACCCTGTGTAACAGCAAGCAAGGCTGGAGCTTCTTTGTTACGCACCAAAGCATGAAGAAGAACCAGAGCGCTAGCCCTAACTTCAATACGGTGTACGCGGGCTACCATTTTCAGGGCATGTTCCACCACAAGGACGCTTTTGATGCTCATGCATATTTGTAGATCTGGTGTAGATTTAGAGTTGCCATAGCATAAATAGGGCGGACTTGCATATTCAGCCGCAGTGCGGGGAACTTATATCAACTCCTCACTCACCAAATCAACAACATCAACAGCGACGACAACGAAAAGATATAAATGGCGAATAAAGAGACCTTCTACTTCTACGCCCCAACCTGGGACTATCCTCCCCCGCCCCTCGGCCCTCTAAAGCTGGGCAACGTCTTCACAGATCTGAAGAGMCCCGCCGAATCAATCATATACACCGCACCGATACCCTCTACAGCCGATGTAGCAGAAGGGTCGGTACCGTATTCAACGTACAAAAAAGACGTAGAGATATCAACCGAAAAGCTTCGCTCAGGCCGATTTGCGATTCTGACACAGTTTCTGTCTGTACTAGGTGTTGGCGTTGATTTAGGGGTTGATTGGGATAGGGGGTAGGCGTATCTCCCATCGAGCTTTCTTTTATAATAATAATGTATTGGATATGGTGTACAGAGACGACGAAACTCTCCACTTCTCCACAATAACAACCACCCAATTCCACCCTTCTTCCTCCTGGATGCAATCCCACTGCGTCGACGCCTCTGCAGATGTTCAGCGCTGGTTCGATCGTTCCCGCTTTAGAAAACCGCTCTACCTCATAACGGGCCTCAAAATCGTCACAGGAGATAAATCTGCGGAAACGAAAACCACCCGTGGTGGAGGAGTGGATGTGTCGGCGACCGTGGATGGGACGATTTGGTCTGGGGGCACGGTACCGCTTGGTGGAGGGCCGAAAGTGGAGGTTCACCAGAAGAATACGAAGGGAATAAAGTGGGGGGATGGAGGGGATTTTGTGCTTGCGTTCAGAGTTAAGAGATTCAAGGTTTCGAAGAGGAGCGGGATCAAGGATGGGGATTATACGAGAGGAAGTATGCTGGGACATGATCCCAAGGAGATTGAACAGGAGCATGTTGTTGTTGTTCTTGAAGATGAGGATGAGTTTGAAATTGAGTCTCTGGATCCGGATTGGGAGGGTGTGCGCGTCAGTGAAGGCGATGAGGATATCATCGTTGTTGTGCCGAGAGTTGACAAACCTGAAAACTAAAAATTGGCTTTTAAAGCTGTCTTTATGATCGCCCATGGGGATATGTACTTTCACATTTTACACATGTTACTATCTACTGACTCAATAAATCACGAAGGGTATAATTTATAAACTCCCGCTCCTTCCCAAACAGATTATCCGAGTACCGACTCAGCGCCACATAATGATAATCATCCCTCGATCTTGATTCCTGCGTCTTCTCCGAAATTTTGCGTAGCACGGCTTTCATGCGCGACTGCCTTTTGAGCATGTGCGCGTAGTCGGGGATGTTTATCCTGACGTACTGCAGCAAAAAAGCTGCGATAGAGACTGCTATAGGTGTCGCAAACGATGTCCCTGATTTATGTTTTGTTCCGCTTGGCGTTTGGCTATTGTTATTGCTGGGCTCGCACAGCCTCAAAGGCCAGGAAGATTCGACTGCCTCCCCGACTGTCGCGAGGTTGAGTGCGTCAGCCAACGCCGTTGGACTGAAAGGCGACCGATTCCCGTTTGCGTCGGTCGAATGGATACAAATCACATTCTCGTCGCGCGCTGGGTATGCCCGGTCGAGATTTGCGCCGCTGTTGGAGGCTGCGGCGAATAGAAGAGTGTGATTGGAGTATGCTTTGTGGATTGCAGCTTCGAGTTTGTCGTAGTCCTCGATTTCGCGGGTAGGGAAGCCAAAGGACATGGATATTATGTCGACTTTCCATTCTTCGACGGCATAGTCTATAGCCTATTGCCTGTCAGCATATACGATCCTTCTTGTGCTAAGAGTGAACGTACCTTTGCAATATTACCAGGACTGCAAGGACTCCCATCCGATATCTTCGCTATATACAACTCCGCATCGGGCACATATTCCAGCAGTAATCCCGCAGTAAAAGTGCCATGTCCGTTGTGATCCTCGACATGTTTTGGGAATTTTTCATTGGTCCAGTTATATTGTCCCTTGATTTGCTCGATGCATGCATCAATGTCTGGATGTGTCTGATCAATACCCGTGTCTAGGATGGCAATCTTGACTGGGGCTTTGGATGGGTCGACTGTATATTGTTCATACACTTCTTTGAAACGAAGGCGCCAGTTCCTGTAGTTGATGCGTCTATGAATTCGAATGTCAGTAATCGAACTTCAAACCAGGGACTAGTGGCTATCTCACGCTTCGGCCGAGTGCTCCTCGGAAACAGTCTCATCATCGAAGAATCGCATTCCTTTGTAGTCTAATTGACTTAGCTTATCCTCCTGATATGTTGGATTTTGGTAAGGAATTGATTGTTGAAATATTGGTACAATCAGTGGCGAGCCGAGGTGCCATTGCCCTGGAAGGAATAGCTGTTGCAATTGCTGCTGCTGTTTTAAATTGAAATCCGACTGGTACGGCGATTTGGGCGTAACCACTGGCTGAGCACTGACTTGCTGCTGAATCTGGGTGATTTGACCCCAACTTCCGAGATCCAAAGTCTGCGCAATGCGGTCTAAATCTTCAATAGGGATATAGCTGAATGCATGGTTCAGCTCATCTTCCAACGGTCGTATGACCTCCTGGTATATCGTGGTCTTGAGCGTCTGGTCATCCAGTCTCGCTCCATTCTCGTCTTCCCAAACTTTCGGGTCGAGGCACTTCTCAACCGCGTAGTGAAATTGAGAGTTTTCGGGTATTTCGCTTTTGCATTTTGAAAACACCAACTCAGCATCAATTGACCTGGTACGATCGTTCAAAGGGATGTTATACTTTTCTGCGAGATCTTCGAAAGTTGTCGCTAGGTACAACTCCATAAGAACAATCCCTAGCGTGACGAGATGAGGACACTGGTGCATCATTATGTCGTCGGGATCTAGATCATCCGGGTCAAAATCGTCCGGATCTATGTCTTCAGGTTGTGCATTTTTGGCATGGTCGCGGGCAAGTTTGGTCTGAATAAACGGTTTCAATGGAATGGACGAGGATGTCGTATAAAAGAATAGTATACTTGATGGTCCCCAAGTAGACGGCAGCCAGGGGGTTTCATGGAGATATAGAACTGTATAACCGAGCATTACTGCAAGAATACGCTTTGTTTTATCCGTAAGCGATCGGTACTGGTCTTGGATAAACTGCTGTAGCGATACAGGCGGCTTGCTTTCATCAATAGCAAAGCAACACTTCTCAGAGCGCAATTTCCACAATCGCCCGTCATCATCGACCCTCAATTTGATGCGATCAAAGGGCTTTCTCTTCTTGATAGGTTCGCATAGATTCTTCACTTTCATAGCGGGGAGCTTCTTTCTGCCACTGTCGTCCTTGTTGAATCTGATTGCTGCACCGGTTTTTGCAACGTTCACATTTGCCTCGTGCCACTCCTTCTGTATTGAAAGAAAAATCTCAAAGCCATAGTCAGAATCAGCAAGGTCCCTTTCATTGCTAGGTAGTTTGCGGAATGTGCTCAAAAACAGCCTCACGCCGACTTCGTGCGTTGGGTCGCATTCACACTCTTTTGATTCTAGCAAAGCCCGGAACAATGACTGAGAGGCATTCCAAACGGCATATGATGGTTGTCCTCTGCTCTTACTTTGAGGTAAAGGGCCATCGGCCCATAGCGAGGGATCGTCCGGATATTGTTCTGTGATATCATCCTCCCAATCCTCCAAGAACTGGATCAGCCTGTCAGGCTGATCCGTGTCGCAACAAAAGTCGACATATCTTTGCACGAATATCTTCTTCTTGTCACCACTATCATTCCGCACCTTGTGCCATGCTTGGTTCAACGCTCGTAGTCGAGGGTATAGATTTGCGGGGGACACCGATCGCGCATCGAGGACAGAGGATGTAACAGTCGCTTCGAAACGGTTCAGGATGTCGACAAGGAGCTGATGGTCGTCTGCAATGGAGGACCTGACTCGATTCATATGATGTCGAACCAAAAGACAATGTGCCATAAAACTGGCGTAGAAGTTCTTTGACTCGCGAGAGGGGCCATCGCTTCTGAGTAGTTTCGCAATCTCGCGAAGCGTTTCTGCTGTATTAAGAAGAAGGCTGGCATCAGAAAGACTGCCAGATGAGTCAGAGGCCACAGCCATAACAGAGGTAAATACAGCGCATCCCCATCGGTCGCCTGTATCGTTCTTAAATTGAGAGGGGGAGTTGAAGGCGTGTATTAGAAAAATAGAGGGGGTGTTGACGAATCTGACGATTCAGCTGGATCAGCCTCATTGCTCGGCACGGACCGCATTACCCACTAGTCCCAAGTTTTCCTTCCCCGCATCCGCCTTATCAATTCTTCATCATCCGACGACTGTTCGCATCAGTAAATGAGGCTCAAGCGCAGATGAATTCGGAGCCGACTATAGCAGAAACAGCTGGTATCTGTTTCAATGTATTCCAGCAATGTCTGGAGAAGTCGGCCTTCATCTCCCCGCGGGAGATGTCGCGGGTCGAGGATCAGTTCGCGAGATTCTCGTTGTGGACGGCCAATATAGGAGTCTTTGCTTCGGGACGAGCATCATTAGACCACCGTCTCAGGGAGGCACAGGAAGTCCATGAAGTGATTACTGGGCTGTTGGAGGCATTGGACGATAAAATCAAAGAGTGTAGGTAATGCGACCGAAGTAAATAATGTGCATACCAGGCTTACTCAATCACTACAGGCACCTCTTATTTCAAGTCATTTATAGAGCCTGAAGGCGATGATGCCCATGAGCTTGATCAAGAAAAGCTAGACAAGCACATTCAAGGACTTGCAAATCAAATTACCCTTCTTCACCGGTTATCGAATACTATTCGAAAAGCCAGCAGTGAAACACAAAATGCGAAAGCTGCCAACACGTTCAAAATTCTAGATGATGAAGGAAATGACGTGGAACCACTGCTACAGATCATTTTTGCCAACTACGTGCGCGATAAATTCCGCAGCATTGATGAGAAAATCCTACAACGACTTGTCCGCGCAATGATAACGCGCCGGAAACGAGTGCTATATAAGCGATCACGTTTTGGGAATATTGCTGTCAGAGTCAAAGAGACAAAGCCTCAGCCAAAAGTGCAGGCACCTCAAACACAGCCGCAAAATGACCCTGCTACGCAGAAATTACCACAAGCAGGGAGGGAAGAAAACAACGCCCTTAAAGAAGGCGAGACTGGAGCAAATTACAAATCACAAGCTGGGGTTAGTGCAACCACCCTAGCGGTAGATAAATTCAAAAAAGCTTCTGCGCCTTCTGTCATTTCTGGGACCAAAACAGTTGCTTTCGACAATCATGAAGATCTCCCATTCCCAATCCCGCCTCTTGGTCACGTCAGACGCAGATACAAGAAAATGAAAAGGGCACTAGAGGAGCAACATAAAAGTTACATGGCCACCATTTCAGGAAATACCATAGGCGCCAACGTTGATATAACAGTTGATCTCCAAGTAAAGGCGGATATCAAATTATCGAGAGAGCTCAATGAATGTTGGGACCAATGCCTTCGTGCCGTAGGCGAGGTGACGTGCCCATTCTGTTTCTATGCCATTTCGGCATTGGATATAAGCGATGACAACAAGTGGAGGTAAGCCGTACTTTCCTATCACAAATCCTTCTTCTATACTCACCTTGACAGATCACACGTTCGGAAAGACCTTGATGCCTATGTTTGTCTGTTTGAGGAATGTAATGACCAAGACAAATTGTTTGGTCATAGCGAAGAATGGCTACGACATATGCGAGACCATGCATTACGTTGGCCCTGTAACTCAAAATCACACGGCACTATAGTCTTTGACTCGCGAGACGAGTACATAAATCACCTGAAAGAAGCCCACAAAAATACATTCAGTGACGCCCAGCTACACGTCCTCGCCGATAGAAATGCGCGAGCGATCGGAACACTGTTCACGTCCTGCCCATTTTGTGGATTTGATGATACGTCAACTGGTGTCAAAATTGAGGAGCATATCGTGGGTCATTTGAGGTTTCTTGCCTTGAAGTCTTTGCCACCATTTGAAGATGAGCGGTCGGAAAGCTCTGATGCCGAAAGCACCAGTTCGCGGATCTCGAAACCTCGCAAGAGAAGCACCATCGAGAATGACCCGGACAAAGAAGTAAAAACCGATTTCATGGATAATGGCCCAATAGTACTTCTTGATCAAGATGGCGAAAGCGTCGTTAAACCAGTCTTGACTCAAAACAGACCAAGAAGGAGAAGCATGGAATGGGGATTCGTTACGGAGGCTTTCGATGAAATGGTGAATGCGAATAATGACACCGTACTACAACATATTGCAATCCAGCAGGCTCACAAATCCAATGCTGTATGGAATGTATCCCCTGAGGAGATGGAGCATATTCGCAAAAAGTTTCTCCGCCCACATTCTATCGATATGCCAGATGAGCAACTCGCACCGTTCATCGCGAAGCACAAACGAAGAATGTGGATGGGAATGCCGCAAGACGAAGGATCTCGCGATCCGTCAACTATTAAATTGTCCGGAATTGATGAAGATGCGATACGCTCTTATCTCATGGAGACGAGGGCTGCTGGAACAGACACAGGAATTGTGAATATGCCGCATGATCGTCAATATTCGTCCCGATCTGTAACGAATCTCAGATTAGAATTGCGTGAAAATCAAACGACAGTTACAGAGACGGACCCAGATGAAGGAAGTTCTGTCAGGGGCAAGCATAGTTACACCACAGACATCACTGAGCTTTCCCCGGGGCCTCAATATGTGAGTCAGTATGTGAGTATTCCGGGAAGACGGCCAGCTATACCGTCAGAATCTGGAACTCGTACTACCTCTCGTTTCTTTGGGAGTCGACCGAAGCGAACTCACTCTGAAGATCTGCCCCACAGATGGGTTTCACCAGATCAGGAACATTTAAAAGAGGATCAGAAAGAGTATCAGAAAGAGTATGTAACCATTGATGACAACACTGGCTCAACCCCTGCTTCGATAATTGATAGAGGGAGGAGTTTGAATAGAATCCGGTCTGAAGAAGGCAATATTGATCCACGGTCAGGAATGCTCGATTTGAGTGTCACAACGATAGAGCCAGAGCGTCAAAGACAACCACAGAGTCCGGGAACGCAACCAATGCCAATAAGGTTGTTCCAAACACACGAAAACACAGCAAACAGGCCGCCGGTTGTGGGGCGAAGTGAAGTTGATAATATTTCTGAAAATCCTATAACTGGCGAGATCCCCAATGCCGTGCCTCGACAGGGTGTTGCAGGAAATTCTATACTTGTCAACTTCGACACTTCAAGCCAGCAAACTAGAGTGTCAAATCTCGATGACGGTGTTTTGGATGATATGATTCAACGTCTTCTAGCTTCACCCGGATCCTCACCCAAAACACTGTGTATCAGCAATGAGGAAATAGCAACCCTGTGCGCGGTTTCTCGGGAATTATTTCTATCGCAGCCCGTGTTGTTGGAACTAAAAGCCCCGATCAAAATCGTTGGAGATATACATGGCCAGTACACCGATCTCCTGAGAATGTTTGAAATGGGTGGTTTTCCACCGAATGAGAATTATCTGTTCCTTGGTGACTACGTTGATCGCGGCAAGTCAGGACTAGAGACAATTCTTCTGCTGCTATGTTACAAACTTAAATACCCGGAAAATTTCTTTCTGTTGCGAGGAAACCACGAATGCGCCAACGTCACCCGTGTCTATGGGTTTTATGATGAGTGCAAACGTCGATGCAACATTAAAATGTGGAAAACCTTTATCGATGTCTTCAACTGTCTCCCAGTCGCGGCTATTGTCTCAGATAAAATATTCTGTGTTCATGGCGGGCTATCGCCGTCTCTGGCACACATGAATGATGTTCGCGCTTTAGTCCGTCCGACAGATGTACCCGACTATGGTCTTCTCAACGATCTACTTTGGAGTGATCCGGCAGAGATGGATAAAGACTGGGACTCCAATGAACGCGGCGTGAGTTATATATTTGGTAAAAATGTGATTCGGGAGTTTCTGTCAAAGTTCGACTTTGATTTGATATGTCGGGCTCATATGGTTGTTGAAGATGGCTATGAGTTTTTTGAGGATCGTTTGCTTGTTACTATATTCACTGCGCCTAACGTAAGTCCCTCAGACCGACCTCACTGCGAGACCGTCAAGCTTTTCTTTTGTGGGTTTCAACTAACAACGCTTAGTATTGTGGAGAATTCGACAATTGGGGCGCAATAATGTCTGTAGCGGAAGATCTTCTATGCTCGTTTGAGCTACTAAAGCCCTTATCAGCGGAGGCAAAACCTATCAAAGCTGCAAAGTCATTGACAGCAAATATACGCGACAGATGGAAGAGATGGACGACTCCTGCACCAAAGTGAGCCACTTGGCGTGTATCATGTCCCGACGAGGAGTCAGGTGTTGTTCGAAAAACGATCTTTGTATATATCATCTGGCTTGGAAGATATCTAGACATTTGGTCCCGAAAGGAATGTCTAGCTTGTCACTGCGCATTAATGTCTAGCGGAAACGGACTGTTAAGGGGCCAACAAATCCAACCTGAAATTACTAACGGATGGACTTTGTAAATTGTGAATATCAAATCGAATCCGGGAGCCAGTGAATATGTTAGGGTGCATGAGCACTAGGCTGTGTTTAGGCGTATGATGATTAGCAATCTCCAGGACTATACCAGAGGATTCTCACTTTCACTCTTATACATATGCAGTAGAATAGTACAATCCGTTAAGTAACTATATGCACGTAAAAGAGAAAGATGTAGGTTCGTTCCTAATTCTATGAAAGTCTGAATTTTGTATCCTTGATGTCTTTGATATGGGGGAAAAAATTGCATTCTGATATTCCAAAAACGATAGATTTGCCGCGCAGATTATTCGTTAATATGTCCGTCCCATCCGCTTGGTTAGGAACGAAATGTTGAATAGTCGTAATAGAATACATAACATGGCATTCAATATTGTATTGCGACGTACTTATTGTTTGAAGTTTGAGTTGATTCGTCTAAAATTTCTCCAGAAAAGGACGACGGGGTGATCTTCAATTCGCTGGAGTCTTTTGCTGCACTAAGGTAAGTCTAGAACGATGCCACTGTATATAAAAGAATGATTAGCATCCCCTCACATGTATACAGAACTAGTGAACGTATGCTTACCTCGCCACAAGAAATGGGCTTAAACAACGCAGGGTGATTTTCATCGATGCAAGAAGGAACCACTTCGCAAATGGCATCCGGATTGAATCCCAGAAAAAATGGCATCGAGTACCGTGACGCGCTTTGTCGGTTGTATACTCTGTGGACGGTTGATTTGAATGTGTTGTTTGACAGGCGGGACAAAAAGTCGCCAATATTCACGACCAGCGTGCCTGGGATAGGTCGAGCATCTAACCACTCATCGTTGGCGGACAGCACTTGCAAGCCACCAGACATGTCTTGCCATAAGAGAGTCACGCATTGTATGTCGGTGTGCGATCCAATGCCGACATCGACATCTTTCGCTCCATCATCCCCGACGCCTGGGTAGTGTATGTACACAGCATCCGCCCCGGGATGTGTGATCATTTTGTCGAAATAGTCCTCGGAGAGGTTCAGTGCAAGAGCAAAAATTGAGACCAACTTGCGTGCGAGTGTAAGACGACGTTGCCAGAATTCAATGATAGTTTCGCGGAAACCTGGAAGGTGTCTTGTACCCTCCCACAGAAATTCATCGCCTCCATATGAATAGGCTTTATTAGCGAGCAATTCCTCAGGATTTGCAACTGTCGGGTCATTTTGTGGATCATATCTTATCGAGAACGTCTCCTTTTTGTCTGATCCATTTCAGCTGTCGGTTAGCAATCACAGGAGCCTTGATCTAGAGATATACATCCACGAAGACTGACCTTTAGTCTCCTTGAGGTTAATTTGCGTGCTTCCCACGCCGTGGAATCCCTCAGCAACCTTCGATTTGCGGTAAGAAACCTTTTCTTTCTCTTCATCCGACTGAGCAAAGAACCTCTTGATCTGGGATAGTGCATTTTCAATCAGATCTTCGGGAAGGCCATGATTCTTGACATAGAAAAAGCCTGTACTCTGTGCTGCTTTTCGGATCTGTGAAGCTAATTCTTTACGGCTCTGCAGGTCGCCGTCAATCAGGCTCAGGTCGATGACGGGGATTTCATCTTCTGTGGGAAGACGTGGAGGCTGAGTGGAAACGCGCCGATATTCTGGGCCATTCAGGGTGCGAAGCTCAACATAAGTATATCCTTCCTCGGTTACGGCTGGCATCTTGAATCGAGGATTGTCTGAAACCTGGTGTGCTCGTGTCAATATTTCCTTGTGTATATCTGCCAAAACTTCAGAAGAAAACAAATTGGAAATACGCCTTAATTAGTGCTCAATGGTTTCCGAACGGCTTCATTTCTTCATTTTTGCCTCTTTCTTTCTTCAACTCTGCATGGAGAAACGTCAATGCGTATGTGACTACCTAATAGCCCACGATAACCGTCGGGGAGGCATGGCCGACGGTTACCGTCGCCTTTCCGTAACCCCAATCTCTTGGCTGCTTCATCGAAATCGCGGAATGGCCACTCCAGCCACTGTGTGATAACGCCCTGTTCATGGCGACAATATGCCTGTTTTGTGAGTGGCTGAAATGGTATCTAATCTTTTCACGTGCTGCGCCAAGTACGAATCACCCTTGTTCTGCTATCAATCGCCGATCAAAGTATTGCCATTACACAGCAATGCATAAAGAGCATGCTCTTTCGCCTGTTTCAAGTCGAAAGTTGGTAACACTTACGACGTAATGAAGTATCGTTCTACAATACGAGGGAAAAGATGACTTCTATCGCAGCAAAATTCCACAACCAACTGCTGGTCCAAAGTGAGGACCAGCATGGTAACCTGCGACCTGTCTCTGCTCTCGACAATGATTCTATCAGACCAGTCCCAGTGAAAGACCGAAAATGGAACCAGCTGACTTACATGCTGTTTTGGCTTTCGGCAACAGCAAATGTCAGCAACTTATACTCCGCCTCGACTGGTATGACGGCGGGTCTTTCGATGTGGGAGGCAATTGCTTGCACGCTAGGTGGTCAGTTTTTGGCCGGATGTCTCATAGCGATCAATGGGCGTGCTGGCGCCGTCTATCGAATTCCGTTTCCTGTTCTCTGCCGTGCTTCTTTCGGCACCTGGGGCGCCTTGTGGCCCACCTTCAACCGTGCCTGCATGTCGATTGTGTGGAATGGTGTCAATTGCGTCCAGGGAGCCCAGTGTTTACAGTAAGTTGAAGCAAACAGGCACATCTCATAAAAGCAGGTCCTAATTAACACATTTCGGCAGTGTCTTTTTACATGCTATCTTTCCATCGATTGTAAATATCCCCGACAAGATGGGCTCAAAGTCTGCGCTGACATCGGCACAAATGATGTGTTTCTTCGTATACTGGTACGTACCACTTTGAATGGAGAATTCATTTCAAACTGAAATTAATCTTTGGTAATAGGATTGTAAACTGTGCTTTCCTCGTCATCCCCATACCGAAAATGAGGGGCCTCATCTATGTCAAAGTAGTCGCCTTCTTTGGCGCAGTCTTTGGTATGATAGGTTGGACTGCATCACTCGCTGGAAATTCTACCCAGACTCTCCATCAACCGGCAACAGTTAGTGGATCAACGAAGAGCTGGTTGATATGCAAATTCTTCTTTCTCGGACTTGCTAGCTGTGGCACTTTTATTTCCAACGCCGCCGACCTCCAACGCTACACAAGAAAGCCCAATGATCCAATTGCAGGACAGGTGATTAGCTTCCCACTCTCGAATTTTATCGTTGCTGTTTGTGGCAATGTCATTGCTGCGGCTAGCAAGAGGATATTCGGAGAAGTAAGTATACCCTACGTGATTTGTATCCATATATTCATATTCCTTCTTTACTAATCCGAAACCCTTTTTAAAGCTCATTTGGAATCCGTTGACTCATCTGGATATGCTAATGGAGGGCGACCGATACACTCATGCCAACCGCGCAGGCTGTGCTCTTATCTCCCTATGTTTGATGTTCGCGACACTCACCTCGGCTATATTCGAAAACTCTATCCCGTATGTGCTTTGTTCTTCTTCTTCTTCTTCTTCTTCTTCTTCTTATTGTCATGGATAATTGACGGTTTCTTGATGCAGAGCTGGTAACGATATTGCCGCATTACTGCCCAAATACATCACCGTTAAGCGAGGTTTCTTCATCTGTGCGAGTACGTCCTCATACCAACATCAATACCATGCTTTGGCACTTGATACAAACTGGAAAGACAGAGCCCTATGCGCTAACCATTCACTTAGTTCTCTCCTACGCCATTTGTCCGTGGTATTTGCTCGCTACGGCTGCCGTGTTCATCAACTTCCTCTCCTCTTATCAAATCTTCCTTTCCGCCATTGCCGGTATTTTGATTTGCGACTACTACCTCCTTCGCAAAGGATATCTAGATATCCCCCTTCTCTACAAAGGACGGAAGAGCAGTGACGGAAATCATATTAATAACATTTACTACTACAAAGGTGGATTCAATGTTCGCGCCTTTGTCGCTTACCTTATCCCTGTCGCCATTCATTTTTACGGTTTCCTCAATCAGATGGGCGTTTCTGCGCCAACCGGTATCATCAAGTTTTACTACGTCGCATATCCTACGGGTCTATTGATTGCATTGGGGTTATACTATCTCATTTGTGTCTTGTTTCCCGCTCCAGGCATCGATAGACATGCTGGCTGGAATGAACCGAAAAATTATATTGACGAGCATGATCTATCGGGAATTACCGAAGGTATAATCCAGGATGTAGAAGTGGTGGCGCAGTGTATCGTGGGCGAAAAGAGTCGCAATCTTTCAGAAAAGGTATTTTCTGAGGCGGATTCTGCTTAGACTTATTCGTGTTACTTTTGTAAATAGTGTGGTCTTCCAAGATTCAAATTTAATAGAGCGAGACCCCATATTTGATGTTGCCAATTCTTTTGAGTGTATATCGGTCAGAAAAGCCACACATACAACCAGCCCATGATCTAATCTTTTATCCTTTGATTTCCTTTACTGCAAACTCAACTCACCCCGAAATATTTCTACATTCATATCGATTATCGTTGGCTTTTCACAGACACCTGGTTAAGATGGCTAGTGTAAGATCCCGAATCCGTAAAAGATTTGATTTGGTGCCTTGTTGAAGAAACTGGTCGATGACAAAATGCCCCTCCAGCACAGCGCTCTTCTACATGACCTTCTCAAGGATCACGAGGTGCGTTTGATTTCTCATCATTTTGAAATGAAAGATGATGGGTCTGCTTATTTAAATTGCGATCCACCCATTTTATTCGCACCGTGTCCGCAGTCAGTTATTGCCGATCATCCTTTCGATCGACCCCAATCAATGTATCGATGGATTAGAGATTCATCAAACTGTGTAGAGCCCAAGAATCTGCGCAGATAACGTTTCTCACTACCTCTGAAATTGGGCCTTTGGTGGATTTCCGCGGGAGAGAATGACACCACCATGCAGACCAGGTATCCCAGATCTGAATGGTACACCCCCCCCTCCCCCCCGGTCTACAATTCATGCTATTGCTATAACAACTGTAGATGATGTAAGTTGATCTACATTTGATCAAGTCGATGGGCTTAGAATGTCTAGGTTGCTAAGTTTATTATCGTATCATACAGGCGTTATCGACAAGTCACCGTGATCCGAAAAATAGAAAGAGTCGATAAGCGTATTAGGTATCCAATCCATCGAGATAGGTACACGACTCTCATTAGTGGTAGTGTCAAAATTCGAATTCACTGCATCGAGCTCAGCCTGCTGCATAGAGACAGAATAATCCTGTGCCTTTTTCCGCATCACATTCGTCGCCCAATTGAAAACTGGCTCAAGGGAGATTTCCGGATTATAACTCCGATGACCTTGAATTTGAACTTTTTCCATCAATTCGAATGTAAGCTTTGGGTTCGGCAGGAAGCTGGCATATTCGACGAGTGTAATACCAGCGTAGGCAGATATTAGGAAGTCGTACGAAGGCTTAACCAGTGCGGTTTGTGAGCAGAGAAGCATCCCTTTATCTAGTAGCAGGTGGGAATAGCGAATAATTAGTTCAATCACGCTGGAGATTCGTTGTTGTCGAGTAGCAGAGTCTGAAAATTCAATTTCTTCTCCTGTTCCTTCTCCTTTTGCTTCTTCCATTTCTTCTTCTTCCTGATGTTGTTGCCGGGGCACGGCTTGCAATTTCGCAACTTCCCATCGAGCCAGAATAAGACTCACAGATAAATAGGTAAAATGTAGAGTTGCTTCATATTTTCCTGGATAGTCTTCTTCATCCACTTTCTTGGAAGTTAGTCTGCTGCCTCTTTAATGAGTTTGGAAGTTTCGCTTACCTTGCAAATTCCTGACAGTCCAATTCTCCAGGTCGTCCCAAGCCGAGGATACAGATCTGACACCTTTTCGAACAACGTCATATAACAGTGTGTAAATTTCTAGCTGAGCAGCTATCGCCCTATCGCACGGATCATAATTGCGCTTCAGGGTGATCCACGGTTTTAGTGACTCAACGTCGATGACTGGTGGTTGTCCCGTCCCAATCGCAAACCTGACACAACTGGTTAGTATGAAAAGAATATCAAATTTCGGGTGGAAGAAAAAAAAGGAACGTACTTCAAATGTGTCAAAGAAGTCAACATCCATGTTCTATATATCTCTTGAGACTCCGTATCCCGGAATAGTGATATATTGGATAATTCGGACAAATTGATGCTTAGCATGGAGTGCGATATTGCAGAACTACTCACAAGCCAGCTATCAATATAACGCGACGTGTAGCTAGGGCCGAGATTGTAGAGACTGAAGATCAGCAAGACCTGTATAGTTGAAAAGGGCAGTGGTGTATCTAGCATTTGTATTCCTAAATGGCCTTTGACACAGCTGTATAGCATTTTGTGTAATTCTGGGCAATTGGCGAGCTCAACGGCCTGTATTCCGGCTAAAAGGCAAGCGGCAAAGAGAAGATAGTGGTTTCTCTTCAACAATTCCCCGGGGAAGTCGCACATTACGAAAGGACAAAGAGAAGATATGCTTTTAAAACTGTATTCTGTGTCAATGTAGGCCATTCATTCCCTTCTTTCAAATACGTGTTGTATATGTTCTGAGCGGAATACACGTACCCTTCAAAAAGCAGATCCACCAGACTACCCGAGGTTAAACCAAGTTTTGAAAGCTCACTGATGATACTTTCGTTATGGTCACGAGTAGGGGATCCATGGATAAGTTTAAACAGGTGCCGGACGACTTTGATAGGTGCGACTTGCACATCCTGTTCACTCTCCTCAGGAAGTCCATCCTCAGGAAAACTGTCCGTCGCGGTGTTTTCTTCATCTGACTGAAAGGCACTTGCTGAAACTTCATTATTGGTGGGGATAGTATTGTTCGCTGAATCTGAGTAGAGCTTCTCATTTAGTGGTTGTGATTGGGGAATCCGAGACTGGAGCAGAAGCTGCTTGATCTCTGCGAGAGAGGCCTCAATGGCATCGAGTCTATTGATAAGTCAATCATTTTAAACTTCTAGCCATTCTATGCAGAGATGAGTGATATATACCGGCTACTGCATGCGCACGTATTAGGCTGGGTTTGATTATTGCCATTATTACTGAGCTCAGGACCTGGCTGGCCAACCGGGGATATAATCGAAGGAGGCTGAACGGGTTGAATGGATGGGAGGGTGCAATCTAGTCTAAGATCGAGGCGGGKCGATGTCAATGTATGAAGTCCCAAAAATTAAATGTCCACTTCCTTCTCACACTAACAGCTAAACAGACACGCTTACCTTAGTGTTGTGCATCGGTTACATTTTTGTGATCCCGGCAAAACCTCGCATCTAGTCTTCAGGCGTCGACAAGTCTGGCATGACATGTAACGCCGTTTGCTGGGCATATTGATTTGATGGCGCGTCTAATTTTCATAGAAGAGATTGCGAGGGAATTGATATCAACCAACATGAAGTTAATTCACATTTAAGAAGTTGGGGATGGAATGCGCAATTACCCCATTTCACGAACTCTGCGGCCCATACCTACCGGTAGATACGTTTGGCCGATTTTTACACTAGAGCGCTTACAGCAATAGGGTGGAGAAGCAACAAAAGAAGGGGTTAGATTTATTAGCAAATCAGTGTAGACTATAAGATTCTTATCTAAAATTCACAGAAGTGGGGTTTGGCGTAAACTAACGGGGGTGACTGTAGGCACGGAGCCGGTGCCGGTAATGAAGCGATTTATGAGGCGATCAATGAAGCGGTCATGAGGGTTTCGCCCGAATATACTTCATGAGGTCAGCTCATAACAAATTATATTATAAGAAAACCATATATATTATAAAGGTAGTTCATTAGTCAAACTCAAATTTCATTAAGATTGAGCTTCATCAAACTGCATAGAGGATAGCCGTAGTTATGATCAGTTTGCATGTTTTCAAGCAGCACGCAGGAGACGTGTCGTATATGTACTAAATTCAATCGGCTCTCCCTCTGTGACCATAGCAGTTCCACCTACGGTTACCGCATACGGTCCAATAGCACAAGTCGGCTCCAGAGCAAAAGTCATACCTGGCTTGAGAACCATATCAGCAGCAAGTGTATCTAGTGCCCAGTGTCGTCGGTATACTTCAGATACTCCAATATTGGCGAGGTCGACGTCAATTTCACAGACGGGAACAATTGGATTCAGACTATGAATTTGTGGTCCTTTACTCCACGCTCCGTTTTCTTTCAACGGCTCTCTTATTGCTTTTGCAACCTCTCCAAAGGTATTTCCGGGCTGGAGTGCTTTCAATCCAGCATCGTAACATTGGCGAGCGATCTCGGCTGCCCATTCCACGTCCTGATGAACTTTACCCACAGCGATGGTTACTTGAAGTTGCGCCTGCATTTTTCCGAAGTCACAGAAGATCTCAGCTGCGACTAAATCCCCGTCCTGCAAGACACGAGGGGGGCTTTGTGGGCTGTAATGCCACTTAGGTGGTCCCCAATTGATAGCTTTAGGCCCTGTGAACATATGGATGACAGGAACTACAGTACCTCGAGCAAAAGCTGCATCCATTCCAGCCCTGAAAATCTCATTTTCGGGAACACCTGGAGCACAAGCTTTTACCATCGCCTGAGCCATCTCATCGCCAATATTAGCTGCATGACGTGTTACCAAAATCTGCTCATCACTGAGCGGCATTATCGCTGTCAAGAAGGCTTGCCCGACCGACTTGAAGTTGGCCTTGGGAAATTCGGATAGAATTTTATTCCAGAGGGAGTAAGGTATGACTCCAGATGGATGGATTGGTACGAATGGCTCGAGACCGCATACGCCTATCGTGCTTTCTGTGAGCCCTAGGTCTCGCAGTGCAGTGACTGTAGATTCTGCATCCCGACCCATACGAATGTTTTTTGCCGATACCCATGGTTGCTCTCCGTGCTCTCTAGCGTGTATATGGTCGATTATAGCTGCGGGCATAAATGAGAGCACGAGGGGTTCTCCTGTTTTTGGGAAAATGACCGTTGATCCGGGCCGGTGGTTTGTAACCCAATTGTCCAATGTATAGGGCCCTGGTCCACTCATTTCTGGCTCTCCGAATACGAAGAGAGCGTCAACACCATGGTCAGCCATGAAATCCCTGGCCAGCAGCCAACGTCGATCACGCTCTTGGAGTGTGTATGCCAGGGAACGCGTGGTTGACATTTTGTTGGACTGAATCTGTAGATACAAGCGTGTCTTTGAGTTTTTGAGAAAATTTGCTTGCCATACCTATCATGGCTTGTCATGGACCTTATGTTTATATGATAAACCAACAGAATAACTATTCATGTTTCCGGATCCGGATTTACCGGGTTTTGGGGTGGACCAACCCCATTTTCAGAGGTGGCCAGCTATATCGGAAACTGGCAAAAAGTAAAACCCGTTTTCAGAGAGGGACTATACAATTCATATGAAGGGCTGGTTGGAGCAGTGACAAATTTTGGAGTCTCCGGAGTCTGCACCGAGATCGTTTTGGTAAGGGTGGGTTCTATAAATCCGCGTCGATTGGGTGGTTCGGAAACTAGGCGCCAGTGCAGCGCGCTTTAAATTTTGTATGTTCCATTCCTGATTGGCATTTATAAAATTATCAGGATAAGCAATGCGCCAGTAAAGGACTTGCACCGGGTTTTGGAATTTTGCTTATGTCCATATTCATAACCGTAGGCTCGCCATATGTTGCTATCTTCGGAAGCAGTGTACTCTATGATGATATAAGACCTCCTCCCTTTGCAGTGCTGATTCCGCTCAATTTACAATTTACGACGAGTAACAAGTTGGAACTGGTTTTTTCAACTACCAAGCATTTTTTAAGTCACATAATTCAATCTGACCATGCCCCAAGACCTCTCAAAGCAGCTTCGGGGTCTTCCCCTGAAAACTACAGCCGAGGCCTGTGCTGGCGGGACCTACATAGTAACCGGCGCAAACACCGGTCTCGGCCTTGAAGCTGCAAAACATCTCGTGGCTATCGGTGCCGCAAAAGTTATTCTTGGTGTGCGTGATCTCACCGCAGGCGAAGAAGCCAGGGCCGAGATCGCGAAGGAGACTGGCAAAAACACCGCTGAAGTATGGGAAGTCGACCTTTCAAAATATGTCTCCGTGAAAGCTTTTGCAGACAGGGCCGTTGCAGAGTTGGACCGAATTGACGCTGTGATTGAGAACGCGGGTGTTGCTGCCTTGGCGGGTCAGGCGGAAGGCCATCTGATACAATTCACTGTCAATGTTTATAGCACTTTCTTGATGGCCGCTCTTCTCTTTCCTAAGTTGAGAGAAAGCGCAAAGATGTTTGGCATTTTGCCTCATTTGATCATCGTGACAAGCAACTCCGTTTTTGATATCCAGAAGATCTGGGATACGGTGAAAGAGGATCCTTTAGTGAAGTCAGATACTCCAAACATCGGAATGGGAGCGTAAGTATCTGATTGACTCCGACTTATGTTCTGGCGGCTGATATTCGCATCGCAGTTATCCCCTTAGCAAGCTGTTTGAAATTTATGCTGTGCGGGAGCTTGCTGATATCCTTCCCGTCTCGCAGACCGGCGTTGTTATCAATGCCGTAAACCCTGGTCTATGCAAGACTTCTCTTGCTAGAAATGCGCCACCTGCTTTCAAGGAGCAATTAGCTCAGATGCATGCGAGCTTCGGAAGAACCGCTGAGGATGGTAGTCGAACACTTCTACACGGAGCAGTTGGTGGAAAAGAAAGCCACGGGTCTTATTTAGACGACTGTGAGGTTGGCGAGTATGGTCATCTTGGTGTATCATTATTGGATCGGATCACGCTAACTGGGTTTTTGTTGATTGTAGTCACAAGCTTCCGTCTTGGATCACAGAAGACTCCAAGAAATACCAGGGTAAAATCTGGAATGGTATAGCGAAGGAGCTAGAGACAGTTTCTCCGGACTCGGTTAAAAGACTATTGGCAAATTAGTCAAATATTTGGCATGTATTTTTGTGCACTTTCAGGCAGTAGGGAGTCCTGTTAGTAAGTGAGAACCGCATTACCATGTAATTTCAAGCTGGTAAAGAGAATCACCGAGGACAATGTATGAATTTTATCTGTACTTACTTTCTTTTAATGATCTAAGTCAATGGGTTTATAATCAGGCCGCTAGAAAGTGTACATACCTCAGCGATATACTTCATCACACAGGGCGTTTCATGTCGCCGGGATGGGGTTAGATCTGTTTATGTCCTTGTTGTCTCGCAAAGTCGTCCGAGAAGTTCATCGTCTTCATACATACTGATTGATCAGGCAGAGACTCAAGAGTTTTGTTTGCAAACAGATGAAAGTCATAATGGCAGAGGATTGGATGGCCTTTTATATCGTACGATCACCCGAAGTGCCGCCATTTGACCAACAAGGCATTGTAAGGCGCAATCTCTCACCCCTTGCCAAAGGCTTGATCCATAACTATCAGTATAGCCACCTTTAGGTTCGCTTCGTTCGAGCTGCTGCGATCGAGAAGAGAGAATCATATCGCTCGCAGCCTATCGACTAACATAAGTACAATCATTGATACAGCCACTTTGATAATGCACACAGTCATACTCGGAATTTCCATGCCAGTGGAAACTGCCTCGTTCGCGCTCTAAATCCAATCCACAGCTATTGCATCGCTAAAGACTGCGTAGCGCAAAGGTGTATAGTATCTGTAGTCCATACTATTAATCTCTGCTCCGTGGTTTGACAGAATCTCCACAGCTTGTAATGCATGATAGTCCGCAGCCCAAGAGAGTGGGGTTCGTTTATTCAGGTCCAGGCTGTCGACCGGCACATCTTTAGACAGAAGGAATCGAAGGAGTTTGCTGCAATTCAACATTGCCGCCCAATGAATAAGCGATTGATTGATTGAATCATACGCGCGTTCAACGATTAAAGCGGCCGCGCCGGGTGCCCGTCGCGACACAAATCTGTTACCTATATTAAACCTAGAGAAAAAATTTATGCGCGCTTGGCACCGCCGCTTTGAACCTAGGTATACGAATTGAAAACTTTAGATACGCTGGAATGCAGATCTGCACGAATTTGTTGATTTGCTAAATGACTGAGTGGCGATACACTATCTTCTCTAGTATCTAGACTTATGTACAGTATATACATGTTATATTTACATGTAAATTCATCTATACTCAACCGCGCAAGACTTCCTCTGTCGTATTTACCAAGATATCAAACGCGCGCAGCGTATGCGCCTCATCAGCCTGAAGACTTACACCCACAACTCTGATCACATATATGCCCGCAATCACACTCGAAGTGAGATAGATCTCGCCTCGAGAATTGATCAATTCATATACCTTCTTCGTGATCTCATCCGCTTTCTCGTCGACTTGAGCGACATGGAGCTTCGCAACGCCGTTTGTGCCATTGATGCCACTGGAACCATTCGATGGAGCAGAAGAGGCAGCACTGCTTCGTACACGAAGCACAGTCAAGGCGAAATCCGGCTTTGTGACGATTTCGAAAAGGTCTGGTCGACTCTTGACTTTCTCCGTGAATAGGTTGCCGAGTGCGAGACCCTTGTGAATATGTGCTTTCATGCCGGTCAAACCGTAACTGCGCATAACAAACCAGATTTTGAGACTTCGGAACCGTCGACCGAGTGAGATTTGCCAGTTGCGGTAGTCGATCACTGTGCCCGTTTCGGAGTAAGGATTGCGGAGGTATGTAGGAGTGATGTCAAGGGCGTTGGTCAGATCAACGCGGTTCCTGACGAATAGGCAGCTGTTTTTCAATCGTCAGTACTAGACTATAGCCTTGAAAGTAGAAAAGATCATACCTAGCATCGAAGTTGACGAGTAGCCACTTGTGCATGTTCATATTGAAGCTGTCTACGCCCTCGGCAAAGTTTTGCGCAATATGCTGGTACTCGTCCACCACCAAAGCAGCGCCTGCATACGCAGCATCAATATGGACCCATATTCGTCTCCAAGACTCCTTCTCGTTTAAAACAGCCTTGAGTTCCTCGAACCGATCCACGGCGCACGAGTTAGTGGTGCCCATAGTAAAAGTAATGAAGAAAGGCACTAGTCCTTCCTCCTCTTCTATCCTTGTCAAAACCGCACGCAACGACTCTCCGGTCATTTCCATGTTATCCTCCAACCTGGAGGGGACGGAACGAAACCTCGTACCAGCCACCAAAGCAGCCTTTGCGATACTGCTATGTGCCTGATCGCTACTTAGAGCAACGAGTCTGGCGCGGTGAGCACATATCCTATCTTCGTATTCGCGCGAGCCATTGTCCTTTATACCCTCGGCAAGTGTGAGTTCACGCGCCCGTCGTTCACGAGCAGCAATCAACATGGTAGCCGCGGACTCGCTGGCAGTACCCTGAATAACACCCCCACCAAGATTCTCAGACGTGCTTAAAAAGCACTCCGGTAATCCCAATGCCTTCGCGACCCAGTCCATAATAACAGTTTCAAGCTCCGTGCATGCTGGGGAACAGATCCAATTAAAAGCCGGCGCATTGAAAGCCGCCGAATACATCTCACCCAGTATACTGGGGTACGTGACCGAAGCCGGGAAGAACGCCATGAAATTGGGCGATTGCCAATGGGTTAAACCCGGCTGGATCTTGGATTCGATATCTGCCTGTATTTCGGACCATTCTTGTGGTTCAATGGGTGGGTTTTCGGGGATCTGAGGACGAAGATAGCCGGGTTCAATGGTAGGAAGGACGCGTCGGTCGGGGAGAGAATCAAAATGATTTATGACTTTTTGTTTCACAGAGCTAGTCAGTCATGATTCAAATATTTCAAGTCAATGTGCGTTGTAAAAGAGCCAAAGGCGTACGATGGGTATTCCTTGTCCGCGGGGTGATACTGACTGTCATCAATCGCTGCATGAGCCGCAGCGCGGAACTGTTCTCGATCCATTGATTGGGTCTTTGCGTATATCTGATGAGTATGTGTATGAATTTGCTTCCGAAAATCCTGAATTCTTTGCAAACAAGACTTGATCAATTAAGTCACTTACGCAATGTTGCGATGCGATCCACCAGCGTTAAGTAAAAAGATAACCCGATTAGATAAGACTCGGAAAAGTCTCGGAAACTCGGAAATTTCCGACACAGGATTGACAACACTAACCTGGTATGTACTAGCGGACATGGTTCAACATATTTTATCGCTTTCTTCTACTTTGATTTGACCGCATCTTGACTCTTGTCATTCAAAGGGCGTAGGTTTGTGATAGCGCTGACTATATACTAGAGTAGGCACTGCACTGAGTCAACGGATGACAGAAGGCCGGGATCCGGGGGTGACTACAGAGCCATTCAGTAGTACAGTTCTTGATGTCTACCTTGATTGGCTTTCGTGTCAACAAGTCTTCTTTACATTGGAGAGCACGATTTCTATACAAAGGGCATGACTGTCCATTCTGTCAAATCAATCATGACAACCCTCCTGCTCAATTATTTCCTGCGGATCTCTAGTCTCATACCTCTCTTCGTACCATTCCTCATCCATTTTCTTCCCAGCGATTTGCAACTCCTGCATTGGCAAAAACACAAACATCACGCGACACCATTTCGAATCACTCCTATTCCGAAACGAATGTGCCGTGCCTCTTTGTATTGTAACGTCTCCCTGTCGCAGTGTCCTCTTCTGACCACTATCCAAAACAAGATCCACCTCCCCTTCCAAGATAATCCCGTAGTCAACAGTCACGGTTCTATGCATGGGTGTCTCTTTGAGCGGTTGCACATCAATCACGCGAAACATTGTTCCGTTGCTTGGCGTAAGTCCCGGCGGCATGTGTAGATACGAATCATATACGGCGACATCGACTTCGTTCTGGCATTGAATGGGGAATGTATCTGTTGCGTACAATAATGCGAGTTCACCGTCTTCACCTGCTGAGCGGAAAGGCGCGCATTCCGGCACTTGGCTGCTAGAGAGAAAGATGGCTTCACCGTCGTGATTGTGGGTGGTGATGTATCGATGGACTCGGGGGAAGCCTTTACGGCGTTGATCGACCATGTTTGTGCTCATCTTGGAGGTGGTCGTATCAGGGATGCCATTCACTTTCTGACCACCCGAAGGCCTTGATAAAATTTCTTGATATTTGAAGTCAGATTGCAATATACACCTAAGGATGCTTATATTTGCCTCCGAATGATATCATGCCGCAGACTTTAAAGTTGCGGCGCATTAGGGTTGGGCCCCATGAAGCATAATTGATGAATCATGAGCGGCAATTGGCGCCGATCACTGTATGCGTCAGTGATAGCACTTCATAGAACAGGTGCTGACTCAGTCAAATCGGACAATAACCCCATCCACTCATTAGGGCTACTCGCCATCATGGCACCACTGTCCAAAAATTCAGACCACATATTCTCGAAATCGCTCGCATCTCCCGTGGCGTCAACGGCAAATGATACGCCATTTACTGCATCAGCCGATGAGTATAAGTCTGCTGATGCAGGAACGTTTTCAATTCTTCTTTGTGGATTAATGTGCTCAACCTCTCGTGTTGAATGGAAATCCGTTTCTTCTTGCCGCTGCGCAGGAAGTTCTTCTTGTTGCGAAGAATGCAGCTGATCACCCGACATAGGCCGCCAGCGACTCTGCAAGATATCCATCATTGCATTGATGCCCTCGCGTACGAGTCTTGAGCTTCTCCGAGCTCTATCAAGCACTCGACAAGCCTCGAGAATTTCCTCCTTGCGCCGATCTGCTAAGATATCATCCCAATTGAAACATGTATCCATCAATAATATCACTACCGCCATGAAGACATGATGCATTACAGACCACGCTGTTGTCATACTTGGTGTATTTGGGAATTCCTTATCCATTATCCGCTTGATTTCGATGACGCGCCGCGCAGCTTGCAGGCACGTCATATGCGAGTAAGAGTAAGCAGGGTCCCTAGCTCCGCGGATGAAATATGTGCGATGCAAGCGACACAAACGAGAATGTGATGCTTGCTGGAGCAKTAGCCGCTGCCATGCGATTTGCGGTACATCCGCATAGACTTGAGCGTATTTCCGGCGGCTATTATTATCCAAGCGGAAGAATTCTGGAAGCTGTTTGTTGTATTGTTGCCATTTCTGATCCAGTTCCATGATCTTGCTATAAGGGACATCTACACCCTCCAAACGCTCACGACAAGTATAGTCAACTATATCGCGACAGTAGATAGATAGTTTTAGGCGGAAAATAAAGTATGACATTATAGTGGGAACGCTGTCTGGTAAAGATCCGCCGCCATTTTTGGGTTTACACAGATCTTCGTCTGGTATGTTTGCAGGCATGTCTAGGGCCATGTGAGCTGGGTTGACGAGGTAGCTGCCCTCCTGAGGACCTCCGAGATATGCCAAGAACCTATTAGAATTAGAAAATGAACACTGATACGAAGAAACTGGGAGAGGAATATGAAAACAGATGTACCAATCAGAAGATATAGCTAGCCAAGCTAACCTGCGCCTTAGCTCTACATCCACTGGATTGTATCCGTGCGCCCTCCGAAAAGCCTTGTTCTGTGCCGAATCGATCTGAAAGAGTCCCATCTGTCGACATTGATTGACCATAGAACCCAGATTGAACAATGCACGCGCAGAAGTGTCTTGTCCATGGTTTGGAAGAAATTGAATGACCACAAGAGCAGCTTGAAGTCCTTCAACGGTAGGGTAGTTCATGTAGTCGCTCTTTGTCAACGCCTCTGTGATAAGATTGATGTACTGGTGACACCTATTTTCAACCTGTTTATCGGATACTGAGTCGGCTCCTAGGTTCTGGAAGTAGTATGCTGAGGCGAGAATGCTGAATAGAAGGGCAAGGTGATTCAAGTCTACCGCGGCTGATGACCCATCATGCATGTTTTGATAGATTGCATGTATTTGAGACTTAACATGGTTTGGGATGATCATGTGGTATAGGTAACCAACATATTCAACATAGTAGTTGAACTGTGCAAGTGCTTCTGTTTCACGAGGCAGGAACGATGTCAAGTTTGTGACTGAGACTGCCGAATGTTTGGTCGTGATGAGCTTGTTCTTGATCGACATTGGCAACGCGTCGGGAATACGGGGAGCCATCAAGATATTTTCGAGCCAGTCCGTCGATCGTTCCTGCTCCGTAGCTTCCTGAGAAGATAGGATTCCTTGGGTGCGGTAAACCTGCGGTTGCGAAGCCGTGGTGATGTTGCTGCTCGTTGATAGCGGACAGTCCGTGGCTGTTGAAGGTGGTGCTACATGCGGATTTGCGTACCGATGAGCGACATTAGCCGCAGCATAGTTGCAAAAAATCCTCCTGGATCGACAATTCGAGCATGGCTGTTGACGGTCGCATTTCAGTTTCTTCTTGCGACAGCTTTGACATGAGACTGGATCTTGTCGTGGAGTCCGCTTTTTGGAGTTCTCATTGGACTTCTCGTCATTGCAAGATTTTCTCTTTTCGGACATGACGGCTTGCCGTGTTACATGATGTAATAGCTCCGACTAAGTTGAACAGCATTAAGGGAAAACGAAAGCAATCATAGCATGAAGCTGGACCTTGATATGCTTTCCGGAGCTATGCCGTTTTAGGTTTAGGTTGCACGGAAGCTCCGCGGATTCTCCTTGCATAGCCTTGGCCCATTTGGTGCCTGTCTCGTAGCCCTAAGTACTATTGCCCCGGACACTCCGTCCTCCTTTTGATGGAGTGGGGAGAGCTAAACGGTCAATTAAGAGATATAAAACTCGACTTCTTCACATTATGACTACTGGTCCTCGAAACATATTCCAATTCTATCAACACCACACCCGTCGGCCAGCGACATGGAAAACAACAACACCAAAGACGTCTCAGAGGCATTGCCTCCGTCAGAATTGTCCTCTGAGAATGAAAGCCCAATCGCGGCCCCTATAAACAAAGAATTCACGTATGGATATTGAGTCAACATGAGCCATGACTTAGGCGTTCCGCTAATTGCAGTTTTCCGTCTAGGACTCGATCATGCCTAACCTTACTCGGTTGTGCTGGGGCGGCATTCTGTTCTGTCGGTTTCGTCAATGCATTTGGGGTTTTCCAAACATACTATTCTGAGACTTTACTATCAAACATGTCAAACTCAGACATTGGATGGATCGGAGCAATCAATAACTTTCTACTGTTTGCGGGTTCTCTCGTGACAGGACGGATTCTTGATATGTTCGGTGCTGTGGTGAGTGTTACTCTTCCCGAAAAATCAACAGACACTGACATGATCATCAAATGTAGGTAATGCTGTGGCTCGGCTCTACCACAACCGTATTTTCAATTATGATGATATCTCTCTGCAAGGAATACTGGCAATTTATTCTTGCCCAAGGGGTGCTCCTCGGTATTGGAAATACCCTTCTGGTATGTCCAGCTGTCGCTCTCGTTGGCCTGTCTTTCAAGAAGCAAGTTGCACTAGCCCTTGGAGTAACGATTGCCGGCTCATCTTTGGGTGGAGTTATCTGGCCTGTTGTTGTACATGCTCTGTTAGAGAAGCCCAACATTGGATTTGGATGGACCTTGCGGATCACCGGCTTCATCATGATTCCGATTCTTGTCTTTTCGTCTATGTTTGCCCGACCACCAATCACACCAAAGAAGGATCTACAAGATAGTAAGAACAACGGCACGAAACCATCAAGGCCAGCATGGGACTGGTCCATAGTTGCCAGGAAGCAGACACTCTTCACTGCGTTTGGATTCTTCTTAATTTATTTCGGCATGTTTATGCCGTTCTTCTACACCACGGAATACGCCCTGGCACAAGGATTTTCATCAAACTTATCTTTCTATACCATTTCCATCATCAACGGCGCATCTCTTTTTGGTCGTATTATCCCGGGAATGGTTGCCGATAAATATGGAAGATTCAACTTGTGTATTGCAATGACGGCTTTTTCCGGAATTATTGCGTTGTGTTGGACGACTGTCACTTCGGTTGGCGGTATTGTCATGTTTTCGCTTGCGTATGGGTTTACATCTGGTGTAAGTCCCCTATTTACGAAGACTACAAGTCAAGTGTCAAAATTGATTGATTTACGTCCAGGGAATTCTATCTTTACAACAAGCATGTGCCGCGCAAATCGCAAGCCCAACTACAATCGGCACGGTTGTTGGCTTTGTGATGGCATCGACTTCTTTCTCGTAAGTTCAGCCCTTGATTTGTCCTCTACACTAAATCTGCAAATGTACTGATGGTCTTTTAGTGCATTAGCAAGTACCCCTATCGGTGGAGCGCTGATTGAAAAGTATGGATATCTTTCGTTGTCCATATACTCTGGTGTTAGCCTACTGCTTGGTGCAGCAGTACTTCTGGCAGCCAAATTGACTCAGAAACGTCAATTGTTTGCTGTTATTTAGACATCATAGAATGCTTGGGTGAAGGTAGTGTATTCTGATTTTTCGTGTATTGTAATAGAGTTATAGAATTAGAGGTAAATAAGAAAGATCCGGGAAAGATTAATTCAAAATATACATTCTATAGATATGCACTATATACTCTTTCTAGATGTAGGTACAGTAATTATGATGCTGGTGTAATGCAATGCAACCAGAAATGAAGCGCCACAAATGCAAGTAAAACGCCCAAGTCTAAACTAAAGTATGGAAGGCTTAACCAACCCACGCTCTTTTCGCCTTGCCCTCCCAGCAAGGTAGCCATTCATTCAACGCATTCTTAAACAGATTCCTCGATACCTGCCCTCCCTCATTTTGTATATTAAAATCAAAGCAATGCATCGCATTCGGCATCACATATCCGAAAATCTCTCTTTCGGCCGTCTGTCGATTGCATTGCGGAATATTTGAGCGAAACGTAACAAAATCCGGCGCAAAGCTTTCTGTAGATAGAGGCGATAATGTCCTCCAAGGGTCAAACTCGCCACCGGACCAGTATGTATTTGAAGGGCGAATGAGCCAACCTCCTGTTTCGTCGTTTATTGCCTCGGTTTTTGGTGCTTCGGGGAGGAGTCCATTTTCGAGGGCACCGGGGAATTGGCGATAACAAATCTCTTGGTTGTATGTCAACGACTGATAGGTAGATAATAGACCGTGAGTAGGGTTTGGGGTGACATTGTCGGTTTGAAAAAAGCCCCATTGAGAACAATATTGCCATGTCCAGGCGATAGAAGCAGGGTCAGTGAGTCGGCCGCCCAGGTCACAGTATTCGGAGCCGGATTTTAAGTCACACTCGGTAGCCGCATAAGAGTTGATTAGAGGGATGAGCTGAGGCCATGACGCGAATCGCTCAGCCACGGCTCTGTTACCAATAAACGGAGCCCAGCCTGTCAATGGGGTTGCCGTAGCTGCACTTGGCACATCTGCTCCTTCTTCTGCCGCCTTTCGCGCACGTCGACCCAGTATCCTGGAGATCGGTTTGCTTTCGTGGTCTCTCTTCGTCACCGTTGCAGTCGAAGTAGCGGTCGGCGATACCCTTGTCGCCGTCGGCACGGCTTCCATCCAGTCACATAATGATCCCAAGCCCGTATCTCCTCCGCCCGTTCCATAAGACTGGAAAGTGCCGTAAATATAAGCCAATGCGGCTGTAAAATCGCCATTGGAATTGATCTCTCCTCCCGCACCCAAAAACAGTTTCTTAACATCATCGCTAGCAGTGCCGTTCAACGCCAATTGAGAATCAACATAGCTCATAGCTGCATGTAGATCGTGTGCACATCCTTCATAGCCATTGGCCACCATGCCACGGTAGACCTGCTCAAAGTATACGCTCATATCTGCGCGTGCTTGTACTGGTGCCGAAGAGGCAAAAGCTGCGTAGATGGTATCCGGGTATTCGTCGCGAGTAAACGCCGTTCTCATGCCGGAGTATGATCCGCCGACCATTATCCATGGTGTACCTTTAGGCGAGAGATCTTCAAAAGGGAACTCTGGACGACTAAAGTCTTGCGCGAAATATGGGATATCGGCGATTGCTTGGTCGTGGGTCAGGTATTTGAAATTTTCTGCTGGTGTGTCCACATTCACGGGACCCATGGGCAGAGAATCTCCATAATATCTATCTCAAATGAAAGAAGTCAGTTCTGGCCATGTATATCAAATTAAGAAGGAACAAACCTGTGCTCCCAAACAATCCCAAGACCACCGAATTCCTCAAGGTACTCCCTAAAGAAAGACGACTCTCCCAACATATGTTGCGCTGAGCTGTATGCCGATGACTCGCCAACATCATATAAGAATACAGGACCACCTGATCTATAATATTTCGTCGTCACCCAATATCTATTCTTGTATGTGCCGATTGTATGATTATCATGATCGATTGGCACCTATATATGCAGTCAGTATTACCATTACCAAAGAACCTCAGGAAGCAAAGAGAAATCGCACATCAGTATATTCTGTAGGTATTGTCCGCGTAACTGACGTATCAACCATCTTCCGAAAAGCGACTGGATTTAGTATGACGCTATCCGCACTAAGCCCTAATGCCGCGGCGAGATGGAGGTCGCGGGTTGTAGGTGTGTTGACGAAGCCGATGCCGTGTACATGTTGGATGAGGAGGAGGGCGTATGAGAGGAGGGTTCCACTGGGTGATAGCTTCATTGTGGTGGTTGTTATTATGACCTTGTATGCTATCTTTCGTTTATAATATGCAAAGGAAGGAGCAAATGTCTTCTTCACGATTAGAGAGTTCGATTATCGATGGAATTTGTATTTATTTATCTGTCTAGTTATTCAATCTCTTACCTACTAAATACACATGATACTACATGCGGAAATTAATAGACATGAGTCTAGGTGACACATGCTGATGAACAATTACCGTTCACGTCGATGTTTTCGAAACCATTAGGGTTGTCATCATACCCTCATCGCCGGAACAGGAAAAGAGTCAACCCAGACCCCTGACCAACCAATCTAGAACAGCCGTCAAACAAGGCAAACATATCTCTCTCCTTGTTTTGGGGAGTCATTTGCATAGTTTGCTCACTATGTCTGGTTTGTCTGCTATGTTCTGTTTGCTCGATTTGTGTGGTTTGCCTGGAGGGCTTCAGTGGAATGCTGATGAAGCAAGGGGGTGGTCAAAATAGTTGCGCCTTTAGGAATGCGATGTGGCTGACAGATATGGATGATCTGGTATGTTGGGCATGGACAGCCACTCTTGAGCTTGGTATTACTCTTGTTCTCTGGAAAAATCATGTATCAGGGAACATCCAGTCCCAATTATACCCCAGCGTGCTAGAATTGGGGCTCGTCTAGACTCTAGTGCCATATCCTTGGTATGACGAGCTAACGCCTCCATTTCCAGCCATTCATTCTTCTTCACATACGTAGGGTTTGAACCCTAAAAGGTGGCAGGTACAAGGGGTGAGCTGCCAGCCTAGTTTGATAGGTCTCATTTAGTATCTGCTAATTCAATGTGGTGGTATGTTCTATCTGGGTCAAGATGTGTATTAATGAAAGAAGTAGTCGACTTCGTACAGGGGAGAGAGGAAGGGAAAAGTACATGCTCATCAAGCAAGAGTATGAGAGTCTCTAGTTCTTGCTCGACTCATCAGCCACACCAAGTATAACTGCTTGTCACTGGTTGAATGATTCTAGAAACATTCCTTAGCCTGATCTGCAATGCAAGATCTACGCTTGGCATTCCATCGCATGGTTGGACGGGACTGCCACGTTGTTCAGAAATGTGGAAATTCCGGAGGTTGGTTCATGACCTACGACTTCTAGTCTACATTGTAGGTATTTTGGTATCAGGCATACTGACAAATGAAGTCTATCAAAAACTTGATGCAAGAGTATATTCTAATCTATGTATGTACGTATTATACACCCCTCTTATGTACCAACCTCCCATTAACCCATACAGCCCTAACATTTCGATCATCCCCATTCCACACCCACTTTGCGACTTTCTCTTCCCAATTCTCCCATCCAAACACATCAACATTTCCCGTATCCTCATCTGCCACAGTCTCAAAATCTTCCACACCTGAGATTTTCTCAACAACAGGGCCCAACTCAATCAACTGCGCGTCGAAATACATCCCCTTCTCAAATCCGCCGATTTGATCTGCCATATCGACGACCTGCGCACCACCCCTCGTCGCAAGATACAACGCTTCCTCAACGCTTAAGCTTTCCCGACCAGTTGTCACAGCAGCCTGAGACGAAACTAAACGTGAAACGAGACAAGCCTGCCGCGACGCTTCGAGTATACTAGGTGAGTACCCACCACTAACATCCGTGCCCAGTCCAACCGTGATCCCATCATCCATCAACGTCCGCACGGGACTATGTCCCGATCCCAACGCACTATTCGACGCCGGACAATGAGAAATCTTTGCTTCTCGCCGCTTAACGAGCGTCCTCTCTTCAGGTGTAAGATGTACCGCATGCGCAAGTATCGTCCTGGGCGTCAAGAGACCAGTCTCCTCATAGACGTGCGCATAACTCTCTGACTCTTGAAACAGTTCCTTCACCAGCGAAACTTCATTTTTGTTTTCTGAAATGTGCGTTTGGATGTGTAACGGCGGCGTGTACGACGCCGCTAATTTCCCCAATCCGCACAACGCCTCATGCGAACATGTAGGCGCAAACCGCGGCGTGACAATGGGCGCAACAAGTTTTCCCTCAGGGTCAAGTGCGTGGATATACTTGATAACTTCTCTCGTCGCACTAATCGACTCCTCACTGGACTCATCATGGTACTCCTCAGGACAAAACACGAGATTATCCATGCAAACCCGGCCTACAAACGCGCGCTGACCGCGTCGATGACACAGCGCCGCCAGCAAATTCGTAGCAGGGACGTGTATAGTAGCGAAATAAGACGCCGTCGTCGTGCCGTGCGACAACGTACGGGAAATCACTTTATTGTAGACTGTATACGCCTGCGGTGGAGCTTTTTTGTGCTCATCATTTGCAGACTCGAATGATTTCTCCATAGGGAAGGTATATTTCTTTAACCAGTCTAGTAACGTGGACGAGCCGAATATGCCTGCATTGGGGTATTGTGAGGCATGGATATGTGTGTCTGCTAACTGTCAATTTCCTTTTCTCTCCCTCTCTCTCTAGCGTACGCGCGCATGCGCTCAAAGGTGGAAAACATACCGATAAAACCCGGGAAGAAAAATCCATTCCTCCCTTCCCTCCCACCACGGACAATTGTCACCGTCTCCTCCTCTTCTTTCGCATCAACACCATCCCTCCACAACGTCCACCCTTTGCTCTGCACAAACGTACTCAAGCCCTTCTCTCCCTCACCCTCGGCATCTGATGAGTCTAGACCAACATTCCAGTCAAACCCCTGAATCCTTCCATCACAATTCGACACCCACAAGACGCCCGTATTTATTTCCAAAGCGGGTTTTGAATCTGTGGCTATGTGGCGCGGTAATTGGATGAATGTGCCATGATACAAAGTGTATGTCGGCGACATTTTGTCCCCTTCTTACTATCCTCTCAACGATTTATTGAAGCCTGAAGTCGTGTGTGACAGGAACAAGTGGGTTGCATATATCAATCCCTGCTCTTAAAGACTGATAAGATAGTTATCGCGGAGCAAATCCGATTTCATTCAGCCTCGGTGCTAATCTTCACAAAAATCAGTCACACAGCCCAAACCTCCCAAAAGATCAGGATAACTAAAACGCTTAATCCACGAGGATTGGGTATTTATACACTTTTTGTCGTTTGAAGGGGAAATCCGTGGATGTGCTGAAGAGCAACTTTGTCCCGATGGAATGGGGACGGTATCGGCCGCTTCCGATGGGTGCCTGAAATATAAGGCAGCAATAGGTATCGCGGGGCAAATTAATGAACTACCGTTAGATCTAAGCGAATGCTTATAGTTCTGATAGGAAAGCTTTATAGTCATGTACGAATACTATATCAAGTTGTGAGATTGCTATAATAGAAAATTATAGCATCAAAGAGGTACAGACCTTATTCTGGATTCAGCCCAGCAGAAACATTATAGAGTGTCACCTGGTCCATTGATTTGCTCGCGCAATCTATTCATGAACATCTGAAGGTAATCTTTATGCTTCAGGGCAAACTTGTCCTATTTGTAACACACGCTGGAAGACGTCCTAGAATGTTGTGTTGTCGTTCTGTAACTTGACCATTTCTGGGAGAGCTCGGCACGAAACGGTTTTGTGGTAGGCTTTGTACAGATCTGTAGGCATACTCGGAATAAATGCCCTCGTAAATCTTGCACAGGCATGAATACGCGCTTGCTCCCCAGTAGACTATCTAGGTAGGTATATATTATCTTCAACTCTTCGGTAGTTTCTATGTTTTATGTTTTCCCCTAGTGTACTTTTTCCATTATATATAATATTGATTAGATAGAGTGACATAATCACTAAATCAACTATATGACTAGATCACGAGAAATATAGCTTTATACTACCGTTGCTGTGATAAGGAGGTAGGGCGTTGTACTTTAGTTTCTATTACATAACTATAACTATGGAATGTTTGTTATTGATAATATCTGTTTGTTGTTTTGTTTCTTCTTTATCACTTGATGATCACCTTCCTGTTAAAACTGTAACGATCGTACGTCTTGCAAGCCAGGCTCAGTCTTTTGTGATGCCGTGACGGGATCCCTGAGCACTAAGCCCAAAGAGCTAATTTGCGACGGACCATCCCTTTGTTTTCATGCCTTCCCAATTAGGCACCGCCATGAAGGGCTACGCGCGTAGCGAGCTCTCACACGGAGTCTTCCTTCTTCTTTCCTCTTTGTATGCTTATTTTTACGTCGATAGAGCTGCTCTAGAGTTTAGGAATGAGCACGTGTCACAGAAACTATCATCTGATATATTCTATATCCCTGCAAATCTAACATAAGCTTAATATGTTCGTAAGCCACCATGAAAAAAACATCAGATGAGGCGGTCATGGCATAACAAGTAGCCCCTATAGCTCAGTGGTAGAGCGTTTCGCTCGTAGCACATATATGCGATGATACGAAAAGGTCCATTGTTCGATCCAGTGTGGGGGCACTGTTTTTGTCATTTTATTTTTTTCGCATGTTTTTATTTACAAGTACTATGACAAAAGTGTCCACACCCCCCTTATCCAAGCGCTACCCGAACGTTCACCGCCTTCTTGAAATGGTATTGAATTCCACATACCAAATCTCTTAAAAGCCCAGAGATTCGATGCTACGCGTTTGTGTCGACAGAAAAATGGCAGTGTGGAAATTTCAGATATGGGGGGTGCGAACCTCTTTGTCATCCCACTGTGTACACAAAACAGATATCTATAGTTCCGATTCCAATAGCTGACTGACTTGTACAACTCCTTCGCACTACTAGACAAGGTCTGTGTGTATGTGTAGTTCTCGCATAATAAAATTCTTTTTATTGTTTGCTTCTTGTTTGCTCAATATTCCGAAAAGAAAAATAAAGCGGATATGCTTTCTGAAAGCTGAAAATATAATTATTATAAGTATGCTGGTATGTCTGGTTACAAGATCAGGGTGCAGGAACTACTATAGAATGCCCGACGATGCTGAGAGCATGAGTCTGAATTGAAATCGGCAGCAGCTGGAAATGCCAACCCTACCTAGGAGGGAAACTATGGTTCGTATAACAGCTACCTAGTCGACGTTCTCATCTGATGAGGGGGGCATTTCGGTAATGAATGGAGTCGAAATGTACAATCTGGCTTTTTTAGTATCAAATCAACTAGATATGTAAGAAATAAATATTGAATAATGTTGAAATTGTACTACAGCCATATCTAGGTAGTACCGATGCTAAGCATCGAACCCAGACCTACCCTCATGGATACAGTCCAGTCTATAATATATATGTTGAACGTGATAACAAAACAAAACAATCCTCTTATGCATGATGAAATGCATCCCTTTGCCCAGATCAAAAAAAAAAAAAAAACGCCTGCTTTTGCAATGACTCTCAAAACAAATTTATCTAACTAGGGTATCGTATAACTCGTCTACTTCCGTGTTCATGCTGTATCCTCGACGGGGCCGCAGGTACAGAAGAGGTTCTGGTCGCCGAATGCTATTAAACATTAGTATGAAAGGCTCAAGACTGGAGTGGAAAGGGGAGGGACGTACCATCGTCGACTCGTGTGACTGTAGGCCAGAACTTCTTCTCCAGCAACCACGGCAACGGGTACGCAGCGGCTTCGCGAGAGTATGGTCGTTGCCAGTCACCCAACAACAGATCGCGTTGTGTGTGAGGCGCATTCTTGAGCACGTTTCCTTCACGTGGTTGTTCGCCCTTTTCGATAGCGGCGATCTCCTGACGGATGGAGATGAGTGCGTCACAGAAACGGTCAAGTTCGGCCTTGTTCTCGGATTCGGTGGGTTCGATCATGAGGGTGTTGGCGACGGGCCAGGACATGGTGGGTGCATGGAAGCCATAGTCTTGGAGACGTTTGGCGATGTCGATGGCTTCGATGCCGCAGGTTTCCTTGAAATGGCGCGCATCAAGAATGAATTCGTGAGCGCAGCGGCCATTGTTGTTAGTGTACAGGATAGGATAGTGGTCCTTGACGCGGGCGAGGATGTAGTTTGCGTTCAAAAGAGTGATTTTGGTGGCGTGCGTCAAACCCTTGGCGCCCATCATGTTGATGTAGTTGAATGTGATAGGCAAAAGACTGGCGCTACCCCAGGGAGCGGCGCTGATTGGAGACGAAGCGGTGGAGTCGGATCGCTTGGCTTGCAAGTACTCGCTAGACGGGTGAGAGGGGAGGAAGGGACGCAAGTGCTCAGCGACACCGATGGGACCGACACCGGGACCACCACCTCCGTGAGGGATACAGAATGTCTTGTGCAGGTTGAGATGGCACACATCGGCACCAATCTCACCAGGAGAGCACAAACCGATCTGGGCATTCATGTTGGCGCCGTCCATGTATACCTGACCACCGTACTTGTGCACGATATCGCAAACTTCCTTGACACCAGGTTCGAAGACACCAAAGGTACTGGGATATGTGATCATAATGGCAGCAAGCTCATCCTTGTGCTTCTCGCATTTTACCTTCAAGTCTTCGATATCGAGGTTACCGGTCTTGGTGTCGCACTTGATAGTAACGACTTTCATACCGGCCATGGCTGCACTAGCTGGGTTTGTTCCGTGAGCAGACACAGGAATCAAGCAAATGTTGCGGTGTCCACCAGAAACAGACTCTTGATACTTCTTGATCAAACGAAGTCCGGCAAATTCGCCCTGAGCACCAGAGTTGGGCTGAACGGTAACTTCTGCCATTCCTGTGATGTCGGCAAGCTGTTGCTCAACATCATCAATCATCCGGGTGTATCCCTCGACTGCATCAGCGGGCATGAAGGGGTGGATTTGGGAGAACTCAGGCCAAGAGACGGGAATCATCTCGGTGGTGGCGTTGAGCTTCATGGTGCAAGATCCGAGAGGAATCATGGAGTGAGCCAGCGACAGATCCTTGGACTCGAGGTGGTGGATATAACGTAGCATGTCGGTTTCGGAGTGGTAAGTGTTGAAGACAGGGTGAGTCAAATAGGCAGATGTACGCTCTAGGCTTGCTGGTACGGAGACAGGTGAGATGGCGGTGTCGATGGTGACATCGCCGGTCTTTGAAGACTGAGCAAAGATCTGCAGAATCTCGCGAAGCTCGCTCTTGCCGACGGTCTCATCTAGAGACAAGGCGATCTTGTTTGGTCCAACTTGGCGGAAGTAGATCTTGGCGGACTTAGCAGCTGCGAGAAGAGACTCTGCTGAAGCGCTATCTGCTAGCTCGATGGTGAGTGTGTCAAAGAGAACTCCTTCATCACCGGTGTTGCTACGGACAGGGACATTGTATCCCAATCCGATAAGCTTCTCACGCAGCAAAGCAGTCATAGCCATAATGCGCTGAGCAATAACCTTGAGACCCTGAGGTCCGTGGTAAACTGCATACATGGCACTCATGTTTGCGAGCAAGGCCTGAGCTGTGCAAATATTGCTGGTAGCCTTCTCGCGACGAATATGCTGTTCACGAGTCTGCAAAGCCAATCGGAGAGCACGGTTGCCCAATCGGTCTTTGGACACACCAACTAAACGACCAGGAATCTTACGCTTGTACTTGTCTGTGGTAGCAAAGAAAGCAGCGTGGGGACCACCGAAACCCATAGGCACACCAAGTCGCTGTGCGCTACCGAATGCAATATCAGCACCGAACTCACCAGGTGCTTTGAGGACGGTCAATGCGAGAAGATCAGTAGCAACAGAGAATGTGCCACCAAGTTCATGCACCGTCTTGCCGAGCGATTCAAAATCAAGAACACCACCCTCAGTATCGGGATACTGTGCCAAAACACCAATCAAGTTATCGCCTTGCTCCTTGACGATCTTGGCGCCATCCGCAAGGATGTCTCCAATGACCAGATTAATTCCGAATCCCTCAGCACGAGACTGCATAACTGCAATAGTCTGCTCGTGGCAGAGATGCGAGATCACAAACGACTTTCCAGCTTTCTTCTGCTTCGCCATTGGCGCAGTAGCCAATGACATGGTCATAGCCTCTGCCGCAGCAGTACCCTCGTCCAGCACCGAGGCATTTGCAACGGGTAAACCAGTAAGATCCGTGGTCAAAGTCTGGAAATTCAACAATGACTCCAATCGACCCTGACTGATCTCAGGCTGATAGGGAGTATAGCTGGTATACCAAGCCGGATTCTCCAAAACATTTCTCAAAATCACGGGTGGAACGACAGTCGGGTAGTAACCACCACCAATAAAGGATTTGCCCGCGGTGCTGATTTGTTTGCGATACTCGCCTAGTAACTTGAGCATATCGCTCTCACCAAGTCCACCGTCGATAGGGTCGCGGTACAGAGTCTCTTCGGTCGCAGCGGGGACTCGAGGGGGTGTAATAACGAGGTCCTTCTTTGAGAGGATATCGGCGGGAAGGACCTGTTTAACAAACTCGTCTAGCGATGCAGCAGGCGGACTGAGTGCAGCCAACATCTCTTTGGCCGCATCTGGCGAAGGACCAATATGTCGTCGAGGGAAAGTGTCCAAAGGCTGGAATAAATCTCGTGGGTTCGGTTCTCCATGTTCGTCTAAAGAAGTCGAGTATACCGTTCGGCGGGATGAAGGGATCGTTTGACTGGTGAGCGGCGAAAGTCGTGGGTTGGTGGCAGAGGTAGAGAATGCTTGGAATTGGTGTCGTCGTAAAGCTACAGGCACGATTGTCCTGCGCATTTGCGTTGAAGCTGTGAACTGGCGGCGCGCTGCTCGAGCAGCCACGGAGAGAGCCATCCTGCTAGATACAGTAGGCGGGAAAATATGTGAGGGGAGATTGGAGGAAGGGAGCTGTCCAACAGCTCAATTGCCACTCAATTGGGCTTTCAAGGTTTAAGAAGAAACCTGGAGCATACAAGACTCTAGTCTAAAGTACAAAGAATAAAACGAAGAGAAGAGAAAGAAGAGAGGAAGAATATCGCCGAAGTCATCGTTCCGTACGGTTTCTCTTTTCCCTTCCCTTTCCTATCGATAAGAAAATGTGAGCTCCGCGGCCGTTGTGTCGTCACACAATGGCGGCCTGGAGGTACTGTAACGTAATGTTATGTAACCGGACCCTGCAGGGGCAGATTGAGTGACGCAACATAGTCGGGGCTTGGCAGGTAGCCAACCAATGAGAAATGCTGATATGTGAGCTGTCAGGCGGTCCGGTATTGGTATTACAGCGGGAAAAGCTTGACTGATAAGATAAGAGTTGTCCGCGGGAAACTGGAGGGGTGCAAAGGGTGAAGTCGGAAAAGGTTTCGGTGGCCGACCTTTTTACTTTATGGAGAAATGAGGGTATCTGTAAGATGCAGCAGTAGTTGAATATAGTATAGTACCATGTACAAAACGCTCTATAACATTGAAACCAGGATCAATCGTAATCCTCCTCAGACTCTTCCTCCACCTCATCCAACAATCGCTGCCGTTCAGCCTCCGTCTCTTCAGCTAACCATCGTCGACTTTGAACCTGAACAAAAACCACGAGAATCGTTCCGATAATAAAGCTGAGTACTGCAAGCATACCGTTGATTGGGATCGGGTTGCCTTTCAATGCCCCCTGAGTCAAAGCATCAAGCCCAGTCTGCGAGAAACTGATGACGCCGGAAATGCAAATAATTGCGCCGTAGACCCGCCCAAATGTAGAGAACCCAAAAACCTTAGTTGCGTAGTCACTATCGTCATCTGTTAGAATACGACCAAAACGAATCATCAAGCGGATGAGACTTACGACATGGCTGAGTAGTACAAAGGCCGCAAAAGAACGAACAGCACTACTGTCACGTAGCCAGCCCAGAGGTAGGGTAGACAATTGAGAACGCCTATTGTTGTCGTCAAGAAAACGATCAATGCAAGTGTGTTTGGTACACTGAGGTGATCGAGCAAGAAGCCAATAAAAGGCGTGGATATGACTCCTCCAACCGGCAGAGCCACGTCGAAAAGATTGTTGATGTTCTCAGCCAGTGCCTCTGAGTCGAGCATGTACTCATACTGGGCGCGAATAGTGGCAATAAAGTAGTTCATTCGCAGCATTTGCAACACGGTCAGCAGGGTGATGAGAATGAACCAAGGCGACATGAACTGCTTCTGGACAGGCTCSCCGTGAAGGACACCCCAGACTCGCGCTGCGGCTTGTCGCTCCTCTTCTTGCTCTTCACGCTGCTGTCTTTCATCCAACCCACCGAGAACCTTGCCGATCTTTTTAAGCTTGTTCTGCCTCTTCTTGCGCCGCGCGGCGCGTATAGACGCTACCTCATTTTCGTCTGGGATCTCTTCGTCCGAATCGTGAATGTCTCGCGAAGGATCTCGTGCTGCCTCAATCTTTTCTTCCAATTGGAATATGGTCTTGTACGGTTTCGTCGGTAAAAGGAATATCTGCGCGAGAAAAATGGCTATCGGTACAGCCAAGTAACCTAGGAAGAAATATTCGGGCCGGACAGCGCGGTTGGTAGCTTCGTATGCAATGCGATAGAATAAAAACACGGCAGCAGAAGCATCGAACGCGCCAGTAACCAGTGCAACGATGACGCCGGATTTCTTCGGGAAAGCATTCGCAATTTGAAAGGCTGGTACGAATATGCAGGTACCTCCTAGGGATAGGAAGAAGTTTCCCAACACGTAGCCGTCGAACTCAGTTATTCTGAAAGCAAAGTACATGAGGAGACTGCCAATGGCGAGACATAGACACCCTACAATGTTGCAAATCCGAGGACCAAAGCGGTCGAGCATCGTCCCGATCGGCAGGGCAGATACATTCGCAGTGATGGAGGCGACCGTGAAAAAGAGGTTGAGTCTGTAATTGCATCAGTATAGTAAAGCCTAGGTGTTAGAGGGTTTCCTACTGTAGCTCTTGTTTGAAGCACACGTCGACACCATCTTCTAATTCGTCGCCATCACATAACCACTCATAGACTCCTTCCGACAGAAGCACCGGCTTCAACGCCGCAAACCCAAACACAATTCCTGATGCGAGCCAACATGCCAGAATAGTCGCAACCACCTGAGCTAGAAAGGGGTCAGTCAGGCAATTAATAGTAAATACAAGCATGCTCACCTATTCTTCTAGGCAGAGACACTTTGTATGCGGCAACTCTAGGTTGGAGATCGTCTTCATTCGGCCGAGGAAATACATCATAGCTAAGCATTTTGCGGATTGTGTTTCCTGGCGGAATTACTTCGTCGGGTGGTGGCTCGCGGTCAACACCTTCAATCGACGAGACATGTTGAATGAGAGACATTGCGCGGGAAGCCCAGCTGGATTGACGCAGTTGATGCGTATACAATCAACGTGGGAGGGCAAGAGTGAAAAAGAGATGGGGTGATGTTAATTATTTTGCAGCGATAGCTGTCGCGGCCGAACCTTCTCGAGCTTGTTGCTCCACATGATGGGCCTGTCTGGATCCTGTGTTGACGGGGCTTTGCCGGGATTAGCTGCGATGGTGATCTTTCACATGCTCATTGTTATTGAGGGTGGAACATGTTGTCAGTAAAAACTGGTGAAAAGATACAAGAAGAGTTGCACCGAGGATGATTTTCCCGGTCTCAGAGAATTTGACTGTATGGTCCAGAATGGGCGCAAATTGCTGTGGAAGGTCCACGGAACGCTCGAGGGGAGCTACTTTCCTTTTTGACATTTTATGCTCCACTGCGGGGCTGCTCCTTCCTTGACGCCCGCCAGTCCTAAACTATCCTGACAGTTCTTTTTCTCTTCTCCTATGTGCAACTCTTTCATCCTTTTGAGAATATCTATGTCATCTTCAATGGGTTGTCGCATCCAATAACTCCATGGCATGCTTTCATTGGAAGCTCATCTACAAGGAGTCAGATCCAGCAAGGACGTCTAATCAGCGGAGTTAACGGACGTTCCCAGGTAATTCCCAGGGTTGTCGTCGTATTGGAAATAGCTATTCACCCGACAACGGCCCGGAACCGGTCATTGTAGGGAGTATTTATCAAGGTGAAAGATGTGTTGCTCTCTCGACATATTGACTTTTTCACCAAGTCAAAACTAGAAGCGAACATGTCTGAACAAACCCGACTCAGCAGCTACAAGCAGGGCTACTCTAAATACACCCTTGCAACTCAGCAGTTGCGCACCGCCGAATCTCATGCCGCCTTCCTACTACCGCACATAGCCAAGGGAGACTGCATTCTGGATGTTGGATGCGGTCCCGGCACCATCACCATAGGCTTTGCCAAATACGCGAGTGAAGGCAGTGTCGTTGGCATTGATATATCAGCCGAAGTCTTGCAAAAGGCAAAAGAAGCAGCTGCCGAAGCCAAGGTTCCTACCGAAGGTCCAGGCTCTGTCGTCTTTGAGCAAGGAAACATTCTTGAAAGACTTCCATATCCCGATGAGACGTTCGACATTATCTACTCATCTCAAATGTTTGGGCACCTTMCCCCGCCAGATCTGCCACTCCGAGCACTGGCTGAAATGAGACGTGTCCTTAAATCTGGCGGTATTCTGGCATCGCGCGACGCAGCAGACCAGCACTTTTATCCACGTCGCCTCGACCTCGATCGACTATGGGTGCAGAATTTTCATCGGGTAGCAGCACTAAAGCTCGCGCCTAACGAAGATCCGACCAGCACGAGAATGCCGGAATTTCTACGTCGCGCTGGCTTTGATGCTGATGGTGGCAAGGTTATCGTTGGCGCTGGCTCAACGGTTTATTCAGGAGCAGAAACTCGCAAGTGGCTGGCCTGGCGTGCAAAGGGTCATTTGCAGCAAGGAGATGAATTTCGACAGAGCTGGCTGGATGCCGGTATTACTGAAGAGGTGATTCAGGAGACGCTAAATGCTGTAGATAAGTGGGTCGATACGGAGGATGCGTGGTATGCCGCCATACAGTGTGAGATGCTTGCATGGAAGTAATCTCTCAGCTAGACGCGCTACGAGTAAGTGTGCATTAAGTATAATTAAGCATGTCACGGCCACATAATGAATCCCATGATCTATGAATCCATTCATGAAATAGAAAGCCATTGAGACTTGAAAGGCTCATAGAAAGGGACCCTCATGATATAAACAATTGGTCCTAGTGACCGGCACCTACATAGCACCTTTCTTCGGCATCTCAGCAGCCCTGTCCTACGATCACAGAGGCCGATCTTTTACCATTTCCGACTCCACCCACCGCCTCTACGACCATAAAATCCTTGTCTCAGATTCATTGCACAGGTATCAGGGCGATCCCATTATACTCGCACTTTCAGTCATCTCGAATAATATAATAGCACAAATAGAACCCCTCCCTCTCTCGTCTAAATCGCCATCCATGAAAATCAGCAAGTCCACTTGAGTGATTTCAACGTAAAAACAGTTTGTAGCGGTCACATCTTTTGTTTGGATTTTTCTTTATTTGAACACAGAGTAAGATTGTAGATCATACCAAGCTGTTGTTTTGTCAATTAGTCCCGCAGGTCTCTTTGTTACGTAGCTGTGATAGCAATGGAAGGTGTAAAAGCCAGGGATTGCGGGGAACATAAATCAGGACTTCCAATGTTATCTGCCCAAGCACCCAGGATTCACCCGATAAAGACTCAGTATTCATACGACATCTAAGAAAGAAAATGCTAAATTATAGCCGAAGACATAATTGATAAGCCACCATCGTCAAAAATAGTATCGTGGCGCAATTAGCTCTGGCCTTACGAGAACCAACAACGCTAGCTAGGAGCTACACGTGATACCTTAGGCATCAATATTTTGCCCTGATTGATAAAGCTCCTTCCTCGTTGATGACACACAAAGCTCAAAATATATGCAGCATACACAAAAAAGTTTGATTTGATCCTGGAAATACCTATACATCATGTCGACCGTCCCCAAAGCACGCCAGAGCAACATCACGGGCCTTACCGTGACGCCCGATGAATGGGACTCATATCCCGAAATATCGCGCTCGACACTTCAGAATTGCACATTTAAAGATCTCAATGCGACGACCAATATCAACCGTACCACCATGTCGGAGTCAACCGTCATCCAAGAGCCATCATTATCATCGGATATAGCAACGGAAAAATCAAAAGCGAAAAAAGGAGCGCTTATAGAGCGTTCTACAGTCGAGAATAGTCAAATTCTCAACTCAGCGAACGTGCAACGCTCCGAGATCAATGGATGCACAATCACAGATTCGAAGGTCGAAAGAAGCAATTTAAGCAATTGCAATGTCTCGGCACGATCTCACATTGAGCGCACAACAGCCAAAACCACCAAATTTGTCGGCCCAAAGACCGTGCAACGCTCAGAGCTTAGCGATAGTGTAGTTCTCAGCCAGAGCGCCGTTGAAAGAAGTATCATACGCGACTCAGTGATCGCCGACAAAGCTGTCATTGAGCGAACGGAACTCAACACTGCTGTCGTTACAAGAAGTCGTGTGGAGCGCTCCAAGATTTCGGATTGTGATATTATGGATTGCGTTATTGAGAGAACGGATTTTCAGGGTATGATTTTGCAGTATGGGATTTGGAAAAGAGGGGATTTGGTGGGGAGGACGTCGAAGGAGCATGAGGTTGTGATTAAGCCGAGACAGAATTCGGTGCCTACAAGAGAGAATGAGGAGTCGTCTGAATCAGTACCACAAATCGTGCAGGATCCGGGGTCGGGGTGGAAGGCGGCTGAAGCAGTAAGTTTTTCTCCTATACTCCTTGTTGATGATAGCTGATTAGTCTGCGACAGGAACGAGAGAGGTTAGGAGTGGAAAGTGACCACGAGGAGGACTCATCGCCTGATGACTTGGAAGAGTCAAGTAATGAGGATATACCCGATTCATCTTCGAAGCGCAAATTGAAGCACGCTCGGGGACAGGCTAGTGCTCAGTATACGTCGACTTCGGCAAGCATTGGGGCAGATATCCATGATCCCCCGCCACCTTATGAACAGTAGCTAGCCTGGAAGGTGGCCACATGTAGTTGAGAAAAGTCTCTGTAAAACGGCCCTGCTGTTTCGTACTTGACCTTCCTGTGATTTATGCAATCAGAAATATGAGTTCTCTGCGTATGATGAGGCTTTACTCATTCCAGTCTGTCTATTCATAAATTCGACCATGTTGTGGTATTGGTCCCAATTCATTACTATCGCGTAATTCAAATCTCAGCTTTGGCATCACCCCCTTCCACGTCTCCGGCCACTCATCTCTCACCTTCATCAACTCCTCACGCCATTGTGTCGCTGTCCTCATTTGCCACGCCTCAGGAAGAGCATATTGAATTCTCAGAGTACGAAGAAACACCACAACCTCTTTCAATTGCTCAAACTTGATTAGTTTCTTTGCCGGAACCCAGCTCGCATCTACCCCAACAAGTTTCCACTTATCCGATAGTTGCGAATTATGCCATGTATATGCCCGTAATGTATAGTCAATCTCTAATAAGAATGTCTGTACTCTGGTGGCAAAGGCACGCTCGTGTTGTGCGATTGCAATAAATTTATTCAGACCGGGAAGACCTCGAGTTCTTTTTAAGATACTTATTTTCATTGCGAAATGATCAATTGATGGGTTAGCATAAAAACCCTTTCTTACTGTTTTTGTGGTGACGGTTTCGATGTCTTCTACTTTGATGCCCTCTCTATTATCGTCCAAGACCCAAACTCGCCGAGGTGTAGTTTTCTGAACCGACACAAATGGTAACATCGACGAATTGTCCGCTTCTTCTATTCGCAATCGTAGATCATTTATGGGGTGTTGAGGTTCCCAGGGCCGGTCGGTAGTAGTATCATATAATTTATTGAAATACACGCCATGCCCTCCTCTCTGAGTAACAGCTCGACTCTCTCGACAGACAAAGAGAAGTGGAGGAAGCGTTATCCTGTGGGAAATGTGTTCGTATGAATAGCATTTGCAGCCGCCGCGAGTGTGAACACATTCGGTGATGTACCTGATCACAGTCTCCGAGGTGGCACCATCTGGATTGTCATCAACACCTAGCCGTTCTACTTCAAATGCGTGGAAGTGTATTGGGATTATTCTTGGTTTCGTCGCGAGGGCTAGTTCCCAGATTTGCAGCCGTAGTTCAGCGGGTAGATCATTGAATTGAGGGAATGTCTGCGATGGTTGGCTAGGTGGATTAGACTCGGCAGTTGCGGGGGGAGACTCCATCTTCTTCTAATGATCGCCAAGTATGGAGAAGGCTGTATATCGAGGGTCTGGGCCCTGCCGACTTGTAAACGTATATGAAGATGAGCTCCAATCTACATCAGCCAGATCTGACTGATGTATTAACCAACGTATGGCCAGAATGCACTCCTGATACACTCTAAATATGATTGTTTACTACGAAGTAAGTCGGCGAGGGAGTTAAGTGGACACTAATACTCTTTCATTCTAGCGTTGATGACACGGGTGGCGACTAGCCCATATAAGGTATAGTGCCAAACCACGTGCACTCGTTGAATCCTTAGGCCAACAACTCTCCCCCCGAATCATTATCCAATTTCCTCGCTTGCTTCAACACCCTCCATCAACCCCATGTCATGTCATATCCCATCGGTGCATCCATCCAACTAAACTAAGCGCCTCAGTGGAACCCCAGATCTAGAACAAAGAACATCTCCATTACGTCGCCCTCTCGGAACGCCTCATTATTCAGCTGTAACTTTCTTTTTTACCAGCGTTGGAACCATAACCATTCACGCGCACGCTTATAGTTTCTTCGACCTATTTCCTTTGCAACCAGGTTACACTACATCGATGTCGTCGTTATCTTCTGGGACTAGTCTCCGCAGATCCTGCCAGGGCTGCGTCAAGGTTAAGCGACGATGCGATTTGCTCTTCCCGGAGTGCAGCAGATGCTTTAAGAAGGGTGTGCGCTGCCAATATATCAATATTCCTCTGTCGAGCCGAACGAGTCCGCCGGGCGATGGTCATAATGTCAATGGACGGGTCACCAAGCCGGCAAATGTGCGACAATATCAACAACATCAGCAGCAACAGCAAAAGATACACAATCCCGTTGTTGACAAGACGATAAAGGCGGAGATAGTACAAGAGAATAATCTCGAAACGATCGTCTTTAGACCGTCGAAGCGAACCACGCCGTCGGGTGACGAAGCAAGTGATGGAAGCAGTGTCGCCAGCGATGATAGCACAGGCAGCAGCGCCAACAGTAATACCAGCAATACAAATGTACCGTGGATACGACCGCCATTGGATATCGAGATTCGAAAACAACATTCGCCTTACATTATCGACTTGGTAGCCAACGTCGTGCGTCAAGCGCCTGCATCATTCGTCAAGGGTCAATCCATTTTCATTCACCCTTGCGTCTACAGCAAATCTCTACCACGGCCGGTCCGCGAAATCCGTGCGTTATGTGCGATGTACGAGAACGACAGCGATGACTATCAATTATCTCCCGTTAAACTGTCGACCCTTCTCCAACGTCAAATTGTCTCGTTAATCCAAACCGCGAAGAAGACAACCGATTTCGAAGAACTGGTCGCATGCGTTCAGGCACTCACTCTTGCACAATGTCTGCAATTGTCGGAAGGAAACATTCGTGGCCCTGCAATTGAAAAATCCCTCGAGTTCCTCGCTGCTCTTGCACACAGAATGTGGTATTTGGTGCCCCGGGAACTACCGAGTACCATGTCACCATGGCACGCCTGGATGTTTGGCGAGACTGTCCGTCGTACGATTGTTTTCTCGCATCTCGTGATTGCCGCGTTTAGTTTTTTGAGTCGTGGCTATGCATGTCGCACTCCTTTTATTGATGCCCTCCCATTCGATGGCCGAACATATCTCTGGGACGCAAGATCCGAGCAGGATTGGGCCAAATACAGCACGCAGCGTGATTTCCCTATGGTGTCTGTTATTGAGTACGCCGACCTAGTACAGTCTGGCCGCGCTCTATGCTTTTCCTCCTTTGAGAGCTTGATTATCGCCACATGTCGGGGGATAGAGTTACCTATTCATGAGCTGTCGAAGGTGATTCAGATGTGATTTCTTTTTTTTTTTCTCTTGATATTTCCTTTGCATGGTGGTATATGTCGTTGGTTGTATGTATTTTTTCTGGCGGGTAGCGTCGGTGTTATCATCACTAGGTTTTGATCTATCGTATGTACATTATTTTACATGAACATACACGCTTTCATGCAATTTGCCATTGGTACCACTTTGAGTTTGCTGAATCATGACAATGTAGCAAAGTCATGGCTCAACTTTCTCTCTTATCTTTCATTGCCGCAGGATCATGGTTACATGGATGCTCGGGACTGTAATCCGATCATCTATGCCTGCATGTACGACCAACTCACCCCTTCAAACCTCGAGGATTCAACGATGTCCTGGTCGAATAGTTGAAAGCGAGAAAATGTCATCTTCAACAGCACCACTCCCTCTGATCCCGCTAGACGGTCCTCCGTGAGCGTCTGCACCATCCACCGTCTACTAACGGCAAATCCTGACTAACGCCTCGACATAGCACGACCATCCCAATTCCTCACCAGACCCAACCCGAAAGGGCACCAAACCTTTCCCATCTTGCCAACAATTCTGACATTCATTGTGAAAAAAACTCCGCAGACCTCATAACCCGCCGCATAACCCACCTCCAAACCGTCCTATCCTCTCTACACCACTACCACGCCTACCGCGAAACGCTCCCAGCCATAATCAGCGCCTACAAATCCGGAACTCTAACTATCGAACAGGGGCAATTGACTTTTTGGGCGAAGGATTGTCAATTGGGGCCGGTGAGGAAATTTGATGTTCCGACTACGGAGGATGAGAGGTTGAGGCAGCAGGTGAGGGTTATGGGGATGTTGGATGAGGTGCTTAAGGTGCAGGATAGAGGGGATTTATTATGGATTGAGAATGTGAGTTTCTTCCAAGGTTAGCCTTGATTGAAGGAATGGGATGGAATGAGAGAGGCTGGTGCTGATGAGGATGTGAGTGTAGCCGTTGTCGGAGGAGGAATGACTTTACACTGGTTTAGGTTCGGGTGCTTGATCTGTACTTGAACAGCTGTCTTCTTTCAGAGGGGATGATTGCTGTACTGTTTCCGTATTAGACAATGCTAGAGCGGTTGGATATTTCCTGTTACGGAGGGTGGATGATAAGTGCCCAAAGTAGTCATTTGTAACATAACCGTGGTCTTTCCTTTTTTCAAATCGACAAATAAATAATTCTCAGATGATGTATATCTATTACTAGTTCATATAGGGTCTTTGGATTCAATCTACAGGATATCTGCAATAATGAGACCAAGAACACAGTGAGTGGCCAATTTAGGTCACGACAACATGACATCACACACTTTGATTCAGACAGGATATATTGTGCAAATGTCTAAAATGATTTTAATTTCACAAATATCCTAAGACACGAAGCACAAACCTTTCATATCAAATAAAGAATCACCGCAGAGATCGAATCATGGTCGACAAACGCGAGATAACCAATGCCCTAACCGCCGAAGGCATCATCCCCGACATTCTTCCTCCCGGCACAGTCGTGCCACGAAACCTAAAAGTCGATTTTCATACCACAAAACTTACGAGGCCAGGACAAATGATTGATCGCGAAGAGACGCAAACGAAGCCGACTGTTTTCGTTGATCCTCCGGTTGGTTATCTCCCCAGGCCTTGGTTGCCAATCGAATTGACTTCAAATGGATGCTGATAAGAGCGATTGATGATATAGCCGGAAGAAGACCTTTCGAGGAATATTTATACGTTGTTAATGGTGGATCCGGTATGTTCTCTCGTGGTAGCTGTTGGGCTTGCGAACTTGATTGACTAATTGTCGTGAAGGACCTTACTGTCCGACACGATACGAGATTTGGACAAGTCAGACACTGGCTCGTAAGCAAGTGCTCAGTCAGCAGTACGGGAGAAGTGCTCGATGTCAAGGGCACCACGCATTCACCATGGGTTGGGCCTGCGCCTCTGCCAGTTCATACTTTTACAGGGTATGTATACCGCCACATTCATTTGAGAACCTTTTCAACAACAGTGAATAACTTATGATTGACAGAAAACCACACCCATCGCGCTACACTTTCATACTCTGCAGAAGCAAGACAGCACACTCTAGAGGCGGCGATAACAAAGCCTCCGAAGAATTGCATATCTCGGAAGGAGACCAGTATACGGGCTTAGCGAGCGATTTGGGCAAACCGTCACAGGATCTATTTGATCGGTGGAAGTTTAATACTGCGCAGTTTCTGGAGGAAAATAATCTTGAAGTGGTGGCTGCGACGTATATGCTCGTGGAAGGGAATTTGAAGAGTGGTGCTGCCAATTTGGGCTTGATGGCTAATGCTATTGGGAATAAGATTGGAGAGATGGCTCATTGATTACATCAGTCCATAACTTGAGATTACATTTTCCTTTCAAAGTATAGTGTAATTGATTCAAGGCGTTGTTTTTATATTGATTGATATTATGCGAGCAATGGCAATAATGATTGTCGACGGCCTGTCTTGAATGAAAACGTCTAGGATCTAAAAGAAGTCTTGACAGACTTGTAGACCACCACATGCGTACCATCCTTCAAGCTCTCATGTCTTGGCTCCAAGGTGTACCGTCCAAGCCTAGGCAGCGCAACCCACCAAACAAACCAGTACACAATCGAAGCCGCCAAAATTGCAATACCGACAACAGCATACAACCAATACGGAAGAGAGGTATCTCCCTTACCACCCGGCGGACGCAAGAACGGAGCAACAAGCTGGAATGCCTGAGCAGCCATGAAGAACGCTGCAACGGGCCACCAGACTTTGAATGGGCGATGGGTGTGTGGTTCTTTGAAACGCAGGTAGAACAGACCGGAAACGACGAGGAAGTTGACTACACTGCCTGGGTAACCTTCGAGATCGAGAATGAAGTTGTAGGCATCACCGAAGGGGATGGCGACGATGACGATGAAGGATGGGATAAAGTGAAGAAGTAGACCGGCAGAGGGTGAGCCGAAGGGCCAGTTAGAGGCCCAGAATTTGGGGAAGGGAATGACGCCTTCTTTGGCTAGTTCTTGGTTGACACGCGACTGGGCGAATGTAACTGTGAGGACATTTCCAAAGGCGGATATGGCGAGGAGGACACTACTCTTGTCAGCAGTCTGGATCAGCATTTCAGTTGACAGATTAAGAGACGTACCTCAATGCGCGTTGAGCTGCGTGACCGAAAACTTTGTACATAAAATAACCTGCTACAGTCACACCACTGGCTGCGATCTCTTTAGGCGTGGCTGCGGCATAGTACGCGATGTTGGCGAAAATGTAGAGAATGCCGCAAATGAGCAGACCAAGAGGCCCTGCAATCTTCACCGTTCGCACGGGGTTTTTGACCTCGTTCAACACGTACATGGCGTTGTTCCATCTAATCCCGTATTAGTTCTAACGATCCAAACAATTTTCACGTATACATACCCAGCATATGAGTTCAGCACCTTGAACAACGCAGAAGCATACAAATTTCCTGAATGACTCGATCCAGCAAAAGCGTTTCTGAAACTGGCATGAGGATCAGGGACACTTTTAACGTGACCACCGAGAACGACCCAGCCGGTAACAACAATAAACAGCAGGATTATAATCTTCATGCCAGTGATCACATTCATACCGCGAACACCCCATTTCGGGAGGAATGTGTGGAACAAAGTGATGAAGACAATGACGCCAATTGCGATACCACGTTTGGCCCATTCGGTTACGGCGACGTCAGCTGCTGTGAGGATGTACTGCGCGAAAACAACGCAACCAGACGCTATTCACAAGTTAGATCTGTGATCCATAGATATTGGTAGATGCCTAGCATACCGGTAAACCCTAATGCGATAGCTTGAACGGCGAAGAAAATGGTAATCAATAGTTTAGGCTTTTTGTACACGGCTTCCAGATAATTCTTTTCTCCACCACTGCGCGGAATCATTGAAGCGAATTCGAGCCAGACACAAAGACCAGCGGCAGCGAGAAAAAATCCGAGGACCCAGAACATGAGCGACGCGCCTACACTGCCGAGTTCTGCGGTGACAGAAGACGGCGTGGAGAAGATACCTGTACCGATGATACGACCAACCCTAATTATGGTCAGTATTAAGTCGGTCCACCAACACGACATTGAAAAACACATAGAGTGAAGTTACTAAATGCACGCACACTAGAAATGTAGTCGACAAAAAACCCAAGTGTCGACCGAGACCACCGGAGGTATACTCATCGAACGCGAGTTCGCCAACATGCTTCTGTCGGGCTTCTTGGATGTCGGAGTCTTCGCGCTGCGCAAGGTCAGCCTCGACTGATGGCTCGAGCTCTTTGCCATTTCCATAGAGCGAGGAGTCGTGCGACGGCATGTTTATTTTCTGGTTTGAAAATTCCTCCCAAGTTTTCTCTTTTCCATGCAGTATTCTAGAAAAGAGAGAAAGAAGAGACCCCTGCCGGGAGGAATGTCAACCTCATATAGCTGCACGACTCCGTCACTCCGTGTAACCCATTCCCAACAAGAACGATAAAAAATAAAAAAAATTGTGCTTTGCTATAGGGTCAAGGCTGCATGTGCAACGTAAACACAGTGATAACACTGCGGGCTCTGATTGCGTGCTTGAATCCATCTACACAGCTTTCAACCAACGAAAAGCGTCGATAACCCGTAGCTTAAGCTTCCTTGGTATGGTGCTTGACCCTTGATATGCAACTAGGACATGATCGCGTGAGCCACATCAAGGCTTGAATGAGGTCGGCTGGCTTGGCGATAACTAATACATGCGTTTTGATTTGTGGGTAATGATATTTTGATGGGGCTAAATGGTGTTTTATCTAGTTCTTCGTAAGCAAATCCCTCCGAGCAGATCCTTCTAAGCAGATATTTGAATGGACAAACACCTGAGGTACAATCGATCTGATCTGTCCTCTAACCTCCGAGTAAACGTGGCGATTTAGTGCGCTTCTCGAAGGAACGGTCGCCACGCCCATGTGTCATTTTCCGTCTTCTGTTCGTTGATTATTGTGTTGTTCTTTGCCTTGATTCGGACAACTCCGGGCCCACGAACGTTCTTGATCTATCAGGGCTGTCGCATGCAGGCACAATGTAGAGACTAGAGACTAGAGAATATCGTCCGTCATTAAAACTGTCAAAGAATGATCTTATTTATCAGTTGCCAATTTCTGTCTTAGGCAAAGGTGTTTGACCAGAGCATCAGATTCGAGATAGGGTTAGGGTAAGGTTGTGGCTGTGTTGACATTATTGCATAACATCGCCTCAAATCATAGCCTCCTTAGGTATTGCTGCCTTGAATAAATATTTATGCTGCGGCTATTCTGGACATCTATCTGAGTCATGTGAGCATTGAGTGTATCGTAAAATCTCCGGTTGGTTGATTATGATGACTCGTATTTCCAACTCCGGCGATTTCCACGAGCTCAGTGCATGACGTCTTTGACTTTCTAGAACACTTCCATGATATTTCAAGATTCACTTTGATGTTTTGAGTTTCTCGTTTGGCTATAGGTGTATTCTCCTGAATGGGCTATAATCAGCCTCTGAAACATCTCAACTATCTATCGAACACACTGGGAAGTTTACAGAACATCGAGTTCATATATCGTCGAGGTCGTCACGGCAGACAAAAGATATCCACAATAAAAATATAAAGATCCTAATCAGGAACCGACTATATTTTACCCAATTTTTAGAATTACATCAGTATGGGTCTCTGCTTCAGTGCTCCGCGACGACGCGTCTTTATGCCAGCGCCTCGAATGCGCCCCATGCCCGTATACAACGCATACCCAATGTCTGGCGGTATGCGCATGAGCCATGGATACGGAGGAGGCTATGGAGGAAGAATGGGATACGGAGGACCACCTATGGGAGGTCGGCATTATGGAGGTGGTTTTGGAGGAGGAGGTAGATATGGAGGAGGTGGATATGGAGGACGAGGAGGGTATGGGAGAAGATGTTGAATGCAGAGTAATTGGTGGGCACCTTTCCAATATCCTTCCTATTTCAGCAGTTGTAGTGTCAGGAATTTATTGACCGGTGATAGGATGTACAAACAATTCGGAATCGATATACAATACGAAAAAGATTATTTCGGAAAATTGGCGTTAGGGCATCAGAATGGGTTGCAGATTAACAAGCTTGGGATCTTTACTTGATATAAACGAGAACACGAATTTATTCCTTTGTTGATGAAATGACAATCTCACGACTCGAAATCGTGAAGTTAAAGATGTCCATTCCGTATTGAAAGGGCTTGTACTTCAGAACCATCCCCATAGATCGCATATAATGTCTTTACATTCCATTTCCAAGGTTAATTTCGAATATGCCCAGGTAAGCACTATTGTCAAGACAAACGAGAGCTTACAACAAAGTACACAAATCTCCAAGGTCCTCTATCCTACGTGTTTCAACCGGTTCATTTGAAGTCGATTGTTGGAGGAGCAATATCCAATACCGAAGCACCTTCCATCGCAATCACTGACTGGAAATTTTTAACTAGCAATAATCTAGAGCCATACTTAACTGCTCGAGATAGAAGTCTAATAGTTGCACTGCATATCGCTAAAGCAACAAAAGAAGCGAATTGCCAACTTGATCCAGTAGCCAATTGAGATAAGGTCTGATATTTCACGATTACCCTAGGCTCTCAGATTACTAATATGGGAATGGAGATTCGGATAAACACAGGACTCATTTTCATAGCCTTACAGATCAGGGGAATCGATTCGAGAGGCGTTTCAGTGTATATCACCTTAAAATGATACATAGTATGATTGTTGACATTCAAGGTAGTCTTACACCGAGACGATTTCTCCGAGGCGTGGACTGCATAGGCTTAAACTAGACGTACACTAGAGAATTGAAATCCGAAGCATTTCCTTTCTGGTGACCACTTGATGCGTAAGACCCGGGCTGAAACTTGCTTATACATAAGTAGTAGCGGTCACCGCGGCGCTTAGGTAACTGCAGTAATGTAAATGGCTTGCGAGTAGGCTATGAACCGCTCAGACATCAATTTTGAGCGCCGCGTAGCATCTTGTTTTATGTCTTTCTGGGACCACTTTTCTAATCCGGACACTGCTACGTTTCGTAGCAGACCTGAGCGCTGCACCCCGCAAATACTTACATCACAAGCTCATCGCTCAGACCTGATGCTGCATCATCGTCCCGGCACTTTCATGTAGATCCGACACAGTCAAAATGCGTTTTGATCAAGGGTGAATGTCTTTTGTCAACTGCTAAGACCCGACAAATTTCCGGAGTCTACCCCATATTACTACATATGATGTTCGTAGAGATTTATAAAAATTTGCAACGACGCTGCTAGACTCGCAGCTGCCGGTAATTGATTTCTTTCTAATCAAGCTACAACTAGACACCAATTCGGCAAAATTGCTCTTGAAGACTAACCTCGACTCGGTAGTCGGATGCAACGTTAATGATGGAGCGGACTAATAGCAAGAGAATTAAACTCCATTTTCTCCCCTAGTTTCAGTCCTTAATTTCTCCTGAGTGGCTTTTCGAATCAGCAGATATTAATTAAAAAGTCCGGTATATGCGATTTGACTGTGTAGTTGGTCGAATCATCTATAATCTATATAAGCATCGGAGAATACGAACGATTAAAATCTTACGTGCAATATATAAACCCAACTGCTTGGTAAATATGCATGGATGATTTGCGAATAGGGTTTTCACTATGTGAACACTGGCCCCATCTCCACAATTGGATGACTAGGTGGTGAGCTAGTGAAAAGAAACACGTAAATCTATACACAAGTGACGGTATAATACGCCGTTGATATTGCTACGCCATACTCGTCCAGGAATATGGGGGCACATGGCTTTCTTGAAGCGTTACATTGTCAACGTACTCGCTATGAGGCCTCCAAAACTGTACGAAGCAAGCCGACCAGTGAACATGCTGTTCACGCTCCGGACTGAACGAATCTAATTTAATTACAGTACGTAGCAATATCGTTCATGTGGCGTTCTGTGCCAGTGTCGTACTGTCGAAATGGTCTTTGAAGCATGAATACCGAAGAGGGCATGCCGCCGGTACCGTGAGGGCTGGACCTCCTGGAATCTTATAAATGTAGATAGAATCTCCTCAGTCCGGAAAGATTACTTAGCTAGAGAAGAAAAGTAAGGCGAAGAGACTGTATATATAGAAGTACTAAGCAAAAGAAAAATGCTTTCAACTATACTGGCCGCTCTCGCCGGCCATGTCGCCCTTACCGGTGGCCATGCCATCCACAAACGAGTTACAACTCCAGCAGCTTACGCTTCCAACTCAGATGGCAGCTATGCTCTTACATCCATTACGGCACCTGTTCAGGGTGCTGGCTCTCCAGGCTCGGAGTCAACATGGAAGCTCACTATTGATGATACTTCTTCTGGATATAAACAGACCATTACAGGATTTGGTGCTGCAGTTACTGATGCTACTGTGACTTCCTTCAACACTTTATCAAGCACTGAACTTAATCAACTGTTGAACGTATTGATGACATCTACCGGTGCCGACTTCAGTTTGGTGCGCCACACCATTGGAGCCTCTGATCTATCGGGAGATCCCGCCTATACTTACGACGACAATGGCGGTGCTGTTGACACTTCAATGTCTGGTTTCAATTTGGGAGACAGAGGTACTGCAATGGCCGAGATGTTAGCAAAGATGAAGTCTCTTCAGTCGGATTTGAAGGTGCTTGGTTCCTCTTGGAGTCCCCCTGCATGGATGAAGTTGAATGGCGTCATTGATGGAAGTACCACAAACAACAATTTGAATGATGGCTACTTGGGTAGTGGAGTGGGAAGTGCTGGATACTCCAGTGAATTTGCCCAGTATTTCGTCAAGTACATCCAAGCATACGAAGCATTGGGCGCAAACATCAATGCTATAACTATTCAAAACGAACCCTTAAACAGTCAGGCTGGCTATCCTACAATGTACATGTTTGATTACGAGCAAGGAGATTTGATACAGAGCTACGTTGGCCCAGCTCTTGCTAGCGCAGGACTGGACACTGCAGTTTGGGCTTATGACCACAACACGGGTAAGTTGAAGTAGAGTCAAACTTTTGCCCCAAAAAAGACAAGCTAACGATGGCGATATAGATGTTCCATCCTTCCCTCAAAATGTCTTAAATACTGCTAGTCAATACGTTGACACTGTTGCATGGCATTGCTATGCCTCCTCCGTTGACTGGTCTGTCTTGACTGACTTCAAGAACAGCAACCCAGATGTCACCCAGTACATGACTGAATGTTGGACTCCCGCTTCTGGAGAATGGTATCAAGCTTCGAATTTTACCATTGGACCCCTTCAGAACTGGGCTTCCGGAGTCATGGCCTGGACACTCGGCACTGATAGCTCCGACGGACCACACTTGTCAAGCGGTGGATGCGACACCTGCCAGGGATTGGTCACCATCAACAGCGACGGCACTTACACATTGGAGCTCGCGTACTACATGATGGCACAGTACAGTAAATTTATTCCTACAGGTGCCATTATCTTGAACGGCTCAGGAAGTTATACCTACTCTGGCACGGGCGGTATCGAGTCTGTTGCCTCGTTAAACCCTGACGGTACTCGCACCGTTGTCATCCAGAACACCTTCTCTAATGATGTGTATGTCACTGTGAGCACCAGCAGCGGCCAGGAATGGAGCGGTAATGTTCCGACTGAATCTGTTGTGACATGGGTGTTGCCTGCTGTCTAAGGTGACGATTGGGAATTTCCAACCTGCGTTCCCGTACATATTAAATGATTTGTATATAGAGTCATATTATATTTTCAAATTTATATGCATATAGTAGCAGAAAATTAATTCTCTGAATTAGCGCACCACCATCTTGTCCAATAAGAATCTAGATTGCTGCATTTCAGTGTGCGGACTTAGAAACGGTGCACGTACTAATAATCTTGAATTGTGAATTCTATGATCATCAAATACCGTGTCTCTGACTGTAAGACTGGACAACAAATCCGGACTGTCGGAAAAACAGACCTCACGGATTCGTTGTATGGGTTAGGTTAGCTGACCCTTCGTACCCTAATCATTGAAGTACTGCTCCTATATTCCTTACAAATTCTAAGCTTCTGAGAAACGATTATCGAATAACACAGGGCTTAAAAGAATTCCGAATAAACTCAAGACTCCTGGGAGTCTCGAAAAACATGTCTGGAGTGGCATAATAAAGGGAGCTCTGTTTTGACTTTATCTCATGCCACTACTAAATTCACATGTGTTCACATCTGTTGATGAGAGTCTTTCTATCTTTCAAATTCGTGATCACTTTATTTTTGCGTTCTTAAAGCGAGGGCCATATTATTCAATAAAATTATGGTAGATCGAGAAGACACAGATACTAGACATCTAAGTGTCGAGCAAGCTAAAACGCTGATTTCGCAGCCAGCCAGACATTGGTATGTACGTTAAGAATAGGTATGTACTGACTATATAGGAAGATAATCGAGACCGAGATCAAATACAATGACGTTATGAAGGCTGCGGAGCAGATCAAATTTGTACTTTGCTTTAACAATTCCAATGAGGATAAATGATCATGATTTGAAACTCTAGTCGTACACGATACACACCATCACTTTCCTCAGGCGAACAAGCATATTATCTGAAGCTTTTCAGCTCCTATATGCTGAATTCCCGGAAAACAAACAAGTCCAATCTGATACTCACCGAAGACCAACTGAGTAAGTAATCTCCGGACGGACACATCTTCAACGACCAGCGGACTCAGTACCCCGTATTGCGGCTTTTTATTAATCAGCCCTCGGATCAATAGTAACAACCGGTAGTAGCTTACATAAATAATGACGAAGCAGGAGGGTCCTTCTTAGCTGTCTTGACTTGAACCCTGCGGGGTAATCATTTACGGCCGTACAATGATAGCTTCGCTTCAGTTGCTTGAATGAACCCTCAAGAATCAGGGATCAGGACTAAGCCTTTTTCAATAAAAACATCCGTGCAGATGGAGGAACTACTAGAAGAACCTGTTGAGAAACATTTCGTTTGATGTAACATGAAGGATTTAGGTAACGACTGACCTCTTTGTTTACTAGTTGCGCTAGTAATTTATTGTTAATACCGGCGTTTCGCCGGTCGGTAATTACGGGGCCGATTTGTTAGACGGTATAACGGTAAGTATACCTTACGAGAAATACACCGTACGAGTATGTTCGATAACAACTTTGTCGTAATATCTTGGAGTCCGATTGACGTACATCTACGTACATCTAGTGCGGAAAGGGCAAGGTTTTTTTTTCTCTATCTAAAAAATTATCAACTCAGCAACTGTTGCCCCAAGTCTCTGCTCCTCGCCTTGGGTCCCTTCTATTGTAAGACTGATTGCTGTCACTTCTACTACGTCGGGTAGTTGCACAATAGTCGTATTTCCTTCTCGAATTTTCACCTCGTAGATATCGCTGGCATTGAACGGTGCGGATATTTCGACTTGATCGGTTTCGTAAAGAAGCGATGTTGTTTTTTGTATTCCATCGCCTTCATGACCATGGATGGTAAATCCGCGTGCTGGAGTGGAGCCCCAATTGACGATCATTTCAGTCACATTGACTTTGCGTCCAAGACTGATAGAGACAGATGCTCTTTTCGGGCCCAACGGCTGCCAGACTGTCGCATTAGAGCCATCGACTATGCTTGCTGGATAATGGCCAAAAACCCAACGCTGCTCTTGAGTTTCGGGCAATCCAGTATTGACATCTACTGGTTTGCATAACGCAAGATTGACACCCCCATTATATGTAGTGTCTTTTTGATCAGGTCGACGAGTTGGTATCTTCAATGTCTCACCGGCAAGCAACTTATAGTCTCCGTGAGATGGGTTCTGCTTTGCGATTCGTATGTTTGCAGGGACCTTGTCAGCAGGAGCTGACATCTCCTCTCTGGTGATAGTCGTATACTCCAATTGGATGGATATTTCAAAACTTGCTCCTTGCCACTTTACACCTTTGATAATCACTCCATCTGGAATCTGTGGTGGTAGGGTCGGATCGAAAAACAGATGATCCAGATGTGGTCGCATTCCCGTTAACCCATGAGTGAATACCTGTAGATAGCCCCCTGCCCCTGTCAGGAACGGAAATGCAGGGTACAACCCAAAGGGAAAAGCTGGATTGAAGCCATCCGAGTTTTCATAGTTGTCCACCGCAGTCTCGCTGAACTGGTAGAAAGGCGGGCGAAAGTACGGCTCGCCGCTACGAAGAAGGTATGTGTACGCTGCACAGCCACTTTTTTGCAACTGGGCTTCAGAAATGGCGAATATAGACCAGGTCATAGCAGGACCATCAGCAGTGTTGACCGAAGAGTACTGGATTCTGTTAGTCTCCCAAGCAGGATTTCGCTGAGGTTGAATTACTTACGTATGCTATGTCATTTCTCGTATTTTCCTCGGTAGTCTGATATTCAAGTGGATAATTCAGGAGAGCAACGCTAGCCTGTTTTACTTTCCAGTCTCCCTGCATACCATCAAAGCCGAGGGTAATATTTTCCTTATGATCGATGGGTATTCTAATATTCTCTGCAATCGTCGACCAATTGTGTGGTATTGGTTGGTTGGCGGCATTCGCGGCTGCAGGGCCAATTTCCCCGAATAACTTTTTGATACCGGCATTCGTGTAGGCTCCATTATTCTTAAAGTAGGCAAATTCATCCTACGCTCATTGATTAGGTGCTAAAACTGTACCAAAAAGTAGTTGAACAAGCTTTCAATCTTACCGGCTCTCCTAGGAGTATAGTTTCGTATTCTTTCGTTGTTTCATTGAGCACGACATACGCAGCAAACATATCAGCCACGTTCTTGATAATTGCCCAGCCCTTCTCACGCAGCCATGAAAAATCTCGAGTGCTCTGAAAGTATTGCCAGTGCGCCAAAGCAATGTCGGTGTTGAGATGATACTGGTAATCTTTGCAGACGCCCGTTCCAGTACAATTACCGAAACGGCCGCTAGTCCAAGGGTAAAGGGCACCTGAATAGTTATAGAATCTCGCGTTCTGAATTGCTTGCGGTAAAAGACGGCTTCGGTAGTTATTTATGGTTGAAGCATGGCTAGGATGCAAAGCAAGTATGCTTGGGTATACCCATGTGTCTGCATCCCAGAATACTAAGCCTGCATAGGAGTCGCTAGAGAGACCGCCAACTGTAATAGAATTGTCCGAATTTCCGCTACCAGCTTCATTTTCTGATTTCAAGCTGCTGAGGATATGGAAGAGCGATGCGCGGACGCTTGTTTGAAGTTTGTTGTCACCGGAAATGATAATGTCGGCAGACTCCCAGATATTATCCCAGGCCAATTCGTGCTCTTCGAGTAGAGAGTTCCAACCCGTAGCCTTGGCCTCAAGAGCACTTTTCATTGCTGTCTCATATGTAGTATGAGGAAATGCATCATCAGATGCTATACCGACATATTTATACAGCGTCACAGATTTCTTGTTATCGAGAAAGAGATCCCAACTTTGAGCGATCGTGCTAGAGTTTCGAGAAACCCAAGGAGAGCGGGTCGCATCCTTTCTTGTCTGGTCAACATGGTCCAATATTTCTGTATCTGGTGACTCGTATTCCACCGTAGAGTAAACATGAGCGGTCTTGTAATCAATGCCAATTGGCTTAACACTTGTCCAAATCGCATTGTCCGCTGTTTCAAAAGCTTTGTCATTGAATCGAGCTCGGACAGCTCCTGCACCATCCAAAACATCAATAATAGAGCAATTGGTTTTTCTATTGGCGGAAAGATCTAACCTCACAATGCCAACATTGGGACGTGTGCGATGAGCTAGAACCGTAAAATTCAGCTGATATTGAAGGCCGTCGGTGGGCGACCAAGTTACATTTGTGTGCACAAGGCCATTGCGGATTGACAGAGACTGATAGAATCTTGTCACGGCATCTTTTTCGACTCCTGGTGCATAGAACTGCCCATCACTAGTAGTCAAAACCAAGCCAGTCCAGTCTGGTATTCCACTGATGACTGATTCCCCTCCCCTTTTGAGGTTGTCTGGCAGAAGAACATGCTTTGTTCGTGCCTGTAAATTCCAGAATCCTGCAACTGTGCCGAAAGTGGCTCGTGGTTGATCCAGTGGCCATGCTATATAAGGCTTACCAGTTAGCGAATTCGTTTTAGAATGCTCTTCGGTAAAGCCGGGCCCACAATTGTTCACATATTCTCCATCCTCATTCATGTCTATCCAATAACCAACACCTTCTGCTGGAAGCCGTTGACCAATATAGCCGTTCGCGACATAGGGAGTTCTTTGATATTGATTTGGTACAAACTCATTGGTTTCCAGGATCCAGCCCCAATCGTGCGTGTTAGGCAAGGAAGAAGACTTCAAGCCTTCATTGTTTCCCAACCAAGGGTCCCAGTGAAATGCGTAATCTGTAAATGTTTGTTGATATCGGCCTATGTCCAATATCTGTGTGGTATAATAAAACAAAACAACTACTATACCAAACAAGTACTTAAGCATAGCGAAGATGACAACAAGCGTTACACGTTCACTGCTTCCATCACTCGTCTGACACTTTCGCACTGTCTATGGTCCCGTGAAGCGATCTAGTAGTTGCTGATTCGTCAAGACGTTGCACCTTATGAGAAAAGTGTCGCAGGTCAATAAGTCACTATGCCTCCAGGGTCGGCTGATGGTAAAGCTTGTAATGAGTGGACGCGATTCGGATGCGCGACGGATTTCGGCAGTTTTCCGATTACCTCCGTATCAGGTACGGTAACAAAAGCTAGGTACGTATATAGGTACCGTACCGTTATCTTGGTAAAGAACCGCTTAACCGTATCTTACACATCCCACGCATCTCCATAAATGGGTGTATTAAGGTTAGAGCATGCAAGCACGGACCCACTTAGCGACCTTATTTTAGTTACATTTATGCATGGATTCCACCAAGTTTAGAATTTCATTCCTTCTTTCTTCGGCCTCCGTGTCAAGCTAGCGGCGCATACCAATGATGAAGTGCCGCTGACGTGTGTGCTATGCAGTGGGAAAGCTGTAGACAGAATAGAACGAATTATTTTTGGTTTGCGAGATGTCACATGGGGCAGTCGTACTTCGATTTACATGATGTCGTGTACTCGGCCTCCAGTAATGTGTACGTTTCAGCTATGAAATCAGCAATTAGTCTGGTGTTATAAAAATCATTGGTGACACTGGCCAAGATCTAATAAGGACGACGGTTAATCGAATGAAGAACCACTGATCTGATTTGTTTATGCAGAATCGGCCAGTTCTCGAAAAGTTGTACTGATCTTCTTGAGCAGCTGCGCCCCACGTGGAAAGTCGTGACCAAAAGGGTGATGTATCTCTTTTGCCAGTTCTGGCTCGCACAGTGCTTGGGTATGCGCACCATTATCATGTGCATCGCCACTCTCTGGACATCTTACATGTAATGTTGGTATAGTTATCAATGTCCCATGAAAATTGGCATCATATCGAGTCATCCCGTATACTCCATCCGTAAAAAATGGAGTACCATCCTCCAGTAATCTTGTTTGGAGGGACTCAACTTCCTGTCGAATTGCGTCGGAGTCCGGCATATCTGCTCTCTTGTGAAACGATTTCCTTGCACGTGTCGCGCTTGGCCGCAAATACTCGTCTAAAGCCGCCTTTACGACTGGGTTTGTCACCGAATCTACCTCAATAACACCATCTTTTACTAGTTCGTCCTCGAGTCGAAAAGCCTTGAGAGGACTGATGGCGTTAATGAAGCATGCAAACCGAAATGGTCTCTCGTCCGGGGACTTGAAGGGGTGCTTTTCGAAGTCGGAACAGATGATCTGTCCGGCCAGTGATGCGCCTGCCGAATAACCAAGTACACCATCAAAAGGACCCTCTTTCTCGATCAGTTCCAATAAAGACTCTTCCGTCTCTAAGACGGACTGTGCAGATAGTGGATTGTAGTAGCCGTATAGGGGTAGGTCGGATGCGGCAGTCGTATATAGAGACCAATTTCCTATATGAAGATCATTAGCCGCTCTTCCATATTTGATGACGACGATTGAAATACATGTCAATTTTCTCGCACCTTCCGTATGTAGAACAGTTCCCTGTACAAACTCAAATTCCATATCATGCAGGTCCGCTCGGATGGCCGCTATTCACCAACGCATCAGTAAGGTTGATTACCGGAACGCATAAGAACAAGCAATACCGGTCTGAAGCTTGAATATCTGGAATAAATAATCAGTGAATTGCATTATTATCTACAGTATGCGGAGTACAAACCTCATTGTTGGAGCCTCTTCCGTGTAGGCAAAGGATTCTCATTTTGCTACCTTTAGCACAAGGTGTTTCGCATCAATGCAGATTGTAGGACCGTATCAACGAAGGCTATAACAAGCAATACAAGCCATAGCAATGATCCGCAGTGGCTTATAAAAATTTCTGTGTGTGTTGTACGGAAATGAAATAAAGTGAACTACGTAGACCCCGCACGTTATCTGGCAGATTTCTCTAAGCTCCACCATATGGCCCCCGCAACCAGCTGACAAGCTGAAAAGTCAAGCTTGCCTGTGTGCTTCCTGCTTCGGACCTTGACGACGTAGGTAGTTCTGCGGGGTTGAATACCTCACCATTCCTTGGTGTATTTTTCGTACGTATTTTCAGTCTAATCTATCCTCGTGTTGTTGTGTGGGTCGCATAATGAAAAAGCTAGCTATTCTTAGCGGTGAAATATTTGCCTTGACAATATACCTGATGAGAAACGCTCAAAGGCAAGATGAATTGATCTCAAGGAAGTTACTACTTGTTCTTGCATTTAATGTGGCTTTGAAGAGACACAGAAATCATGGAATCTTTCTATTCCGCGACTTCGCCTATATATCTGTTCTTAGTTGGGCCATTATTTCTAGGAGCAAGTTTTCTTATCTTCATCGGGACATGGTGTTATTCATGGCTACAATCGTTTCCGGCCAAACCGTACACTAGCCATGAACCACCACTTGTTCCATACTATATTCCATACCTAGGCCATCTCTTTCAATTTCTGGGAAATCCAGGCAACCTAGTCCAGCAATGCAGGTAAATCACTCCGTATGAGTATATTTCGCCCTGTCAAAGCTAATTAATGCTGCAGGAAGAAATACCCCAATACCCCCTTCTCTCTACAAATGCCGGGAGCAAAGTTTCACGTATTCAGCTCCCCGGAAACGATATTCTCAATTTTTACAAAACCACGAGATTTCGTTTGTGAGCCAGTCGTATCCTCGATGATGAGTAATGCTCTGGAGCTCGATGGAGAGGATCTACAAAAATTTGATATTCCAATTGAGCATGATCGAAAATCATCACGTCTCACACCGGCGCAGAGGGAGTCGTACGTATTTACGTCGCGAAATCATGCACTCTATCTCAAGTTCCTTTCCGGTAAGACATTGAACTCCATTATGGAAATATACACAAGAAACTTCTTGTCCATGATGAGTCGTGCTATTCCTTTTTCTCAAGATTCATCAATATCGACCCCTATCTTCCTTCATAAAACTCTACAGAAAATGGTATTCGATACATCGTGTTTCACATTCTTCGGCAATCGCGTACATCAGATATGCCCTGATATCTGGTCCCACTGGAACTCCTTCAATGAAGCAGCCTATATCGGGGTACGCTCGAAGGCTTCATTCTATGTCCGTCCCTGGACGCTCCGAGGACGACGTCTTATGCTGGCGGCCTTTGACAATTGGTGTGACACTGAACTCGAATCTTGGGATGAGAAAGATGGGGTGTGGAATGAGAAATGGGGCATCAAACTTAATTGGGAGAGAGAAAAAATGGCACGAGATCATAACATGACTCTTCGTGGTCGAGCGTGTGTCCAGGTCTCTTTTCTATGGGTGTAAGTGGGACTATAAAACTGCGGCTCTGTGTTAGATTGAACAACGTTAATGGGATATGATAGCATTATAACCAATGCAGCTCCTATGCTAACATGGCTTGTCACCGCATTATTAACACATCCTGAGCTTCTCCAACAATTCCGATCGAAGGCTGAGCAATATATTTCCAGTTCAGAGAATGGGTTACCGACTGACATCAAATTTGATATTCCTAACTTCTGCGCTGAACCTTTCATCCAAGGAGTATGGAAAGAGGCTCTCAGGCTAGGGGTCACCAGTGCATCAGCGAGAGTTGTGACACGAGACTCTGAGATAGAAGGGTACACTGTGAGGAAAGGAAGTGTTCTATTGCTTCCCACCCGGAACATGCATTTCGAGGAATGTGTATTTCATCACCCATACGAGTTCAACCCATGGCGCTGGGTTATTCTTGACGATGACTCATCGTCACCTTCGACCTTTGGCCAGGTTTCACCGGAGCAGCTGAAAAAGCAAAATAACAGCTTACGATCTTTTGGAGGAGGTACAGGTGTTTGCTCGGGTAGATTTATTGCTGAGCAGGAAGTCATGATGGCGGCTGCTATTTTGTTATATCTTTTTGAATTCGAGTTTGAGCAGGGCCAGTCTATCCCGAGTCCAAATTTGAACCCCCGAGGACTCGCTGCAATGTATCCCATAGTAGATCCAAAAGTGATCGTGAGCCGTAGAAAACGTGGGAGGACCAGGTAAAGTTACCGTATATAGCACGCTATTTTCAAAAGGCTTGGCTTAATGTGTTCTCAACCCCTTCTTTCAAGTTTGTCTCCCTCTTTAGGTTGCAAAAACTTTTTGATGACTTGCGTTGTAAGAAGTCATAAGAAGCAACCAAGAAATAAAACTTGACTGTACCTAGATATCAGGTGGAAGTCGAATTCAAATATTTCCTGATCAAACTCCTTGAGGCGTGTAATCAGGTTTATGTCTAGTTACATGATACAAGCAGGAGGGCACAGAGGATTTAATACACTGAAAGTAATTTATAAACTGAAATGTATTGCTAACATAGCAAACGTACCTGGAAACCTACTTTTCTCACAGTCAAGCAATGAGACCGGTTTTTGTTATTAACACATGGTGGCCCTTAGATCAAGAGAAACTTAGATTCAAAACAATCACTGCAGTTTCACCAATTTACTGACAGTCGCAGCCTTCTCGCTGATCGTCGCCAAACTTTCTGTTCCCATAATCTCAAGCAAAGGCACCTCCGCTCCTAGATCCTTCACTAGCCACGTTCTGAATTCCATAGCTACAAGACTGTCAACACCATTGCTACTCACACTCTTATTCGAATCAATATTATCAACTGGAATTGCTAGCAAAGACGCAAGTTTGTGGCGGATCCCGTCACGCACAATAGTAACTGCTTCTTCCTTGGTGGTAGCGTACGGTAAAGCGACGACCGCTAAGTGCGCCGGATCCTCTCCCTTGTTATGCCTGTGAGACACTGATGTAGTATTGAGATGCGTAAATAGCGGATAACTGAGGTAAGAGAGTGGTGGAACACCGCGTTGACGAAGGTATTCTGCTGTGGTCAGTCCGACAACTAACTGGGCGCGCTCTGGACCTGGTTCGTGCTTGCAACGGGGATCAATCACGTATTCAAGAAGTGTATGGATCTCATCCTCGCGAATAACTTCCAGAACGTTGGCTAGTGTGGTCATATTTTCACGATGCTCAGCCACATAGCCAACCGACAAGACGGTACCAAGATCAATACTCGTAGCTGGCAAGTTTTGTGAAATACGGTATCGTGCAAGGCAGTCTTGATACGTGTTTCCAGCAGCATAGTTAGCTTGAGATCTATTACCGAGAATACCGGTAGCTGATGACAACATGACGAAAAAGTCCAATGTGCGTGGGAGGTATTCGTGGAGATTCCATGATCCTTGAACCTTGGGAAGAACAGCAGTTTGGAAGTCGTCGTACGACATATTCTCAAACATACCATCCTAAGAAATTATTATTAATGTATATTCGATACAAAAAAGATCATATTAGTGACGTGGCAAGATACACTTACTCTAAGGACCATGGATCCCTGGACACAACCTTTAATTGGCGGCAGAGTCTTCCTAACCTCCTCGACCACGGCCTTAACGCGCTCACTATCGGAGACATCGCAAGCAAAGATATGAGCTTGACAATCCTTGCTGTTCAGGTCATCAATCATCTTCTGCACCGATTCGGTCACCTTTCCAGTTCTCGACAAGAAGACGACGTGTTTCGCGCCCTTGGAAGCCATCCATTGCCCAATGCTACGACCAATACCGCCCAGTCCACCCGCAAGGAAGTATGTCGCATTACTGTCAAACTTGTAGTTTGCTGGCTGCTCAGGAACAATAGGAACTATATCTGTCGGTGAAGGCACAAGAACAATCTTGCCCATTCCTCTACCGGATTGAAGCGTACGCAACGCCTCTTCAATCTTATCGTAGCTCAAGACCTGTGTGGGCATTGCTTGTTTAATCTTTCCTTCCGTGTAGAGCTGTACAGTTTGCCCAATGAGACGTCGGAAAAGAAGTGGCTTATACTTCATCATCATAGGCAATTCCACACTAGCCATCATCGCCTGTCGAAGGAAAGGCGCCAGTTCGACTCGACCACCAGACTGTGAATCTTTCTTACCAATCTCAATAAAGCGGCCGAATGGTGCAATGATGTCCCAAGATTTGCGAAGAGCTTCTCCAGACAAGGAATTTAGCAGGACGTCTACTCCACGCCCATTGGTCATTCTCATGATACCCTTGGCGAAGCTAAGATCTCGGCTGGAGAAAATATGATCTCCAGGAATGTCATATTCGTTCATAAGTAAAGCCATCTTCTCTGGAGATGAGACTGTGGCAAATATTTCTGCACCAACATTCTTGGCCAAGTGAATAGCAGCCTGACCAACACCACCGGCGGCGGCATGGATGAGAATAGTTTCTCCTTCTGATAGTCTAGCAATGTCATACAGACCATACAACACAGTAGAGTAGACACAGGGTAATCCTGCAGCAATCTCAAAACTAAGACTGTCCGGAATCTTGACGACGTTCTGCCACTGCACTCTCCCATAGGTATGGAAACATCCAACTGACTCGAAACCGCACATATAAACAACACGGTCACCAACTTTCAAGTCTGGTACACTAGATCCTATCCGGGATACGATTCCAGCGGCTTCATTTCCTAGCGAGTATGCCATGTGTTCACCCATCGCAATCATAACATCACGGAAGTTCAAGCCCACAGCTTTCACTTCTATTTCGACGAGATGGTCTTCCAAAGGTTCGTTGTATACGGTATCAGTGACAAATTCGATCTTGTTGAGCATACCTGGAGCAGATGTACTCAGTTTCACAGGCCTGCCCGCCTCACCGAAAGGCGTCATTCTTGGCGCCGGTCTGATAAACTTGGAGTTTAGGTAATCATTCGACAGATCTAAATCTCTTAAACGATTCGTGTATATGACGCCGTCTTTCATTGAGTACTCGGCATTTTGCTTGCTTCCAGCTGCTCCACTGAGGAATTGTTTCTCAAAGACACGCATGATTTGCGGAATTATGTCATTGATCGCAGGTCGAGGCTCGGATATTGACAGGGGGATGAGGTTTGCTTCATCGACATCACGTTCCCAGCGAATAGACCGCATCATACCCACTATCATTCCTAGTGTGGGCTCACGTTCAAAGTCACCCGTGACCCATAGCACTCCAGCTGCGTATGATAGTAGATGGCGGATATTTAAGTATTCCTCTTCTGTAAGGAGTGATAGTGTCTCCCGTTCCAACTCAACTAAGCAAATGCACACACTCTTGGACAATGATACGTCTGATTGTAAATCTTTATAGTCTACAATACGGCATGTCACTTCGCCGATTCGACTTTTCACTGCAGCTTCCACAGCCTGCACAAGCTCATGTGATGACTGGTTTGAAGTTACAATCACAAGATCATCTGCCCTCAATTTCTTTGAACCTTCAATCGCTGTGGCAACAAAGAGACTTTGGTTATGGAGATCAGGATTCTTCCAATCGGGGAACTCCAAGTATATACCGTCGAAGCTGGCTTCTCGAAGTTGGGAATCCCACTCTGCCGCTGGGACCCACGGACTCCAAGCACGACTGGGTTCTGTGCCTTGCCACCAACCGGGTAATTGTCCAAAAGCGACAGGTGAGTACAAAAAGTTTTGACGAACACCTTCTTGCATCAAGAGCTTACCACCAGGCCTGAGTAATGCATGGATCTGGGATAGGGTCTTTCGCAGACTTGCCGTCGTATGAACGACATTTCCGGCGATAACAAAGTCATAGGTTCCTGCTGCCAGGCCCTGACTTGCTGGGTCCTTTTCCGCATTATACACCTTAAACTCGATGATATCACCCCAGGCACTGAATCTTTCCTTAGCCTTCTCAAAAAATCCAGCTGAGACGTCTGTGAAGGTGTATTGAAGGATTCTAGACGTCAGATTAGAAGATGTGTCGTCGTCACTTAGAGGACTAAGGAGGTTAAGGATGGGAGCAGTTGAGGCACCAGTTCCTGCACCAATTTCTAGAATACGAAGATTCGAAGAGTTTCGATAGACATGACGCAGGTATTCTTTAAGCAGGGCGGGTATGTCACCTAGAGCCACTACCTCATCATAAACGCGGTCAAGGATACCGTCACTGAACATCAATTGCAATGGATCTGTTTCTCCTTTCAAGAAAGGGACTATGTTTGCGCCCATACGGATTGCAAGAGCTCCATCACCATTGTACCCTGCGACCTCTTCATAAAGTCTTTGCTTGAACTCCTCATCGTGAACACTATCTGCCCATTCTTTGTGGGTTAAATGAATGATCTGGTCATTTTCTAAGTTTGATTTCTGGTAAAGCAACCATTCATAGTATCGACGCTTGTGTCCGTCCAAGACACTTGGATCAAAGTCTATTGCGAGCTTGTCAAGAGCATCAGTCACATTGAACATCACAGCCAACTGCATCCGATTGATCTTGTGCAAATATGTCTTTTCAGCTTCAGAAGAAGACCTTGGAATGTTTGAAAAGAGATCAGGTGTGAGGAAGTCGACGTCAACGGGCCATTCAACGGTGTGGCATAGATTGCGTTTTTGCACATCTGCTGTGACATTTGATTCTAACGGCGTGGCTCGAAGCCCTTTGATTGAGACTAACCCTTCCTCACCAGAGCTATCCCACATCATAATATCGGATTCATACTTCTCATATGCAATCATCGTCGATTTTCCAAAGCCTTTCAGCTGTGAACCGGCCGTAGAAGGAATCTTGGCCGAAAGCCAGACCTCCTTGACAAACACTGGGACGATGGCACATTCCAAAGTGGATTTGCCGGTCAGATCAAGAACAGACAGCAGGAAGTGATGGAACATGCTGTCCATAGTGCTGGGATGAATCAAGTGAGGGTGCATAAATTGCTTGGGCATTACTCTGGCCATATCAGGAACCGTGACCGTTGCAGCGATTTCTCCGAGGTTTTGACCACTTCCCTTCACATCCCCTAGATTTCTGAAAAGGGGACCAAAGTTAAGACCGGTTGTAACGAGATTGTCATAGATACTGTTAATATCCATAGGCGATCGACATTGCTCGTAAGTTTTTTTAAGTGTCTCGCGCCATTTGGCGGCCTCGCAGCTGGCTTCACGGCCGTTGTCAATTGGATTAATTTTTGCCTCGTACTCAATAGAGATATATCCAGTACAATGCTCAATCCAATTGTCTCCCACGGTGTTATATGAAGAGATGGCAAAACGATTCCAAATTTGTGACGGCAGCATACTAGCCTCATCCATCTTGGTAATGGAGAGACTCGTCTCTATTCCGTCCTTGGAATCGGGAACAATCAACGCACGTTTGATCGAAATGTCTTTCAATCGGAATCCTGTGATAGTCAAAGCTGGGTCGGCGATTTGACGACAAGCTTCGACAGCCATGATAATGTAGCCGACACCTGGGTAAACCACACTTTCCGTCACAATATGATCTCTCAACCAAGGGAGCTCACTGAGACGGATAATCTGACGCCAACGAGGATTGTCTTCATTCCAGTCAGTAACCGGAGCTCCAAACAGATCATGCCTTGGATGCTTTCTTAGTCGGAAATTTCGGCTCAGCCTGCTCTCGTGTACAATTCGCTCGGCATGATCGAAACTATACGGAGGGAGATCAACCAGCATCTTAGGGCTTTTCTTCCCTGTTGTCTGATTGACGGCTTGAAGTTTGACTGGAAAGCCCCGAGAACTGAGATTCCCAACTGCATTGAGAATTACATTCGTGCCTGGCGCCGTTCTATCGAGAACGCTCATATACTCCACAGAACTTCCTCTAATTTGGGTTGCCATAGTCTCTTTGATCGCACTTCTCATAGCACCGTGTGGGCCGATTTCTAGAATAACATCCACGAGATATTCAGAGTCGGTATTAAGCTGAAGCTTAGCCTTCTTGTCTTCTCGTTTGTATCCCATAGCAATCAATGCATCAGCAAATCGTACTGGCGAGACCATATTTTTAACCCAATAAGTAGCGTCAAGGACTGTTTCCGTAACGAGATCCCCAGTAACGCTTGAATACATCGACACATTTTGAAATCGACTGTCCGGAGCCTCAGTAGTTAGATCACCCATTCCCTCAAGATAGTCAGTCGCCACATAACTCATGTGACCTGAATGGTACGCATTCGCCACGTTGAGTTTCCGTGCAAACACTTCATCTTGATCAAGAAGTACCTTAAGCGCATCAATCTTCGCTTCATCTCCGGATATAGTGTTGTTTTTAGGGCTATTTAGGCAAGCTATAACCAGTTCACCACTGATTTCCTGGTTGACTCTGTCAATGTATGATTTGGCATTTTCTGTTGAAAGCCCAACTGCCAGCATCGAGCCCTTAACATGCAAGGGTTTTGCAGATGCAACTCCACGCCAGTATGCAGCTTTCCAGGCTGCGTGTCTACCAATTTTACCAGCAGCATAGGCAGCTGCTATTTCACCAGAGGAGTGGCCTACAACACGGGAAGGGAAGATATCCCAAGTGGCGAGTAGATCAACGAGAGCAATTTGAAGAGCGGCACAACATGGATGTGATAGCGCCGGTGAGTTAACTCTGGATTCTTCCTGCGATTTCAGCAATTCGTCGAGGACCGACCACTCTGCTCCAATTGACCTCATATAATTCGATGCTTCTTCCATACTTCGGCGGTAAACAGGATATTCCAAAAGCTCTTTACCCATGTTGTACCACTGAGCACCCTGTCCAGTGAAAACATACCCAATTCTTGGCTTGTTACCAGTTCGGAAAACAGCTAACGAATCATCGCCAGTAAGCTTTTCCGAGAGATCCTTGACGGAATTTGAAACCAAGAAGGATTTCCAGGGGAATGTTGATCTCTTCTCGGAAAGCGTGAATGCCAATCTGTCGAGAAAATCCAATTCAGCCGCAGCGTTAAAAGAGCCAGGTTTCTGTAAATAGTCTGCCAGCTTTGTGGCGTTTCGCCGTATACCTTGTTCGTCGAATGCACTGAAACGAAAAATTATGTTCTTCGGTTTTGGTTCAATCCCGTTGGTTTTGCCGTGCCCATTCACCTCTAGAACCCCATTTGATTCATGTCTATTTTCTAGATGACCATTTATTTGTGGTTCCCCGGTCACTGTGCCGTTCTGTACCGGTTCTTCATTAATTGCGGGCTTCTCTAAAACTTTCAATCTTTGGTGAATGTCATCTTGAGTTGGTACAGATTCCGCAGTATTATGAATCGCAACGATGTTACGGGACGTCAAATAGCTAAAAGCATCGTCCAGTATAACATGTGCGTTCGTACCACCAACACCAAACGAGTTCACGGATATTCTCCTTGTTCCCTTGGTTGGCCAAGGTGTATTGTCTAGAGGAAACTTCAAGTTCCATCTCTTGACAGGAACCTTTGGGTTCGGTTTTTCAAAGTTGACATTGGGCGGAATGATACCGGACTCGAGCACAAGAACTGACTTGATTACCCCAGCAACACCAGCACCACCTTCCAAGTGACCAATGCCTGATTTGATGGCACCAATATACAGAGGATCAGTTGCACTCCGATGTGGACCAAAGATCTTAGCTGCTGCACTAGCTTCGATGGGGTCTCCAGCTGACGTTCCTGTTCCATGGGCTTCCAGCATTCTGGTATCTTTAGGGTCCAAGCCTGCCGCGGCATAGACGTTGCGGATGAGCTCCTCCTGTGCACTGGCACTAGGGAGTGTAATACCGGCTGTTCGACCATCTTGATTTACACCAGAGCCACGAATGACAGCCCTGATTGTATTTCCATCGCGGATGGCATCTGATAGCCTCTTCACAACAATGCTGCCAACACCTTCTCCACGAGCGTATCCATTCGCTCGGTGGTCAAAACTGTAACACTTTCCGTCTGGAGACAAGAAACCGTGATGAGCCATTCCCATAATATCCATTGGGTTGGCCAGGTAATTCGCGCCAGCAACAATAGACTGGTAGGAATCGTCAATAACCCTCCAATCAGAAATATTCGAGCACTTGAGACTCACCATATCGCTTTCACCTAATTGCAAACTTGTACAAGCCAAATGTAATGCAACCATACTACTCGAACAGGCAGTATCAATGGTCATGCAGGGACCTTTGAGATCATAGAACCAACTCACACGGCCGGCAATAATAGAATTAGTAGTACCTTGCGGTCTGTATTTAAGCGTAGTTTCTGGATCTGTATTCAAAAGAGCGGCATGGTCGACATTGAAACCGGTGGTATACACTGACGTCTTACTTCCCGTGACATCTTTCATGGGAATTCCTGCATTTTCAAGAGCATGGTATGTGTTCTCCATGACAAGTCTCTGTTGAGGATCAAGTGTATATAGCTCTGTTTTTGTCACCTTGAAAAAGGGTGCATCAAAATCTACTGGATCATCCAGGAGGAAATTCGCTCCTTTGACGTGAAACTAATGATTACTAGTTAGCATTTGACTGGAATGTGTACCGCGGAATATCTACCGTTCCACCATGCTCTGCATCTGGATGATAATGGCCATGACGATTAATCCTGTCTTTAGGAAAATCTGTCATGGCCTGTCGGGCTTGCAACAGGAAACTCCAGAGATCTTCTACTGTTCGTGCTTCCTGAGGAAACTTTGCTGCCATGCCGACGATGGCAATTGGCTCTTTTTCAAATGAGCCTGTCGCCTTGAAGGTGACCTCACTCGATTCTGTCAAGGCCATGGCAGACCCCTGGAGTGCCGCCGCACTAGTCATTTAAGATTTTGTGTGTGTTGTGTGGACTCTTCTCTGATAGGTACACAATGCAAGGGATAAGGTAAAAAAGCCAACAGATCACGCAATTCAAGAGCTGTGAGGCTTGATTGCTAGCTCTCAATCTTCCTTGTCAGTCTAGTTATTGTACCTGCAGTAGAAGGAGGAGAGATGGAAGGTGAGGGATCTAGGTAAATTTGGGTGAGGATGATGAAAGTGTAATTGTGAGGAAATAAAGCCTTCCTCAACAGTGCGAAATAGTGCTTTTAATAGTTTTACTAGATGAAAATTACATGTACATACGTTTAATTTATTGTATACCTGTTACTGTTATGCTATTACTTCCTCTCTATCGATACTCTTTCCAGTTTTCGGCTCTTAGCCCAAATAGGTTTCAGATTTAGTATTCCATTCCGTCTCCCCATACTTGAAGATTACCATATCCACTTCGTCAGCTGCTTATTAGGGTACCTTTGTTTCAATAAACGGATTGAGCCGACTCTGGAAGTTCCATCACACTGAATCCGCGTGAGGTTTGGGTGGTGGCCCATAATGACACTTGAGTGGAGGGACACGAAAAGTTGGCCTTGAGAGGCCAACGGGACGAGAAGTTTCAAATGAAGAAGCGGTTATCTGAGCGGGCCAATGCTGAAATGGATCAGAGATGTGGTTTGTCTAAAACAAAACAAACCACTGACTCGGAATCGCTTGGTAATGAATTCAGGTGGCAGTATTAATCATCGACCTGCAGAACACAACTAGCTTCGTAACGATATACGAAAGGGTAGAAAGCTGAATCAATTTACGAATAATCAATCACCATCTTGGATATGCAAAGCATATCAACAGGATAAAACGAACGAATCATCATCTCGGGTTCCTCCAGTACCCCTCATTTTAACTTTCAGCAGGATCAAAAGAAACTGGCAACGCAACCATGCATATCACCACCCAATGAAGCTAAGCTACAGATCACATGGAGTGCGAGAAGACTCACCGAACCTGAAGAAACAGAAGGTCACCAAGTTTTTTACCCCACGGGCGACCCCGGTCTGAGTGTAACATCAAGTAAACATCGGATGATTGTGGCTGAACTCTAATTGGTTTAAGGATTAGACTTTACTGTATTAAGGTTTCTATAAGTGCGTGAGTGGAGCCGCTTAGACATACTCAGCCCTAGAGGCTTGGCTGTGCTGTATTGAAATACGATACATGTCGTCAGAGAAATGCATGGTACTAGTAATACACATACATAAAATACACATTACTGCACTGTAACAGAGTGAAGGGTTCCCATGATGCCTTGAGCTTATCGAGATTTGCGGACCAATAACTTTCTAGACTACTTCAAAATTGAATGATGCCGAGTACATGCACCATGAAGCCTATTGTTCTATACACACATCGTAAGTAGTCTTTCGAGTCTGATCGTAAAGATAGTTACCGTTGACAGCCGTCTTTTTGAAATCCACAGAACTAGGCACTAATCCCTGGAAATGCGCTATCATCCTCGAGGAGCTCAACTTGCCTTACGAAAACCGATTCGTTGAACCCGAAGATGTAAAGAAGCCCCCGTTCACAGATCTCAACCCTAATGGAAGAGTTCCTTGCATTGAGGATCCCAATACGGGCATGGTACTCTGGGAATCAGCCGCCATCAACGAGTATCTTGTACAAACATATGATCCTTCGGGGACGCTCTGGTGTCCTCAAGGACCAGATCATTTCAATATGAAGCAGTGGCTGTATTTTCAAATGTCGGGCCAGGGACCGTATTACGGACAAGGTTTGTTCTGCACATCCCATTGCTAGACTCATGCTTGAAAACTGATCATCGATTAGCTGGCTGGTTTGTCTTCAGACATCATGAGTATCTTCCATCAGCGATAAGCCGCTACCGAAAAGAGATTCGGCGCGTCATTGGGGTGCTGGACATTGCTCTCGCTAACAAAGAATATCTTGTTGGTAATAAATGTACAATCGCAGACCTAGCTTTTGTGACATGGGATGAGGCGGTGGCTGATATGTGTGAGGGTGAACTTTTTATGAAGACATTATATGAGGACTGTCCGAATTGGACTTCTTGGAGGAAGCGTCTTCTTGCTCGACCGGCCGTGCAGCGGGCTTTGCAAGCCAAAGCGAAAGCATTGCAGGAAGCAGGGCCGAGTATAATACCTAAGAATTGGGAACATGAGAAAAAGGAAGATAATGCAGCATATGACCTCAAAACATGACACAATTTGTTTGTATCTATTCTTGTATTATGGGACAACGAATCTATCTATGATCACACTGTAGTCTCCTTGGCTTCTCGTTCTGCTTTCTCTCTAGCAAACCGCGCCCGAATCTTTTGTAACTTCCCAGCATCTCGAGCCGCATGCCATTTCGCCGAGAATCCCTCAACTGGTTTTGTTGGATTAATAACGTTGATTTGTGCCACCAATTCATCCACGTATGATACCTCCTCATCCTGTCTACCATTCATCAACCTCGTGTCACCCTTCTCAGCCAGACGTTTTTCATAAATTCGCCTCAATTCCTCCTGTTTCGGCAAACTTGCTTTACCAGAGAACACTGAAGCGATAAACATGGCCTGAAACTCAAAGAAGGAGAAAGTGGCGATGAATTGCGAGATTCCTACAAAGGCTAGTGTTGGATCCGGTATGTAGAACATGTCCTTGTGTAAGTTGAGCGTGCAGCTTCCGTTAGTAACCAGCACCTGGGAAACATCCACATTGGCAGATTCGTCGTCTGCGTGTAATTCTGGCAAAAATGGATAAGCAAAGTGGTATCCGGTACAAACGATCACGATATCAATATCTTGCAAGATCATGCCATCTTTGAGCGTCACCTCACCGGGTAGGTGGCCTTCGGTAGTCGTTGCATTTTCAATACTGTTTTGCAAGGTCCCAAATGATTCAATCTCAGCAATCCGATGGCAATTTTCCGGGATGAAATCAAGCGGTAGGTCAAATGGAGAACCACGTCCGGATTGATACATTTTCTTGACGAAAGGACCAAGCTCACGCGCTATCTCTGTCGAAGAAGTTCCAGCTCCAACCAGTAATATATTCTTTTGATTTTTTTTATTCATCAGCCAAATCTTCTTTTTACGTAATGATGAGACTCTCACCTTGCCCGCGTACTGCTGAGGATGTCTATATGACTTGGAATGTTCGACACGGTCAGGATATGCTTCACGCCATTCAAGGAGACCCGGGATAGAAGGTAACCGTGGTGTATTGTAGTGGCCAGATGCTACTACAATAGCATCGAATTCCTATTGATTTGAGCCACCTCCCTGTTGTATAGTATTGGATGTTCAGCATGCAATCCTTACCCGTTTCCGATGTCTTATCTGGAACATCTCCTCCCCAGTATTCTCTGATGCTGTGCTGGTTAAGGTTCCTGTCGTCACTTGCCATTTGCCACCCTCTTTCTTCACTCTCTCGACCAATGTGCAATACTGAACCCGGTCTTCTAGTCCCACATGAGACGCGGCGTTCTGAACATATTGTAAAATGTTTCGGTGTGTAGTCCATTCACATGCGTTATCAGGACATTCTGGTGTCGTCATTGGAATTTCCCATAACCATGGGAGGTCTTTCAATTCGATCGTAATCAACGAGAAGTTATTCGTAAGACCCTCATAGCATGCTCCCGGAGGGGCATGTCTGAGTGCATCTTCTGCTGAAACAATCCCGTCTTGCTGATTCGCCTCCTGGTACCACGGACACAAAGCCTGAGCCGTCTCGAGGGGCTTTGTGGCGCTATAAGGTGGCTCAGCAGCTTTCTTCTCGTCGTACAGCCTGAGGGATTACCGCGTCAGCGAAGCCAAATTATTTGACAATATATGCAGCAAACCAACCATACGCCGCCCGGCTTTTTATTCCGCTCAAATACAGTCACATCGAGACCGGCTTGGAGTAGATATTTCGTTGCCATAATACCGCTGATACCAGCTCCTATGACCGCGACTGATCGGATGCCTTCAAACCGCTGCTGTTGTTCGTCCGCCATTATTTACGTACGTTCGCCAAGCAAACACTACGAAAATGTGTAGTTGGACACAAGTGGACTAATCGGATACTGATTTTATCTCTGCAAAGTATTGCATGTTTGAAGTTGTTATTTTCAGATAGATTACTAGTTCCACGTCCTCAAAAGATACACCACTTAGAATTACGAATACGAAAGCTTTTTATGATACGGATACAATACGGCTGTTAGACTTTGTAAAATTACTTCGAAGGATCGCATGACAGTCATTACCGCTAGAATTAATACCGTAAGACCTGACTCGTATAAACTAGCGGTAAAGCAAGATTGGGGGGACTATTGCGGGCACTGTGGAGGATTGATTGACTTGCCTCATGGCAGGATTTCACTCATTGCGCTTGCATACATTGTAAGCACCTTGTCATAAATGCTCTCGAATACATTAACAAAGTGGGCAAAGGGCAGTAGTTTCTTGATACATGAAAGCAAGACTCCATACATAGTAAATACAAGACAGTCTCATACCAATAGCACTCTCTATTCCGATACCGTATCTTGACTCAGTTTCGGCGGTTTTTATCCCGATTTCGCTGGACATACTCGCGATCCCCGCATACGTAAGGTAGTCATCTACCCCTCTTTTTTTCATGTAGCATAGTCATAGCTGAAGGATGAGCTTATTCAATTACGGACGCGAAGATTTTCTTGTTTCTTCTTTGCGAACGTTGACCAAGACGAAGACCGGTTTCGATGCCCGAGACCATGATTAAGGTTCCGCGACGACTCTTGCATCTACCTTCATTGTAAATACTTGTTTACATCCTTGCATCCACGGAGATTCATACTTGTGATATTGTTAAGTCCGAATAGATATTAGCTTATCTCACGTCGAAAACAGTCGATCAAACGTTGACATGCCAGAGATGGACCTATCGATGTTCAACAGGGTTGATGCGTCTCAGGACAGGAAGGCAGACAGTAAATGTGACCCCGGAATGACTGATCCCGGAAACTTAGGTACCTCAATCTTGGATTGCATGAAACTATATAGACCTATGACTTTTGGTAGTTGTGGGATCTTGAGAAATTGAGTGGGAACGCGTCATGTATTATACTGTGTGTCTAACTTAAAGAGTGAAATTATCTAGCACAGGCTGCTATACAGAGTTATTATATAAAGATATGCACGCTAGTTTAGCAAAGAGGTTTCTTAGTAATATTTTATAGAGAGGCATACTCACTATCTAATAAGAATAGATAAGTGGATTTATACGCTGTGTTTATTATATTGAGGATAGTAATAAAATAATTCTATTATATCTCTTTAGTACATATGCTATGAGAATAAGAATAAAGTTAAAGAAAATGTGATTAAGTAGTTTATATAGTAAGTCTTAGTATAGATAAGGTAAGAAAAGATATTAGAGAGAGTAGAAATTAAAAATAAAACTTATAAAAACTTTAAAAAGTAGATGTACTTTGCGTACAATCTGCCTCTTCAGAGGTCATCTTCAGGCAGCTTAAGTGGACTTTTATCCTTTTCATACCGACTCTTGTACACCACATGACTCAGAAAGTCCCGAAAATCATGAAACAGGGCTTCCACACCCTCTCCCCAGGCCACTTGACACCAGCATGATTGTAGATCCCGCAACTTCTCCCAGCTTCCATGGTATTGTTCCACCAGGTTATCAATAATTTTCTTTTTTGGCTCTCCCGCCTCCTGATAGGCCTTATCAAGGGCTTTCTTAGCTTTCACCAGTACCTCCCCTTGCAAATACCACATGTACATTGTCCCCTGCCCATTAAACTCGTACATGGCGATTGCTCCACATTCAATATCCGGCCACTCAATGCGAAAAGGCACAAACTTTGCTGCGAATAAATATTCTGGGAACAAATTAAAGCCGTAGCCACAATTGTCTTCCCAGAACAGTTCTTGGACCCTCAGAAGAGGGGTTTCGAGCATGTAAATATAAGGTCCTGAGAGGACGGCTCGCAAGCCGTTGGTAAGACTGTAGAAATGTTTGAGATCATCTGGCAGTGAACAGCCTAATCTCGATTCCGCGATGGCAATTTCGTCTGCGGTCGCTGGTTCGCGAAGAATGGTGCTTGGAATCGCTCCAGACTCGTCGCCATGCGCAAGACCCTCCTGCACCCATTCCTCCCACACCTCCGGCAGCCGCAGCGTATTCTGATTGAGCTCGTCGAGCATTTCCTCAAAGCTTTTATCCTTAAACAGATCACTGGGCCTTACTGGCCTTTCTGCTAGTCTCTTCTTTGTCACTTTGAGAATGAACTCCGCGTATTCCTTTAGTTCATCATCTAGCAGTCCAAGTTTGTCACGGAACCAGCCAGACTTGAAATATCTCTTCCATACAGGTCGGAGACGGGATAGGTTTCTAGCTTGCGCTGCTGCATGGATGCGGCTAGCAATGCGAGCCATAATGTCATCTGCTTCGGCAGTTTTGCCAAGGTACAAAGAGATGCTTAGAAGACTAGTTAGGTAAGACGAGAAATCTAATGCCTGTTATCATCTCGATTAGCTCTATTTTATCCCTCTATAGTCACTCTTGTCAGTAAAATGAAAACTGAACGACATACCGCACTCCCTGTCGTCGCATTTATATGCGAGAAATGACCGTCAGACTCTAATGTTTTCTGCACTAGACTATTCACTTTCTCAAAGTTGGCTTCTGTCGCATGTTGACCAATATCTATTGGGGGCTCATTTCTCAAGTGAGGTTGGATTTCATATAGGAATTGTTTCTCAAGACACTGCAGTTCTTCTTCACTAGGAAGCGTGTCAACTTCTCCTACTCCCGGTGGCAAGGTGTCGAGCATTTCGTAAAAGAATGGAGTCTCTTTGGGAACCCTTTGATTGAATGGAAGGATTTCACGTTCTTCAACAGTCTCCGAGAGGTAATGCTGTGCAAGGACCGCAAAAATGGCGGAGGCCTCGTCAATCTGGCCAAGCATTGCGAGTTCGACGGCCTTTTGGGCAGCAGCGGACATGACTTCGGTGGTTGGGTTCGTCAGAGTAGTCAGGGTGAAGAAGTTGCGACAGAAACCGACCATTTTTGCTGCACCTTTATTCTTGTTCTTTTGTTTGTTTGTTTTATTTTACTTTTTTTTCTCCGCAATATTTACACCTTTTCAAACTAGATTGTGATTCAGAAATGGTGATGAATTTCGAATGATGGAGTTGGTTTTCAGCCGCACTTATCCATGGAAAGAACTCACTAGATTCTCCCCAATCTCTGGAAAATGTTGGTTTGGCTCTGAATGGCTGGCAAGAATCGCGTCTATTGTCATAGACTGACCAATTATGGCCCAGAGCACAGCGATGAAGTCACCCATAGTCAAGTCTTCGTGTCTGTGAGGGCCATGTGGATAGAGACGTAAGATAGTACCCTTCAATGCTCGACGCCTAAATACATACCGTGGTGATTCTATGGATCTATATCCGGTTAATGCACCACACACGATAGGGGGATATGAGCTTACCTTCCCTAGACACTGCCTCATGAGACCCTCGATACTCCTGGATGTCATCAATCATTTCTTCAAATAAAAGATTGACTCAACAGCCTTTGTATCACGCTCAGCCACTTTTCTGAGTCACTTTTATAGTGAAATCCCGAAACGGACTAGCGTGCGTGGCTACCCTTATCTTATCAGTTGACTCACAAAGAATCAATTCTGATTTGTACCCCGCTGCCAACCGCGACTTTTTCCATCATCCCTTGAATCAGCACCTCCGATTGCGACAAAGTCACCTCAATTCGCTATCTCAACATCTCTTTACGCGCATTATATCTCTAGTCGACCGATCTCCGCCCCGGAGCCCCTACCGACGACCATGGCGGACGCCATTACCGAAGGTACAGCTAAGCTGCAGCTCGACGAAGAGACCGGCGAGATGGTCTCCAAGAGCGAATTGAAGAAACGTCTCGCGAAACGCGCAAAAAAGGCAAAGACAGAAGCCGCCAGAGCAGCAGCACCACCCAAGGAGAACGTCAACAAGGATAACGCCGCTGCGAAAAAGGCCAAACCGGAGGAGGCTCAGCTCGATCCAGACGCGATGTTCAAGGAGGGATTTTTGGCAAAAGTTTACGATGAGCGGCCGACTGGAAAGGATACTGTGACTCGGTTTCCGCCTGAACCCAATGGATTGTATGTTACCGTTTCTCTGACGTTTCGAGTATCTTTTCTAACTGTCGGTAAAGCTTGCATTTAGGTATTTTGCTCCAACATATCGAGATAGTCCGCGATCTATGCTAAACGAAAAAAAAGGTCATGCTAAGGCTATTGCGATCAATTTTGGCTTTGCGCGTTACCACGGTGGAGTAACGGTGAGAATCTCCTTTGTGTAATGCGTACATCGAGTCACGCGAGCTAATATATGTGCAGAATCTTAGGTAAAATCATTCGCGACGCATAGAAAAAGAAAAACCAACGGCTGACCAGTCAGGTTCGACGATACCAATCCCGAGGCGGAAGAAGAAATATACTTCAAATCAATCATCGAAGTTGTGGAGTGGCTCGGTATGGCGATCGCTAGATATTACGAATGACAAAAAACTCACGCGATGGTTTTGCTAGGCTTCAAGCCACACGCCATTACATACTCGAGCGACAACTTCCAGAGACTATATGACCTCGCCGAGAAGCTCATCCAGATAGAGAAAGCATATGTCTGCCACTGCAACGAGGCCGAAATCAAGCTCCAGCGAGGAGGAGAAAAGGGCACTTCGCCACGCTACCGCTGCGCGCACGCCGAGCAGGATGTCGAGACGAATTTGCAGAAATTCCGGGATATGCGTGACGGAAAATACCAGCCACAGGCTGCATTTCTTCGAATGAAGCAGGATATCACCAGTGGCAACCCTCAGAACTGGGACCTTGCGGCGTACCGAGTGCTCTCGAAGGCGCATCACCGAACCGGCGACAAATGGGTTATTTATCCTACCTACGACTTTACGCACTGCATTGTCGATAGGTATTCTAGACCAAAAAGAGTGATGCAAAACAATTCACTAATGTGTTGATAGTTTCGAGGGCATTACCCACAGTTTGTGCACCACAGAATTCCAGCAGTCACGAGAGAGTTACGAATGGTTAAACAAGACTTTGTCTCTGTACGAACCGATGCAGCGCGAATACGGTCTGTTTACTCTTGCCAGGTTTTCTTTGGACTCGCACTGACTTTTCCAGGCCGCTTGAATATCACTGGCACGATCATGAGCAAACGAGGACTCAAGAAACTGATTGACGGCAAGTATGTGCGAGGCTGGGATGATCCCCGCCTATACACATTGATCGCACTTAGAAGGCGCGGTGTGCCACCGGGCGCAATTCTCTCGTTCATTAATGAGCTCGGTGTTACCACATCAAACTCATTGATCCAGCTCAAGCGATTCGAACAGAGCGTGCGTAACTATCTCGAAAGGACAGTCCCTCGACTCATGATGGTCCTTGATCCTCTACCAGTCGTTATTGAAGACGCCGACACTCTTGAGTCCAGCGAACGCGACCTCACCATCCCGTTCTCACCTAGGATACCCGCATTCGGAAATCATCCCCTCCGACTCACAAGCACGGTCTACATCGACCGCTCCGATTTCCGCGAAGTCGATAGCAAAGACTACTTCCGTCTTGCCCCCGGCAAAACTGTCGGCTTACTACAGATGCCCTACCCCATCACCGCAACAACCTTCACCAAAGACGCAGACGGCAAAATCACCGAAGTCCGCGCAGTCTTCCAAAAGGAAGGCAAGAAACCCAAAACCTACATCCAATGGGTTCCCGAGGGATCACGTAAAGCGGAAGTTCGCATTCACACAGCCCTTTTCAAATCCGAGGATCCAGCTGGCGTCGAAGGCGGATTCTTGAATGATATCAGCCCCAACAGTGAAACGATTTATCCTGACGCTCTACTTGAGCCTGGATTCGAGGAAGTGCGTCGCAGAGCTCCATGGCCGGAGGCGGAGGGCGAGAAGGAAAAAGCTGGACCGGAGAGTGTGCGCTTCCAGGCAATGCGTATTGCATATTTTGTGAGTTACTTCTTTCTTACTTTGCATAGAACAAAGTATAAGTCGAGACGGTCACTGACATTACTCCCTACAGGCCGTGGACTCGGATTCTACAGATGACAACGTCGTCCTCAATCGCATCGTATCTCTCAAGGAAGACACCGGAAAGAGCTCTTGAGCAATGTAAAGTGTGACAAGGTGATATTTGTGATGTTTTTTTTTAGCATTGTTAGTCATAGCAATATTTGATCACGATTACATGTTCATGTATGTGAACTAAGAATCTGTCTTCCCCGCACTTTCGTCCCCGAAACATAGGCGCTGTGGTACATTGATCCCTGCAGCTTGTCTCGCATTAGCGTCTCAACAACAATATCCGTGTAGGAGTTCACCAATCAGTGGGCTCAATTAGGTGGCTTTGACGCTATTGTGAACAGTATCCATGTAAGAAGTCTCACTAGACAAGTCCAGGGAGGAGTAACATGTTGCACAATGCGCTGGGCTTTAGTCGTGTCGTGTGACTTGTAGTTAACAACTAAAAGAAGCCTTCTTCCCCTGACTGAATGTGAAGAACTTGACATTTCATTTCCCCAGTTTAAATGCATACACCCATTCTACCCATCCGTCTTGTTTCTCTTCTGTACATTTAGTTGCCATACTAGGTATATCGAAAACACACCCAGTCACTGTTTCATATTATGTACCCAAAATAATAAAGAGACCTCTTTTTTGAATCACCTTACAACGAACCTCTTTCCATCTTCTACCTGTTTATTACAAGAGCAAAGAACGGTGCAATAACCGACCCCGACTTGAATGTCCACAAGTCGCTCTGCCTGAGAAACAGAGGAGAATCTCTCACTTCGTTACAACTGAAGAGTAGGAGGTGAAATTCTTGGGTTGTGCCTCTTGTCACCAACATCAACCCCCTTCTTACTCCCAAGCTCTCTATCTATCTGGATAGGAGAGAGAGGGAGAGGGGGAGGACTATCAAACAATGACCGATTCCATAATTAATCTGTCTCCTCTTTCTTGAGATGGAGATCTCTAGGAAAGGGGTGCGGGTTGGTTTGTTGGTGGGTTGGTTGACTATACCTGGTCCTACATGCGGTTTTACCTATTGTTTTTAGGATATTTATTCTGAAGTCTGTTTTAAAATCATGGTTTGTACTTTTATTACAAATGTTAGGTATATGTCATTTCCAACTAATCTCAGACTGCCTACTTAACCACCATCCTTGCGACATAACCATACTTCTGGCCAAAATCTGTTGTGCTAAGTATCAGGTGAGTGACACCATGATGCGCTATGAAACCAACAAAAAGAAAACAGGCATTAGAAACTAAACAAACCACTTCGTCTCTTTCCAAAAGGATACACAACCAACGCCGCCATGAACAGTCCAACTGTGATACCAATCGCGACTTGAACCATACCAAAACCAAGGTTGAACACGGATGTATTCGAGGTTGACGATCCCGCTCCCGCTCCTCCTCCGCCGCCACCAGTGCTGCTCTCGTTCTTCGGTGCAGTAACATTGCTTCTGATCTGGTCGGCGGATTCAATTCCAGTGATGAGAGATCCCGACGCGGCAAGACCAGACGGCACAAGAACGAATATCGCGGGAAGAATCGCAGTTGCGGCATGGCCATGCCAGAGTCTGCTGTAAAGGTTTCCCAAAACCCCAATGACAAAAGCCCCCAATGTGTTGGCGACTTCTGAATTGCTGCCGATGCGTTTCGTGCTAAAGTAATTGACTACATAGCCGACGAATGCTATGACCAGCATGACTGGGGCTTGCTTGAACTTGCCCTGGTTGATGATGACATTCCAGATAGTCATTGCAACGACAAAGGGGAAGCGCTGAATATAAGGATTGCTGATTGGCCATGGCGGACAACTCGTGTTGGAATTTGCATTTCCATCCAACAAGCCGTAGATTGTGACACCAACAGTGATACCATAACCGAGAAATAGTGAGTAGATGATGGCATAAACCATGCGTATGGACCCGGCAATCATTTGATGGGATTGCAATTCCAAACTACTACAAAGAACCAGGAAACCAGGCAAAATTAGAGCAATGGCCGATTGAGCGATACCTGAGAAGCAAAACAGGTACTGTTGTTTGCCATCGATGATTCCCCATCGAATACTTCCAAATGCTCGCGCAAGAAACGAAGTAAGAACCGTTGCGCACACTTCAAAGACGTTGGAATATAGTGCCGACTTTTTCGCCATGACAAGCTGCATGAAGCCCAACATACAACCCAATATGAACGATATGGGCATGTCGATTGGGCGAGCTTGAAAAGCAAATGGCCCAACTGTAGCACTGGCCAACCCGTACATGAACACCAAAAACCAAGTTGGAAATCTAGATTTGCGGTTCATGATTTCTTCCAACTGCTTTGTCGCTTCCTCCACTCCAATCATGTCGTGTACCACATTCTTGTACACGCTGTGAGTGTCGGCCAACCGACTAAGATCAACAGCCTGAGCGACACGTACTAACTTGAACTCTGTTGTTCGTGTCGTTGAATCATCAAACGCTACAATCATACAACCTGGCAGATAGAGAAACTGTGCATCGACTTCGAGAACACGCGCCGTCATAGCCATGTACTCTTCCAGTCGATGAGTTGGCGCACCGTATGCCATTAAAGCCCGACATAGCCCCATTAGAAATCTGTGCCTGGCAATAATTTCTGCTATATGAACAGTTACTCGAATCTCGTCCTCTAGTCTCGGCTTGCCACCTTGTTTACGCCGCTTGGCCGCGGCTGACATCATGCGATTCGAGTGATTGGGTGCTCCTGCGGCGGATAAGTGCGATGCAGCACCGATTAGTGAGCTTGTCGATTGATTTCTGTCCTTTTTGTACCATTTCACCTTTTCTCGTTTCGGTGTCGATACACCGGATGTTGGAGTCGTCCAACCTGAAGATCGTGATACATCAGAGTCAGCATCCGTGCTGGTACTTCCAGTACGACTGTCTTGTCCTTGCTGCTGTTGATATAGCTTGAGCAAGTTCCCTAGAACACCTCCGCCACCCATTCTAGCCATAGCTTCTTCTTTTTCACCACCAGCAGGAGTTGGCTGCTCCTCTGATCCATGTCTAGGTCGAGGACGGGTTCTCTGTTCGGTATGGCGTTGAGTCATTTCACGAACTAATCGATGTGCTTCAGAGGTTGCATGAGCTTGGTCTCTTTGCCGATCCTCTTCTGTCTTTTGATGGTCGTCCGTAAGATCCGATACCGGTGCGTTGCCATCACCTGCCCAGGTCTTTTCCTGAACCGACGAAGTCAGTCCGTCCCCTTGATGAGGTTCTCGACCTAGCCTCGTAGCCAACGCCCGCGCTTTTTCAATGTCCCAGAACTTTTTCAACTTTGCCCCGAGACCAAATAGTCTTTTCCACTTTCCAGTCTCTTTATCTTCATCATTTTCGTTGGTCCCTCTGTCCGCGCGTTCACCCGGAGGATTTTGGTTTTGTTGCTTTTCTAAATCAGCGCCGACGCGTTGGAATCGTCCAGCTTCCGCTACATCTTCAGATGGCCGCCGGTCTTGTTGTCGGTGCTCTTTTGCTTCGGGTGATTGGTGGAAAGGTTGACGAGCATGATCTTGACTTTCTACTCGTTCATTAACTAAGGTACGTGCGTCGTCCCCATTGTATTGGAGTGATCGAAACCGGACACGGGGTCTATCCTGCCGAGCTTCTTCGTATTCCTGGCCCTGCAAAGTCTCGTCGCTATGTTGAGATGCAACCGAGCGGCGATCCTCGGGATACTCATGGTGTTCCTCGGCAGCAGACATCGTATGAAGTCTGCTCTAAAATAAATCTTTCTGCCTCATTGATGAGATGGCCGTTCTGATTGATTGGGGGGAAGAATTAAGCCAAAAAGGAGAGAAGTAGTAAGGAATAGAGACGGAGATCAATGGCCCAGAGGCGAGGAAGGTGGGCAATGGCGTGGTCACTTTGAGGAAGGAGCATCAATAGCACCTGGATTGGTGAGCTCACTTGATACTTCTTTGGTGGTGGCGGCAACTGTGAAGTTTATTAGCAGATTGGCTCTTGCCTTAATTTATGGTTCTGCCTCTCACTGTCATTTTTTCCAGCCCAATACTTTCGTCGCCCACTGATTGACAGTCTGTCCTTGCCTACTCAGTGGACCGTGGTGGACCGTGGCTGTACAAATTTCTCTCTGGCCCAAAACTGTCGCATCGTGCTATTAGATGTCTAAAAATGCTGCTCCTATACTAAGGTTGAGTGGGACTTTGACGATCACCTGCGAGGGTGTCTATTATTATCATGTTTCATATTTATTCCCCGTCGCTTTCACATCGAAAAAATAAAGAACTGACGACGACAAATATGTCCGATCCGAAGGGGATAAATCTATAATTGACATAACAGACTTACCGACTCATAATGAGTGAATCGGGTTGCCGCTGCCACTTCTGCCAAAAATGGCAATACGTTAGGGTTTGCCGCTCCGAGCGGCGGCATACTGTACAATTCGAAGTCTTCCTTATACTGCTCTACAGTGTACACAGTGGCTCTTGTAAGATTTTCAAAAATTTATATTACAGATAGGCATATAAATAGCCCCCCTGCATTGTCGAAGCGGAGATCTGACGCGTTCGCCGAGTCGGTGCGGTCCCTGGTCAACGAGTGATCGACTTGATGATCATTGTTGGCATTGCCACTAATTGAAGGGGTTATCATAATCAAATATTGCACACTCTCATTATTTTAAGACTTTTTATCATCTGAGAATGAAGGATCATTGGAATGTTTGTGCTGATTTCTCGAGTTGACAAGCCCATTGCCCGAAAAGGCAACTCTTGCCAAAATAGGTCATCGTTGTCATCTACTAAAGCATTGCCGAGCCTACCAATCACCATAGAAAACTGAAGAATATACAGCTAGACATTCTCTCCCATGGGAATCACCATTCCATTGCCTTCGCAAAAGATAACGTACTTAATAGATCTATCTTATACTCGATTCGGCAAATTATGAACGATCTAGGCACGACAACACCAATTTACGAAGTAATAAGCAGTAAGTTAGTATCAATATCAACAGACACACTTATTTCTACCACATTGATGTGTAAGCTGTACCTAGGTAGACCATGGCATTATCCAATTATGAAGTATGGCAAAGTCAGGATTTATTTCAATCTCTACGACATAATTTATTTTTATTTGGCTTTCGCGAACATTACATAATCTTCCATCGGCTTKTCGAGGTAACCCACCAGTTACTGATGTGGAGAGAAGACGACTGCCCCGAATATACATTCAATTCCAGGATGAGTTGATATAAAGGCAAATTCCAGAACTGGAGTCCATGCTTTCTCTCTTCTCACTTAGGTATTCGGAGAGCCCAATAGAATATTCCACACCATTTATAATCAAGAGTAGACCCAAGTCTCACACCCCCAGATTTAACCCATAGAGGAAGATTTTTCCGGGGATATACACATAACGCCGAATAACGCCGCAACACACTTACCACAGCCCAAGAAGCTTCCCACCTAGGAAGGTAGATAGCTCAGTCTAAAGTTTAGTTTGCATGCCACTAAGTACATACTCCAGTAGATAAGGGGACCATGCAAGTGTCAGCATTTAAACTAGTCTCTCGGCTATGTTCAAGAACTCGCGACTCAATTGATCCACGTCGATGTGGGGCTGGTAGACCTAGGGTAAGTTGACGCTTCGATGATGGAGCATCTCCATATTTTGCATGTGGGAACATGCCCTAAACCTTGGGAGCCTTTAGGATGTTTATCGCCGGGGAGAGGCGCGAGAGACGGGGTTAAGATGGATGCATCCATCGAACTTTGGGGACCTAGACGGTGGTAGTATCATGATGTCACCAGTGGTATAAATACGGCGGCTCCCCTCAAGTGCTCCTCATAGCCAAAGCAATTTCACTTATTTCCCTGTCATCACTTCCGATTACCTATAGAACTTTCTAAAGACACTTAGGTCAAAGATAATACAAAATGGCAGAAAACAACCCCCCTACCGACCTAGGCAAACTGCGCGTCCTCTCGTCCACAGCCTCGATCCATGTCTCCCCCCTCGCTCTCGGCGGCATGTCCATCGGCGACGCCTGGGCCGGGGGTATGGGCTCGATGAACAAAGATCAGTCTTTTAAGTTGCTTGACTTCTTTTTCGAGTCCGGCGGCAACTTCATCGATACATCCAACAACTACCAAAACGAGCAATCCGAGCAATGGATCGGTGAATGGATGACATCCCGCAAAAACCGCGACCAACTCGTCATCGCCACAAAGTACACTACAGGCTACAAGAACTATGCCCTGGGAAATGGCAAAACGCCGAATCATGTAGGCAACAGTCGCCGCTCGTTGCACATGAGTGTGCGCGACAGTCTCGCAAAACTGCAGACTGACTACATCGACATCCTGTATCTGCACTGGTACGACCAACTCACCAGCGTTGAAGAGATCATGGATTCCCTGCATATACTGGTTGAGCAGGGTAAAGTTCTCTATCTTGGTATTTCGGACTCCCCCGCCTGGCTCGTTTCGGCATGTAATTACTACGCGCGCGCGCACGGCAAGACGCCATTCTCAATCTACCAGGGAAGGTGGAATGTGATGCTCCGCGATTTTGAGCGCGAAATCATTCCCATGGCCCGGTACTTCGGCATGGCCTTGGCGCCCTGGGATGTGCTTGGAGGCGGCAAATTCCAGTCCCGCAAGGCGCTTGAAGAGAGAAAAGCTCAGGGTGAGTCCCTGCGAAAACTCTTTGGGTCCAGTGGTGAGCAGAGCGAAAAAGAAATCAAGATCTCAGAGGCGCTTGCGGAGGTTGCTGAGGAGCATGGTACCGACTCTGTGCAGGCTGTTGCGCTTGCATATGTGATGAGTAAAGCGCCGAGAGTATTCCCCATTGTGGGCGGACGGAAGATTGAGCATCTAAAGAGTAATATTGAGGCGCTCAGGATTAGGCTTACGCCGCAGCAGATTGAGAAGTTGGAAAGTGTGGTGGCGTTCGATGTTGGATTCCCTAATGATTTTATTGGGCCTCATCCTAGGGTTACTGGCAAGACGAGTGGGTGGCTGATGAATGATCCTGTGAATTTGACGTTTGGTGCGTCGGAGTATGAGTATGCCTGATCTGTTATTGTTACGTGTGTATATACGGTCTGAGATATGAGAAATAATCTATTGTCATCATTTGAAGTCATGTACTGGATCTATAGACTTAATACGTAATCAGACATCTAGTTCAATGCCTTGATTTCAGCCTCCTTCAACTTGCCCTCGCCAATCAGTCTCTTAGCCTCCTCAACATAAGCAGCCTTGACGGCAGCAGCATCAGTGCCGGCGGTGGTCAACTTGGCAGCCAAAGTAGCCAACTCCTCAGGCGAGATCTTGGCCATGATCGCGTCAACGTCGTTCAAGACATTGTCAACCTGAGCAGCAGAGGCGTCGCCACCTTCAGCAAAGTAGTTGACATCCTTGACACTGTTCCTGAGTACACGCTTGTTCTTCTTGGCGGCGTTCTTGGCGGCCTCCTTGGTCTTCTTGTTGGCTTCACGCTCGGCTTTGGCGGTTTCTTCGGCTTCCTTCTTCTTGCGCTCTTCTTCCTGCTTGGCCTTTTCTTTCTCGTCGGCAATACGTTTAGCTTCAGCCTCCTTCTCGAGACGCTTCTTGTCCTTGCCGGCACGCTTAGCTTGACGGAATTTCTTAATACGCTCGTCACCAGCAAGAGCGTCATCGACAAGCTTGCGCAGACGAGCGGTATCCTCAGTCTTCTTCTTGCGACGCGAGTTGGCATTCTTGCGCTCAACGTGACGTTTCTGGTCGCGATTCTCATTGTCATCGGGGACATCTTCATCCTCGTACTCGAATGATCGCCAGCTGTCAAAGTTGTACCAGAAGTTGTAGAACTCCTCGACCTCTTCTTCGGTGCTGTTCTCGTTGCCGATCACGGGAACGGGTTGCTTGTTGGAGAAACGACCCTCGGCCTTGAAAACACGGTCCCACAGCTTGTAGAAGTTGCCCTTTTCGAGCTGCTTCTTGGTAGGTGGCTCGACGTCGGCGTTCTCATCGCAGGAATCGTATTGACGACGCTTGGTAGGGTCGAGAAGAATTTCAGTAGCCTTTTGAATACACTTGAAGAAGCTGTCGTTTTCGTCGCTCTGGCCGGCGGCGGCCTTCTTATCGGGGTGATGGCGGAGGACCTTCTTGCGGTGGGCGCGCTTGATTTGTTCGGGGGTAGCCTTGTAGCGGTATTTGCTAAGACCGAGGACGGCGTAGTGATCTTGACCCTATTGATAATCAGTATGTGTATACATAGTAAAAGTCGGAGATCGTAAGGTGCTGACCTTCCAGTCCTTGGCATCGCGCTGGAGCATCATGGGATCCTCGGGCTCAGAGATCTCATCATCCTCATCTTCATCGACCTTCTTGACATTCTTCTGAGCCTGGATACGTTCGTCCTCGGAGAAGGTACGGTTGTGGCGTTTCTTCGTGAAGTTAGCATTATAAAAAATATACATCCTTGTCTCAGGGTCAAACGTACTCTTCTAGCATGAGCCAGGAAATGCGGTCCCACAGGCTCGATGTTGCGCTGAACAGCGCTGCTCAAGCTGGACAAGACCTTGTAATCTTTCTCAGCAGACCATCCTGCAGGAAGAGCAGGGAGGGGGGACTGGACAGTAGCCATGGTGATGTGTTGACTGGCTGGTGAACAGTGCTGTTGATTGTTGATGGAGGGGAAAGAAAGGAAGTTTTGGTGTGGCTAGAAAATTATTTTTCCTTCCTTCTAGCCCGATGGGGATGGGCCAATCATGGACCGCGCATTCGGCAGCTCGCCGGCTTCTTCACCATCACCATATGATCTAGGCAATAATCCTAATTGCTTGATCAATTCGTGTTTACTGCAGCAATATAACAAATAAAGAGGGCTTCTTATTGAGATTGTCCTAACGGTCTCATTTAATTTTGCACCCCTCAACCCAACAGGATTCGCCGTCATCTTTACACTCGTCATAATCGACTCGAATACGATTATCGCTTCGTCTTACCTACGATCTCGAAAAGATCTACAAATATACAATAACAAAGCAATACTCAAAATGACAGCGCCCTCAGTATCCGCAATCTCTGCCTACCGCCAACTCCTCCGCGCCACCCGTATAGCCTTTAAAGGTTCGTTCACCACCCATCCCTAGACCCTTCCATTACAACGATATCTAACTGAAACGATATACAGATGATCATAGAATCCTCCTCGCCGCCCGCACCGAAGCACGCAAGCAATTCAATGCCCACAAACGCACCGCCGTCGACACACCCATGCAAATCCAGCACGCGCTCGAGACGGCAAGTATTTTGCGACACAACATTGTCCAGGGCGCGAGGGATGCTGAGAGGGAGGATGGGAAATGGGGTACGTCTCCTTCTTTTCACTCGCCTTAGCCTCACGGTGTAGGGAAGGATGCTGACTGACTAATGACAATAGAATTGAGGATTCACGATGAGATTGAACGAGGGGATAACGATTCCGTCAAAATTGGGGGGAAGAATGTCAAGATTGAAAAGGCTTGTTCGTGATTATTTGTCATTGTATTGGCGTTGGGGATTCAATTGTATATCTACGTCTACTGTCTATTGCCTACCGGCGAAATGAGCCAAACATGAGAACATTTGTATAATATCTTATGTATTTGTACATCTCCATTCGATTTTAACCATCACTATGTAAATATAAACCAGTAAGAAACGCCCGCTCGTAGAGTAATGCATAATGATAAACAGCAAGGAACGCAGAAAAAAAACTACTCGCCAGACAGACTGGCGTATTGTATCTCACTGCTACCCGGTGGCGGCGCAACGGTGAACTTGGGTTTTTCCGTCTGAGCAGCATCGCCAGCGGCAGCAATAGCCCGTTGACCTTGACCAGGTCGACTGGGCGGAAGCAACTGTCGACCCTCCCGAGCATTGCGTTTCCGTTCCTCGTCAGCCATACTATCCAACGGCTTGGGTTTACCCCATCGCACTCGCAATGGACATCCTTTGATGATCGCTTTTCCCTGACATTGTAAGGCTGCGGCTTCGGCGGAAGCTCGAGTCGCATAATTTACAAACGCGCAGTGGGCACGATGCGAACAGATGAGTGAGCGTAGTTGACCGAACTGCTCGAAAAATGTGCGTACTTCATGTTCCGGTAGATCATCCTCTACACCAGTAACGAACAGGGATGTGATTTTGGGGTCGGCGGGTGGCTTGATATCTTCGGCTGATGGGGGAAGCTGCGTTGTAGGCGGGAATGCGCGACCACCCCGGCTACCACCTCGACCACCACCGCGTCCATTGAATGCAGCTCCTCGTCGAGTATCGCTCGTACGAATCGGACCCGGTCCATTACCATACATACTCCGTCTCGGAGCCCCTTCTTCCGTCTGCGCGCTTGTCTCCTCTTCGTCTTCAGGCGCTTCAATACGACGCTGTCGTTTATGATACGGCTCACTATTCGCCAACCGTTTCAACAGTTCACGTGCCTTCTCGTCGGTCTTCTCATATGCCTCGATTGCACCACGACCTTCTTCAATTTCCTTTTCGTGGTTCTGAGCGTAGAATTCTCGATTAATACTGCTTTGAGGACCGGGTGCGACCATTTTCAGGGCTGCGTCGCGGATGACAATGGGCAGGCCGAAGGAGAGATCGAGCATGCAGCACTGGCAACAGTTTTTGAGGCGGGCGCATGTTAGGCAGATATTTGTTCGTTTGGTGCGCGCGGTGCGGTCTGCTTTCCAGCGGAAGATTGTGAATGGGCGGGTGCACTAGAAAATGTTAGAGACTGTCACCAAGATTCGAAAGAGAGATACATACGATCTTGCATTCAGCGCCGTAGTCTTCCTTGAGCATCTGCACATATGGGTTCTCGGGGAGACAGCTCTCGCAGACGGAGGGAAAGTCGGTAGACTCCCAGCCTGACCGGTTAAGGTCTTGTTTGATCTGTGGCGGCATGGTGGGATGGTTGACTGACAGGAAGCTGAAGGGTGATGTTATTTTACGATGAACTCTTTCCGTCAGCGTCAGAAGAATCAGCGGCTGCTTTAGCCACTCGTTGCCACCTGTGGCTAGTGCAGCTTGGCACTGAGGKAAGTTGGATGAGTAAGCAATCACATGCCACTGTCACTTAACTTTTGCTGTACGTCTTACAATTGCTTCGTACACATGATTTTTTGGATTTTACCACTTTTCTTGCCGATCGTCATCGCTAGTAGTCTGCTTCCTCCCATCTCGCAAATATCTTGATTTGTTCCGGATCATGCCATACTGTCGTACTTCTACTCGACTTGTACTCTTCGTGTTGGCAGGCCGGATTCCTTGGATCCCGGTGTGGCGGTGCCTCTAACCAATCAGAATGCAGTTTTTCGCGGAACCCACGGCCTCCGGGCGCCCTCGCAGCTCCAGCCAATCAGCACACATAATTAAGATTGAGACAAATTCTGGAGTCTTGACGACGACTCCTTTTGTCTCCTTAAACACGTCTGTTTATATTCTCGCTGCTCCAAAGATAACAGCCTCGTCTTCAATTCCCTCTTGATAAACAATTGACTGTTGCTGTTCGTTGTCGTCGTCGCATAGATCATCTTTCTTCTTTCGTCTCATCAATTTTTTTCTCACCCCTTTTCGAACTTTTCGAACCTTAACTCGACCACGACTTCACGAACAATTGCAACGATCACAAACAATGGCTCCCGCAAAGTTGGAACAAGAGAATCACCAGCGCGATGCTGACTTCAACAAGGCTATGCACGGCAAGTCGTCGCAAAACACTGGTGGTTGGGCGGCCATGCGAGCCAAAGACACCAAGGCGCAGCAAGTCGCTGTGGACGAATATTTCAAGCACTGGGACAACAAGGGTGCTGCTGAAGAGACGGAGGCTACCCGTGAGGCCCGAAGGGCTGAATATGCTACCTTGACTCGCCAGTAAGTAGTCAATTTGAAGACAAGAAAAATATTCATGGTACTAACAAAGGAACAGTTACTACAACCTCGCAACCGATTTGTACGAATATGGATGGGGCACCTCCTTCCACTTCTGCCGCTTCGCATACGGCGAACCCTTCCGTCAAGCCATTGCCCGTCACGAACACTACCTCGCTCACTCCATGGGCCTCAAGGAAGGCATGAAAGTGCTCGACGTCGGATGTGGTGTCGGTGGACCCGCTCGCGAAATTGTCAAATTCGCCGGCGTTAACGTCGTCGGCTTCAACAATAACGACTACCAAATCCAGCGTGCTACCCGATACGCCGAGCGCGAGGGTCTCTCCGACAAACTCACATTCCAAAAGGGCGACTTTATGCAAATGCCCTTCCCAGACAACAGTTTTGATGCCGTCTACGCTATCGAAGCAACCGTGCACGCCCCCAGCTTAGAGGGTGTCTACAGCGAAATCCGCCGTGTTTTGAAGCCCGGCGGTGTCTTTGGTGTTTATGAGTGGTTGATGACCGACGAATACGACAACGATAACCAAGAACATCGTGAAATTAGACTGGGTATTGAGCTAGGCGACGGTATCTCCAACATGGTCAAAATCTCCGAAGGTCTGGACGCTTTCAAGGCCGCTGGATTTGAGCTGCTGCATAATGAGGATTTGGCAGATCGTCCCGATCCCATTCCCTGGTATTACCCTCTTGCGGGTGAATTTAAGCATATGCAGACTGCGTGGGATTTCCTGACTGTGTTGCGTATGACTCGTATCGGTCGTGGATTCATGCACCGATTCATGGGCGCCATGGAGAAAATCTGGCTCATGCCTCGGGGTACCCAAAAGACAGCCGACAGTCTTGCTATTGCAGCTGACTGTCTGGTTGCCGGTGGTGAGAAGAAGCTTTTCACACCCATGTACCTCATGGTCGGACGTAAACCCGAGTAATTTTTGGGTCGGTTTGCACTTCCTTTCTATAATGTATTTCTCCTATGTTACATCTCCTTTTGTACTTTCCTATGTCATTAATGTTTATGCATGTGTTTATGGCATTTTCCGTTGGTTTTTGTTTCATGTTGATTATCAAAAAAATAATTGCATTAGAGGAGGATAGGGGCGGCAAAAGAGCTGGTTAATATTTTATCTAATACCATTGACTGTGTCACTACTATTATATGTATGTATTGCTGTTGGATCAGCTCTCTGTCTGTCATTGTGTTTTTTTCGTCGCTGTGGTTTGATAGAATGGGTTCGAGTGATATATACCTAACTACATAAATAGTTCACCACACTATTTTAATACTTCCACATGTCCTTTTTGCACTATAATTACCTAGATACCTAGGTAAATATTTGTATTCATACATGCATATCCATGAAGGCAGGTGCCTAGGTAAGGTAGAAACATCTTCGGTCACTGCTACATATAACTTTGATTTTGAACAAAGCCACCGAAGCTCCGATTGGGCAGTCAACTACCATATCGCGTATTCCAAAAATCAACGTAGTAATCCCCCGGCCATGGTTCCTAGAATATGGATCAAGTATCCACTGCCAATCGTCGGTTTGAGTGCACTCCTTGGAACCTTCCAGTCTATTGTTGTCACCTTATGTCATATTGAACGACCACGACGATGCTCGCTTACCCGTACGACCATACGATGTAGTTGGACAGACGGCTTTTTTCGCGTTTGCTTGAGAAGCCGTAGAGTATTATCCGTTGAGGTTGTTCTTTCAGGCGAATAGCGTGTCTGTAGGGCATCATATTGAGTTTTATATATTTTGCGTGAAGATATCGTAATCTTGGGTGCGCAAGAATTGTCTCTGATCCTATAAATGCCTTATGCCTAAGTAATTGTACCTGTTGATATAATTCAGAAAATAAGTATATTTTGTAATCTGATTAAGTAGATAATAGGTAGTAGTGATATGTACACCCATACAAAAAACAGACTGTACCCTAAGAAGGCCTGAAAAGCTTCTCCTAACAAACATGAAAAGGAAGAGAATAAGATCGAAAAGAAAAAGTGGGTGAAAAGAATTGAAACATCTATACCACGGTTGAAAATTGATCAACCAAATTGTCGATATGCCTGAATGACTCCGGACCATCCACCAGGATTGTTGAACTCTCTCGGATTACTCAGCCCATCCAGAATCATAACATCGCTTGATTTCGTACTGATCGAATACCAAGCCAGATTTTGCGGACTGTTGGCCACACGCATCATGTTACTCTGACACACTCCACTGGCGCATGGCGTATTATATAATCCATTCCATGGCCCTTCAAAGAACGTCCATGCCGCCGAACCATATAACATGAGATTCGAGCCACCATCGATATTGGTAGCCAAAGCGGAGCGGCAGTGTTGATCACTCGCGGTGCACCAGCTATAGTCCGGGTCATGGTACTGATTCGATAAAATCCATGGCGCAGGCACAGTCTCAATTGCGCCTTGACCCTGCATATATGGTGTCTCGGTTTGCATCATCCCCGCAAACAGATTTTGAGCGTTGTGTAGGTTGTATTGATATAGCCAGTTGTGCTCGAAGCTTGTGCCCACGAGCCAGGTTGCCTTTGTGGATTCGACGAGTATGCCGCGGCCACCGGAAATGACGATTGCGGATGGTCCGCCGTCCAAGTTGTGGTCTGCTGTCCAGCCCCAGTGGTTCTCGATGTAAGCAGATGATGTCTCTGAGAGATGAACATGCATGTATGCAGCCATGCAGTAGCGGGAATCTTGATTGATGCAGCTTGTTGAGACGGTGGTATCTGCTGTTCCGCCTACAGTTGTCAATGTATTCCATAACCCGACGTCTCCTGGGCTGGAACCGGCCATATTGATTTCAAGTATTTTGGCGCCAGGAAGAACCTCGGCGACAGTAAAGCGCATGTTTTGAATTTCGGCGATGCCGACGTCGCCTGGCCAGCCGATTTTGACGACTGCGCGTGGGTTGTAGGGATCTGTGAATGCGCCGCCTGCTCCGGACAGAACTGCCCATCCTTCGCCAATAATCCTGCTTCCGGGGGGAATAAAAAGCGTGTCACGGAGAAGGTAGACCCCATACGGGAAATAGGTAACTCGGCATTTAGCCGCATTTTCGCGCAGAATAGTATTTAGACTCGCCGCGTCGTCTGTCACGCCGTCTCCTCTAACAATCACGCCTGCCACTTTCTTCACATTCACAATTCGTTCAGCGGGATAATTGGCGTAATCTGGCTGTTTGCGGATAAAGTAACGACCACTGCTATCCAAGAGCGCGCTTGGTCGCGATGTGTGCGTCGTCTGACCGGCTACAAAGGAGCCTGGGATATCATTCCCATAGATCCAAGTATCGACATGGCTTTGAGCATTGAGCACCGTTCTGCCATCCGACGTGACGGCGAGAGGGTACTGTCCTTCACTACTGTAATTATCGATAACGATCTGACTATTGCGTTTGTCAGGGTCGTTGGACGAATCGTGGAATTTGATAAGTGTCCCGGTATTGGTTGACGTGGAGTCTAGAACTACCATCGACCCGAGAGAATTTTTGGTCATGTCGATGCCCAACCCGCAATTCAGAAAGCTGGCTGCTTGGAGGACAACCGTGAAACCTCCTGTAGCTGCGAAGCCAGTCCGGCATCCATTGAACTGGATGTTTTTGAAGTTGACTTGCTGGTTGGAATCTTGGATACCGATACCACCGCCATTGATAGTCTAAAGATGTCAGAGCTGACAAATTCATGGAAGGCAAAGGGGGTAACTTACTACATCGGTAACCGCAATAGTCGATCCACCGTTCAAGTGAATACCAATATGTCCACTCGACCCCTGCGGCATGTTGATATCAACATTACTCAACGAGCAGCCTTGCGCAATGCCCCATTGCAAAGCAGTAAACGTATAGGATCCATCAATTGCCGTTGTATCGAGAATAACATTGCGCATGGCAACCATAAAGACAGTCTCAGGATGTCCACTAGCCGGATCTTGTCCATTCACAAGACTCGTTCCGACAAAATCAGGACTCGCCTTGATTATTGGCCGGTTCAATGGATCTCCGACGATGATTGTCCCCAGACGGAGAGTAAGAGTACTACCAAGGGTGTATACACCACCTGGCAAGAATACTTCGGCAGGCATATTCGTGCTGCCTTTGCCTTCTCGAGAGCCCCCAATACCGTCAGTGTTGATTGCATTCTGGAGCACGTCTGTTTGGTTTCCGCTGCCGTCGTTTTTGGCTCCATATTCTATAACGTCGCGGTATACTGGGTATTGAGGGTTACCCTGTACATAAGGCGCGTATCCGCGTGCCTCGCCAGTATGGTCCTGTGCCTGCAGCCAATACCGCGTTGGTTGCTGATTTGATTGAGATCCAAGGCAGTAATTCACTTCCGAAGCACTGCTACTGCTAGATGTACCGGTAGACGAGCCGACAGCCGCGCTTGTACTGGCAGCAAGGGTACTACTAGCCGCTGTTCCTTGACTGATTGATCCCGTAGGACTAGTCGATGCTACCCATGCCGGTGCAGTGCTACTACTGCTGCTACTGGATGTAGCTGGCGGAGGCGCAGGAGCAGGTGCGGCTTCTGTATACGGCGCTGCTGGCGGGKTCGATTGTGTAAAGAAAAAAGGCAATAAGGCTGCCCCAAGTGCTGACACGCTAATTTTCGTTTTGCTGTTAGCTACTAAACTGAAGACTAAAGACGGCACACTTACGGTCTTGGAGGCAAATCAAGCAAACCATTATCAGGCGCGAACAGGTCCGTCGGCTCTGGCAGCAATGGGAGAATTCCCGCTGCTGCTGTGAAGGCAAATGCCATCCACACAAGCTCTGTATGCATCGTTCGATGATGAGACGCCGTCCCAAACTATCTCAGAACAATCAAATCACAATCAACGTAGTAACGAAAGAAACATCAATACCAAACATAGAATCATGAAAGAAAGAGAGAAACTAGTGAAAACTCAATTTTGGTCGCGTCAAAGCAATGAAAGGGCGAGAACCGGCCGTCCATTTTGGGTAGGACCATTTGACATGCCACAACAATCTCGCTCTGGTATGTTTGGAGTTCTCGGCGCGAGGAGGTTTTGCCTGTTGTGGTTGTTGAGGTCTAGGATCATCCCGCATTCCAGGTACCGCTCATTGAAGCCACAAAGTATGCTTTTGAGGATGTAGTACTGCACAATGTATCTGCCGTCATGATTGTATGAGTCTGGATCTAAGGGATGAAGACCAAAGACCAAACTAGGCTAGTGTGTTATTGCTTGATGACAGGATTTGCTTACGATTCAAACCTCATCTACGATAGATAGTAACAGCTGGATGTTAAATGAGTCATGTTATTGCAATTAATTCATGAAAATGAATTCCAGAGTGAAATTTGTAAGTCTTTGTTGGGCCTAGGCCTGCTTTAAGGCTAGGTAGGAGCCCCCTGAAAGCTCCTTAAATTCATATCCCGTGTAACCAAGGTCACATTGCTCAATCTAGCTCATCAAGAATCGATCTTGGGGTCATAATCTAGCGGCAATTGTATAGTCGTTTAAATCAATTTATCAACTGGTAAGTCCCAGTAGCAGCATTTCAAAGGCCAACTCTCCAATCGGGAGGGGTTTCGGGATTAGCCCTAATGGACGAAGGTAGTGGTCCACTATCAGCAAGGCAGCCGCCGCTATCCAAGACACACCAAGGGGTGAATCTAGGATTTACCAAGCCCTGATAACGATCGCCCTTGAAAAATTGCAGATATAACTTCCATGGTGACCACGTTCATTCTGCACGGCGTCGATCTCGTGCCCAACAGAGGCCTTTATTTCTTCAGCCACCTTTGATTCAGGATGCATCTATCTCCTAACACTATTTTAATTCTAAACCACCACATTCTTTACATATACACATTGTATGCTTTGGGAGTCACTCTTTAATTTTCGCTATTTCAAAATGCATTTCTCAACGGCTCTGTTCTGCTCTCTGCTTGCATTGACATCTGCATCCCCTCTCTCCGGGCGGCACCTGGGCGAACATAGACACAAGACCAAATACGGCAAAAGAACCCTTGGGTCGATTGTCTCTTCTGCTGCCGCAGTAGTAACTGTCGACGATAATGACGGCATCGTCAACGGTGTAGATCAGTACACTCAATATGCCGGTGATGGTTCAGTGGCTGCCGGATGGCCATCTTCATCTCAATGGTAAGACCTATCAAACATCGAAGATGATCAATTTACCCCCGAAGAAGGGTGTGACTCACACTAATAATTGAATAGGGTATCATTTCAAAATATGTGGGAAACTAACAAACCCTCAATCGCAAGCTCCTGCGCCCAATTCAACCAACCAAACCCCACAGATGAAGAAATCGCAAATCTCCACGAAGCTATCCAACAAGTCGCCGGCCAAACATTCGTCGACCACCGCTTCATTCTTGCCATTATAATGCAAGAGTCAAAAGGCTGTCTTCGCGTCCCCACCACAAACTGGGGTGTGAACAATCCAGGCTTAATGCAAGATCATGGTGGTACCGGGACTTGTTATGGAGTCAACCCTTGTCCGAAAGAAAGTATTTTGCAGATGGTGCAAGACGGGACTGCGGGTACTGAGGGAGGGGATGGGTTGGCTACATTGTTGGATAAGCATATTCCGCTTGTTGGAGGGGGTGGTGATGTGGCTCAGGGTTATTATAAGGCTGCTAGGGCTTATAATTCGGGTTCGGTGGCGGCGTCTGGGAATTTGCAAGAGGGTGGTGCGACGCCTTGTTATGCGTCTGATGTTGCCAATCGTCTAACGGGTTGGGTCAGTGCCGAGCATGCTTGCACTTTCTGATCTTCTGATATTGATTCAACTTCCCTTCCTTGTCTAGATGTGTGTGTACACTTGAGCTGGACTCCGAGTGTTGACCTTATTAAACAAAGTACACCATAAATTTAACTCCAGTAATCATTGTCTCCGATCATAACGGCGATTTATAGTTTCAGCATAGTTCAAAGGATGTATGTCTAGTATCCATGACCTGTATAATGTGCTCCTATTCCAAAAAAAAACCATCTGCTTATTCCAACGAGAAGTTGAATTGAATACTAGGAACCTCCGAACTATTCGCCGGCATGACGAATGTTAAATTCCAGAATTCAAAATCACTAAAAGCAACTAGTGTTAGAAAGCCCTATTTGATTTTTGTATAGATGAAATTTACACTTACTGCACAATTGGACATGTTCCTCCCAATATTCCACAAAACGAGACCACAGGCTCTGGGTTGACGGTTCCACCGACTTCAATTTTTAGTCCATCGATAGCATCCAACGTATAAATGTCACGTTTGGCGCCCAACGGGTTCGATGACAGAGCAAAAGTAAAAACGCTCGTCTCATTGCCTTGAGGGTAGGTCAGGTTGAGGGCATATGGGGAAACATCTGCTTGCATAGCCTTCTCGGTCGAGTACCAGGTGAAATATCCCACCGAGCCATCTGACCGAAGCCATTGAACGACAGCTGGATTGAAGGCCGTTGTATCCTCCCGCGAACCTCCAAGTGCACTTTGATTGAACGATTCAGTGCCGATAGTGAGGTTCGCGGATACCCAGGTAGTGACATTGCGCGGCTCGTAGTCTACAGGGGGTGCATAGGTCTGGCCATGGTATGTATGCTCACCTACAAAGTGGGAAGTCCGGAAACGTTTTAGTACAGATTTTGGAATTAGCTTTTTCTGAAAATCCGCAAGTACCGCCAGAAGCGGTCCAATCTCAAGATCATCAGCGTGCGTCATGGTTCCGATAGGGTTCGGGTTGTGGTAAACATTGTCCTTGCCGATAAAGGACCAGATCCATAACGACATTATAGCCACATAATTGTTCATATCATAGCCATAGGTCCGATCCCATGGGCCTGCGAAATTTCTCATCATGGGGTTCCAGAGTAAGGACTCGACTTCCCAAATATCTCGAATGATTTGTTCGCTATGCTGAGCAATCACTGGGACGTTTGTTATATTGGTCATATACTTTGCTGCAATTGTCAATGCACAAAGCGAGACGCCAACGTAGGTTGGACTGTTGTACTCAGAGATGGTGTTGTTGACATTATAAAGATCCAAGAATTCTTCGGCCCATTTATCTCCCCAGTAAGTCATGTTGGAGTCATTCATCTTCAATCCGGTCCAGGAACTAGCGACAGTTCGCATGAGCCAAGGGTTGCTATAAGCGGGATACAGGTTGTCATCATCAACACCACCGACACGATAAGTATCGCCAACGGTGCTGTTGTAAATACTCTCAAGGATCAAGTCTTGGACATGAGAAGGAAGCAAGTCTCTGTATTCTTCGTAGACGATGATAAGCGTTGTGCTGATGAAGCTTCGCCAGTTCGGATCCCAGGAGTTATAAATCTATAATGCCCATGAGTTTTTTCTTCACGTAGAAAGGAAGGCTGGCATACCACAGGGTCGTAGGCAGGTTCTCCCACAGTCGGCTGCTCGGGGTATACCGTATAATCTCCGTACCACTGCTTTGAAGTATCCTTTTCTTGATCGGCAATGACAAGTTCGAGTATTTTTGCCGCCTCTGCAGCATCATCGCCATGATTACGTTGGAGTAACCCAATCGTGCGCCATACGGTTGAGCGAGTCTCATGAACTCCAGCAGCCAAGGGATAGTAGAAGAATCGTAGATAGTGAGCGTTGGGGTCATAGATCATATCTTGGAAGAACATAGACTCATCAAAGAGATCTTGTGCATGCTTTGACAGTTGGATGCTATGCGCACTGCTGGCTGCTCCTAGCAGCCCGAGACCTAATAGCCAATTGAAGTTGGGCAACATGTTGCTTGCGAGTGAAGTCTATGGCTTGAAATGGATGCATGCAATCTTAGAATGACACTGACAACTTATAGAAAGAAATAGTCCTATAGCCCCATCAACGATGGAACCATCATGGTCGCTATGAAGTAGCTGTCTGAAGACACAGCAAACCCTATTTCTCGATCTACCTCTACTATAGGAAGAGATCAACATTCGGTCAACTGTCCGGAGTGATAAGAATTATGGATCAGTGGTTTAGAATCCGGTGAAGTACGGTACACCTAGCCTGAAGATCTTTGGAGCTCGGTGATATACGGCAAAGTATGGCCCAGCCCGGTCCAATATGGACATCAGGCGATAAGGGCTACTCAAATCACGTGTGTTATGATCGAACATCAGAAGTCATTATGAATAGTGTAATAGAAATATCTGGACAATCATTACTACGAACCACCAAATACGGTGATTCTGGTGCTAAGCGCATTTATTAGACTAGCGGCGTTTGATGGGAGTCTTTTACTAATGTTTCCGACCTACTAACTAAGTTACACGTTATGAATTTTATTATTAACATGTTCCTTAATACAGTACCCCAGGAACATAATTTGAATTATTGTGCAATTTTCATCTTATCGTCAGGTCTGAAGTCATCGAAAATGTTTGGTAATCGTGGACATCGTAAAAGGACATCTCCGGCGTTGTCAAGTCACGGGCAAACACTGGAAACCCTGATCATGGAACCAACTCTTTTTCTGCATTGAGAGAACAATGGAAATCAATCAAAATTTTATTCTTACCCGTTGGTTGAGTATTCAAGTCTTTAAGTCTAATCAACCATGCTTTTTTGACCCTGGGAAGTTCGTCTTACGATTCAGCGATATAGAGGTCAAGGCAAGAAACGCTAGTTTATCAGACCCTGAGGCTGTTCCCTTGTCTCCAGGCTATCATTCTCGATCTTCATTATGGGTCTGGAGATTTGGGGATGAGCAGGTCGTCGGGGCTAAATGGCTCGAATGCCAGCTTATTTTACTTTATCAACACTCCAGGACGCTTTTGTAAATGCTACCACGGATGAAAATCTAGCGATTCGGATCTGAAAAATGATAGACTAATAGAATCAAAAGAACAAGGACAATTCTCACAGTCTTCGCCATCTGCGACTCATGCCGATTGGATGGAACCCTTTGGATGACATTCATGAACGGCACATGTTATTCCAGCTGTCTCGCTCTTTTCTCATTACCCGTCTTGAACCAGGGAATCAAATCCAGAAATGGTAAGATTGGTCGAGAGGAGAGAGTGCTTTAAATAAAAAGAGAGTCTATTGTGTATCCCAGCTAGGATTACCGTCTTCCGTAACGTCTGCAGCGACCTAGACAGTCTCTGGGGAAACTGTTCGAATTTGAGATGGAATATTGGACATCGCATTGGACAAGTTTCTTATTGACCCTGATCTTAGTATTGAGTCTAAGTGCAATTGCACGTCGTACCATACTATCCTTGCCGAGAATTGGTGACCTGTATGATTTATGATAGAAAGCTTCCACATACCGGAAACTTTGTTCTGCACTTTACAGTACTCCTATTAGGTTTTCAACTTTGAATTGATATGTATTCCAGTTAGATTATTCACTTTATTGAGCTGGTCACCTGCCTTGATMCCGCCCGCCACATCTCACGAAAAGATTCCTCCCTCCTAGCAGTAGCAAAACTTCAATTAGCTAAATCAGCATCGTCTCTTCTATCTTGCTGTTTAATGACAAGCAGCTATACTGTGTTTCCTGGATAATGTTTTGGCCTAGAAGTAGAAGCTTTTAGAGTAGACGCCTCTTTGTCTATTAAATACTGTTTGTTTGCGCGATATATGCACGCCGTATGCCTGTTGGACGGAAATCTCCGTCTTCATGTAAACGCCCGTCAGCCCCTCATGTCAGCCTTGTTGACCTTTCCTTTCCTTCTCTTTACCCAACGCAACTTTTTTCTCATTATTCATCATCTCCATTTCTTTCTTACATCTCTCCAAGGTATTGTAAAGCCAGCGGAAAATTCTGTCGATAGCGCGACTTGGACGAAGGTCTTGATCCGGCGGTATCCCCCCTAAGACCTAGGAGAATACACCATGTCTCTGACCGAGCCTTCCAAATTGCTGAACTGGTAAGCTACATTGTCTCTTTACATCCATTTATTTGGAAACCTTTCTTTTTGACCGGCCAACAGGTACAAGAGACTCTGGTCTCGTACAGTAGACCTTGTTGGCGACTTTATGGGGAGCGAGCTGTTCATAATTGATGGAGACTCACTTCTGCTAAAGTGTTTCTCTGACAAAAACCTAGATTTATCCCCGAGTTTCCAATTACTACACTCAACCTACATTGTTGAAAAGCTCTTACAGAAGTTCAAGCAGCGCAAGTGTGTTTTTGAAGTTGTGTTCTTTGACAGCAATGCACAATTTTGTATCCCTGCGAAGAATAATGACGACAATAACGATCGATACCTTCTTGCTCGTGAGGCAATTATCCAACACCTCAATGCAGTCTCTCAAGAAAAAAAACATGGCTTCGATGTTCACCTATTTGAGTCCTACTATTCTGAGGCCTTTGAAGAGCATTTGCTGAGTTCAGGAGCGTATGTTTTCATGTGCCACGAAGGCACCATGGATGAGATAGACAATATCAACGACACAAGCGGTGACGACGACCATAGTTCGGACGACGAATATCAGGAAGACGACGACGATTATGATGATACCGCCGACAACGAGCTTGAAAATACGAAGCTTTGTGTTTCGAACTCGGTGATAGGTCTGAGACTCATGATTCATTGGTTTATCACGCATGGATGCAACATTGTTCTTATCAACAACCTTGAGTTTCGGGATACCAAAGTATGTTTTCGATTTGCATGAAAATGTTGATGAGATGAAAACAGGTGCTGACTGTCAGCAGATTATGGCCATGGTCATGCAGGGCGCGGCCGAAGCGAAAGACGCCTCCATATCTGAACACGACGTCCTGCGAGCAGAGATTTCCGATGCCACCAAATCCACGTATACAAATGATCTTAGCGTGATGATAAAAAATGAAATTCTTGATATGGCAATCCATGAAGAGCCAGGTCTGACGCAAAGTCAATGCCTATTGGTTGTGTCGCTAGCAGTCATGTGGAAGGCCCGCCCGAATAGCTTCATATACACAATCAAATTTACTACTGCTATCTTACATCTCGTCATCTTACAACATATCAAGCTCGAAGATCGAGTGATTCCAGCTCCTGAAATTGTCGATACTGCATTCTTTGATGCCTTTCTGAAAACTTCCAAGGATATACTTACCTCACCATCTTGGAAAGAGGTGATGAAACGACACACATTGCATTGTGATCTCTCAGACTTTGCTGATGGGAGGTTATTCTTCCAAATTCAGGCAACGCTAGAAAGTGTCGGCGTCAATCGCTTTATATCATCGACAACACTGACGCCGTTCAACAAGCTTGCGTCTCTTGTCGACCACCTCTGCGGCACGAAACTTGTCATCGCAGATGTCAACAATGTCACCGGTGCCATACCATCTACTAATCAGACAAGCGACGTCGAACTAGCAAAGGAGCAAAATCTACAGGTTGAATTTGAGTCTCCAAAGTTTGTAAAGGTTCTTCCATTTCAGAATGCCGTCTTTGATAAACATCTCGAACCTGTTCATCTCGAAATTGAACCATCTGTGGATGATGAAGTGTCGGCTGCCAAGGAATTTATAGATCTAAACCATTGGCACAGTTCAAAACCACTCGATCAGAAAAAGGCAGTTCTGACACCCCGGAAATGGTGGCAGCAAAAGGGGGATCAGCTCTATATGGCCGAGATGCGCCACTATGCGGAGAGTCTACTGGGTTCAGCCGGTATGTCTCAGACTGAGACCATTGTTGTTGAGCGCTTCAATATCTCACACAAAAAGCCCCCCATAGCGAAGGAAAAACAACCTTCGAAGGGTAATAACAAACAGAGGGGTCCTGCAAAAGGACCAACGGTGAGAGAGCAAGCGGCTGCAGCTGTCCAGAAGGCGGTGGTCGATAGAGAGCAGAAGAAGAGGAATCAATGTACGATTATCCTTCAAGAATTTTCGAAGATCGAAGATACGTTGGTCCGATTTTTGAGAGTTGAAAGTTACCTGTCGAGATTATCCAAGGACGATCGCCGCGTTATGGAGCCCGAAATCCTCACCTATCTTCTTGACATATTGGTCCAGGCAGTCTGTAATGAGAACGATAGTGGGCAAAGAACACTTCTTGCCACACATATCTGGAGTGTCTTGACTCGTCTGATGAAAGTCAGGCAAGGAATTAGTACTGACATCTGGAAATATGTCGGCAAAGTTTGTCAGCGTCTTGAGTTGCCATGGGTCCACTTCGAAACCCAGATCGAGCAGTCTCTATCATTCAAGCTGTCGAATGCAATATCTAGCGCGCCCAGAATCATGGCTGGAACAGATCCAGTGGAGTTCCAGCTTCTTTATGGTGGTCCTTTCATGGATCGTAGTATCGATTCGGCGCCAGACTCAAGGACTCCCGATTTCAATCCTGATAGTTGGCAGCGAGATGTGTTGAACCAGATTGATCAAAAGAAGAGTGCTTTTATCGTTGCCCCGACTAGTGCAGGAAAAACATTCATTTCGTAAGTTCCGTTATGTGTGGATTAATGTATACTCCTATTGATTGATTATAGGTTCTATGCTATGAAGCAGATTCTCAAAGAGGACGATGATGGGGTTCTTGTTTACGTCGCACCTACCAAGGCGCTTGTCAACCAGATTGCGGCCGAAGTGATGGCTCGGTTCTCCAAGTCTTATCCAGAGAAATCCACTACAAAATCGGTTTGGGCCATTCATACGAGGGATCATCGAATTAATCACCCCATGACTTGCCAAATTCTCATTACAGTTCCACATATCCTACAAATTATGCTGTTGGCTCCATCCAATGCTAAAACGTGGACGCCTCGACTGAGACGCATCATCTTTGACGAAATACATTGCATCGGTCAAGCCGACGACGGCATTGTATGGGAACAGTTGCTTCTTCTGTCTCCCTGCCCAATAATTGCACTTTCAGCAACCGTCGGTAACCCCGACGAGTTTAACAGCTGGCTCCAACGCGCTCAGGGGACAAATGGGCACGACTTGAAAATGATACAGCATCATCATCGATATTCTGATTTGAGGAAGTACGTGTACCATGCTCCAACCACGTTCACATTCGAAGGATTCCCTAAGCCCCGTGGATTGAGTAAGCTCGGCCTTGATGATGCTGAGTGGATGGAGCTCATGCATCCTGTTCTCAGTCTGACTGATCGTTCAAGACGTATACCAGATGACTTCAGCCTTGAACCACGAGATTGTCTGACCCTGTGGCAGGCAATGAACGACTTCCAGACGTCGAGCTATCCAGTTGATTCTTCTCTCAACCCATTTCACCGATTCGCTGGCACCATCATCCAAAAGAAGCATATAATTGAGTGGCAAAAGCATTTGAAAGATTTACTTGGAGCATGGATGAAAGACAGGAAATCACCCTTTGAAGAACTCTTGCATCGCCTTAGCTGGCCTAATACAACAACCTCTGCAACGGCGACAAAAGATACAGCAGGATCAGAAAAGTCAAAAGGTTCATCGGCATCAAAGAACTCTACCGTGATGTCCTCTACTCTTCCACTTATTTCCTCTCTTCATGCCCAAGGAGCCCTTCCGGCATTATTCTTCAACTATGATCGAAGTATGTGTGAAGATATATGCCACCAACTATTAACAGAATTGCAGGAGGCAGAGAAAAAATGGAAAGCCACAAGTTCCAAGTGGAAATCTGATATGGACAATTGGAACAAATGGCGGAAGCAAGATGTCAAAAAGATCCCAAAGACTGCAAAAGTTGCTAAAGGGAAAAAAGGCGGCGATGATGAGCCAATATCCCGCGCAGATCAGATGAGGGAGTCAGCATCCGTTGAAACAAGCCAGTGGGCACTCTTTGACCCGGAAAAACCGGTAGAAATGTTTAGTCTAGCAGATTTCAAGAAGCTTCCACCGTCTGAATTTGCAGTGTATGTCAAGCAGCTGAGAAGGCGTGAGATGCCTGAATGGCTCATTGATGCACTTGAGAGAGGAATTGGCGTTCACCACGCAGGTATGAATCGAAAGTATCGCCAGATTTGCGAGATACTGTTTCGAAAGGGGTTTCTACGTGTTGTCATTGCAACCGGCACCTTGGCTTTGGGTATCAATATGCCATGCAAGACGGTCGTCTTTTCGGGAGACTCTGTATTCCTGACAGCCTTAAACTTTCGACAAGCAGCCGGCCGAGCAGGTCGTCGCGGATTTGATATTTTAGGAAATATTGTTTTTCAACACATTCCCACCGCCAAGATTCAACGACTCATCAGCTCTCGGCTTCCAGACTTGAATGGACATTTTCCTATTACGACCAGTTTGGTTCTTCGATTGTTCATTCTTCTGCATGGATCAGGCCACAGCACCTCTGCAATCAGGTCTATCAATTCGATATTGTCACAACCCCGTATTTGTCTTGGTGGACCAGAGATGAAGCAAACAGTATTACACTACCTCCGCTTCTCCATCGAATACCTGAGACGAAACCATCTCCTCGATGAGACTGGCGCTCCATTGAATTTTGCAGGCTGTATTTCGCATCTTTACTACACGGAAAGCTCAAGCTTTGCTTTTCATGCTCTGCTAATATCAGGGTACTTTGACAAGCTTTGCAAAGACTTTGGGAAGAAACAAGGGACACAACCAAAGATACTACGTACTCTGATGCTTGTTATGTGTCATCTTTTTGGCCGTGTTCAACTACGCAAATCAGTAATAGAGTCTTACCGCAGCGCGGAGAAACGGGCATCTTCTGTCGTAATCCTTCCGCCGTTACCAAAAGATGCACGTAGAATACTATATGCCCATAATACTCAAGTACTTGACATCTATACTGGGTATGTTTCCACATTTATTGACCAGCATGTCGAAGGCCATGATCGGTCCCTTCCATTCAGCGGCGTTAAGTGCGGAGGCGACGCATCGACTATCGAGCTTGGCTTATCTCAATTGCACCATCATGCTGCTCCAAAAATCACGTCTCCATTCTATGCACTTTCCGGCCAACATGACAGTTGGGACACCGTCTCTGACCTTTGCGAGTCGATCCGCAGCGATGTGTGGCTCGAGGCTTCAGTTGTGCCGTACGTACCTGTGGCTTCAGAAAGTCATCCGCTGAATGCATACCTACTCGACTTCTTCAAACATGGTAATATCAAGCAGTTGGAAAAGGCAAATCGGATTCGTCGCAGTGACATCTGGTTTCTTCTCAATGATTTCTCCATGGTTCTAGCAACCATAACCACGACTCTTGAGAACTTTCTCAACCCTCACGGCAATGATGTTGATATGGATATGCTCAATGTCAGCGGTCGCGGCGACGCAAGAGAATCTGAGACAGATGCAGTGTTCGTCGACGAGGAAGTTGCCGAAATGGGAGCAGAAGCGAATCAGCCAGATCGTCAAGAAAGAGTAGTACCAATTGTTAGTGCTAAAGGCGCCGTTCCTCGTCGTGCTGGCAAAGGCAAGGTTGCAGATAGTTGGGATGATGAGTTGATCGAAATGGTCAAAGAAGCCAATTCGAAGGAAAGAAATCCCGATCACGGCCTGAACGGACTTAAGGCAAGAAAGGATACTGACCAGTCTCGGAGAACTTCCTTGTTATCGGTATACAGGGCGTTCAACGAACTCAAGAATGAGTTTGATCACAAGTTCAAGGCGATGTGGGCGTAATATGATGCTGTTGGTCAGGCTTGATGTCAAACACTCCGTTTGCTTCCTTGATCTCACTTTCTTGTATGTAGTCACTGTCGCGAATCTCCAGGATCGAGTGTTAAACTCGTGTACATTCGCGGGTATGCAATTCCAATAAGTAGCTGTTTACGCAATCAGGAGGCCCATTTAACATGATACCGTTGTTGGTATTTGATATTTTCACCCCGCCAAGTTTGCAGTAGATTAAAAGGACCAGAAATCAGATGAGTATGAGTGGGAAGATTTCAAACTATCATAGCACAGGTGATATTGCTTTTCAAGAATATACGTGTCAACTTATTCACTCCAGCATAGACAAAAGAAGCAAGCTGCACATCAACTATAAGGCAAGACTGGAATCAACAGTCAGAATTCGATCTTGCTAAACTTTCAATTTTCGTGCCCTAATTTGGAAAGAACTTTCCTGTTTAGCTAGTATTGAAGCAAGCAGAATTTTTCAATGCAGATACCTCAACCCCTACGCAACATTCAACGGGGACATATTGCCATCACTAATAATTTCAACATCAAATAAAGATAGAATACCCTTGAATTACGTGACACCCTAAGCACACGCGCTAAAATTGTTAGCATCCATAAAGACTATAAAATCACTAGTCAGGATGGTTGCCTTGAGCGACCCCTCATTCATCTTCATCCTCAACCTCCACGCAGCTGCTCAACACATATGTAGACAAAATGTCGAAATCGAGAATCATTCAACTGGCACAACTAATCAGCTCTCAAACCTCTCTCATCGACCAAAATCTGCAAAATAACAGCCTTCCTGAACCATCATTTGATCAACATGGCCCCACAGAACCAATCCAGAACGAGACGCCAGATATTCGAAAAGCAAAGACAGATGTAATTGAAGCAACCATTGAGCTGAGGCAATTGCTCGAGGGGCCTATGAAACTTGTTCTTCCTGAGGTCTGTCTCTTATCACATACCTGTCTGTTCAACCATGCTGACCGTCAATCGAGTCCAATTTCACCCCCCTCGTAGCTATACACCGCTTCAAGATCGCATCTCACGTCCCCTTGAACTCCACCATCTCTTTCAGCGACCTAGCCACCAAATGCGGTCTGCTAGAACACGACCTCAAACGCATAATACGCTATGCAGCCATTCACCATCGTGTCTTTACCGAGCCAACAAAGGGCTTGGTAGCGCATACCGCTGCCTCACGACTCATAGCCGAAAATCCTGTTGCTGGTCATCTCCTGGGTTTGACGTTTGATGAGTGCTGGCCTGCTCATAACCATGTACTCAACTCACCTTCCCCTACTCGTTTCAAGTTGATATTCTGACGCAAAGGATAGGCGATTGAGGCAATATCCCAGCGCAGCACCTTAGCAAATATCTCAGGCTACGCAATCGCCAACAACACCGGCCCCCTAAACACATTCCAGTACCTGAGCAGACACAAAGAGCGCGCAACCCGCTTCGCGTTCGCGATGGGAACGACGTCAAAGGCCAGTTTGGACGCGCTAAGTACTCATTTCCCATGGTCTGACCTTTCAAACACCAAAGATGGTAGTAATCTTGTTGTGGATGTGGGTGGTTCAAAAGGCCACGTCTCCCTCCATCTTGCGCGGCAATACCCAGACCTGAAATTCATCGTGCAGGATTTACCGGAAGTCATCGACGGCGCTGCTGATCACCTCCTATCTCTCACTCAAGACTCTCAGGATGAAAAAGATGCAGCAGTCAAAGACAGAATCGAGTTTGCGCCTCATGACATGTTCGAAGAACAACCCGTCAAAAACGCAGACATCTATCTGCTGCGCTACGTACTCCATGATTGGGGCGATAAGTATTGCATTGATATTATCAGAAACTTAATTCCGGCGATGAAACGAGGGGCGAGGATTGTGGTTCAGGATCATGTTTTGCCGGAGCCGGGGACAATGGGTTTGTTGCAGGAGATGCAGATGCGGTATGTCTTCACCCTGAGGGCGGCTTTGTTGATTTTAAAGGCTGATTGCGTTGCAGGTCTATGGATGCTATAATGATGTCCCTGTTTAATTCGAGGGAGCGCGAGGCGGATGAATGGAAGGAACTGTTTAAGCAGGCTGACCAGAGATTTGGAGATGTAATAGTGAATAGGATTGGGCAGAATGGGTCTAGTGGTGTTATTTCTGCGGCGTGGTTGGGATAGTCCTTACACTCTTACATCGTTATAATTACGTGGGGATGAGTTTCTTTGTTGTACTTTTTGCATATAGACTGTTCCTCTTCTCTGTTAGTTCGAACCTTGGGATTTACCAGTCCACGTGATGATATTTTGACAAATTTTGAACATGATTTCTCAAAGCGAGCATATTTTTATAGACTAGGGCAAGCCACAGGAATTCTAGAAGCGACTTGCCAGGCCCAAGCTGCTAGAGAATCTACGTAGTATCAGAAGCCAAAGTGAATTGAAAAAGTAAAAGCAAATAGTTCACTATCTTATACTAATTACAAGAACAAAACGCTACATCCATATTACCGAACATCAAATCAAATGAACAAACACAAGAGAACAACAGGACAGGATTGAAGGGAATAAGAAATTAATCATCATATGCACAAAGTTTGAATACCAAATCAAATGAACCAATTACTCGTCTTCCTGATCCGCAGATTCGACACGTGCAGCCATTGGCCTAGAAGGTGTAGGAGCAGCCTCGCTTTCACCATCGGCAAAATCATCGGCTTCTTTACCATTCTCGATACTTTCTGCGTTTTGTTCGTTTGGTGAATCGTGGTTCTCGCCATTTGTCGTTTGCTCTTTGGTTGGCTTCTCATCATCTGTCTTCTTTTCGACATCGGTCTTCTCTCCATCCGCTTTCTCATCGACTTCCGGTGTTTCATTAACCTTTTCATCGACTGCTGGTGTCTTTTCTTTATTCTTTCTAGGCGTACCCAACTTCTTGGGCTTTCTAGGGGTAGAAGCTGCAGTAGCAGTGCTCTCATTTCCAGAAGCATGTATATCGCTAATGTCGCGCTTCGGTTTGGACGAAGATGCCCCGGTTTGACGCTTTTGTTCTCCATTAGTCGCTCCTGTATTTCGCTGCTCGACATCCTTGCCCCGATTTGCAGGCATTGGTGTTGACTGTCTCGATGGACGAGTATTCTTGGTTACGGGTGGTGCTCTGGCATTGGCAATCAACCTCCGGTGGTAATCATCGCCGCGTGCTGGGTGTTCGCCGAGAATACGACGAGCAGCCTCCCTGCCTACAACGGGTAGTTTCTTAACGCCGCTGACACCTTGGGGTAGTAGCTGGGGATCCAAAAGACCAACTTGAACGAGAACACTGGCTTGATCCCAGTACAAATGCTCGGTGAAGATGCGGTCCGCTTTGAGAGCGATGATAGCAACGAGGATGACCTCTACCCGTTTGTTAGTTGGTGGTACTCCTGGAAGCATCCAGGGTATCTCGACGGTGTGGTCAAAAGTGACATAAATCTCGTCGACGACGCGATCCGCGCCTACCGTACGAGATAGTAGACGTAGCTGCATTGATGGGGGCTTAGTCTGTAGGAAATCGTTTTCGTAGAATCGACGTAGTGCTTTGGCGCCGACACCACCGGCCAATGTTGGCCCAATAGTGACTGCGGGATTTTTGTGCGTGGTGTAGGTTGACATGGTATCGGACAGATTGTCACTAAAGAATTTGCCTTAATGTTGTTAATTTGAGAGTCCGGAAAAAAAGCGGCGAATAACTTACTTTCAGTGTTGATCTCCCACGGTCGTTCCAAATCGGTATCCTTTCGAAATGCCTTCCGCATCACATCCAATGTTCGCGACCAAGCCAACTCTGCCGAAGCATGATCATATTCATCCAAGTCATGCTCTGCGAAACCCGGATCCGCGAAATCGTACGTAAAGGCTGTATATGCGATATCCTTGCGTTCGCCAATTCCCACTCCCGGATCGATCCTACGCTTGGTGATACGTTTCTTGCGTCCTTGGATCCCAAGAGCCTGAGGAGTAACAACTACGTCGACGGATTCGCCTGCAAGATGTACAAGCACCTTAAGGCTAGGCGGGAAGCGAAGACGCGTATCTGGGATGGCAGTAGGATAATACGCGACTAGGGCTGTGAGTCTGGCGCCTGTGGCTGGTTTTTGGAAGTGTTCGAGGCAGTAGGCTGCAGCGTCGCCGTATGCTATTTTGTTCAGTACAGTATTCTTCCTTCCTTACATGAAAAGAACTACCTACCAATAATGGCATAAGACTCTCCAACTTTCAAACCCTCTTTAACGCTTTCCAATCGACCAGCATACTCCTTTCCGCCATCGTCTAGAGGGACATAAGTAACCTCGAACCCTTCATTTTGCCAGTTTCGGATGGTCTCAATGTCGAATTCTTCCTCTTCCGAGGTAATACATATTCTAGGAGTAGACAATTGAGAATTCAAGAAAGTGTTGTAAACGAGCCCGTTGCCAGGCGTATTGATACTGAGCAAAGCCATGCTGTTCGTATAAAACGGTCAAGGAGGCACGGAAATGGCCAGAATATAGCTCTCGCATGGAAGAATTAAGACAAAAAAAGTGTAGACTTCCATTCCGTCTGCCTCTGTTATCTGATATATTTTGGCTGGTAGAGAGCCGACGACGTCACTCGTGGGGCAGGAGCCAACGGCTGCCATGACGTAGTGGGGCCGCATATGTCATATTACCGACGTGCAGCCAATCGGAGTGCTTTATTTCCACTTCCCCTGTCTATTTTCTGCCTCAAGATTTAGGCATCAATCACCGGTCGTTCCTTCCTCATCTAGATCCTTCCTCTACCTATTCGAGCTCATCGTCAACATATCTTTATTCCTCTGATCTATGCTATCAACAATAAAGTCTTCGCCATTCTACATCACGTCTACCATGCAAGCTTTGCGAGTATACCCCCAGGGTAGCGTCTAACAGCAGCTTTCCTCCCCTCATCTAAAATCAACAGTCCCAGTCCAAACGCCGCAGGCAGGAAGTAGTGCTGAACTGGTACGCCAGTAGTATTGAGCACGTTTTGCAGGCTCGGGATATAGAGCCAGAATGCAGCAATGCCTAATGCAAAGATGATTGCGGGAAACAATAGCAGATTCTGAGTCTCTTTATTGAACGCGGGTGGGTGAGAGAAGATGGAAAGTCGGCGGGTTCGGATGGCCATCAGATTGAACCATTGCCTAGAATTGTCAGTACCAATTGCATATATGCCGATGATTGGGAACTCACATGACGACCAAGTTGATGAAATATATTGATGACGCCTCATTCAGCATATTATTGTAATAATCCGGATCGATACCATCCGGGACAGCGCCGAATCCAAACCAGAGCGACGAAAACGGTATGCCGTTGCGTTCTAGATACCAATACGACATGGAGAAAGAGCAGACCGTTTGGATAATACCAATCACACCATATGCGTGGAACATTAGCTTCCAGTCAACCAGCTTATCCTTGCGCGGGTTGCGGGGTGGTCGTAACAGAACGTCGGCTTCTGGTTTTTCATATGCCAGCACGGTGGCAGCCGCGCAATCGGTGAAACAGCAAATGACAATCATCAGGAAAGAGGAGAGAACCTGTGGCAGGCCGAAGACGACATTTGTGAAAACGGGCCAGAATTCAGAGAATGATCCCGCGGGCAGCAGGTAAATAATTGTCTTTTTCAGGTTGTCAAAGACCACACGGCCATATTGTACGGCTTCAACGATCGCAGAGAATGAGTCGAGGAGAACCATATCGGCTGCTTCAATAGCAATGTCCGATCCGCTGCCCAGGGCAATGCCGATATCAGCTGCTTTGAGAGAGGGCGCATCGTTGACGCCATCGCCTGTCATGCCCACGATCTCTTCACGAGACTGAAATTCGCGCACGATGCGGAGTTTTTGCTCGGGTGTTGTGCGCGCAAATACAATCTCCTGATATCCGCACAGCTGATCCCATTGCGTGTCGTTTAGGCTGAGAAGATCAGAGCCACTAATGACAATTGCCGTTGTCGAATGCTCTTTATTGACGGCCGTGTCGCTTCCACTGGCATATCGTTGCAAAGCGGTAGCATCATCAACGCGGCCAGCCGAAACAATCCCACATTGACGTGCAATAGCCAGTGCTGTCAGTCCGAAATCACCAGTCACCATAAAAATACGGATACCTGCACGTCTCAAGGTCTTGACCACTGCTGGAATTTCCTCACGAGGCGGATCAACAATGCCCACCAAGCCGACAAGAATCAAATCAGACTTGGCCTGCCGCATGATTTCTGACTCGTATTCATGACTGCCAGGAGTTGTCATGATATCCTCAGCGACGATGACCTTGCGCGCGAGTAATATTACTCGTTTACCTTGGTTCGACCAGTCATCTTTGATGCCTTTGATTTGCCGCAAGGTCTCTGCATCAAGAGTTTGCACACTACCATCGGCCGTTACAACACGTCCACACCGTTCAATCAGAATATCAGGAGCTCCTTTGATCGTCAATAGGGTGTCCTCTGATTTGAACTTCATAGACTCTGCCGGCGACAACGCCAATCCCAACCCTTTGGATTCTGCGACCGTGAATGTACGAATCATAAACTTATTCCGGCTGTTGAACGCAAGTTCCCAGGTTTTCTTCCACAAACGACGCATTTCAGAAACGGAGCCAAGAAGTTCTGAAAATCGAAGAATGGCTTGATCTGTCGCATCACCAAAGATTGGTCTTTCGTTGAGTGGCATGTTCTCGGCCGCAGCATCAAATTCGGCCGCATTACATAGCCCAGATAAGGCGCGAAGTTGGTGTACGCCGGTCGACTTGCCCTTGAGTATACTCTCATCTCGGGCAATCATCGGGCTGTTGAAGACCGTTGTTGAAATTGTGCAGTCGGTGACGAACATTTTGTTCTAAACTCTGTCAGTCAAAATCACGTAACGGTCGCTTGTATGAGGACTCACTCGAGTAAGTGTCCCGGTCTTGTCACTACAAATGACACTGACGCTTCCCAAGGTCTCCACAGTCTTCAGCGATTTGCACAATATCTGATTTTTCCTCATAATGTTGGCTGTAATTGTCAGACTCGCTGTAATGCTAATAGGGAGACCTTCTGGAATGAACGCGATGGCCACGCTGACACAATCCACGATCAGAGTTGGCACATTAATCCAATCAGGGTGATCCTTTCGCAACCATGCCGCCCAAACAATAATGACCACGATAATCATGGTCAACATAATTGCCACGATCAACGCAACGAATCGCAACACTTCTTTCTCAAGCAGAGTTAAACCTGGTTTGGGTTCACTCGCTAGTTTTGCGATACGACCAAAGACGGTGTTGTCACCCGTTGAGACGACGATTGCGAGCGCACTACCGGATACGCAATGCGTGCCTTGAAGACCCACGTTTTGTGTTTCGAGATAGTTTTCTTCCGTGGCGTCGATTGTGCCGTTGACAGGGACGGATTCACCTATCCCTATTAGCCATAATCCTCAATACGCAAGACATAGGTAAGTACCAGTAAGTATAGACCTATCGAAACAGGCATCATTCGAAACTTGCACAAACCTCACATCAGCAGGCAACTTGTTCCCGGCTTTTATTTGAATGACATCTCCAGGCACGATCTCTGCAGCTGGAATATTCACTTGATTCCCAGCGTTTCGTACAACAGTACAATTCTCAGGTAACATGGCCGTAATCGAAGCCATGACCCTGGACGAGGACCAATCCTGCCATGCGTTGAAGCCCGCTTGGATGAAAAACACGGCGAGCAAGACAATCGCCAATGCCAAATTTGCAACTGCGGGAGGGTCACCGAGGGGTTTCCACGAGACGAACACCAGAATACAACCGATAAGTAGGATTATACCGAAGCCCTTGAAGAAGTAGCCGAAGATTTGCTTGAACCAGTGATGCGGTGCGGGTGACAGAACGTTTTTACCGTATTCACGGAGGCGTTGTTGGGTTTGGTCTGAAGAGAGACCATGGCCGATATCCACCTCGAACCTTTTTTCGAGCGAGGTGGTGGAGAGGGTGTGCCACTCGATGTTTGACAGTTCTGATATCTGTCAATATCGGGTTAATCATGTGTGGGTATAAGGGAGTATACCATTAGCGATCCCATCATTTTTGGCCTTGATTTCCTCCCGTTGTCTGACTTCATCGATCTCAAACGACCTTCCCTCAATTAGTACCGTTCTATCCCTTCCTTGTGGTGAATGACTTACACGCTCCGATAATGAATCGGTAACGTAACGGCGGGGKCAATAGTCGCTCGTCGATTCGCTCTTGTCGACGCTGCAGACGACGCCGTCGAAAGGGTGCGAGTTAGCTGCTGGCGTTGTGGGAAATCACCAGTCTCTTCGTCTACAGMCTGCCATTTGAGTCGTTGATTATTAGTGCCTTTGTCTGCGGCGGCTTCGTCCTTTCCGTCCGCCATTGCGATTACACGATCGCGAAATTCCGCTGAACCACGACTGTGGGAGAAACAAACGAAACGAGGATAGACAGAGATCCTTTAAAATCTAACAATCAACCTGGATCCTAGGCGATAGAGTCCTGACCTTTATACCCCGATCCTCCAGTAAAGAGTACTCTTACCAACCTACGCACTAAGAAGAACGAATAAATCGCTCAGGAAGCTACTTGAGAAGACGAAATATCACTCATACTAAAGACCAAAAACTCAAAACCAGCAAGCGCTACAGAAACAGACTACCACCATAATATTACATTGACTAATTTATTTGATGACAACTGCCATCTAACATCTACCGTTTGCACATGGCAAAACGCGTCGAGCTATGCAGGTGGGGTGGATGGCAGTGCACATGGCAGTAGCATTCGCCAAGTCGCATGAGCACTGCGATTCTGAATATGAGTGATTTATATCCGCCTATATGATCCATTCCAATAAATCTATAGATCACAGGAAATAATGGTAGTGTCAATCGTGAACGTGGAGATTTTCAGCTAGTTACTACGTAGCTAACGTAGGGAAAAGAAAGGGTCGAGCGATATGGATGCTGTTGAGAGGACGTCAAAAATCGCGCATAGTTAGATAGTTTGAGAGATCGAGTGGTAGAATCACTGCCATTCCCAAATGGGGAAAATCGACGGAAGAGCTGTTTTTGGAAGGAATAGACGAAATAGCTACCGAGTTGATATTATTTTATTTAGCTTTCTTTTAGTCAAGAAAGCTTTGATTGAATTACATAAAAAATATCATGTTTGAAGTTATTGTGTTGGGAATAATTATTATATTTCCACAAAAGACACTTGACCCTCCACATGCGGCTTTTTTCTCTCTTCCCAATTTTGTTCGAATTAGGGCTTGCTGGTCACGACACGCACATCACCCCAGCCCTATTCTTTCATAGCCGCAGCACACATCTTCTCGAATTCTTCTACGTCTCTAGTATCGACTTGACAACAAATCATCATTTTCTTCAATACACTAATAATCCATAGCGCATCGAAAGAGAATCAACCGCAAACAAAACACTCATGCAAGACCTACTAAAACATTGAACCAACCCACGAACAACCAAAACAGGATGCATCAAACCCAAGAACGAAAACGAAGAACGCCCGCACCTTTTTCATAAATCGAACACAGAATTATAAACTCATAGGATGGAACAGGTTAAGAAATACTAGGTAGCCCATGAACCGTCTCAATCTTGACATCTGCCGAGTTCCTATCGTCGTTTCCGCGTGGTCGTTTCCATGGATATGAATCTTCCGGCCTGTAGTGATCCCTATTATTGCTGTTTTGACTGCTATTATGGTTGCTATTGTTGATTGTGTCCGGATGCGCGTGTTTGCGCATACCGAGGCCCGCGACGGCGATACGGTTCAATTGTCCCAGATCCTCATTCGTAGTATTTGATGGCGCGGTAGATGGTTGATGCGGATGTTGATGCGGTGCCAAGGGCGGGATTTGCGTTGGTGCTGCCGCTAATGTGTGTTGCTGCTGCTGTCTTTGCTGCTGTTGAGTTTGTGGCTGCTGTTGTTGCGGCGGCGCTATCGACACAGACGGCGGCGACGACTCCGGGTGTTGATGCGAGTCCGCGAGCGGCGGCTCAGGCCGTGGTTGCGTCAAATCGATATTGTCCGGTAGCGCGGGAACCTCATTTTGAGAGTCGATCAGACGCGACTGCAAGCTGATGATGTATTCGCGGAGCTGGTAGTTTTCGGCTTGAAGGGCTTTGTAGCTTTCGCTGAGGACTTTGTAGTCTTTTACTTGTGCTTCGAGTTGGCGGATGTAGCCTTCTTTTCGTTGGCGAAATGCTCTCTATACATTGTCAGTTTTGTCAGTGATGCAGGTCATAAGAGGACAAACTTGAGCTGCGCGATTCTGTTCGGCGCGTTTCGACGTTGATAGTTCACGTTTGCCATATGTTTTCCGCGAAGCGTCGCTGCCGGCAGCTTCTTGTACGCCGGCCATGACCTGTGGCAGCACAAGCGACGATGTCTGCGTGTTAGGGGCTAGCATTGCGCCTCCTGAGATTGCAGGATCTATGTTGTGGCCCTGTTGCGAGGTCGGTTGTCGCGATTCTTGACCTTGTGATTGGAGATGTTGTTGTGCAGCTAAAAGCTGGTCATGGAGAACTGCGACGAGTTAGATATGCAATAAATCGTAGCATAGATGATGCCTGTTAGGGTTACAGGTACCATCTATCATTAGTCGTATTGAGTATAGACTTACCCTGGTCAGCATGATCCTATGACAGGGTTAGCATTGGTACTGATAATACGCGGGGAGCAAGCGCGACATGACAAGCAGTGACAACATGCAAGCATTACCCCATACAAGAGTAACCCGTACATGGATCAAAGCTTCGTTTCATAGTTCTTGAGGCGGATCGTGATGACAAAGATAGAGGGTCTGCTTACCTGAGCAGAGGAGCTCTGCTGCATACTGGGATGCGGCGCTAGTGCGGGCTGCATCAAGTACAAGCTCTAGGAAGTTCCGGACTCGAGATGTAGATAATTCGCAGGTTGTAGAGATGAAGCGAAATCAAGGCGACAGAAATACCGCTAAGCTTGTCAAATTTGATTGTTGTCGCGAGCGCAAAAGCAGAGGAATTGTTGTGTTATGAGTCCTCTGTCGAACGTAGGGCGGGAACGGCGATTGGTCGGAACTAGCTGCTGTAGTAATAGCTCAAGGTATGGCGCATACAATACGCGTTGGTCGAGTCGATGCAAATTCAATAGTGTCTATTTGCGAGAGATCGTCAAATATTTAGAACAATCAGTGAGTAAATCGACTTTGGGCGCTGAGTGCATGCAAAGCATGTATAGAAACTGGTTAGGCTGGATTAAGTAAGTAGAGGGCAGATGCGAGAGAGAAAAGAGAAGATCTCGTAAGCAAGAGAAAATGGTCGGAGTGGCTGGGGACATGCCGCCCATTAATAATCCGCCCGCCGGCGCCGGGTGCGGTTAGCTTCGTATTTGGTATTGTGCATTGTACGGTGTACTGTATATGGTCTCAGCTTGTTGCTTACGCTGCTTACATGGTAGGTAGCCTTGTAGAGCACAGAGCTACGACGGCGAAAATAATGTTGATGATTAATTAAATAACCGAGCGTGAGACACCTTATTTTGCCTCTTATACCAAGAACCTATCGAAAAGTTGACATACACCACCAACGTCGTTCCCCGAGTTCTGTAGGTAAGCACCTACAAAGCATCAATACACAAATACCGCTAATCCGTATATCGCCGGATGAGTAATCACCCTCCGAAGCTCCGAGATTTTCTTAGTGTGCGGAATACGGGGTACGAGTACGGAGTACGATCTTGTATTCAGAATATAAATACATAGGTGCCGGGCGATCCGGCTGCAGTGTTCACCTGTCGAGTCTCTCCTCTTGATTAGGTGAGGTGAGAGCATGGAGTAATGTAGATACCTAGCAGAACACTCACACTACTCTTTTGTCGCAACAAAGGAATATGTCGAAGGAGTCTGTAATTGCTGAATGAAGGAATTATGTCATGTATAAATAACAGCACGAGCATAACCCGATTACGTAACGCTGTTATCGGATACGGTCTCCATTCCGCCGTCCAGATCCGGTACATACGTACACACTGAGCATAAATTTCAGCTCTCGGTACGGAGTACACAAGAGGCGGAGGCCCGCACGGAGTACTACAAGCTTTCCTGCTCAACCTCTCCTATCAACACACTTTAATTCAGGAGTCAACCTCGCGAGACGTTCCAGACTAGGAAATCCATGACTCCAAGGAAAAACCATCGCCTGACTAATCTGAACCTTTGAGAGGACCCGTATGGCGTGATTACTTAATGCATATTAATCATTTGCATCGCGTTAAATCCGTAAGTCCGAATACGGTCGGGTACTTTACCATACACCGATGCATCGATACGTCAATACGGACGTGTTTGAGGGTTTGTGTAGGCCAAATGTGGTAATTCATTTAAGTTATACTCCATGGAGGCTAGCAAGTTCTCAAGTACGGGGGTATACTTCGGCCGAAATCTAGCTACCTACGTAGCTGAAATATTATGGAGGTTGGTGGGATTATATGCTGTAGGGTAGGTTTCACTGTTATTGAGATAGTAGATATAGTACAATGATACAGATCATGTCTAAACACTGCTGATATTCCCCAAGTCGTGTTCCTGTAGACGTAGATTAGCAACCACCGCAACAAAAAAAAAGGGCAAGGGAATGACTACCTTCAAATATTCACTCCCCTTCTCCTGATACTCCGCCCTCGAAATCGACCAAGTCGCCAACTCCGACCCAGTCGCCGCCCACTGCGCAGCTCCCTTCCAAGCATCCAGCACCGGATCCGCGGCCCGCCTAACAGACAAGCGCGCATTAGTAGGCAACACCCCCACCAACTCGCTGCGTAACCGTTCATCAAAGCCTTTGAAGAGCGTATTTCCGCCGGTCAAAAACACATCTTTTAGCAGTCGCGTGCGGTCTTCTTCGCTGGTGAATCGTTGGTTCAAGATGTCGGCTGCGATTTCGACGAGACCCGCTTGGTCAACGCCTGCTATTGAGGGCTGAAAGACTACTTCGGGGACGCGAATCCTTTCAACGTTCAAATGGATTTGGTGCGCTTCGCGTTGGCTCTCGGGATCAAATGGCCACGGTCCACGTAGGAAAACGTGGACTAGGCTTTTGGTCCAGTCTGATTGTGCGTCTAGAGTGTGTTCGTGCGTAAATTCAGGGTCGTACTGGAGTAGTTGTTCTTCAAGGGTCTTGAGCGTCACGCCCAAGTCTTCTTCCTCTTCGTCGTCGCTCTGTTCGCCCGTGGCGACCTGTCGGTATACACCCCAATCGTTATCGTCAGCACCAAAATCATCATCGTCACCGCCTCGTCGTCGCTTTTTGGGTCCCTCTGCTGCTAGGTTTGCCAAAGTCTTCATGCGCATTTGACTGGCGAGCGACTTGCGATTTCCAAGATCTGCCTTGAGACGCTCCCGCTCTTTAATCTTTTGTAGTAAGGCGTCACGGGCAGCACGTCTTTCGCCGATCCAGGCTTCAAAGTCGTTCTCGCGTCGCTCTTCGTCTAGTCTTTGCTCTTCCTCAACGCGAGCTTTTTCAGCCTCTTTCTCAGCTTTAGCGCGTTGGCGCGCTTCCATATTGGACTTCATTAACCGCTGGTGGCGTTTTTCCTTGAGACCAGCCTCATCCAATTCTTCGTCAGGGATATCAAGCATAGGAAAGGTCGCTTCTTCTGGATTCTCCTCGGTTTCATCAATGCCCAGGTCCTTATTTCGTGAACGTTTGATAGACCGTTCCAGATCCCGGATTGTGCGATCAAGGTGCGCCTCGTCTTTCATATCTTCAGCCTCCAATAGCCGCCGGGTCTCCTTTTTGGTTTGCGACGGTAGCTTCTGCTGTAGATCCTTGTAGTACTCCAGCTCTTGTTCCTTTTTCATCAACTTCTCCAATCGCATCTTTGCAGCTTGCTCTTGTAGACGTCGCCCACTTTCTTTCTTCCGTTCCGCAATCTTGTCGAGCTCTTCTTGAGTCTTTTCGACGACAACGTGCTCTGTGAACGGATACTGGACGACATAGTCCCGGTCTTCGAGACCCGTCCAATCCAAGAAATGGCTTAGCTCCTCGTTGTAGTCTGTAGACACGTAGCAGAGTTTGTGTACCAGGTCCTCCATTTGGTGCTCGATCATTCGTGCCGGGAATGTCGGATATTTGAGTCGCATGAGTTTCAACAAGTATTCCGACGCTTGTAATCCACCCCAGTTCAGTCGTGTCGCGTTTGATAGTAGTGCTTTCGAATTGAGTACCGGAACCACGTGTGTCGACGTATGCGATGACGAAACAATCAATCCATCTTTTCCACCATTGTATCGATACGAAAACAGCGAATCGATTCCGTACGCGACGGACGGGACACCGTAGCACTCAAACATAATCTCGTTCATCACTTAACCGTTAGCTACGTCCTTACCAGCTTCGTGTCGTCTACTTACTGCGTCGCGGATACGTCAAATTCGCAATAGGCTCCGTCATGACAATTGGTCTATCAACCGAACCCTCTGAGCCATCCACACCAAGTTTCAGGAAGACGTAATCCAAGACACCCTCCATGACATCCCAGTTTCCGACCACGCTGGTACCAGGATCAAAGGCATATCGCAACTGTCCTCGCGTCGTGGCATCGACATACGCATCGTAGCCGATGAATTGGCAGGCTTTATTCAGTTTCCGGTCTCGGTATCGGCTCATCACGGGTGGTAGAACGAATCGGGGGGATTTATCGAATGACCATCCTGCTTTGACGGTGTGGGAGCCTAAGAACATCGTTCATTAGTTTCAGACTCTTTTTGACAGTTGAGAACTTTGTAATCCACACCATTATCAATCACGATCGCGCTCGAACTCGGAGATGACCTGCTCTGCTCATAGCCATCGGGTTGAGGGGGACGGTAACCCTTGAATGGGTATTCTTGGACATTGTAGATTTTCGGAGGCGGTTTTGGTGAGTCTTTGTGACTTGAGCCGCTTGCGCGCGTAGAGGTTATAATTCGCTCTGAAATGATGGTCATTTTGTCTCAAGCTCTCGCTAGAGAGCGTGTTGGGGAGGAGGTTCAAGAAGCGGAATGAAGTTAAGCCTGGGGCATCATTTTTGAGTGTCGCATGTAGTTCGCTGAACGGATTGTAGATACTCTGATTTTTAAAGTTCCAGATGAGAATTTTGCAAAATACGGCGAAATGGATGCAGTGTTTTTTTGAAGGTGGTCTTAAGGAGAGGCAATGTAGCAGGATGTTGAATTCTTTGAAGGTTCCGGAGCTGGTCAGAAAGCTAAGATTCATCCCGACATCGCCAAGACCATGATTTCATTGGATCGCGCCTAAGTAGATATATCCATCCTATAACTACGACGAATTGTATGCTTGAAAGGCATTTATGGCCATTTATATTGTGCTGTCGGATTTCATGGGTATTTCTAATGCATCATAAATCATAATTCAAAAATTCCTTCATGCTCCTAGGTCCATCTCAAGAAGGATCCTTAATATTCTCCGTTGCTATATAAACAATTCATTAGCATATTCCCAACAATTGGCTTTCTTTACATTCACATGGCGGAATAGAAGACTAACCTTCAAGGTGAAATAGGACGTTGGACTGGTAGTTCTTGAACATCTGCGCCACCAATTCAACATTCATGTTTTGGACGTTGACTTCCTGAATGGACTTAGCATAAGACTTGTTAAACGCTCAAGGTGACAAAGACGAACCTGGAGACTCTTGTTCAAGATCATGACAGCTTCATTGAGCTTTTCCTATCATCGTGTAAGCACTTTTTGTAGTTGTATTGTGGCATGTTTACATACAATGTTGGTGATGATTCGGGAGAGTAGTAAACTCTGTTGGTGCTCGTGTGGACTCTCCTATTGATATCATTAGTATAATTCGTTTCTGCTAACTTACAAAGGGCAGTCTCCTCACCATATTGCGTAATCAGTCTGTAGTCCGATGGTTGATTGTTATGGTGATGCCGCCAAGAATACGCGATAAAGAAAGCTCTCCAGCGATGCGAACACGTGATTCGTCCGACATTGGCGACCATCATCCATCATCAACCTCACCTTCTCAACAGCTACAACTACCTGCAAAAGCTTCACTACGTCTTACAAAATTATCACCTACAAAAGTCATCATGCCTCCCGCAAACGCCACTACCGAAGAGCACCAAGAGCTGCTCGACACTCTCGACATCGCAACCCTCCCCCGACCCTTTCGCAACTCACACTGGAAACCCTCTCAACGCCGCAACAAAAACGTCAAACAATTACTATCCGAATCCTCACGCAAAGAAGCCTCTTCAATGGCCACCCAAGTCAACTCCGGCGCCACCACGCCCTTCGCCGTCAGCACCACGGACGGCTCGCAAACCCCCGTTGTCGCGACAGGTGCATCTACGCGTGCCCCCAACATTGCACAGGCAGCTCAGAGTTTGTCTACACTCGTCCTAGAGAAGAACCTCAGAGCTGCGAATCCTTCTGGCTACACGGGCGGTCCGGCTGTTACGTATACGAATATTGAGTCTGCGCCGTCGTTGAGCCCGGCTCATCAGCATCGGTACTGTGATCTTACAGGTTTGCCGGCACCGTATACGGATCCGAAGACGAGGTTACGTTATCACAATCGAGAGGTGTTTGGGGTTGTGAGGACGTTGGGCCAGGGTGTTGCGGAGAATTTCTTGGAGGCTAGAGGTGCACATGTCGTGCTGAAGTAGATCAGTACTTCGACAGTGTTCTTCCTCAAATCAGATACTAAATCTCTAATTACTTGGCCGGAGCGTAAGTCAAGCACCATGTTATTTTGATTGAATTATTCTAATGCTACGCAGCTTTCGATAGACATGTCAGGCCAACAAAGTCAAGCCCTTTCCACCCACCTGCCCCTCTCGAGACAGGTTCAAAGAAAACGCTCCGGCTTAATCGTGACCATTCAAATAGACGGTTAATCTTCGCCTGGTCCAGGAGAACCAATACAACCGATACCGACATTCCATGGGAAGGTTCATCAGTTACAGTGTCAAGTGACGCTGTTGGTTGTGGCGGGKTGGTTGTGTGATGCACGTTTGCGTGTAGGAATAACGAGTGGTGGAAAAGTTAGCAAAGAGAGAGTAGTAATAATTCAAGAATCAATCATTATAATTCCGAAGAATATCACTGCATATCAACTGTGTCCCTTTCGTAGAACTTGGTGGTGTAATCGTTTTGACCAACATTGGTGTTTAGAGATTGTTGACAAAAAATGGAGAAGAAAAGTTGTGTACGCGGAAATCACTGCTTTTAGGCTTCGCGCGCCAAGACCGTCGCTCTGTATATTCGTGGAAATACGAAATCCGCGTGTATATAGTATATATACTGGTCTATCTCCATAATATCTCCTGCCACTTTCGAACATTGGTACTTACTCCTTGTAATGTTCGGCTGGTGAGTAGAGTAAATGCTCACGGTGAATTGAAGACGGGTATCATTTTATTCTTCAAGGATAAATAGATTTGCACATCCAAACTTCATTTTAATGACATTGATTGAAATATATATCAAGACGAATCCAGAGAAATTGTTATTTTATCAGCATCAAAACATTGGGACTACCTACTTCATGCAAGTACATCAATATCTACGTGTACAAGCTCAACGGTTTACATGGCTAGATCATTCAACTCAACCATCTCCCCAATTGTCGTATCAACATACTCCCTCTGCTCCTTCAAAAACTCCTTCATCCCCTTCGTATCAAACTCCAACAACGCCCTCTTCCGCTCTCTCACCTTTTTGAGCTGCTCCCTTATCCGCTCCTCGAGGATTTCGAGCCTATACTCACTATACTGCATATACAGCTCCGGAAGATGACTGATAGGCCTCATACCAACGAGAATCGTCTCGTCCTTGACGAAAGCAGACTTGGGGCGGAAGGATGCTATCATTGCGATTCGCTCTGTGCCGCCGCGTGCTTTGAGGGCTTGGTGTTCGATGTAGCGGCCTTGCATTAGGACGGCGCAGCCCTAAGAACCCTGTCATTGGATTGTCGTGACCTCGTGGAATAAGGAGATACATACCTGCGTTGGTCCACGGACTTTCATTACCTGATCCTCACCCAATCGAACGGCGGTTTCACCACCCACCATGCCAGTGCAATCAGATAACATTGTAACGCAGACGAAAGGGACGCTGTCGTAGTGCCATGCAAATGCAGTTTCGTCTTCATCCTCCCCCATCTTGACTATAGAAGTGCTGTCGTCAATGGAGACGTTGGTATGACCTGTCTCGTATTCAAAGATAGGGATAAGCTCTATACCCGCGAGTTTGGAGACAATTTCGAGGACTTTGGGATTGTTCCAAATGGAATGGATGAATGGCGCATTCCTGGTCATGCCACTCTTTAGCAACATGGTAAACATTGGACGGGAGAAAGAAAACTTACCTTGCACCATAACCCCTGAGCATATTCGACGCAAAATCAGACATAACATGATGATTTTCCAGAATCTCTGGCGTGAACAGCTCTGCTCGTATCTGCTCAATAGCCTCGGGGGTAAACAAGGAAAAGGGAGTGGTGAGGGCAATAGGTGATATGCCTGCGCCTTCACGGCCAATTTCTTTCATGCTATAGATCTTCTCTGGGTTTACGAAGTTGAGATGTGTGTCGGGGTCGAAACGCTGGGCTCTAGGGACATTTTTCGTTGTGTCAATTAGGGACTGGGGGAGTGTTTTGGTGGCCTTTGTTCTCTGCTTTTGGCGAGGGCCGACAACGATGGGTGCGATGGCAATGGCCATTGTGGGTTAGGAGCGTTTGTCGTTATTATGGAATGTATACTGTACAAAGATTGTAGCTCATTAACAGACTTGGATTTTACAGGTTTATTTATGTTCGACATGTCCTTTCCTCGACCATATTGGATCATCAACATTCCTCAGTAAATGTTTCACTTGCCTTGCAGAGAAGGTCCAAAAATGAGATAGTAAGCCTGATAAGCCATGAGGAAAGCACTTTCCGAAGACCCGGTAATAGGCAAGATAAGGCAAAGCCAGATTTCTTGTGACAATCCACCACACCGGAGACTACTTGCCTTAGACTCTACCTCTTGGAGCATACATAATTTAAAGGATTCTTATGACAGGATCAATATACATTTAGTCTTAGGGACGCTCACTTCAAGCAGGTTGCCGATGCGGCGGGAGACGACGAGGGACAAGTTGCTTGTACATTATCTCACTATAAACGATGCTCATATACAATACTGTCCTTGAAATAGTAATCTAGCATGAATATTAAATGGTATTTCCATTATCAAGCCGTCAGGACCCGCGCTACAAAAGATGCATTTCCGAAATAGGACATACTCGATTTTTGCCTAATCGGGCCAATCTATCCATTTTAGGGTTAGGTAAGGTTCGACAACCACATCCACTCATAAGACAGTCATTTATCTTCGAAAAGAAACCATATGCAGATTTTCTTCCTTTCAAATATCAAGACACAATGGATGAAAAGAAATGGCAAGACAACGAACAAAGTACACCACATCGTGGCGTCACAGATAATGCGAGTTGGAATCAAGCTAACGGACTTGACCTTCCCCTTTGATATTCTATCGACAAAATGAACCACTCCGTGGCTGTCTTATTAGTAGACTCTATCTGGGCGTTTAATTTCCTATTCAGGGATGTGTTTGCATCCTGGCTTTTACGATTTATTGGCTTGGATGTGTAATATTTGGAAAAGGGCGTGATGACACGATTACATAAAGACATAAGGGAACTCTCGCATCGAGATGATATTACGATTATCTAGAAGGTAGCTGTAGGTCTAAAACAATCGTTTTCAAGTGGCAGGTACATTCAGTTTGTTCATTTGTGTCATTAATACCTAATATTCTAAGGGAAATATATACAAATCTAAACTTGCTAGCACAAAATAAGAAGAAAGCAGCTGAAATAAAGTTACATTCTCATCAACGAGTATAGGTATACTTTATTAACTAATCATCAAGCCATCCAGCATATTACTTTCCCTCAAAACCACCGGCCAACTCAAATGGCGATTGTTTCGTCGATCTCGAGTAGTCCATACCTCCACTGTAGCCTGACTCGCCATCTCAAACATACGTATCCCCGTACGCGCAGCTTCAATAACGAAAAGCTCTTTGACTCGTTTTCGTGTTGATGGGTTTAGTGCCTCGCAGCCAGCGATGAATAATGGCCAGCATATATCCGAGGATGGATCGTGAGTCTCTTGTCGCAGTTCTGTACACCGTGATAAAGATTTGATTGCTTTGTCGACAAGTTGTTGGATTAATAAGGGATCGATGTTGCGGACACAGCGGTAGAAGTAGATCAGGACCGCAGAGTGCATTGCATCGATGTAATGGGTTAGTGGTGATTCGGTAGCGTAATTTGCAGGGTCTGATATTCCTGGTGAAGAAAATGGAGATTCATGTAGGCAAGTTGTAGAAGTCGGTGATGGACTGTTATTTGGATTACTATTCCAGTCCCAAATCTCAGTTTCCAGTTCGTTAATTCTATCTGGCAGCAATGACGAATTGGTGTGCGGCTCATTGATGCCCCGTTCTTCGATCTCATTTATCAGAGCCGTAACACGCGATATCAATCCAAATAAGGAGGGTGCGATAGAAAATACACGCTCAAATAATGTTGGAATGCCGCTGCCATTACTGCAGAGATAGGTGTCTGGTATTGAGCTCGATGTTTCAAATGAAGGGAGTTGTCTTGTACGTGACGACGGGAAGTGAATAAGGTTTTCACGACTGAAAACCCCCACAGTATCTTGCATAGTTTGTATATAATAGAATATGTTCTGCAAAGTCCGTAGAGTCGTCGAAATGCGACTTAGCTGCACTCCATATATCGCAATCAAACGATTGATTTCTCGAAGGTAAATATAAGTATCGGCCAATTGTGCGCTTACAACCTGTATATTTAAATAATGTTAGTGCTTCGATTAAAAAAAGGAACAGACCTAAGAGAAGCTTACGCAGATAGTATACATGCTTGTCAAGGCAAGTATGGTATCCGCAACCTGCTCAGCTGGCATAGCCACTGAGAGCTTAGCCAAAGACAACCGGATTCGTCTCCTAGCTCGAAGTCTGTACTCTTCACCGAGCACCATCCACTTTGGATCATAATTTTCAGTATTCCGTGTTTGCTCGTGTAAATGAAAGGCACTCGCACCCAAGACGGCAAAGAAAAGGCCCATCTTGGCATGGGTCACTTCTCCTGAGATCATAGCCTCGCCCAGTACCTCGTGAACTTTCGGTACGTGGATAAATTCCCATGGAGATGTGTGGTACTTCCGAACCGGAAGAAAACTGGTTATGAGACTATTCCGGTAACGATCAAGGAGATAACCGATAGACTTCATATCGAGATCTGAGAAATCTGTAGCAAATGTCGTTGGCATTGAGAGGATCGAGCTATTAATATTCTCATTAGTAGTAGCCAAGTGACTTGAAAAATATTCATCAGATTCTTGAATGAACAGGTCAAGAAAGTCTTCCTGACTTGCTTCCGGTAAAACTTGATCATCTTCCCAAAATTTGGGATCCAGGTCAAATCCTTGGTATTTATCCACACCAAGGACCAAATTCACATCACTCAGATCAGCACCTTCGGCCAATTCTGATGTTGCCTTGAAATCATCACGGATCCCGGATATGATTTGCTCGGTTTCCGTTTTGTCGTTATTTCTCATGCGGAAAACACTGAAAGGACCACGGCTGAAAGTTGTAGTCTTCACATTGAAACTTTGAACGTCAATTTGCTCCAGAATCACATCAAGAGAAGCATTTGATGTTGATGATATAATCTGTGCAGTGTGCTTAGCACGTTCAACATCTTTCGTAGTACGAGAGTGGTTAGATACGTCCAGAATACGATTTCCCTAGGAGAAGTCGACTCACCAGACAGTAAAGAGTCTCTTCCGGAGCTAAACTTAAACCCTCGATCGTGCAGCCCATCTTCAGGATTGATGCTGTAGCCCGAGAATTCATTGAATCCTGAATGAAGCCAAACAAACTCAGACTTCCGTTCAGGAGTCAAGCATGAACGGTTGAGTTTGATGCAAGTAGAACACCGTGGCAGCAGACGATCGCACTTGGCCTGCCATATCTTCAGCACATAACGACTTTTAAGCACCAACGAAGGGATGAATACCAACCTTTCGTGAGCGGCATGTCAGACACGAGAGTCGCCGAGACATTTCGACGCCGAGCTCTCATACTGTCGAGGTCTCACCAATGGATGGGTGGTGACCTTCCAATATGAAGCCAGCAGCCCCACACCAATGTCCCTGTCAGAGAGGGAAACTCCTAAATTAGAAAGAGGTGTAGGATTCAAGTCGCCTCATTTTGATCTCATCTTGTGAGATTTTAGTATTTTGGCGCCCCTCACGCGGGGACGTCCATCGGGATTGACCTGCCAAATCTGGACGGCCAGCCCTTATCGATATCGCGCTTATCGGGACGAGTCTATTGGATGGCTGGATGAAGTAAATCCTTCAACATGCTGATATTCATTTGAAACCGCTTTACTGCGGTATCGAACAGTTCTCATCATAGTAATAAAGGTCAATATGATACGAGCAACAAATGAGATGAACAGAGCCGCATTCCAAGCATTAAAGCGGTATTACGCTATGCTTAACAAGGTTAGAAGAGATCTAAGCCCTAAGTCTGACCGCCAACCGCAAACAGTTAGGCGCGATGCGGCGTGTGTTCCTTCCGCTTTTGAAAATCGTGGCAGAAAAGGGGGACCTCATACTCCTTTCGAAAAATAAGTACACAACTTCACGAACACCCTTCGATTGACCGGAATTGCTTTCGCCATTGGACGAGTTGACGAATTTTCTTTGCACACCTCGTATTTATCCGCTTTCCTTACAGCACACCGCTCGATCGTTTAGTCGCCCCAATAAAGGACACGGTGTTTTGCGCGCGACGGTCGAACAAACAAACAAAGGCTGCAACATTAACTTGAATCGTTCGGAATCGTTGCGCTTCAAAGAATCAGAATTCGACATTCTTCTTACTCTAAAATTGCAATCGCGCCGTCTAGCCGTCGAAGAGCTCCAGGAATATACCCTGAGGCAAGAGCTGTAGTCTATCATCAAAATGCCTACCATGTGGCTTTCAGAGACGCAGAGTGAGTTGCTCCGATCCAAGGCTGCGCTTTAATTTGCGATTGGAGGCTAATAATCATGTCAAAAAATAGAGATTGGTGCAATCTTCTGCACTGGCGGTACGTTTCGAATATGCTACATACGGCGAAAGAACATCGAAAGGATGGACACTAATTGATGGATATAGGCGGCTTATTTCTCTTCGGAGGTGTATTAATGTTCTTTGATCGATCTATGTATGCCCTCTATACACAAGCAAAAATTGTTGAATGGCGTTTTACTAACAAGATTTCGCATCCAGGCTTGCTATGGGAAATGTCAGTGCTAACCCGGTCCCCTAACGACCACCCTGTTACCTGCTCCTCCAGCTCAAGACAAATCTAACCGTCCACGCTTTCAACTATCTAGATCCTCTTCCTAATCGGCCTTACCCTCATAATCGGTATCCAAAAAACAATCGCCTTCTTCTCCCGTCCCGCAAAACTCAGAGGCACTGCCGCATTCGCAGGCGGTATTCTGCTTATCCTCTTCCGATGGCCATTGATCGGTTTTTGTGTCGAATTATACGGCATTCTGATCCTATTCGGTGACTTCTTAGTGACAATCGGTCAGTTCGTGGGTGGTGTCCCTGTCATTGGACCGTATATCCAACAGGCTTTGAATACTTTGGCGGGGCAGAGGAGGAATGCTGAGTTACCTGTTTGAACGGGCACCATATGTATACTTGGTTGACTTGGCAGTTTTTTTTATCCTTTGGGATGTATAAACAAATAGAGGCTGGTTTGATTCGTTTCTTGTGATTGGTGTGGGATGGTATTCTGTTGTGATGAATTCGACAGGATGATATGTTTATTGATATGTAATAGGACAAAAACTTCTCTATATATATACTTAATGATATTGTAATGTACTTTCGGACAAACTTCAATAACCGGTCCAGAGCCCATCCTCCCGTCACCAATATAGCTTACAGCAATCACGGTAGTCACTTGACTATTACATTACAAAGTAGATTTCCCAGGAAGGGGGGCTATCCAGCAGCCTCGTGCTATATGACTTTTTGCTTGGTCAGGTTTCAGGTTCCGCAAAGTCTTTCAGTTTCGATTTGGAGTATCGCGCATCGTTCTCGATCACTATTTAGATCTAGCACAGTTGTCGCTGTATAACTACCTTCAACATACGCAACAGACGGGAGCAGACGGGAGCAGACCAGAGTTTGACCAAGCATTTGATGTATCACTCGCTCTAAAACATATAATCAATTGATTAATGTTTACTGAGACTATAAAGCGAGAATAAACGCAATTACCCATCCTCTTTCTCAGGAAAGAAGACTTACCCAGATATTTACAAGCTCACAGTGACTTGATACATAAATGACAGTCCAGACTCCATTAAATCTACAATTTAGGCCAATGATGCGAGAACTTGTTTAGGTAAATCGAGACTGGAAGTTCGGTCGAGACAGGACTTGGGTTTTGGCATCCCAGGATGCTCAAATGTTAGATCGTACGATTCTTAAGAGGCTTCCAGCAACTGAAAAAGTTCACTGACTTATTGGTGCTGTAATGGCTTGTAGTGTTGAAATGCATTGATCTAACATGCCCGGAAAAACTTCCCGTGTCCTTCGTCCTTCTTGCACCATCTTGAAAGCGGCTGTCAGGTTCTCCCTTAAAATTGCACTGTGTTTCCTGATCCCAATTCTTGCCCTACTTGATCTAGAAACCACCTTTTACTACCGGTGTTCGCCGAACGGGAACACCCTATCCTCAAACAAGGAATAACATTCATTGTGATCAGATCCAGCAAGAGAACAACGTAGCCTAGTATTTGAATTAAAGTAGTACATATAAAATCTGGGTAAGGGAGGCGAGACGTGGTCACACACTCTCATGAGCCCTAAATGGTAGTGAGGTCTTAAACTGACTGAATGTAAATATAGATCACAGGTTTTAAGAGTAGTTAGGACATGCAGAGATATGAAACATGTCGCATGGACAAACAGCAAACAATGAAGGTCTTCCAAGAGGCATGAGGAAGATTAATGAAACCCTAGTAGTATCCAGATTAGTAGATTGAATTGACTGATGGTTTTCGCGGGTATGGCTGCAATTCCAATGGCCAGTGTGGGTTAGGATTTAGTGCAATCACCCAATTCCACGCAATTAAAGTTATACTAGAGCCGCGACTAAGGGGAAGTCATTAACTATCCACTAAGGTTGTTATAGAAGAGCAGTGAGACTTACAGCCGACAGCCTTTGCATCGTAATCATACATGCTGTAATATTTTCTCAAGAATGCGGAACCAAGGATGATCTGCTTAGGATCGTCGTCCTCTTCCGGATCAAAGAGGGAGAAAGCTGAGACACATGTCATCGGGTAGCCAGGCCACTTCCACTCAATTGTGTAATCGTAAGGTGAAAGGATAAAGGTATGCCCGGCGATTGTGAGAGATACGTCAGGCATATATATTCGTTCCGCACAAGGCACATTCGGTGGCAGCATGAATTGGTCGAAATCAAAGCCAAGAGCTTCCATTAAATATGACCCAGTGTACGAATCGAGGTAGATATAAGGCCAAGCAGTAGTGAATAGAACCGTATGGTTATCCAGTGGCCATTCACGATACTCCCCACTTGGCAACTCGAACTTCACTCCTCCTGAGTCCGAGTGTGTCTGCCAGGCCTCTGGTAGGATAACTTTGGTCGTGGTGTTTTCAAGAGGGAACCAGATGATAGGACCATGGAACAATTGTTGGTTAACATCTCCAATCATCAGTTGCCCCGGGTTAGCAAGCTTCAATCCATAGATATTGGTCTTTAGATGGCCTTGGATGGCGGCATTCTTCAGTGGAGACCTGAAGCCCTTGGCTGCGCCGCCAGCATGCGGGTTCCCCAGTCCCAGAATGCCATAAATGATCCATACATCGTCGTACGAGACCCCTTTCCATTGCGAACGTAGTGATTCCTGGAACCACTGGTCTTGAATCTCAAACTGTCCGAGATTCATTGAATCCTGTGAGGCACGACCAGAAGACTGTAAGAACCGATAGTCTAAGTCCACCAACGTCCCATTGTCCTTGTGAGTGGATGACATGCTTGAATTATACCCCTTCTCATTGTCTTCAGCAGCAGCACACGAATCGCAGTCAACAGAAAGTATATAAGTACTTAGGGACGACGTGTCCAAAAGTACGTGACGTCGTTGAGCCGGAGTGCCGAAGCCCACTTGAATGAAGTATCCGAGTTCTTTGGTCAGGTTATTCTAGAAATATAGTTAGATTTCTGCGTCTCGATGCGTACGCCTAGACATCTACTCGTCAGTGCTGCGAGGCGTACGTACTGTTACATCCAAAACTGCAACTCCTTTATCGAGCTGAGGGAGCCTCCAGTCATTCAGATGAGCCTCTTCTCGCATTGGCTTCTGACCATTGGCATCATGTAGAATGTTGTCATTTCCCACCTCGTTGGAGATTGTAGAGCGTGCATCCTGTCTTTCACCTAGTGCAGTAGTTATAATAAAATATAGAAATTGTACTCTGAGCTGAAACTTGTTTACCCACATGTCTGATGTAATGCCGTTTGACAAAGGGGGGTTTCTATAACTTTGAGCTTATTTTATAGACAAAGGATAAAGGCACCCATTTTGAAAGCAATCAACCATCGGAGAAATGACACTCTTCCTTGCTTATTGTTCACCGGCTTCACTTGGCACTTGGCTATTTGATTTCACTATTAGCGTGGATCATCGCTCAGCTTATGAGCGTAGCTGCTCTGGCTGCGGCTAGTATCACAATATGACTGGATGAGAGCACCCGAAATGTGCTCATGTACTCGTAGTATGCATCTCACCAGTAATTGCGAAATCCACACTTGTCTTATCTTCGAACCAAGACTACCTGTAAATGTGGGGCTAGTCTGACTAGTGCCCATACTAGCTTTCTGGTTGTAATGAGGCTCTGAGATAACAATACTAGCTATATACTACTGGTCATAATTATTCTTGAGGCTTTGGACTAGACACGCCAAGTGCGCAGCCACGAAAAGAAACACTCGTTGCTGTATTTAATCAGTAGAACGGCTTAACTCAACCACGTAAGAAAGAAATTGTTTTCTAATCATCAATAAATCCCAGCTTCATAATCTGGTTTCGCTGAACAAACGCAAAATCCCACCAATTCACCTGAGTTCGCACCGATGGAAGAGCACCGTGAAACATGGGCACCACCAATATGGGCACCCGACACACTCAGCTACAGAAAGTTTTTTAATGCGTCCGTGTCGGGAGACATGCAAGCGATGCAGGAGGCTCTAGCTACCGGAGAAATTAATGTTAATGCGTGCCCGAAGTGGGCAGACTGGGAAGGTGACACGGCCCTACACCAAGCCGCTGAATACGGTCATCTCGAACTTGTCCAATTGCTTATATCTCATGGTGCCGAAGTCGACCGGAGGAATTACTCGCCAGTAGGACCAATGACTGCCCTACACCTTGCCGCCTATCAAGGGCATATTGCTATCGTCAAGGAACTCCTGCAAAACGGAGCTGATGTGAACACCCGCGGTCAAATGGGAGGGCCGCTTTTAAATTTTGTGCTGTGGAATAAAAGAAGCATTTCCGATAAGGAGTATAAGATCATCGAGCTGGTGCTCAGCCAAGGGAGTTATAATATTCATTCATGGCTCATGGAAATGGGGGGCACGATAGTAAGTCTAGCTCTTTAGGGCTCTATTTTCATAATCAAATATACTGGTTCTAATTAACTCTTACAAAGCTCCATCAAGCGGCTGAAATTGGGGATCTCACACTTATCCAGTATTTAGTAGGTAATGGAGCCGACTGCAATTACGTCGCCCCGACCTACGAGACTGACACTGTGTTATACCATGCTGTTATGTATAAGCAGATTGATGCATGTAGACTGCTTATTGATTTAGGGGCCCAGGTCACTCCTGGCGCCTTTGGTCAAGCCTCTTCTATGGATATGATTGAGCTTCTACGTCCCCATCTTAGCCAGTCAGATATATCGATTAGCGGAGTTTTACATTTCGCGCCTGCCCACTTTGTGCGTGATCTTTTGGCAAGGCAGATAGTGAACGTGAATGATGTGAATCTGAATGGCGAGTCATCGCTTTTTGGAGCATGCTTAGGAAGAAAATCTACGGCAAAGCTTGAAGCTCTACTGGAATTTGGGGCTGATCCTCATGTTCGTACTTCTCGAGTCGTACCAGGTAAGATATACAAAGGGGACACACCGTGTAAGTTTACTTAAATCTTGTTTGAACTTTTTCCATATATGATAGCGGTGATGATATTAATATTGATTATCACCTCCTCTGCTAGTGCATTGGGCAGTATTATTTTCTCCTCCGACAGGTATCACTATGCTCATTCGAGCCGGGGCGGATCTGGAAGCTAGAAATGAAGCAGGGCACACCCCTCTAATTCGACTTGCTATGTCGGAACGAAATATACCTGAAAAAGATCACCAGGAAATTTTCGAGCTTCTTATAAAGGAAGGAGCAGACGTCAATGCGATTGATTTGGAACAAAACACAGCCCTTCATCATTTGGCTATGTACAGAAGGCATGTCATGAGTTCGCTGGAAATCCTGGGGGTCTTCCAGTTACTCGTGAAAGCGGGTGCATTGACCAATTTGGCTAACTCGCAAGGCAAAACTTGTCTAGAATTATTCAGTCCAAGTGCAACCTTTCGCATGTCCATAGATGCGCTCTTTCCATAGTGCAATATAGGACCTGGCATTGGTCGAACATGGAGCCAGACAGGCCTGATAGAGTGCTAGATGAGTGATAAAAACTTTAACGCATCTACCTAACCCTTACTCGTCCCTGCCCAGGTGCCATTAGAAATCTTGAAAAAATGAGTTTATTCGACAATTCTCGCGACGGACGTGAAATGTATCCATAAATGATCATAGTGTCATAAGTCGAAGAATTATGCTGGACGAAAAAAGCACTCGCCCTTTGTCAGCTCAATCCGACTTATGCGTTAGTACGCAGTCCCATTTCGAAGCTTCTGTTCCCGTAACATTCCCCCTATCATCAACGACAATATTATCTATATCCTGCCACGAATCTCCCTTCTTCACCACAGCACACAAATACTCTGAGGGAAACTGTGGATTTGCACTCTCAAACGTTTTGAACCATATCTCAGACTTATTCTCCGGCACAGCAGCTAGTATCTGTCGTAATGTCTCTCCATATCTTCCGCCTGGCGTCTGCATATCTGCACCCTTTTTGAGCAGTAACACAAAAATATCTGTATATGCATTCCCAAGTGCATGGCGTAATGCAGATTTGAACATTACGCCTTCGGCATGAATATCCGCGCCCTGTGAGATGAGATAATCTACCATCTCGACATCTCCAAAATGCGCGGCGGTATGCAGCGAGGTCCCAAACGCACCTCCTCTTTGATTCACATTCGCACCGTTGGCAACAAGGACTTTCAAAGTCTCGACCGATCCAAAAGTTGCAGCTGTCAGCTGCAAAGGAAACCCGAACCGGCCGCCGCCGGAACTAATACTTGCACCGTATTGAAGCAGTAATTCCACAACTTTGGGCTGCTCGTTGGAACATGCAATTTGTAAAGGTGTCTCATCTTGATATCGTTCGGAGTTTGGGTTGGCGCCATTTTCGAGGAGATGGCGTATGATTTCAATGTCCTTAGATCGCACTGCAGAACACAGTGCCATTGAACTGTCGGCACGAGCTCCGTAGTCCATCAGGAGCTTGACGATACGGATATCTGCGGATCTGCATGCTGCGGCAAGACAGCTCTTTTTCCAATCATCATTCCCATTGACTCCATAGGTAGGGTCTGCCCCTTGAGCGAGTAAAAGTTTCACGCATGGAAGATCGCCGTTGTAGCATGATGCCAATAAACTTGACCCGACTTCACCACCGCAGATATTAGGATCAGCGCCGTGCTTAAGAAGAATCTGTACTGTTGTAGGGGTCTTCTGCTCAAGAATGTATCCCGGTCGAGACCAACGAGTCGGCCAAAAGTGGCGTGACATCTCGAAGAAGTGACGATCATGTCTTCCGGCTACAGCTGCTTGAAGTGCAGTCTCATAATAGCCACCTCTAGCATTGACATCAACGTCTTCATATAATTCGTTCTGCACAAAATCATCAAGACCAAAGTAGCTAGCTGCGTTTAGGACTGTAGCAAATTTCCCATCGCCAGTGAAATCAGCCCCAAACTGTAGTAATAGTTTAGTAGTTCCGGCTTTATCCTTAGGGAGGACTGTTGGCAAATAGGCAGCACGTAGTGCGTCTTTCAAGACCTGCTCATTCTTGATATCAACCTCCTTGTTCTCGAGCATCAGCTTAAGCACAGTCAAGAGTGCATTATGACAAACCACTTCTAGAGGCGATGGTAGTATTGAGCCAGGACCGACGAGATCGGAATGAATTATCGGCAGCTTGGATATTGATAAAGATCCTGATATATGGGTAACCCATCTAGAATATACCTCTTTCTTGTGCACAAAAAAGTCCAGTGCTAGTTCGTGAATTTTAGCCATTCCCTCAGGTACTTTCTCGTAGTGATACAGCCAATTCTCCACAGCATAGATAGCTAATGGAAGGCTTTCTCCTGCAGCTGAAACGGCATCATCTTTAATCAAAGGCATGTACATAAGACAGCAGTTCGTGATCAATGCATGGGCATTGGGCTCTCTGATCCCAAACATTGCCGCATTCCCAGTCAGTATATCACTTGACAGGAGATACTCTCGAATAGAAATATGTGCCAATCGGACTAACACCCTGGGCTCGGAACCATTTTCATGATCGTACTCCTCAATAGTCGTAAGGAGATTCGGACATATATTCAAAACCTCGGCTGTCTCCCAATAACGCTCAATATCATGGAATGATTCTGCTTTGAGATCCAAGGCAACAAGTTCAGCCAACTCTTCAATTGACAACGGACGAAGACTGAAGAGTAACCAGCTGAGTATTCGTATCGCAAATTCAAAGTCATCGTCCGATATTCGGCTCAATATCTGAGCATATGTGTTGTTGAGGCCCTTGGGCATGGTTTCGAGGGCTTGTCGCAGCCCTGGGGGATTGCGGCATCTCACTAGTGATGTGAGCTGATATCTAACCCATAGAAACCTGTAAAAATCAATATTAGTACAACCTTTTCCAGACAATGAGTACCAATACCTACATTCCATCAGATTTCTCTATCAAAGGTTGTTCAATTTCCTCTTGCACATTAGGGTGATTGCGCCACCTTTTTAGGTCCCTGTCCGTACGCAGCCGGTCTCGAATATAAATTCGGATATCTTGCTTGACGACTTCGGCGGATAGTCTCATCGAAATTTTGTCCATATTCATGCTTTCAAAAAAGTCTTTTATATTCATCAGTTCACGGCTTGTGAAGATGAGATGCATTTGAACCGTCCATTTTTCGAACTCCTCCAAGATATCAAAGAGGTCTTGCAGATCCTGGCATTCATCCAAGGCGTCTAAAACGATGTAAACGTCACGAAACTCAGAAATGAGATCTCTTAGGGTAGACAGAAGCTGCTCGGGTGATGCTTGCTGGTCCCCATCCTCTATCAATTGTTCAAAGACATTTGATGTGCGTTTGCCACGGTCAAAGAGCTGTTTCAGTAAAGCCCGCAACATCCCAGATGATGACTTCTTGTCATTATCGTCGCCTTTGAAGTAGAAGTAAGCTACAGCAATACTCATGTCTTGACTGCTATACTTTGAAAGGTCTTCGATGACCGTTGAGGACAAGATGGTTTTACCACACCCAGCAATTCCATACATCCAAAATGACGAGCCTGCGGTTCGCTTCCATTCTTGATATCTATAGTTGTCAATTAGCCAAGAGCCTGTATTCTCTGTCTTCATCCGCAATGCATGTGTATGATCAAACGAAGCATTCGGGGCTGAAAGCCATTTGACGATTTTCTCTCCATGTTCGCCTGCGCCGTGAATCAGTCAGACGAAAATCAGAATTTAATTTTGTGTACTGACGGCGTATCTCTTCATCTTTCTGTGAGTGAAGATACTTTACCATTGAATGAGTCTCAAAGGTTTTTTCGCGAATCTCGAGAATATTATCACTAATCGATGTTATCAGCAATATCAACTTTTCCCACGAAAGGGCTTTTCATACGTCTCATCCAAGGTCAATGCCAAGCTAAACAGAGAAATATAATGGTTTATATCATCCATGATATTCCTCATATAGGCCTCCTTAAGTGGCCAATGCAAAGCCCGCAAGAACGATTCCTTCTTCGTCAAATTCGCCTGACTCGTGGGCATAATATCCCGCTCCAACTGCTCCAATTTCCGGAGACATTCTTCAAAGACATACTCCAGTTGACATAACTTGTGCAGAGTCGGCAGTAAATAAGACTTTTCTTCTGCATCGCTATCTTCTCCGTTTTGGAGTACATGAGTGCCGCGCTGTGTTAGCTCTTCGAGCGTCCTGAGTACTATTTGCAGTCCGCCTAGTTCTTGGACCAGCCTTAGAATCAGACTTTTTGTGTTCCGTGCTGATTTTACGTAGTTCATGCAGTGAGTGCTGATTACACTTGTGATCTGAATGACCGCAATCACGCTTGCGGTGACGCTCAGGGGATCCATTTCTTGAGTCCTTATGGCTGGAAAGCCATTGGCATGACATCTGAGGGAATTCCATCATTCTAGAAGACGACTTTGTTATATAAATGTTTCGCTAAGCTTGTCGTCTATTTTGATCCCTGCTGGTGTTCGATGAACAAGGCTGTAGTTGGTTGTGCTGGACGAATGAGGCCCAGTAGCCGCCGAGGCTACATTAGCAGCGTTTCGCTTCCCTGCAGGTGCTGCGCCGCGCGTAACGACATCAGCAAATCAACTTCAGTCTTTACTGTATGTTTCAGAATTACACAGGGAAATGATTGGGTCAAATAGTTTGCATAAAACTGAAACGCTAAAACGCAAGGCACATTCGACAAAGACTAGGTCAGCAAGACAGTTATTCTCAGTTTGCATTTCTGTCTATTGGGTGTTTTTGCGTCACTCTTTTTGTTTATATCCAGTCAAACTATAGTGACCATGCGAATGAAAGAATCGGTATTCAAATACGACAACCGCGATATCTCGGACGTAGAAACATAACAGGTATTCTTCACTGATTGTCCGAAAAGAAAAGTCGAAATTCTCCGTCATAAAATGCATCATCTTTCCTTTTCCTCAACGATTACTCGCGAACATAAGACGGCCTAGTTTAAAGGTTATTATCGATGAGGTATTTGGCTTGCTGTGTGACCAAGGTTACGGCCTTGTTGGCAGGAACTGTTTCGTTGAAATGCGAAACGAGAATGGAGCTGGTGCACTTGGCAGCAATAATACCCTCCTTTCCCTGTTGTTGTCGAAGATTCATATTAGCTATAAACCCGTCCTGGACCGAAATATTTGGGTTCAATATCATCCAAGCATACCTGAGCACAGAAGAGAACGGGAATCTTATCAGCGGGCTCATCGATCCAACCGAAGAAGTATTTCTTTCCTCCGACAGTAATTCCGCTTGTTTGGGCCGAGGTGGGGTCGTTAAATGCGACAGCAATCTTGTTCATCTCTTCGGGAGTGAGCTATAGACGGATGCGAATTAGCGATGCGGTTCCTGCTAAATAGCATCTGACTTTTTATGTCTATGTACCTCGACATCAGATGCCTTTCCCCATACTGATTGACCGGTTTGGTCAATGAGAATAGCTTGGTCAACTAGACCGGATCCAACAATGCTATTGTTCGTCAGGAAATGATATCAATGACACGACTTCGTAGAACGTACTGTTGGCTGAGGTAACCTATGACAATTGCATATTAGTATGTACAACCTTAAACTTCAGAGAAAAACGTGGTCCGTATCGGAAAGTTAATAGTCATGCTTACCGTCCCAAGACATCTTGACAGATGTGCGTGTGATTATCAGGCGAACAAATAGACGAAGCTGTTTAGCCAAGCAACCACCGATACGGAGATCAAGCGGAAGGCGGATAGAATTGGTCCGAGGGACTTGGGGTACTATTCGTCAAGGAGATAACCTAAGGACAAGGCCACTGTAGAGGAGCTTCAAAAAAGGTAAAAAAAGATTACAGAAATAATAGAGATGAACGTTTGTTTTGTTGAATAGACGAAAGTTGTTGATTTAGACACGCAGTCACGTGGAGTGGGGGTTTGTGCCCCGCCTTTTTTGGGTTTGGCGTCGGTGTCGTCACCACAACAACTCTTCATATATAATACTATCCACGTATTATTCTAAATCGGAATATCTACAGACTGTTATAGCCATGATGCAACACATCTACAAGGATTTCATACGATTAATGCGATAGCCTTGACTCATCCCCTACTCAACCCGAAGCCAAAAACTTTAGTTTCTAACAGCTCACGGCGTCTGCAATACATCGATTGCCCCTCATATGGACACACTAGATTGATTATCCATTTGACACATCACACGATGGGTCCCCAACGTGAATACCTTGTACTAGGTCGGGTCGCTAACGAAATGATGTGAGGGACTCTGTGCCTGACACCGTTATTCACCGACTCCGGCAAACCGAGAGATACCGAAGTTTATATTCAAATAACCCTTAGGGTAAGAGGTTCCAGCATCGTGTGCCAATATACTCGATTCTGCCAGCAGTCATTGATTGATGTAGACACTTTCAGACAATCTATCAACATTGGTGTTCACACTAATATAGGCAGCCATCCTGAAAGACTGCGTGAAACTGCGACCTTTGCTATTCGGAAAGCGTTTATTTTCCGCAGTAAGAAGCTAAAATTTGGAAAGTTCTCTCCTCCGGTGATATGTAGGTATCCAGAAATCCGATATTATTTAATACACTTCTACGACATGAATGTTGGCTTTTTCTGTATACTTTGGCGTCACCTGTTTTAGCTTCCTGCGGTAACTTGTAGAGCCTCCTCGACTTGACACAAGTGTCATTGTGAGCTCTATGAAATAATAATCTCATTCTGACAATAGAAGAAATCAGAGGGCAAAGCCTAGATATGATGAACATGTGTTAGATCGCATGGTCTGATGTACTATAGGATTTGGCCGATTCTACCACCATTTCGCTCTTCTGCACTGCTTTTTTAGTGTCTTGGAGTGCTTGACAAGCAAGACATAAATTGATGCCTAAGGCATCAATTTGAGGTGGGGCATAAGGATAACCGTTTGATCAGCAGCGATTGCGAGATTCTGGACTCTTCAAACTCTTACCTGTGGAACAAACTCACACCAATTATCTCTGAAAGACGGTGAATATTCCGTCTTTGATGCCGTGATTACAATGACGTCTGGAGTCCAGGGTCGATGCATGAAAAGTATTGCAGACACGCCACCGTGTTTCACTAGTGTTTAGCCTCCCACGATGCCATCTCGAATTTCTAACGAGCATTCTACCGAATCTGCAAAATGTCCGATTGACTACCAGGATCCGTAGTTACTCTGCATTTGTCTCTTTTTCTGTGTTTCGTATACTAAGTCCTGTTTGCAATAGTCAGGCTGCGTCAGCTACAACCATCAGGACAACATCAGCTGAAGTCGCGGAAGCCGTACACGGGACCAGCACATCAAAGGCGCCMCCCCGCCGTTCCTCTTTGATTGCGGTCCACCAAGAACAATTTACAGCTGTCAAATTCACAAGTCAGAATACCAGTCAACCAACGAGTCTTCCGATGCGGCAACGCAAAAGAGAGGCTTGAGAGTCGTTGGCCGCTCTGCACTGCGATTGGCCCGACGCCAATTAAGGGTATTCACCAGTCAGCAAAGCGTCTCCGTGTTTTAATTAATCCTCAACCATACGGGGGCAACCCATCAAATCTCCCATACCAAATGCTTATTCGTCTAACGGAAGAATACATAGTACATGAAGCCTAAAACCTAGACCATCAAAGCCAAAGACCCATTCAATTTGTATTCCGCCTCCTCATCCCTGCCAAAATGGGCCAATCATCACGGTTGATCTGGTCTGTCGCATCATTGAATTAAAAAATTTAGATCTGTGTCACGTTGAGTCCAGAATCAATTAAAGGCTGACTATGTCCGCTTCGCTCGGCTGGAGCGAGTCGTTGGTCAAACATTATTTTCTTCATATTTTCAAACATCCTGCACTGGTGCAGAAAGTGTCTTAGGGTTACCCCGTCCTCTCCTTTCTCTCTTCTGGCTTTCTGGAAAGCCGTCCACTCCTTTATTATAATTAAAAAAATATATACTTGAACGAGTCATTTTACCTACCGTAAACTTTGCAAGAGGAGATTCGGACCGAAATGGGTATCTTTGGCAGATCTCGCGCAAACACCACAAATGGGGGGATATCGCAACCAGTCCTTACATTCTCGGATGCAGCGCCTCGCGATGATCTTCAATCGTTGGGGAAGTCGGAGCCGACACATCCAAGATCATATACGGCGAAGCCCGATAAACAGACAGGAACGGCAACGTCAAATGGGCGAGGCTTGAGACAGAAACATCAGAAAAATGTTATCCAAGCATTCGACTTTACAGTTACGCAGCCTCCCGAGGGTCCTTTGACGGGAGATGAAGCGGTTGGCATGAATGGCGGAATGGAATCCCATGCAATCGGGATTGCGTTGGGGAGTCCGAGTATGGTACCGCCTCCTCAATATCATCCTATCGAATGGTCCAGCCCTTCTTCAGAGCGACAGGATCCGTCGACAACAACAATAACTGCCAACAACACGGAATCCTTGCGCCGGAAACCGAGTAAATGGAAGAAACTCGGGGGAATGCTAAAAGGACGTCAGAACGACGGGAAGCGCACCCGTGAAGGATTTTACCAGCTTGATATCAATAAGTCGCAAGAGGAGACTGTGCCGGTGATCCAGAACCCAGACTATAAGCAACCTATCGTCACAGTGTCGCCAAGATTTAATGATGGTCGCTGGGATGGTCAACAGAAGACACAGACGCCGGGTGATTCTTTGTTGGCGGTTAATATCCCGACGGTGCAGATGGAGCGTTACAGTGTGATGTTTCGTAGTGTGCTAGGAGAGAAGCCATCGTCGAACTTGCTGGCTCGACGGAGCAAAGCGTTGAACCAGCTTCATGTGGATGGCATGGAGGTGAGTGACAGATCTTTCTTTTCAGGTATTAATGTTGACGAGAAGTAGGCTGGTCTCTATGAACCACACAGACCGCAACGACGCGCAACATCACCATCGACAAACCGTTCATCAACATTCACATTGTTTCCTGGCGTTCCACAAAACAAGATCATCATTAATGGCGCCGACAAACCCACTCCAACTGCTAGCGAGTTCGCTCCACGAAGCCCTATCAGATCAAATACTTATCCAAGGGCAATGAAGACCAGTAATCACGGCGATCACTTGGCAATCCCGGATCTCACTCCGGCCCTGTCAACTGGTACTTCGTCCGGGTTCTCGTCTGCAGGTTACTCTTCTGCGGAACCGTCGCCTATACCGTTCAATGCACCCGTTTCTACTAGAGATTATATCAATCCCAAGAATGAGCCGGTCTGGGAGATGATCAATTCTAAAAAAGCGGCTTCTGGTTCTCCGGAAGGTGTTCGACATTCTACGGACGTCGAAGCATCTCCAAAACCAACTTCAACGCCAACGATGACCACGCCTTTGATACCGCATGATCACATTGTCCAGAAAGTGAAGCCTGCAATAAAACCATCAATCGCTGTCCTACCACCACGAAAAACTTCCTTACCTGCCTACGCAGATAGAGCAAAACTCAAACTCCGACACCAAGAAGACCACAACCCCCTTCTGTCAGTCAACGAAAACCACCCTTCCCCCATCCGAGGTGCACCAGCACCAGCACCAGCACCGCAACCACAACTCATGCGCTCCCAAACAATGCCTCTACCCCTAAACATCACCAAAAAACCTTCCCCCCATACTCAGGCTTCAACATCAACAAGAACAACAGGAGAAACCCCACTCCTCCACCCCTCCCCTTCAACAGACTCCCTCCTCCTCCCCAGCACCACCGGCGACACATCCTTCACCACCTCATCGTCCCAGTCCCCCTCCCCTCTAATCCCGCAAACCATCGAAATCTCAATCGCGCGCTCCGTCTCCGTAAGTCGACGCATAATCCCGAAACAAACCCTCGTGCCACTAGGCGCAAATCCGCATGTTTTCTTCCATAATGAGAATGAGCGGTATGGTGAACTCAAAGCGCATAAGAAGGGAGCTGTTTTGATCGATGTTACTTCTCCGACGACTACCGCGAATATCGATGGAGAGAGTGGGAGTCGGAGTGGTGGTGAGGGTGGTCTTGGGGTTAGGGGAAGTGCGGGACATAGATATCAGAAGTCGCAGGATATTGTTATCGAGTCTGCGTAACCCTTCCCTGTCCTTCTTTAGCCTGGTTTGTTGGAGTTGTGCGTTGGAGAGATGGAGTCCATTCCTTCTTTCCTTTTACTTTTGTTTTGATTTATGAAATATACTGTTTAGTGTTGAGATACCATATTTTCTTTACAGGTCCGGATCACCTAGGTAGTCCAAGTCGTTTGAGCATGACCTATCTGCCTGCTGATTTTGAGAATCGCATTCGTTTCTGGATTAAATTCCCTATCTTTCTTTCTTCTCAAATACATCTAACTTCTCTATTTGAATCGATGTAAATATTTACTCTGATCAGTATATAGATTGTCTTATTTCCAGACCCCTTTTTCTACTAATGTAATATAGATATGTCTATTTACTCCTTCTCAACCCTGGCCTCAACATCCACCGTCCTTGAGGATGGTCCCTCCCCATTCGAATCCGACAACACCGGAACCTCGACCCCAACCATCTTCCACTCCATCCCAATATACGAGTCACTCACAATAACAACATCGACCTTTCTCGTTACCGCTCCTCCAGCCGGCGATGATGACAACAGGAACTCTTCTGGGAATTTGACGGTTGCTCTAGCCGTTGTACCATTAGTCCGTCTGGGACCACGCGAGTTTTGGGTATTGTTGTTGTTCCGATTCTGGGGATTGAACCACGATACTCGTTTCAAAGCGAGGAGTTCGCCGTTACTCTCGTCAACGCTTGAAGTAGTCACGATCAGGAAGTATCCCTCTGTCTGTGGCTTGGGGAATCGCGGAGCATGAATTTTGAAGTCTGCTGTGAGAGGCGCGTTTTGACGGGCAAGTGAAATCGTCATGCTCTTGGCTGATAGGTCGGATACAGAAATTGAGAGACGCGGTAGAGCCGAGGAGACGATTTTATCGACTTGGTGGATCGCTAGTGGTCTAAATGATGGTGTCGATGATAATGTTTCGTTTAGTGCCTGGACAACAGTGGCCGGCCGCATGGATGAAAGCGCAACGAGTGAATCTGGCAGATTGAGAGACACTTTCTTGTTCTTCTTTGTCTCATTACTTGCCACGGCCGCGGTTAGGATTTCAGGCTCGATACCAGGCAAAATCGACAATGAGTGATCCTCAGGCCATCGCGCTGATTTGATGCATTGCAGAAGAGTCATCATCATACGACACGCAGGCAGGTAGCCCAACTCAGCCAACACATCGATACTAGCCTGGATGATACGAATACCCTGATCAAGCACCGATGTTTGATCACCGACGTAATCCGAAATGGGTAAATCGATGCGAGACATGTAGGCTTGCAAGAGCAAGAAGGCCTTGATATGTGGATCCCACATCGGCAAGTCGTTCATGCCCTCTGGTAGATTGGATATTGGAAGATTCTTCGCAAGCTCGGCGTTGACAAGATCTTCGTTATGGCGGACGGGTAGCTCGTCGAATTCAGTGGCCGAGCACATCCATGCCAGGACTTGCTCGAAAGATGGCTGCCGAACCGCATGGCTCATCAAGTAGCGGATTGTCTTGTGAGAGAGGTAGTAGTAACTCATGATCTTACCGAATGGGGTTGAATCGACTTCGCCAGTGGCCGCGTCCAAGACTACACAGGAAGACTCGGCAAGCTCGTTGAGTGATTTGTCAACAAGGTCGATCATGAACTCGGACGCAATCTGTTGTGCTGCCATAGTGTTATGTTCATCAGCAGAAATCTCGAGCCCATAGTACGACGGATTCTTGTGTAACCGGCGGAAGAAGAATGTCCAGGTCAGATAGTCCAATGCGTCCTGTTTCGTCAGAATAGTTCCTGCAGATACTTCAGCGCCCAAGTGATTGTCTAGAACTTTGTGCAATGTCGATTCTACCGGGAAACCAGTATGCAAAAAGTGCTTGTAGAACGCTTTTTTCGCGTCCTGTGTGAAAATCCGGGCAATACCAGAATTGTCAAACTGCGGTCGTCCAGCACGACCAAGCATTTGTAGCACATCGGTTAAGTCCATGTCTTTGTATCCTTCAATCTTGGCATCAAAATACTGTGTCCCTTTGACCACGACAAGATGAGCAGGCAAATTCACTCCCCACGCCAAGGTACTCGTAGCAACGAGAATTTGAATCTTATTATTTGCGAACAACTCTTCTGCGAGTTGTCTGTCGGACTCAACAAGACCTGCATGATGTAAACCGATTCCAAAGCTGAGGGCTTCTCTTAGCGCATCATCTTTCACGCGCGCGAGATTAACTTGAAGATCGTCTTCTGACATCCGCACGAATCGTCTCGGATTATCTTCCATACCGCAAAAATTGATCAGATCCTTAGCGGTCAACCGTGTCTGTCTTCGAGAAGCCACGAAAACAATGACAGGCTTCTCCGGCGAGTGATTTTTGATGGCAAGGAAAGTAGGACGATTCATCGACTGCATCAAAGGACAAAATCCACGCTGCTCAGGAAATCCGTCAATAAAGATTTCCAGCGGTACAGGACGGACCGAGTGTCGGAAATTGTATAATCCTTCTTTGACACCTAACCAGTTTCCTAGATCCGAAGCATTGGCACATGCAGTAGACATGCCCATCAGTCTGACTGATCCCTTCGACTGGGATGCAATATAGTTCATACGCGAGACGATGATTTCCAAAATAGGCCCACGATCGCCACCTAGAAGATGGATTTCATCGATAATAACCAGGCTGACTTGTCGTACGTATCCTCTTGTCTGCCAACTACGTGAGATACCATCCCATTTTTCAGGAGTCGTAATAATGATATCTGCGTCTCTGATTGTGCGAGTATCAGGCGTGTTATCACCAGTCAACTCAACCAATTTCAGACCCATTGCGGCCGTGATGCGCTTCCGCCAGTCTTGTACTCGCTCACGAACTAGAGCTTTCATTGGCGCGATATAAACGACTTTAGACCCAGGTCTCTCACGAAAAGCCCACCACATGGCTAATTCGCATGCAACTGTCTTTCCACTACCGGTAGGCGAACCCAGCAGAACATTGGCTGAGGTGTGATAAAGTGTATGGAACAGTTGCGTCTGCATAGGGTTGAAGAACTGGAAGCGCTGTCCATAAATTTCTTCCAAGATAGGGTTCTTCAGTGCCGATACAGGAAGTGGTTGGAGGTCTAGAAGATCTGTATAAACGCTCTCTGTATCGGGACGAATAAGGTGCTGGAAAGAGACTGGAGTGACCGTTTCAGCTCCAAGCCATCTGTCTGAAACTGCACGCACGTAGATTTGGGCCGGCAATGGATCAGATAAAGGAATGGTAAAATTGAGTTCGTGGTCGTCGTAAAGCTTCTTTCGACTGAGGATAAAGTATTCGTGGTGGTATATTTCTGAAGTATCCGAGTTCTCGACCCAAATCCAATATCCCTCGGATGCTCCATGGTGTCTATCATTCCAGGTAAATTCGGGATAGAGCGAGAGACGGATACGAAGAACGTCTCTGTTTAGCGGAGCAATCTCAGCTTCAACACTTAGAGTAGGGAAATTATCCAGTAATTTGGTGATTGTGTTTCCCATGCGATGGTTATGCACGAGGTGACCAATTTCGGCTGGTTCCATATCTCGCATTGACTCGATTGACGAAGTCGGCAGCTTTTCGTCCAGATTCTTCATAATCGGCACCGGCAGATCAAACTGGTGAAAAGGATGCTGGAATGGCCATATCTGTTTCTCAATAGACTTGCACATTGACAACAAAACCTGACACTGGTATCCCCAGCGACGGTTTAGAGCAATCATAAACAGAGCGCGACAGATACGTGCAGACTGCTGAGCCACGTAAGCCAGATCTGACACCAAAGCAAAGTCTTCAAGTTTAGCACGAGAGATGTACGATTGCAAAAGAATGTTAGTTTTGGCATGAGACGAGTCATTGTCTCCTTCAACCTCTGTCTGAAGAGCTTCTTCGCGTAGTCGGTCAAGCTCTTTCGATTCGTTTTCGCGGGCTTGGATATTGTCAAACTCTCCACTCATACTGATCATTTTCAGAACGTCTGCTTCACTGGCACGGGGGCGCATCATTTCATTGAAGATCTCAATACTGGTTTGCAAAACATAGAACTGACTTGCAATACGGCCGACATCTTTAGCACGAAGCTCCTCTGTTCGCTCGTTGAAGATGATCATTTGACTTTTCTGCAGTACTCGAGCGGCATTAACAATTAGTTCTCGTCGTCTTTGCACAAGCATAGGGTCATCACGAATCTCTGCCCATTCTATACCGTAATTGCGAGGTTGGCGTTGCATTCGAACGAAAAGATAGGAATAACCGAGCCATTGAACTGCTTCGGCCACAGTAGTGACGGTTCCAAGAGAAATCTCGGCATTGAGATTGTCCACAAGTTTGCTAGAAAAGCGTGATTCGATGGGCTGTTGCGATGTCACTGCCGACAAGTAATGGTGGAGCTTGTCGTGAGTCGTGCAAATGAAGCCGATACCAGTGTCTTGGAATTGTGGACGACCAGCACGACCAAAAATCTGCAGTACATCCAGAATGCCAAGATCCACAAATTTACCTTCTTGAGCACTGTACAGTTGAGTGCCTTTGATGACAACGGCTGCCGCGGGAAGGTTGACACCCCAAGCTAAAGTTGCTGTACAACAAAGGACTTTGATATGTCCCTCTGAAAACATACGTTCCATCAGATTACGATCAGACCTGGTAAGTCCAGCATGGTGGGCACCAAATCCAGCAGCAAAGAGATCACGCAATTCACGGGCACGGGCACCTTTCAGATCCTTGACTGCCTGGCTGTAGCCCTCCGTGTCTTGTCCGACCAAGAAGAGATCCTCGCACTGTTGCTCAGCAGCCATTTGCTTGAATGTCCGGGCCGTCATAACGGTATCTTTTCGAGAGTGGACAAAGACCATGACTTGGTGACCTTGCTCAAGCATGTCTCGTACTTTTTCAAAGGCAACGGCGTCGATGTTCTCCCTAGACTGCTTGCTGTTGGGTTTTCCTTTAACACCCACGAAATGTTGTTCCAAGGGTACTGGGCGGAAAGACTGATCAAAGAAAAATAGACCGGCCATTCGGTTGACTTTCAAGAAATCTGCCACGTCGATATAGTTAGGCAGAGTTGCCGAGAGACCAACGATGCGAATCAAGGACTGTGTGCTTTCGACCTGACGTTCAGTCCGTGCGACTAGAGATTCAATAACTGCACCACGTTCATCATGAAGCATATGAACTTCGTCAATAATCAGTAGTCGTACTTTTTGCACAAGTTCCGTATCTCCAGTGCTTTTTCTCGTAACAACATCCCATTTCTCTGGAGTTGTTACGATGATTTGAGTTTCAACAATCTCCCGCTTCGTTAATTGCATATCACCTGTCAACTCGCGAACTTGAATTCCAAGCCACGCCAGGCGTTTGCCTAACTTTTCAGTCACTTCTGCTGCCAAAGCTTTCATTGGTGCAACGTAAACGATCTTGAAGTCATCCACTCGTACAATAAATTCCGTTGCATCAGGTTCATCCAAAGGATTGGGAGTGACGTTCTTGGCGATAGCATTAAGAATTGTCAACATGGCTGCATCAGTCTTACCTGCACCGGTCGGGGCGCAGATAAGCATATTTTCGCTAGTTTTGTACGCAACATCGTACAGCAAACTCTGCATTCGGTTCAAAGATTTGTAACCTTTGAAAGTTCCTCTGCACAGCCCGTCTAATGATGAGATCTGCACCAGCTTCTGGTTTGGTCCTACTGGAGACACACCGCGGGAAGCGGGAACGCTGATCTCGGTATATTTCTGCTCTTCGACCTGCTTGCTGCCCATAGGAAGACCATATTTCTTACCTCCTAGTGACAGCGTATTTCGAGAATCATGCATTTTGTACACGTGCGGATACTTGACCTCGTCCCGGCTTTGTGCTGCTGCCAATGTAGCATGTTTGTGTTCGTAGTCCTGCTGGCGAAGAGTAGCTTCACGCTCTGCGCGTGTTTGAAGTTTGCCGGCAAACAATCCATCCGTCTGCGCTGTTGTTTTTGACTCCTTGGACGAGAGAATATCTTGTCTATGAGCGATGATATCGATCACCAGATCCAGATCATCAAACCCAATAATTTCGGCAAGTGACATCTGCAACTCATCATCTCCACTATCCGACGCTAGAAGAGCTTCAATTTGTTGGACGAGTGCCTCAGAATCGAGTCCCGACTTTTGAGCAGCCAGTTGCTGACATCTGGATTCCAACCAGCTGTGATCGTACCCCGCAGTCGTTGTCAGTGATACTCCATTTACATGGTCAAAGTCATCACTTTCTTCATCAGAACTAATGACATCCCAAATGTCGTCTACAGCACCGGACGAGAATTCTTCGTCGTCAAAATCCAGGTCTATATCTGTTTCGATAGATGATTCGATGCTTTGGCGACGTTCTTCCAGTTTTAGGTCGGCAATCGACTGTTTCATCTGCGAGAGCTGTTGCAGCCATTGCGACTGCAACGAAGCAATGTCCGACATGCTGCCTAATATCCAATATTTCTTTCGAATAATGAGTTCGCTTGGTGAACGTTGATGAAATAAAAGTGTTGTCGTCGCAAACGATGAAAGGCAATCGGCGACCCAAAGAGGGAAGGCGCTTATGGCCTTTGTCAGCAAGCAGCGCTAGTCCCGCATGAGGCTAGCGTGGGCAAGCTACCCAGGCGGGGATCGATACAGACGTCAGCCAGGAGTCGGAGTAGATACACCAAGAACAAGCACACCGACCCCACAGGCAGCGAGATTCGACCTACTTTCAGCACCACGAAATAGTTTTGGGTGAAATTTTGTCCATTACATCTACGGGAATCTCACCATCATGAAGATCTATTATATGGGAGTACGTTATGGCTGCGGTCGCCTCACGTTGAAACAAGCAGCTTACATGGATATAGATTCTCCGCAACGAGACCAAGCCTGCCTTGGAGCTCTCTGGCGAGAAGGATCTCAGCAGGTATGCAGTGCGACAATGTTCGTAGACCTCCAACTGACAGCCGCTGCAGTTTCTCCCGATTTACTCGCGACAACTACAATGAATTCATGATGTAAGTCATGGCCCGGATCTCCTTCATTGAAGATACTAATTTTTTGTAGGCTGTTTACAAAGACCGTTGCCGGTAAGCCTTAGAGACGTCGATACCGATTTCGAATCGACCTGATCAGTCACAGAACGAACAAAACCCGGCCAGAGGCAGACAATTGAAGAGAAGAGCTATAGTGAGTGGCATCCGGTCTCTGGAAAAAGCGGCACGCATGCGTCGATGTGTCTCGGAGAACGTTGACTGACCTTCTGTGTCCACAGCCTTTCACTCCATGAGTCGGGACGGTATCGCAGGCGTCATTGTCAGCGACAGCGAATACGTATGCCACCATGATCATCATTCGAAACCAATCTAACAGATGCAGCCCCCACTCGTTGCACAACAACTTCTCTCGAAGATGTATGTATCATCGCTCTTCTATGAGTGAAGTAAAGTTGCTAAGCCCTCACAGCACTGATGAATTCATCTCCAAACACCCACACAGCGAATACGCCAACACAAACCTTCCCGAACGAAGCCTGTCCTTTCCTCAACTCGCCGACTATATCAAGAAGTACCAAGACCCGTCGCAGGCCGATTCCATCATGAAGATTCAACAGGAATTAGACCAGACAAAGATTGTGCTGTATGTAACCTCCAAACAATGGGGGATGTTGGCTAATGTGAATATAGGCACAAAACTATCGAGTCCGTGTTGGAGCGAGGTACGATCATTACAAAAAAGTGTGTGGGATTTTAGCTGACTATCACACAGGCGAGAAAATTGACAGCTTGGTTGCCAAGTCCGACGGTCTGTCTGCCCAGAGCAAGATGTTCTATACTCAAGGTATGTCTCTATCCTCTGTTTGTGAAGATCCGTGCTAACATCTACCAGCCAAGAAGCAAAACTCATGTTCGTACCTCGTCCGACCTCTCCTATATCCTTCAACTAACAAGTTTAGGCTGCATTGTCATGTAATTCACCATCGCTCGGTTTGACCCAACTGATTTGAGGTTATTGAAAGGAGTGCTGTCTCATAATTAGCTTCGTTGTCTCGACTTCCGTTTGCACCCACCCATGATTCCCGGTCATTTACTTGCTTTGCTTTTCGTTACGTTTAGAAATGTCAATACTGCTATTTCAAGTACAAAGCATGTTACCATTACCTTCGTTTATGTCACTTTCTTGCCAGGCTAGTTAACGTACAATCATTCAACATACATATCCATAGTAAGGTTTATACACCTTCCTCTTGATCATCGGAATCACTCTCACTCTCACTCTCCCCCTCCTCACTCGGCAATCGCGCCGGAAACCATCCATACCGTGTCATATCAACATAAAAATCTCCCATGGCATCCTGCTCCACCGCGACACCCTCATGTCTTAACGCAACGGCCTGTCTAGATGCGCTTCCGGGGCCACTACATACGCCAAATCATCAACATCTTACCTATCCTGAACGCCTTAGAAGATAAAGAGGAAAAGGGGGAACCAACCGGTGAGAAATCGTCCCCCTAGAATTCACGACCCTCTGCCAGGGCACGTTATCATCGTGGAAATGGTGATATATCTCGCCTTGCTCGTCGTTCTCGTCTTCTTGGGCTGAGTTTTCATTGTCGTCGCCAGCACCATTGACCGCAGAGGAGCGATTGGTGCGGTTTGACGGGAGGTGTTTGAGGCAGATACCTACTTGGCGCGCTCGTCGGGCTGAACATACACGAGCGAGATCGTTGTTTAGATTGATACATGTAGACGATGGTATGACTTGGGGGCTAGGCTACGTACGATATCCTAATAGACGCGCTATGTGGCCGTAGGTGGTTACTGAGCCGAGGGGGATTTCTTGGACGGCTTCGTAGACGGCGTTGAACCAGTGTTCTGCTTCATCTGTGCGTGGCATAATTTTCTAGAGCTTCCAGCGTGTTATCTCGTTCAGACTTGTTCGGGATTGAAGTCTTGTCCGTAGTGCTGCCCAGGTGGGAGCAGTACACCCCTCGATTTGGATGTGATATAATTTGTCACTTGCGCGATTGGCTGAGTAGGAAGCGCTTTTTAAGCTGTTCCGAGATGAGGTCGACAAGATGTCTCGTCTATATCGCGTACCAGAACTCTCACAGACCTGTGAAACAATATTATATACAAACAAGAATTACATTGTATCAAGTTTGAAGCTGTAGCCTATTACTCACCAATCAATATGTAGAGTCAATCCCGCAACAACATTTCTCCGCCCTCCATCAATTAATTATCTCCGGCTCAAATCCAAGCTCCAAGCTTCCTCTAACCTAGATATAACCAACAAATACACAACAAAAATGTCCTCATTAGCAGACTACCTCGCCAAAAACTACCTAACCGCCGACCCGCAACCCGAACGCCCCAAAAAGAAGCGCAAGAAGAACAAACACCACGACCCATTAACCAGCAGCACCGGCGGAGACGGCCTCATAATCGCAGACGATGACCCTCCATCTCTGCGCGCTACGGCCGGCGATTTAGAGAATAATGAATATGATGAGAATTCGCCTTATGTATTGGAGTCATCAGCGTCAAGGGCGTTGAACGCGGAGTTTAAGAAGAAGAAGAAATCCGGCTGGAAGACTGTCGGCGGCGGTGACGACACAGCAGCAACGAGTTCGCGGGCAGGTCAAGACGAAGCAGATGCGATCCTGGCCTCTGCCGCGGCTGAAAGCGCGGCAAGACTTCAAGCCACCGAAGCGGATGACGCGCCGACCATCGAAGGCGGCATTCAAGACATGGACGAAGAAGATTATGACGGCGCAAGAATGGAATCCGGCGCCCGCGCTGGTCTCCAAACAGCCGCACAAACCGCCGCCATGGTCGCCGCCCAGGAACGACGCAAGAAAGCTGAATTAGCTGCATTCCAGGCATCTACCAAACAGCAACAAGATGGTGGAGGGGAGACGATCTATCGTGACGCATCGGGCCGCATCATAAACGTCGCAATGAAACGCGCCGAAGCCCGCAAAGCAGCCGAAGAAGCCGCAAAGGCCGAACAAGCCGCCAAAGAAGCACTCATGGGCGACGTGCAACGCCAAGCAAAGCAAGAACGACAAGAACAACTCCGTTCCGCGCGCGCAATGCCGCTTGCGCGCACAATTGAAGATGAAGACCTGAACGACGAATTGCGGTCACAAGAGCGATGGAATGATCCTGCAGCCCAGTTCCTGACCACTAAAAAGGCCGCAACAAGTAAAACGGGACGACCTTTATACAAAGGGGGGTTTGCGCCGAATAGGTACGGGATCAGACCTGGGCACAGATGGGATGGAGTTGATAGGGGCAATGGGTTTGAGAAGGAGTGGTTTCAGGCGAGGGCGAGGAAGGATMGGATTAGGGATTTGGAGTATGAGTGGCAGATGGATGAATAATCTCTTTTCTTTCGTCGCGAAGCATGTGTGGATGGGCATGGGTGGTGTTTTGTGTATATGAATTTGATGTTCTTGTATATATACCCATAACGAATTGATCTTTGGAATCTAGAATCCAATCTTCTACATTGAACAGCAGTAGCAGATAATATAACGTGGTTTTCTTTCTTTCGTTTCTTCGTAACAACAATCAATGGTTAAGAAGGAATGATGTCGGTATTATTCTTCTCTTGTCTTTAACTCCGTCTCAATTCCACACCTTCACTCCGTGTAAAACCAACCAACCGCTTGGTCTTATCAACCCGATCACATAGACCAGATCAAGATCCACATCAAGTAATATTCATGATCGTATCAGACAATATCAAGTGTTAAAGAGGGAAAAAAAGTAAATGAATGTCATATAGTAGGGATTTCGAACAAACATGCAATGAGCGTTAAACAGTCATGACAACGGGGCATGCATCTACACCACCAACCAACACAAACAGCCTGCAAAAAAGAAAGGAACTATCACTATACTATCGCCGTTTCACCTCCGAAGCCCACCCCTCAATACCTTCGCCTTTCGTCCCCGGTTCAATGCCCAAGTCTTGAACATCGCTCATACCCAGAGTCGTTTTCAAGAAATCATGACTAGACATTCCGCCTGCGTTCGCTCTATCCTCTGGCAGTAGTTCGAGCATGGGTAATAGGAATTCGCTTATTTGTATGGCTTCTTCGGATGTGAAGTGGTATTTTTCGCGGAGGACGTCGGGCAGAGCCCAGTGACGGAGGCGATGGATGTTGCGGAGTTCGCCGCGGCGGTTGAAAATTTCCTGGGACCAGCGGCCGGTCATGCAGAGAGAGCGGGGGAAGTTGCCTAACAGTTCGATTATTTGGGCGATGTGGTCGTCGTCTTTGCCGTATTTGGTGCCAGATTGGGGGTCGAAGAGGTAGTCGCCTGTGATGAGTTCGAAGACCTGCCATCATTAGATTATTGACATCCAAAAGATGGCGGAGATACACACCATGCACGCCATACTCCATACGTCTGTGCTGGCGCCCCATTTTGCCCCAAGAATCACCTCTGGTGACCGGTATTGACGAGTCTGAATATCGTTTGTGAAATGGTGTCCAACCCAGCAGGCGTTACCCAGGTCTGCAATTTTGACGGAAATGATGTCGTTTTCGCCCTCCTTTTCTTGGCTAGACGACTCGGATGTGCTTTTGTCTAGGGAGATACCGGATACCTCTCGTTCCAGTAGATCACTGCATATTTAGTTTCATTCTGGAATATAAGAGTGAAGTACTCACGCTGTCTTTTCACGCTGATTTTGCTTTTCATCTTCGGGAATTGTGGGAATGTTTTCCTTGATACCCAGTGCATCTTTCATCGACAATCCAAGTTTCGATGTATCTAATTCGTCAGCAGCTACTATAGAGGGCTGCAAGAAGTACATACCAGAATCGTTCATCACCTGGCTTAGACTACTATGTGAGCTGCTCATCTTGAACGGATCCATATGACTGAAACTGGTGTGCAAAGGACTCGGGAGTGGTTGACTCCCGGTAATGAGCGTCCTTCTCCTTCGGCGACCATTGCGATTATCATCCTTTTCTGTCTTTTGTTCCTCCTTCACATACGTCTTGACAATCTGTTCCACGTCGCCGATCTCGATCAAAACGTTCTCCGGCTTCAAATCCGTGTGGATTATGCCGCATTCCCGATGCAAATAATCCAATCCGAGCAACACCTGTTTCGTAATCTGTCTAACCAACGGCATCGGGATGCCACGGTGATTCCATCGTTTAATCAACCCGAGCAAGTTCTCGCCAAGTACCTCAAAAACCATGCACACATGCACACCATTAGGACCCTTGTGCTCGAATGAGTCCAACAGACTCACGACGTGTTTCCGACCTGGGTGACTCGGGTTTGCCTGGACGATTTTATTGAGCAATTTGATTTCATCAATCGCGGTCTCGGTGTAGTGTGCAGCAGATCGCACGACTTTTAATGCGACGTGTTTGCCATTTGTCGTGTCGCGCGACAACCAGACAGTCGAAAAATGGCCCCATCCCAGCTTGCGAACGACAACGTACCGGCCGTTGTTGTATGTCTCGCCGACATGCACCGGGTGGTAACCGCCTTTGCAGTAATCCTCAGAATCCTCTTCGTCTGCCGTGGTTTCTTGCTCTTCTCCGGATGACGACGAGTCGGACCGCGACAGAGGAATTCCGTATGCAGCTTTCTGGTGAGGGAGCGAGGATGCGGCCGGCACACTAAACAAGTCAGAGAGAACATTATAAATAATTCATGGCAATAAATACCCTTGGCTGGAAGTACTCCCTGAATTCGATTCCACCGCCATGTTTTCGTTTGTGACAATCGGTTTCAAATCGGTGCCCTTTCTCCTCTTCTTACTACCATTGCCATTGGCGGCTGCCGAGGCAACGCTTGCCATTTGTTTTCCTTTATTGATCACAGCTTTCTTGATATCACCTCCATTCATCATCCCTCGAGCGTCGCGTGGGTGTGTGGGAGGGTGGTGTGGTGGTGGGAAAAACAGGTTCCGCTGGATGATCTATTCGATCTATCTGATCTAGACCCGTTTGCGATTCCCGTGTGTTAATCCGATTGTCGAGCGAGACGACGCGCGACAAAATAATCGATCGAGTGAAAGCGAATTTATTGTGTTGTAGATGTGATTGTCGATTATGGCGAGTGTCGGGGTGCTGTTAGTTGTGCGGCTAGAAGCAGCAGCAGCAACTTGCAAGCTTTTGGGTGTTGGAGGGGTTCCCTTGGAAGTTGGAGCTGTTCTTCCGTCACTACAAAAATTCAGTCGGCCCGGTATGGCCGTGAGCGTATATGAACGACAACAAATAGAAATAAATCAAGCAAGAGATCTGTAGCAGAAAGTAGGGAGAATAGAAGATAATCCAAAAAGAATATCAGAGTTGGAGCGGCGTTGTCGCGTTGTTGTGACGGATGATGTTGGAAGAAAGAAGAGGGGCCGATCGGTGGAAAGTATGAGACTGACGGTCGCATGCAGTACTGTACTATGTATGTCCCGTAGTATGCCCGTATGTTACCAGGTACTCGGCTCGGCGGGAGACAGTAGCACAGAAGATATCAAAGCTGGTGATAGCAGATGAGTATCTTCATCTACCATACGCAGCTAAGATCGCACTCGCAGTCTCGAAGGAGAGGAAAGGAAAACAAGTTGAGCGCAGGTTGGCTACTGTGGTATAGTACGAGAACATGAGTGGGCGCTGGCGATGCTGATTGGAGACTGGCCGGAATTACCATTTCGTGACACAGTCTCCAATCTCTATACATCTTCATCCAGTCTCTTGACTATTTTCTTGCGACTATCAGCAGTAAGTTCACACAGCCTGACTATGGAAAATTTATATCCTAGTATCTCTACATAGATCATATACCATTAAATCCTAGGTATCAGCCGCGTGGAAGAGAAGAAAGTAGGCAAAGACGATCTGGGCGCCTCATCTCCGCCAGCCACCTGCGTTGTGATGTGTGTGATATGCTAGTGTGTACTTCCTAGTTCCTAGTGAGTACTATACTATAGTGTAGTATGGGTCGTCTCATCAGATTCTATTCGTCCCAAACAAGCATCGATGCCCAATCTCAGCCGACTGCCGGTGATGTCAGCGGTGCACCAGGGTTGACTAGGGTTACGGAGGCACGATAAGAGATACCGGTAAGATAAGCGATAAGCATTGGCTCCTTCCTCTTTCTGAACTGACCTTCTTCGCTCCTTCCATTCCGTCTGTGCTAATATCCCTTCTCGTCCAACAACCCCATATCCCACGTTGACCAGACTCCATCCACAAAGCTCTTTATTCCATATCGGTTCCACCATGGCGCTGGTGTGTCACTCCGTCCAATCCATGCCCGAGCACTAGAGTCTCGCAAGAAGAGCTTCTGCCATATTTCCAGACACTCGGCATGCTTCTCGCCGAAGACTCCCTGCAATGACAGAAGCTGCTGCCCTGGGGTATTGAGCCAATACTCTCTCTGTTCAAGGAATTCGTAATAAACATCTGCGCAGCCCTTGCCGTGGAGCGTTCTCTGATGGGTGTTAGCCTGTCTCTCGAACCCTGGATGGATCGCGCACCTTGATCTCTTTCGTCGCCTCCGTATACTCTGTCCATGTCGGCTTCCCATTTGCATTCACTCTTTCCCACTCCCCGTTGCTCTTCTCCCACCATCCATCACACCACGCCTTCCTTGGTAAGCCCCCATTCATCCACTTTCTATACGCATCACCCATAGCAGCAAAACAAGGTATAGGTTCCTCACATTCAGCATGTCTCCGCAGAGAAAGTCGGTATACTGGCCATAGGGTCTCTTTGCGCATGTGCTGTAACCGCGATGGAATGTCCACTTGCATGGCACCTGGTCGGAGCGCCAATATCAGCGGTTCACCCATTTTGATGTCTATCCACGGACACCTAATGCGAAACCAGATGAGCTCTAGAGCAGCAAAAATTCCGCGACATATATTTGGATGCAAGTTCCCTTTATGATCGATCATTATCCAGTCCTTAGGTAGCAGTCGGTCATACCAAATCCGTGCTAGAAGAAAGGCCACCAAGCTATTTGCACGAAAGCAAAGAAACTCGATGTACAAGGAGTAGAAAAACGCGAAGGCAGGGAGCAGCAGAAACACCAATTGGTACGCGGAGAGGAAAAGTCGCTTGGCCGCGAGATCATTATTCTTGGAGGTGATGAAAATCGTTGTGTCAGGATATCGTTGCGCCAACCGAAGGGTCTCAATTGCCTCTGGAGGAGTAGCCAAGTCAACATCAATATCCTCAACAAGCATGCCTCGTGCGAACTGGTCGATGCTGCTGTCAATCCCGAGAGTTACGGCAAGGTCATGCAGTCGATCGAGAACTTCATATTGGGCTAACGCTCTCCACATCTGCTTCACTCGCTGGTAGACAACGATCTTATCGACAAGTCCGAATTGGAAATTCTTCATAGCTATCATTACGATTCTCAAAAAGATGATACCAAAAGAGTCGAAAATTCTATCCAACGCTCGTGTAGTGGTCAACTCGTCCACTGCCGGTATTAGCTTTTCAAGAATCGAGGATCCGTTGTTATCCATGAATCTCTCCGCCAGCGAGATTGCCGATGTCTTCATGAATTCGCCGTACGCGGGTATATCCTCTTTCTTGATAAGCACCTTCCAGAATCCGTCGGGTGAATTTTCCTCTGGCTCTATGACGAAATTTGCCCATCCATCAGGAAGAACGTCTTTTCCAATGAGGCCTTGTTTTCGTCTGGTATACCATTGCTCCAAATTCTTCTTCAGAATCTCAATTACCGTCACATTATCCGACCCAAACAGCCAATATGCCGTAGGAAATGACGGATTGTCCATGATTCCAAGAAATAGTTTCATTCTCTCTTGGAACTTCCCAGACTCGAAGTATTGCTTGGTTATTGGCCCGTATGCCTTGAAGTTCTCTTGCATGTCTTCCACCTCTTGAGCCGTAAAGATATAGTCATCATTGGCCATACCCTCGGGCCCCGCGGTTTCTTCGATCGACTTCAGGACTTGCTCTATCTCTTCCGACGTTGGAAGCTTTCTTAAAATGGCCATCATATAGGCCTGCATTAGTAATCCTGGTCCGCTTGAACCCATGTTGGACGCTGACCGAAGCCGCGAATATGCCGTTTGGCCCCTGACATCCCTCGCACGAGGGTCCACGCCTTTCTCGAGAAGATACTTTACGATCGGCACGCTAGCTCTGGTCACTGCGGAATATAGTAGAGTCTGACGTTCACTGTCAACGATGCCGGCAAGATGTCTTGCATCTTCTGGTGGGACGTTTTCAAAGAAAAGTTTGAGTATTTCGATGTTTGCCGATGCTTTGAACACTATAGAATAGCCTAACTTGCATTAGAGGAATGTTGACCCAAGAATTATGGAGACACTCACCTCTTCCTCCAGAATTATGCAAATAGTCTGCTCCCGCAAGAAGTAGTACCCTTATGATCTGCTTATCGTTCTTTGTCACTCGACTAAGGCACTGCTCAACAGCTAACTCCAGCGGCGACAAATCACGCAGTTGATTAGGCAGATTTGGAATGAAATACCGTGCATTGACCTGTGCACCAGCCTGCAACAACATCTTTACGATGTCAGGATGTCTCCCGATTATAGCTTGATGAAGCGGAGTGGCCTGTGCAATCGCTGATCTCACGTTGGGGTTTAGTTTTGAATGGGTTTGGAGAATGAGTTTCATTATCTTGATTCGCCCCAAGCAAGCAGCCAAGTGTATGGGAGACCAACCTCCAGAATCATCGGGGAGTCTGGCATTGAGCTGTGAAGCGTCTTCCGTTAGTAGCCTCCGCACACCGCGGACGTTATCACCATCGATCAACGTGAATATTAGCGGTCTGTCCCTGTATTCTGTCCGCAGAAAATCATACTCTGCATGAGGCACGCTGAAAGGATAGCCCCCCATGAATTTGACAAGTTCATAGATATCCGGAATCCAGGATAGAACTGTCCGCAGCTATTACGAACACACAATCAGCTTACCTATATTCATCCAACGGGATAAGGTGTGTAATGCTTACAGTATCAAAGCTCCATTTGTCCCAGTCATCGTCTAAATGGGACCTTGAGTCCTCTTTGTCATCTTTTGTTTTGGGCTTTCCCAGTTGACGCTTCAAATCCAGTCTCCTCATAGAGTGGACGACCGGCTCATAAAATGCGGCTTCCTCGCCTACAAGGCCACGTAACTCGGCCATGAGGTTCGCTGGTAAGGATTCTAGAACGCGGTTGCTGATCCCCGTTGTTGTTTGAAAGAAGTTGCTGTATGCCTTTATCGATAGGTTAGCAATATCCACTGATTAAAGATATGGGTTTTAATAAAGGCTAACCATTTCAGTGGAGAATATGCTTCTGAATGGGACTATTTTGAATCTGTCCTGGTGTTTTTGGTTTATGTAGGGGTCACTGCTGCATAGTAAGACAAGACCTAGATGTACCGCAAAAGACGTTCTAGCGTGATACTTACTATCCCATAAGTTTCTGTCTCACATCCGAGAGCGACACCGGTCTCGCCGTTGGATCGAGCGTGACAACGTCTCTAATCAGATCAAGAACGATCCCGACTTTTTTGTCCTTTTGTGATGAATCATTCTCCCAATGAAGTCTTACTTCTTTTTCGATTCTGTCTGTTAACAGATCATGAATCTTCAAGCGATCAAGCTCTTCTGCTTGAACGGCAACGCTGCCGCTTTGTACCAACCGGCTTGGACTCATCCCATTCAAAATGATATACGCCATCAAGAGTCCAAACGAGTAGATATCGCCTGCGACAGGAACCGTATTCGCCAATCGTTGAATCTCTATCGGGCAAGACTGCAGCATCTCCGGTGCCGCCCACTCCCTGGTCTGCCCTCTAAAAACGGCTACCACCGGCTTTACAGTGGAGTCTAGAGAGTGCCTAAGTACGCGATCAACATCCGCGAAGCCAAAGTCTCCTATTTTCGCTACCAGCCCGTTCTCTTTTTCATCTGGGAAAAGTAAAATATTAGACGGTTTGAGGTCTGAATGTAATACTTCGCAGTGATGCAGAACGGACAGCCCGTCTGCAATATCTGCTATGAGACTATAACAATCTGCTCCTTCATCTCCAAGGGTTTGAGCGAATTGTTGGTCTTGCCGAATACGGAAATAGTCTTCCAGAGTCGGTGCCTGGGACCACGCTAGTTCGACTATCATCAAGGGCGCATAGAGGCCTACATCAGGCATTTCGTCCCATGCTAGGGAGTGAAGACGGACTATATTTCTGTGCCCGTACAGCGGTTCCTATACCTGTCAGTTATAACCTTTTCCTGGAAGGTGAGTGGAAAACATACTCTGGCGAGAATCTTGATCTCCTGCGTCATTGCGCCAACCTTAGCATAAAACTCATCCCTCCCCTTGAGAAACACAAAATCCTCTTCAAGTGCAAGAGCATGATTCCGCACCGGAAAATGCTCGCGGCTTACTCTTTTCACTGCCACTTTCTTACTGCCCTTTAATCGGCCACTTCTAGAGAGATTCTTTGTCGGAAGACAATCCTGAATATCAGCTGCAAAAACCTCCATAGTCGCACCCCTCCCCAAATATTCGGCCTCATCCAACAACACCTTTTCCGCCGAAATCTCAATTCTGGCATTGGGAGTAACGTTATCGCTGATCTGGGAGACTACATTCAGAATATTTGCGCGATTGTTTTTGGAGTACAGATAGTTATATCTTGGTTTTGTAGATTCAGATTGATGTGATTGCGACTGTGGTGTTGATGGTGATGGTGAGTGACTAGGACGAGATGAAGATTTTGGGGATGAGTTGGTTGATTGGGATAAGTGTTGGCGAATGCGTTTGTTGTAGTTTTTGATAAAGGATGCGCCGAACTCGGATTCTGGGTTGGACGAGGGCATTTTTTATGTTTCTTCTCGGATGATGGCTAGGTTCTTGTTCGAATATTTCAGTTTTGATAGTTGCATGCATTTAAATATTGAATTTTTTGAGAACTGCTCGACATTTTAGACAAAATAAATGAACACGAGTCTTCTTACCTGTCGACATTTTCTCGCCAGATAACTAGTACAGCCTCGTCCTTAATTGTGTGGCTTAGCGGACTACATCTATCAATGAACATCCATCGTGGCGCCGGCGACGGGTGGTGACACTTCATGTCTGGACTCGGATTCTTCTAACGTGAACGAGTACAAGCTTCGCCATTTATATCATATACAACATTGCAGGCCATCTGAAATTAATTTTCTATATCTGCATACGGAAGATCAAGTATATACATACATCGACGAACATTCAAATGGATATGGCACTAAGCATATCCGGAGTTGCGTTGGCTCTTCCGGGATTGATTCAAGTACCTATCTATACCTACCCACAGTATCAATTTCTGAAAGAGCTCTGGCTGATTAATACGCACAGGTCAGCCTAGAATTCCACTCCCGCGTCTCCGAGATTTTCCAATCCTATCTGAAAGCCATCTCAGACGCCCAGGACCACTGGCTTCTGCTAGACATCCATCTCAGCTCTGTAGAAGCCGATCTGCAATTTCTGCGCCTCAACGCAGGCAATTTTCGCGCTGAGATTCAGACTCGTCTCAGAGCCATACTGCGTCTATTGAATAGAAGTCTTGCTGAAGTCATAGAAGCATTTAATAATGCAGTTGATGTCACAACGGGCCAAGTAAGCCGCTTAAAATGGACATTGAGTATAAAACCTAGATTGGCGAGGCTTGTGCCTGAAATTGAGGGGTGGCAGAGACGGTTTATGGATTATGTGCAGCTCTTGAGGTTTACAGGGTATGGGTTGAGGCTGGAAGATGATGGTGATGGTAGCACGGAGAAAAGGAAGAGTACGTCGTCATCGACGGCTGATAGATTGAGTCGAGAAATTCTTCGCGCACGTGTTGAGGAAGTGCCGATTGATGCATTGGAGATCCCGCCATTAACGAATACTCGCGAGAATCCGGGCCGAATAGAGGCACTCGGCCATACAGACACGAAATTAATCTGGACTTCTGATGCGTTAAACGGGGACAACATCCTCGTCGAATGCCGCACGCACAGCACAGATGCAAACATATCTCAACTCAAGCTCTCAACCAGCAAAGTCGCGCAAATCCTCGCTGCCGCAGGCTCGCAAGCCCTCAATACGCATGTCCTGCAATCAGTGGGATTTGCCTATGAACCATCCCCAAAACGGGAAATTCAGCTATTTCTTAAATATCCAGTGGGTCTTGACGTGCCGAGGACTCTCCGCTGGGCTTTGACCATGACGCCTCTGCCTTCGATTAATGAGAGGTTGGAGTTGTGTCGGCAACTGGCTACGGCTATATTCTATACGCATACGTCGGGGCTAGTGCATAAATCGATTCGACCAGAGTCGATCCTCATATTCCAACGACAACAACAATCTCACGAAAAGGAAGCAAGCCCGAGTGGTGGTTCTACAGGCACCCTCTTCCTAACCGGCTTCCAACTCGCCCGAGAAGACACCCCAAACACCGTGAGTAGTACCCAAGGAAATCAAAACTGGGAATACGACATCTACACGCACCCATCTCGGCACGTTCCCGGAACACGGTACACCATGGCCCACGACATCTACTCTCTCGGCGTTAACTTACTCGAAATCGCATTGTGGGACTCGTTCCTCATCTTCGACACGCACGAAAGAGCGCGCATATTCAATAATGAAGCCTTAGAAGGCGGTCGATTGATTTGCGATAGTCTCAAGGACGGCGATAAAGAGGCCGGAAAACGGATGAGGGAATTGTATGAGTTGGCTGCGAAGGCGTTGTTGCCAATATCGATGGGATGCTGTTTTAGGGATGTTGTGGTTGAGTGTTTGTCGGCGGTGGAACGCGGGTTTGGGCATGCTGATGGTGGAGATGAGGCTGGGAAGACGCAGGATGAAGAAGAGGAGAGGATTGGGTTGGAGTTTATTGATAGAGTGCTTGAGAGGTTGGAGGAGATTCGGGTTTGAGATGTTATCTACCCCGGTATGAAGTAATGGAAGGAGGGGGTAGTTATACTAACAGGAAAAAGACTGAGAACGAGCGAATCAAAGCCCACTCAGAACAAGAATTGATAGTTGAAGTAACCAGAATATACAGATCAAGCCTGCAATAGTCTACTATTTATCTTCATCAAGCTTAGCGAAGACGCACGACCTTTTGGCTGAGTCCAACACTGAAGCTTAGGGACTGCTTAAGTTTCAGACGATGGTATTATACCGAGACTTTAGTAAATTGATAGCAGTTTATATTCAAGATTTCTAAGAGATCGTATGTGATACAAACTTACCCAAAGTTATGTAGGTTCTAAGCTGGGAATGACTTAGGGCTTTGGAATGTAGCCCTAACTCCGATCTTAAACCGACGTAGCAATGACTTTTTCAACAATAATTGGCGCAATCATATCTCCCTCAAATTCAGATCACTATAATAAATCATTCGAGGCATTTTAATTGATCCTTTCTTATCGCATCTTTATTTCCCCCTGAAATAAGTCCAAGATCTGGTGATATCTTGTTGCAGGCAAGTGTCTGATGCCGCGGCTCGGATTGAGGTAGCCCAAAGCGGTATGGTACCACTACGCTACTATCCATATGGAAGCATGGCAGCTGGCACATGTTGACTACGTAGACCGCTCAGCACCCCCTCAGTCTCTACAACTAATATCGCACTACCATCTACGCTCATTTATTTCTTCATCGGCTACTTTCATTTATTATGCATTACTGATACCATATCTAGAGTAACGCTCTTGAGTATCTCCCACTTTCTCGATAACCGCGCCAGATGGCTCGAGACCAAAGCGCATCGCATCGCATCTAACCCATCACATAAGCATCAACAACAATACAACAGACCGACCAAAGCCAAAATGGCAAATCCTTTCATCGAACGACCCCTAGTCGACCGCCTTCTCGCCTCCCCACTCGCCTTTTTCCTGCATCCCATCCACATCCTTCTCCTCCGCCTGCGCGGACCTCCTCACCTCCCATCCTCATCCTCCACCACACGACCCATCCGCGTCGTCTGCATATCCGACACCCACACCCTCGAATGGAGCGACATACCCGATGGCGATCTACTAATCCATGCCGGTGACTTGTGCAACGACGGCAGCGTCCGCGAAATCCAAGGAACCGTAAACTGGCTCAAAACGTTACCGCATCGACATAAAATCGTGATTGCGGGGAACCACGATAGTTATTTCGACCCTAGGTCACGATTGGATGAGGATCGCGAGGAGAAAGTCTCCTCGTCGCTGGCGAATATATCTGCGTCGACGGCGTCCATACGGTCCGTGGATATCGATATTGACGATTTTGAGGGCGGGAGGATTGATTGGAGCCACAACACGCCGACGGAGGACTACGACTACGCCAGTCACAGCGACGAGTATCTCAGCGAAAAAGGAGATGATCACAGAGATGATATCCACTACCTCCAACACTCCTCCATATCCCTCACCTTCCCCGCGCTCACTCCCAACCAACGCTCGCGCACCCTCAACATCTACGGCGCCCCTCAAATCCCTACCCCAATGCCCTTGGGCCCCGAACACGCATTCACCTACCCGCCTCAACAAGACGCATGGACAAACACAATCCCACCGGAAACCGATATCCTCGTAACCCATACCCCACCTTATACACACCGCGACCTAGGCCCTAATTTCAGTATCGGCTGCCCGTTCCTGTTAAGCGAAGTATGGCGCGTGAGGCCCATATTGCATGTCTTCGGGCATGTACATTTTGCGTATGGTTCTGAGCCTGTGTTCTGGGATGAAGCGCAGCGAGCCTGGGAACGGATTTCGACGAGGTGTTCGGCGAGACAGCGTCAACTACAACACTCTTCATCCAGCCTGATGGCGCGGTTTGGAGGACTATTTTACGATCTGATCACGCCCAGGAACTGGCTTGATGCGTTTAGAGTGCTGTTTTATGACGTCACGGGTATCATCTGGGCGCGGGTCTGGGGTGGTCAGGTTGGGCGCGGAAGTGGATGGATGGTGAATGCGGCAATGATGTATAAAGATACAGGCGTGTTGAGGAATAAACCTCAAGTTTTCGTCCTATAGCCCTTGCTATCAACGTGTTGAAAGAGGAAGATCTGGTTAATAGGTTTTTGTGACTATGTAGCATTGTCTAGCGTATGTATGTAATATATTTAAATATACGAATGAACATATTCTCTTTCAAAAGGGTATAACCGTGCAATAACTAAAGCTTCGACTTCTCAGCAAACCGCGGCGACACCAAAGGATCATACACATTCAGTCCTAACGTATCCGAAGGCGCAGCATAATGCCCACCCACCAACCCTCTCGTATCTAACATACTAGGATTCAAATCTTCAACCGTAGCCGCACCAATTAATCGCATATTCATCTCCAATTCGTCCTTGAGCAGCTGGAATGCGCGCTCAACACCTTCTTGACCATATGTGGACATGGCGTACAAGAAGGGACGACCAATACCAACACCCTTTGCGCCGAGGCAGAGAGCTTTGATGATATCCGTTCCGCGACGGATGCCGCCATCAATGAAGATTTCGATTTTGTTTTCCCAGCCGCGTTCGCGGAGGATGGGCATGACTTCTGCGAGAACTTCGATGCCCGAACGCGCGAAATCGAGTTGTCGGCCGCCGTGGTTGGAGAGAACGACGCCCTCGACGCCGGCTTCGACGGCGCGGAGCACGTCCTCCACGCACTGCACGCCTTTGAGGATGATGGGCATCTTGGTGATGGATTTGAACCAGGGGATATCCTTCCATGAGAGACTGGGGTCAATGAATGAGGAAATTGCGCGTGCAGCGCCCTGTGATCGATCAATGTTATCGCCGCCAGACGCCTGCACGTTGGAGCCCGTATCGGAAAACTTGACACGCATATCCTTCTCTCGTCGACCCAATTGCGGCGCATCAACTGTGATGAAGAGTGCTTTGCAACCCCGTTTCTCGGCATGCTCGACGATTCGCTTTGTGATTGATCTGTCCTTGTTGACATACAACTGCAGCCATTGTACTTGCTCGCCTTTGCGTGCGTCGACAATCTCGTCAAAGGAACATGAGGCCAGAGTCGGGATCATCTGGATGACATCGTGGCCGTGAGCGGCCTTTGTGAGCACAACCTCACCCTCCGGATGACCAAGTTTTCCGAGTGCGGTGGCAGTAACGTAGAAAGGGACGGAGGTTTTTGTTCCGAGCATTGTAGTCGAAAAGTCGACCTTTTCAACGTCGACGAGGATACGGGGACGGAACCAGACTTTGTGGAATGCCGTGTGGTTTTCTCGCATTGTCTAACATCGTTAGCTCTAAAATATCAGAGTTAGGGTCACTAAACACACAATCTCATCATCGGCACCGCTCGAATAATACGCCCAAGCCGTATTCTTCATAACCTGTCTAGCAACGGACTCGAAATCCAATAAATTGTAGCATTGAGCTAGCGCAGGCATGCGCTTCACGCGCTCTTCGCGCTCAATCTCAAGGGGGTCTTTGACCTTCTCGTCATGTTCCACGGTCGACATGTCGACTGGACCCAGGTGCTTGGATGCATCGAGGTACTTGTCGAGGGTGTCGGGAGGGTGAATCGGTTCGAATTCTTCGGTAGCATCTTTGCCAGCATATTTCAGGATTATTTTCTGGCCGCCGGGGTGTTCTATTCTGTCTGTCAGTACGCAATTGCGTTCTGAAGCGGAAGCAACATACCCGGCAAGAATTCAGTGACATCATATGCCTTGCCATGCACAATGACCCAACACGAGTCTTTGTTATTGTGCTGAGCGACGTCTTGGCCTGTGAGCTTAGCCATTATGTATATAGTATACAGATATTCTAAAGAACAAGAGAAACGAAAACAGTAAGTGAAGAAACGAAAAGGACGAAAAAGAGAGTGGTTATATGTGGCAGCCCAAAGAAGGAAAGCTGGATTCGGGACCTCGGGGTAAGTCCTCGCGAGCCAATCATGTACTGCAAATATCCTGTGGGGAGCCAATGAGCCAATGAGAGGGCAGCTATTTGGCAGTCAGTTTTGCGGGGAGCTTCGGGGGAAGGCGCGCTCTCGGCCGATTGTTGGTGCCTCAGGCTGCAATGCTAAGGCCGAGGTTATATTCTTATCTTCTCTTCTTATCTTCCTCTACATCAGATTCACTCGGGACTAAAGATGAATGTCAAACTTATTGTCCTGATACAGTACTAGACTGACAATTCAAGCATAGCACTATGTTACGTCGTTGCACGTGGTACAACCTACATACCGCCTAAGCTGCTAAGCAAAATGCAAATGCCTAGCACCACCACCAACGAATAAAAATCCCGCTTCACTCTCCGCTCCTCATTGGCGACAAGAATAAACTCAACGAACGCGATCTTCAGCTGCAGTGTGATGCAATGCAAGCCCATCTCATGATCGGCTGGTTGGCCCGTCAATGTATAGGTACGTATGTACGTAGTACTCCGTACTGGCAAGTGACCAAGTTCTGTTCACCGAGTCATGCAAAAACAGGGAAGTTGGAGTCATCGGCTATGTATTTAGCACTTAGTTGCTGAAGAATCAAACTTTCAGAGTCAGAGTCAGATCTGGTGATCTAACTGATCAGTCATAGTGGCGGTGTCGAATCTACAGTTGCTGTAGGTAGACACCAAAGTCGCGCTTCTTATCGGCATCTCATAAGGCTGGCACTCCCTAAATTAGCCCCGCAGAACCCGGTCAGCCTCTATTTGTCGCTCCGGTCTATAATCCACTACGGAGTAGAGATTATTCTTATCTATTCTTTTTATTTTTATCCAAGATCTTTACAGATTGTCTAATATTTATTTTTGGAAATTCTAGCTGGATATGCCCATCCAGCTCGCGACATCTACTTAGTCGCGTCTCTGTCGCGACTCGGTAAGCCCCTCACAATGAGTTCTTCCCTCGAAGCCAAAATCGTCGTGCTCGGTTCACAAGGTCTGTCTCATTCTCTCGGAATACTATTCCAATTCTAACTGACTACAGGCGTCGGCAAAACCTCCCTCGTAAACCGCTACGTCAAAAACGCCTTTGAACCCGCCAAAATCACCTCCACTGTCGGCGCGTCCTTTGTCACCAAACGCGTCCTCGACACAACCTCTGACACCATCGTGCGACTACAAATCTGGGACACGGCGGGCCAAGAACGTTTTCGCAGTATATCGCGCCTGTACTACCGCGGCGCAAACGCTTGTTTATTGTGTTATGACATCACAGACGAGAACAGTTTCAAGGAAATGACGGGTTGGTTGCAGGAACTCAAACAAAACCTAGGGCATAGCAATGATGTCGGCGCCGGAGGGGATAGTCCGTTGGTTATACATGTCGTGGGCACAAAATCGGATATAGTCGCCTTGGAGCCGTCGAGACGGAAAGTTCCGTTTGAGAGGACGATTGCGTATGTTGCCGAACAGTTATACCCATCGCAAGCATCGACGCCGCCGCCCACAGCAGGGTTTGGGAATATGATTGTCACGACGCCGACGAGTGGGCTGCAGTCTCCCGATAGTAAACGCAGTAGCGGATTCTGGGGCCAGGATATCGGGTGGGATTGCTGCCATGAGATTAGCGCCAAGGACGGCGAGGGCGTGGAAGAAGTGTTTCGCGTGATTGCGCGGAAACTGGTAGAACAAAGAAATAGGCAGTTGAACGAGCTGATGGCGAATGGTATTGGCGGTGCGAATGGCGGTTCATCAGACCCGAATCATTCGGATACGGACGGCGGCGGTGGAACGAATGGGATAAATGGACGAGGAAGTTTTCGGATTGGTATGGGCGATAAACGGCGAAGTTGGTTGGGTTTCCCACCTGGCATGGTGGTCAGTGAAGAGGTGGAAACGCCTGCGCAGCCGGGGAGGCAGCGGCGTCCATGCTGTTAACCTCACTTTTTTCAGTTGATACGCTGTTGGGCTTTTCAGCTCAAGCAAATGCGAACGACATTTGATGATGCATACACGGTGATATGGTGTTTACGAGGATATTTTGGCAATATATGCGGAGGGCTATGTTTGGTGTTATGTTATGCGATATATGTTTCGGTCGGCGTTGTTATGTGTTCTATCATGTTATATATACTCTATTAATGACTACAATGAGATGATGCCTCGCGGTACATACAACTGTCTTGGACTGAAATGTTTATAAATGGTATCTCTTCACATCAACAACTTCTCTTGTCGGTTACTAACTTGACATCCAGCTTTCTTTCAGTTGAGTGTTCATTGAAAATCCGTGATTCGGACAGAATGCTCCTGCCATTTCAATCCAACTCTTTGCCTTTGTCTTAAGGCATCCACACATTCACATCAGAAAATGAGCAGAAGCAGGTCAGGGCAGGTGCTACCCTGGTGGCAGAGGGAAAGAGCAACCATCGTCTCCCGTGTCAACACCCTCCTTTTCCCTCTCTTCTCCCTTTTTCTTCTTCATCTTCTCTTCACCTCGATCGATCAATCGTACTCCTTTGTCCTCATTTTCTACCTTCTATTCTCACCGCTATATATCACATATGCTACACACGTATCAACTCGTAACGTAGCATCATATCATCCATCCTTCAAACTGCAGTCTACAACCACTCGAAAAAAACCGAATCACTTCGAGAATGGAGAGACGCGATCCTGGCGACTTCAGGATCAGACTGATTTTACCATACTATGTCGTCGACTTTTTCTTTTTGGTCCTCGTTGCTTACCTGGCATTGAAGTTGGGACGGGTATTGATACATGGGTGTTTCAATGGTGCTAGACGCAGAACGCAACAGTAAGTCCTCTCTACCTCTCAGTTCTTGGAGAGGTGGGAATCGAAGTTCATGGTTTGAGACTGACCTTGGTTTTGTTGTCTAGGGAGTATGTCCACTGCCTTCCAGCCGATGCCTCTCCTCCTAACTCGACTACTACAACAACGACGACTGTCACGACCACGTCAACCTCAACCGTCACGGAGCCGGCGGGCGTACATCTTACTCCGGAAAGGATGGTTTAATTTGCTATATCAACGATGCTGCAAGTGTGATTCCGAGCAAAATCAATTACACCACGCCGAGTCCGTTGAATTCACTAGTTCGCGTACATCCTATGTATATATTGACTTGCTTGTATTGTATAGGGCCATGATGTCGTTATCGTCTATACACACTACTTGAACTTTTGGGAAAGTTATCTGGCCTTTGCATTTCTTTCACAGAACATTGTCCTTTTATGGCGTGAAACTGTTTCCTAGACTAAATTTTTCGAGTCCATTAAATCAACTCTGATGCTCAACATGCACATATTATCCAATTACAATATAGATTTAGACAAACAGACAACTGAAATATCAAGTTCAAATAATACCAACCGCAAAACACGCTACTGTAGACTCTCCTATTCAAAAGAAAAAAAAACAAAGTACAAAACAAGTGACATCCTCATCGTAAAGCCTCAGTACACTCTGTCCACCGGGTTGTCACCCCTGAGTGCTAGAACAGTCGGAGCTTATCGTCGAAGCTATGGTACCCACCCTGCTCTGCTGTCCTCATATCATGGGACGTCTCCATCATCGGCTCGATGAGTCTGAATCACCAAAAAAAGCAGAACTGAGAAGGGAAAAAAACGTGAAAAACTTGAAAGAAGTTCGACTCGAAAGCTCCGATGGGCCGCATCCTCGTGTAAATGGAGAGTAAATGGGAGATTGGAGGGGAGGGGAGGATAAGGGTGGACTTTGAGGGTGAGAAGCAGAGAAGCCAGTGCGAGATGAGTTACGAGGGAGGGTTGCGTACTAGGTGTCAAGCCCAATAGAAACAAAAACAAGAGAACAAAAATGGGAGAGGAGAGAGGGGGTGGGACAAAGATGACACTTTTCAGGCTCTGCTCGTGCTATCTGCAAGGCCTCGAGTTGTATCTGCTTGAAGAAGGGAAGAAGAAGGAGAGAGGAAGAGATGGGGTGAGGAAGGAGGTATTTATAGACGGGGAGATGGTTGGCCTGAGGCTGCGAAGGCGGGGGAAGATTGACTCCGTTGTTGGGCGTGATATGCTGGAAAGTGTTTGTATGCGTGGGGGATGAGGCTTCACGTGTGATTCTGCGAGGTTCTGGGCTTGGTTGTTGACAGTTTGAGGACTACAAACGAAACTAACAGGGGCGTGTGGACCAATGGGAGGTCTTGTACGAGCATCGCGAGAAAGATTTGACGAGCTCGTGATTTCTGGGCGTTTGAAGGGACGATATAGTGTCTTAGATATGGTTGGGAAGAGAAGGCGTGTGCTTGTTGTGAGGCTCTGATATGGGATATCGTGATATTGGACCCACTCGGGCGTTCGGTCGAGTATGACAGGAGTGGATTGTCTCAGAGCTTATCTTGACTTTGATTACATATTCGGAAATTCGTTTGGTTTGGCTGGTTTGCATTTTTGAATAGTTTGGCAGGTCTGGAAGTATCGATAGGGCAAGGAGATCTCGTGTCTTTTTGATACAGAATGACGGGGGGATAATGTATGTACAGAACATGCGTTCTTGAATCGTTCATTCTTGTATATTGAAACTAGCTAATGCATGGACAGATAACATGATTGCTCAAAAACGTCATCAAATCTACGGCTGATTCAAACTGACTAGCTAATAACGTCTATACATGACGTTTCGACAACTCTGTAACAAACGATTGACCCCATTTCGCACTGTCATAGTCATCAGCACCACCACCTCGAATCCAGGGTAAGGATTAAAGACATACCTGGTATTCGTATGCACAAACTTTGCAAGCTTATCATACCTCTCCTTCCGCTCCTCCTTCGACATGCTCAGCCCTCTGTCTATACACTGTGCCATCTCCTTGATATTCGCCGGGTGGAACTGAACCGTGCCATCAGCCATAAAGACAGACGCACCCGCAAACTCAGATAGTGCTAGCACCCCATTTCGCTGTTCTTGACAGGCGATATACTCGAATGCGACCAGGTTCATACCATCGCGGCTTGACGTCAATAAACACATATCTGCAATTGAGTATAGGGCAGTGAGCTCGGTAAATGGGATGGAGCGGTGTAGGTAGATGATTGGTGTGTAATCCGGTTTGCCTATCCAATTAGGTCTGTCTTTCGTGTTTGAGGAGGTTGACGTACTAAACTTGCCATTGATCTTTCCGACCTGGCAACTGATCTCCGTTTCAAGATCTTGATACTCTTTGACATCCTCTCGACTCGGCACCGCAACCTGGATCAACACAACTTTCCCCTGCCATTTCGGGTAATCCGTCAAAAACTGCTCAAATCCATGCAATTTATGCGTCAGGCCTTTGATATAATCCAACCGATCAACGCCGACAATCACTTTGATATCCCTGTATCGCTCGTCTAGATCTTTGATGCGTGCTTGGACTTCATCTTGCTTGAGCGTTTCGCTGAATTTTTCCGGGTCGATGCCGACTGTGAACCGGCCCGTTTTAACTAGGCGGTCTTTGTACAATATTGCGCTATCTTGGGATCGTGCATTTCTACCCAATTAGCCTGCACTCATTGCATACGGGGCAGAACGTACAATAGGTATTCACAGCTCTCAGTGAAATTCTTTCTGTAGTCGTCCGTATGAAATCCAATCAACGTACTCGACAACATCCCCTCCAGAATATCCTTTGCCACAGGCAACACTTTCAACGACTCCGATGGCGGAAATGGGGTATGCAGCGAGAACCCAATACAAGCTTGTCGTTTCTTCCGAGCCATTCGTTCTCTCAGCAATTTTGGCAATAGCATCAAATGATAGTCGTGTACCCAGATGAGATCCTCTTCCTGCGCGGCATCGGCTATGTAGTCGGCAAAAATTTCGTTGACTTTTTTATATGCTTCCCACGATTCTTCATCGTACGTCACGCCAGACTGATAGTGCAGAATCGGCCACAGAATTTGATCTAAACTGTCAATAACCTTTCCCCACAAAACAGCTAAAAAAAACTTACTAGAAAATCCATTATAATGCTTCTGAGCCAACTCCTCATCCAGAAACACTGGAATCGCATTATGCGACGCCAAACTGCGCCGGATCTCTTCCTGCTCTTCGGGCTCCTTGGGATCCATGCCGGGCCACCCGAACCATCGAAATTCGGTCGTCTTGGTCAGTCCAGACAGCGAGGTGACTAGTCCGCCGCTGGACATGCTGGTGATGTAGGAGCCATCTTCGCTGCGTTTGATGGAGAGGGGTAGTCGGTTGGAGACTACGATGAGGTTTCGTTTTGGTTCTGAGGGCATTCTTGTATGTGTCTAAGGTCTGGGAGCGATTGGTGAGAGAGTCGATCATCACAAGCTATAGAAACTTACCTCGACAGTGTCTTTTATTGGTCAATTAGTTTCTTATTTAATGCTACATGGAATAATTCGAAAGTCCATGTGAAATGGATAATCCAGGCAACGTCAAGATAAATGCCAATCTGCCGGATTCTGCCGTATTCTGTCATTATGACTGCAAGACAAAGCTATGCTTGGCGACAGGGGACGTGTAACGTGGTTACATAAAACGAATGGACGACAGGCCGGCAAAGACTTCCATGACATGGTGGCGCTCCAATAGAAAATGATGGCTCAGAGTATGGATCCAGCTCGGGGCAATTGGTGAAGTCGAAGTTGGGGTCAATCTCGATGGTTGACGTCATATGGTTGCTTCCGCAGAACAACAAATAAATTACTTATGGTTGGTATTAAAACATATATTATACTGCGATGATAAAATGGCTGCAGTTCAAGGCAAACAAAAGAACGAGCAAAAAAATGAGCCAAAGTCCAAGCTAGACGGTATCTACTTGAGATATGGAGAAACTTCGGGTGCGATATTGATCAACCTATCGACCAACTCGCCAAAAAACTGCTTCTGGATTCGGGCTCCCTTGGCACTGGTCACAGAAGATGAGGGACTAATAACACTGAATTAGTATCAAAGTTAACATATAAAAGTGGAGGTTAGATGACTCACGTCTGAACATGACAGTTCGTCAAATACTGCCCATTCGTCTCCGGCCCCGAAGTCATTCCATGCACCAGAGTGCGACTCCCTTCCTCTGTGGTCCGCGCCAAAACCTTCTCAAACACTTTTGCACCGGTAGACCTGCCCTGTTCGGTCCCTAGTTGGAGTGCTGATTTACAGTAACTCGGATTCGGCGTGTTGATGACAATCGCCGTCGACGAGTTTTTAGCGGATCTGTTGATTTTGTCTGCTAGTTCACGACAGGCATAGATGACCAGCAACTTTGAGAGATTGTATCGATCTTCCATATTGGCCGTCTTGGAGTCATTCAGTGTGTTAAAAATGCCTCGGCCGTTCTTGTCCTCCACTTCCTTCAACGAAGCCATGTAGTGCAACGCCGAATTGGGGATCGTAAATCGCGGCGCAATCTTGAACTTTTCTGCAGAGTCGCGCAACTTGGGGATCAACAGTGCAAAGAGCAAGAACACGCCGACTACGTTGATGGCAAGTGTACTCTCATCACCTTCCACGACTCTGAATTTGTCGACCATTATCCCGGCATTGGCAAGTACGCCGTCCACACGTGGCAACGTAGTCGAGACACGGGCAGCGAAATTCTTGATCGACTCGTGACTACCCATATCCAACTCCCATACTTCAATAGAAGTTTCCTCGCGGCCCGTTGATCGCAGTATCTCAGCTCTAGCGGTCTCGCCTTTGGTAATGCTGCGGACTGCCATGATTAGTTTTTCGGCACCGAGTTTGTTGATGTGTCGACTTGACTCGAAGCCGAGACCGGTGTTGGATCCGGTTACGATGTAGGTTTGGCCAGTCAGATTGGTTTTGGGGACGGGGAGGGAGACGAAGAAATTGGAGAAGATGGTCGTAGCGACGCCGTGGGCAGCTGATCCGGCGGACATCTCGATCACGGTAGAGAGGTTTTTTTTATTTGATTTGATGGGTAATATCAGTGTGAAATGTTCAGAATAATTGTCGAGTTAGAGTCAATGATTTTGTTCTCTTCAAGGCCCTTTTATATGTTTTATTGCCTCCTATTCCTGGACAGCTCTTGTACCATAATACTGGAGCCTACCACAGGCTCTACACGGAAATAGACTATTTCCACCACCTACAGAATCAAAACCATTATGCTCGACATTATTGACTCAAATAAAATCCAAATCTCGATGTATGTATGATAAATCCGGCTGGAAATAGTTAGGGCTACCGGAGATATTATCTCCGCCGCCGGGATTATCGTCAGACTCCACTTATTAGGTGCCTGAAGTTAATTGGTCAAGTCCCAACATCCATCTTGCTCTTCTCTTGGAATTTGACAAGAATATAAACGGATTTATCCTCTGGCACTTATCCAAAGAAAATATTCACCTCTCTGTATAATCGGCGTGCTACCGGCACTATGAACTCCAAAGACATTCAAAGCATGTACAGAGACAGTAAACGGAACCGGCGACCAACATCTTGCGAACAATGTCGTATACGAAAGTACGTCCCTCCGCACTATTTTTCTCTAATTTCTTGTTAATGATGAAAGAGCAAAATGTAACCGCGAACTGCCCTGCGAGAATTGCATCAAACGCGGCGAAAAAGCGACTTGCAAATACGCAAGCAATGCCATCCGCAACTCGGCGGGCAGGCGCAGAAATAGTAATGTAGGTGAACGGCTGCGAAGAGTCGAGAAATTGGTTTCGGAGCTTGTTGGCTCTGAAGGGAATGTGCGGACTGCTGAGAGGCAGAAAGGAGTTGTCCATGAGAGTGTTCAAGAGGAGAGATTTGTGCCACGCAATAGCAATACTGCTGTTGGGATAGAACAGCCCACTCCGAGGAAGGCAAGAGGTTATATAGAGGATGCCCACTGGCTGTCGATCCTGGATGATATCAAAGAAGTCCGTGAACAACTCGCTCAGTCAGATATTATGACTTCTCCAGAGGACAATGCAGATATGAATGACGAGGCGCAGGAGGAAGAGATTGACTTGGTTTTGGGAGCTACACAACCGTTACCTACTCTTCAGGAGATCGTCAACTCGCTGCCGCCGAGGCCGATGTGTGATATGCTCCTGTCGCAATATTTTACATCACCGATTGTTTTGCGTACGTTGTCTCCGGGGTAATGGAGCATGACTAACTGTTCATAGCAATTATCCATACTATTAAATTCCAAAACGAGGTATGACCTCCTATCTGGCAAGGGATATGAACTGTGAACTGACAATTATAGTACGAGAAATTCTGGCAAGACCCATGCAAAGCACCACCCCTTTGGGTCGGACTGCTCTTCTCCATCCTCGCCTGCGTCGCCGCCGTCGCGCAAGCCATGACCCCAACAGCAGCAGAAACCGACAACAAACCGCCTTCTCTCCCCGTCAAACCCCTTCGCCGCAAAACAGTCCAATGTCTCATCATGGGCAACTACACAAACGCCAATTCCTACGCCCTCGAAACCCTGGTTATGCACCTCCTAGGCACGTACATCGACAAGCCCGACTCCAGCTTCGATGGCTGGTTCCTGATGGGCACCATAATCCGTTTAGCAATGCGAATGGGGTATCATCGCGACCCGACAACTTTAAAGCCTGACAGTAAAATCACGCCGTTCGAAGGCGAAATGCGAAGACGACGATGGCATGCAATTCTGCAGCTCGATACGCTAATGTCGTTTCAAATGGGTATGCCGAGCGTGATCCCCCCCGAGTTCTGCGATACAGCACCACCCCGCAACCTAAAAGACGAGGATATCTGGCCTACCATGTCGACACTCCCACCCTCCCGACCAAGCTCGGATTACACACCGGTATTATACACAATCGCCAAAGCCAGCGTGATGAACATGTTCCGCAAAGTCCTTGTGCACACCCACTCTTCTTCCTCCTCAACGTCACCGCCTTCATACCCTATCACGATAGAATTAGACGCCAAACTGCGTGAAACATACGCCTCAATCCCCGAACCCTTAAAATGGCGACCCATCAATCAATCCTTCACCGTCTCATCGGGCCTAATCATTAACCGCAGCACAATCGAACTGCTTTATCTTAAAAGCATCATTGTGCTGCACAGACGCTACCTGAATACAGAACACCACGACCCGCAACGCGAGTTCAGTCGCAGAGCATGTATTAACGCTGCACTGGAAGTTTTATCAAGGCAGACGGAGTTGCATGCCGCTACTTCCAGTCTGCATGGACGGCTGTACGAGGATCGATGGATGGTTTCCTCGTTGACGGCGCATGATTTTTTGCTAGCTTCGATGGTGATTTGTCTTGAGTTATCTGTGCTCATGCGATCATCACCTGCTGGAAAGGGAGGAAAAACGGGATCACCGCATTTCGGGAGGTTGCTGGATGCATTACTCAATTCACAGCGAATCTGGGAGGCGAAAAGTGTATACTCGAATGAGGCGCGTACGGCGGCGTTGACGTTGCAGTTGATGATCGATAAAGTACAGGAGAACAGCTCATTCTCGTCTGAGGATAGACGAGAACCTACTTCCACGCATCAACTTACAGACCCATACTCACTAAGCAACACGACTATATCTACGGCGACTGAATCACACTCTCAAGAAATACCGACATTAGACCTCCCCTTTGCAGACACAATGACAGAAATGATAACCGGCTCAGAGGATCTAGACTGGGTTGGCTCCCTCACCCCTCCCTCCTCTCCCTCAACCCCTTTTAATCCTTTTAATTGAAGAAACTGACTCTGGTTTTGAAATTGCAGGCGTTGCTAGATCACTACCTCCAAAACACAGGCTCGACGCTACCACCTCCTAATGGAGGGCAAGTGGATGTGCCATATGATGAGTGGGGGGTTTTGGATGCCGATATGGGTTTGGACATGACCATGAATATGGATGGAAATATAAGTATGGATCTTGGAGGAGGGCAAGGACATGGGCAGGGATATTATCCCGGTTATTTTGGATAATTCGAACGTCACAAGAATCTCTTATATATTTTTACATGGGACAGGAAGCTTTTCAATGATTACATGGATGAGGGTTTCTGACGTAAAGATATGTATTAATACGTGTATTTATGTGCTAAGTATGAAAACATCACCTTTCCAGGTACAAATAATTCCATCCATTCATCCCGCTACACTATGGCCACCGTTTCTGAACTTAGACTTACAGATCAATCATGCTTCTTTGCCTCCACACTCTGGTATGACTCAATAATCCTCTCCCCAATCTGCAGCGCCTCTCTCCAATTCTTCTGTCTCTCCCAGAACGGATCAGATGGACTCGCGTGATGCAGCGTTCTCGCACGCGCATCTTCCTCTAGCGTCGCTCTCGTAATCTGACTACCGGCAGCCGCATCCGCACCTTCCAACTCATCCACATCATGCGTTAGCGACTCCTCCGGAATCTCAGCAAGGAACTCCTTTCTCATCAAGATCTTCTGTATCCGTTCGTGCGCAATACTCGGCATGTCGATTTTGGTCATTGTCTTCTCGACGGCGTAGCGGACACCCAGGTAGATGTGTTCCGAGAAGAAGATGGTCGTCATAAGCATCCAGCCGCGGATGTTTTCTGAACTGGTGCAATCGTCGCTGTCAAGACCCTGACTCCGCGCTAGATATACAAGAGCGGGACTGGTGATACTGCCCACCCAGGCCAAAAGACCCAAAGTATCCAGCCAGGGACCAATCGTATCAGCGCGTTCGGGGACGGGACGTTTGAATTCTTTGCAGATTTTGAAGAAATCAGATCGCAGTTCCAGCCAGTTGTTGAACAGGAATGAGACCGGGACGAGTGGCCACACGGTCGAAAAGAGGGATAAGTAACCAAATTGAATGACCATTTGGCGGAGGTCATCGGTTGTCTCGTATTCCGGTAGATCTGCTTCTTCGCGAACCTTTTTCAAGAATTCGACTTCATCCGGATGGTCGTCGTATGCGGCACTTGCCTTTTCGTGGCCATTGGCTTTTTCTTCAGAGTATTTCTTGTACTTGGAACTTATTCGCTGGAGAATAAAAGGAAGGATGGTCTCAAGGAAAAAGTTGACAATCTGTGCTGTCACGGCAAAGTAGATGACTTGGTTCCGCAGACGGTTGGGGTCGATCTTGAACTCGGAGTGATGTATTGTCTTCTCATCTTCGGGAGAGACGAAAGGTCGAACAGTTGCTCGAAAGACGTCTAGATATGGAACAATCACATGTGCAAACGGAACGTAGACGAATGCCGTCAGGAAGATGGCCAGATAAGACGTGATGAAGTTTATGACGAGCATTTTCTGGATGAAAGCGACGTCATGGTCTTCTTTGGTCTCGTAGTTTTCGAACTCCGTAAGTCGTTTCGCTACTCGAGTAAGGATGGTACTCGCGATAGGTAGAATAGAAGAAAGAAGGACGGTGGGGATGAAAACCTGACCTGTCAGCAAATACCAGAAAGAGAAAGAAGTGAGACATACCAGGTACGACTTCAACGGACCGTTGTACACCTCCGAGATAAAAATCTCAATAGCAAAACAAGTAGCAATTACAGCCCCTAATGCAACCACCGCAACAAACGCAAACGGGATCTGCAACATTTGTCTCTGCAGCCTTCTCCTCCAAGGAAACACCGGCCTCAGCTCTCCCGTAGCTTCATCTCTCACCTCACTCTCCGGCTTAAAGCTCCTGTTCCTCGACGACAACACCGAAACCCCACGAACCTGCCATCTCAGCGCCAAATCCTCTTCCTTCCGTTTCCAATACTCCACGAAAACCACGCACCACACGCAATTCACAAGCGCATACACAGGCGAATAATATCCCAACATCAACCAAGACGAAAACCCAAACAGCGCTGGAAAAAACAAAAACCGAAAATACGTCTGCAAGAACGAGAAATAAAACCCTACTTGCTCGCCGAATTTGTCCCGAATTTGGTCTAAATCTTCGCTCGATAGAAACGTCTTCTTACTCCAGTCCCGCATCCAGGACTGATTTGTTTTGTCGTCGTGCAGTGGGAATAAGGAGTCGACGTTTTTCCATTTTCCGAATTTGGGCGTTATATTTGCGCCGCCGTCGGAGGTGGGTGCTGTCAGCATGTAGTAGATTGCGCGCAGACGTTCGGCGTCTGTTTGGGGACCGGGGGAGGAGTCGCGGTTGGGTTGGGTGTTGCGCAGCCCATAGAGCCAATCGCGGACACTACGTTTCCAGTCAGCCGAAAATTAATTGCACATGTAGACAGCATTCAGGGATATACCGAGTAGTATGCGTAGCCCGCAATAAGCTCTTGTGCGGCGCTCGAATGAATATGAGCAAAGACGATCTATCTCCCGGTCTGACTTCGGTCAGAAACCCCACTCCCGCAAGAGTCTGCAAGAGGCTGTTGAGCTGCTCCTTTGCTTCTAGACGGTCTGAATCATTGGAACACTTTCATCAGCGTCCTGTCAATAAGTGTAGATAGCTTCGAACGTACCTCCCCCAAAGGTATAGCGAATGACGTAGTCGACATCATAGTTACCCTGAAGGGCGGCGTCGTTGGAGGGTGTTGCTGTCATTGCAGCAACGTCTGGTGAAGTAGAACCAGGCAGTACGGTACGACTTGCGGTGCTGAACGCTAGAAATAAATTAAAGATGAAGTAATGACTAGTCTGTAAGGATGAGGGGAAAACGTGGTGTTTCATGCGATCGATCGAGCTCTTGGCGGTGAAGATCAGGAGATGAGATCAGTCGACGACGTCATCCCGCTGGAAATTGTTAGGTTTAGCCCTGCGTCTAGATTGGGACTTTATTGAGAGCTGACGTAGAGTTATTTATTGATCAATGCTATATACATGAAATGAATACTAGAAAACGAGACAAACACTAATACACCACTGTATCCAACCTATGCATACCGTATTCCATGCCCAAATCCCAGTAATGTTAAAAAAGAAAAGAAAAATGCAAAGAGCGAAAATATGTAATCTGTCTGTCCGAGACAATGTTTATAAGGCTTCTTGCCGAAGAGGAGCATCACATCCACCTCTCCCTTTTCGATGGACTAGGCGTACGCGAGTGTAGCTCTCGCTCCCGACTTCGTCCCGTCACGTAATCCATATTCCGCGACGGCGTGTTTTCAAGAAGCAAGCGACGCGGCTCCTGTTCGTCGTCATTATCCTCATCCCTGTCGTATTTTCGCTGTCGACGCGACGGACTATTCTCGCGACCAGGCGTTTTAGGATATTCGAGAGGATATTGACTGCCGTTGGCGGGATACGAAAGTGGAGGAGCTTGTTGATGTTGATAAGGTGGTTGTCCTTGTGGATTTTGGGCGTTGGGAAATGGGTATCGATCTTCTTTCTTGGTGTATTGGTGTCGTAACGCAATGAATGACCAGTTGCTGGCGATTGTGATGGTAGTGATTGTTAAGAGAAAGTAGGACTATAATCAATTAGTGCCGATAACACATGTCTAAAAAGAGAACGTACGAATGCTTTGAAACTGATCGCATCAACGAAGCCAGTAATGATAGCAGAAATTGTCTGCACCGAGACCGTCGCTCGTGCCACCCGTGTAGGATCCTGATCCATACACCGTTCCCAATTATTGCACACATCGTTGAGCGCTGGGGGTCGACTGGCGAGATTGCAACTATTCTGGATATAAAATTCCTTGCAAGTTGACATTTCCGTAAGGATATCATTCCGCTTCGCATCTGCCGCATGATCGATATCTTGCTTTATCGTCAAGACGAACGAAACCACAACCCATGTGACTAGCGAAAACAGAATCAAGTTCCAGACCAGCTGTAACCAGTAAGACAGAACCGCAGGGAGATTTGGATGTTCATCGAGAAAAGCAAAGAAATGCGCCCACGTTGAGCCTTGCGATGGTGGTATTGTTGGCGATGGTGTTGACTCTTTGTCCTTTTTGTCGAGTTTAGATGGTTGCTTCCCCTCCCGACTGCTCGGTCGGTCACTATCGTAGTCACTATCTCTGCGCAGATGCCGATCGATATCACGGTCCCGTATCCGTCGTTTATGAMCCCGCCGTGCTGGATCGGTCGTATGTTTCGTCACACGAGCGATTTCTCCTCTCCCGGGACTAGGGGCCCATCGACCGTAAATTGCGAATAGCGAATTTCGCTTCTCTTTCTTCTTCATCTGCACGGGTTCGGGGGTATCTTCGTTATCGGCATATTCAGGTGAAGACATGTTCTCTGCGCCAGAGGAGAAATCTAGATCGAACTTGCGAGGGGTTTGGAAGGCGGGTTTGCCAAAGATGGCGCCAGGCCGAGTTGGTGATCCATTACGCTGTGGCGACGGCTGCGAGAAATTGACCGATTGTGATGGTGGTTTTTTCATCGGAGAATCGAATACAAACGCTGCGTAAATATACTGTCAGTTGTGATGCTCTCTTATAGCCAACCGCAAACAAGGGTTTTCCACTGACACTTCTTCTGATTATCACGCTGCAGACCAAGCTGATAGAACGGTGAAGTAACATCTCCCGGAGCGCGAGTCTGCCACTCAAAGTCCATTGGACTCTCTGCAGTACGTCTGTCCATGATAAGATGATGTGTTTGGTGTGGTTGCTATGATGGGTGTTTTGTGCAGGCGGGAAGTGCGAGATATTTTGTTTAGGATGTAAACAATTCTTGGCATGTCTTCCCGGACGACTGCCGCTCCACTATTTAGTGCCCTTAGCTTATGTACGTACATCTAGCCAGCCCTACGTGTGGACTTTTCTTCTACGAATGGGTTAATCTAGGTGCTTGCTCCGAATCACAAACAGGTATATTTGGCACTGATAAATATCAATATCAATAATCCGACTATACAATCTGGTGCCAGTCATGACAACCAAAACGATAACAGTGCATCGTGTCAAACAATCTAAACAGAACGAAAGACAGGAAATCAAAAAACAACCAAACCCAATTCAGATCGACTGACAAAAGTACAGGCTCAATCTTCAAGGAACTCAAACGCCGATCGCTCCTCTCTTGATGCCCGATGGTATATATGCAAAAGTGCAATAATGAAACAAATGATACAACTGCGATGAGCGCAACTCAGAAGTCACTGAAGACGCATAACACAAAACAACAAATCAGCATATGTGTGTCATGTACAACTTATGCACTGTCGTGCTCGATAATCTCAAAGTCATCGACATCGGCCGTATAGCCGGTGGCATTGTCGTCTTCGCGCGAGACAAACTCGTACTCCTTGGCCAGTTTTTCGGTCACTTTGTTCTCGTACTTGACTTCGGCCTTGGACACAGCCGTCGCGAGGACAGTGTTGCCCGAGATGGCATATGCAGGGATATCGTCGAGGACTAGCAACGACTCCGGAGCGAAGCTCTCGTGCGCGACGGTTGTCTCGTCGGATGAAGAGTCGCTGCTGAGCGCCTCCTTGACATCGTTCCGGAAATAAGTGTTGTTTGCGTGACGGGCCGAGCGGAGGGTTGACTCGTTGTAGCGTTTCAGGACTGATTGCGTACTGCCGTCCTGTTAGTGCACATACGATAGGAAGATGAGATAAGGGAACATACGCAGAAGAGGCAGGAGCCACAGGACGTAGTCGTACCGGACCGGCAGAGTCTATGGTCCATTTATCGAAGAGTGCAGTCTCTTGTCCGTATTGACGCGCACCGTGTGCCCATTTGGCCTTGTGGTCATGGTCGCGCTTGACCTCGGTAGCTGACCGGCGCAAGTCCGACATGCCGTTGACTGTCGCTCGACTTCACAACGTATTCAAGATGATGTTTGCTGAAAGTAAAACGAAATGCGAGTAATAAAAGGCGAAGATAAATACAGAAAACAAAAGCAAAGAGATGATTCAGCCTTGGTCAGATTGAGTCACCCTCTAAATGACTCCTCGTATGGCGGGTTCCGGATGCGGTTAGCCGGGCGAAGCTGATAAGATAGCAAGATGCAGCAGATAAGGCCAGGTACGGACAGTCTTCTAAGGACGAAGTGACAGTAACACTGGGGGTGATTTGAGATTATATATTGATTCAGAGTGTATAAGGGCGTTGAGAATCACCGGACAAGGTCGGAACAGACAGCAGCGGCTACAGCGACAAAAAAGCAGCAAAGAAGGAACGTGCCAGCTTTGAGGATGACCTGCGGCGCTGACGCCATCCGAGCCCCTTCTTATCGGCCCCTTATCGGCGGCTGCCTGGGGAACCTGCCTACAGTTACGCTATGTAGAGTATGTACGTAGTACTTACTTGTTATCAACCAACGACTGCTACGCGTGGCGGAGTCAGAGGTCTAAGCATCTCCATCACTTGCATACGTAGTACATAGTACATAGTTAGGGTTTGTACTCGGCGCTTGTACTCCATGCTCGCTGCGTCCGGCGTGCGGGGAACTGCCTCCTCCAACTACCCTGAGTGATCCGAGCACTCTTCTATCCATTTGTCTGTTATTGTCTCTCGATCTTATTGACCTAGAGAAAGAATACTCGACGATACACGTGAAGGGAATGCACATACAGAGTGGAGGAACCCTGGAACCGGCTGGCCTGAAAGATAAGGCGCTATCAGATGATCTGCCATCGCGTCATGGGAACAATCTCCGACGCGCCTCCAAAACAAGGTAAAGTAGCTGACTAAGTCTGTGTCTGATAACTACGTCGTATCCAAGAGATAGTTGGCTTGGCCAGTTAGCTTGATACAATTCAGCTGGAACCTGCTACGTAATAATTGTCAGGGGAGCCGATGATAAGTAGTGAATAGCCGCGGCAAATCGTCGAAAATGACCCTAAAAACCCCAAGATGCACCGAGTCTAACCATATTGGGAAGTAAGATCTAACTGAATCGGGAAATCATCTTTTAGCCCTAATTCCTGCTCTGATCACAGCGTTTGAGCGGACGAAACTGCATAAGCGGCACTATTTAGATAAAGGATTTCGTTGATAATGGAGTGTTGTTCCTTCAGTATTCGGCAATGTGAATTTCATACAAAGGAGTATCGTGATAACTCGAAGACAAAGAGCAAGAAGCGGTTGTCAAACCATTGGCTTCTTAGATTACAGTTTTGAAAGATGCCAGACGATGAATCCCTACATGATCTATATAAAAAAGACACAAACTGCTGCCAACATCTCTCCAAGTTTTATCTCTCGACAACACGTCAACATGGGTTATAATCCGATCATTCAGCCTGAGCAATATCACGATGATCTACACAATTCCAAAACATCCAGCAACAACACCCGCAAATCAAAATGAACGGAGAAAAGTACTACACCCTCGCCGAAATTAACCAGCAGCTCGAGTCCCGCAAGGGCTGGGAGCGCCGCCGCTATGAATGGGAATTGTCTCTGATCGACTTTGTCGCTCGAAACGTGGCCGACGAGCCTCTCCGCGAAACCCTAGCCATGCCTCCGGACATGCGGGACGAAGAAGGTTTCGTTGACGATGAAATGCATGTCTGGGGATGGGTGCCTTGTGGCTACAAGGGGATAGAAGTTACCCAAGAATTCGCGAAAGAGGTTCTTGCGGATGCGGTGCTGGTGATGCTGAATGAGCGGTTGAAGAAATTGAAGAAGTGAGTCTGAATACAGTCACCCAAATGTAAGTTTTAGTATATGGAACTAACGATGGTGGTAGTTATGTTGGCCTGTATTATGGAGGTGTGGAGGATGGCTATCAACGCATATACATCAATTACGTTGAAGAAGAGCCTGAGCTTCCGGATCATCTCAAAGACCTTCCAGTCCTCAAGATGCAGAAGTGGGACCCGTCGATAAAGATCAAGTCGAATTTCGGAAAATCGTACCTGTAGCTTGGACCCGGCTCTCAGGCCAACGCTTTTCGAATACCGAAAGTTTGGCACATCCAGATTCTACTTTGTTGACTTGTTGATACCCTGTGATATGAGTACGGATCTTTCTTGCACATGGCAGAGGTTGTCAAATTTATTATGGCTACAGAGGTACATACCCCATTTTTTATTATTACAATTCAACTATGTAAATGAGGACGAGACTGCGTCCGCAATTTGAGTAAGTTGAACTGCAGCTCCCATCTATATGGCCTCTTCTTGACTAATTTTCATTTCAGCTCATTGGGATCTACATGCTTAACAGCTTACGTCTGAATCTCCGTAACGCTACTCTAAATGTGGAGAACCCGGGAAATGAAGATGTTGAAAATGATATGCTCGAAAAGTGGCACGATCTCACAGACCTAGCCAACAAGAAGCTCAAATATTTGATTCAACTCTTCTCGTCTAACATGGCTGTGAACCTATGTCTATTCAACCTTCGCTGAACCCATGTATATGAACTACCTTCAATTCCGTAACTCCTTCCGCCACGAAGCCATGTCACCCACGTCAGATAGAATATTGGCAATAAATCACCTGAATATACTAAAGAACGTATTTGACTTTGATTTCCTACAGCCAATACACGAGAAGAATAGTAACGAAGAGAATACGGAAGCTTAAAACTACGTGCAGGGCGTCATAAAGTGATACCTCTAGATTGTCATTTTGATCTGGACTCATCCAAGTTTTACTCAATCCATGACTCTTCGAACATGAGAAGTCATCTGCATGAGGTATAAATATGGATGCAGTGGCTTGACAAGGTCATATACATATATTGTTTTTTTTTTCAAAATTTAGTGCGTCTCACGAGTTATCCCCAAAGACTAACTCGCCGAAAAGAAAGGAACAATGCCACATGTCCAGGAAGCGAAGACAGACATAGAACAAAATGCATTATATCAAATTGAATTTGAGAAACTTCGAAAAAACGAAGAATTGCTACGAATACGGGTCGCAGCAGATCTAAATGATGAGGACAATAAACAAATATGTGAAGTTCCTGCCATACCAGCTGCTCGCCATGATGAAAATGGAGATATTGCGAATTAAAAGATGTTTTCGAATACGTTCCATGCAAGGTATATAGATCTGAGGTTCCCTATGACTTTGCAAAGTATCTCATTACAAGGGCGACTGCAGATGCGGTTGGGAATTACGTGGCTGACTTGAATGGGTAAGCTAACCATCCTTTTGCAATAAACGGGTTTTTTCTGGCTAACATGATGCGAATAGGGGCTACACGAACTTGGAGATAAAGCTTTCTACACATCCGGAAGATGGTTACCGACAAATCATAACAGTGTGGGTAAACGAGATACCCGAGGTACCGAAATATTTGGAGAAGCACCCTGTTATTGCATACAGGAACAGGCGAGGCGGGAATGAGCCCAAGAATCTTGAGTCGATCATTTAGTGCATGTAAAGGGAGCGTTGAAGTAACGGTGTCTGTGATTCCCCTGCAGCGAAATAACCGCCTGGGCATAAGCCCTACTCAGATACCAGCAAAGGACTTGCCTTGTATTGCCAAAGCTGTAATCAATTCACCTTTCTGATCGTGTATTACTGATTTACCATGTAGGTAATTTGACTACTCGTGCTTGATCAGACGATGGTCTAGTATTGATTGAAAATACAACAATATAACCCCATCTAATATTGTCTGGACTCAATCATAAATAACTCATTTGAACGACTCCTTCCACCATGCAAGTCACCCGCAAAAGAAATATATTTGTCAATCACACACTGGAAAATGTAGAATATTATACTATTTGTTTCATCCACAACTCAGTCCTTAGAGAACCCAGCATTTTCCAACTCAATAGCGCGAATACGCGTGTCAAATAAGTCCAAGCTTCGAACAGCGACATATATCGCAGCGCACGACGTCAAAAGAGAAGCGAAAATCACAGACGAATGAAGCTCGTCAACAGTATCGTAATAGAGACCAGAACAAGGGAATACGTGAAGTCCTTACCGCACCGCCTCGTGACGGCCAGCAAGATGACCAAGAAGGCATGGATAGGTCACAAATTATGTTCGCATACGTTCTAAAGTTGTTCGAGGCTGGGGGTCTTGAGCTCCGCCCCTAGTCACGGCCCGTGTCGATTATTGGCTGGCTATCTATTATTAGTAAGATTTGGCTAATTATCTTCAAATTTGATGTGAACTCTCAAAGTTTACGCACGTAACTTGTTACAACGGCTACTTAGTTAATTAATAAACTGTCAGGGTTGTTGATCCGTGTATTAATCCTTCCCACCAGTGCTCACCCAGAAGTTCGTCTGTGGCAGTGTGTTGGACCAACGTGATCAACAGGCGATTTGTCCCCACTATCACTCGCGGTTCCAACGTTAGCTAGAAGTCCGACGCCTCGAGCTAAAATAGGCTTCGTGTTAGCCTCCAATCAGGCCTGTAACCAACATGATTTAATGAGCCGCGTCAAAGCAAGACACCCAGAGAGGCTCAGCTGGACCTTGGCCAACACCTAATTGGTGACTCGGGCGTCATGATTCGATGTTACACGTATACGTGCATACATACATTGTACGAAGATGGTATTCCCCTTTTATTTTTCTTTTTCCTCTGTCCAGTCGTCTCTCGGTCTTAAAAGTTCCACCTCGACTTTATCCGAGCCAACTCGTGAAGAGAAACCTCAGAGAGGTTGATAACCAGGTACATACACGGACACTCAACTCATCGGTACCTGCGAACAAACCAGAAGCAAAACGTCATGTCCGCGACGTCAACAATCTCCTCACGAACTAACCTCCTCGGCCCGCTAACAACAACATGGTCCGCACCAAGTCCCTGCCAATCTGCATGGCAAGAATGCGTTACCTGCTCCAATGCCTGGCAGGGCCAGGGCTGTCTTGATGACGGCTCAAATCAAGATACTTTGACCTGCTGGCCGCCAGTCACAGAGACCGTCTCCGCTATTGAGGCACCTTTTCTCGGATTGGGATTCTATTCTCCCGGTCTTGCGTGTCCTGTGGGCTATTCGACGGCGTGTGCCATGTCTGGTGCGAGTAACGGGTTACAACAGTCGATATCGGGTCAACAACAATTTCAATTCGAGTATGCGCCTACTGCGGGCGAGACAGTGATTGGCTGTTGTCCGTCGTAAGTCTATGACTCTCGCGATCAATCGAAATTGGTTGTGAAGCTAAGGGAAATGTAGGGGCTATGCATGTGCGACAGGCGTCAACGGCCAAACCTGCTCACGCCAAATCGCTTCCACAACCGAGCCATTCCTTACCTGCGCAAGCGGCGCATCAACAATAACAACATCCGTCGTCCTCCCTGAAACAGTTACGACAACGGCTTCGAGCAGTATAGCTGGAATAGAGACGATAACACAATTTTTGATTTGGGCGCCGTTGTTTCAGTTGAATTATCAAGCCACAGATCTACCTACATCGTCGACTCTCAGTACTGCACCAGCAACGACCACAGCGGCCCTGCCGTCGAATACGACGACCTCCTCCAGCAGTGGTGGTAGCAGCCATACCACAACAATCGCAGTCGCAGTTGCAGTCCCAGTGGTGGTTGTCGCACTCATAGCAGCTGTGCTGGGTTGGTGGCTATGGAGGAAAAGAGCAAGAGCTGGTCGTGGATCATATGCTGCTGCGCCGCCACCACCACCGGGGTCAGACGACAGAATACCCAACGCGCCTACAGAATTATCACCGCATAATGCTTTGGTTGAAATGGCAGTTCCGAACAATCCAGTACCGCCGGTTGAGATGTCGCATGAACCAAGCGTGCCGAAACCGTTTCATGGTGCAACGGTACATGAGATGGGGTAGATGAAAGACGATAGTCTACATGTACATAGTGTGTATACTCGAGGATAAGCCTTTGAGTACGTCAAAAGAAGATCTACATCAAACGGTTACTCAGAGACAAGTAATATTAATTGTAGTACCTAACCAACTGCCAAACTTGTTATAACCAAAGAGAGGTGTAGTAAAAATGTAGCTGCACATGGCTTTCACGACCGAAAGTCTCCCCATTATCAGATCTCGAATCCACTTTGATATGCCAAGATCGGGACATTGAAGACAAGTCATTACTGCGCCGTACCAAGAACTTATTGGCGATCACTCTCATCTGAAAGAGTCAACCCAATGAAACTGATAGTCCCAGACATCATCCGATCGTTTGGTAAATAACTTGGCGGCGCTGGAGTAATCTTGCTTCCGAAATCATCATTGCCGATATCTTAGCGAAAGCTTGCTGGGTCGTACTCGCATTCCTCCAACCTAATGAGAGTTGGCAGATCCTTGAAGCAGTCAGGGATTTCTGGCTTTTCACCATACCAACATGCAGTTATGCTGAAATAGCCATTCTTTGTGACCTGAGAATACCATTCTTCGATCCTATCATCATATCAGTATCATGGATTGTAATAGAAGCCCAAAGCAATGACGGAACTTGATAAAAGGCGATAAATTGACTTACTGTCCTTTGTGTGTAAAGCGTTTGTACACAGCTTTTTCTGTGCCGGTTTGCAGTATACTCGCCGCTAAGTCGTCATCAATGAAGAACCCATCGTGTTCACGAGGAACAAATTGAGAGACGTAATCAGCATTGGTGATTCTTGCAAACTCGTCCCGCTCATTCGGAGATTTCTGCAGTATGTCGCGAAGTTGCTGGTCGGTGAGTTGCCTGCCGACTTTACCAGACAAGATTAAGTGTTGATGATTTCGCTCCCTGCCCGGTTTGGGCTGACGGAGTTGGTTCCCTAACCCGTTTCCGACAGGTGGCGCAGACTGGGAGTTGATTACTCCTGTCAAGTTTAGTGCTGGGGCATCATTCGCTCCCAGATCTGAGGCGTTCTTTGAGTTCATATTCTCAGGCGACGATAGTTCTTCTGGACTGACGGTTATGTTTAGTTCAGGAGCATTCGGATCTAAGGCGTTCTTCGAGTCCATGTTCTCAAGAAACGGTTGGCGTTCAGATACGGTCACAATTGGAGGATGGAAGATAAATTTAAAAATTTATCGTGTTGATTAATTCTATACCTACTGACTCATCTTACTACACGTAGATAAATCACCTACAAAAGAGGCCTTGGATGGAAATTCCCGGTGAAATGATATCCAGCTTTATTATACACTTTTGCTTACTGGAGGTGATGCAATCTATCAAGTCGGCAAACGGCGACTATATTTGTTACATAACCTCAAGTCTTTGACAGCCCTCGAACTCTGAAGAGTTTCTCGCCTTTGTGCAGTTCTTTGTTCGGGAAGACAATTACGCCCGTCAGGATCTGATATAATTGCCTAAATGGACGCCGATGGCAAACGAATTTCACAAGATCAGCCGAATGAGTCAACGTGACCTCTATTTTCGAGGCACCGACACTACTTTTCATTGCCTAGAAACAATGATGACGTGTATGTAGTACAACAGTATTGTAATGTTTCGTGTTTCATCTGTAGAAGCATGAATTGACGTGAGAGACATGTATACCTAGGTATTTCTCTGTCTACATAAGTGACTACAAACAGCTCTACTATCGCGAACACTTTCATCCTCTTTGTACAATCCCAATCCACGAGTACTTTATATCAGCCGTCAAGTGTGTGTACGAACTTCTGGAAATTCATTTGGTAGATGAGTAAGATCTATCACTTCCGGATTTTTCTATCTACTTCTGCGCCATTGACAAGCTATCTTTCATCTACATTCAGCTTCCTTTTTTTATTATATAGAGCGTATTGAGTCAAAGAAACATAGAAAAACTCACTTGTAAAGCAACAAATCAAGTCGCCCAACTACCAATTGCGCCCCCGTCGATGACATGTTCCTTTTACAAACAGCTACCAGTTACACCGAATTGCCATAAAAAATGTACCCATCGAAAGAACAGACATATGGTGCCCAGCGGTATCTGGTCACGGAGAAATCTACGTAATGTAATTGAATTGTCGATATCTTGATGCCAATTATTGCTCTCAACTGAGTTAGGGTCACGGCTAGAAAGCCCTAGCCGAAGCACCACCGAAGAGTATCACCATCTTGATCACGTTCATAAAAAGCCTATAGACACTATTAAAAAACATGAATAATGTTCAGAATAGTGTCTCAGTTGACCAGATCACCTCTTCAACCTCATATATACCAAAACCATACTACAATCATCTGCCACGTAGCGTACCTATACGCATCCTCCTATAATCAATCCAGCTGCTTACTATATTTTCTACACTTTTGTTGTATCTGTCACATTCTTAGAAATTTTATTCATGACTATCGAGATCTCCAAATCAAAATCATTGAGCGAATCACAAGCTCGGAAACAARSGAGCCACAAGTTCCGTGACACGGAACTACAACGACCAAGTATGGCTTAGGTATTCGATTGTGTCTGACACACAAAGAACTTCTAGGATTATCTCCGCTGGTAAATAACTCATTCCCCAACAACTCTTGTATCACACGTAGTCGCGCTAAGATGGGTGGACATCGACAGTTTTTCTCTCTGGCCAATATTTTCAATGATACGACTTTTCAATTATAACGCTGTTAAAGAATTTGATGTTAACAACCCCAGGGGTTACAAAAGCCACTACCACTGATGTCCCAATCCAACAACACTTCAGCGACCAAAAAAAGTAGCAGACAGAACAGCGGATGTTATTCCTTCTACGTAATCAATCGACAGAATTGATCCAGTTCATTTTCAAAAGTTACCCCTACGTACATATAATCATTCCATAAATGTTCATGAATTGGCCCATCAATACACGCAAACGCCAATTATATAATCCCTTAAAATCTACCCATTCCCACCGTTTCGTTTGTTGAATTTTTCATTTTTCAATATTGAGCAGCCAAGCCCTCCAACCCCTCCCCATCAAGCATCATCTTCTCCCACTCCACCATCGCCTGCGCCCCCAACGCCTTATAAAACTTAATACTCGGCTCATTCCACTTCAACACACTCCACTCCAACCTCTTCCCTCCAATCCGCACCACCTCATTCGCCAAATACCGAAATAGTTTCAGTCCATAACCCTTTCCGCGTTGCGAGGGCTGGACGTATAGATCTTCCAAGTAAATCCCGGGCGCAGAGCGCCAGGTTGAGTAGTTGTAGAAATACAGGGCCATACCCACGGGTACATCAGAGCCGGGCGGGAAGATGAGGGCGGTCCATGTTGAGCCGTTTTTCTTCTGTTGTGTCTCGGTGGAGGAGTTGGCGAAGCTAAGAGTTGCTAGTAATGAGTCGTGCGTGGCTTCGACTTGGTCTAGGGCGTGCTCGTAGTCGGCTAGTTCGCGGATGAACTGGAGGATGTAATCGACATCTGTATACGTGTTATTGTCAGTTGTTGACGAAGGTTAGGGTTTGTGATTTTATGAGTTGTGAGGGAGGATGCGGGGTTAATGGATGTATGTAGTTGGAGATGCACATACCCTCTTCATTAGCTAGGCGGATGGTTGGTTGATCGGACATTTCGAATAATTGCTCAATTGTGTATCTTTTTGGAGTTTATACAGAAAAATGTAGTTGACGAAGGATTGCTGCCTTTTATATAGAATTGTCGCGCCCTTTGACAAGATGTGTTCCATATGTTACGTACTGGGTAAGACAAAAAAAGTTTTGTAGACCCGTTGCCCCACTGCGGAGAACCGCCACAGCCTTACATAGTAGTTTTGCTGCTATCGATCCATGAGTCTAGACTTAAATATTATGTACATTAATTTACACCCCTCTATACCTATACCTACATGTATAAATATATGTGTGCTCTACCGAGACATCACAGCAGACATCCATCGCTGCTCATCATTCCTACTCCTCGTTAGTTCAACCCTCAAAAGCAGGGGGAAAAAAAACTTACCGGTCAAAATGTAACAGCATCGCCAAAACCGGAATGAGCTGCTTCTGATGAGTCTTGTCCTTTTGCTCGAGGAATTGCAACAGGACGTTTTTCAGGTATATATAGTCAATAGAACCGCCGCCTTGGCTGCGCTCGGTGGGTGTCTCGCTGCGTGCGACGGACGGGTTTCGTTCGCGCGAGCCGGGGAGGAGTGGAGTACCTCGGCGGCTCGAGTCGATTGACGAGCGGGACGAGGTGATGCCCGACTCCATTGTTGATGGCCTTTTCCCGGCGCCAGCGGTAGTGGTAGTGCCGTTGCCGTTCTGGGGGCTTCCGGCACGACTGAATTCATCTGTAAGAGCTTTGTTTGCTTTGCGCAGCTTTTCCAGTCGGTTGTTTGTCTCTTCGATCGAGCGACGTAGTTCCGCCTTTTCTTTCTCCATTTCTCGTACTTGTCGTTCGCTTTCGTCCAGTGCATCGCGCAATTGGACCATTGCTTGCCGGACCTCCTTGACTTCTTGCGTCGAGCGCTCGGCTTGAAGTTCCAAATCGTCTCTTCTTCGTTTCCAATCGCGTTGCGCATACTCCAACTCTTCTTTGTCGTTTTCGGCAACTTTAAGTGCCTTTTCCGTTTCGCGGACTTTGTTTTTCAGTTCCTCTAATTCCCGAGCACGGCGACGGCCCATAGTATTTGCTTCATCTTCAGCTTTGTCCCGCTCTTCAATTGCCGCTTCGAGTCGTTCTTTAAAGTCGCGGATCTTGGCATCTGTGCGACCTTCAATTTCGTTCAAAAGACGGCGCATGGTCTCGCCTTCGCGACTTCTTTCGGTCAACAGGCGATGAGCCTCGGCAAGCTCTTCTTCCAGACTCTCGCATCGCTCGCGGGCTTCTTTCATTTGCATTGCCATTTCGGACGTTTGGTCCCGCATGCTGGTCATCAGGCTTTGCGCACTGGCGTGTTGGGCTGTCTTGAGCTGGATCTCTTCTCTCAGACTGCTCAGCTCTCGATCGAGTTGGGTAGATTTTTCTTCTGCCTCTCGCATTTTCGCTCGTATGTTCTTCAACTCTTCTTGTGCTTTTGCCAAGTCTTTCGATGTCCTCTCTTGTGTTTCAACCGCCTGTTGTTTCCTCGTCTCGCTCTGACGCAAATCAGACTTGACGAGTGACAATGACTCCTCAGCCTTGAGTCGGCTATCGGTTTCCTGCCTGATTTTCTGATTGAGAGTCTTGACTTCATTCTCGCGATCAGCGATACTCGACTTAAGCGACTTGACCTCCGTACGCAGGTCTTCGTGCTTGTTCTCGAGCTTCTTGAATTCGGCCATCTTTTTGCTGAGCTCTTCTTTTGTCGATTTCAGCTCTGCAGATTCGGCGCGCAGATTCTTCAATTCCGGCGACAACTTTTGCATCGTGTTACGCAAATCAGTCAAATCCTTGAATCGCGACGCGGCTAGCTGTTGAGCAGCAGAAAGGTCTTTCTCTAGAGTAGTCGATTTGTGCTTCAACTCCTCGAATTCAGCCTGTAGATCGGTATGTAGTTTCTCAGAATCAGCATTAGCGGATGCATGATTCGTACGCAACTCGGCAACCTCCTTTTCAATCTTTGCGCGAGCTTCTTCCAAAGCTGCCTTTTCGGCCAGTAACGCTTTGACCTGATCTTTAGCTTCGACATGCTCTTGGCCGATATGAAGTAGTTCATCTCGTAGAGACTCGATCTCTTCTTTGAGATCGTCCTCACCCTTTAGTTTAGCATGCAAACGTTCAATTGCGGCTTCTTTTGCGTTCAGCTGTTCAGTCAGATCCTCGATCTTCTTTTCCAAAGCAGCAACGTCTGCCGTCTCCGTTGAAGGTGCCTCTGTTGCCGGTTCCTCTGCAGTTTCTTTGGCAGCTTCCTCCGTCTGTTTGCCCTTCTTCTTTTTGTTCTTCTTCTTTTTGCCGCCGGCACTTGCTTGGGTCTCCTGAGTCGGGGCTGATGCGGGTGTTGGAGCTCCTTCAAGGGTGGTCTTCTCACCCTGCAATATCTCACGTACGTCATTAAAGTTGGCCGGCTTTCCTGCCATGACAGATTCGCGCGTCGTCTTCCACTTCGGTGAGAAATCAAGACCATCATCGACAAACTTGACAATCTTCTCCAAACCTTCCAATTCGGAACTCTTTACAGCAAGCTGCGTTCGGAGAGAAGATACAGTCTCCTGGCCTTCTTTGACCTGAGATTTCAACTTGTCGACCAATCCTTCAATAACACCTATGCGCTTCTCTTTATCCGCCTTGTCTTTTTCGACTGAAGCAATATTTTCTGTCAATTCCGAAGTGTCTGCTTTTGAAGTCGCATTCGCACCTTCCGCCTTCAGACGATCAATCTCTTCCGACTTTTCGGTGAGCTGGCGCTTGACGTCTGATAACTCCGTAGTCGCCTTTTCGACAGCAGATTCCGCAGCTTCAAGTTTCGACTTGACCTCGTCAATCTCCTTTTGCTTCGCAGACTTGACTGCTTCAATCTCAGATTCGTGCTTATCCTTTGCATCTCGTAATCCTTCCAACTCTCTCGTTGTCGATTCCAGAGTAACAACCATACTCTCCGTCGACTCTCGCGCCACAGTCAAATCGCGCTTGAGCTTATCCACCTCTGTCGACAGCTTCTCAATCTGTTCCTGCTTCTCCTGAACCTCCGACTCTAGTCGCGGAATCTCATTATCGAACGAGAAAAAGTCCTCTGATTCAGCCGACTTTTCGGTGTCGAGTTTTTTCTTCTCATCCTTCTCTTCCACAATATCTTCCGTCTTTTTCTGCTCCTTGAGGGCCGCAACCTCATCCAACGCCTCTTTCGTCGCCTTCTCCGCTTCGGTCAATTTCTTCTTGTAATCGTCCCGGTCAGAAGTCACCCTTTTCAATTCGTCCATCAACATATCATTCTTCAGCGACATCTGATTCAAATATTCCGTCAACGCTTTCGGGTCTCCGATCGATGTCAGAGGCGTATTTTCTCTTAGGGCGGACTCGAATGATTCGACCAATAGCACGCGCGCATGCGCCGCTTTGTACGCTTTGTGAAGCTCTGTCTTGCGTTAGCATGTAGTGAGCAATCGAAGCGATTAAATTTTCATACCATGGTATCTAGACTCAATCTTATCCAACCGTCGCAATTTCGACCTCACTTCAATCGGTAACTCGGGCGGCTTCTCCGTATTATCCTTGCCCTCTTCGGCGGCATCCCTTTTCTCTCCTCCCTCAGTCTGTTCCGATCCCTCATTCTGTGCACTATCCGCAGCCGTAGATCCCGAAGTAGTGTTACCAGTCTCTAACCTCGGCGTCCCTGCGCGACTCAGCCCCGACGCCGGTGTACCAGTAGAATCATCATCGCCAATAGAGAACTCGAATTCCTTCGGGTCGGGTCCGCGGGTTTGTGGTATGTTGCTGTTGCTTCGTTGTCGGTTGTTTGTGGCAGTGCGTGTTGATGGGCGACGGGCTGGACGGGCGGCGGTGCCGGCGGCTTCTCGTTGGCGGGCTTGTTCTTCGGCGATGCGGGCGTCTATGGCGCCGCGAATGCGCTGGACAGAAAGTCAGATGGCGTTGAAAGGCAGGTTAGATGGAATGGGACGAGATGGGGGTGTACCTGGAACATGGTGATTCAATTGTTGTTGCTCCGATCCCGCAACGGGGGAGAGAGTATTGGTGTTAAAGGAGTGGAAGTCAGACGCGATGGTCGTCGTGAGGGAGAATCACCAATTGCAAGCAGCCAAACAAAAAAACGAAAAGAATAAAGGAACAAGAAAAGCAAGGTCAGATATTTGTACGGAGGTTTGAGGTAAGCTGTCAGTTTCGCGGAGGAAAGAGCCAGACGACGATCCATGTGGCCGGGTTGCCAAGACTGGCATCGAGGCGTCCAATCAGGACTCATTATTCTATAGATCTATATTTAGGGAAAGGTCGTTAAGATTTAATTATTTAACTCTTGTATATCATCGTATGCGTTGATAGAGTGAAAATCTATTAAAAAATATTCACAGTATAATATTAAGTATTATTAACGTCTGGTTTCGACACAAACAGTAAGCCAAAGCATCCTCCAGCCCATCTATCCAGAAAGCAAGACAATCCAGAAGAAGGGGAGTATCTGCACGCTAACGGATATAGAAACAGCACAAAAACGAGAGAGATATAGGTATCAGAATGTACACGCGTTGAATTTCCCTTCATATCATCCATCGTAAATCATGATATGGGAACGTTCATCAGATTATCCGCTCATAATTGGTGAGATCGTGGCCGACGAGATATCATTGATGCAGCTCATCGTTTCTACAATTCCTCATTGGTTGGGGTCATTTAAACGGCAGCAGTGCCAGTAGTGTTGGCTGGCGCATCGAGAGGAGCGCGAGTGTCGGCGGCATTGTGCTTTTCGCGAACCACAGGCTCATGGTCAGCGTCACTCCAGCGAGTCAAAGTCTCGGTGACGAGGCCGACGAGGGTGAAGAAGCTATCTAAATCAGTGTGATATCCTGCAAAAGTAGTAACAGGAAACTTACAAAGCAAGGAAAGTGAAAGCCTCGGCAGCATGCTTCACAGATACCTTGACACCGAAGGGGGCAATGAAATAGACGTCGCCGTAATTGTAGCTCTGGGCAGCGAAGATGAAGGCGGTCAACCATCTACCATAGTTAGCACAACTGTGTTACATAAAAGAGGGAAGAGGGCGTACAGGTAGGAGAAGATCGTGTCAATTATAACAACCCACTTGCTGAGCAAGGTCGACCTGAATGGCGACAGGAATGCGGGGATAAAGAAGACCACCGAGAGGACAGAAATGACCAGGTTGAAAATGATGTGTACACCATGGTGCTGGCGGTGCACGAAGTAGGCGTAGAAACCCATGGCGATGACGGAGCTGACCCATTGCAGGGTTCGGGTGGCCAGGAGCAGGGGCCGGGAGAGGGTTGATTGTAGGACGGCCATTATGTTTGATCTGTTGAAGCTTATTGATTGTATGCTTATTTATGGTTGCTGTAGGTTGGTGTGAGGTTGAGAGTTGACTGAAGCTGTACTGACTCGCGTTTATTCCGACTGTGTTGTAAGACGAGAAATCGAATGGGCAGATGGTTGGGAACGACCTGCAGCTTTATACTCGCAAGACTGCAGGTGGGACAACACCTCATACCAACATCACGCCAACCTAGACCACGAGCACGTCTGGATTAGGCAAATCTACGACAGCTTATGTCCAGTCGCCCTCCGCGACAATCCGTGGATCGAATCAATAATTTGCAAACCCAAAGTCAGCTAGGTCAATGGCAAGGTTTGTCCCATACATCGAACATGCAGCCGACCCGTGACGGCATACTGAGTTCTAGATCGACCATTGGGTCAAAGCTTTTTTGGATTGGGTCGATACAGAGCCAAGACTAGGTCTGCGTCATTATGTGATGGCGCGAGTATCATACAATCGTCTAGAATCAGCAGTAAAAAAGACAAAACAGGAAAAACTATGCACGTTCGGCGGTGGACAAGCACAGAAGCGGAAATTAGCTTGTACGTGCTAACTGAGAACCTTGCCGGAGCTATAGCAGCAGTATTAGGAAGTGAAAACTACGTAGTAAGTGTTTAGTGTACATGGTCTAGCCAGCGTATGCAAGGTATACCCCAAATTCGAATGAGTCACGCAAGGTGCATACCCTATTCCCCCATTTCGATTAGACACAGTGACAGCCAACGATGTTCGCAGCGGTACACACATGCGATCATCATGCTGACATATTCGTCTGGACTGTGGCAACTTGGCAAATGTGGTGACCAGAATCTGGCCGATATACAATTATGAGCCAATGGCAACCAGGCGCGGCACTGAGCGGATATCGGGATATGGTACGTCGAAGAAATGGAATATCAGAGAAATGTATCCTTCTTGTGCTGTGGCTCTGATTGGCTGGTAGCTCTAAGAGATTGTGATAATAGAGGATACTCGGGTCAGCCCACTCGCTCAGACCAATTCGGATAATCGTTGCCGAGAGCTTTGATGCCGCATCACCTGATGCTCAAAACTTTTTTTTTTTTGGCTTTGTTTTGCTAAGTTTTTCTAGTCTGTCGAACGAGATGAGGAAGTGGCTGAACTATCCTCGTCGATGGATCGCGCTGAAGATCGTATACTTGATGCACACAACCTGGGTGGCAGAAACAGAATCAGCATGTAAGATGATTGATCCATGATCCAAAATCCGGATGCTTGCAACATCAAAAATGATGAAGAACACAACAAGAATGACGTCGGAGCGCATTACGTAACTGCACCAGTCCGCTTTGGGCAATCCGCTTCGCAACTGCCGAGTTACTTTCACGCACTAGTCTCTTTATGGAACTAGCGGTCGATCATCAACCACTCAGATGCTCCCAAACGACGCTAGGAATTTTCGAATGCGCTCTGATTGGCTGAGAGTGGCTATACATCCAATCCTCATAGTATACCATGTAGCTTGCTTAAGCATCATTTTTACTCATTGGCATCTAAAAATATTTCCGCGGGATTCCGTCGCACGATGAGTCGATGCACGACGAGTCAGATGACTGTCAGCAGAGATGCAGATGTGCGTCCACGTCAATGGACGGGACTGCGTTGTACAGACGGGAAAGTCGAGGTAGACATGAAGAATGTAAGAACAGGGGGTGACACATTCTTGGCCTCCTACTTGAATTTGATTGAAGCTTAATTCAAGAATTTGAGCACACCGACCGTGCCGGTTTACTTTTTGCCGATCATGCTGCAAGGTTCTCCGTGCGGACTCTGAATTGATACTACATAGTACACGAAACAGAAACTAGAGTTTGATAGATTGAGACGTTCCTTGCAATAATCTCAATACCTTCCGTTGAGAGAGAGTTCAATCTAATGAATAAAATCTGCTAGCTACGAAAATTGTGAACAATATGGAGGTAAGTTCGGACATTAATTTCCTCTACATTCTTTGCTTTTCTGTCCCACGACGATCAATATGCACCCCGTATTTCGGACACATGACTTTCGTCTTACCTGTTGTTTAATTTGTCATCCCTACAAAGGAGGTAAAAAGTCAATTATTTGGATGAGGGGTCGGTGTCCAATTTTCGATCGACGAACCTATCGTCCAGGGTGAAAGGGGAGGTGTCAAGGGCGGGATTGTATATCCCCCCTGCCATCCTTGGACGACTGAGTGACAAGGGGTTCATGAAAAAGCCACCCTGGAACATCGAGTTATTGCACAACCCTTGACTGAAATGTAACAAAACTTGCCTTCAAGGATAAATTATGTCTCATTGTAGGTTTATTCGTGCGATATGGATTGTTGTGTAAGTAAGGTTGGATCGTGAAAACATGGATAGCTTTGTATTCGATAGGATTAAACAATAATGTACTGAGTTTACAAACTGTATCTATGTACTTTACTTGTAAGTTATGCGGTCTATGTGGTAAGACCTATGTTCGCCATCTACCGGCATTGCATATAGACAAAATTCAAATAATCTTCTCAAAGACGTCAACCCACTATCTCCGAGACACCATATCACCAATTTGAACCACCTGTGACGCAATCGAATATTCAAATCCGTTCATTTTCGCTTCACCAAACCACGTAGTCGCTGGTATCACGGGCAATTTCTGCCACTGCTGATAGAGTACACTATTCTTGCTCCCAACCCCGAAGAGAGTGGCCCACCCTTCTCCATGTAGACACGCCGACTCGGCATAGTGATGATAATGCACTGCTGAGTTATTTTGTTTGTTTTCCGCTGAATGCACGCATAGTCGTTGTATCTCCTTGCAGATCAGGCTGGACAAATCTGTGACTCGGGCGAATGAAATTGAGGATCCGGCGGATAGATCTTCGTGTTGAAAGCGTTTACCGAGCTGTAGTCCCATTTGGCATATGGCTTCGGTTACTTCCAAGATATTGATTGGACTCTGCGCTATATCATCTTTTTTTGTTGTAGTATCTCCATCTAGCATTCGAATAATCGTCACTGGAATTTCATGTTTTTCCCGAGCCTGTTTGAGTAATGTCTCATTAATGTATTTGCTAGCAAGGTATCCAGTGACATCTGGGCGAGAGAGATCTGCAACCGAATGGATATCATCAATGGCTCCGGAAGAAATGAACACGATAGGGGTCTTTCTTGGCGCTGCTAGACGCACGAGCTCCTTTGTCGAGATGACATTCGCTACCCTAAGTAAGCGGTAGGGGTTCCAGAACGATCGATCGCTTCCACAGTGCAAGATGACATCTGCATCCTGACTCAGAGCCTTGAGATCTGCCGCTGAGAGACCCAGGGACGGACTTGTCAGGTCACCTTGATAGAGCTCAACTTTGGAAAGCGACTTTGAGCGGAGCATATCAAATGATTTCTGACGCACGGCAAGGCACGAGATGCGAGATACATTCTGCATGTCGTTGAGTTGTTGCAGGACATGACGCCCGATGAATCCGGAAGCACCGGTGACTACGACGTGTATACCTTCTCCCTGCTTTGGTCGTCTCTCGGAATCAATAAGTTGGATTGGCTGAATGTCAAGTTTGAGCTCGCTGTCCCAGTCAATTGATTCGAGAGAAAGTGCAGCAGCCGTCTCACATGCAGTCGCCATACCTTCCAACGTTGTGTCCTCCAAAAGCCGAGCAAGCGGTATATCCACTTGCATTTCTTGGTGTATCAGTGCTTGTAACTTGACGAGGAGAAGAGAGTTGCCGCCAGCCGATATGAAATCAGTCTCCCGTACTGGCTTGAGGGACAAAATTGCCTCACGTGGTAACACACGGCTCCAAAGTAGCCATATATTCCCCATCTCCCCGGCTAATGAAGACCTCTCGACAGATGACAATTTTGGAAGGGAAATCTGGGAGATTGCCTCACGATCAATTTTGCCATGGCTTGTCATGGGTATCTCTTCAAGCGAAAACAGCATTGCAGGACGCATGTATGAAGGTACGGGGAGCTGGTATGGCAGTCGCCGTAAAAGCGATTCTCGTTTTTCAGCCGATAGACCCGTGGCAAAAACCAAATGACCAACAAGGAATTTCTGATCAAGTTCCTTTCCTCGAAGCGTCACGGCGACCGAGGTAACAAGGCTGTTGGCACTGTCTAGTATCGATTGTTCGATATCCGCCAGGTCTACCCTGAATCCACGCAATTTAACCTGCGTACTTTGAGAAGATATACGGCCATCAAACACCAATGATCCATCCTCACGCATGCGACCTCTGTCGCCAGAGCAGAACGCCGTCTTCCAACCGAGTTCCGCGTGCCTTGCGCTGGCAAATTGGTCCGGAACAAATTTCTGAGCTGTCAACTCTGGTTGTTTGAAGTATCCTGTGCTGATGCCGGGACCTCCTATGAGGATTTCTCCCGGCCAACCCAGAGGTACCGGTTGCCGACTTTCGTCAACAATATAAGTGGAAACATTGGGCAAATGACGACCCAATGGTACTCGCTGCTCTGTTGACGAATCGGACTTGTATTGTAGCTCAATCCGATAGCTGGAAAGGGTTGCCTCGGCAGGGCCATAATCACTAAACACGCGAAGCTGCGCTAGATCCAGCGATTTCAGACTATCGAGCAGCGATCGGGAAATGACCTCGCCGCCGATTCCTGCGACCTTCCAATTTCGCGCTTCCCGAAGAGTGTCGGCTCCTACCCACAGCCAGCTGTTATACTCTGATGGAGTCGCTTTGGTGTACTCGATATTCTTGTCGACAATCAGACGAGTAATGGCTTTGGAATCTCGACGTATTTCTCGGGGTACGATGTAGACAGAACCCCCAAATCGCAAACCGAGGAAGACTTGAGTCAAGGCATGGTCAAAGGTTATGGCGCTTTGTTGCAATACTCGTGGTTGCATCAGACCCAGTTTCTCCATGACTTCGACTCGGTCTGCAATACCTCCGTGGGTGAGGACGATACCTTTCGGAGCACCAGTTGTGCCGGAGCTGTAAAGGACAACGGCGGGKGCAGAACCAGCCATTGAGGGCTGCTCCGGGCAGGATTCGGTACTTGATGGTATAGAAGAGACGTTAATGGTTACGAAACCATAGTCATTCTTCGACTGGTCAGGATCACTTGTGAGGACAACCCGAGTCTCGGAAGAGCATATGACTGATTCTTGACGGGCAGTGGGCCATGACGGGTCCACCGGAATACAAACAGCCCCAATGTTTAAGATGGCTAGCATTGAGCAGACCCAGTCAGGGGTAGGATGCTGAAGAATTACGACGTGATTTCCCTTTTCAACTCCGCTGACAAGAAGAGTGGTCGATATTCCATCAATACGAGAAGCCATCTCGGCGTACGATAGAGACATTTCACAGCCCTCTAGGGCCAAATTGTCAGGTGTGGTTTGACAGTACGAGCGAATACTGTGCATCAAAGATGGAGATGGCGTTTCTCGTATTTCGCCTATTTTCAATCTAGTCAGACTAGTGGCGCGATAAAAATACGATAGATGATCTTACCTTGACCAACTTTCACAGCCTTGTCAACTTCACTTTTCGAAAACATCCTTACGCCCCCCATTGATAGAGCCGGGTTCCGCGAGAATGTTGACAGAAGATTCACGAAGCTGTTGAGAAGCAACGAAGCCGCCTCTGGAGGGTATGACGATTTTTGAGTTTTCATCCGAATAGTCGTTCCCAGAGGTTCATCATTCACTTCTAAGGATATGTCATACGCCGTCCTGCTGCGAGACGTCTCGATCCCAGCAATTTGTAGCATTCCGGGCTTCATCATTTCTGGGTCTCGTCTGGGATCGGCACGTCCTTGTCTGTAGTCTAGGAAAGCCTGGAACAAAGGGGTATGATGGGAGCTCCGAGGAACATTGAGCATCTGTACCAGCTCATCAAAGGGCAATCGGTTATGAGCAACTGCCTCACGTATCTTAGTTCGACATTGGGTGACCATCTCTCCAAAGCTCTGCTCTCCTGAAAAGGAAAGTCGTATGGGTAGTAAATTTAAAAAAAGACCCATCGTTTTGGTGTCGCTTTCGATGTTACGTCCATCATCTGCCATACCAATGCATACATCGTCAGTTGTCGTAAATCGGGCCAGCATGACATTAAGTGCAGCCATGTAGAAGTGGACAGGGTTTGCTTTGTGTTTTCGACTTTGATCTTTAATTCGAGTCGCCAACAACGGGGGTAGTTGCACAGTCGCCTCGTGTTGATCGTATGATAGAAGTTCCTTCCTGGATGAAGACTGGGCTACGGGCAACAGAGAAAGTGGAGGAGGTAATGTTTGGTACTCGTTTCTCCAATAGGTCATGTCTTCAGCCATCTTGCCCTCCTCCATGTCCGCTCGCTGCCGTTCTGAAAACTCCACATACTGGAATGGCTCAGGTAGATTCCTCAAACCTTGGTGTATTGAATTCAGCTCGTTGAAAAGCAGATCAAAACTAGCTCCATCTAGAAGGATGTGGTGATACGCAATTGCGAGAAGACTCTCCTTTGCTCCCCAGTTGAAAAGAACAAAGCATGCAGTGTCTCCCGACGCCGGGTCAAAACGGCGGCGACATATATCTCTAAATCCTTCAGAGGCAGCCGATTTATCTGTGCACTCGATCTCCTCTAATTGGATAGACGACGTGGGCGAAATGATCTGCAACGGGACACCGTCTTCGCTGTCGCAGAATCGAGTACGAAAGATTTCGTGTCTTTGAGTGATGGTTCCCACAGCAGCACGTAGTTTGTCTACTCTCAAACTGTCCACGATCCAAAGGCCTATTGCTACCGTGAAGAAACTCTCATCCGGAACAAGGGATCTCATTGCCCAAAACCGAGCTTGGTTGTAAGACATCTTTGCTTCATGCACTTGACTCTGGGCACGGGCGAGAATGCTTTCATTTGATGCAGTCACTTCAAGAGGAAACGAGTCTGCTGTAATTGAGGGTTGAAAGCTAATGTAGTCTTCGGTATCCTTTGCGTCAAGATCGTCGTCTTCTGGAGGCGTTAGGGGAGTCGGGACCAGCCGGTTGGAGGAGGCATCATCACTCTTGCTTGATTCTGTTGAGGACTGCGTATCATCATCTTCTGCCGTTTGCTCTAATACTAGTGGCAACATCGCCGGGTCCAGCTTCTCCAATACGCTCTGGGCAAGCTCAGAAAGGGAGGCACCGCCGATAATTCGGAGAACGGGAACGTCTGCCCCGAGTTCCTTGGAAAACCTTTTGTAACCTTAGAGCTGATGCATATGAAATGATTGTATCTTTTACTTACCATGTACGCAAAGTGACAGCGACCAAGGAGTCTACTCCCTGGTCAATTAGTGGTCCGTCTTCATCCACAGGCTCGTTACTCGCGAGTCTCAAAGTAGATCTTAACTTTCCGACCAGAGCATCTGTAGGCCTGTCAGTAGATGTACGAAGCAAGCATAGAAAACGTGCTAATACCCTTCAACACCGCAAATGCGCCATCCGAATCCGTGGTCACCAACAATTTATCGCGTAATGACAAAAATCCATGAGATGAAGAATGATCAGATCGACTTTCTTCATTAGGTAGTCGCCAGAACGAAACTCGCGGGTCGTCAAAATGGGTAATATGTTCACGATTCTTGTATTCTAGATATGGGATTCCGGTAATAATCTCCACTGGTTCCCCGTCTGGCTGAGGCTTGCCTGCGACAACTGCTTCGGCAAATAGCTCATCAACATCCTGCTCACCTATGGGGACAAATGTGTAAGGGTTGAGTTCGTAGTCCGATTCGCGTGCGGCTTTGGCAACGTAACCGATCCCATAAACGGCACTGAGCGCGATGCAAGACCCAGCGAGTCCTCTACGCCTTCGCTGTGCGGTTAGTGTAGACAGGAAATTGTTGGCCGCAGTGTAATTACTCTGGCCGCTATTTCCAGCGATAGCGGCAAGCGAAGAGAAGCAGATGAAGAAATCAAGAGGCCGTTGATGATCGAAGTATTCGTTCAGATGGATCGCACCTTTGACCTTGGCTTCGAGGACCACTTGCATCGACTCATAGTCCATGTTCTCGAAGAGAGCATCTTGCAGTACCATGGGTGCATGGGCGATACCTGCGATAGGAGGTAAAGTCGCTTGGATGTTATCCAACGCTGTTCGCAAAGAATTGCGATCACTCACATCGCTGGAGTAGTTTAAGGTGTTAGCTGATAAGCAGAGCCAGTCCGGAAGAGAATAACTTACATAGATTGCGTTTGTACAGTGGCTCCTTCGTCTTTCATCATATCGAGCCAGGCTGGGTCAATTTTAGGATTTCGACTCGCGAGAACAATGTACCGAGCGCCCTGTCGAACCATCCAGCGGCACAGTCCGCGGCCAAGATCACCAGTAAGGCCGAAAAGAACATAAGTCTTCTGGTCTGTGAATAGATCGGTTGAATCAATCGGCTGGACTAGCGTGGGTAGAGAAGTAACCGTCGTCCAATCTAGCAAGGTAAAATCATCGAGTTGATTTGAGTCTTCCGTGATGCTTAACACACTGATGGGCTGGCAAGGACGGACTTCTTTGATGTTGACACTGGCTGCCGTAGTTTTGAGTAGCCCTTGAAGTATAGTCTCCTCGCCATTGAAGCTACTGAGTGGCCGTAGTAAATCGGAACGAGTGCGCTTGAAGCAATCCACGGGAAGGGATGCAGCCAACTTATTACCCACGTCGTCGGGACCTTGCATGGTTGATAGGTTCCAGAAAGAGTGCACGTTGATGCCAAAAGTACGATTAATCATACTCTGTGTTGGACGAGGGTGAAGCAAAATCCAGTTGGCATTGCTGTTCTCGACAAGTCGCGTTTTGTCAGTCGTTGTCAGCTTCAAATTCACATTGCGCTCAGCGGCTTCTTTGATAAGCGGTCCGATGAGAGAGTCGAATGGGTCGTTGACGATAATAGTTCTTTTTGATGGCACATTGACCAAGATAAGGGATGCCATCATATTAGCTGCTAGAGCAGAAAGAAAATCGACTGGCCTCTCGGGGGAACAAGGCAAAGTCCACCGAGCAGGAACTTTCACAATTGAGGAGTGTGATTCACTCAGAGCAATAACATCTGTTTTCGTACCCAAGATCTTTCCATGGACAATATATAGAAATCCAGAGTGCCCAACAGATACAGCCTGTAACAAGGAATGCCGGACTTCCACTAGGACCGAGTCGGACTGACTAGAATCATCTGAGGATTCTGGGATGCCACTTGATGCCTGAAAGTGATATTCTGCTCCTTCAAGTCCTGGAACGATACTAACAATCTTGCTGTCAAGAGGTGTCTGCTCTAGTATACGACGATTACGGGAGTTGTAACGTAGGTTTCGGGGAATGTCTGCCTTTACTCGAGGAAAATACTTGCTACCTCCTTTCAGGCGAATCTCTGGCTCAGTCGTCCACAACAAATCAGTCGGCCGTAAGTCAGGAGCCGTTTCCAATCTCAAAAGACTAGCAGCTACTTCCTTCCCAGAGATATCAGAAGTATCGTGGAAGTCTAGTATCTGCAGGCAGACCTCGGGATATTCCTGTCTCAGGGTTCGGGTAAAGCCAACGATCATGGCTTGATATGGTTCCTCCGTGTAAGCGCCAGTCGTAATCCATAGAATGGTCCGAGCAGATGCGAATAAGTTCTTCAAAGTATTAAGAGTCTCTTCCTCCAAAGAAGCAAATAAGGGGCTGTCTAGTTCCGACAAAATGACGTACGACCCTTTATTCTCTTGAGGGAGATCTTTGATAGTCTGGTATGATCGAATCGAACGTCTCGGCAGTGAGCGTTTCACATCTTCCAGAACTTGACAAGATGTTTTAGTAGCACCTCCTATAACCGTGATAGGTGTGTCAGACAGCCACGAGCCCAGCTCTCGGAGAGCTGGAGACAAGGGTTGTTCAAGTACATTCATCTTGTCATTCATGTAGCGAGATACCACGAGATCGGAAGCTCGCAAGTCGCTATCAGCCAGTGGTGAGTGGTACTCTATTCCGGAGAAATCATGTTCACGCAAGAGAGAATCCCAAGAGGACCATGGAATGATGGGTGACGGGCCTCGTTCCTCGCTAGTAGATTTCCACCAACCAGGCAAAGCTCCAAAGATAAAATCAAGCCGAGTTTGTCTGGTGTTAGTAATTTCGACTACCAACAGATAGCCTCCTGGTTTTAATAGACTCCGTGCGTTGCTGAGAGCTTCGGAGATATTATTAGTAGCAGAGAAAACATTTGCCGCAATCACTAGATCATATGTATGCGGTTTGAAACCTTGAGATTCAGGGCTGGAACTGATATCCAATGTGCGAAATGTCATACGGCTTGTTGTTTTGGAAAATCCCTCTTCCGCTTGTTTGATTATTTCCGGGTTGATGTCGGTGAATGTGTAGCCCTTGTAGACCGATGCCAGATTCTGTAGAACATGGCGTGTAGCCTTGCCGGTACCAGCCCCTATTTATGGCATTTAGTGAGAAGGTTTCATCTGAGTAGAAACTTTTATAAAGAGAGACCCACCGATTTCAAGCACCTCAATGTCGGGATAGCGATGTGTCAAAGAAGAAACCATTTCTCCCAAATGTTTGTAACTAGCTGTATAAGATTTCGAATCCAGCAAGCTTCTCAAGAGCTCGTCTTCGGTCAATATTCCATGCATATCTGCGTCATCAAAGATGGCTGCGGACAAATTTTCGCCAATTCTGTTGATGATTTTGAGTTCCGTTGACGAAGGATAACTATCGAACATTTACTCAATGTTAGCCTTCACTGAAATGGAGCAAGCGTACTTACTGTGCTATCAATTGCTCGATATCTCTGGGTGTATCCGTATCCCAAGCTGCTTGGTAGAAGGGATGCTCTCCGGCTGCAACGAGAGTCAGAACACGTTCTGCCCAGTCGAAGATATGTTGATGATCTGTGAGCGCTTCTTGTTTATCATTTTCGGACAGATGCAACATCAGATTTTTAATGCAGTAATAGACCATTCTCTCTGCTGCTATGCCGACATTCTTCTCCTCTTCTGAGACAGAGTCGACTCCAGTAATTGGGGTAGGAGGCCAATGTTTCCATACCACTTCAGAGAACATTGCCCTATCCTCTGCCTCAGACTTATCGGAAAACGAGCGAGATTTCAACCCTTCGATTTGAACAACCGTGTTACCGTCAACGGATAGGCAGACATCTGCAGATTTGCCATCGATGTTATCCGCTGCAAAGTCGATGCTACCGCCCGTTATCGACCGAGCAATAAAGGGGTTCAATGCAATGCGTTCAATTATGACAGGAATATAGAGAGACTGCACTCTACCATCCTTCGGAGCGTGATATGCGACATAAGGAGCCTGTAGAGCAAGGTCGAGCGTTGCGGGGTGGATGATCCATTTCTGCGATGTGTTCTCGTCGAAGGGAGGAGCTACCTTCATGGTCCCACGGGAATGACCGGTGGCCCTTCGAATTGAGTCCAACCCTCGGAAGTGACCGGTGTAACCAAAGCCTAACTCCTGTTGAGCCTTGTAGAACATATCCGGTGAAGTCTCCATCAAATGAGGAGGCTCTTTGGCGGGAGGAGCAAGCTCGAAAGCAGATTCGGAACCCAGCATGACAAGTAGCTTCCCCCTAGCTGACCAAGACAGAGCACGTTCCTTAGACAGACACGAATCACATTGGAAGGCCAATTCAAATAAGCCATCACCATCAGGAATTGGAGATATGACGTCCATCTTAAACGTTACCTCAGCGGCATCATCCTCACCGTCAAATGTTATAGCTTTTCCGAGTTCTAGTCCTCGAACCTCCATCAAAGAAACAGGTTTCTTTGCTGGAATCATCAGTAGCGCAGCCTCCATAGCCATAACAACGTAGAATGCTCCAGGAAGGACCGTGAGTCCTTGAAGTCGATGACCATCCAGCCAACTCATTTCTCGGGGAAGTAGAACATTATGCCATTTCCATGAATCCGTAGTCGCGTTGGTGTCTAGAGTTCCAAGGAATGGGTGCTGAAACTTGTCATTCGCGTAGAGATAGTTGTGTAATAATCTACTCTCTGTATAGTACAGCCGTCGATGATCCCAAGGATACATTGGAAGGTCATTTACCATGTTCGGCGCTGGTAAATTTCCATCACCAAATACGACACTGTCAAGTAACGATGGATTCGTAGCGTTCGAACCGAATCGCTCCCACAAGAACCCAAAGGCGGAAATCAACGAAGTCCAATCATTTTCGTTCCTCTCCATACAGCCGGTATACGGGAGTTCTTTCCCAGTAGCACTTTGGACAGTACTTAAACAAGGACCCTTGAGTGCCGGATGTGGTCCGACCTCAATAATCACGTCAAATGGCACTGTCTCCGAGCTGAGGGCAGCCTCAACGGCTTCAGAAAACAGAACTGGAGATACCAAATTGTCCTTCCAGTACTCAGGATTGGCTTCATTTGATGTCATCCGGTGTGGCGGGCGAACAGAAGATATCCAATTGCACTGACTACGGCCTGCAGGAACCCGGAAATAAGGCCTCAAACTTTTGATGTAAGTCCTTGCACATGGCTTCATGTGATGTGAGTGGTATGCTCTGTCAACTCGCAAAATTCTAGCAAACTTGTGCACACTATCAAGAACTGCTTTTGCTTCCTCAATGGCATTCAAATCGCCAGAAAGAGTAACGCTATCAGGGCCGTTGCTGGCTGCCACACAAATGCGACCGGCAAATTGCTCTGAAAAACACAAAGCACGAGCATCTTCCAAGCTGGACCCTATCGCCATCATAGCACCCGGGGCACCTGAAGGGCTTTCGGCTTCATCTAGGACGCGCCCACGAAAGTAAGCTACTTTAATTGCTTGAGATGCAGTCAAGCTTCCAGAAGCAAAGGCACATCCAATCTCGCCAGAGCTGTGACCAACAACAGTGGTGAAATTCACCCCAGCGATTCTCAGAAGTTTCACCAGGAGTATTTGGACAGCTGCGCACAATGGTTGAGAAAACTCGGCGTTGTAGACACGCGACTCATCCTTGTCTTTCTGCAATTCACCAAGAAGCGTCCATGTTGGTCTATCTTCTGTTGGTAGACTTCTGAGTGCATCGTCAAGTTCATCAATAATTTCTCGTGCATACTCTGAATGCTGCAACAACATTTTGCCCATGCCTGCCCACTGTGCACCTGTACTTCCGTTAGAGTGTTGTTCTTCGGGTCAGAAGACATCCTTCAGCGAACGTACCTTGACCTGTAAATATACCGAGCACACGGGGCTTGGTTTTAGTTACTATTGTTTTGGTCACATTTTTTGCGTTTCCATTTGATTTCAGTTCTTCAAGTTTTCGCTCCAGATTTCTGCATGCTTCTGAAGGGTCGCGAGCAGGAACTGCTATACGAAATGGCAGTACGGAGCGTTTCTCATACAACGTCCAGGTAACATCTCGGATGGATGTTTGCGGGTGCTCACGAAGGTAAACCAGGAGTCTCTCTATCGAATCACACAACGAAACTTCAGAGTTGGCAGAGATTGTCAATGGCACGGCGGAAATGAGAGGCCGGCCTACTAAAGGGCTGCTTCGTGGATCTATGAACTGTTCAACAATCACGTGGCAGTTCGTTCCTCCGTATCCTGTGGAATGTCAGCGTGTTCATTGAAAATTATACGGTGATGAAGGGTAAGTCACACATACCAAATGAGTTAACACTTGCTCGACGGGGAACACCATTTGGCAGAGACGGCCATGGGAGGCACTCGCCAGTAACGATCTTTAAATCGTTATAGTAAGGTGCAACTCTGGGACTTATCTTTTCAAACAGCATGTTTGGCGGAATCAATCCATTTTGAACGGCTAAAGAAGCTTTCAGGAGGCCGGCTATACCTGCTGTCCCTTCTGTATGGCCGATGATGGTCTTGATGCTACCCACATAAAGGGGCTCTTCGTTCTTGCCGCGAGCGCGATCACCAAAAAAAGCTCGGCTTATAGCCTGAGATTCCTGAGGGTCACCTGCGGGCGTTCCGGTTCCTGTAGGCTTGTTAGAGGTTTCTCATGAAACTGGTGGATGACATGTCGTACCATGCGCCTCAAAATATTGGCATCTATCGGTTGGATTAGAAGGATCAAGTCCAGCTCGACGATATGTCTCCCTGATCAGAGCTTCCTGTGCAAGGTTGCTGGGCATGGTAATCCCCAGAGTACGACCGTCCTGATTGACTCCGGTTTCTCGGATGATACAGTCAATCTTGTCTCCATCTTTCAGAGCCTGATCGAGCGTCTTGAGTATTACTGCTCCAATCCCTTCACCACGACCGTAGCCATCAGCAGCTGCGTCCCACATACGTGAGCGGCCGGTAGGTGACAACATGCTCAGCTTGCTTTCGGCAATATAAAGCTCTGTTGAACGTTTTCAGTGATAGGTAATACTTCAAAATCAGGACAAAATACCCACTAGGTCCTAGAAGAAGATTTGATCCGGCTGCAACTGCAACCGAGCAGTCTCCATTTCTCAGAGCCCGAGCAGCATGATGAACCGCCACCAAACTACCGCTACAGGCTGTGTCAAGAGTTACCTACAATAGAGAGCTTTTTTAGCAAATAAAAGTGGCTGTCATAGTAATATCAAGTTTCCTTCGGTGATACATACGCTCGGGCCATGCCAGTCAAAGAAGTAAGAGATACGGTTTGAGGCCAAACTGTTTGCAACGCCTACACCAAAAAGTTGTGGGGCCATTTTTAGATCGTGCTGGATAATATCGGTATAATCAGAAGACATCAACCCAACGTACGCCGCAGTTGATGACCCCTGGAGATCTTCCATTCGAAGACCGGCATTGCAAAGAGCCTCATAGACGACCTCTAACGTGAGTCTGTGCTGAGGGTCCATGCATTCTGCTTCCTGAGGCTTAATAGCAAAGAAGTTGGCATCCCAGGCGCGAGGATTCTCGCCGAGAAAGTAGGAGTGCCTGACATTAGTAGCGTTGTGGTGTTTTCCGTCTGGGTGGTAGAAAGCGTTGACGTTGTAACGCTCTGGAGGGATTTCAGAGAGCAAGTCTCTCGGTTGCTTCAGTAAATTCCAAAGCTTTGACGGCGAGTCAACATCCCCTGGAAAACGACAGCCGGCTCCAATGATAGCAATGGGTTGGGAGGACATTTTCTTTCAATAGTGCTGAATTCAGACAAGGGAATCAAAAAATAATTCAAGCCGGTGGGGATAAAAAGGTGAGAGAACGTAGAATACAATGAAAAAAGAAGGAGGTCCGTATGTAGCATAACATACTATGAAGATAGACTAGAAAATGAAATTTGGATCAAGTGAGAGTTCTTACTTCTTTCTTTTACATGGGAATAACTTTGTGACGGTCAATTATTTTAATAATGGGCCTATAGACCATAGTATTCCAGGCCATCCTCTGGTTTTTACCCGATCTATACTATCATCCACTAAAGGCGCCTAGGTCATGTAATACGAGAACCATCTGATGCGAGAATTGATTATGGTCAAAGATTTTAAATGCCATTCATCCTTGTAAAACGTGGCAAGAGATCTCATCTAGAAGCAAGATGAATGCATACAGGCATATAGTCACTCAGCCTTGATTCAAAAGCTGATTTGCACTACTAGTAGTGCCTACCGATGGATGCTTTAAGAGGTTTCTCAGCTTTTAGAGGCAGGGTTCCGAGTCAGGGATTGTTATTCTGCAAAGTTTTCCTCTTCAGCATTCTCCCATGAATCATATGTTGATCCAGTTACAGGGATTGTTCTTTCGAACCTCTGCTGGGCTGCAGAGACATTGTTACAGTTCAAGCGTCAGCAGCATCAGTAACGTGGGAGCTTAGTCTTTGCATATATTGATGAGACTGTCAGGTGCTAGGATCCGAGTATGCCTCAATTGTTCGATCCAGAAGCAAAGTTCCGCTAGCAGTGCGAGAAATATTTTCAGTCCTGCAGGGATATCGCCTGGCGTCAGCATGAATCAATCTTTTGATCCAATGATTGACCCTGATGCGTATTGTTGTCCCCTCGGGGTCTGAGCACCATGAAGGTTCCGCCCCGAATCAGATACTTAGAAGATCTTGGCGCGAAATCATATCTCGGAGATAATCTAGAGTTTTATGGTCAGCTACTGAGTGAATGCGGCTAAAGAGGGATGACTGTGCATTATGCCAGTGACTCCCATGCGACGTGTTGAAAACTCAACCAATCAGACCAAAAAGCTGCGCGCACACTAGATGATCTGGCGTGATACTACTACATAGTATGTAGCAAACAATAATGATCACTGACCTAGTTTGGGGAGCGAGGCGAGGCGGAATTTCCGAAAGCTTGAAAAATCATTTTAAAATGTGTTTGACAATTAAGATCCATCTTCGGTGTAAAGCAAAGTTTGTAAACTTGACTGTCCCATATCAAACAAGACATACCCTTATAGACCCTAACTTGGTCTCGAGGGGAAAGGCTCTTAGGCAGAGGCCTAGTGCGTTAATGGCCTCGGGAATCTGATTCGTTCATTTAAATCCTTCAGATGTCAGTAACCCTCTATGGTATGTTGGTGAGTTTTGAGAGACATTCTATGTTGGTTCGTATTAATCTACTTCGGATATTACCGTGGATAAATAGATGGTCCAATGATATTTTCAACACACTTCTGTGCCTACACAAACAGGCATATCTTAGTCATGAGAGATATCATATACGCCATACGAAGTGTGTAGCAATACAGCGCTAAAATGCGCGCCACGCTTCCACCCACGTCTTCCTCGGCGGAGTGTGGTATGATTTTACCGTGTTCGGGCAACAGGGTACCAGACAGTATGACAGGGATTCAGTGTACCGGTCACCTAGAAAACAGAACTAATTGTGCCAGCTGGCGACTATCGAGTCAGCGATTCCCGACACACGTAGGTTATCCCTCTCACGAAACTAGCGAAAGACATGACAGATCATAATTAAAGTCTCGAAACATTACAAATCTAAAGCATCCGAATAACCGCTCACTATTGGCCTTTTGCAGCCAGTCGACCGATATATCCGAAATCCTTAACCGTGGACCGAGCTGCTGGTGCCTGCCCTTTTGCTGCCTGTTATGCTTGTCTCTCCATAGTCTTTTCAATTAAACCAAACCAATTAATGATCTGGATGGTTTCGTGAATTCAATATGGCTGTGGAAAAATCGTCCATGACGGTCGCCGACGAACAGAATGGTCACCAACAGCAGCAACAGGCGCCACCTGGAGTTCATCTCAACGGTTGGCGTCTCTATCTCGTTCAATTCAGGTACGCAACCTCTCTTCGATTCTGTTCGGTCTGGCTGATTCTGCTCAGTTTGTATCTTGGTCTTATCCTTAGCATCATGGACTCGTCCGCTGTGTCTACCGCACTGGTCACCATAGGCGATCATTTTAATGATTTTACGCGCATTCAATGGGTCGTCCTGGCCTACATGTTGACCTACACTGGTTAGCGAGCCTTGATACTTTTCATTACGTTTTTTCAAGGTACTAATTCTACTACAGGCTTTGCCTTGACATTCTCACGGATGAGCGATGTCATCGGGAGAAAATGGGCAACCATTACGGTATGCAACACATTGATCCATCCATTAGTCTCTTTCATACCTTTAACAGCCACAGGCTCTTGTTTTCATTGGCGCCTTCTCCACAGGTTGTGGCTGCGCCCAGACTATAGAACAATTGATTGCCTTTCGTGCTTTGCAGGGCGTCGGCGGTGCCGGTTTGTACTCGATGGCTTTCATTGTTCTGCCTGAGGTGACCCCGCCTAACAAGATTACCGTAATGAGCGGCTTGATTGGTGGAGTGACTATTGTATCGGCGGTGTTGTAAGAAATTATATTCACCCCTTTGTCTCCTCGTTCCCTAGCATTTACTAATGAACGTCCCTCAATATATAGAGGACCCGTGATAGGTGGCGTCATCACAACTCATTCGACATGGCGCTGGGTTTTCTGGTTTAACATTCCTATTGCTGGGTTCATTCTTGTGCCCATGATCGTTTTTTGCCCAGACTTCAGATATCAAGGGCGCATAAGCTGGAGGCAGTTTGATTTTATTGGGTGCTTTATTTACCTTGCAAGCTGCGTTTTACTCGTTACTGCTCTTCAAGAAGCTGGAGAGGGGTCGATCAACTGGAACTCTGCTGCCTTCATTATTTGCATGATTTTGGCTGGTCTAACCTTTATCGGGTTTGCCTCATGGATTGCGCATCTTTCCAGAGGCACCTATTCTACCATGCCGCTATTTCCGGCGCGCATCGTCAATCATCGGATCATGCTTTCAACCATGATGTAAATCTTGCTCCAGCCTTACTGTTATGAAGATTATCCATGGCTAACAGAAACAAGGGTATCCACCTGTATTGGATTCGTGTTTTATTCGATTCTAGTGCAATTACCGGAACGCTTCCAAATCGTCAATGGAGACTCTGCTGAAATGTCAGGCGTTTCGCTTCTTGCCCTCTCAGGACCATCAGCAGTTGGTATGCATACACCAAATTGACGTAGATGGACCACTGCACTTACTGACTTGAGTAGGATCTTTCTTAGGCGGTGCTTTATCTAGTAGAAAAAACAATACGTTTCTGAGCCTAATCATTGGATGCAGTCTGATCCTCTTAGGCAATGGGCTGTTTCATACCGTCGGCCCAAGCCATTCTATTCCGGCAAAAACATATGGATTTGAGGCTATAATGGGCCTCGGCTTTGGCATGATCTTCTCCACCACGACGGTCCTGATCAAACTGCACGCCGAGCGCGAAGATGCCGGTACGTTCAATCTATCACTCGAACATCTACGCAAATACCTAGTGATAACCTCCAACTGACAATTTCCAGCATCGGCGCAAGGCCTCATGTCTCAAGGTCGTATCCTCGGCGGCAACCTTGGCCTCGCAATTGCCACCATCGTGCTCAACCAACAACTCATCTCCGACCTGAGCGGCATTGTGCCTTCTGACGTACTTAACAACCTTCGCCACTCTCTGCTGGCCATGGCATCGCTTACAGCGCAGGAGGCAGAAGTCGTGCGACAAGCGTTTGCGGACGCGTTCAAGACACAGCTCGTGATCAACATGGGTATTGCTGGTGCAGCGCTTGTGTTCTCCATATGCACTTGGGAGCGCCATCCGACCACATTTGCGCAGGTGTTGCAGCGATTGGCGGACGAAGAGGATGCCTCCGCTTCTGCTTCTACGGCTATGGTGCAGGGTGGCGAGAGTGAGGGAGTCGACGAGAGGCCTACTACTGCTACTACTTAGGTCAAGAACGATCTCCGTGGGTTATTAGACTGCTTCACTGCTACGCTTCAAAAAAAAAAAAAAAAAAGGAAACAGCACATAGAGCAAGTTTCAATTAGCTACAGGTATATCTAGGACTTCCATTTTTAAAATCGTAATTTTTTTCTTGGTCATACTTCTCCATGATTCATATCGTGTCCTCTCTAGATGCCCCCGTACACAAAGCTGTAGTACAAGTGACCAAGGGATCTACTATACCACTCTACGCACTTACACCCTGGTCTGTCGCGATACTAGTTGCTCATCGGGCCAGTAGTATACTGTCCGTGGCTTAAATTAGAGGTATGGCGGCCAAAATGAAAATACTGGGATGAATATGAACCCGACTTTTAGTCCAACGTAGTATTTTCAGACTATACAGGCACACTCCAATGGTTGAGGAGTAGTAGTATAGAATCCCTAGGGCTCTAGCAGCTGAGGCGAAAATGGCACATTTACGGTGAGGCGAGGTTCACGACCACCGACAGGTTATTAAGACTCAAGCGCAAGTACTTGATCTTCGTAAAATTAATAGCTGGAAGGTTCAAAAGGTGAGAGGCATAACTTGATTTCCACCTCACGAGATACACATTGCCCAAGCAGATATCGGAGATTTCGATTCAGGATTACGGATATTGCGGTGTGAATATGGGGGTGAGTACAGATATCAGTAATATAGGGTCAAGACGCTATGAAATACCACTAATGAAGACTTCATGACGGATTACAGCCAGATTTGGAACCTCCTTACATGTAATGTCACGGACCTGGATCCACCTTAGTCAGACAGTGTTGTGTAGAGATACGTTAGGCTTGGTTGAACTATATAAAGGTTCCTTGATTAACTGTCAATAGAGTGGCTTAAGTAAATTAAGTAATAATAATTGAACTGGTACCTCGAAAACTTTAAATACAATTAAGATAAAAGAGATCCTCTATATAGCCTAATGTTTGTATGAGCTAGAATGTCTTACTAACTCTAATTATTAAAGCCTAATATCAAGTGACTTAAATTAAAGAGCTACGAAGAACTAAGCATATAATAGTAAGTATTTTTATATATCTATCTAGGTAATTCTTATTCCATATCTCGTACATTATAGTGCTATGATACTAAAATTTTCTTATTACAATTTCATAATTCATTCTCTTATGATACCCTATTATATACCCGTCCAAGTCGATGAGGTGTTTTGTCTCCATATACCGATCTATATTCAAAACACGTTTCTCTCGTAGATCAATGGCTTACCTGCAGATCTACTAAGCCTCCAAAGTGGCGCGAGGATCTGGTCTTGCACGTGATTCACACATGACACACTCATTTGACAAGTTTGCATCCAACACCAATCAATGCCCACAGTCCGGTCTCAGCCTCATACCCCTCTTGAACCCTTGAGAGCGATGACCTGCAAAGATCCATAGCAGCCCGCTCTTACAACGCGAATATGAAGTCCACTCACCTCAGTAGTTCTTCATGAATATCTTTCACTTAAAAAAAGCGAAAGTTGTCCCAAGATGCCCCCGCGATCCCGCGATGAATTCCAAGTTGCGATAATCTGTGCCCTTCCTCTAGAGGCGGACGCGGTGGAGGCGTTATTCGATGAGCACTACGATGACCTTGTTCATGTATATGGCAAGCACATAGGCGATGCAAACAGTTATATCACGGGAAGAATCTATAATCACGATGTCGTGTTGGCATATATGCCGGGTATTGGGAATCGAAGATCCGCCAGTGTTGCTCGTGGCTTGCGTGTTAGCTTCCCGGGAATCAAGCTTACCTTACTGGTAGGAATCTGCGGCGGAGTACCATACACATCTGATGGTACGGAGATTATCTTAGGGGATATCATTATCGGTGATAGAGTCATTGAATATGATTTTGGCAGACAGTACCCGCACGGGTTCGAGCGGAAAAGCGGTGTTGAGGAGACACTTGGATCACCTAATCAAGAAATCCAGTCCTTCCTAAGCCGTTTACGAACTCGCCGGATGAGAAATCAATTACAAAGACATACCGCACGATACCTGCAAATTTTGCAAGGAATGGATGGTAATGAATGGAATTATCCCGGCGTATCACACGATACATTATTCGAAGCCTCTTATCGCCACAGGCACTACAAACAGCATTCTACGATTGAGTGCATCTGTGTTGGCTGTCATTCAGCTTTCGATCCAGTATGTGAGCAAGCATTGAAGAGCGACTGCAAAAAGGTTGGATGCGTAGGACAGTTAGTCCAGCGACGCCGACTAGATATGGATAATCCATCGCCACTTATTCACATCGGCACGATTGCGTCAGCAAGCTCTGTGATGAAATCCGGTCAGCATAGAGAGCAACTAGCGGAAAATGAGGGGGTTATTGGATTTGAGATGGAAGGTGCTGGAGTGTGGGATACCCTGCCGTGTGTGATCATCAAAGGGGTATGTGATTACGCAGACAGTCATAAGAGTAAGGCATTTCAAAACTATGCTGCAGCAACCGCAGCATCATGCGCCAAAAGTCTTTTGGCATACTGGGAAGGCAGTTTTCAGTATAAGGGATGTAAGTTAGCCTCGCAGAGCGACTGATGCTTCTCATCTGATAAGGCCAATTCTGATTACATCCTCGTTTTTAGCAATTCATCCTCAGGCTTCTTCAACGGTTCCGTTTGAGAGAGACGACATGTTTGTTGGTCGAGAAGATATTATCAAGAGTATCAGTGACACCATCGGAGGAAGAAGCGAGCAGAGTTCGAAGCGTGCCGCACTCGTTGGCTTGGGAGGCGTGGGGTGAGTGAAGTGGAAGACATTGACTTCGCGACAAACTAACGATGTCCCAGAAAGTCTCAGATCGCGATTGAGTATACATACCGTGTTCGAAAATCTGCGCCGGATATATGGGTATTCTGGGTTCATGCGAGTAATAGAACCAGATTTGAACAAGGCTATCGAGAGGTCGCAAGACTCGCAAAGATTCCTGGGCACGATGATCCAAAATGCGATGTCCTAGAGCTGGTTAAGAAATGGCTATGTGACGAGATGAATGGCAACTGGTTGATCATTCTAGACAATGCAGACGATGTTGAACCGTTATTCAACACAATTGGTGACCATCTGCCTTTAGTGGACTATCTGCCGCATGTGTCCCATGGATCGATTTTGGTTACCTCCCGGAATCAAACAGCAGCCCGGAACATCGTGGGGCATAGCGGCCAGGTGATCCTTGTGAACTCAATGAGTACAGATGAGTCCATGATGCTGTTGCGAACCCGTGTTCAGGTAAATCAATCAGATGAACCGGAAGCAAAACGGCTCGTGGAGGCGCTGGAATACATTCCTTTCGCGATTGCGCAAGCTGGTGCATACATCTTAAATCGCTCACCTCGAATGACCGTGTCAGCTTACTTGGAGCTTCTCCAAGAAAGTGAGTCCAAACAAGAGCATCTTCTAAATTATGGCGATGCTCATGATCTTCGACGAGATCAGAGCATCCGACACCCTGTTATCACTACATGGCAGATCTCATTTGATCAAATTCACCGCACGTGCACCAAAGCAACAGACATACTGGCGTTAATGAGTATGTTTGACCGGCAGAGAATTCCAGCGGAGTTACTAAGTGATGGAATGGATAAGTTACAATTTGATGATACAATTGATTCATTGATAAGCTTTTCACTCATTCAGGTTGAGATTGGCGGCCGGCTGTTTGGGCTACACCGACTCGTCCAACTGTCAGTTCGACACTGGCTGAAGATACAAGGCCGGCTTCATCAGTTGGCTAGACAAAGCCTACAGGTGATGGAAGTAGTATTTCCAAGTGGAGAATACAAAACATCAGCATCCTGCCAAGCGCTTCTTCCACATTTGAAAGAGGTAATTGGTTTTACGGTGTGCTTTGATGATGACGACCACTTAACCGTGTCAAATATTGTCAATCGATGTGGATTCCATCTTTACCTTATGGCAAACTTTGTGGAGGCTGAGACTATGTGTTATCGAGCGCTCGTTATCAGAGAAAGAATTCTGGGTGCAGAACATCGTGACACATTAGATAGTATCAACAATGTAGGCCTATTGCTTGCAAGCCAAGGAAAATATGAGGAGGCAGAGGCCATGCTTGGACGAGCAATAGCTACCAGCGAGAGAATTCTTGGCACTGAACACCCTGAAACTTTGGTTAGCGTTAGCAATCTAGGCATAGTGCTTGAAGGTGAAGAAAAGCATAAGGAAGCGGAGGTCATGCATCGACGAGCACTTGTTGGGACGAAGAGATTGTTCGGTACTGAGCACCCTAATACCTTGAATAAAGCGAATAATTTGGCGACAGTGCTTGGAATGGAAGGAAAATATGAGTTGGCGGAGGTCATGCTTCGACAAGTCGTTGTTGGCTGTGAGAAAGTGTTTGGTTTTGAAGACCCTTACACATTGACTAGTGTTAATAATCTAGGTTCGGTACTTCTAAGTCAGGGAAACTATGAAGAAGCAAAAGCCATGTTTCATCGAGCACTCGCCGGCAAAAAGAAAGCATTAGGTGCTGTACATTCGGACACACTAAACAGTATCGATAGTATGGGCCTAGTGCTTCAAAGGCAGAGAAGATATAAGGAGGCGGAGATTATGTATCGACGAGCACTTGCTGGTAGAGAGAAAGTGCTAGGCGCTGAACATCCTCTCACACTGGCTAGTGTTAGTCATCTAGGGTCGTTGCTTCAGGAGCAGAGGAATCATCAGGGGGCGGAGATAATGTATCGACGAGCACTTGCTGGGAGAGAGAAGGTGCTAGGCGCTGAACATCCTCACACAGTGGCCACTGTTGGTTATTTACGCTCGGTACTTGAAAAGCAGAGAAAATATGATGAGGCGGATATCATGTCTCCACAGCCACTCGCTGGCGGAGGGAGAGTGTAAGCCAAGTACTTGAAAGCTGAGTGGAGTACGTGGTTGGAACACTATATTATTAAGTTTAATTGTCAGATATCGACGAGTTGACTTTGCCCACTGTGAAAGGAAAAAAAAAGAAACCCTGGGTCAATGTCGGACTGGCCGCTTGTTAAATTGTAACAGTACATATGAAACATACTCTAATTGTGATAAGATACATTTTTAGGCTTAGAGAAAGAGTAAAAAAATGAGGGAGATTCCGAATCTGTCTGTAACAGAAATTATGATCTTTGCCATTAGAGTTTGGCCAGAACAACAAGGCTAATGCTGTACAATAACTAGTACAAATCTAACAACATTATTCTAGATGGCTTACTTCCGTTTTATTTATACGCCCTGACTATAAATCCGATGAAGCCCTCGAAGGAATCGAGCACTTTACAGAGCAATGTATTCTCAAAATAGTACTACTGATAACAATACTGTGAGGTCGAAAATTCATATCTTTGATGAGACTAGATTTGCTGAGAACTGTCCGGATTAGTCGCCAAACTCAATAGCCATAATAACACTAAACTTCGAGCTTGGTGAATACGATATTGATGATAGCATGAAGTATATATCGTTTGATATACTTGCAAGATGTTAGATTTTTGTGGAATGATGTAAGACACGGAAAGTCAAGTAGACCCAGATTCTACAGTATGAAACTAGGGCAAGTTCCTGGTTACTATCATGGGTTGCTGTCGAGGAGCAAGCACCAATAGCTGTAAGTGCTCACGTAATTTCCTTTACAATAGCAAATGAATATTTGTGAAGGGAATCATCAACATCTTTGTACATATGAGCAACAGACACTTCAGAGGAAACATGCGATAGGTCAATTGCTCAGCCAACTTCCCAAGTCTGCTCCTCACCATATGTATCTACCGCCCACTTGTTCATACCTTCTTCCAGCGCCTCAGTAAACCCCTTGTCAAACCGCTTCCCATTCTCCGTCCACGCTATTCGGGACCTCCATGTGAGCCAATTCTGTGCCATTGACCCTTCCGGAGCGCGAATAATTCCAGTAGCAAGATCGACAACCTGTCGGCCGTCATCCCGCCGTCTGTCTTCGTTGCTGTAGAAGACAGTTGCCCCACAGGTACCACAGAACGAGCGTAGCACGCCTGCCGAAGAAACATATGTCTTTGCTGCCCCAATCTTGAGATCTGACTTGATAGCGGGCTCGCAACATTGCAACGGGACGAACGCCCAACCAATAAGATGCGTGCCAGTCACAAGGCGACAGTCATCACATATATCGACGATAGCTCTCCACTTGTTCTCATCAAGAGGAGAGACAAACTGAGACAGCCACTCGTCACTAATCACCTCCTTAGAGGGCCGCTTGATTGTGAAGGAGACTCCGCCGCAGTGACATTGTGCACGTAGCCGCTCCTGACCGTCCTCGCCGACTTCGACTTCGGCTTCTACAATCTTAGCTCGCGGATCATCGTCTTGTGGATTCCAAACCGGTATCTCACGGTCGCCAATACGGGTTAACATTGGAGATAAGCCGTCATCCTTGGCAGACTTGGAGAAGATGTGGCTCTTGATCTGAAAACGGTCCGGTCTTTGGTCGCTAAATATAGAGGGTGATACCACATAAAAATTGCTGTCCTCGGGGTCGCGGGCATTAATATGGCACCCGCATGTTGAACAAAATCCCAGTGTACAACTCGTGCCAGCTGGAGCATAATTTGTGATGTTATGGTCTGATGACGGAGCAATGAACTGCGGTTTAACTCCAGCTGGTAAAGTTGTGTGTACGATAAAGGGTGCGCCTGTGACATAACGACACAGACTACAATGGCACATTCGAACTGCTAGAGGGAGTTGCGCTGTAGGAATATCTACAGTGAAATGAACAGCACCGCAGAAACACTTGGCTTCTAGAGTTTTGATGGCCGGATCAGACATTGTGGTAGGAGAAAAGAGTCTTCAGCGCCTCCCAATGCTCATAAAATTACAGGTTGTACGATTGTAAAACTATCGCAAAAGAACAGAAGTGAACATAAATAGTCACTAGTGGGGTTAGTTTTGAAGAACGCTTTGATAAATTGGCGGGCTGCTCGTATGGTTGCCTAGATCATGTGATACTTTTCTCCCTGATGTTCCTGTGTTGAAGGCATACTTTATTATTATTTGCACATACCACATGCATGGTGGGAGACCATCCTTTTTTCTTCCGAAGTCAATTTTCACCGCAGTCTCAGCATGGCAAATGCGCATCTCGTTGCCTAGGTATGAGTCGTTGGTCACCTAGAGTTCAGCTGGAACGAGGAGAAAGTCCCCGGGCTGGATCATTACGGGTCATTTTCACAGCTTTATCAGTGATCATTATTCTCAGAACTCTATAGGGATCCACTCGATTCTAAAGACATGCTTACAAAACGTCATTCACCCTCCTCCAAATGGGAGGATGATTCAGCGGCCGAAACTGATTGATACCTAGTTATAGTTCTTATAATAATCCAAGAAGAGGTTCTTCTTTGGAAAACCCTTAATCTGGGGAGATCAATAGATGTAGGTAATCCCCCAGATATCTCGTCACCAATATTTACGGATGGAATATCTCAGGATCTACAAAATTGAATTTCATATAGCCCGTCACAATTAGCCACCGGAGGCTACTAGTTTGGCTTGTCAACATCAAAACAATTGAAACGACCAACCATTTTACATTGCGGATTGATCTGTTGAGGCAGACTAGAGCTTGTAGAAGCTGTTAGATCCCACGTATGCAGCTTGGACAGAGGAAGAATTCCGTCCTTATTGCAATTAATGAACCTCCCTGAGCTTTTGCTGCTCCGATTGGTAAGACGAAACACCTTTGTCACAATTCATACATAGACCAGAGAAGTAGGTAGCAATGAAGTAATAATATCTGAAATACTATACTAATGATAACGCTCAACGCTTGAAAACACTTTATTTACCAAGAAACTCCCCCGAGGACGGCGAACAAAGTTATTTCTTGCCCTTCTTGCTTCGAGACCTTGTCTCTACTCCACTTTGTGGTTGCATTTCAGACTGAGTCGTCCCTGTTTTCTCAGGAATCGACTGGATTTCTTCTTCTTTCTCGGACTGCTCGTCCTCAACATCTTCCTCATCCTCCTCCTCCTCCTCCCTCCTGATCAATTCACCATCATCATTCTCCTCAGATTCGGATTTCACATCTTCAGACGGTTTGGCAGCCTCCTGATCTTCTGTAACTTCCCGCTGAATATCAGCGATAACCTTTCTAGCCTCAGTCTCCTCGCCATTCCACGCCCCACAATTCCCACACCTCCATCTCCCCAATTCACCCAAACTCTTGATTCCGGGTGGTGCTTGGCCATTGACAAGCCTACAATTCTGGCATATCAAAACCAGCCTATTCTTAGGGGACGTTTCGTCTTCGCCCAGCAATACATCCATCAGACGGTCGTACCATTTCGATGTTCCGCCTGAGGCATACTGCGGCTGTGCCGAAGGCGGAAATGCATTGGGCGCAAATCCGGGTTGATCGGGATAAGTTATATCTGTAGATGGAGGAGGCGGTAATGGTTTCTCATTCCGAGGAGAGAGTCGCGGTTGATTGTATGTCGGTGATGGTGCAGCATCATTCTGCGGATATCGTCTAATATTCGCTGTTGGCGGGGGTGGAATTCCCGTTCTTTCTGGGATGGTGCCCTGCGTTTGTTGCTTCTGTTGCTGATTGTTGTCCTTCTTCTTATTGCCAGCATTCTTGTTTGTTGACTTCGGCTTTGGCGATTCTCCGCCATACTTTTCGAGCAACTGCTGCGTCGAGTTGTATTTTGTTGCGACTTTCAACTTTTCAATTGTCTCGTCTCGTTGTTTGTTGAGACTGTCTAAATAGGTCTGGGACCGGTTTATGCGGTAATCGAACATTCGGCTTGCGACGGTTCGGACGGTGTATATCCTGCCCTTATCAGCACCCAAATTGAAATACCTCGGGGATTGGAAGACAAACACAAAAGGACCACCCAGCACAGCCCCCCATTCCCAATACCCCCATTTCTGCCATCCCAGCACCAGCACATCGATTGTCGAATACAGTAAATAGATAAACACCGAGTACAGCGTCCACAGTGCCTTGAAGCGACGCGCTTGTTGACGGAGCTTGTCGAGCTGGGTGTTTGTCTCTGTCGCTTTTGTGGAGAGGGTTGAGAGTGTTTTCTCGAATGAGGCGGGGGAGGKGTCTTCGGCCTGTGTTTGTTAGCTTGCCGATGATGATGTGGGCTGGCAGGGATTGTACCTTCCAAGGCCAGAGTGAGACCATTTTAGTGGGTGTGCAGAATTGATCGCATCGTATTTGAAAGCTTTATGGATATGTAGTTGGTTTGTCTGAAAGGAAGCAGGCAGCCGAGATGGATAGCGCGTCATAAGAGCTTGTTGAAGCTTTACTGTTTGTGGACTAGTGCCACGTCTGGGGAAGCACGGCCCCCATCATCTATAACCTCATTTTCATCAGCTTTTGATCAACTCGTGCCTCGTCATGGAGTTTCCGGATTCTCACCGAAAAATGCATCAATTGTGAGACTTTAGAGGTAGTCAGTATACAGAATGACCAGCCGCATCGGCAGGCTGAAGTCAAGAACAGGATGTGACACCTGCAAGTCAGTCCTATCAGTAGCCCTAACTTCAATTTCATCCCACTCACTATGAGCAAGAATCCGTCGCATCCGCTGCTCAGAAGAACGTCCCCAGTGCAAAAGATGTACCAGTACTGGTCGAAAATGCACTTACGAATCCATTTTACGCCATCAACATAACTCACCCATCACCCTACAGCCATCAACTATAGCCACCAATTCGACATCCCGCGAAAGGCGCTATTTCGAGTACTACTTCCACCACGCCGCGCCATCACTTTCCGGAACTCTAGACCATTCTTTTTGGGGGGTGTATGTCCTGCAACTCTGCCGCTCCGAGCCCGCAATCTGGGACGGTCTTATCTCTCTCAGCGCGCTATTTGAGCGTCCCCCGGTTAACAATGCATCAAACCCAACAGCATTGCTAAATTCACCAGTGGAAGTGAGGCATGAGTATCACCACGATGCGTTGGCGTGGTATTCCCGCTCCTTGGCTGGGCTGCGTCGACGAATTAGTGGCGGCGGCCGGGTTGTGGATGTAGATGTCGTCCTGGTTGGGACGATAATTTATATTGCTATTGAGTTTCTGCAGGCTAATTATAAGGCTGTGATGGGGCTGTATACAAGAGGTATGCAGCTTATTGCCGGTAACGTCGCCGCGGAGTCTGGATTGGAGGTTGCGGTGAAAGCCATGTTCCGACGTCTTCGCACCCAGATTTTGATTTTCAGTAGTGTCCCAATGAGCGAAGACATACCCGATCACCCCGCGCTAAATGAGAGATTCGAGTCTATCGACTCAGCTCGCAATACATTATTCGAGTTGATCTCGGACATGAAACAGCTTCTGCTTGCCATCAAGTCCTATCGCGCGCAGACTGGCAGCACACATATACCCTCTTCGCACCAACTGACTGCCAAACAGGCCGAACTCGAGCAACAACTCCATAACTGGTATAATGCCTTCACAACCCTTTCACCACCACCTAAAACCGGTGTCAGGGATCCAACTACCCTCATCCTCCTAATGAACCACACCGCAATCCTCCTCGAAACACGAATCTGTCTCTCAGCCTCTGAATCAGCCTACGACTCACAAAACAACGAATTCGAAAAAATATTGAAATACGCATACTCCCTCAGCTCCTGGCCCTCGTCACCTCCATCGGCAAGTACACATAGAAAGAGACAACCATTCTCATTCGACCTCTCAACTTTTTTGCCTCTATTCATAACAGCGCTGAAATGCCGCGATCCGGCTCTTCGCCGCAAGGCGCTTTGTCTCCTATCAGGAGGAGATTCATCTACTACTACCGGAGCAGCAGTAGTGACAGCAGTGCAGGGCCTCTTCTTGTCCCGGCCTGCGGCACAACTCATCGCAATAATTGTAGGGTTGGAAGAGCGCTCCGACCTCTTCCTGCCTGCTTCAGCTTCTGTGACTACCACGCCGCTGAATCCGGGGCAAGAAACGGATGAGGTGCCATCATTGGAAAATATAGTAAAGAGCATACTCTCCCAAAACGGCTGCATTCCCAAAGACGAGCATCGAATCTGCGATTTTTGGATTTCGTCGTCGTCTGAAGCTGCGCCACCAGAGCTATTATATCTATCAGCGCAGGGGAAGCGTCGTATCGATGCTGTTAAGAATAGTAAGGGGGGAGAGGTTTGGTTATATTATCGTCGATTCACCTGTCTCGAGGCCCCTGTCTCGTATGATGGTCATGCGGAAGAAGGGGGGAGGAAGATGGGGTATGTCACGCGGAGGATACGGCTAAAGATATCTGACTTCAATGTCACTTAATTTGAGTGAACATGTATAAAGGTCTAGTTAACTAGTATCTTGATTTAAATATGTATGTACATATGTCCAAAGATCAACACCACGTATGCATACCCCGTGTATCGCTATGCTATGCTATGCTATGCTATGTTATGTATGACTATACATCAACCAAATGTACAAATATCTAACATCATGCCTCAGCCCCAACCAACACCTCAAAAACTCCCATGAATAAATTGACTTACTGTCGAACGCGTCGAATCAAATACTGGCCCTCCTCGGCGCCATAGTCCTCCTCAACTTCTTCTCTTCCGTCGACTCCTCCATAACCGGCAATGTGCCCTCCGCCCTCAGCTTATCCAAAAATTTCTTCCCGTAGGTATAACCCACCTCATAAATCTCATCAAATTTACCAAACTCGAGTGTTCCGTACGGATCGATGGGCGGTCGCATGTACAAACATCCCGGCATAATTTTCGCACGCTCCAGGCTGTCGACCGATGACACATATGCGAGACGGGCTTGGATTTCGCTGAGTGTGATGGGGTTAGGCGTTGATGAGAATGGGTTCCAGCGGTTTGCAAATGTCCAGAAGCCTGAAAGCGTGTCACCGTATTCTTGGGGTGTATTGTCGTCGAGACTGCCTACGTCCACAGCTAAAATAATGTCTGCACCGAGTGATTTCATGTGTGCGACTGTCAAATTGTCGACGTAGCCGCCGTCGAGTAACAAGCTACCTTCGTCGCAAAGCGGAGGAAGCAAACCGGCCAGAGACATGGAGGCACGCACGTACCGCCATACATACCCCGAGGAATGGAACTCGTTTCGAGATTTACTGATGTTGGTAGTATTGCAGTAAAATTCGAGCCAGAAATCTTCAATCTGGCTGTCGCCGAATGTCTTGAAGATTCCGCGATTGAACTCGTGCCCGGTCGTGTATGAGACGGCTGGGTAGGTTAAGTCGAGCGCAAAGCGCCAGATGCTGCCCATTCGACCGGCGAATTTTTTGGCGCGGCCGTACATGGGTACGACGTCTGCGTCGCGGGCGTAGAGGGCGCCGATGAATGAGCCGATTGATGTGCCGCCGACGATATCGATGGGGATACCAGCCTCCTCAATGGCTTTGATGACCCCAACATGTGCGATGCCGCGTGCACCGCCGCCGCCAAGGACCAGACCGACTGATTTTCCGCATAGTCGGCGCGCTAGTCGATGAAAGTCACCTTTAAAGGGAGTTTGCTGAGAATACAATGGAGTTTGATGAATGCGACGAGAGGTGTACTTTTGAATTTCTGCTTGAATGACCTGCACGCGTTGTTTCAGAGCTGTCCCGAATCGTTTAGCGCGAGGGTGTGCAGGTTCAGTTGTCAGACGATATGACATCTGGACATGGTGGTGGCCACCGTTGATCCACATTCGATTCTTCAACCAGCGTCGCGTCAGTCCTGGTGGACAATACCGTTCGGCATGTAGCAAGACAAGCTCTTTGCGGGCAGTCGTCTTCATTCCAAGCAAGAACCTCTCATATTCGCCAATAGCAGGCGAGCCTTCCGCCAGGCCAACCAAGAGAATACAATCCGCTTGGGTGATGCAGGTCTGTGTCCATGGCGAGTTGACATTGGTGTCCGCAATATACAGCACCATGCCGTACTTTTCTTCAAGATCAGCCAGATACTGCGCGAGTTTGAGTTTACCCATTTTGCTGAATGCATGTCGACCGAGGTGGTTCAGAATAGCTGCTTGATTCAGTGAAGTCACGCCATTCATGACTCCGATTTGAGTGAACGCATTCATCAAGCGATTGCCAAATTCCACCACCGGGACACCAACAGTCACTGGCAAAATAGCCACAGTACGCATATTCACTGTCGATGTAGCCGTATTCGCTGTACTGATGTCACGAGGAATATAGGAGGGTTCACTCAGCAGAGGATTGTAAACCAGATCCCTCATCCGCTGGGCAATCAGCTTCGAAATCTGAATCGTAATACCCGGGTGTTCCTGAGCAAGACTGTTAAATAATGATCGCGGAAACTTGGCTAACTCCGTATCACGAATGGCATGTAATGTCGCTGGTCGAGTAGATTCTGTCATGACCTCGAGCTCCCCAACACTTTCCCCTTGACCATATTCTCCAAGCACCCTCATCTTTCCGCCCTTGCCCTCGAGGACAGACCTTAGTCGACCGTTCAACACGATATAGATAGCATCACTGTCGTCGCCTTGATGGTGAATGACCTGACCGGCAGTTACTTGAACCCACTCCAACGCAAAATCGATATGTAGGATCAACCGCGGTAAAACGCTTGTCAATCGCTTAGCCAGTGTCAACAAAACAATGGGATACCGCTCCGCAATCCGTTCCAGAGTCGCTCGTGGCAGGAACCCGACATAAACATCTGTCTGGGCCACTACATCTGTGAACGATCGATACGACGCGACGGATCCAACGTAACCCTGCATACCACCCGGTTTGATCAGGTACAAAGACCGTCGGGGATACTTTCGACGTTTTGGGTCTGCATGAGGTACGCGTGAAGAGCTAGTCGTTGTACGTTTCAGGGTTGGAAAGCTCTCCTCTGGATCCTTGGATGCGCCGACGAGATCATCTTCACGGTCGTTGATGGGTACACCGACATCCAAAAAGCCGTCAATCACGTAGTATAAACCTGGATTCCGTTCGCCTTGCTCTACCAAAACAGACCCTTGCGGAAAAGAGACAATTTCAATTTCACTGAGCAGTTCTTCGCGGAGATTGTGGACAGGTGAAGTTCCGCCGGCACTGGTCACAGACATGGACATCATAGATTCAGAGTCAGCGTCATCGAACGGATCCATGAACCCAAATGCATTGTTGAAAACGGCTTTCTGTCTCCGCGAGTCATACGAGACAAGCTTTGGTGACTGTTCGCCCGCGTACGCCTTCTGAAGAGCATCGCGCGTGCTTGACGTCAAACCGATCCCCTTCATCATGCATTCCACAACTGATTCACGGAATATACCATCCTCATCAATAGACTCTCTTCGCGCAAACGGAGATGTAGCCATCATCGCACCGCCTCTAAACGGCGAGTGTTCGACTTGGGCCAGAGGACTGGTAACTTCGGCATACGGCGTGACCTGACCCTGTGAAGGTGGTCGATGTCCAATTTCAGATCGGTTTCCGTATCGATTAAGCTGGATAGTCGAGAGTAAATCACCGGGGTTGACGCCACTGCTTGCCGCTGTCATGCTAGATGAAAGAAAATTCTCATTCGACATGGATAGATGTCTTCGCGAAGCGGATATCTTCGTGTGTAAAGCAGCTTCTTTTCTTAATGAGCTGCTCGACCGACGCCTACGATGCGCCTGAGGGTTGTGTAGAGCAATTCCTTTGGAGTCATCATTCGGTCCAAGACGTTCTCGTTCTTGCCTAAACTTATCTTTTAGTCGTTCCAAAGCACTCCCTCGTAAATCATTCGGCAAGTCATAGGCAGTGAATTTGTTGAGTTGTCGGTCAATGCTAAGCACCTCCGTATCGAGACCCAAATACGAATGAGCAGTGGAAAATGTGACCCTTTGCAAACGAGTAAGAATGACCTGAACTATATGCGCCGTAGCGCGAGGGTACATCCTCGTCAATCGACGGAAGGCGCTTGCCGGTATAATGGCAATAGTTGTATCAACCATAGCTCGCGCCACGATATCAGGATGAACTGATTTTGTCTTGGTTTGGCGGCGGCTGTGAGGGTGTGACGCGGGCGGGACTCTAGGAGACTGCTCAGCAGTATTTGTCCCGGTTTTGGCTTGTTCTGCAGATTCCTCCAAATCCAATGGAGGCACTGTCGGCAAAGCCGCAACTCCAAGGCCTTCTGCTCCATGCGCCGCAGGTGGAGATCCGAGCTGAGGACCAGGAACGAAACTCCCAGGACTGCCCGGCATGGAAGGCGGGAGGAGAGACTTTCCCGAAACATTCCTCGTAGTTTCATCGCTTTCCTGACGCAGATGCACATCCTCCGTAAACAACGTCAAAATCGAAAACAGCGACGACATGGATGCGCCATTCTTAACCTCCGTCAACAACTGATATCCCTGATTCCCGTCCATCCGACGTATCTCTTCATCATCCGTATCCTCCGTCGAAGGTGTACCCGTATGTGGTCTCGGCTCATTCCCACGGATCGACTTTACAAAGATCTGCACAAGTCCATCAACCACCAAACAAAACCCCTTTTCTTCCTCCAACAACAATGTCTCCCCTGCCATCAATTTCCTGGTCTGCATCGTCCGTGTCAATTCGTGAAACACCGGCCTCTCCAAGTACCCAAACACTTTGATCGCACTCAGAAACTCATCGAGATAATTCGCCAGCCCCGGTTTCGAGTCCCCTTCCTGCGTGTCAGGAAACAAATCTATTTGCGCTTCTTTGCGCTGCGGTTCGGGCGGGAGACGGCTGTACATGTTGAGGTAGCGGTAGCGAATGAACCATATCACGGTGGACATGAAGGCGCAGAAAATGATCAGTCTGTAGATGTCAGTTCTGCCACATTAGTTCAGGGCAAGGGGGTGTATTGACATACATGGTTGTAAAATTCATGGTGAACGTCAAACTCATTGAAAAGAGCGTGAATAACCAGGTCGGAATCGTGATCGTCGCAAATCCAATCACCCAGAACAATACGCTGGGGATTGTATGCAGAAAGAAAACCAGCAATTGACCCAACGCGCCTGGCATCGCAGTCTCGACGGGCGGGGGAACAGCGGGCAGTGTTCGTATCGCCATTGTCGAGGAAATCGAGGCTGCGGCGGTATATGAGGAGAAGACTGAAGAGGAGGAGGGGTGGCCAGGTGACTCTAACGGGAAGGTCTGGTCCTCCTCGTGTAGCAGCGGCGTCGGAGGGGAGGAGGATGCAGCGTCTAACGGCCTTGCACCTGCAGCAATAGCCGTGGCCACAAGGGCGGTGGTACCGTCGTCTGGCGAAGTCATGGTGGTCCCGCTGTCGGCCGCGACGAGGATTGGCCGGCCGGTGGGGAAGAGTGGATCGGCTGATAACGGTGTTTGTGCAGTCTGTACTATGTAGTAGACTGTGACATTGCAGTAGTTAGCAGATCAAACGTTCGTGTAGACAGGACTACTATACTGCAGATGGTAGGTAGTCAAGTGGGAGATCGTGAGCGCGGAAAGACAGGGACCTACAGGACTGACAGCTGGTCGCTCTGCGCCCCGTGATTGGCAGCTGTTTAGCCGCGGGATATGCTAACCACGACTCGTGCTGCCAGAGTCCGCTGTGATTGACTACCGCAATGTATCGATCTCTGTAACTCTACTTAGGTATGTATTGCAATGAAGAATGTAGTATGAGCATGATGTACATTGTAAGTCCTAAGTGATGGTATGTATACTATGTATGCGTGTCTGGCATCGTCAAAGCTTCATGGTCCAGCCTGCAAAACAAGGCACTCAACGGCCCGTCAAAATTAACGACGTCATCGTCTAGAATCTCGGAGAACCTCATTTCGTGGACTTGTAGAGTACATATTATGTGCTTCCACAAACACTAAAATGATAAATTTCGTGGCTCATATAATTGATTTCTGTATTACTATGTAGTAAGAAGAAGATTCCACTCGTTCGATGTTCAGTAAACTGTTAGTGATATATAATGTGAATCATCATGTGATCGCCTCAGCCCTAACAACTATATATTTTGATCAACTCAATATCCCAGCCCATTCCTCGCACCCACAAAATCCACAATGTCAAAAAAGCTCTTCTTAAACCACCTCTCCTGCGTCGTCCGATTGACAACCTGCATCCCAAATTGCTGCGCATAATCCCCAAATTCCCAATTATCCATAAAGCTCCACGCAATCGCCCCAATGACATCCACCCCATCCTCCCATATCGATTTGAGTACCTCGGACATGAACGAGAGATAATATTGACTTCGGGGTGAATCATACAGTTGGTCGACTAAATCGCGAGTCGATTCAGCGTAGACGGGAAAACCGAATTCGCTGAGGACGAGGGGCGTTTTGTAGGTGTTCCAGATATAAGACAGGAATGCGCGGAGGTAGGTGGGTGTGATGTAGACGTAGGATTGAGAGCGGTAGCCAATATCCCAGCCATATGAATTTACGGTTTCTTGGGTGACGCAGTACGGATACAAGGAGTTGGTGGTCATGTTCTGTTTGGAGCAATATTCGATGCCTTCGGCGGGAACGGAGATGACGGTGGCTGTATATGCGTCGATGCCGATGAAGTCGGTTGTATGGCTGATGTACTCCAATTCCTTTTTACTGAGTGGTTTGGCGCCTGGCAGAGTGTCGAGAATAGATTTAGGATATTGCTGGCCGAGACAAATCGGATACGCAAAGACGCCGAGCTGCATGTCATTGAAACGGTTGGCGGCATCGATCTCGGTCTGGTTCTCAGGGTGCTTGGGCACGCCAAAATTGTCGTTCAATTTCAATCCCACCTTTCCAGTTCCATTCAAAGTATCATGATAGAAGTGATACAGTTCTGCGTGGGCATGCACAACATTATCCAGTCCTGTGAAATTAAACGCATACAGCAGGGGCTCATTAATAGTAACCCAGAACGGGACACGATCGGCAAAATGCGTAAACAAGATCTTGCCGTAATTCACAAACGAATCGACAAMCTCTTTATTCCAATMCCCGCCATTCTGGTATCCAATATCCGGCACCACGTAACCAGCAGAGGCATTGATGAAATACAGTGGAGTATCGAAGTGGAGCATCGTAACAATAGGTACCATGCCAACTTCCAAAACATAATCGATCAAGTCATTGTAATGCTTGAGGCCTTGTTCATTGATTGGGCTTCCGGGCACGGTGAACGGTAGAATGCGGCCCCACGAGATTGAGAAACTGTAATACTTGACGCCAATCGATGCAAGACGCTGAATGTCCTGCTTATACAGGTAGTAGTTCTCATTTGTCACGTAATCCTGCGGTTCTGTATCTGGCAGCAATTTCTCCAGTATACTCGGCGCACGACCTTCGAGGCCAATAGCACCTTCGATCTGAGCAGCAGATCCGGCAACACCGAACGTGAATCCTTCCGGAAAGTTGTAGCAATCCGTTGGACCGAAATAGTCTCGTGGTGGAAGAACAAGTTCACTGGAAGGTAATGGGGTAGGATTGACGGTGGTCGTATACAAACCAATATTGGTATAATTCGCCAAGCTTGCATGTAGCCATTGCGATGACCACGCGGCTTGGCCGTATTTGTCCGCTGTATCGGTTGCAGAGATGACGGTCTGACTTGGTACCCAACTACCCCACGTCGTGGTCGTTAGCTTCGTCGACAGTTTTGCTACTGCATCTGTGTATGCTGGTCCGTAGGTGTGGGTGGTTGTTGGAGAGGGGACTGAGATTGCATAGCTGCGAGTGTTAATTGGAAATTGTACGACAGAAGAGAACAACACACCGAATTGTATCGTTGAGCGATGCATATGAAAACGACTGGAAGCGAAAAGTTGGCGTAGCTGGGGGTTCAGTGCATTGTGGCCGCGCCGTGTAGCCAGTAGTCGTGATGTACACCTCTTGAGCCTGTACTACAACGGCGACAGCCGCTAATAGAAAGAGAAATCCCATGTTGAACATAATAGTCGACTACTATTCAAAAATCGGTTGTTGAACAGACAGAAAGCATCATCCCTTGCCGAGAGACCCATTTTATACTTTGATGCCCCGCGTCTGTGTATGCTTACATTCCCGCGACATATGGCTCAAAATCGAAATGACCTCACCTGGATATATCTTAGAGACGGGGAAACGGGGAATCTCGACAAATTGAAAATGGGCATGTTGAATAAATTTGCATGATGTACAAAGTTTCTCCGTGTAGATCAGTCAACGCCATATCCACAATATCTCCGTTCATAAATGTTAGGTACATGTCCGTGCCTTTGATCTGCGGAAATGCCGACATACAATTTGGACTAAGCTGTGAACAAAATAAAGTTGACCATGATTTCATCTCGTACTCGTAGTTTTCTTCTTGTTTGGGCTAAGCTAGTATGGCTTTTGGTAGCGATCGTCGTATCCATCGGGATTGTGTGGCTTTCCTGGGATGCGGGGAATTTGCGGAGAAGACATGTACGTACGTATATGAAGCTGTGTTGTAGAATAGGCAGGTAAGGCGGTACGGCTAATTAGGTTTGACCGCGGTAGAAGTATCTCTGTGCAACATCTCATTACGGATCTCAATCGCCCTACGTAGGAGGTGGTGCTCATTCGAAGTAACGTAAGCACTTATATATCTTGCGCGCGAGTTGACGGTGTTTAAGGATGACTCCCATATTGTACTTCACGGTGGTGGGTCGCTCTCGTCGACAAAGTCAATAAAGCCATAGAAGAATCTCAAATGGGAGATCAATTTCTCTTGATTTCTATTTTAGATGAAGAGCATTGATTGACAAGCTGTGCTGACAAGAAAAGACGAAAGATGCAACGACGTCAACAAAGAAGTAGGACGGAGCTAGTCTACACACGGCTAGCGCCATAAATTGCGGAACGATAAAGCATCTCCGAAAAAGGAACCAACAACATGACTTCTCTATCTCTCCAACGTCGAGATTCTGATTCAACAGCATCATGGAGCAGGCAGCATCGCTCATGCTGCCTCTCCGGCCACCAAAAGCCAAGAGCAGCAAAAAGGACAACTTGCCCATCCGCATCGCTCAAATTAACGCTCAACGCGGCTCCTTTCGCAACATTACCGAGCAAAGTCTCCAGGAAGAGATAAAAGCGAAGAAGGAAAAAGGCGAGGAAGAAGACGAAAAGGAGGAACGAAATGAGGAAACTGCGAACGCAATCGATGCGACCGAGCGCCAGGAACTGTTGTACAAAAAGCGCGCGGAGATTATCCAATTCGCAGCGTGAGCTTCCCTCCCCGCTCTATCTCAAGACTCACACTAACTTTCGGACGCGTTAGTCAAGCCCATATGGAAACTCAATTTGCGCTGGATTTTATATCCCTCCTACTATCGAAACACGCCCCCCGCCAAGCAGAAACGAGTATTTCGCCGTACCTCAAACAAAATGTCCCGATGGGCTCGTTGAACATCGACGTGGTCAGAGCTCCCCAGAAATCGCAATCGGCGATACGCGACTCGCAGAATGTGGCTCSCGGATGGAAGATGGAAAGCTTTAGTGCGTCTGCGAATAGACTGCTCAAAGCTGCGGCGCGGCTGGAGAGCGAAGTTGCGGCGGAAACGAAATATTGGGATCAAGTTTTGGCGATCAAGGATCGAGGGTGGAAGGTGTGCAGGTTGCCGAGGGAGAGGCAGGTGCTTGGTGTACAATATGGATTTATGGAGGGTGAGTTCTCACCGAGACAAAAGAAATGTTTAAGAACTGACGAATATAGCTGCCCCAACCTTCCGTGATCGCGGTCTGGCCTCGTTGCGCCGTGCTGATGATGGAACACTTGTTCTGGACAAGGGTCTGGTACCCTCAAGAGCGAGAGCAGTTCGCGTACGAGTCAAGAAACAAGGCAAGGTAACAGGCAATTCAAGCTTGTCACAGTTTGTTGCTGCTGCTGTTGCCGATGATTCCGTTGAAAAGACTATTCTGCAGTCAAGAGATACGCTATTTGAAGAGGAGCTTTTCCATGAACTAACTCGAGAAGCACGTGTACTGGTCAGCTCGGGCGTAACGGCGCATAAAGATCTGATTGAGTTTGAATACGAAGCGGGCGAGCAAATCTTGCTGGATCTAGTGGATTTGGACGACCTCAAACTTGAGCAAGAAACAAATTCTACGGAGAACACCGGTATCAATAACACTGAAGCTGAGGCAATAGCCCACGCCCTTCGTATACTACTCTCATGCGCACATAGACAAAACCTACGACGGCGGAGTCAATTCCCGCCTCCACTCACCAACCAGAAACGACCAACACCACAATACCAAATCCTCCGCCCTATTCTCTCGTACATGCAACATGACGCACATGTACGCTCCTTGCAATCTTTTCTTCAAGACGTCTACCAAGTCCTCAACTCCGCCGGTCTCCCATCGAAATACACAACCTCGAAGTTCTCATCCCTGCAATTCAACCATTCTAAGATCGATCAATCCTCGACTGCAGTCGAGACATTACTTGGCCAGTTCATGGAGCCACTGGAATCACGATTCACCGGGTCTATGGCCAATCCTAGCAGCACATACAACATTCGAATCCATACCACTATGCCGGATACATCATCTCGCCAACTGGCTCTGGGGACCGATTATGAGTTGACTATCCGTCTGCCCAACTACCCATACACACAGCCGCCATCACGTATTGGCCTAAGACATGAAGTTGAGTTGTTACTGTTACGACTGTTTACCCTGGATCTGATCACATACATTTCATCAATATCTTCACAAAATGCGACTAAAGCGGCGGCAGCAGCGAAAGACCAACCCGCCTCCAAGAGTCTGCTAGTCTGGGAATCCCCGTTTCCGTACCACGGCGAAATTTCAGGCATGACTCAAGACGGCAAGCCGGTGAAGCAATTGGCTATCGATTTAAGCCGGGACAGTCTAAGTCTTTGCCTGAAAGTCCGCAGTCAAAATGGCAACACCGATCAACATCATGCAAACGACGATGGCATTGAAGATGATGCAGATTTCCCTCAATCAGAATTCGTGACTGGCTCTGGCGGATTGAAATATACCCGTCCACCGCAAAGACTGACAGGCGGAGAAATCTTACATATCTGGCGACGCGAGGATGCGAATAAACCATCCAAGACATTGGCAGAGGTTGTTGAAGAAATCTCCATCGTTTAGCCAGCAATCTATATCTGTTTTGCCGGGCATGTCATGTGATGATAGAACGTAGATATTGATACATAAATGACAAACGAGTGCCATTGCCTCATTGAGAATTACTTGTAATTGGCATTCTGTGTCGGGCGTAAGTATATCATGTGATTGCCCTTCTCATATCTCTTCAGCCGTTCTCTTCTTACCATCTGAAAAGTTCTTCTTACCTACATCTTACAACATAGGAGTGCACGTCTCATCAATATGGCCGGTTCCACAACCCAAGGTCCACTCACACCCATAAACCGTAACCATAGGCAAAGCTGACAATCTCATAGCCTCTACTGCCGCTACCAGAGGAGCCGCAGTCAAACGAACCCCCTCTTCGTCTACTTCAACACCTCCAACAGCTTCCAAGAAATCCAAAACAAGCTCGATTGCTTCCTCACGTGAAACCATCACGGCCATATCCTCCCCTTCGCTGCCTGTCACATTTAGCATGGGTTCCAACATCACCAAGGCCGAAGCAACCACTACCGCCAACAACACGCCGCGAGACACCCGCGGGACGACCCGCGCAACGCCCAACCAGACCGCGGACCTCATCAACGCATACAGCGAAATCAATAACTCTTTTTCCGCCTTAATGGAGAGACTAAAAAAGTAAATCATGAACGAAATGCGCAAGTTTCTACGTCTTCGCTGAGCAAGGAGAATCACATGTTTCTGGCTTCTGTGGAGGAAAGTCTGATCGATACAATGAGAGACAGACTCGCTAAACTTGCTGCTCGCTTCAGGTAGACCTCGGCAACGCGTCAGGAGCATATCGGTTGCTGAGAAGTTTGATACTTGGGACTTGGGATGGTTGTTGATTGGATACATCCTATGCTTTTCATGCTTCAGGCTGCTGCTCATGTACGTCGGCTATCACCGTCATATGGAATGAAACAGAAATCAGCTATAGTAATAAGGAACCCAAAGTATGATCGGACCAAAACAGGTCCTCCATGGAGCTTGAACGGACTTTTGAGAGGTGAGGAAAGTAGGCGGATCATGTGACAGCAAATGACGATATCAAACGAAAGATCATGTCCTCGCCCCTGCCTTCTTTCTACCCACTCCTTTCATTAGGTTGAAGAACATATTTCAATCACTTGCTTCGTCATGAAAAATCCCTAGCTTCTTCTACGCGTCATATTGCTTCAAAAGTTTATCATATCATCAAGAGGATCTTACTCATGCCCTGGAAAGGCTGGCAAAGATACCGTGAAAACCAGCGTCTTATCAACTACGAAAAGGCTGCCAGAGCAATGACGAGTTCTTTGAATGACAGTACGCTACAACGGCCCTTGAAGTGTCACCTATTGAAACTGACTCATTTTACTCAAGTTCAGGTTTGCTGTCTCTTAAGGAAGCTTTGACGGAAAAGGTGGCGATGATACTCCGGGAGCTGGCCCATCAAATCTAACGAGGTGAAGTGCATCGAGCGATCTTGGATTTTAGAAGTATGGTGGAGGTCTGATGTTAAGGGTTCGAGTTATGTTTCTATTTTCACCATATTCTACCAATAATGTTCTTCCCGTACAGTCGTTCAATACCAGTAATCGTCTCTTGAGTTCAGACACAAAATCTCATGTCATTTGCGATCAGGTCCCTCCAAAGAATCTAATACTACTGGCGTACTTATCAGGTCTAGCACGTGATCTCAAAGGAAACTGCTTTCTCGATTTCCTTTTGTGGAGTGGCGGCTTATCCTTCTTCTTTTTTCTTCTCTACTTCCCCTTCTTTCTTTCCATTTCTCAATTCGACCCTCGCCCGACCTTCGTCAAAGTTCTCATCAATCACTCATACCCTTAGAAATACTCATTTCAAAGTTTTACTTAACTACTGAGACGGTATCAGTCATTCATTTGTGATGGAGGATATGTGGGATGTGCCTTACATCTCGTATACAAAGGATATCGATGGTTTCCAGGAAGAGCCACAAGGTATAAGAATCAAGAAACTTTGTCATTTTCAAAGCAGTATAGCTGACCGAATGGACAGAAGCAGGAGCTATCGACAGTGAACCTATTGAACTAGGTATCATATATCTGTCGGACAGTTCATCTGCAGAGTCGGTCGATGAGGAAATGATAGACAATGAGTCTCGCGGGTCAGAGGCTCAGGGAAGCTTGATTCAGGCGGCTCAGACACCTCCCCCACAAGGCACCACCCTGTATCAAACTAGTATGAGTGGTTCTCCGTCGAATGAAACAGAAGAAGTAGAAGTGAACAGCCTCGGTGGCATGCAAATCGAGACACGACCAGTGGCGGCCGCGAAGCAAAATCTATCTACAGAGACCGATACCAGTGTTGTTCAGTTTGAAATGAAAGGAAGTTCGAGTCGAGTCAACGGTACGCTAATGAGATAATTCTAACAGAGACCACATGGAATTACAGTCTCGGGGCTGACTCACTTGTTCCCTAGACTCCGAGCCCAAATCAGCATCACCTAACAACAAGGCACGCGTACCAGATATTCCCTATGACGAAGATCTACCACTAGAGGCAAAACATCTTCCGCGCATCAAGTTCGAGAAAGCCTATACGTATGCCATTCGCGATTGGGAACCCCGAATCAAGAGTGCCAAATGGAGACTCAAAAGAAAAGCTCGACCTTTCACCGAGCTTGAAGACACTTGGGAAAAGTACCTGGAATATGCAAAATGCGTTCTGCGTGGTAGATCCTGGAATCAAAATATGTACTTGGAACAACAAACGCTTGCCATGGTGACTTTTGCAAAGCACATAACTCCTCGAGTGCGACTTATCTACGCCAGAACCTTTTATGGCTCTGAAAGGGATGTTTTCTTCGACGCATTGGATAAAGAGATTCTGTCTTGGAACGGTTCGCCTAAGAAATGACCGTTTACGTGTGGCTCTGAAACCTTGAGGAGGTATTTTGTGGTGCTAGGGATCAGTGTAATGTCCGGTTTTTGGGGTCTTGTCTTGAGCGGACTAAACGGGCTACGATAGACGAAGTTATCAAATGCGAATGAATGCAACAATGAGGGTTGCCGGAGTGGCGGAGAATGTAAGATACAATTGATGGGAGCCTTTAGGGCCGACTGCTTTTCCCATACCAGACACAGCTACAAGTTGGCTGCGACAAATACATCAGAAGAACCTTCGGCCGTCAATTAGAGGGACTACGCTGATTATGATGGAGAAGGCAGATCGACCAGATTACTAGTCATTGCTGGGGACCTTTGTGACTTTACGCTTATGCATCTCACAGGATTTTCCGAATCAATTACTTCTATGAAACTCATCATGTTGTCAATACTCTAATATATCCTTCTTCAAAGAAAATGCAAATCATTAATATTTCTCACAATTACCATATCCACATTGTCATCTCTAATAGCTCATTCAAAAATTGCCATGTATCATCACAAAGATATCGACAGATTGAATTAATACCATCTCATATCCCGTGAGTCGTGTTGATTTCCAGGGTACGCCGGGTACTTCGCCTTTGGTCGTAACCGTGTGCCTCCAAACCCAAGTGCAATCTGCCTGATCTTGTCATCCGGCGCAGAAACATCCCTGACCACGCCCGGAAGCTGGTCCAAAGCTCCTATCTCGCCAAGGCTTTTCCCAACTTGCATGGGAAGATCCTTTTGACCTATAGCTGCACCCATGCGCAACATGACGAAGGAATCCAGTCGGACTGTCCAGCTTTTACTGAGACCCGCATACGCAGCGAATGCAAGCAGTGGAATCAAATAAAGCGCCATCAAGACGGAAACCACAATGATACCAGCGAGGGATATGGAAGGCATCATGACTGTTTCGAAGTTATCCTTCGAAACTTCATTTAGATAAACATATTGATCTTCGTTTGTCTGGAGCAAGGCTTGAACTGCATAAAAGGAAGCTAGAGTCAAGGCCCCAGGGAGGGTGGTGTTGTGGCCCTCCACAATGAAAAATCTCAGCCACTCGTAAAGTCTTATTCCTGTACCATAGCCGACATACGCTGTTTCAGCGAGACTGACTAATGGGAAATTTTCGTATATGTTGACGATTTCATCCAAGTAATATACCCACCCTGTGTCATTGTGGTTGGTAAAATCGGGGAAGAGCAGTTGTTGATTGTCAAACCATGAACCCGGTCCGAAGAGAGCTACCGCAACAGTTCCCAGGGGCCCAAGAAGGTCAGTGCTATCAATTAGTTCATTTCCAAGCTCATCTACAGCAGAACGCTTGTAAATTGTATCGTAGATTGTAGCACTAGCGGCCATAGCAGGATCTGCGGCATCTATGCATCCAGCAGAAGTCTCACAGGTAACGTTTGGATTTTCGATAATCGGTCCGGGAACTCCCTTATTCCACAGATTTGGAAGTTCGAACCATCCAGCCGTAGTAGTCATTGTGATCTTGTATGTATTATTCAGGATCCCATTACCATCGAGGAGGGCCAAGTAGGAGGTGTTGATATGTATAAAAAGTGTCTCTGTAATCTCCTGGCGCGCGTTGGACGCACTCCACGGAGAGCCCGTCATATTTGCTGGCATGCACACCTGTATTTGCGCTGGATCTATAGGTTCATCATACGGATCTCTATCGCCGGAGGATTCCGTATAATTGAGGGAGGTGTAAAAGTAGTCGGGTGTCGAGGAACAATTCGAAGGGAACTCATCCACCGGTATCAATTCACTCGATGTCGATGAGTTGTATCGCGGCGCAATGCTTCTATAGGTGCCTGTGTTGTAGTTGTTTGGTAATTCCGTGAACCAGCTATTTCGTGAATCATAGTCCTGTATCGTACTGAAACTTCCCCAAAGCTGTGCTTGTTTGCCGGCTAAATATCCCGCTTCAAGCTGTTTTTGCAGAGCCCTGATTGCCCATCCTTTCTTGTAATGACCAGTTATCTGTCCAGCAAGGGGGCTTATCCGGAGTACATCGTGAGATGTAATACTCACGGGGTTGACTGGCTTTTCCTCAGCATGGAGGAATAACCATTGAATTGGATATGTGATCGCACCAATGCTGTAAATGAAGATCGCCAGATACAAGAAACCACTACCAAATCGCTTTGACAGTGGCGCTATCAGGCACAATGGATTCATCCATTCGCGATCAGCCAGCGCCATGACCTGGCGCAAGCTGAGGCTGTGCTCATTCCGCTGATTCTGTACATAAATGGCCACGGCGCAAGCACAAACTGCTGATATGATTGGGATGGTGGCCACGCTCGCAACAGACTGCAAAACGCGAGCGGCGTAGTATTGTCGGGTTCGCAGATCTTTGTTGAACGTCAATGGAGGCTCACGAGCGATGATACAGATCATCGCCCATGACCACACCACTATGACTACATAGATGGCTGTTGGGATCCAGATGAAAAAGTTGGCTCGCAAGACTGTGGTAATGGCAGGATCTCGTCGCTGATAGGATGGAGGGACGTCCTGTGTGTTATGTCTTTCCTCATAGCTAGGCACTTCTTCGTGTTGGTGTGTGTCTTGTTCTGGTTGGGATTCTGGCACTCTGTGATCCTCATGCATAGAGCTCACAGGGCTCACGAGGCTTGCTGGCCTGTTGGAGAGGGACTCCAGGGGAAATTCTTGCCTAGACTCCATTGGTCAGAAAGTGACATCCAGTGGTTCGGAATGATGTGACGAAGACATCTAATGCGTGTGTGAAGTAAACGAATGTGTATACCAAAAAGGAGCAGAGATGGAAGTTGAGGAAACATATTACTTTAAAGGAAACTTACTGCTATACGACATTGTGTTAAGCTGCGGGGATATCTCAGCATTCTAGTAATCGAGATGACTCTGCCAAGACTGCATAAATACGCGATGTGGTAGCGTGCACTCAGTGCAGCTTGTTCGTGTTGGGTTGGTCTGTAGAGAACAGCCTCAGTGGACGCCACGGATGAACGGTAAGTGCCGGACTGCTTGGCGCCAGGTATATCGTGTCTTGGCAAGCGGCAAGACAGTTAGTTCCATTTTCGGCTAATATATTTGACCCTGTGTATTGGGGCCGCAAGGCAGTGTCCAGGGTTAAGGCGTTTTTTCTTTACCATATCCACGAGGTGTTTTCTACGGCTCTGAAAGGGACGTTTTCTTCGACGCACTGGATGGAGAGATTCTTTCTTGGAGCGGATTGCCCAAGAAATGACCATTTACATGAGGATCTGAGACCTTGAGAAGGTATGTTGTGGTGCTAGGGATCAGTGTAATGTTTGGCTTTCGGGCTCTTGTTAATTCGTTACCATTTCTCGTTTTCTGTCTTCAGAGCATCGTTAAGCATCGTTCTCGTGTTCTTTTACATCTATAGAGATTTTTCGTGGTAGTGAAGGCTAACATAGTCTCTGCCTTCTTCAAAAGGAGATATTATTGCAGTTGGGATAACTTTGTAACATTCGAGATTACTCTGAATTGTAAATAGACAGGTGCATAGTGTAATTGCAAACGAGTCACTGAATCAACTTTCATTTTTGGTGTTTCCACTTCGAAGCTCGCCATCTCTCTTTCTTTCTCCTTGACGTCTTCGTCTACTCTTCCGTCCACTATCTTTCTTACATCCCCAAAATCGACCCTCTCAGTCTGATTACATCTGATACCTCATCTCAATTTGCTATCAGAAAAATTTCAACATAAAAAGTTGCGCTTTTCTAGGATAGATCATTTCTGGAATGTCTCAATCGTCCCATGAAGGACAAGGATGGTGCTGTCCAAGAGTATTCTCCAGGTACAAATTCAATCATAATTGCCATCCCTAAAATTACGAGACTCATACGAAATCAGGAGCAGATATGTGCAATGTTCTGCCTGCAGCAGCTCAGTCAGGATCTTCGTCTGCAAAACTCATCGATCAGGCAGTAGCAAATGTCAACACTCGTCTTTCACAGCAGCCAAATCCAGATACCACAGCTAGCCACGGAGACCACAAAAGTAAGCTCATATCTTGAAGCAATGGACATCGACGACGATCCTTGGCCTTACGCTCACACATCCTCAGGACAGGCTAACGGTATGTTCAACTCCCGATAACTTCAGGTGATAATGTCTGAGCTGACGATATTTACAGTTAGTGCCCGAAATGGCATTGTCAATGGGTCACAAACGAACTGCATCGGCTGTGGAAGACCCGAGCCTTTCATGTCAAGTCGTCACCAAGATGATTAAATCCGCAAGCAAGATACAGAAGGACGAGGGAGACGAAGAATGAATACTTACTTGGAGTACATACAAGATGGGGGAGGAGAACTGTTGAGGAAGACATAGGATTTTGAGTCAAATGTATCGACTCGCAGAAATTGGTCTCACTTTCACATCCATCCTTTATTAGCTTCATTGTCTGTCTACAACTGGAAGTACTGTGATTTAAATTGTTAATACGATAGGAGAAAACATTATGATAGTGGCATAAAAAGCAATACCGGATTTCACATCTATCACTAGGTATGTCCAAGTATTTTGAACAGCATACATAGAATGCAGCGTGATTTTAGAAGATATCACTGACCACTCATGGCTGCTGGACGTATAGATCAAGACTAACAAAAAAAATTGTAAACAGACGACAGCTTATCGGGATTATTTTTGATTTTTTGTTTCCCTCTTCACCTTCCTCACCTTCGTCTTCTATCCTCTCCGCACCCCTCATGTTCTTCACCTTTACATCTCCCACCTTTGTCCAATCAAGTCCCCAATTAAAGCGCCATCTTCAGGTGATATCAGAGTACTCGAGAAAACCGTCGTGCTTTCTACTGCGATGGATGATCTATGGGACTTTAATATCGTGTCCTTGCCAGACGACTCGAGTCAACAGCCACGGGCAGCAGATTTCCAAGCTCCTGAGAGTCGATCCTCCTGTTCAAAGACTGCCATCAGTGCCGCTGCAAAAGTGAAGGAGACAAAGTGGTCAGACAAGTGTCCAGCAACCCAAGCCCTCGACTATTGAGTCTGCAAGTTCATCTCCCGACGCTACACACGACACCACGAAGCAGTCTTCTAACCTTTGTGGAATTTTGAGAGAGCGCAATGGTATGTACACTGTTCACAATCAAGGAAGAGTGATACGAATGTACGGGAAACTAATCTCTAGGTGCAGGAATCATGCCAAAATCATCCCGCAAGAGAGCTCGATTCAGTCTTGAACCTCAACTACCAGCTCCCGCCAAGCGAATCAAGAAGGACGACAAAGCCAAATCTGCTGGAATCGGAATGAAAATATCTAACGGGCGTCTAGAAAATGTCTGCAACAGAATCAAATCACAAATTGCATCGATCAAAGTAGAACTTGCACAACAACCCCGTCCATTGACTGAATACATGAGCATGCGGGAGGGATGGATAAGCTTTTTGGAAGAAACTCTTGGTATAGCCAGAATGAGTAAGATGACTGCGATGGAGTGGAAAGCTGTGAGATACGCTATCACTATTCGTTTTCTGGAGACTTTGAGTTTGGAGATGCTGGATGCGACACTTTGGTCAAACGAAGATATGGAGATACTACGAAAGGCTTTCATGCACAAGAAGAGAACTGAGATATCGTGAAAGCTTGGAGGAAAGCAATGACTTGATTTCGAAGACATCGTACGTTTGAGATGAGCGGAAAGGTCGTTGGCGTTGAAAGAAGAATAGGCCCATGGGTCGAGTAGATCAAGCAATACCAGAATCCCTTATCATTCATTCCACTACTTCCGATTAACCAATTATGTACCACACAGCTCCATTGATCAACAAATACAGCGTTGCTCGTCTATTTCTTCCCCTTCGAATAATCACCTTCCAAGTCGAACATCTCATCCAGCAATTGAACTGTCTCGGCGGGATTCGCGATCCAAGCTGTTGTGCATGCCGTTCTCGCCTGTAACCATTAGTCGCCTCTTCTAACTCACAGAGCCAAGAGACAGGAGAGCTACCTTGAAGTCATTAGCTCCAGCTGACAAAAACTGATCTCCCACATGCAGCGTCATGGACCGATCAATGCCACCAAAATATCGCTGACAGGCCCTAACACCCCATGATTTGTCGCCGATGTCGATGAAGACGTCATTCCCGCCTACAATTACCTACCATCAGTATCTAATCATACGTTGCAAAAAACGGAAAACTGAGAAATACCGTTAAATGCACAAAAAGGCAACTTCTTGCCCACTTCGCTTCTCTCGACCATATTCTGCACCACGAGAACAGTCTCTTCCAACTGTTCGCGGTGCATCTTGTGTCCCTTGGTAGGGTATATTCCCACGGCTCGTTCTTTTCTCAGAACCATTGCCGGTAGACTGAGATTGCTGACACACTCTCGTAGCGACGCTTCCGCAACATCAAGCAATTCATCGATATTCTTATCATCCCACGCGTGCATCTCATCAAGCATCCACTCGGATCTCGGCACGTACGTCAACAAATGCGGCGCCGACTGATCATACCGAAATAAAAAATTCGACTCTCCACCCATCACAATCAACCCACTCTTCTGCTCCTCCGTCAACGATTCATTGCCTTTAACCGCATCCAGCAACCCCTTGAGCCTCAAATAATAATGCGACGGCTCAGTATACCCCGCCGCCGTTACAATCCCAATCTTCTTCCCTTGACCTAGAAGTTGTATCAATCGCGGCAAAACAGGATTATCGTCCGCCAGGCAGCAACCATCTTCATAGAGGGTAACATCACCATCGAACGTAAGCAGACGGATTGCGCTACTGCGTACTAGACCCATCAATTGAGCCGTGTTGAGGGTAAGACGCACGTCATTGAACGACGGCGCGACGAAGCGGCGGCGACTAATATGTCGTCGCTGGTCTTGATAAATGAATGCATCTTCCAGTAAAAGAGGGGTGAAGAACTGTCCGACTGCGGGCACGAGGAGTTTTAGTTTGGATTTGCCGGGGAGGTTGTCGTTTTCGTGGTGTACTAGATGATTTAGCACGTATTAATATCAGGCTGGGGTGATAGAGGCGCACTGTGGTCGTTGATTAACAGCTCGACATCACGCATAATCTCGGCATAGCGCTTCTGCGTGGCCGTGGCCACGGCAGCTAATTTGACGCTCTCCTCATGAAAGACAACTGTGGGTTGAGAGTGCAGCACAAACGGGACAGCCAGCAGGCCCTAGAACCGTCCATTTAGTATGTTTTTTCAGGCAGAAGAGTTTTGCTTCTGCATGATGCTATCGCGAACATCTCAGGCAGCGAGATATAATCGAGTTGGATAGGACAGCCGTACCTTGATCCACTCGATCTATAGCCCAGAAAGCTCGATTTTAGTAATCAGTCAGTGACATTGAGAATGACGAAATTTACCAATTGATCCCTACGATGGGTCTAGATTGTTCGATTTATGTCAGTATATCAGTGCCTGACTCAGAAATGGAGTTTGGTAGCGCAATTGCGGGGTGAGTAAACAATGATATGTACGAACCTTGAGAGCATCTAGTTAAGTCAGAGTTAGCAAAACATAGACAAAAAATAGGCATCAATTTAATGAGCCAATGAAGTGATGCACTAACATTCGACGCGATACCTGGTAGTCATGTTGCTGCTACTAATGTACGTAGGAATGGTGTGGTGGTGTTTGGGGATGATAAGATGAAAGCTTGTCTCAAAGAGGACTAAGGCCGCGCGCTAGCCTGATGATGCCTGGGCGCCCGGTTTGTTAGGTGTCGAGCCTCGGAGTTGGCAAGATGCCTGATTCACTCCGATGATCATTTGATCTCTTTCTTTTTTGCATTTCAGCACTGTGTTTCAACATCGGACAAAGAACTTTGTTTTCTGTCACTTAAAACACCATAGTAATGCTTCATAAGCAAAGCATTGACTTGATTATTATAAATCAGCCGAGTCAGGGTTAGGCCATAGTTGACTCTCAACTCCGAACTCCATTTTTACTCAAACAAGCAAAAGGTGCTTGAACTCCGCACTCACCGTTGACAATCTGCAAAACTCTAACTACATTAAGAAATACGAACGTTCAGATTCAGATTGCTCGGCCTCTTCTTCCAGTTTAGCCCTATGACTCATCTGAATATACAGCCTCAGGTATAATTTCCCGCTGCGTCTAAGCCAATTAAATCTATGCAAGTTATATGACTCTACTCAACTCATCGTATCGTAGGATCCTTTTTCTTTTTGACTTTTACCCTTCTGCATCATGTACATGCAAAGCAAGCATTTTTATGCGTCAACGTGAGTCAAATCTTGTCGCCTAGGCTAGAATATGCAGGAATTTAAGTTATGATCTTGAATGCGCTCCACGTAGTCGTCTCTAAGCCTCAAAGCCAATTCTTCCTTTGATGCATGCAGCTCAATTGGTCAATGCATAGTGACTATGACTCCATGTCGAATTATTTTCTGACCTCAAGTTTCAATTGAAGCTTTAAAGAATAGGACCTAATTGGCTAGTGGTGTATTATTCAGCCCTCGGAGTTCCGCCGTGCCAGGATGAGGTCCGATACATTTCCGCATTTGGGAATGATGTCGGAGTCGAGAAAGGCATAGCTATGAACTTTTTTTCAGGCAACAAGGTATTTGTGATGATGATCCTAGGAAAGGATTTGTAATGGCGGTGATGATGAAGTGTTTTTGCAGTGGTATAAAGTGAGGCTGTTTCCTCGTCTTTGTGCTACATCAGTTCAATTCAATTGCCTATTAAAGGATAAAGCCCTAAGCCGATTCATTCTGAATGGATAGCTCACTCACATTCATACTCGGAAGTGTACAATCTTCGAAACATCCTACGCTCTCAAACACTCAAGGCTGTGTGCGCCGAGACCAATATCAGCACCACACAACCTCGCCTTTAACAATGGAGTCCTCAACCTTCAATTCAAATCCAAATCTCCATCGGACCACCACATCAAACACCACAGAAACGGATATAGACTCCACCTCCCTCTACTCCGAACACGCCGCTCTCCTTTTCCCTTCCAAAGATGGCACACAACCCGGTTTCGCACCCGAACAATCATTATCACGCGGCCTACAAATCCCATCAAAAACTTCTCGGCTCACCTCCGGCTTCGAATATCCCTCCGTCCTAGGGTCTAACTACAACATCACAAAAGAAGAATGGGAGACATTCACGCATGAAATTACAGAAAGCGCAAAACTATCGTCATCGCAATGGTCGACCGTTATTGGGGCTGGGCTGGGTGTTATGGCCGTGGGTGGCATGATGCTGGGATTTTTCGGGGCAATTCCAGCTGTCATGGTCGCGAGAAGGAGAAGGGCGACGCAGGAGAGTAAGAATTTGGCCCGAGCAATGGGGTATCCACCACAAGCTACAGAAGACAGAAAACAGGCCGAGGAAGAGGAGATAGGAGAGAAGGAAACAGCTCTATCACTCAAAATCAGTGAATGGAATGAGAAATTCTTTCAACCGCGCGGAATCATGATTCGGATTGATATGCCTTATGACATTTCTGCCGTCGAGGATGGGATTGATGTAACCACCACTGGCACCACTACAACAAGCGGCGGAAAGAAGAAATCATCACTCAGATTCCCGTCCCCAGTATCATCGCGGCAGGGCTCAGTATCCTCCTCAGCGTCGATAGCAGATGACAAATCCGAGCGCGCAAAGAAGCGGTACGAGGCAAGCCAAAGATGCAGAATTGTGATAATTCCGATAAATCAACGGCCGGATTCGCTTATTAGTCAGGCGACTACTTTGGCGGGAGAGAGTCCATATATACCTGCTGTTTATGAGTGATTTGTAAGACTTCTTTTTTCAGGACTGCTTAATGTTTCGGGATAAAACTGGTTGTTAGCGTTCGTTGTTTTGGAGGAGACCGCCGAGGTCTAATGTTATAAGGGATCAAAATTGTCATGCATGTTGTCTCCTATCTATATACTTACTGCATTTTTACGAACCGTAGTGCACCAAATTGATATACATTTCATATTTCTCTATATATACATCCATTTCTCGCTCTCACTAAAAAAGACAGTATTATAACTTCGCCCTCAACCCCGGCGCGAAACTAGTTCCCCCTAATTCACCACCAATGCTCTCTACAATCCGATCCACAATCTCAATCAACCAAACACTCCCTTCGTCCGACGCCAACCACTCTCCTCCCTGAATCTCAGCGTCTGACTCCGCACTCCCGTCCTCAAACGCTTTCCGTAGCCCAAACACATGCGAAATCACCTGCGGCCCAACACCAGTCTGCGCACGAAGACATGCTATAGCCACAATAGACGTCAACACTCTCCCCACAGTAGCTGGTACTACGCCTTCTGTCGGAGAGGTTGGGTCAGCAAATAGATTCCCATATTCACTCTCAATAATATGCACTGGTAAATCAGGATGCGACAGCGCTAATTTCTGTTGAAGCTTAGACTCAAACGGATAGTAGATTGACTTCCATAAAGAGTGGCCCCGGTTCAAAATGTCCGGGATGACTTCTGGCGTTAGGTTACGCCGTGGCTGTGTGGCAAGGGCATCTTTGATGTCGTTGGGAAGACCCGCGCGGAATTCGCCGAGGCAATTTATTGTTCGTGGAATCTTCTCATGTCAGTATCAAAATGATAGGTAAGTAGATGAAGGGGGAGGAGGGCTTACACCGTTAAATCCAATACATTTTAGTCCAATCTCCCGAATCAATTCTGCGAGATAGACGCTCTCTTCTTTGGATTTGGATTCCGAGACTAGTTCGTGTAATCGGACCAGTGACTCGGGTGAGTTCATTGTCATTGTTGCTGCAGACTGCAATCTCGTCAATCAAAATTACTTTCTACTTCGCAAAAGAAGAAATACATACAGCAGCGCTAAACCAAGCTTTCAAACCAACATTCTTTGGCCCGGCTTCTTTCGCTATACTCGCATATACAGACGCTATCTGCGCCGGAGCTGGGATTGTGCCTGGTCGCGCATTGGGCGCGTTGATCAGGGCTTTGAGGGCTGGCGACAATTTGGACATTTTTCTTAGCCTTTTATATTTCATGTAAGATGTCCGTGGGTACAGTTTATTGAGATAAAGAGAGAAAAAAGAAAATGCGATGTTCTTAGGCTGGGTTGGTATTTACGTACTGACGAATATCCTCGGCTTGATGGATAATTACGCGGGCGGTGAATGACTCGGGAGTATTTCTGAGGCCGAGATTCTGGCAGAAAAAGAAGCCCTAAGCCCTAACCCTACTACGATGTTGGCATGATTTACCACGCTCAACTTGGATATAGCGCGTGAATCTGTTTGACACGAAATCCGGGTCATTTACAAGTTTTTCTCATTCCCATTTGGGAGTGCTGATGTCGATAGAATATTTTTCTCGTTTTCCTTTGAGAACGCCTATATCCATAGACGGTTTTCGCTGCGTTTTGTTACTGCGTCCAGCCGGGGGCCGGGCCTTAGCGCAAGTGTCACCATGATCCATCTGTTCCTGGTCGTCTGAATTTTATGCCGTCGCAAAGATCTTCAGCAGTCAGTTACTGCGGAGTCAGTGAAACATTCAAGAGGTTCATGGCGATTGTTTACATAAAAGTTAAATTGTGCGCTCAGAAATATTACCATGCCAAATCCAACGTTATGATTCCTTTGAACCTTATATACGTTGTCCTGGACCGGACCGTTAAGTCGCGTCCATATGGCGTCTAGTGACAACATGTAAACATGAGGAAACTACTCTTAACGGGGAGGATGGGGCGGGGAGCCTAGAATTACTATTACCTGCCAAATCCAAACTTCATGATACCGTTTTACCTCGGATGAATATGTTATGGTATCCGGGTAGACTCTACCACGGGATGATGTCTTCGGATTTTTCATCTTCGTATTAGTTGATTGCAGTGTGTTGATCACAAGATCTCCTGAGTTCAGTGGTTTTACTGAAGTCAGCCATGTGGCCTCATTATGTATAGGTCTTATTGCCTATGTTTTGCCAGCAATTATGTGCACTCTGGAAGCACTCCACAGGCCCCGTAGATTGCAGGTACCAAGGAAAAATGCGTTCCTGGCGGCCAGAATATGAGCATAGGTCATGACTAATGACAGCCTCAATCTTTGATAAGACGGGAGATCTTCAATCAAACTTAAACAGTCTTCGAGCGATCCTGCGATGTGGGCCATTTAGTGAAGTGAACAAGGAAATAGGAGATTACGGTATTCAATTTTTCCGAAATCCCGAAAATTCCGAAACCTTTCGGTCAAACTCGACGATCAGAAAGAACACTACCATGAACAAGAAAAGGCGCCATTTAAAAGATTTTTGGGAGCTATTGCCCTAAGTGTCTGAAATGCTTTTTCCCGAAGTCTCGGTGAATGTCCGTGGCACGGAAAACTAGATCCGGTATGCCTGCTCACTTCACTATCTCAGCGTGATCAAGGACTCGGCTCTGATACGAGACCTCTAAGCTAGACTTTATATTTGTAAGCCAAAATACATATATAAGGAGGTCCAACACAGAACTGGAGTGTGCTAAGTATTGTCCATCAAAGTCCTTGGTCTTGTCAACGCTACGTGCAAACTTGTTATCTTGAGTCCTACGTTTTGCTTGTATTTTGACAATGTTGCTTTCCTCGCTATTTCTTATTCCCTTGGTAGCATTTGGCATGTGTGCGAGTGCACTGCCTACAATCACCCAGCCACTTGCGAACTACAAATGGCCAACCCAATTCGTACGAAGCGGCGAGGCAAACATCCAAGTCCTCGTTCAAGGCGCAGGACCGGCTGTTGTGATCCTACCTTCCTACGGGCGAGACGGCGGGGATGACTACAATTACTTTACTGATTCCCTGGTCGATGCAGGGTACCTTGTGCTGCGTCCGCAGCCACGCGGTACCTTCGAGTCTACAGGCCCAATGACAAACGTTACTCTGGAAGATCTCGCAGCAGATGTTGCAGCCGTAATTGATACAGTGGGTGGTGGGCAAGCCATTGTGATCGGCCACGCCTTCGGCACGTTTCTCGCCAAAGTCAGCTCGGTTCTATACCCGGAGAAAATTCCCGCGATTGTTGTGGCAGCTCCAGGCGGCATCAACTTGCCGACAGATATCGCGGGAATGCCTTTTATCGCCGGAAACACCTCTTTGCCTCTTTCCGACCGACTCCTGGCTCTTGAAACGGCATTCTTTGCACCGAACCATGACGCGCATAGTTGGTTGGAAGGTTGGTATCCTGACGTTCTTGCTATGGAACGGGCGGCTGTGGAGGCATACGGGAGCTTGGCCTCACACTGGGGTGGTGCTGATACCGCACAGGTTCTAGAGGTGATTCCTGCAGACGACCCTTTTCAGCCAAAGTCGGAATGGAATGTCACAGTAGATTTATACCCGACCCGGGCTACCTCGAAAATCATCAATGATGCCTCTCATGCACTGTTCCCTGAACAGGGAAATGCTGTTGTGGAAGCCATCCTGCCTTGGTTGAATCTTCAGAGCTCTAAGCTTTGAGCTTGTAGGATATCTGTGACAATATGATCTTAGGGGGCCGGAAATTGATAGTTAAGAGACACTTTTGTTATGGGTAGGCAGAGACAAAAGGAGAAGAATAGGGGAGGGGAGAAACCCCGACTGTGACATTTTGATCTGGAGGCTCCTGGAAAGGACTAATTAATATAATTTATTGTATGTCTTACACTATGTGACGATGGTTATAGTAGAGGATATCTTCACTTGTGATTGAGGTTATATTCTACTCCTTAAATGGTGTTACGTAACTACCTAGGTACGTGCGGGAGGTGGCACTGGAGTGAGGAACGAATTTCCCCTCAACATGACACGAAAAGCCAATCTATATAATTAGATAGTAATAGAATCTAGACATCTGCATACTATTCTTCGGGCAGCCCAGGTGTCTCGTAGAGACTCATTGCAGGACTATATTAGCGTAGGCCATTGTTCGGCGGTAAAGCAGTTGGAGATGAAATTCCGGAGAAGAGTAGGTTGGCCATGGGGTTATAGAGAGCAAATTCATGAGATTTCACGTAAGAGATATCAAATGGGATACTTTTGCTAGGACATTGTCGTCGTTACAAATTCCCCCTCTTGAAACTCACTCAGCATTTGCTGCACGCATTGCATCATCTTATACTGATACACTTGCTCTTTGATGATGAGAGGATTTCCAGCATTCGTAGACTTTTCCATGTAGGCCCCCTCGTCAAGCACTGGGCGTCCATTCATTAGAAAGTGAATCGCTAGCCGATATAGAGATATGCTATCTGAAATAAGGATACTTCCTGCCTCTGCTTCATGACCATTGTGGAATTGTCCTCTAAACTGCTTCCACATGATAAACCACGTTTGCAACCCTCTATCTAGGGCAGAAATATCTACGGGCAATATTGACGTCTGGGCTTCCAGCAATAGCGAATGCATTGCCAAGATCAGCAGGTTCAAGCCAAACGTTGTTACGTTTGATTCTGAGGTGACCTGACCAATCATTAACCCCTTCACAGAGGATAGGAAACAACTGGACGGATCCTGTGCCGGGAGTTCGGCCCACAGAGATGCAGAGCACGAATTCCAACTCAAGTTGTCACAAGGAAAAGATGCCCTTGTCTCCGTTGGCGATAGAAGGGGCTTGCTGCCACAGAGCATTGATTGGTAGCAGTCCACTGCGTAAACACCCCAAAGCACTCTCTTTTCTGACTCCTTTCGAATCCATGCTGTCCATGATCGGGAATTTCGTGCCGCTTTAGAGCACTCCCCGTGAATTTTGAGGAACCCCGCGTGCCGTATCGTTGTGACAAGGAGTGGATGCAATAGTCGCGACGCCGCCCGCTCAGCGACTCCTCCGTTTGCGATGACAGCGAATTGTAAAAGGACTAGCGCTTGTATCTCTTCAAAGCTCGGTGACTGGCCATCGGAAAGGAGACAGGCTTTGGCAAGGATTGTGGGAAGGGATCCATAAATAAGCCTGGCGTCTGATGTGGATGAGGGGTGACTGCCAAAGCCGGCGCCGATGAAACATATCGCTCGAACAAGCACTGGCGGTGATGAGGCCAGGCAGAATGTTGGAACATGCAATAGAGGGAGAAAGGGGTGAAAGTGAGAAAAGAAAAGCCTTGCGTATGTCTCCAATCGAGACACTGGGATGGTTTCTGATTGTTCTAGTTCCAGAGAATACTCGGCCGGAAGCCGGAAATTGTCAGGGCAAAGGTATCCTTCATAGCTTGCTTTATCGGGGGCAGCCTGTAAGTCGATACTCATTTGCGGCGGACAGTGGCCACCGAGTAATGATCTTAGATCTTCTGGGTTCCATGTCCAAGAGTCCATATCAACAAAGTTTTCGATGTCAGCTAGCTGAGTTAGGAAGTCGGGTTCATTGAATAATGATGTGCCCGAGAATGGGAGCTCAACAGGTCTTTCTTTCAACGGCTGTAGGTCGGGACTCTGATACAGCATATATTCACTGTCTGCTCGTGGCGAATCTGGCGATTGGATGGCGTTGCTCTTCCTGGAAGTTCGTGTCCGCTTCTTTCGCCCTGCCCTGGTACACGGCAAGCCTTTTTGGAGACATCGCGAACAATGGGATCCTGTTCTATCAAGATCACATCGGACCTTGGAAGCGGCACAAGCGACACAGCTCTTATTCATTTTCCAGTGTTAAGATACGTAGATGGACGGAAATAGCGACATCGGGGGTTGTGAAAGGGAAGACGAGGAAAATACCGTAAATGCGCGAATTTCCGTAGCCCCGCATTTCAGCCCGGCGAAGCTTTGAATTGGTGGCATTAGCTTATCTCAGCATACGTGGTTATTGATGAGCGCCAACGTATGAGCGCTAGCGTATGTGCTCACTGATGAGTGTTAGTGAGCAAGGCAGTTTATAACTTATAAGCTAGTCAACTAACTAATTAATAAGCTGTTGTATAAAGTTATATATAATAAAATTAAAGAATAGGGTGTATCTTGTATTCACAACAACAGCATACTAGTTATTTCGTAAAACTAGAACGATTGTAGCTTAATAAAAAGCCTCATGAAATCTCTATAACTCCCGTGAAGTATAATTTTGATTATAGTTATTATGTTTATATGCGCTGAGCTTGATGAGATAAGCATTGGCATACTTATTTCTACCGTTTCTTTTCATAGGGTACTACTAGCGCCATTTCGGGCAAATTAGGTTCGATTAGAGTCTTCTCGTGGTGCAAGTTGTAGAAAGTCCCGAAATCCCGGTCCCGAAGGAGGATGTCGACTGGTATATAAGGTCAACCGTTTACCACGAAGATGACACTACATTTTCCAAAAAAGAGCTTGATTCAAAAATCAAGATATTTTATTGACGAATTGCCAAGTTAGAAACACAATAAGTCGGATCATAATGGTGGAAACCAAATTCACCGAGACGGAAATATCTACTTCCGCGCAAGCACGTACATGGTTCGATCGTTTTTGTCTTGTGCAGAGACGCAAAGATCCAAAAACTCACACCTGGTGGCAGAAGCATGCCATTATTGCGATTATTACTCTATCTGCTTTTACCGCGCCTTTTGCCTCATGCATCCTCTTCCCGTCCTTCACTACTCTCGTGGATCATTTCCATACTACTGATACTAAGGTCGCCCTGACTACGACCGTCTTCCTTCTGGGTCTAGCAGTTGCTCCATTGTGGTGGAGTACACTAAGCCAGGAGTACGGTCGCCGACCGGTGCTAGTATTCAGCTTCCTGATCTCAACGGTAGCTGTGATTGTCTGCGCCGTATCAAATTCCCTCACCCTGATCATAGTCTTTCGTCTCATCGAGGCACTAGGCTGTTCCTCTGCGCAAAGTGTGGGAGCAGGGGTCATTAGCGATATATACATTTCTACCGAAAGGGGCTCTGCTCTAGGATGGTTCTACCTCGGCACGTTGATTGGACCTTTGATTGCGCCAATTATTGGAGGTGCCCTTCAAGTTTGGCTTGGCTGGCGATCAACACTATACTTCATGGCCATCTTTACATTCAGCACCGCTATGCTCACGATGTTATGTCTTCCCGAGACCTTGGTCAAATCTTCCACTGAAGGCCAGGAGGAAAAACTGTGGTGGTATCAAACAGCAACGCGCAACGTCCTAGCCCCTTTGCCAAAGTTGAAATTCCTATTGGTGCCATCAATTGCTTTGACAATCGCCTATGTGAGTATCTGTTTCGCCAGTCTATACTGTTTTAACACGACCCTTCCGTATGCGTACTCGGCGGCGCCCTACAATTTCTCCGCCATCGAAATCGGACTTTGTTATATCAGCAATTGCCTTGGATACGCAATTGGAAGCGTCGTAGGAGGCAAATTGAGCGATTCTAAATTGCGACAGTACCAGCTTGCGCATGGTGGAGAGATTCGCCCCGTTGAAAGAATTAAGACCGTATGGTATGGTGTTGGCTTCGTTCCGGCGGGGTTGATCATCTATGGCTGGCTGGTCGAAAAACAGGTGTTCTGGATCGCTCCCCTGGTTGGCGCTTTTTTGTTTGGACTAGGCCTCATGCTTGTCACATCAACCATCATGCCCTTCCTCGTGGACGTCAAGCCGGGAGTGGGTGCTTCGGTTGTGGCTGATCTGAACCTGGTCCGGAACATTTTGGCCGCCATTGGCACTGTTCTGTCGCCGATCGGAGTTTCAAATATTGGTTTTGGATGGTGGATGACAATTCTAGCCCTCATGTGCTCCTTGGCGGTCTTTTTGATCGTGATTGTTGTCTGGAAGGAAGGAGCTGAAAAGAAACCAGCCTCGGAATGCGTGGTGTGAGAATCACTGTTCGTAAAATAGACGAAATTTTGTATAATGGCCTTGATGACAATAGATAGCATGTGTGGTTTGAATTTTTTCCCCTCCATTTAAATCCTAACTCCGCTTGGGCATGCGTACCCATCTCGCACACAAAGCGGCCACAGTCTATATTACGATTGCAGAAGCCTGATTCCAGATAGACCTTTAAAATCACGTCGACAGTTCCGAGGGACGGGCTCGCCAATAGTCTAAGTCTGAGCTATCATAAGATGCAGATTTATATTAGAAAGTTATTTCTCCGACATAAACACGATCATATAGGGTTGGCGGGGCAAACTCTTATGGATATCTATAAATCGGTAGGAAAACGGTGTTCTTACCTTGGTATGTTATCTCATGCACAGAATCCTATGCCTATTATCTGGCTTCAGCTTGCGTCAATCAGATCAGGTGTTTGGGCGCTTTCTCTCGCTGATTCAACACCGAATGCCTGGTACGCGGACTTGTGCTTATTATTAAGTGCATATTAAAAGACTCTCAATACACCTACTAAATCTAACCATTAGATTTCCAGAGACTATAGAAGGGGGATTAGTGAGTTACGCGGGTCTAGAAAGTGGCGCGGGAAAGGACTGGATTTAAGATGGACAGAGATGTCCGCCCCGTGTTTTAGATAGTCAAATGGTACGTGCTGGTGGGCCCCGATGTGGCGATGAAGGTGCACTTCTATGTCATTTCATGAGACGTGTTGTACTCTAGTCGATTTCAGCAGCATGCATTTCATCGTCTCGAAACATATCAAGAATACATCTCGCGTCGGGCAGGATGAGGCTATGCTTATGACTGATAATTGGTTCAATTGGTTCAATATTGAGCTGTTTGGGCGATCTCGCCCATTTTTTACAACTCTCTTTCTCATACGCCAACGCGGTCCTATCTGATTCCATTTCCCTCCTTTTACTTTCTCTTTCCCTTCGAAGAATGAATCAACTGGGCATCCTATTTTGATTTTCTAATCTACATGATTCCTTCTCATGTCGAGCTTAATACTTGAGACGTTTTGTCTGGAGAGTTAGAGAAAAGTGGATGATCGATTGGGAGTCGGAGTTGACAGGGTCGACTGACATCCCTGGTGCTTTATGTATCTTTTCTATCTAACCCCTGTCCTTTATTTCTACCCTACAACTGTATGTATTACGAGTTCATGGCTCCTTTTACAACCTTTCCCTCTAGCATCTAGGCCAACGCCATTTGCAAGACAACAAATTTTGAGAAAGGGTCCTTAGGTGCACCACTATGTGAAATGTAGTGCGTGTTGAGCGTTCTCTCTACTTTAATGTACCTTATGAGAGGATATATTTTTCATATAGTGCTTTATTCTCAAATGTTCCAACGGAAATATTGCAATTTCTGACTCGATAATGGCGCAACTACCCGTTTACCGGATGTTTATACTCGCGAGCTTGGAGGTGACGCTGGTCGGCCTTTGAGTAAAGCGATATTCCATAGCACAATCAATATCCTGCGTCTACTACCCAATCATGCCATAGGAACTTCGGCGAAATTATTTGGGAGATGGATCCGGAACCGCGCTATCGAAGTGGTGCGCCTTTTCTCGACAACTAGTTTGCGCCGGATATCGACGCAATAGGAACCACAGTGGATTTTCAAAGAGGATATATTTTCCGGCTCTTCACTGAAAACTGCGTCAAACAGAATATAAGATTCAGTATGAAGAAAATCTTATTTATCATGCCGTTATCTAATTTTGACCCTCAAGCCCATTGAATGGAAGGTCTAGACAAACAATAACCGGTGATATGCGCCGTCCGATGCCAAAACTGGTGCGCAAATTTGGACCTATCGCAACAGCGTGGCCACAGTAACTCAGACACATGCACTGTGGAGAATGTCGTGCGTACTACGCCATCTCATCCGCGGGGCATTGATCTAAATGCTTGAAACATGCAGGGGCTTACTCCATTAGTTCTAGCTGGGAAAGGGCCTCCATCCGTGCAGCAATTATTTATTGATAGCGGAGCTAATCGAAAAGGATCATAACGAGCGAAAAATCTAGCTGAGTAAGTACTTCTCTGGATCTGAAGTAATATCTAAATGATTCGCTACAGAGTTACATTACTAAGGTCTCCTTGGTGCCACAATGCGCAATCAAAGGATGTACATTTTCTACCTAGATACTGTGTAAATCCTGGTATCAAGTAAGTAACTAGGTTTAAATTCAGATGAAAATGGTGGGGTTTTTGTATTGATTCAAAGTGTATATGTTAGTTCACCTACCTGTTTACTATGTACTGTGTTATGATTTATCGCATATATTCGCAGATTAAAGCTTGAGACAGAACCAACAAGTAAACAAACAACTCTAGCCTCTAGGAACAAAGAACAAGATTTATTCCCCTTGCCGATCACATCAGTCAAGCTTTCCCGTGGCTTCCGGACCAAGTCGCAATCTCGGACGACAGCTTAGACCCCCGTCCGAATGCAACGCAAATCAAGCCCCTCCGGGCCCTTTACTAGAATGGGCAGGACACTTGTTTAGACAAATAAGACTATTCTTTATCGGTCCCTGCAGGTCAAAGTTTCCAAGTTCTAGAATAATATATTATTCGGGATGCTTTAACGGTCCAAATCTACTAGAGTGTCACTATATATTAGATGGCTTACCCCTGCGCAAGCTTCGTGATAGTCTGTTTTCATGCCGTTATTTAATATCTAGGGTAGCATCACCTGGCGTGTAATTGTTTGTCGCCTGACTCAGCTCAGGTGCAGCTATTTAACCTCACCCCGCCCACGCGGCCATTCTCTACTCTACTCCTCTTTTCATTTTACACATTCTGTAAACAATCTCATACATAACTTTGGGAGGCAAGATGGTGTCCTTTTCTGTACTTACTCTGGCTTTTGCCGGGTCTATCGCGACTGCAAATGCCGGTGTGACCACCTCGCTGAAAACCGTCCGAAATGCGAATGCTGCCGGACTGAGCAAGCATGCACGCTCGTTGGCCAGGTATGGCGGTGCTGTTCCTGAGCGTCTGGCGCAGTTGTTGCCTCGGGGTCGGGATACCGGTAAGTCGGTGCGAACATCACCATTTCTCGGGATTTATTGCTAACTAATGTGTAGGCTCCGTCGGAGGCACCTATGATGCTGCGAATGGCGAGTGGATTTCTCCCGTTTCGATTGGTACTCCGCCTCAGGAATTAGGCTTGATTCTTGACTCTGGCTCATGGGATCTGTAGGTCGCTCTCAACACTCGAAATGTGTACAAATTCTAACAATATCAAAGTATTGTTTACAGCACCCAATCAGACCCATCAGACCTCCCGGCAAACATCTCTCTCTACGACCCAGCCAAAAGTAGCTCCGCTCGCTCTCTCGAAGGCTACTCGTTCGACATCATCTACGGAAACGGTGACACTCAAACCGAAGGGGACATCGAGTGCAGCGGTGATGTGTTCCGGGATGTCGTTACCATCGGCGGCGTAACTGCCGCATCACAAGCCGTCGAGTCGATTGTCAATTACACCGCTGGATTCGCCACTCTCGGCGCCACGGGCATCGTGGGAATGGCCCTAAGCAAGAACAACACTGTTAAGCCTGTCAAGCAAAAGACATTTTTCGACAGCATTAAGAATGAGCTCGAGAAGCCCGTATTTGTCGCGGACTTATATCTCGAGGCAGACTCGCATTTGGATTTCGGATACATCAATAAGAGCTTGATTGAGGGACCTATTACCTGGGCTGATGTCGACACTGATGATAGTCAGCAGGGTTGGTGGTCGATTACTATTGACGCATACCAGGTTGGATACGAAGAGCCTGTTGAAGGCGAGTTCCAGACCATCGTGGATACCGGCACTACAAATCTTCTTTTCCAGAACGATATCGTCGGCGCCTACTACGACCAAGTCCCTGGCTCGGTCAATAGCACCGAGTTCGCCGCATTTTTGATCCCGTGCGACGCTGATCTGCCCGATTTTACAGTAACCATCAGCGGCAGACCGTTCACCATTCCCGGTAGTCTGCTCAATCTTGAGGCCATCAACAGCACTACCTGTGTGGGCAACATCCAGGTCATTCCTGCATCTACCATTGGCGGAATTGTCCAGCCTAATGCCTGTTTGGGCGCGACTTTTATGCTGCCTTATCTCACTGCTTTTGATTTGGGATCGTTGCAGGTTGGATTTGCGCAGAAGCGGTACATTGAGAATGCCACTTTTGTGTAATTTCTCTGTCGCGGTGTCGTATCCAAAGAATGGCTGGAAATCACATATGTACTGTACATTAAAGCCCTACTGATAAACTAGCATAGCTGATACGCTGTTCAATGACAATGTATATAAGACCAATGAAACAATTGAACTTGAGTGCAGTAAATGGTTCCGATCATCCACCAGTCATCGCGGATGGGTTTCACTACCGTGATCGACATTCGTAGCGGACATAGTCTCATCTCTCTGACGCATGCGTTTGTTTTGATCTTCATTTGGATATATCAATAGTATATCAGCTATAGTCCACCAATTCAGCATATTTCGTCGACTCTTCATCAGCCAGGAAAGCCTCAAGCTCTTCAGGATGCATGCCAAAACAGAACTCAATACAGCCATCTTCCCTGATCGGAAAGATCACCAAAAATCGAAATCGACCATTTCCGCGCTCAAGCTGGGGCCTTAGAGATTCCGAAACGCCTCGGTTAGCGAAAAAGGCGTCTCCAAAACATACCTCATTACTCGGAAACAGCATCATATTTGATATCATAGCATGCATATGTTCAATGCCCATATTAGCCGTCGAAAATCGACTGTGATCTGGCAGTGACTGTAAAATTGAGAAAGCATCATGCACAACCGAAGGCGTGATGCGCGCAGCGGATTGACGAAGCTCGTAAGCAACGCGGCCAATGCTCGTATCGTCAGCGCAAAGTACTTCAACCGGCATGACAGACCGGTTCAGTATCAATAAACTGCCCATGTATGTGGATGGCAATGAAGAAGAAAAGTACGGCCGCCCGTCTGTAGGTAGCTCAAGAATTGATAGCTCATCAGGCTCGAATGTCTGCTTCCGGATATTTTTTGCAACGCGATATCGAACCCTTATGGCAGCCCGCCACAGGAAGGCTTGCACAATGTCACTTATTGACTGAATCTCCCCCTTGGCGTGTGGGTCTACTAGAACTTCTTCCTTCATCTTCTCAAGTCTGCTAGGCCTGATGAGAAATAGCGTTGATCTCAGACACCTTTCAGCACGGGGAAGTGGCCAAACGTAATGTAACTTGATTTTCGGCGGAGGAGGTAGTACCATTTCGTTGGCGATATTTATTTTGAGTCTGTCGGATGGGGGTGCTTTTACGTCGCTTTGATGATTATCAGGTGGTATGAATGGCAGAAAACCCCATATCCCAGGATCGATTGTCTCAACTGGCCGCACCCATCCTTCTTGTTGATGAATAATTTCTGGTAGACTATGATTGAAGCTTTCAGGATCAAGCCAGCTGCAAGTTGCTGTGTGGTCACCTTGCAAGAACCTGCAATTCTCAGCCCAAGCCTTAAGGGCAATCAAAGCTCCCACACCGTCAAGGCAACAGTGGTTAAGATCAACTGCTACAATGCATCCACCCGAGATAAAATTGACTTGACCAGATATTATATCTGCTGGAAATTTTGGAAAAGGATCGTCTCGCAAAACTAGACTGTCTTTGACGAGTGAAGGCGGAAAGCCTGCCTCCCGTAGCTTGTTAAAGGATGGTAGAATGTCTGTAAGATCTTTATATACCAATCGATCTTTAACGGAAGCTGCCAAAGAAAGCGGCGGTATGGAAACACAAAGATTCCCTTCAGTGTATCCGAATTCTTGCTTAGAGCATTGAATTATTTTGCCGCTAAGGGCCGGTATCATGTCAAAAGTGCGATTGAGTCCCTCTTGGAGATTGGCAAAAACCTGTTGAAAAGTTACCCCGTCATGAAGAGAAAAATAAAGAACAATTCCCATGCCGTGGTTAGGATTAACGTAGTCAAAGGCATTCAAATGAAATGACTGCCGTGCCCTGTGCTGTGATATCATAGTTTCGATTCCGACATCGTATTCAGGCTGGACTTGATTCGATGGTGCAGCCTCTTTGGCACTTTGTGCTACCATTAGTTGAATAACAAGAGCGGCAAGACTAGCAATTGTTTCGCTCGCGTACACGTGTCGAGGAGCGATTTTGTCGCCGAGCCCAGAAGCTGCCCGTATTGCCTTCACAGCCGCAAACACAGCAAGGGAGTCGAGCCCAAGGGCGAAGAGATTTTCTTCCCGAGAGGCAGTATGAGCTGCAGGAAATGATGTACTCAGAATCGCACGGATCGAGTTTTCCATGCTATTGACGGTGCTCGTATCCAGCGTGTATGCTTCAACTGACTCATCCTTTCGCGAATCGTAAAAACGCTCGATGTAATCGGCGTACAGAGCCAAAGTGGCGGCCCTTTTCACAGTGCGTTTGTCTGTCCGAAGAAATGGCTTGTCGGGGAGAGCGAACGTGACAAAGTCTCTCAACAATTGATTCTTATGACGAGACATTGCGTTGGCCTTCACGACTATCTGCCAAATATCATCCATCAGCTCAGCCGTTTTGACTGATGGTTCTATCAGTTCAACGAGCAGGCCGGCTTGAGGCTTTCCAGTTCCGAAAATGAGACAACCATTAATAGCTGGGTGAGTTGAAATAAATGCCTCGGTTTCTAAGGGTGAAATTTTGTACCCGTTAGATAACACAACGAGATCGTCACTTCTCCCCTTGAATGCCCATAGATTAGGCTTGGAAGGGTGTTTCATATACAGGTCTTTCAAGTTGATTGAATCCTTGTCGGGGAAAGTGTGAAAGATGCCCTGAAAGAGGCGCCAGTGGTCGTTGCGATGTATCCAGTGCTCATAAGTATCTTCTTCGAGCTTCTTGAATTCGAAACCGGAATATGGATGGAAACAAAACCAGAACCAATCCTCTCGTTGTGGAACAAGGTTTCCAATAAAAAGACCCTCCGTAGTACCAGTCAAATTGAGCACTCTTACAACTTGATTCACCTTTCCAGCGCTAACGGGGCTGACAGGACCGCCAGAAGCACAGATGAATTTACTTGGTGCGAGTTGTGCTAATATTGACGAAGCTTCGCCCAGCTCATCTACTAGTGAGGGGACCATGCTCCATATGTCTATTTTCACATCCACAGCTAGTCTTTCCACAAGATTGAGGTTCGGTAAAACCTCAACCGGTCCCAAGACACACTGTAGGTCAAAGAGTGCTGGCATCAGGATGTCCATAATGACACCAGCGCCCTGTTTAAAACTCGGTCAGCTAAATTTTACTTGCTGAGATTCAAACCCAGGGAGAGATAGTACACATACATGACTCATTGGGAACGACGAGTAGATCTTGTCCCCTTTCTTCCAATCAAAAGTCCACGGAACGAAATCGGCAGTCCCTTCCACAGGCGGTAGCAGTCGTACTGCATCCATCGTTCCAATGAGCCCGTGTGACCAGGGAATCGGCTTAGGTAAACCAGTGCTGCCTGAAGTATGTAAGAAGCAGAATGGGTCATTGATTGCCTCTTCAAATGACTTCGTGTACGGAAATGGCTCAATACACTCTGCATCTAGAAGTTCATCGAGTAGAGGAAGCTGAATGAAGTTCATCTGACGATTTTGAAGAACCTCCTTGACCAAAGTTGTGGGAGCAGCATCGACTGCATTGACCCATATATTACAGGCAGTCGACTCGAGCACTGCCAGAGCTTCCTTCGTGTTGTTTTTTGGTGATAGAAACAATGCCTGGAGATAATTAGAAAATCTTCTGCCTTAGATTGGTCGTGTTTAAGATGAACATACTGCGTAGCCTGCCTTGACACATGCGTATGTCAATAGAACGTGCCTAAGGTCATCTACAGGAGTTGAATAGATCAGTAGCAGGCCCAGAAATATCATTTGCGAAGGGAGTTCTCATTGCGAGTTATACGCACGCGGTCCAATATAGGCCACAGGTTGAATGGTATCTGGCACTCCCACCTGGACACGAAGCCACCATGCAACTTTGTCAACTGCTTGGGCAAAGTTGCGAGCGGAAATGTGCTTAAGCTCAATAAATCCGTGGACAAGAGATGCAAGAGAGAAAACAATACGATCTGGCTCGGTAGCGGCAAGATTATCCATAATCTGTGGAAGAAGTCTTTCACCATAGGGCGATGGCGCTTGGGCGCTTGTGTGTACTGAACTCATTCCTGTAACACGGTCGATATCATGTGGGATAATTCTCGACTCGGAGTCGGGTGGCGTTGATTCCCTGCTAGACTGGGTCCCCGGCGTGTTTAACATGCTTTTTTCCAGAGACGAGCCGGAGACTTCGCTGGACGATGATGTGCGTGATTTTGCACCTTGGAGCGCAACCTTGACATATTGCTCCATGTTAATGTACGTAGCTGATTGCATGTAAGTGGAGTTTGTCTCATTTATAGGATCAACGTTTCCGTGAATTTGCCTTTCTCGATAATGGCTGGGCTTGCCGTTGACATGAACCAATTCCAGGCGGCCATCCTGACTGAATTCGCCCATAGGAGCACTAACCCAGCTACCATCTGCCAATTGAGCGACAGCGCAGTGCCACGGAGTTGTAAAACCGGTTTTGGTATTCAGTAAACTGATCGAGAGTTTATTGCCTGAGATGGATTCATGAATAGAGAGTCGTATATGATGTGGAAAAGCATTCTTGACTGCTTGTGCAAATGCCTACTCATGATGTTAGTGATCAGAGTAAATAAACTCCGTATGGATGTCAAAAAGCCAATACTAACGTATCCCCTAACCAGCATCTGCTTTGCTAAATATTTACAGTCTTTTTTATAGCTATGAGCAGAACGGTTTTCACCTCGCGGAAAAATATACTGGAGGTCTGACTCCAAGAAACGCTTATATCCCAGATAGGTTAACTTCGTATCTGGATTTGTGGCAATCTCGTGCTCGATATCAATGTCCTCATTGCCAAACCGATTCATTAGCAAGCGACGGAATGTGGTGCAATTGGCTACGTAGATTATCTCGCTCATCTTCTCTGGAACGGGATAATCGAGGAGATCTCTTAGTCTCGCGAAATGAAGGTTAGTGAAACCTTTTTCGACAACCATGTTTCGGAGAGCTTCTCCATAAGCCCAAGTCTCACGATCAGATATGCACAACAGATCTAAGATAATCATAGTCAGTATCTGTAATTTGTTGTTACTGATAAAGGTCGCTTCTGCTCTGCATACCATTGTATGTAATTCCATCGGAAATTATGACAATCTCCGCGCCGGGCTCATAAATCTCCTGAATACGCGTACATAGGCCATTCAATCGCTCAAGAGCCAGCTCCTCAGCCTTATCTGGGAGGCTGCCGAGGACTTTGTATATTTTATTTGCCGATTTGAATGGAAAGGCCGGGAGACAAGCTTGGACAGATACACCTGCAGACACATACCGGCTAATGGCATCGAGAAAGCTGTGTTCTGAGGACTCGGGGCGGTCTTTCGTGTACTTGAACTTGCCAAGAGTATACTTCAAGAAGATGTCGAGGATGAGACAAGAGATCCGCTTTACATCGTCAGTAGAAGAGGCGAAAGTGGCCACTGAATGGCTGGCATCCGGTCTGATGCTTGTGTATGTAGGACAGGAATGTGCCTCCTGTGAACCCATGTTGAGAGGATGCAGAACCGCAAATTTCTTTGTAGTGGGGATCAAAAGTTGATATATGCAACATGATTCTTATAAATAGCAGAATAAATCACACTTGATCGAAGCATTCTGCAGAATTCTGCAGCCAAAATGCGAACCCCCTCCGGGCCAATAGAAGAATCGTGCAGACTCAGAGAATCTTTCTAATTTCGAAACCCCTCATCTGTTTGACGGACAGTTTTCTCTCCTCTCCATTCTTAGTCTAAAAGGGGAAAGCGTACGTGCTTCGCAGTTTATCCGTGAGCACAATTGAGGCAGATTAATAGGGGGCCAAAAGTGGAGGGCTTCGAACTACTACAGCATCACAGACATGATGGCTGCTGTATTTGTCCCATGCAATACTATTGGGATAATATGAGAGGCCAATATAGCACATCTCGAGTATGTGGCATATAATAGACTTGAGGAATACGAATATAGGTCACTTACAGTGGGGCCATAACCTTACAAAACTTTGAGGTTGGCATATCGAGGGGCTGATTGTCGTCCTCTAGTTGACATTTTGCATAAAGAGGTTCCGACCTTCGCAATGAACAGAAAATTAGTAAAATACCACTAGCAATATTTGCACTAATTAGAGCAATTTTGAGGTATTTATAATCAATTTCACCTCTAGTTTCTTGGTAGAGACAAACTAAGTTGAAGCTGGATCTAGGATCATTATTCCTCGGGCTTAAATGAAGTTTTCGTGAAAACGAAAAGCACCTAACGCATTTTTCCAGCACTGTGTTGTTGTTCTGGTAATTGCCAAACGAGACAGCCTTCGTGCCCCCGCTTCGCTATTTTGGTCTTTTGTTCACCAGAGGAAGACTTCCGTTCGAGGCTTGCTCTCGATTCACTTCTGTATCTGACCTTTGAAACTTAAAGCGATCCAAGTATTCAATGCACCATGAACAAAGTCGTCGATACCTATGAGTCTAATGCTCCCCAAGAGACCAAGATACCTTCACAAGGGGACTGTGAAGAAATCAGCGGCGAAGAGAGCTCGGACTCCGAGAACGAATTTCAATACCCTCCAGCTGGCAGGGTAATCTTTATTATTCTCGCAATCTACCTAGCTGCTTTTCTCGTGGCTCTAGACCAGACCATTATTGGAGTTGCTATTCCAAAGATCACTGATCAATTCAAGAGTGTGTCAGATATTGGCTGGKATGGCAGTGCTTACTTCTTGACGTCTACGGCGCTACAACCTTCGTACGGCCGAATCTACAAGCTATTTGATGTAGGTCTTCCAATCGATTTCACCATTTGCTTGCTTTGCAGTTAAAAGATGGATTTTGAACTATGGCTTAGGTGAAATGGTCATTCCTGGCCGCCGTCACCATCTTTGAGATCGGATCGCTGGTCTGCGGTGTGGCTCCGTCTAGCACAGTCTTGATTGTTGGCCGAGCAATTGCGGGGATTGGTGTTGGGGGCATATTCTCTGGAGCCCTTATAATCATCTCTAGGACAGTACCACTTCCAAAGAGACCCCTAGTCTTTGGTGTATACGGATTGGTCTGGGGACTTGCCTCTATTGTCGGACCACTACTTGGTGGAGCTTTTACTGACGGTGTTTCATGGAGATGGTGTTTTTACATCAATCTCCCAGTTGGAGGATTTTCTATCGCAGCTGTTATTCTAGTCCTTCGCATTCCTCGTGATAACAACGTCTTGGGAATACCCTTTTGGAAACGCATCGGAGAGCTCGATCTGGTGGGTGCCGGCCTGCTCATCCCCGCCATCATATGTTTAATTCTTGCTCTACAATGGGGTGGAAATACGTATCCTTGGCAAGATTCCCGAATAATCGGTTTATTCGTGGGGTTCAGTGTAATGGTGATTCTTTTTATAACTTCCCAGATCTATTTGGAGAAGTACTCTGCAAAAAATAACACAACGGGTGACAAAGATGGAAGAGCCACACTACCTCCCTGGATTCTCAAGCAGCGCACCATTTGTTCCACTGCCCTCTTCGCGTTCTTCTTCAGTGGCGGATTTTTCCTACTGGTCTACTATCTCCCAATCTACTTCCAATGTGTCAAAGGGTCGTCTGCCATGACATCGGGGATTCAGGTGTTACCATTTATTCTAGCCACCGTCATCTCATCTGTTGCCGTCGGGTACCTGGTCACGGCGGTTGGATATTATACACCATTTCTCATTGCCAGCAGCGCTCTTGTTGCTATCGGAGCAGGTCTTGTTACCTTATACGATGTCAACATTTCCACTGGAAAATGGATCGGATATCAGATTGTGCTTGGAATGGGCACTGGAGCAGGTCTTCAAGTTCCTATGACTGCGGTACAGACTGTTCTGAGACCAGCGGACATCCCAGTAGGTACAGCTGCGATTACGTTCTTCCAGACATTGGGTGGCACTATATTCATCGCTGTCGGTCAGTCAATCTTTCAGAATGGTCTTACAGCAGGTATACACCACTACGCACCGGGCGTTGACCCAAGTGTAATCATTAGTGCTGGGGCGACTGATATAAGGTCTGTGTTGGCTACTTTGGGCCAGCTCGATGCCTTACCGGGGGTGATCGAATCCTATGTTGGCGGGTTGAAGGATACATACCGCCTCAGTATGGCATTGATGATTGTGGGTTTCGTCGCGGCTTGCTTTATGGAATGGCGGAGTATCAAGACCGGCGGCAAAAGTGAAGACCAAGACTCAACAGCGAATTATGCGTGAGGTTTAGTAACGCTCCACCGACATGGAAAATGCGGCGATTCTATGTATTATCACGTAATTGAAAGCACTTCTCACAACCAATAAGTAGCCTAATATCTATTTTCGTGATAACGTGGCGCGACGGTAGTGCTTCGTTGGGGGCAGATGATTATCAATCAAGGAGATCGGTCGACTACAGTACACGCTGTAAGATATTTTGCCCTCAGTGTAATTCGATTCGAGTTATCAGTCAAGCCATACCATATGATCAACTATAACTTCACATATTCGCATATTTACATAAGCTCTCTCAACGCAGTATTGGCGGGCTCTTGCTAGAAACAGAATAGCGCGAGGGCATTTGAGCATATTTTTGTCGGAATCTGAAATACTTCCGTGCGCGCTTGCCGTCCTTCGATATAGCTATTAATTAAAATAATTGCCTAGGTGAATTTCGGTATGTTGACGGGCGATAACAGCCAAATAATATTCTTTCAGATAATCAAATTCCCAGGTATAACGCCGCCAGGCCATGTAACGCTAGAACCCACTAAGGGCGAGGCAGAATGAGCAGAATTGAACTCATTTGATGAGCAAGAATAGAGGCTGGAGGTATTGCCTAGTTCTCTTTCTGTATTGCACTCGAGCTGCTCTCTTTACTCGATGGGGTCTGAAGGCTTTGATATGACTCGGCAACAACACGAGGACGTTTTTGTGTGGGTACCCAGCTTTCACTTGGTACAAAACGAAGCAGGCCACGAAGTATGAACCAAATCTACTTCACCTAGTAAATTTCTTTGTGTAATATATATAATAGAGTGTTTCTGATCGACCTCCTTCTTTTCACAATTTATGTTCCTAGCATCCTCGACCTGGGTGTCTGTCTCGCCACTACCATCTCTCGCTATCTGGGGATCATGGCTACAGAAAACGCCGACGGCGGTTCSGAGCCAGTCAGCATTCAGACGAAACATGGCAATCAGCATTTAGACAAGAACTGTGACATTCGGAGTCTGGAAGAGAGACACGAGCGACAGTTGCTAGAGGATCCCAATGGTGTCACGCAAGGAGCGCAGCCCGGAATTCAAAAGGCCGAGGCTACTGCTTTGGTCTGGACAAGAACGGCTTTATACGCCACATACGCATGGTCAGTCTCATTGTCCTTTAGTCCAAAAGACAGATTGATTTCTAACATCGTATGCACAGGATTTGGTTATGCTTCTTTGTTCTATCCATGCAATCGTCCATCAGCGCGAATTTGATCTACTACGCTTACGCAAACTTTGCCTCCGCTCCTCAGATATCCCAGGCCTACGTTATATCGACGATTGTTGGCGGCGTGATTCAATTACCCATTGCCAAGATCTTAAATCTCTGGGGCCGTGCTGAAGGACTCTTGATAGTTCTGACAATAAACCTTCTTGGTCTAATAGTGATATCTGCATGCAACGGTCCCAATGGATTTGCCGCCGGTTACACTCTGTATCAAATCGGATACAGCCAGTTGAACTTCATTTTGACTGTGTTTGTCGCGGACGCATCAGGGCTAAGAAATCGTGCATTTGCGTACGCATTCATTGGAATGCCTACAGTGTGTACCGCTTTTACTGGATCCCTTGTCGCTCAAGCGTTCATAACCCATTCCACCTGGCGCTGGGCGTACGGTTGTTTCACCATCATCACATTTGCGTTTATCACGCCCGTCGCTGTGGTGTTCAAATTCTACCAGCGCAAAGCTGAAAAGCTGAATCTGCTCATCCGCCATCCTAGTGGCAGGACAAGGGKGCAGTCTATCGTTCATTATATTCACGAGTTCGATATCATTGGTGGCTTTATTCTCATGGCAGCATTTGTACTATTCCTCTTACCATTCAGCCTCGAAACCTATGGTTTTAGCGGTTACTCCTCTGCTACATTTATTGCGATGGTGACAATTGGAATTCTTTTATTCCCCGTTTTTGTTGTGTGGGAGTATTACTTTGCGAAAACCGGCTTCATTCGGTGGGAGTTGTTAAAAAAGCGAACAGTTCTTGGAGCATGTATCCTCTCAGGGCTGATCTTTTTCAATTACTATACATGGGACCAGTACTTCTACTACTACGTTCAGGTGGTTTATGACCTCGACGTCACAAAAACAGGGTATATGACTCAAATATACAGTGTTGGATCAACTATATGGGCTGTCCTCTTTGGAGTGTGGATCCGGCAGACCAAGCACTTCAAAAATGTGTGTTTGTTCTTTGGAGCGCCACTAATGCTATTAGGCGCTGGGCTTATGATTCACTTTCGTGGTTCTCAGAGCGACATTGGATACTTGGTAATGTGCCAGATATTTATCGCATTTGGAGGTGGTACGCTTGTCATTGGCGACGAGATGGCTGTGATGGCTGCTGCAGACCGTGATGGTATTCCGATGATGCTTGCACTAATCAGTCTATCTTCCAGCGTTGGCGGCTCTATTGGGTATGCCGTTGCTTCCGCTATATATTCCAATACGTTTCCTCAAGCCCTGCTTAGAGCGCTACCGGATTATGCAAAATCGGACTATCAGACCATTTATGCTGGTGGATCAGCTGTGCAATTGACGTACCCTCCTGGAAGTGAGGTTAGAAATGCGATCAATTACGCCTGGGCTTATAGTCAAAAGTATGAGTGTATCACGGCAGCTGCGCTTGTTGTTCTTGCCTTCCCAGCGATTGCCATATGGAAAGATTATAATGTAGACAAGAAGCAAGTTAAAGGCGTGGTTATCTGAAATCATCGCCCTTTCTTTCTCCCGCCTGCTTTCTTACCTTATGTTTCATTAGATCTCAATCAGCTTTAAGGCAATGCAGACCAATAGCTAGATGATCATACTTCTCTCAAATATTCTCCTTGCCTACAATTCACCCTTTATGCAGCAAAAATAGAGGTACTCAGCTGGATCAGCTGCATAGGCGTCGCAAAGAGCAGCCTACGAATCTGGCCATGGTCGGACTTACAGTGAGAGTATCGATCGAGGTGAACAAAATGTCAACGGACATCAGTAGAACCGGCTTACACGACATGCGCAACTCATTTAACGCCAATAAACGCTATGTACTATTTATATCGCTTATGTCGGGTGTGACAAATATACTCTAGACCAAAATATGAGCAGATTTGCGCCCTTAACTGGTAGCTAGACACCTTAGTGGTGCGCACGAATCCCACATGAACATCGGAGCCTGACTCATTGTCTGCAACCACAAAAGAGCTGAAATCAACTGGATCATATTCCTCATCGTATTATTGACTTTAAAGGCGTTCAATGCGCCTGTTGCAACACCGAGAAATATACTCATTTGGTGATATTCGAAAGGAACAGGTATCAGACATGGTCAGACGGGAGGTCGTTATTCTCGTGTCATGCAGACAACGATAGTTCTTGAAATGATCAACTCCGTTCCTGCTATCCGTTGGGTCTCTCTCTTCTTGCCCTTTTATCTTCATACACTTCGGTCATTAGGCAATTGTCGATTGTACAGTACAGCCTTTGACTTCCTCTCTATAATGGGTGACTGTGATTGCCGTTGTTGATCTGCCTGTCAATGCTCTGGATGTCATGGAGTAAGTCTGGCAGGTATTTGTGATAGGGTGGATTGGCTGATCTCTGGTTGCTGTGCAAATAGTCATAAAGCATTATCAGTCATATTTATTGTATGGAACACCGCATTGAAGCAACACACTACAATAATGCAGTGACCGTCATTCAACACTTCGAGCATTTCTTCATTACTAAATTGTTCCGCAAAGACTCGATGGCTGCATTTGTTTAAGCCTCACTAAATTGCGTTGAAGACCATACATGAATGTTTTCATAATCTAGTCAACACAAGGTGCCCATAATGAGCAGAACACTATCCATGAAAGAATTCTCACACCGGTACATATCACTTGCATCAATCTAGACACAGCGTCTAGTACATGAAGGGAGTGGTAGCATGCTCCCTCAAGAAGACAGGGCCATATCATTTACAACTAAGGATAGAAAACGTATATCACTTGGATGAATTTTTCGAATATTAGCTATAAGAATCGATCACTGTGCCCATTCCATCCCCTCCCCCAAAACCGCCTGCCCCATTTCAAGTGACCTCGAAGCCTCCTCGCCCAACCACTGAGCCTGCAATCTGTCCAAATTCCGCTCAAACTCCCACGCTCGTCCACCCTCCACATACATCGACACTCCGTTTAATTCTGTGGCCGATAAAACACCAGCAATAACTTTAGCCACATCCAAGGGTCGGTTAATGGGCAAGTTCGCTTTGCGCCATCCCTCCTCGATACCAGCCACCATCGCTGTTTCTGTCATCCAGGGACAGATAGCATTAATACGAACGTTGTGAGTCGTCGGTAGACTAATGTACTTGCGTAAAGAGCGCATCAACCCTAGAACGCCGTGCTTGCTAGCTTGGTAGAGGAACAGGCCGGGGGATTCTTTGAAGCCGGCTACGGATGAGACGAGAGTTAAAGAGCGGTCTTCATCTTTGGATCGATTCTGGCGTAGATAGACGCTTGCTATACGCGCGCAGTATAGCGAGCCGAGAAGGTTGACGTCAACAACTGTGGTAGGGGGTATCTGACTGCCTTTAAGCAATTTGGTGGATTGGTGGATTTGGAAGGATGTTTCATACCTCTTCAACGCTTTCCACTGTCAACGCCGGGTCGAACCAGTTCCCTCGTTCAATAATGCCCGCATTGGCGATAACATGATCAACGCGTCCGTATAAAGAGAACGCTATCTTGAATAATGACAATACCGAATGGTAATTCGTAACATCAACGGCCACGAATCTTGCCCTCGGCGAGTCTTGACTTTGATTAACAGCATCTTGGACGTCTCGACCAGCTTTCTCGTCAATGTCACCGAAAAAAACATAGGCTCCGTGTTGAACACATAATTCGACTAGACTTTTTCCTATGCCGTTGGCACCTCCTGTTTGGAATTAGCTGCGCATACTAGGCGGCTTGGACTATTGCCCTCATACCAGTCAAGACTATGACTTTGCCTTGTAGTGATTCTCGTGAGATAGTTGGATGAAACTGAGCCATGGTGCATTAATTTTGTTGCTGTCGTTTTGATTACTCCTTCACTACAGCATCGATTCTACAGAAAGAACTTGCTATTGAACATATCATCGTCCCGGAGGCCGCAAGTATTTTGTATTGACTTTGCCAGGGAGTGTATCTGAAATATGATCAATCCGGTACATCGTTCCGATCTTCCAAGTACTACAATTGAGCGTCAGTACAAACCCCTCCTTCGGAAAACCCCCTCCAGATTTTGCAACCTCCATCGGGAACGTTCTGTCGACCCGGGTCCGCACCCGAAAGCTTTCCGGGAACTTATCTAGAACTGTAGATGATCCACCTATCATCTTCCGGGGAAGGCAAGTAATCTATGTATATACCCCGCATTCTGAGGACATTCAATCTCAAAAATTGGGGTTCGTCATGAGAAGGAATACGGATGGGTAGCTACCTATAAAAGTCGCTGGTAAAACCCCGAAGACTAAACCCATATCACTCAAGAGCAGTCAATCGATCTACTAAGATACATCTACGTTTTGATTTTTGAAGAAAATGTCTCTCGAAACACATTTTCACATTTCAAGCGAAAAAGGCTTGTCCAGTGTGACATCCCTTATCATCGGCTCCAAAGAAGCCATCCTCTTCGATCCTCCTTTCCTCATCCCCGACGCCAAGGACACAGTAATCTGGATCAAACAAAAACTTCAGCCGGCAAATCAAACCCTCAAAGCTGTGTTCGTCACACACCACCATCCAGATCACTTCTTCTCCGCAAATCCAATCCTCGAGGCATTTCCCGAAGCTCGTTTCTTCGCTGCTCCTTATGTTCTAGCGGGAATCAATAAGGAGTACGATGACAAGGTGGTCTACTGGCCATCTATCTTTGGTAGAGAGAATATCCCCGAAAAGCCACGCAAACCGGATTCGTTTGAGTATACTTTTTTCGTGCTGGATGGCAATCCCGACTCGCCGGTCCACTTGTTGGGTCCTGTCCAGGGGGATTCCGTAGATCATACTATTTTCTGGCTACCGAAGGAGCGCACGCTGATTTGTGGCGATACTGTGTATGCGCGTAGTACGCATGTTTGGTAAGTCCTCACATTTTACTCGTCCTTCAGAATTGTGATGCTAACACGTGCTTGCGCAGGGTCGAAGAGGTCGAAACCGCCGCCCTTCTAGAAGCATGGCAAAAAACAATCCAACTAATTGAGCATCTCAACCCACTCAAACTTATCCCGGGCCATATTGAAACAGGCTGGGAACCCGACGTATCAGCGGACCTGGCCCATATGAAGAAATATCTCTCCCTGTTTGGCGACAAGGTCACATTTGCATCTCAAAAGGCCACTGTTGATGAGCTTTACGAGTTTTTTAAGAACAGTTTCCCTGAAGCAAAGAAAAATTTGGAGTTCTTTTTGGGGCATTTATCGAATCAGTTTGGAGAGGGAGGGAAGGTGTGGGAGGAGAATCGGCATCAGGGTGCTGGGGAGAGGAAAAAAGAGTCTTTGCAGGGGTATTGGTTTAGCTAGTTGGTATCGCTTGGCTGGTAGGGATGGAATGATCTCAGATCGGTATAAGTTAGTTGATCTAGTTGCTCAATAATAAGCTGACTGTCCGAAATGTGGGTCGCATATTTCTGGGGGATACCCGATAGAGGATCATTGATCATCTGGCTCTACCTCTATATTGTTCCCGGATGTGTTCTCATAACTCCTTCTCATATCGTTAAAAAATTACAAGCCTCTGCAGATCGGAGGACGGGGTTGACTTCAAGCAAATCTTGAAACACATCTACCTGACTTTGTAATGAGGACCATCCGCAAAGCAGTGACTCCTGAGGGTTGTTAGACTATATATTAACTATCCATAAGAGCACTATTTAAATTGGTCTCTGTTCAAAAGAAAGTCGTTATTCATAACGTTTCTAAGGCAGATATAACACATTGCGGAATTTCTACTCAGTCTTTCATATCGTTCGCGTTAAGTTGGCTTCAAAGCAGAATAAACAGTCCTAAGTTATTTGCAAATACCAGCATCGACAATCGAACAATGTCGAAGCACAGGCAAAGCCGGGGGATTCATTAGGGCTAGAATGACGAGTTGCCCTAGCCCTAGGCACATCATCATGTGGGCGGTGAGCCCTCGGAGCTATATCTGCTGCCGGAGATAAGAAAAGTGTTATGGATTGGAGTCGTGGATATAAAGCTTCTAGAACGTCGTTCGGAAGAGCTGGTTAACTAAGAGCTGTTTTCTGTAGACTTCTGTCAGTCAATAGATGTAGTTCTATTGTCTCTTACTCTAGGAAATGCCGGCCAGTGCTCCCAGTGGTGATTTTCAAGCATGTCCAGAAAGGTCATCACTACGCTCTGCATGAATTTGTGACTTGCATATTTGTATGACCGTAGCAAAACTCCGAGAGCATTCCTCAAATGGTACTTCATTTACATCAAGTCCGACATCGTGTATCAGGAGAAAAGCTGACCGATTCACCGAGATGCTCTTTTATCACGTGCATCGATCCAGTGTCCCGCCTTAGTCTGCTTGCGGACTAGTGCGGCCAGATTGGGGTGTCACTATTGAGGGAGCATCTGATAGTTGACGTGAGAGCTTTTTACCATTGATTCCTACATCCTATCGTATTGTCTTCTTCAATTGAATCGTTGAGCATTTTCCAACAATAGTTTTCACTTCACTGTGCCATTGACCCCTCGTCGAGACAACAAACAGGGTAGCTCACAGCTCCAGCTCCAGTCCTGTCGTCATAGCCTCTCTCTGACGTACTAGAGCTCCGCCGCCAATTTCTCTCACCGGAATTTCCCCCACCAAACCAGCACCAGAATTGCTACAGCTCATTTTTCTTTATTTTGCTTCACATTCGTTCCCCTTACGGAACTTCAAAAGGGAAAGACTTATCGATCAACTGGCTGAGAGGCCGCGCCGCCACGATGAGTTCGATCACTGCTTCGTCTCCCTCAGCCCTCCAACCGCCCGTCGAGCCACCCAAGAAACGCCGTATCGCCGTCCTCACGTCCGGTGGTGATGCCCCCGGTATGAACGGCGCTGTCCGCGCCGTCGTGCGGATGGCTATTCATAGCGGCTGCGAAGCTTTCGCCGTACACGAAGGTTACGAGGGGTTGGTTGCGGGCGGGGACTTGATTAAACAAATGCACTGGGAAGATGTCCGTGGCTGGTTGTCGCGCGGAGGAACCCTGATCGGTTCTGCACGCAGCATGAAATTTCGTGAACGCTCCGGTCGCCTTGAGGCTGCGAAGAATATGGTTTTGAGGGGAATTGATGCTTTAGTAGTTTGTGGAGGAGATGGTAGTTTGACTGGTGCCGATCTATTCCGGTCGGAATGGCCGAGCCTGTTGAAAGAGTTGGTACAAAAAGGCCAATTGACGGAAGAACAGGTCCTTCCTTACACGACACTGAACATTGTTGGATTAGTAGGCTCGATTGATAATGACATGTCCGGTACAGACGCTACAATTGGCTGCTACTCTTCACTTACGCGCATTTGCGATGCTGTGGATGATGTCTTTGACACAGCCTCATCTCATCAGCGAGGTTTCGTCATTGAGGTAATGGGACGACACTGCGGCTGGCTCGCACTGATGTCTGCTATCAGTACTGGTGCAGACTGGCTCTTTATTCCTGAGATGCCGCCGCGTGATGGCTGGGAGGACGATATGTGCTCCATCATTACCAAGGTTAGTCCTTTATCTTTCCCATTGTGAAGTTATCTAACTTCATCAGAACCGCGAACGAGGCAAACGACGAACAATTGTCATCGTCGCCGAAGGTTCCCAGGACCGCCACCTCAATAAGATTTCCTCGAACGCCGTCAAAGATCTTCTCACCAACCGATTGGGACTGGACACGCGAGTGACTGTTCTCGGGCACACACAGCGCGGAGGACCTGCTTGCGCTTACGACAGATGGTTGTCTACACTACAAGGTGTGGAGGCTGTCAAGGCTGTGCTCGACGTTAAGCCGGACTCTCCATCGCCAGTCATTGTCATTCGAGAAAACAAAATCGAGAGGATGCCACTCATGGAAGCAGTTCAACAAACTAAGGATGTGACTGCTCGTATCCACGCTAAAGACTTTGACCAAGCTATGGCCATGCGTGACTCTGAGTTCAAAGAATACTATACTGCATATCTCAACACCACGTCCGTCGACCACCCCAAGTTGCGTCTTCCCGAGGACAAGCAGATGCGCATTGCTATTGTTCATGTCGGAGCGCCAGCTGGTGGTATGAACCCGGCTACACGAGCAGCTGTCGGTTACTGCTTGACTCGCGGCCACAAACCCATTGCCATCCACAACGGTTTCCCTGGTCTTTGCCGCCATCATGACGACAAACCGGTTGGTTCAGTGCGGGAGGTGAACTGGTTAGAATCGGATGATTGGGTTAACGAAGGCGGTTCTGAGATTGGCACAAACAGAGGTCTACCAGGTGACGACCTTGAAGCCACCGCTCGGGCATTCGAGAAGTACAAGTTTGACGGACTGTACATTGTTGGTGGATTCGAGGCGTTCACTGCGGCCAGTCAGCTACGAAAGGGCCGAGAGTTCTACTCTGCATTCAAAATACCCATCGTCGTGTTACCGGCGACTATTTCCAATAACGTGCCCGGTACGGAATACTCGCTCGGTAGCGACACCTGTCTCAACACATTGATTATGTTCTGCGACGCCATCCGACAATCAGCATCCTCATCTCGTCGCCGAGTTTTTGTTGTTGAAACCCAAGGTGGAAAGTCTGGTTATATTGCCACCACCGCCGGTTTGTCGATCGGTGCCGCAGCAGTCTATATTCCCGAAGAAGGGATCAACATCAAAATGCTAGCACGAGACATTGAATTCCTGAGGTCTAGCTTCGCATCCGACCGTGGCGCCAACCGCGCAGGTAAGATCATCTTGCGCAATGAAACCGCATCTCAAACATATACCACTCAAGTCATCGCCGACATGATCAAGGAAGAAGCCAATGGCCGCTTCGAGTCTCGCGCCGCTGTTCCCGGTCATTTCCAACAAGGCGGCAAGCCATCCCCAATGGACCGTGTCCGCGCACTCCGTATGGCAATAAAATGCATGCAACACATTGAGTCCTACGCGGGCAAATCGCGTGACGAAATCGCCAACGATGAATACTCGGCCTCCGTCATTGGCGTCAAGGGCTCTCAAGTCTTGTTCTCGCCCATGGGTGGAGCCGGCGGCCTCGAATTCACAGACACGGACTGGGACAAACGTCGTCCCAAGCACGAGTTCTGGCTTGAGTTGCAAGATCTGGTAGATGTGCTGAGTGGTCGTCAACCAAGCAAGCAGGGGGGTGTACTGAATTCAAAAGAAAATCCCGACGACAGCACGTAAGATGACGAGATGACGATAATTAAACACGGAGTTATTTGCATTCAATTCTTTGGTGGTTAGGTAAATTTTAAAATTTTCAATCTCAAGAATCATATCCATTCTGGGTCTTCTATTATACTTGAGCTTTCTAGATACATGGTTATCGCGATAGGAGCCAATCTATCTCCTATTATCCAGCGCTTGACAAAGCATAGAATGAGGGTGTATGTATACATAACATTCCACACAGCCAGCCTAGTTCATCTACTACCCCATCTCGTATGTTTGCCGATTCCTTCAGCCGAGTAGTAATCAGTGACACCAGTTGCATTTCCCACTCATCGGTAGCACAGTAATAACCCCCCCTCAATCTACTAACAGCCTAGGTAATGATTGTGAATACCATGTAAATCTTCTTGCAAGACTTGCTCACTGTATAAGCCGTTTGCAGCTGCGAAACCGGGGTATCAGAGCTTTCCTTCCAGATTGAAGAATGTATCTTAGCGTACCTGCTGTCGAGGCCAATCTGTGGCTGAGAAACATGCAGGATATGGGGGGAGCAAACCCCGTTGACGATTGAAAAGGATCAGAGTTAAGTATCACAGTCAAGTCATCATGAAACTGAATATTTTGTCGAGAACTCATCAAAATTAGAATTGAACTTAAATTATGAATTGTCCTGTGGCTTGTAGGTATGTAATATGAAAGGACTTTTCTCTTCTGCATGGTGGTCTTCAAGGTTGCTCGTCACTATCGAGTATCGAGTCAGCACATCATATATCTCCGACAAGCATGTTGCTTGACTCGTTATGGATTTACTAGTCAATGTACGGAGTACACCATGACGAATTCCGAAACTACGTAGTCAGATAGATCAAGCATGGCGAAAAATGTCGGATTTTCATAATTCGAACTGCCAATCTTCAACAGGTAAGCTGCGCTGCTGTACGCGCCATACTTCTCGTTAGTGCTTATTCTACCTTAGTGAGGCTTGTTATTAATCACGACTTCGACGCTCCGTGGCCAATTGTTTGTCATTGCGAATAAGCTCATAAACTCAATAGATACAGCCGTGCTCACTGGTTATTAAGTCGTTCTTCTCTCAGGACTCTTATTGCGAATAAAACACAGGCTATCGCGACGGAGGAGGTAGCGGAGGTTTAGATCATGAGGGACGAGATAGAATATAAACCAAAACTCATCATATATCTGATGAATGATTCAGACGGAATGCCACGGTTAAGACGAGATCGTTATTTATGCAGGTTTATAGTTCTGGCATATGATCCGGTGTTATTGGGAACAGGGGACTTACGAAGTAGTCCAGGGATCTTGGTGTACACCCTGCAAATTCATTTCCCAGTTAACATGTCATCGATATAAGCTGAAATAGTTATATGAGACAATCCTTGATGAGGTGAGAGTATAACTCGTAATAGCAGATGAATAAGTCCAATAGCGAGACACTCTTGCGGCCGTAGAGGCTCGTGTTAAGCATAGGCTAATAAATGCGGACATGGTCAGCGCTTCAGCAAGATGGCCCCACAGTATATGGCTGTTGGAGATTGTTTCCCACATATCAACCTTCTTCCCTAATTGCTTTGCCTACTGTCGTCGATGTGTTACATCTGGCGAGGAGCATCATTAGTAGATTCTTCAATCGTAGATCAAGGTCAAAATCCTGAAGTTTCACAATCCATGTTATGACCCTAGTGACAAATACTGCGTATCGGCGTAAAAGCCAAAGCCCCTAACGCCACATCTTAAGTACTTGCGCTTGGCACGTGCGCTTGGCACTTACTACTGGCCTGGCTTAACGGCTTATAACATAATAAACTGTCTTGAGACTTGAGTTAGCGCTGTTCACTCCGTAGTGGGCTTAACATCAAACCCTGTCAGGTTAAAAGGGGCCACTTTGGCAAAAGCTAGCCCTAAAGTGTACCTGCGGCCTCCCTGAAGCCAATCCAAGTCATTTTAAGGCGCTCCTTAGCGTTCAGCTAGACTTTAACTTTTAAGTCATTGTAGTGTCTCCGCAAATCATTCGCCCAGAACGTTGAATCCGGCCCCGAGGCCTATTCAGTTTTCACTCTTCTCTTTCGCTTTGCTGCGTATTCTCGTAATCTTCTCTCGCATTTTCTTTTCCGGAGAGAAACCGAGACGGTCAATTTTGGTACGGACTTTGAAGAATTAGAATTGGGAAATTTGCAGTATTATCATCGACCAAACATTTCAATCGCCCGAGCATAAAAGCATACGCACTCAAGTCGCAGCAATGTCGGGCCAATTCATATATCCGCCGCCAAACTCACAGGACGTCACGTTAAACTACAATTATCGCGATTCAGTGGAGGTCAGCTTCGAAACAACAACCAAGAATAAAATCAGCCCGTACTTGTCGTTATGGTATTATCTCGACGGACAGCCATGGGCTATGGGTATGTTCTCCGGAATTTGCTTCGTTCTCTTGATGTGGATTATCTCCGACAAAAAGCTATACTGACGTTTCAAACCAAAGGATACAACACATCCGTCCCATCCAACGGCACTATAACGGTTGACTTGAACGTCCTCGAACAAGCCTACTACGGCCAATTCAATTTTGACGATGGCAGTTCCGTCCTATATCTCAGCTGTTTCTTCAATGTCGCCTATAACACGTCGCAAAGCCCGACGACATGGGGTCAGAGTGCTGCTGCAGCTTGGTCGTCGTCGCTAGCGGCTGCTACATCGACCACATCATCTTCATCTACCAAATCGACCGCGACTTCGACAACATCTTCGTCTACATCTACATCTGCGACTTCCTCCTCTACTATCACATCCGCTGCAACACAATTAGCCACTCCGTCGAGTACATCAAGTTCATCATCTGGCCTGAGCAGCGGCGCAATAGCCGGTATTGCCGTGGGTGTGGTTATCGGTGTCCTCGCCCTTCTAGGCATGGGAATATTCTTCTGGTGGCGGAACAGGAAAGCGAACAAGGTGCAGGGCGGGTTTGTCGGCGAATTACCTGGAGGTGAACCGAGCCCACAGCAACAGACTTTTATCAGCAACAATCATAATAATCAAGCAGAAAAGACGAATTTGGTTCCATATTCAGATCATCCTGCCCGAAATCCTGCGGCGGAGTTGGCTGGAAACCGTGCTCTGCAGGAGTTGCCGTGATGATTGTGCTTTGAGCTTTAAGCGATGGGTGTATATAGGGAGTTATAGTTTAAGGGCTAATGAATTAAATTTTGAACAATAAAGTTATCTGTGACCGTTTATAACTTGAGTAGGTAGTAAAAAGATTCCAAGAACAAAAAGCAGTGATTATGTCAAATTTAACTTGTCAACAACGGTAATATTCTTCATTCGTAACACATAGCACACAATGAAAATATATACAGGGATCATAAAACAATATATCCACCATCATACTCCCAGCAAACAAACAAAGCACCCAATCATCCTGTCACGAATAAAGACTTAGTCCTGAGGACCACCAGCAGGACCGTCGTAATTCCAGTAACCCTCTCCCTGACTCCGGCAAGTACCGACGACACAGTAGTAACCACCACCCACATTGTTGGAGTTGGGCGAGTACATGACAAAGGTGCTACCGTCACCATCGAATCCAGTGCAAGCATTATACTCGCCATTCTCGCAAGTGTAAGCGGTATGCGCGGTGTTATACCAGACGCAAATGGTGTCACCAGATCCGCCATTGCAGCTGTATGTGTTTCCGGTTGTCCAGCTTGCGCTCACGGAGAAGCCGCCGGTCAGCCATTCTTCTGCAGTTGCGCTGGCTGTCCAGCCGATGGTGTATGAGACACTGTCGCTCTGGCCTACGCTGCAGCTATCTGCCGCGCCGCAGTTGATGTTTTCCTATACAAAAATTTCATTAGATACTCGCTATGTCAATAATTTGAGAGAAGACCACTTACAGAAAGTTGCTTCAGATAGTAGTTCTGGTGAGGGTTGCCATCTCCAACAACCTGGCTGGAAGCAGACCAAATACCGCATTGGCGCTCATCCAAGACGGGTCTGGATGATGACAGATCCCTACGTGTAAGGTTTGCGGTCTCGGGCGGTCCCTGCTGTGCAAGCATAGAATTGTATGCGCTTTGCAAGCTAGGAATCACCCCACTGTCAAAACAGGTTGTCTTCTGGTCACTAATGGGCGACAAGCTTAGAGATGATGGCACCGGTACAGCACAGTCCAAGAAACTCTCGCCATCATTGAAGATTCGAGCACACTGAATCCCGCCAGAGGTATCGCGATCTTCATGGACCTTGTATGTTGTGGAGCCCACGGTCAGAGTACCGGCGCCGTTCTCGTCAATGTTTGCGGTAATGGGGAGATTGGCAAAAGCGCCTGAGTTGAGGGTGCTGGAGCAGGAGTATCCGAGAATGTCAGAAGTGTCCTTGTTGACAACGGCAATGTCGGTTTCGGAGGTTGATTTGACTTGTTGAATCATGACATTCACCTCTTGGGTGTCGTCGCTGCGGAGGTGAAGACGTGAAGGAGCGGCTAGGGCTACGGGTACAAGCCCGGCCATGGCCGAAAGGGCAATGATGGACTTCATATTGAAAGGGTGTATGTATGCTGATGTGTTGATGTGCTTGAAGGAGAGGATGGAATGATGGATTGGAGAGACGATTGTTTCGACGGAAACTTGGTCCCTTTTATATCCCATCTTCATGTTACTATTCTCAGTATAAACGAAATTTCCGTCATCGCCCTCGTCCGTCAAACCATCTCATCCCCGAACTCAACAAAAGATCAACAACCTCACTTACCTGCTACGTACGTACCTAAACTCTATCATGTCCCTAGAAAGCAATGTGGAAGAGATATGGGGCCGCCTGAGCAAGCCATGCGCCATTTTTGTTCCTTTCCCATCTCGAAAATTTCCTATATAGGAACGATTTTCATATTCGCGAAGGTGATCAACATTTCGGGAATCCGAGATCTGATATTGAAACTCGAGATTGGCCACTTTATTTTAGGATTATTGGGGCAAATGTTCAGTGGGGAGGGCATCAGGTCAGCTCTTCTTACCGACTGAACACAGCTCTTACTTTCCAACTTGAGTAGTTTTACCTAACATCTGCTCGTGTGCGATGATTACGGGCCTCGGAATTGTCTATCCTAACTGTTTGTTACACTGAAGCATCCACAGTCAGACTCTGCCTTACTACTCATTGAATCGCGAATGAGGCATTTTGTCATGACGTCGAATAAGTAACTAGCACCGAATATAAGCCCTATATTCTAAAAGCTAGCGTCCTCGTACACAGATGCCAACAAACTTTAAAACCTCAAAGTGACCAAATAAAGAAATTGCGGGGATATGGCCCCTAGCCCTATACCTAGATAGCAGGAGATGGGTACCAAGTTCAGGTCCAACCACCGGTTTTCTTGTCGTCATTGGTATTAAGTGGCAGTTTAGCACGCGCTGAGATCCCCATTTGGTGCATTGGGGCTGACTCATGTACTACGTATAGTACTTTCGTGTAAGGCACCAACCAACGGCATCTAAGAACGTGGAGACACACTTTAGTGTTGTTGACGAAGAAGGAAGTTAGCATGGACAATCCCAACAGACAATAAGTTTCAAAGTGGGCATATTGGAAAATCGACGATTAAGTGATCCTACAACTACGTAACTATTTATCGAATCCTGTGAGAGACTAATCGATCCTCCGAATCGTGTCAAACCTAGGACGAGGGAGTAAGGGAAGGATATTGCTACCGCACGGGTATATGTACATCGGTAGGAGACATTTGAAACGAATAATGCCGATCTATACAATACGGTAGCAATGTACAATTCACTAAAGACCTTTTTATAGCTTGCCAATGTAGAATGCGCGGCTCTCTACTTAGGTTGTATGTAAGCAATGCTTATTTCCCCAGATATCTCAACGAGGGTTCACACTAAACAAGTAAGAGTTTCGATGGCGTACCTGACCCAAATCCTGAAATTCGCCCGATTTCCACTGAACAAGTTACGTAATTTCATATGATACTTCAATTTGCCATCATACTAAATCAAAAGTTGGGGGCTTGGGGCTTTTTCAGCCCCCACGAAAGACCCCAAGTTTGACTGTCCAGTAACAAGTCGAAGCAGTTTTGTGGGAGCCGCTGATCGCCGTATCGGTGGATCCAAGCAACAAGCGATCGAAGTCGAGGAGAAGAAAATACAATATTGACGTATCATCCATCTCCTTTAGCAAAGATGAGGCAGTAGTCAGGTGAGCGTATGAGGCGGACTGCCTGACGTATATAGCGAGTAAAAAGTGAAGCTATGGAATAGCTATATACTTGCAATACATCACTATTCGATCAACTACGTACTTGAATCTTGAGATCTACATATTCTACAAGGATAATTCAGGGGAGAAAGAGACTCATTTTCGCATCCAATCATCTGCATTCTTTTCAGCCATAGTCGCTGTCAAGCTGTCAGCAACAAGCCACTATATGCACAGCGATCGTGAGTTAGAAGTAATAATCACGCATTGATTTCGAAAATAATGATGTTGACAGCTACTACATACTGCGCAACGCGGGCTGAGCATATATATTCTGGCTTAAGCATCAACATGAACCGACCCGGAAGTGGCTCSGAGCATTCAATGTTATGAAAGGAAATCATTGATGTTATAAGAGGGTATATTAGCCGCTGGAAATTGCATATACATACTCTGTAATTGACGGATAAATATGCTGCTGAAGCCACTGCATGACCATCGGCTATGTGGAACATCGAATGCTCATCCGTCGGAAGGTTAGTAGATACAGGAGACTAGAGAGATCCCTGACAATATCTATACCCTGTGCCCTTTTGAACTTTGATTCTGTTCTGATATGAAGAACGCAAATACAATCAATGACCACTGACAAGATTGTTTGTTTCCTTAGAGCAAACCTCATTCCCCCCGCAAACTTAGACGACTATTTTTTCCAGTTGAGGGGAGAAAAACACAGCTATGTATCCATATTATTACCCCTCATCAAAAACAATTTACCCGGGCCTTCTATATGTAAACCCAATTCCTAACATTTAAACGAGCCGGGTTCCTGTTTCCACTATTTAGTATTCTTTAAATCTTGAGCATTGTGTACTCGCCCTTTTTTGTGCTATAATCACGGACTGTGGTTGCACGCCGAATTGAACGAATCTCAAACATGCTATGGCCTTTCGTTTTAAAAGAAAAAAAATGCTTCTAGATTTTGAGTAAATCTGTTTCTGGACCTAGATTTTAGTTTCCTCGTTGCATTTTACCAAGTTAAACAAACATCAGAGTGGGTTTCGGCTTAGATTGCAACCGATCACCATGACTACTTCAGTACCTCTTACTCTTGGATACGGCGATATCCATCCCTTCGCAAAAGTACAAATTTCTGACCATGAGTCCGTACAACAACTCTTACGAACACTTCTCGATCCTCTTCAACCTTTCTTCTCTCCTGCCAAGGCCAGAGTGCGTGTGCCTGGTGGTACTGGAGTGAGATTTGATCAAACAGCCGCCGAAGTCGAGGGTCTTTGTCGGCCTCTCTGGGGTCTAGCATTTCTTTTAGCAGGTGGAGGAAGCTACGCATACACGGATGCATGGATTGAAGGCATCAAGGCTGGGACAGATCCTGAAAGTCCAGAATACTGGGGTAGTCCCCGCGACAACGACCAAAGAATGGTCGAAATGTGTCCTCTTGGGGTGGCATTTGCGATTGCGCCGCAATTTTGGCAGAACCTTTCGGAGAAAGAGAGGGGAAATGTTGAACAGTGGTTGGGGAACTCAATCAACACCAAAGAGTATGCCCCCCTGATTTATTATGGCATATTTTACTAAATGGTCGTTTTGTCTGCAGAATGCCAAACACGAATTGGCTCTGGTTCAGAGTTTTTGCCAATTTGGGATTGAAGTTGAACAATGGCAAATACTCAGAAGAAAGGTTGCAGCAGGATATCAAGCATCTTGAAAGCTTCTATCGTGGCGGGGGCTGGTCTAATGATGGCCCGGAGGGGATTCATCGTACGCAAACACGATCTTTCTATCAGGGTGCTTTCATCGTCTTACGCTAAATTAATCTTGGCTAGAAATGGATTACTACTCTTCTAGCTTCGCAATTCAGTTCCTTCAGCTCATATATGCCAAGTTGGCAGAAGCGGAGGATCCGGAGAGAGCCCAAGAGTTTAAAGAACGTGCACGCCTTCTAACGCTTGATTTAATCCACTATTTCGACGAACAAGGTATTGCTTGCTCCCATTACGAATATATCGGGCTAAAAGTAATGAATGACAATGCTCACAGGTCGTGCCATTCCCTTCGGTCGAAGCATGATCTACCGGTTTGCGGTAGTAAGCTTTTGGGGTGCCCTGGCATATGCAGATGTTGAGCTTCCTGCCCCTTTAACGTGGGGAATTGTGAAGGGCATTGTGCTCCGGCATTTTCGATGGTGGCAGACCCAGTCCCAAATATGGTCGTCCACTGGTACACTTACAATTGGGTACTCCTATCCCAATATGTATATGGCTGAAAGTTACAATAGCCCCGGAAGCCCGGTAAGACATACCACTCAATATATAATTGTGCAAGGCTAATGACAGAGCATAAGTACTGGGCATGTGTTGCATTTATCTGCCTAGCTGTGCCGCAAAGCCATCCCTTTTGGACGTCTGAGGAGATGCCCCTTCCAAAATCCCTGCCTGGAGTAAAGGCGATCAAACAGCCAAAGCATATCATCAGGTCTGTAATTTTAAGTTGTTTGGCCGTAAAGTGTGAAATTTGCTAATGAGTCTGACGATCTAGCTCTCTAGGAGGCCACCACTTTCTTCTATCATCTGGCCAGGCATGCGGATACCCAATGAAAGGTACACACGCAAAGTATGGCGCCTTCGCGTACAGTAGCGCCTTTGGATATTCCGTATCTCCAGGACATTATACGCTTGGGCAGTATGCTCTGGCATCTCAGCTCGGATTCTCTGACGACGGTGGCGAATTTTGGAAAGCCCGTCGATTGAGTCAGTATTCTGCTCTGGAAGAAAGGGACGGACTGCCTGTCCTTGTTTCAATTTGGAAGCCGTTCCCAGACGTTGAAGTCAAGACTATTCTGGTACCCCCGACGGAGGCGACACCAAACTGGCATCTCCGAATCCATCGTATCGAAGCTGGTCGAGATGTTATGACGGCAGATGGTTCTTTTGCGATTGCCAACACTCGGGCCCTTGACGGAAGGCACCTAGACTCTTATAATGCGAACATTTCGGAGGGTACATTCCCGCGATATCTCAACAACTACGACGCCCGTACGCAAGATGGCTATTCGGGGGGCGACCAAGGCGCATTTGTAGTATCAATAGGAGCAGTTGGGATTCGTGCTTTGGAACCAAATTCGCAACGGAGAGCCACGCTTGTAGAGGCCGATGCAAACTCGAACGTGATGGAAAGCAGAACAGTTATTCCAACCTTGGAGCTTAATATTCCGAAAGGTCAAACGGTGTCATTTATCTCGGCCGTTTATGCAAGACCAGCAGGTCGTAGCCTACTCAAAGAAGATTACCTACGTGGATGGGATAGTCCTCCTGAGATCCCAAAATGGGTTCTGACAGAGATGGTGACATGACAGCCATTCCCGCAGATCTAGATTAATCTATGTGGCGTTTGATACGAGAACATAGTTGAGATTCAGTAGCTGTGGATTTTATATATGAGAAATTAGTATATCAAGCTTGTCATTGTATATACAGTATGAATATCACGTTTCTGAACGAAGTCTAAGAAATCTCCTCGAGTACATTTGCCCAGGTGATGTTGGAGAACGGAGGGGCATCGACTTCGCACACTGTTCCTGGCTCCGGCAAAGTACCATTCACCCAGTAATTTGCAGTGGTTTGCAAACTGCATAATGAGGGGAGGACAAGGGAAGTATGCTAAAATGGACAAGTCAGCTCGGCTCATAGTTTCAGGCAGAGACACAGGAAGAGGAAGAGACATACACCATATCCATTAACTTCGAGAACGACACTACCCTCAAACCCAGCACTGACATTCTGTGCAGATTGTATTGGCGTATGTCCGTCGTAGGTATTGGCAATAAGAAGTACTGGATTCTTCGGGCTGACTTGGAAATCACCTTCGTAACGCTCTTTGGCATCTAGCTTCCACTGCGCACAAGCCATAGAAAGAGACATATCACCACGACCTGCTATTCTGCTTGTATTGGAAAGCTCATAGACCGCTGGAAGAAACTTGTCATATGTTCCTGCTCGAGCAGCCGGGGCTCGATCGGAGCAATGAATCCCCTCTAGAGACGGATATGACGAACCTATCGTAAGTAAAGTAGTGTTGTCAATGGGGAGAACAGTTCCCACGAATTCAAGGAAAGCGATTTCATCAATATTCCCAGTCATGAGCATGTCGAATATTAGGGTGGTGTTTTCCCAACTTGTGGTTGCGTAAAGACTGTTTACGGCGAGCAGGTACAGGGTGCTGCTATCCACCGTGAGATCGCCTACCGCGACGGGCCTCTGATAAAGAGTAGCGACGAGGTCATAGAAACTTTGCTCGAGGTCGGCGGCTGTTGCGTTGGGGTTGCTCTTTGCGAGTGAACATACATTCGGAGTTGCAACACAGCTATTGAACATTCCCGAAAATGACTGGTCTGCTAGCTCCCACTCTTCGAAATCGCTAAATTACAATATGTGTTAGTAGCTTCAACCGAGAATCGACCGAGGAATTTCAGTGAACTACTACGTACGCATATGAGTGATAATACTGATGTGGATTTTGCACTCCATCCAAGATCACCTTGTCAACCTTGTCCGGGAACATGGCAACTAGCGTGGCTCCCAAGGTAGTACCATATGAAAAACCTAGACTCGATTAGTAGGCTCTCCGCTGTCTCTCTAGAAAACATTCTTACCCCAGTATCTCAATAAACCATCTTCTCCGACAGATTCCGCAATACTCATCACGTCTCTTGCAGTAAAGGCAGTACCGATCAGAGTGCCTGTCACGTTGTGCTTCTGAGCACATGTATTTGCGTCAATCGTGCCTCGAGCCCAAAGTTGTCCCAAAGCCGCGGTATCATTTGCATCAGGCGCTGTCTGAGCATCTGCAAACTTTTCCAATTCGTATTCGCTGTCGTAGCAAGTGAATGGCATATTGCTGGTGGAAGTACCACTGCAATCAATCAAAACATGTCAGTATGTTCCACAAAATATTAATGGTATATTTCATACCGTGGATCAAACGAAATGAGATTATATACACCACCGGATAATCTAGACAATCAGTCATTGATATTCTCTCAAGTTTGCCGACAGTAGAAACTTACGCTTGTAACAGAGTTGCATAACCAGCCAACGTCGCTCGTCCTATCTCCCCTGGACCACCAAAGTTGAGCACGATACTTCCCTTTGCGGGCTGCACTATGGCAGGAACCCGCAAAAGATCTAGTGTATAAGTCTCATTTGAAGTCACTGTATAGTCAAGTGGGACAAGGAGTGTGCCGCAATCGACAGGCAATAAGCTGCCAAAATTATCAGTACAGGTGCCCCATTGAACAACTGTTGCAGCACATGTGGCAGCTAGTAAGCTGGAGAGCTGTATCAAAAGAGAGGCCCTAGAGAGGATCATTGTCAAAGAATCGTTTGATTGTTACCTGGATGCAGTGCTTTAGGTTTAGATACACGAATTCACTGTGTTGAACATTGGATTGAGGCGTGGAAATTGCCAAATATATATGTGTTCAATATGCAGGAACCCAATTTCATTTCCAAGCTCGACACATGGCCCATGGTCGCTAACGAGTGGCATCATAATACGTCTGTATATCCATTGACAATACGGCTTGTTGATGAGATACCTATCTATGGCAATGCGAGCGGTACGTGTGTATCGAACATGGCAAGGTTTTAGGGCTAGTGACAACCATGCGCTACATCAAACCTAATCGGGACATATGTAGCGCCCTGAATACCGATCTGCGCTCAGCTTTCAGCCACTGCAGCTAACCCCCTGTTGAAACGCCAATCAAGGTTGAAAATATATCTATGTGAAAGTATACGTCATGTAGTAATGTTGTTTCTTATATTTTGACTTGTATAAGTTAGTTCATTGAAGTCAAATTATATATGTTGTAGCAGCCTCTCCGAGAAGCTAAAAGTGCAGTGCAACACCTGGGCGCGCGCCCCGGCGATCCTACTCAATATCCTCGTCTTTTTAGTACTGTGGTAGTTCAGCCTCGTACATTAGCGCAGATACAGCTACCCGAGAAAGATCTTCCTTATACCAACACCAATTGCATCGATTTTCTAACAGCAGCCATTTTCCTCTATGATGTCAATGACAAGTTTTGCTAGTATAATCCCTTGCCAGTGCTCTACTGGTTCTCCTCCATTCCGCGGTTGTCCCTTAAGTCCACGTTGAATTTTTTTACACTTGTCCAAATGAATAGACTATTCAAGTGACAGAATTGAGCTACTACATCTTCTGAGGAGAGCTGCCCTGATTGCAAAAATGAATACCCACCGCCTTTTTATCAAGTTCAACTCGGAGCTAAGCCTGGAGCGACTGTGTACGGTTGGCCAGCGAAAGGTGGTTTATACGTTTTAGGAGCTTTGTAGCTCTGGAACTAGTTTCTCTTGGCCTGAGTCGCTTCGAGGATAAGGTCCAACCAAGATATGATGCTGGTAAAGGGGAGCTTTTATATAACTTTTCACATAGCTCTACTCTGAGCTCAGAGCTAAAGTGGGAGCAGAAGCAGAGAGATGAACAGAAGGTAAAGTATTGTGAAAAGAGTACTATTTACCCTTCTCTCATCTTAAATTATTCAAGACAAGTACAAATCTATATAGTGTATATCTTATAGTGCGTATGCTTGGAGCGAGATGGTACCAATCTGCAATCGCTCTAGGAGAAGAGACTTAGGAGCAGACAGTTTTGATACTGCAGCTAAAGAGTGGCGATATGCCATTCAAAGATAGGCTGGCTTTCCAGTAGTAAGAGTGTATGGGTGCGCAATACTACACGATCTCGAACCGCCGCACTTGGGGCTGGCAGGATCTGTAATGCAAGATATATGCAAAAAGGGCGTCGAATAATCGACATCATCGATGGAGTGCACTGTTATCATCCGAAAGAGCCGGCGATAGATCTTCCTGGGTCTGTATACCCTTTTCTTCGACGACCTACGACGTCCAGTGATCTGGCAAATTAATAAATGAAAAGGAAAAAAAGAAATTGCAGGTCTGTAATTGAGACTAATGAAAAGAAATAGTAGAAGCAGTATATTTGGTGAATTGGATCGGTTGGTGTTGTACAGGGGGTAGTCAAGGCACCGCTTTCTAGGGCAAGGAATGCATTATTTCCACATGTGGTAATAACAAACATTCCTTTCTTAGTCAGTGAACCAATCCCTTCTTGGACCCCCTTTCAAGGTTTGTTTATCTAAATTCCGTAGTAAAGTGATGGAATACTATCGATTATTCAAGCCCATTTGGTTAAGCTTGCATGAGTTTTCTCTCATTGCTCGCTCCGTCCATACTGCACATTGTGCGGCTACATGGGCATCACGAAGCTGATAATTTCTCCCCTCAACTATTAAGGCGATTTTTTAAGGTCTTTAAGAGTTTATTGTCGAATCAAATGACTCTAAAAGCTTCCGAAATCGAAGAATAGGGAGGGATCTCACTCCTTTTGATTCTACAACATCTATCAGAAGCGCCATACTTCCTCAATCCAAACATCTGCCACTCAGCAAAGAGACGGGACGAAGAGTAGGAAATTGAAGTAATATCGCGAACTGACGAATTTGGATGTGTGCAACGATGTGGTCGAACATACAAAGACCGGGTCAGGTCATATCAACCATTCTACTAGCAACGCAGGCCGTTCATGCTATTGACCTCAATCTCAATAATCCAGGTACGTAGAGACTAATTCCAACTTCTATGCAAACGCCGTGACTGACCAAATAGACTCCATAAAATCAGCTGCCAAAGCGGTAGCCACCGAAATGATGTCCTACTACACTGGTTACCGACCAGGCGATAACCCTGGCAACCTACCAGACCCATACTTCTGGTGGGAAGCAGGTGCAATGTTCGGCGCCCTGATCGACTACTGGGCATACACCGGCGACAGCACATGGAACAACATGACCACTCAGGCCCTGTTATGGCAAGCAAGCCCCGACGCAAACTTCATGCCCAAGAATCAAACAATGACCGAGGGAAACGACGATCAAGCATTTTGGGGCATGGCAGCCATGTCCGCTGCCGAACGAAACTTCCCTAATCCMCCTGCCGATCAACCACAATGGCTTGCGCTGGCGCAAGCAGTGTTCAATTCGCAAGCAGTAAGGTGGGATCCAACCACGTGCGGCGGTGGGCTTCGATGGCAGATATTCACCTGGAACAAAGGGTATGGCTACAAAAACACGATTTCGAATGGTGGCTTCTTCAATATTGCATCCAGATTGGCCAAGTACACCGGCAACAAGACGTATGCCGACTGGGCGGACAAGACATGGCAGTGGACTGCTGATGTCGGGTTCCTTACACCGGAGTATAGGTTCTGGGATGGTGCGGATGATACAACGGATTGCAAGAACTATAATCTGATTGAGTGGACGTACAACTCAGGAGTCTATCTGCTGGGTGCGGCCAATATGTATAATTTTGTAAGTTTCCAGGACTGTGTTTAGTCTGAAGCTGGTATCATCTAACTGACCTGTTCAGACCAACGGCAGTGACATCTGGCGCGACCGCACCCTCCAAATCCTCAACGCAACAAACGTGTTCTTCAGTACCGAGCCAGAAAACGTCATGTACGAACGTGCCTGCGAACCAGTAGGAACATGCCAAGTCGACCAAAAATCATTCAAAGCCTACTTCGCCCGTTGGATGGCAGCTACCACCCAAATGGCCCCTTTCACCTACGACACCATCATGCCTCGTTTACAAGCATCAGCTATCGCAGCAGCAAAGACGTGCACTGGAGGCCCCAACGGGACGAGTTGTGGGGTGAAATGGACCGATCAGAAATGGGACGGAAGTCGAGGTCTAGGGGAGCAGATGAGTGCGCTGGAAGTCTTGCAGAGTAATTTGATTCAGGAGGTTGCGCCACCAGTTACGGATGCGAATGGTGGGACGAGTATAGGCAATCCTGCTGCTGGTTCGGGGTCGAATGACGGTAGTGTAACACAAGGTAGATTGGGTGATATGAGAACTAGGGAGATTTCAACTGCGGATAGGGCTGGAGCTGGGGTATTGACGACGTTGTTTCTGGCTGGGCTTGTTGGGTGTACGAGTTGGTTGATTTATGAGAGGTAATGCCTCTCGGCTCCTTGTATTACTATATTATAGCAATAATAAAAATGCCATTACCCTACAGTGGTACTGGCCCTAATCTTGTGATTGGTGGACCCACGACTGTCAGTCAACTCCCTGCCAGAAAGGACATCCTTGCTCAGTGTCTTTTAACAATGAGGTCAGCTGGCGGGGTCAGTGTCTGGGAAGTCTGTCGGTCTACTTCATAGTTTTTTATATGAAAATTCGGCATCTGAACGGCATATTGTGTGCTTGCCAACAAAAAACTTGATTCATAGAAGCCCTCTCGTCCTCCAATTGAAAAGCAAGGTATTGTATAACACAGTGCTCAATATCGACAGTACAACACGCTGTCTCTCCGTACGTGGTACTGCATGGCCGTCAATCAGTTGACAACACAATTGTCGAATTAAATCGCAGGCAAAAATAAAATATTCTCAAAGAGGCTGTGTCATGCAAATAATCGGGGACTCTGTTCTTTGTGGCTTCCAGACAAATCTATCTTTGTTCCGGAACTGTCGGAATGGTTGTTTCAGGTCTCTTTCATGGTTTTAAGGCTGTAGCGGTCAAGATCGCGACCTGCACGACATATGCAGTCTTTTTGGCTAGTACGTAGTTCTTGAGACGATCGATCACCCATCGGCAGAGTAGACAGTGAGATTATTGTCAACCAGGCTGTCAACTCGCCTACCTGAAGGAAAAGCAAGGGCGAACAATATCAGAACCGGGTCTAGATTCTAACGTGTGCTGAGGAATCTTCAAGGATAGCTGGTCATAATTGACCAATCGGATCTGTCTGGTTGTCTATGGGCATCCATACATAGCATCATCGGATTCCTGCAGCGTGAAAGTCACGAGTCATGCAACGTACTGTACCACATCCCCAACGAACAGCGCAAATTTTTCCAGGCAGAAGTATAAATCCTTATCTGATTTGTCCTTTGCGCTATTCTTTAACCMCCCCGCCACACTAGGCAGCTCAATTCGTGGTTTTTAAGTAGATTTATGTGGCGATCGTGACGCTTCAGCCACAGTCCTATTTTTACCCCATTGCGGCTGTGACCGCTTGTTGGGCCAATCAGTGTGTGGCTGGCGGAAATCATCGAAAATTGTGATACGGTATTTGGTATCAGAATTACATACACGTCGTCATACGGTCTATCACGTATCCCCGGGATCGCAAAGGGGCGTAATTCCTGGCCAAGGAGCTATTTCGCGCGCTACTGTCGCGATTATGCTCTTGAAGAGAAGTAGGAAATTAGAACCCGATTATTGACTTCAGTGGCTTGTCGATCAAATACATTAGTTTAATTAGTTTTCGCACTCCGTATTCGCATTTCGTTTCGCGTCCAAGATGATGTAGGTGGGTTCTTCCGTAGAAATTTGACGCAAATATTGGAATTGTACTCCAAGAACATATAGTCTTTAGAAATTAAGTACGACGCAAATGAACCGTCAACTGAAGGGTCAATAAAAATCGTGTTCGTACCCGTATGAAACACGAGTACGAGTTATGTAATGTAAACAAATCCTGCCACCAGTAAGCATGTACTATGCAATCCGTTTGTGGAGTATTTTGGCCCTTCATTGGGCCATCTTAAGACTTTACTACGGAGTAAGCCTCGATTCCTCATCTTTTCAATCGCGCGTCTGCCGGTACTTGGGGCTGAGCATGTCCCCGCTCGTCGAGGAACATGCTTTTGTGTTACGTGAATAACCTGATTTCTAGTTCAATCCATGGAATGGGGTAGTTAGTGTATTAGCGGTACGAGGTACAGCTTTGATGATGTCGCACCGTATCCGTACTGAAGTGTAATATGCCGCTACTAAACAATGGGGGGCCGATCCTAGGCATCAGATCACGTCGGCACATAAAAGGAGGTGGTTCGCTCATGTTTAAAAAGATGATTTTAGTCTTGTTTCATCCCACATCACATTCTTCAGAACATCCTCTGCAATTGAGAGTCTAGAATTACCAACCATCCAGTTACCACCGCTGACCAAAAAAATAATACCAACACCATGCAGTACAGACTCATCCTTGCTTCAGCCCTACTCACCACGGCCTACGCCGTTCCTCACCCGGAAATCACACAAGCACCTGCCGTCCCTCAACGACGAGACTTGTGGGACCAAATCGGCAGCGACTTTGGCGCCGTGGGCACCGACATTGGAAATGCCTTCAGCGATCTTGGTGGACAATTAGGTTCCGATTTTGGCAGCATCGGGGGTTCAATCACTTCTGGCTGGGACTCCTTCACCCACTTAATCGCTACACATACTAGCGCGGCAGCATCAGACTACAGCAAATGGGCCAGCGACGCTTCCAGTCTTGCCAGCGATGCCCATGTACAAGCCACTTCGTGGGCTGCCGTAGCCGCAACTGAGACAAATAGTGCTTCTGCCTCAATCGCATCTCAATTTGCTTCAGATGCCTCAATTATTGCAGACAATGAGAGCAGTGCCGCTTCATCTTTGGCGTCGCTTGCTTCCAACACCGGCGCCGTTGTCACAGGTACTTCTACTGTGACGGGCGCCACTACCCTGACCAACTCCGCTGGTTCTGCTACTTCTACCAGCTCTTTCACTTCGACTCAGACCGGGACTACTACTACTGCTACCTCCACTTCGACTCACTCTGGGGCTACTGCTGCCTCTACTTCTACTTTCACTGGTGCCGCTGCTGCAGCCCCCACTGGGTTGGGTATGGGACTTGCTGGCATTGCCGGTCTTGTCGGTGTTGTTGCCGTTGCTTTGTAAAAAGGTTGGCAACTGTTTAGTTCATATAGGTCCGGTGTTTGATTGGCTCGTGGGGAGTTGATATGATTTATGATTTTCTTTTTGTTCATTCTTTTGTGTTCCGGCGCAATTTCCCATAAGTGTATTGGTTTGTTCAACAGTCAATGAAGATAATGAATCAAAATGGTGTATGATCAAAAACTACCACATGCTTCTGCAAAACTTGAAGAAACTTGAGGTATACTTGCCCATAAAGCCGGCGTACGTGATTTGTACCTGAAACCCCTTTCCCAAAAACCACAATACAAAGCACGCCGACTGATGAGTAGTAGTTTTGTTTCATGACACAAAGGTCTGCAGCCTATAAGAATCACCGCCAATTTCAAGGTATGGTGAGTACACGTGAATTCTACAAGTGCTGGAAATTCGCAATATGAAATAGCTTAGTTGAGACCCTGATTGAGAAAAATTGAAGTAGTACCTAATTCAACAGTAATGAAACAATTTCGCCTTATCCCTGAATTGCAGACGTACGAAAGTCTGCACTCAAAAGAGGACGAGTGTAACATGATTCATGATCCAACAAAGTGCAAGATGACAACTACACACACATGTTTCACATTAATATAGAGCCTTAACGTCGCAAGTCCCATTTCCGAGGAATCGGCAAAATCTTCCATCCTGTTCAACCTGAAATAGACATAAAAAAACCAATTCAGGTGATCGCTGTAACGCCTGGACCACCAGATCTTTAATATATTAAAGAAAATCATTCAAATAACCCAGCCCTATCCCTCCATGCTTTGCATTCATATGGTCGTAGCATGGTTCACTTGTCAAGAACACTTCCAAACAAACCCAGCAAATATGTGATCCACACCCTCTGCACGTCATATGGTTACAGCCCTCAGTCTTTTCCAGGGGTGTAGTACATTTAGGACAATCCTTGATACCAAGCTCTTTCTTTAACTTTTTCAGAGCTTCGTAACCCCCGGAAGCTTCGTCCTTGTACTCCGCACAGGTCTTGCCCTCGTGCGAAACGTGACAGGATGTGCATGTCACAGTCAGGCATTTTCTGCATGTATTACAATTGTTCGTGTTCGTAATCCGATAGATCATGCCGCAGTCCGGCTTTGGACAGTAGCGGAAATTCTGCGGGTGGCGTTGGATATGGGACGCGAAAGATGCTTCTAAAATATCTTCAAACGCTCTGGACGAAAGATTTTCTTGTAGCTCCTCAAGACTGAAGACTGCCTGACATTTTCCCTTAGCAACACAACTGATCGAGAAATCTTTTTCTGCTGAGCCGGCCGCAGCGCAGAGACCTTCAAAACAGTCAATGCAATAGATATGACCGCATTTTGTGGGCACAGGATTTTCGGCTGCAGTCCAGCATACAGCGCAATCCTTCTCTGAGGCAGTATCTTGAATGGTTGTTTCCATTTCCCGCTTGGTAATGGTTCTTAATGCGGCCTCATACTCTTTTCGTGATCCGGTAATGAGTATTCTCTTTGGATTGGAGACGATATCAAAAGTGGCATGATTCTCTCCAAGTGCACAAACGATGGTATGGAACCCGCCATTGCATGCCCATTGAAACTCCTCGGGCTTCAGATTTATGATATGGTTCGTAGAAGACTCGGCACTTATCATGTCCGCAATGGCAGACTCTGCATTACTGCACCTTCCTGGAGGGCCGTAAAGTCTGAGCTCTCCTTTCCTCCTGTTCCGGATGACAACGACACCGTGGTCTTTTTCAATTTTTTTCAGCTTTTGGAATGCCTCACCGTTGTAGCTCAAGGAATGAGTCCAGAGAGGTTCCCCGCGGCTCAGTGCTATAACGCCATCTAGTATCTTATCCATAGTTTCTTTTGCCGTAGCGACGTCCTTGGCTACTGAGCCTTCAATTTTGAGTACTCGATACTGGGATGCAGGACCAGCACACGGATATATCTTGAAATTAAGATGTTTCTCCGACCAATCCTGACTCGCCGCACGAATCTGAGGTTGAACAGCACTGAAGATGATAGTTGCGACTTTGAACTTTGCAATGTTAACAAGTTGAGTACTTAGTTTCATATTTTTTCCGAACGGTAGTGGAAAGTTGTCAAGTGATGTTGCAGCTTTCCTTGCATCATGTTCTTCGTAGAATCGGGCAACGGCCTTCGCCCTCTTGCCTTCTAATTCTGTATTGACTTGGTGCCATTCGATTGGACCAATTCGACTTAGCAAGGACATCACAGTTGCACTAGCCAGCTCGCCATCAACATTGTAAGTAGGTTGCCCTATCTCAATATTTCGAGGACGATCGTATGGTGAATATATGGCGGAACGGATATCGTGCTCTGTGGTGCCGGTCGATAAGTCTGTAAGCATGACTGTCCAGGAATATGGATTTCTTAACCCTCCTTCGCCCTTCATCGGTGGGTTGCAGTGCACTTTCTTGTCGAGAATTCTGTAAGACGCGGAATCAAACTTATTGAAAACTCTTCTTGCAATATCTTTGCTCCCGAAGTTCAGCCATGCTGTCTTGGAGGGCTTGTGCCAGGAACACTGGACTTTCTTGCACTCAACTCTACGATAGTTTGCTCCCGAAGGAAAGCTAGCTGTAATTTGAGATGCTTGTAGCTGCGATACTGTGGCATTGGAAGTGCATCCGACAGAAATTTTAGCGCACAATGTCCTCGCAGCCGTAGGATCGTCAAATTTGATATCCGCGGATATAGGAAGAGCTCCATTTTGCGGAGATATTCGTACGCAATCTAGCGAGACATCGATGTCTAGTTCGGACAGAAGGGCGACAACGGATTCCGGGGAGCTATCTACTGGTAGTCCTGTAATCCGAGCAGCAGAGAAGTCAGCAGGTAGAGAAATTTTGGACACTTGAGCCCCGAGTCCATATTGAACCAACGCGCCACCAATTTCTCGTTTGAAGTCATCTCGGAATCGGTTCTCCTAGGGCGTTTTAGAACTAATATAAAGCCTGATATGGCCTGAAAGAGGCATACTTCAGGATCCGAAGGAGTCTCCACCTTCTGCTCGCTCCTATCGATCTTGTCAAGATGGGAGTAAGGGCAAGTATTTCCGTTCCGACAATTACCCCGGGCATAGTGATAGCATGGAATTTGCGATCGTGAATCCGACGTTGCCTGCGCTAACTCGGGCTCCCTGCGTCTGAAAGCCAGCGGACTTTGAAACAACGATTGTGTGGATTGGAGGATATTGGTAGATGGTACATCTTGAGCAAACCTTTCTGCCGGAGCGAAGACCTGCTGTTCCCTCCATGACCCTCCCTGGAGAAAATGTGAAGCTACCCGTGTGCTAGCTTTTGACTTCGCATCGTCGTGAGGGGCTGGTGGGGGCACGCTGTCAGAATTCGAAACGGGTTCGTGAGAGTAACGGCAACTGTCTCCTCTCATACAGTAGCCAGCGACGAAGAATCTGCATTGGGCCATGGTGGATTTCGAAGTGGAGCTTAGTATATTACTAACACAAAGTAGGACGTAGTTTGTTAAGATGCCGAGCGGATTCAGGACGATCATACAACCTTAAAAAGAAACCACCCCGCTGCTAGTCCTGAAATGGACAGACGTCGTTTCGCTAAAAAGTAGCGACTTTGTACAACAACACAACATATCCTTCATGGCAAGTTCCTCCAATTGCAATGTGGCCATAGTCTCACTTCCGTTCAGCAATGAGTTCACTTCCGCCGCTGTCGTCTACGGTCTCTGGCTTCTTTTCTTGTCTGTTCTTGGTTAACTCCTCGGCATGCTCAATGGCTGACCGTGACCTTTCGTTTGAATAATACATTTCCACTTCTGAAGCTGACTTGGTTCCGCCCGTAGTGGGTTGACTAGCATCTACTCCAGATTCAAGGAGCAGTGGAATCATTTCGTGTCTACCCACAAGGATTGCAAACGTTAGAGGAGTATGTGATTCAACTCTGTATATATCGTCTATCGGAGCCCCTGCTTCAATAAGGGTTGATGCCATGTCGATATATCCGTGAATGATTGCAGCGTAGAGTGGGTAATGCTCTTCCATGACCGTCACTTTACTGACATCAAATCCTGCTCCTAATATCAGCACTGCTTCACAAAGTGGAGAGACTGTCAAGAACAATCTCCCTAGTTTCAGAAGAACCAAGTCATCTTTGAACACATCTCAGAGCATATTATAAGCTCAGTGAATGAAATGAAGACTGTTGCTCACATCGTAAATCATAATCCAACATTAAGAAAAAAACGAGCTAGCTCAACATCTCCAGTCGCAGTTGCCAAACTCGAAAGACAACGACGCTATTGTGATAAATTATATTGAGTTAGTCACTCGCTTCTTTCTTATGTCGAATATCCAGCCCACCTCGTCTGCTAACGCCCAATGCCCCAGTACCTCAATACCGTGGCCAGACACTAAGCCGCTAGCAGATGTTCTCCAGTCCTGGTTTCCACAAAGACCATACCCACAGATATTACAAGTCAAGAAGCATATTCGGATATTCCATGTCTATAATCTGGAGGAAGATTGGCGGGKTCAGCATATAGTGGACCGATAACCTTGCAGGGCATCTGATGTTCGAAGATAACACGATTTACTTGTTTTACCACGTGTCCCTGTTATACTGTATGAAAGATGTAAACAAGTACATTACTCCACTCCGTTTGTGGGCGCCTGACTGATTATGAAGCAGAAACCTGCTACCCGCGTCATTCTTCGAAGAAACACTTGATAGCCTGTCCCTCCTGATCCTATGTAGCAACCGATACTGCGCTCTTTGGTTCAAGAAACAACAGAAGAACCATATTCTCGATTCTGCGATATTAGACCTTAAACCGACTTCGCGGAATATATCACAATACTCATTTTGGTGGGAACGGCTTCAGATACTGGAGGAAGAGTTCACCGAGTCAGAGCCCAGAACTGTTTGCCAGTGGTGGTTTGTTAAGAGGAAGCGGGTTCAATGGTACACCTTCTGGGTCGCCATTTTGGTCTTGTTTCTCAGTATACCAACTCTTTAAATGAATGTTGGCAACTGCCCAAGCTCCCATCAGGCTGTCTCGGGGCTTCATATACAACACGTTATATAATGAGTGAATGATCTCTGGTTAATAGTACTACCAATCTCTCTACGTCGTATCTGTAAGTCTTACCCAACAACGGGCTCGCACCACATCTTAAACGATTTTTTTACCACTATGGCATGATTTGGAGACTTTATGGAAATCAATTCAGTAGAAAACCTTGATTCCTCGATTCGTATTACATTTCCAGCTTTTCTTTCTTATCAAATCGACCTCTGGAGCACATATGGATATTTTCAATCGGCTGATGGCTTCTCTTAGACGTCATGACTATAATCCACCCCACTGCAATCTTATCGTAAATTATTCTATTGTTTGGCAGTTTGCGGATTTATTGTGGGGCTCTATCATGGCTAACAGACAGACAAGCGTGTTCCCAGTTTGAGCGACTGTCTTCCGTTTGCGGAAGTGCGACTGGCCCACAGTGTGTTCATTTACATATGATATTGAACAATCAACCAATAGCAATAGAAATCTATAGAAAAAATGAGTCCAGACTGTCTCATGGTAGTATAAGAACGCGCTTGATAATAATGGTTCGTGCGGTTGATAGCTTATGTGGGTCGTCTGGAGAAAAATCGGGTTAGGGCTGAGTTACCGATTGGGAAATTTTTGAATCATGACGGGACGACTTCATGTGCAGGCAGTAGAGGCCGCTTGACGGTATTCTATCGTGATTTGTTGTCGCTTTTAACTAGAGTGCTCTTTGGTGTGTAGGCATAATTAGGACGACAACTATAAGTACGGTTCGCTTTGTTTATCAACACGTTTTTCGATTTCGTCGAATGAGTGTTTTGGTTCCCTGTTCACCAATACAGTCAGATAAGTACAATGCCAACATTGGTTGGTCTACACTCAAACAGTCTGGAGCCGGATTGCGCAGTATATGGAGCAGATCATGTACAAATGGCACCAAGCTCTTGGCGAATGAATGACCATTCTCCGCGCCTCGATTACATGACTCGGGCAGTTCTCTCTATGGCTCATTCTCCGGATCCAGAACGTAGATGTTGCACCAGTCTGGAGAATGACTTTGGATATGAATGTAATTGGATGTTAAGTGTATATACACTGGCCATTGTGGGAAGTGGTTCCTTATCCAGATGCAGAGTCATGACGTGTGGTTATTCGTATTTTATCAGATTGTTACATTCTCGTAAGTGGGATGAAAGCACATTTAAAGACACTTTATAAAGTCGTCCGCCCTGCTGCTTACATCCTTGATCTTGATTTCTTCTCTGTGATTTTGAATCCTTGCGCCACCAAATCGACTGACAGATTTACCCCTACAACCCAGCATCAAACCTACCCAGTCGAAGAACGATTAAGGATACCAATATCAAAATGGGAGTCCTCAGCTCAGCTAGCCGTCGCTCCACCCAGACGGATGGAGGTATATCCCGCCGCTCTACAGGCCGTCAGTCAGGCGCGCAATTACCCATGCTCAACATAGCCGACAATGGCCGCAATAATCTTGTCGCCGTAATCGGTGAATTTGTGGGCACCTTCTTGTTCCTCTTTTGGTCTTTCGCTGGCACTCAAATCTCAAACACGCCCATGCCCCCACCGGGATCGTATCCTAATACAAACAACTTGTTGTTTGCTTCGTTAGCGTTTGGATTCTCGTTGACGGTCAATGTTTGGGCTTTTTATCGTGTTACGGGTGGATTGTTCAATCCTTCGGTAAAGTCAATTCCAGTTTGTGGTTAGAGCCTGGCTAATCCCAATGATAGGTTACATTGGCTCTCTTCCTTGTCGGCGGTCTCCCAGCAGTGCGCAGTGTCTTGATTGTGATTGCTCAAATTTTGGGTGGTCTCTGTGCTGCCGCTGTGGTATCCGCTTTATTCCCCGGCCCTTTGAATGTCGCAACCACTTTAGGGGGTGGTACGAATACTGCCCAGGGTCTTTTCATTGAGATGTTTCTCACTGCTCAGTTGGTTTTTGTCATCATTATGCTTGCTGTTGTGAAGCACAAGTCCACCTTCTTAGCTCCTATTGGAATTGGTTTGACTTTCTTCTTGACTGAGCTTTGCGGTATGTCCCCTTTCATCCCGACTTCATTCTGGTATAACATGACTCTAACTTTTTTTAAGGCATCTACTTCACCGGTGGCTCCCTAAATTTTGCCCGCTCTCTCGGCCCTGCTATCGTGAACAGAAGCTTCCCTCACTACTTCTGGATCTACTTCCTTGGTCCCCTGCTCGGATCTGCTCTCGCATCTGGTTTCTACTACCTTCTGAACAAGATGCGTTACGAGACTTGCAACCCCGGTCAAGATGCTGATAGTATCGAGGCTGGACCCACAAAGGAGGCCAACTTATCTTCTTCCTTTGACACCGGTGTCCCCGATACTTATGACGGTGGCGTTGGCGGTAACGGTGTCACCGGAAACGTCAACGGAACAGGCCGCGCCATCAACGGACATCAGAGGAATATTTCCGAAGCTACTGCTGTCAGCCCTGGAGGATATGCCGACACAACTGATGGATCTCATAAGAACGATGCCGCTTTCTCCCCCACAGGTCATGGCGAATATCAGTCCGCCACCAATACAGCTGCGGGCCAATATGGAAATACACCCGTGAATCAGACTCCAGGTACATTCAACAATCAGACAACAGGGAACCCGCGCAATTCGTTGAATCCGGTCCATGAGAGAGGTGAAAGTGGACATATCAACCAGTTCTAAAGTAGGGATGAGTGGTTGAGCGAGAACGATTGGCGGTATTGATCAACATCTGATATGTATCAGATTTGCTAAAAGTCTGAGGCGTGTGCGATTATAAGGCGTTTCGGAGGTGGTGCAGAAATGACAGGCTTCCAAGGTTATAAAAGATGTTCCTACTTTGATGATACCTTAACACACAAAAGATAATTACTACAATACACATAAGAGTTGCTTAACAAATACGGCCCTTCTAAAGTGTAATCAGAACTCATTCAAATAGACTTATACCATCTATCGACTGGGAGACTTGAAGTAATAGGTAGTTAGTCTCTATAAATCGAATGTTACAGATAGTCATGTTACCATGTATAAAATGCATAAGGTATTGTTAAATCATGTAGAACATGGAGATGAAAAAGTGGCGTTACATATTTAACAAAAGTCGAACTTCGTAATCAAATCGATTCGGGGTAGAACCCTGAATTTGTCATTCTTGGAACTTTAGTACACGAAGCTCTTCAGTTCCGCGTTACTACCCACCAGCTACTTCACCTTTTCATCAAAACATAAATCTCCAGAGAGCACATCATACAAAGCCTCAAAATGCTGTGGTCGAAACGACTCATCAATAGATGTCTAGCGGCTATCATCCTCGATTCGCGCACGCGCTTCAGCAATAAGTAGCATTTGAATAATTTCTCGCGTCGAATCTCTAAAACCCACTGGCATCATGGCATATTCCAAGGCTGTATGCCCATCTAAGTCGCGGGCAGTGATGTCGAACGGCTTACCGCTCTCAAGAATTGCGCGGACTGTTCCAGCTTGCCCCTTTATAACGGCAACGTGAAGTGCTCGGAGGCCGAAAGTGTCTTCGTGGTTGATATCAGCACCGGCTTGAATTAAAGCATTCACTGATGTGGATGGCAACATGAATTCACAGGCGAGTTGCAGTGCTGATTGGTTAGTCGTGGGATGTAGGGCGTTGGGGTCAGCACCATGCTCGAGCAGTGACAGGACATTGTGTTCATTTTCGGTCTCGATCGCCCTTATCAGTGGTGTCCTGCCCCGATGGACTTCATTGACTTGACTGCCAAGACCTGCTTTGAGAAGATATTCGAGAATTTCCACATCCTCATTCTCAGCCGCGAGATACAGAAGACTTACTCCCTCTGACCGGAGAGTGTCAAGCATAGCTCCTGCATCTATAGCGCACTGTAGGGCTTGCATGTTGCAAGATGAGCAAATCTTTCCGAGCACACCTCTCTGGTTCACGTAAGCTCCATTCTTAATGAGGAGACAGACATGTGGGCTCATGCCGGATTCAGTTGCTAAAGCCAAGGGAGTTGTGTTAGGATCATCAACATCAGACAAACTAGGATCTGCACCATAGGAAAGTAGAAGTTCTATCATCTCATATGCTCCCGAGCTATTTTCTCCAAGGGGTAGTGGCCGTCGTGCAGAATTAGTATATTCCACTGCTCTTCTAGGCAATCTGTACAAGATCACCGCAAAATTAAGAAGCCTTTTGCCGTGAATATTGTATGAATTTGGATCGATGCCATGATCTAGAAAGCTGCGGGCAATATTCAAGCGACCATAGGACACTGCTTTAATGAGTAAGCTCCGACGTTTCCAAAATATATTCGTTCGTTCCATATTGATAAGAGTCAAGAAGCCATGGCCACGGTTGGCTCTGAACTTTTCGTAATCCTCAGGTGTTGGACCGGCTACTCGTAAAGCCTCTTTGTGACAGGTATCCTGGAGAATAGCCCAGTTTCGAGGGGAAGTCGCTGCAAAATTACACAGGTCTAGAGTCTCCAAGTAGTCTGCCACCATGTATATCAGATCGCAAGGAAGGGCAGCAAGTGTGGGATCCATTGGGCGGCATGATCGAAGAAAAATAGCTGTCTGCTCCTTCAACGCTGCACGAGAGTACGATTTGAGTGAATCACTCGACATAATTGCGTACTTAATAGTGATGGATTCAGCTGGAAGCCTTTAAGAAAAGAAGTCGCAGTATGGTTGAGGATGAAATTGCTAATAACAATGACAGCAGACAAGGAACGAGCATGAAATATGAATGATGCACCTGGGGAAGGTAGATTTTCATTTATAGGCTACATGGTCCTAGATGGCTTGATAGTTAGTCGGTAAGGCGAAACGAAACAATTAGAAGAATGCAATATTATTAAGTAGTTAAAGCAATATCGACAGCCAATTCTTGGAAATGAAGGAAGAGGAAAGAGGAGAATGGAGGACCACGTCTAATAGGGCTATACGGAGGAGTTTATCTGTTTATTACAGGATTTGATTACACTTGAAGCCACTTGAGACTGCTTACTATTTGTTGTTATTCATTCGCTCGACTCAGTATTCTTCTTGTCTTTCTCCTCAGGATATACAGGAGACCTCCGCCCATACGAAACCAATTTCCTAAGAAGAGTTCTAAATTATAAGCTTATTGAAACACGTTAAAGAACATGGATAGGATGACAAATTTTTCTTCTCATTATACTCTTAATTTTCTTTATTATAATGCGAGGTAAGACAGATCTTTGATTCTTTGATTGATTGATGTAGAATTGAAAGCCATATCAGCATAGGCCGAAAATAAAGAGTTGAATCATGGGGTATTATATTTATCAAACATTGACTCCAGCAATTGACTCTAAGTCTTTGCTGATCATCACGAATACTACGATTTACATCAATATCAACGCTATGTAATCTCTGGCTGTGATGGCGTGCCTGGTATGTTGCTAGCGGACTGATGTCAATAGCCATTTCGTGTATGTAGCCTTCAGCTTTTGACAGCCAACAAAAGTATATTCACTGAAGCTAAAGGACATAGAATTAATTTACATAGAAAGTTCAAGCCTCTCCAGCCAACATCTTCACAAACTGCTTGCCCAAATCATCTGCGGCCAGCGGATTTCCACCTGTGACAACCTCTCGGTCCACGGTAATATATCCCAGCTTCTCCCTTGCACCTTCAACCATATTGGCTCCGGAATCTCTCAAGGTGGCTTCCACTTTCTTGATCTCTCCACCCAGAATAGTCTCCATAACGTTTTCTTCCGCATCACTCCAACTTGTGAGTTTGTAGCCCTTATAAGCGAATTCTCCTTCGCCGTTGGGTGTGGCCACCAACTTTGTGCTCAGGAACGCGTATGGCCCATGGCATATTGCTGCAGTAGGCTTCTTCTGTTTATGGAAATGATTCAAAATTCGTCCTAGCTCTGGATCATCGCCCAAATCTTGCAACGGTGCGTGTCCACCAGGAATAAAAACTCCAGCGAAAGAGTTCAATTCTTCATCGCTGATGGTCCTAAAGGGACGAGGGGAGTCAAATCCATTCTCACGTTTCATGCGTTCAATAAGTGCATTCTCGCGTCGACGCTCGTAGAAATTCCCCGCAAACGCTAGGAGGCTTTCACTGTTGGGGTCGGGGACTGGCTTTTGGCCTTTGGGAGAAGCAAATGTGACTTCGTAGCCGGACTCGAGAAGCTGAGTGAGTGGTTTTGCGAGTTCCATCAGAAAGAAACCGGAGGGTTGTTGGACTTCTTGGCTTTCTGTGCTGTTCCCGGCGGGCTTTTCAATGGGAAAGGAGTGGGCATCGCTGAGGATGATAAGGACTTTCTTCGGTGCCATTTTTTCAGTGAATGATCGACTTAATATAATACAAATCTATAATTGGATGTGAGGAGATTCAACTTTTTAGTTGAAGTCGTTCAGATATCAAGATGAGTAGTTATATTGCAGTTGGTGCCAGTGACGTCGCCATGACACAAAAATAACACATGATCGAGCCAACCCTGAACATGCATTTCTTCAGTCATCTATTTAGTTTATATTTGGGGTCTTGACAAAGAATATCAATATAAGTATTAGAGATGATGGCGTATGAAAGTAGGTTGCGAATGTTGACATCATGTCGAGTTCAAATATTGTTAAGTCCCCACGAAAATTTACACTCATCGAACTACCAAAAACAATAGACACTATTAACAGGTTAGGTTCAACAGCGCTGGGGCTATTTAAAGAATTCAACGTCAATTTAAGATTCTATCAGGTGTAGTAAACATTACGATACTCTTCTGGTATTTGAGCACTAGTGTAATATAAAACTACAATGTTTGCCTCTGCATGTGTCTCGAGACCCTTTCGAAAATTCAATTGATAAGTACTGACAATACCTAGATACTGATGGAATATTATTGAATTGACAGGATACACATATTGAGCACCTTTGGGTATAAATATCGAGCATAAGTAATATTATGAGTCTTGAAAAATGTCGAGTATATGGTCATATCCGACGAGAAGTTGATTAGTCGCAAGTCGTCATCATCAACGTCCCCGAAGATATGCAAACCCGGTATACAGACAAGGCAATTTATTCAGCTTTGAGTTCACTCTCCTTGACCTCCTCCTTGACCTCTGTGGTGTGCAAATCCTCATTAGCCGCTCTGTCCACCAACCCCAATTCCAGGTGAATCTGGTCCATTCTTTCCTTATCCGACGCTGCCACACCTTGACTACCGAAGATGACATCCATCTCCTCGAGTGTGAGCTGTTTGGTTTCCGGCACGAAGATCCATACAAACACGGCACCCAAGAGCGTCAGCAACCCGAAGAAGAGGAATGTACCATATCTCATATGTGTGATCATATCCGGTGTCACTTGACCGACAATGAAGTTATTCATCCAGTTGGAACTGGCGCCAAGGGCGATTCCGTAAGGGCGAGCACTTAGTGGCCAGACCTCGGCGACAATGATCCATGCACATGGACCCCAAGACCAACCGAAATTTGCGGCGAAGAGCCAGACCATGACAATGGCAGCCCAACCAGCGGCGTGGTGTGTTGGCCATTGGTCTTGATTCTTTGCGAAGATGATGGCGATGATGAGATGGTTAACGCCCATTGCAACAGCGCCGGCAATGAGGACAGGTTTGCGACCGATTCGGTCGACGTAAACCATCATCGGGATAGTGGTTAAGAACATGACTACTTCCGTTAGCTTGTTGCAATATTCGAAGGAGAGAGTCATGAGACATACCGATACCGACAACACCAGTGGCCAGCAAGGAAGTCGTGTTGTTAGACAGTCCCAACGCACCAAAGATACTTGGTGCGTAGTACAACACAGCGTTAATACCAGTCCATTGCTGGAAGAACATAGTAACCGTGGCGACGATGACACGACGGAACATAGGCATGGTCTTGAACAAAGAGCCGATAGCGACAAACTGGAGCTTGAAGGTATTCCACGCAGTCAGTTCCTGCAAATGAGGGAACTTTTCTGCGGTAGAACGCTTCTCAAACATTGACTGAGCCTTGATCTCTAGGAATTCGAGCTCGATAACTTCATCCATGGCGGCTGATTCGCCGCTTCCGCCGTGAAGCATGGCAATAACACGACGAGCTTCCTCTTCACGGCCGTGATGCACAAGCCATCGAGGAGAGAAGGGCATGAAAATCATACCAGCGAAGAGAACAACGGCAGGAACAAGCTGCAGGCAAAGAGGGACTAGCCAGGCTGCATCGCTTTGTCCTTGACCTGTACCACCAATATAGTTTGTGCCGTAGTCGATCCAGAAAGAAATTAAGATTCCGAATTCGATGGAAAATTGCTGAAGACTGACTAGTAAACCACGGATTTCGGGAGGAGCACATTCGGCGTTGTCTACATCAGCGTTAGTTGGAGCATAAGAAATGAGGTCTGTATCTCTTACACATAGGCACAATCATGCTACAAAAGTCGAGTCAGCTTTAGTCTCATCAATGTATTCTGACAGGCAGCCCAAGGAAAGTACTTACGACAACGAACCAACACCCATACCAGTAATGAATCGACCAGCCAGAATCGAATTGGGACCCGACGATGTCACGGCTGTGCATTGAATAACAACACCCAGAATGAAAATAGCAGTATTGATCAAAATCGCATATTTACGACTAAGCACCTCGGCCAGAAAACCTGAATAGAGAGTTCCGAACCAAGCACCCAATTCCAAGATCGAGGTCAGCCAACCCTTCTTCGTGGAATTCGTTGTGTAATCGCCCATATGTTCACCGAATGCCGTCATGGTCAAGACACCTATCACAAATCAGCGAGGAGAATACTATATACATGGTATCATAGAGCCTACCGCTAAAAACACCTTGATTGTAACCATACAACAATCCACCTAGACAGGCAAACATGGCGATTCCGACGACACGCAAGTTGTGGAACGCAGCCATTGGCCCAGACGAGCCGGCCAGCGCCATACGTCGCTTGAGAGCGACATCGTCGGTCTGTGAAGCAATAGCAAGCGGCATGATGGCAATTAACCTTTTATTGGACTGTTAGCATTAAGCTTTGGTGGCTCAAGACAAGAAAAGAAAATTAATGGGAAAGTAGGGAGTATAAAAGCTTACACAAAACTCAATAGCCTTGGACCCTTTCTACTTTTTGTTCGAGAATATTTCACGCATCAGATGACTCACAGGACCTGGGAGTCTATTTATCCTATACAGCATTAGTATTATGAGTTTTGTCATACAAAACAATTTTCCCGGCCAGACCTTGACTTATCCGGGGAATATTTTACATTGGGGGCTTGAACCCAGCCATTCAGGAGCTGCCATGACCTCGTATATGAAACGGCGAAACCACTAAACAGCTCACCTGCAGCTCGTGTCTGTGCATCTCCAGCATTCAAACACGCGTGAAGACCAAAAGAAGCAAGATCGTCGCATCAATTGCTATGGAGAGTATGGCTGACGGAGCCCATTTAGCCTGAATACAGACCCAGCTACCACGTTCGATTTCTTCCGGAGGCATGCTAGGGCATCGATTGGTTCATGTGGGTTTCCCCGCGCTTTTTGGTCTGCAGTTTCTGTTCTGGATCTAGTTTATCCCTTTTCATTCGCAGAGGTAACATGACCACTAGATTGTCTGGACTTGATTCGTCCCCGTGGGGAAAATTAAAGTGAGCTAGTGAGATATTTTCTTGTCGGTTAAATAGCAGGGTCATCAGCCGTTCCCGACGCGCTCAAACCCGCATTGCAATACTCTGTGCGGTAGATGTGGAGATCGTACGTTTGTTTTTTTGTTAAGGCCAATAAGTGTAATAGCCTATAATACCCACGGTTACCAGAAAAGATCAACTACCGGGCTAGGAAAGTATGAAGTATCAATGTCTACCGGCTAGATCGGATCATTCCTAGTCAGTCAACAAAAGCGGCTAAAAACCTCGTGGTCATACATGCTTTGACCCCTATCGAAGGAGAAATGACATAAAGTAGGCTTACCAGGTGCATTTCTAAATCAAGATTATTGCTTGTCCTTAAAACACTAGGGTCGGCAAAAATCCGAATAGTGAAGCTGAGATCAGTCTTCTGTATATTTACAGCGAGCTATTTCTCTAGAGACTTTCTTGGGAGTAGAAACTAGGCATATACCATGTGATCATATTTTAGGGTTAAGACGAGTTATCGATGAGTTGTGCGAGGATAGTCGTCTATTAAAGATTGACTTCAGCAATGCTTTAGCACCCTGTACACGATTGGCACCATTTCTCGTCATATCGCCCAAATATGCCCAGATAGTAACATTTCACTCTACTTGAACAAATCTCAATCTGCAAAACCAAATAAAATGCGCCGATTGAGAGACGCAGCAGCCAGACAAGATCGTAAGGCGGTAACCGGCGTATATGTTGGAACGTCGTGTCGAGCTTGGGTTCACCGGTAATAATTTCTAATCATCAAAAATCATCGACAGCGTTACTTACGCTAGCTGGGATGATGACATTATTAGTGCTCCTTCGAGGTTTCTTCCATCAGGCACTCAATGCAATCGCTCAACTCCCAGATAAATCACTCATGTCTTCCTAGGTTAGGACAAGTTTCCAAGAACGCTTGACTCTAGCTTCATGAACCATTTAAATCAAATGAAGGATTTGAGCTAGGTCAATTGATGTTTTGGTACTGTAATTTGGGTATCCTTGTTTTTTTATGCACAAGTCCCAAACAATCCCAAGGTTTCGTCGTCGAGCGAACAATCCTTGTATGTAGTCGGGTTGCTGTATTTATAAGTATTATGGTTCACTATATTATTCTGCAGTTCTAGCTTAAATTTGCATCAGAGTCCAATAAAGTAATTGCATGAGATTTATTAAAGTTCCTCTTTGCATTAGCGTACTATTCATCAAGAAGTGGCAGATTTTACATATAATCATCTCACAACTGCCTAAATTCGATTGACTTGGGCTTCAAATGTTACGAAACTTGCCAAAATACACGCATCAATCTAAGTATTGGCAATTTTGTTACCCCTTTCACAGGCAAACCTGCACCCTCCTAATTTTTTTTTCAATCTTTCCGATTCTTCTTCGCTTTTTACCCATACCATTCGCATCAGTCTCTCCCGATGGAGGACATTCGGCACTTTCATTGGGACGGGCCCTGGTCATCGGACGATTTTCAGGTCGGTGAAAAGAAAACTTGATCAGAAACTTCGCCATCTAAGATCGAAACCGCGGTGGGAAATACCAATAATGAAGTTGCGTTATTTAAACTATTGCCTTTATCTTTTACAATTTTTTTTAAGTATTTTATCAATTCTATTTTCCGACGATTCCTACACAAAAAACTTACATCCCAATGGCCATGGGAATATACCTCTACCGTACCATTTATACCCCAGAATCTGACCAGCACTGGGATGCTCTTCTCGAAGCTATTATCAAGAGCCGCTGCTGAGGCTTAGACTTGGATCGCCTTTGCGATGGCCCATCCAGAATCTTCAAGGATGGATACCGCCCACTAGGGTTCAATGATCCAACTTAATCCAAGAGCGCAACTTTGGACGATATCCGTCAGCATTTTAGAGTATTTTGGGACCGTGAAACTAATGGTAATTAGGAAGTTCGATTTCGGTGGTGTTTGGTTATTGATGAAGGTGCTATATAATCTATCATTTAAAATCCTACTTGGTCTATGGTAGTTGACTTGATTTATTGAGGAGGTAGTAAATATGATACGCAATACTACCTAGTTTATTCTGCTTATATCTGAGTGAGCTCCAGAGTCTTAATCGTATCGGACACGCTCTTGGGCTAGATGATGTCTGTGGAATAATGAAAGAGCCAGATAACATTTCCTGGTTGGATTCTGATATATATTAATATTAACATGGCGAATAAGAAATATTCTACTGTAAGAGCAGATCAATTGAATATTCATGGCTGGCTACTTGGCTCCTGAAATGTATTTCAAATGCCATCAACGATGACTAAATCTGTGTAGGTTTCTGCCTATATGAGGTTGATGAGATCATGCTTTATGTTCTTTATCATTAACTTTTGGTGTCCTTGGATGGTGATAAGTCTTATGTCCTTTAGCTTGGTGGTTTTCTATGGTAGCTGCAGATTCTTGAGGATCGCTAATCCTTGGTGGTCTAGTTGATGCTGTGTTGTATGATTTATGCTAGTTGGTCTGCTAGCTGTTGATTCTAATAGTTAGTAATCTTTGGTTGGCTTCTAGTTGTGTAGTCGTATGCGTCCTAGGCTGTTTGTAGTTCTTGTTGGATGAGGGTACTGGTTGTTGCTATATACTCGGATAATTTAAAAAGCTGTAAACTGTGATTATTTAAGAGATATCTTAGTTTCGTGCTGTAGCTCTATGTTATAATGAAACCTTACTCTTTTTAAAATAGTACCGGCTACGTTAGGAGAAGTGCTTTTGTAAGCTGACTTCTACTTTTAAGGGGCTCTTTGATTTTTCAATACCCAAATTGTATTGTTCATTAGTCTAAAGTTGAATTATAATTGCGTGTTTGAGAAACTTATTAATGCCTTGATTCTATTCAGTCTTTTGTCTAGTATATGAAACTGGTTTGTATTGCTCCTGCCTAGCGCTTCTATAATCCATAGCACGGGACATCCGAGTTGTCTTTTCTGACAATGGCTGTTGTCTTCAAGACATATTAGTTGGAAATTGAGGAAGATGTTGCAGCTGCTTTCAGTGACCAGCCCGGCGAAATAGTGAGACATACTCCGCAGCTCAATTATATGGATGCTATTGACTTCGTTATAGACGTCAATTATGAGATGTCTCTATAAAATAAGTATTCTTCCTGACTTCTGCCAGTATACAGAAGCACGTGGCTATTCAGGGTCCCGGTCTGGTCGCGATCTTTTGGTTTTGAAGCTCAAACAAGCATAAAGCGGGGTATCTGTTACGCGGCGAAAAACTCTGCTGGAAAACAAAGTTGGAGTTCAGCTAGCCTCTTAGTCGTGCATGAGACTCCGAGTAAGCTTTCGGAACAAATACTTTACAATGAGGCTGGCTGACGGAGCGGGCTTAGATTGGAATATTTCACGATGATTGGTTCCCATTCGTCTATATCCTATGTTGCAGACTGGCGCAGCTACCCAATATCGGCCATACCTATTGCCATTAGATGGCGCCGCGTATATAATCTGCCCACGCATCCCAAGGAAGATACAATGAATTTCTGCAACTATTAAAATCTTCAAAATTGGATTAATCTACTTGTTGATATTCTGGAATACACTACTTCATAACAAAGCTATGCCGACACCCTGGGACAAGAACCTCCCGAACGCATGCTCAGAGCCTCAAGTCATGAAACCGGAAGATCTTCTTTTTTGGGTAAAAATTGATGAGGAGCAACGTGCCATCGATAAGGATTACATTACTATCATTGACCTCCGTGGCGCTGATAATAAGGGAGGAATCATCCCTTATGCGCTAAACATCCCTGCGGAGAACTTTTTCCAATGCATGATTCCGGTCTTCAAAATGATTGCGGCCGCCAATATCACTCAAGTTTGCTTCTGTGACGGTTAGTTTTTGATATTTCAAACTAGGTGTGTTTCAAATTGACGCCTATATACACAGCATCATCAGACGGCAGGGCGAAACGTATGGGGGGACTGTTCCAAGATTTCGGCGGCAGAATGAAAGATGTGGGTTACCAAATGGGAGATATAACTACTTATGAGCTCGAAGGAGGAATGGAAGCATGGGTCGCGGCTGGGGAGGAATATACAGAGTGGTTGAATGATTACGATCCAGCTGCGTGGAAAAAGTAGATATAGACAAATTTTAATTCATGCCCTAAGGCTCTCTACCTATCAAAAGTCTTCAAATGAGAACCTTCTTCTGTATTATTGGGAAATCATCACATAGCACTTCTAGCATGATTTGCGAAATCATTCACTTATTCTCCAGCGCAGTTTGGCGAAGCTCTCGCAGTTCCAAAATACCTCAAGGGGTTGATCGAATATAAAGCCCGCCTCTTGCTGGCGGTCAGAATTAAATGGGAAACTCTCACTAAAGAAGAGATCAGGAATCATCGCCATATATCCTATCAGCGAAAATTGGAATTGGGCGTTGAGGAATTGGTGGSGGGACGAGCCTATGGAATATCTTTGATCAACTAACCAGACATACGAGATGTTCTAGTATGGTATGACATAGCTAGCGAGGATGATTATGATAGATGCTGTGGGATATATAGGATGTTCCACGTCCAACAAAATACTTGTCAGTCCCGTGAAATCAACGGTCAAGGCCCGAGAATTTCTACCAGTATCCCATATTAAGCTAACCAGTTCCCACAATGGAAAGATGGTTACCATGGATTTTAATTCAACATGGACAAGGCACCTTAGGTCCTCCATGTTTGGAACCTCTTCAGCAAAAGCACTGTAAGATTTCCACTAGAAAGGATCATTATCGGTATCAGCAGATGAATTTACATAAGTCTTATGAAGTCAGATGATCAAGGCGTTGAGGAACTGTCTAAGAGGATATTAAATCTCGCGAAGCATGTAAGACTCGAGTATAGGATTATACCTTCGTGATAGCTAGTAAATACCTAAAGCCAATAGCAAAAATTAACATATTTCCACGCTTGGAAAAGAACCGAACGCGTACGCAAACACAGTAACCCAAACAAACTCTTTCTAAATATCCAGTCTATCCAAATAAGCCATAACAAATGAAAAAATTTTCGAGATATCCGAATGTATAGAACCCAGAGCCCCGGAAGGATCAAAACCGAACGAGGGGAGATCACTGGGGGAGTAAGGATAAAACCGAACGCCAAGCTTTAACGAGTCTATCAATTAGCAAGATTACATCCCAAGTATTTGGGGGTCGTAAATTATTTTTTGGGTCGTCTCTTCGTCAATTTTCAAATGTCAAGACTATTTTGAGCATGTAGTAGGATTTTGAGAGCTGACTGGGATGGGTTGTTCCCCAAGAGCGCAGAGTCGGAAAATGTGGCGCGGTTTTGCGCCGGTTTCTTCGTCGAGATAGTCGACAATAGCGGAGTCTGGTTTACTTGTTAGAAGAACGTTGCGTGTGGATCGAAGGAGAAAAAAAAGACTTACGTATTGTTGACCGGTTGTCAAACATGACTATGGTACGAGGCTGCCATCGCACACGGGCCTGGAAGTCATGACCGGTGATGAGATGTTGCATGAGAAACTCTTGCAAAACTCTAAATTCGGGCTCCTTCAGTCCCTGGATCTTGGTGATGAACTCTCCATTGATAAAGAGACATTTCTCGCCAGTCACGGGGTGCACGCGGACAAGTGGGTGGATGCTTTCCACGGGATCCTTGCGCACTAAGCTTCCAGTTAACTTAGCGTGGGCAATCATTTTAGCAGAAGTGTGGACTGCTTTTAGATTGTCGATAAAGGATTGAAAAGTGGGGGATAGTCTCCTGCAGAGATGCTGGTTAGCTTCGATCTCCCAAAGTCTAAACGTGGACTTCGGCAGCCTCCGAAGAAACTTACTTGTATGCAGCGTCTGTTGCGGCAAAGACGGTGTCTCCACCGACATCGGGACCCTGGAGCAACCCAAGCATGACATAGGCGGGAGGCTGAATCTCGTAGCTGACATCTTGATGCCATAACGTTGTGGTTGTACGTTGCTCCAAGAAGCGGTTGATCTCATCCATATTACCGTCTCGGTGAATGATATGGAAACCTGGGTATCCCTTCATGGACCCGGAAATGGGTTGATAGTTCGGCTTGCCGAAATGTCGCATGAACGCATATTGCTCCTCGGGGCCAGCATCGATAAGATCCTGCTCGGGAAAAGCGACAACCTTGCGCTCGGCGATAAGCAATGCAAGCTCATCTTTGGCGGCATCGGAAAGCTTATTCAATTGCACACCCTCGACAATACTGCCAATGCATGGTTGGATGTGCGACACTTTGGCAGCAGACGACAACAAATTCGGCTTAGACTTGTCCTTGACCCGGAGAGCGGGGTCTTGGTAGTCGAACGAGGGCAGCGGGTCAAACCAGACCTTGTCCCAGGTGGGCAGGTAATGAGAATATTTGACATTCTTTTTTGTCTCCTCGGAAACACTGACGTAAGGAATATTGATATCGTAGCTTATCGGCTTTTCAGCCTTGGTGAGCGTGACTGTTTGAGACATTGGTGGAAGAAATGCGATTGGCCGTGATGGATGTGGTCGAGCCCAGAGGGGAGGCACGGTAGTGAGGGATTTCTCTTTTGGAAAGAAAAAATAAATAAAAGAGCAGGCGAGTTTACCGCGCAAAAAATAAAATTTTTCGAGGAACAGAAATTGGAGCGAGTCTTGTGACGTCCCCATGGGACTATAAATCCCCTTGATGCCACTTCACTTCCCAAAAATTGTGAAACGAACAAGTAAACGTACAATCTGTCAGTATCCATCATACATCCCCACTATCAGCATAAGACGATACTAGGCTTGCATTGAGTTGGATCATTATGCCGAAAATGATGCAGCTTGTGCCCGCTTTCAAAGAGGAAAGGCCGGTTTGAATTGAGCCAGATGAAAATTCCGTCCCTGAACTCCATCAATGGCAAGCAAAATCTCAGGATGTCATCGATATCACATGTCGGATAGTCTTGAAAAAGGTTTCCGATCCTGTTTGATGGGAATGGCGGTCAAGGATGCTCTAAAATCCAGAGCAAAAACTTACGAAAAGTTATCGCAGTCAATTGAGTTGGGAACCACAAAGCGGGTAAATTGCGAATCATTACGAATCCTTGCAATCTCGAGAGATGCCGGCGCGTGCTAGATTCAGTGGCTACGACAAAAGTTGACTAGCAGAGATTAGGGCATTGAATGGAATGATGTGAGTCGTGCGTGATACCGGCCGCAACAGCTCCGTTATGGTCTGGAAGTGGTGAATCCATGACGAGACGAAATGGATGGGCGAGATAACGTTATCGGTAAACATCAGAACATGCATCGAAGGTTCTCTGCGACTGGTGGATTGAAAGATATATCCCTGTCAAAAGTTGCATATTGAATGCAGCCGAGTGATAGGCCGGACCCAGCGTTATCAGAGAACAAAAACTGCACTTGCAGCATCCCTGCACGAATTGGCTCATTGCGTTGGGTGAAGTTCTAAAGGCTTGTGATTGTGGAAAAATTAACTCCAGGCTAAGAAAATTTAGCACGTTTAGTTTTGTGTTGGAAGTTTGGAACAGCCGGGGTATCGCTCATTTATCGGATTTCGACTGGAAGTCCTCAAAAATCCTTCCGGTTTGGCCAGTAGTTACCCCCGTCCATCAAGAATCTCGATTTCCTATAAACAGGCCGCATACATGATGATCCCGGTGAAGACTCGGATGTTGTGATAGCCTGGAATTGACACGAGCTACTCGGTAGTATGCCGAGCTAGGCTGCTTGGGTGTTAGGGCATTCCCCGACTGTTGTGCTCCACACTTGATTTCTCTGCATTCACCAAAACGCTGTGGAAATTGAAATGAATTGATCGACTGCTGGTACGACAATGAAGTCTAGCAGCGTAGACGATGCCGAGTCGATGATCTCACCGCTGCCGGAAAATTACATGGGATGACACATATTATCCGGCCAATCACCCCCATCATGAAGGGCCCATTTCTGAGTGTCCCACTGTGCCGCCATGTTGGCGTTGATAAGACAATTTGGAACCTCGGACCGTTAGTAGTTCAAGTGGGGCCTTGAGGCCATTCGAGGACCTTTCGGTTTGGTTAAAGACCTACATCCCGCGAGCAGGCAAGGGCACAAACAGTACCATTGTGAAGGCGTAATATTGCTGATCTAGGATCATTGAGCATCATCTGTGCAGATTACGCACTCATAAATGCTGTACTCCCCAAATGCTCGCTCCCGGGTGTATGATTGGCTGCACTCAAGCACCCTTGCATTTGATTGGTAAGAGAAACGAAATCGCTAACGCTAAGATTTATATGCATTGTAAGTCTCATCGATGCTGTCCAATAGATGCAAGTTGTTGTCGCTTTCATAACTCGGATTGTTTCCCGGAGTAATGCGCATACCTCCGTTGGCTAGAACTTAGCAATCGTCCAAACTATCAGTTGAAGGAGCAGTTTTCCATTAGCAAATTCTAAAGATAATAGTGTCGTTAGTATACTCACCGCTCTGTTAAGCAAAAATGACACCATAAAATAAATTCTGGATACACATCATATTTGGGCACTCACAGCTCTCGCAATCTCCACTAGTGAAGACGCCAACCGCTTAGTTTTGGTTGCCTCCGTCAACATATGTATGATTTATTCAAATTCATGGTTACGACAAGTTATGACAGCACTGTTAGGCATCCTAATCACGGCACAACGGGTTTAAACATGCCGATCCCCGAGGTACTCATTTTTATTGTTCGAACTTATCACAACGATAGGACTGGGAAGTTAAAGGGATCCAGAACAAAAGATAGTGCGGCTGGATTTTCAATTGGGCTGAATTACGAGCCGACAACGATTGAACAATCTGGCCAATCGAAATGGACATTGAGTCAACGGTGACAACATACCACAGAATACATTGAATTTCGTCTAGTCGGTGGACATTGGTCTGTGCAACCTGCATTGTCCTGAAAACTCGTCGGATTCGGGACCATGATGTCGGTAGCTGCTTGCTTCAATATGAATGACTCGCTGGTCTCGTTGCACCGGGGCTAAAGAATTGATGATTGTAGTAAATAAAGTTATCCGGCAATGTCACATATTCAGGGGCGCGTCCGGATGCATGCCTCTATTCCGCAACGGCCTAGTCAGTGCTAAGCCGTGTATAGCAGGGCTTGATGGACATGTACGCCTTATCTTTGCTGCGGGCACAAACGAAGCCTAGGTAGTTTCACCACATGAATGCTGCACAGTGCCGCAGTGGTAACAGCGTAGACTTTCATAAGGCCGGCCAGTTTGGGACAAGGGAGAATGATAAGGATCCGAAGTCGGTTTCGTTATCTATAACACATGTCGGAAAGTCCTTTTGAACGTCGTAGCCTGCGACAGCAAGTGTGAACAGACAGGGGTGTCTGGCATACCTGCAGTCATGTCATCAACTCATTCGTGCCTGTATAAACGCCATCAAGTTTATATCTGTTCCTAGATGTCGCCTTGTAGTTCTGAAGATCCTCCGATCGGGCCAATGTCGATTGACGTGGGTGGAAACGAGAAGACATTGCCGCTCGTCAAGTTGGAGAGGGACGGTTCGCAACTTCCTTGCAGGAGCGACTTCCTGAAAGTCATGTCCAGGTCACATGACATGGCGATATATCCCACTCGAGTTCCTTGTTGATCTTCGGTTATTTTTTTTGGTCTGCTATCCATATTGAATGAGCTATGTTGTCCACGATGACCAGGCTGGCAAATGGACTTGAGTTGTTGGATGAACTCCGATCTGGACCCTTTTTACCTTGTAAAAAATCATGTCTCATTTCAGCTTGTCCGTTATCCATGCACTTAATATCATCTTTATCCTCCGTTCTCTCCATCATATGCTCAATGGCTCGTTCTGGGGTTGATGCCTGAAAAAAAGGGCAAACATTGCGGAGAGCCGGAAAATCGGCAAAGACATAGCCAATCATTGGCAACCAGCTATCCTGATGTCATTTCTTGCTACGGGCGGGACCATGCTTCAGTTTCGCTCGTTCATTAATATTCTGCTGGCGCTCAGCAAAAGACGCGGAAGATGGCGATTGATACAGAGCAGTCTTCGACCGATGTCGAAAATGAGCAGAATGAATGGAATGGAACGCAGTCAAAGCCGCCAGAGACGATAGGCTTTTTTCACCCTGATCTGAAGGATCAGCGCGGCAGGGCATACCGGCGATGGGCATTGACAAGTTAGTTTTGCAGTTACTTATGTGACCGTTCTATCTAATCCATCGACAGTTCTCGGCCTCGGTGTGTACATACTCACTGTTCTATCGCTGTACTGGGGCGCGTTGTTCACTGTATACGACAATTTACCGAAATTGACTGTCTGGATCGTTGATTTTGACGCCAAAATAGCCCCATATAATGTAACGACGACTACGCCAGTTGTCGGACCATTCATCACTAATGCGTTTGCAAATCTGAATCCGCAGACGGCGGGCAATCTCGGCTGGACAGTCAAGCCTGCAGCGGACTTTGACTATGACCCGGTTGCAGTGCGACAAGGTATTTACGATGAAAAAGCATACTTGGCAATTATCGTCAATGCCAATGCGACGACTCTTTTGCAAGAGGCGGTCAAGAATGGAAACTCCTCGTATGACCCAGCCGGCGCGGGTCAAATCATATACAATACGGCTCGAGATGCGACGACGATAACGACATATGTTCTTCCGGCATTACTAGATGTGTTGTTTCCGCTGCTCGGCGACTTTGGCAAGGAATGGGCTTCGATTCTGGCCCGCAACGCGTCGACGCAAAACGTTTTTCAGACGCCGCAGGCCGTCAATCCGGGGATAGGGTTCAGTTTCATCGACTTGCGACCGTTCACACCTGCCACCTCCCTACCTGCAATCACGATTGGACTGATCTATTTGATCATCATTTCATTCTTCAGCTTTTCATTCCTCATGCCTATACATGGGATGTTTATGGCCAATAAAGACCACGCACCTATATTCAAGGCGCATATTCTCATCTGGCGAATAACATCAAGCATAGTGGCTTACTTCTTCCTGTCGCTGTTCTACTCTCTGGTCTCGCTCGCATTCCAAATCCCATTTTCGAATAACAGCGCGTCGTCCACAGAAGGCGCATTCAACGCAAATGCATACGGCCGAGCATCGTTTGTGGTGTATTGGATGCTCAACTGGGTGGGCATGACTGCACTAGGTCTTCCGAGTGAGAATATGGCTATGGTCTTGGGGATGCCGTATGCGTCGTTGTGGTTGGTGTTTTGGGTTATCACGAACGTGGCGACGTCGTTTTATTCGATTGTGTTGGAGTCTGATTTTTACCGTTGGGGGTATGCCTGGCCTTTGAACAGAAGTATGCTATCCTTCTCAAATTTAGAAATTGAAACAAGTTGCTAACTCTGGTAGTCGTTCACGGCTCTCGAACCATTATTTTCGACACCCGATCCGGAATCGGCGAAGACTTCGGTATCCTGTTCGCCTGGTGCGCAGTCTCGATAGCACTTTTCCCCTTTGCGTCGTGGTTTATGCAATGGAAGACCAGACGATCGCAGCGCAAACAACAATAACTCAATGCGCGATTAATGAAAAGGGCCTGAAGTATGAACGGATATTCAATCTCGAAATAAACACAATAAATACAAAACGGTCAGCAGTATGTACGTATTCAACATTCTCGGTCTATATATACAAAAATCTCCACTTCACAATTTAATATCACACTTCATAAGCCATCCATATTTCTCCCCTCAACAAACTTTCACCGTAGCTCGACTGGCATACTCTACTCTCCAGGATCGACACCCAATTCCTGCAATACAGCCCTCGCATGCTGTCGTCCCTGCTCGGTATTGGCTTTATTATGCGCCGCCCTACACATCATTAGCGCCCCCCCCCTTGTTTTTGTATCCTTTTGAATCTTGGGCTGGATACTCACGCTTTGTACCCCCTAATAACATTGGTCCTATTCCTCTGCTCCCCACGACTGGTCGTCACATTATCTGATCCATACTTTGAGCCGCCGCGGGACTCAGAGCCGGGGATTTGTTGTTGCTCGATTACGTCGTTGAATTGGTCCTCGAGCACGTGCCGGGCGTGCTCTTTGGCACTGTCGGAGACGTTGGGGTTGTTCAGCGTGCTGTCCCTGAAGATCAGTATCAGGCATGATAGAATGCGCCGAGGGGGTGGGAGGTGGGAAGGGAGTACGCTTTGAAGCCGGCTTCCTGCCGGACCGGATCTGGGGATTCGGAACGAGACATTTTTTTCTCTTATTCGGGGAATTTATATTTGCGGTAAAAGATGAATGACTCGCGTCTTATGCTTTATTCTTTTCTTGTTGATAGTTTCCAATAGCAAAGGGAAATGATTGCCGGGATTCAAGCGGGCTGTATAAATCCTGCGTTGTGGCTGATGACATCACTGCCACCACCACCGTCGTTCTGCCATAGCCCACTATGGAATTTCTGTCGATGATGTTGTTTATGATGTTAATGGCGATACTGGTATTGTTGATGTGAGGCGCTGATAACGTTTTTGTGTGGCGTTGAGGCGCATGACGCTCGGAGATGATTTCCACGCCTATCTATCCGCGATAGTGTTGACAGGGGTATATCTGGAGGCGAGCTTATCGAATATCGTGTTTACTCATGGGATTAAGGAGCACAGCATAATGTTGCACGTGATGACGCGAATGGATATGTGTCACTGCATTTAGCTGCGGAATTTGGATATCATGTAGAGTGATTTGGTCATTAGTGATAATAAGTGGAATATTACAGTACAAGAGAAATGAACAGGAAACTTTCGAGTATCACATCGCTGCTCGTGTGGAAACTCCGTAGCACCCTCCTCCTTTTTCCAAGTGACTTTGATCAAGCCAACGCCCCAAACAGAGCCGAGCAAAACAAAAGCGCAATTACGCTCACACCACCCGTCGAAAGCTTCGCATCCTTGACCGCAGCACCATGCGAACTGGTACTCGACGCACTCGACCCCGTCGCAGTCCCCGTCCCCGTCCCCGTCCCCGTCGAACTCGCTGTACTCGACGCACTGCTCACCGCCGCAGTGGCAGTCGCATTTAGCCCGCCATTACAAAACACATCGCCACCATTTTTCTGCAAACATGTTTCCAGCACTGACACGTTCTGCCCTTGTGCGAGACAGTAGAATGCGCAGCTGTCGTCATACGAGACAACAGGAGCGATGCCGCAGCATTGCTTGAGGACGTCTGACGCATTGGCTATTGAGGAAGCGTGGATGGCGCAGGCGGTGTCATTGGTGGGGATTTCCCAGGTTGTTTGTGGGCAGGAATGGATGCCCGTGGAAGTTGTGGAGGAGGCAGAGGCGGTAGATGTTGTTGTTCCCGTGAGGGAGGTTGAGATGGCGGTTGATACGACGTCCACCATTGTGTTTGATGGAGTTTTTCTCGTCGATTAGTGATTTTGCTGAATGGTCGAGGGGAGAGAATAGAAATGAGAAAGAGAAAGAAACAAAAGAGAAAATAGTTGGTATATAAGGTAAAATGTCTCAGTTTCGTCGGTGGCTGCACTGCCTGAAGCTCTACGGTTGCTATATTTGGCGAAGCTCCGAATGCGCCAATCAAAACGCATATACCTGAGCCAATTAGGTAATTAGTGGGGGCGATCGCCGTTTGACCAGTCCAGCTGTGAAACAAAATCTGGGGAGATTCGATTCTTTCAATTTCTTTTGTTTCTCTTGGATTCTTTGTTGCACATACCATCGAGATAGCCATGAATGCCCAAAATTTCACTTCCGCTCTCTTCGCGAGTAGACTATTCAAAGCGAAAATCATTATTCACGGTTGGGTGTTCCAACTCCTGACTCATGAATTAGAGTAACATAAAATGGAATGTGATTGGTCACTCCCGCCAATGATTCGTTTCAGCTCATCAATGATTGACATGTTTGTGAGGGGAGATTAGTGACTATTGAGTCGATCTTGGACATATCACACTCACTTGACCGAGTCTACTCTACATCTCATACCAAAGCGTTGTGTTGTCTTAGAGTTGTTGATAACTCCGCAAGATGACTAACCCTATTAATGACCCTAACGGAGATATGACGAAATCATTATGAATGTGGGAACATATAAATCACCCGAGATAAACAAATTCCGGTAAACATACTCATTGCAATTAGAAGACAATGGCAGAAAAGAAAATTGGCATCTTCCCTGCTGCAGGCGCTCTAGGCGGCAGCGTCGTCAAACACCTATCCTCGCTCATCCCAGCATCCAGCTTAATTCTGATCGCGCGGAAACCTGACTCCCTAGCCGAGTACAGTCGACAAGGTGCCGTGGTCCGACGCGCAGATTACGATGAAGACTCTTCTCTATCTCGAGTGTTTGATGGCGTCGGGGTGCTATTTCTGATCTCGTATGCTAGCTGTGAGCATGAGCATCGGTCGAGGGTATACTATACTACATTTGTCTTCGTTTACCGATTCGTCTAATATTACGGCAGGCACACCGCAAAGCAATCGACGCCGCCCTGCATAGCGGCGTAAAACACATTTTTTATTCCTCGCTCGCCTTCGCAGGTAATCTGACCATGTCCAGCGAGGCACTCGTCATGCGCGCCCATCTCGATACAGAGACCTACCTCCAAGAACTCAGTCGCACGCGCGCCCCAGATTTCACGTATACAATCATCCGCGAAGGTTTGTATCATGAGTCATTCCCGATTTATACATCCTTCTTCCGGCCGCAGGACATCATTGATGTCCTTAACGACGAGCAAAATCGAACACAAAACGGCGGTGGCCACGGTGAAATTCAGATCAAGATTCCGCACGACGGGTCTGGCCCGGGAGTAGCGTGGGCGAATCGCGATGAGTTGGGGGAGGCGAGCGCCAAGATCGTTAACCTTTACATGCATGATCCGCTGGGCTACCCATTTACGAATAGCACGTTATTGCTGTCTGGCCCCAAAGTGCTTACATTAGATGAAGTGGTTGCGATTTTGGAAAAGCTGATCCGCGAAAGAACGGGTAAAGATATTAGTATCAGGATTAAAGAAGTTTCGGTTGACGATTATGCGAATCAGCCTCAAGTGCCGCCATTGTTGACGTATCATGGTGTCGACCTCAGCCGCGAATGGGCTACGGCGTGGCAGGCTATACGCAACGGGGAATGTGCAGTTGTGTCACCTGTCCTCAAAGAAATCCTAGGTCGAGAGCCGGAGGAATTCGAGACTACACTCAGAAAAGATCTGGCCAGACAGTACGGTTCATGAACATCAAACAAGACTTTTGTGTCTAATAATGCTTACTTCTTAATCAAATGCTTATTAACAGCCGTCAACGGCTCCTGTCCTAAAATCACCCTCTCACAATTCTCCATAGCAAGCCTCTCAAATCCTAGGACTGTGTCCATCGCACCACCAGCCGTATGGCACGTAAGCGCTACATTGCGCATAGTCGCCATCTTAGGGTGAACATGAGGCTCATTATACTGCACATCCAGCCCCACAGCATGCAACTTCCCAGACTCGAGCGCTGCAATGACAGCCTCCTCATCCACCAGTTTCCCTCGAGCGATATTGACGAATCGAGATCCATCACGGAAATGTGAGAGTAACGCAGCGTCAATAATCTCTTTACCCCCAAACGGCATCGCGAGCACGACGCAGTCTGCCTGCGCAACCATCTCCTCATTCGAGGCGCAATACGTCGCTTCAATAGCATTTTCCTGTTCTGTCGACTTGCGGTAAGGGTCATGGTAGAGGATTTTCATGCCGAACGCTCTGTACGCTTTTTGAGCGATTGTGTACCCGATATTTCCGAGACCGATCATGCCGAGGGTCCTGCCGCGCGGGTTCCAAGCTGTGAGTTGAGTGTTTTTGTGTGCTTCTTGCCATTGCTCGGCGGATCCCGAGTGCGCGGCGACAAGGGACCATTTGAGGTTGCGGAAGACGTTGAGGATATGGTAGATTGCAGTGTCGGCGACAGCTTCGGAGGATGCTGCTGCGCCATTGCAATATAAAATTCCTTTTGAAATCCCCCATTAGTTCTTCCAGTACTTGAGACCAGGTCGATGATAGAGAGACAGAAAAATACCGTGATCAGCCAAAACATCAACATCAGCCCAATCATAACCCGCACCCGCACTTGCAAACACTTTTACGCTTTTAGGTAATAATGGCACCAACTCCTTATCCCAACGACCCATTTCGCCCCCCGAATTCCAGAAGGGTCGGCATATAGCTTGAAAATCGCCCCATTTCTTTTCTCGCAGTGCTTGCATGAATGCATCGCGTTGTCGTTCTTCGAGGGATGGTCTGATGATGGTGAATTGAGAAGCGAGGCGGTCGAGGGTCTCGGTATTGTATTTGATGGGATCGCCAATGTGGAGGATTATTGGTCTCGACATTTTGTCTTCTATCTTCTCTATGCTTTTTGCAAATATTTAACAGAGAATCTGTTTTTTTCTTCTAGAATGTCTATGCGAGGGGTATGTAGAACGTCACTGCGCTTTATACTCATCTCAAAAGTCCAGGGCTCCATTGAAGTGGGGAGTACGTTTGATCCCAATGTGGAAAATAGCCGACCTACATTACCTATATTTCGATTGTCTACTTGCAAATCGAGTTGGTTCCATTCATTGTGTAATATATACGGGCTCTGGATTCTATCCAATAAACCAGCGTGTTACAAACTGAGATTATGAATTGGTTTTATATCGATTATGTTTGTGAATTTGAGATGCAGCATCCATGTATTACAGAAAGGCACGTATAACCTGGCGCTCGAGCTCTTCAGGAATTAACAATTTGGTAGTTACCATGCTATTGATTGATCCTTGATCTAATTCACTTTCAACGCCCCGGAACAAGATCTCATACCAACTCTACATTCAGAAACTTGACGATACCACACTATATACATATATGCATACTCGGTGATCGATTCCGCTCGCTCGGCGCCATCGCCGACATTCTCCCCATCGGCTCSTCTCCGATTCTCCAAATTAAGCGATGCCATCCGTTCTCACTTATTGGCAGAACGGTCTTCTCGCCGTACCCACTTCTGCTCCTCGCGGCATACGCTATTCCCGTTTCGGCGACAGACACGGGGAAATAAGAGACGATCACAGTCTAGGTATATGGGGGTACTCCGGGGTATGTCCGTAAGCTACATCATTGCTCCAGCTCATGAGTCGTGTAGAACCTCCACCACTACGTACTGCATACTAAGCATTACTAGGTAGAATGCTGGCAGAGTATGGGGCGGGTTTACGGGGTAATGTACCCCGAGCGACGATTGGTTGTACTTGAACTGTATCCCCCCAGTGTGTATTCTGGATTTGATTTTTTTTTATATATTCTTGATTCTGTTAAGCATTTTAGTGGACTTGGCAGGTACACAGACATCCTGAAGAAGTACCGTATTTTCATATTGACGTCCATAGGGCTGGTGCTCTATCTGTGACAATATGGAGAAATCAAACGCGGACCCTGTCGAGGGCCACGTCGAAGGCATTGAGCCTGAGTTCTGTCAGCGTACGTATCCTCATCTTTCATCTTATTTACCCCAAGTAACTTACAATCAGTCCGCTTATTGTCACAGCCGAAGCATCATGGTCCAAGTACATCCCGGGCGGCTACTCGCCCTCCCGGTGCATGACCTTCCGCGGCCGCACCATGATCAATCTCATTCTGTTGCTAGCCGGTATATCAATTATGTTTTTTGGTTACGATTCATCTTGCATGAGTCAAGTTAATACGAACCCGGATTACCTAAAGTTGATGGGCACGGATAACGGATCGGCGAGAGACTCAGCGGCTGTTGGAGGCTTGGTGACCTTGTGGTTTGGGGGGTTCGGTATTGGTATGTATCTTTTTCATCTTTAGAGCACTAAAGAGAACTTTATGTGCTGACTGGTTATAGGAGCGTTGATAGTAGGCTACTTGGCAGACCGTATCGGCCGTCTCAAATCCCTACAGCTAGGAGCCATATGGGCCATTCTGGGCTGTGTATTGATGGCCTCAGCCCAAAATTTTACCTGGATGGCTTTTGCGCGTATCATTTCTGGCATTGGATGTGGCCATTTAAACACTATCGTCCCTATTTGGACGTCGGAATTGGCAGATCATAGTGCTCGAGGTGCCTTTGTGGCTGTCGAGTTTACGTTGGCGCTTACCGGTGGGACGATGTCAGTTCCCCTCCCCCCTGTATGTCGACTATATCCCGAGCTAACACTACACAGCGTCTACTGGATCGAATACGCCAGCCTCAAAACACAATCTCTCTCCTTCGCCTGGCGCTTCCCTCTTGGCTTCCAAGTCATCTTCCTCCTCTTCATTCTGGTTGCAGCCTCCTTTTACCCTGAATCACCCCGGCACCTGATCCGCATCGGCCGCTTCACCGAAGGCCGCGAAATACTGTACCGCGCACGCTTAAATCCCATCGAAACCGAAATCGAGCGGGAACTGGCCGAAATTGTAGCTGCAATCCGCCTCGAAGCACGCAAACCTGCGCCCTCGTTCTGGAAAATCATGGCTTCTTCAGACGAATTGCACACCCGTCGCCGTATCCTTTTGGGTGCTGGAGTTCAAATAATGCAGAAATTCACTGGTATCGATTTCATATCTACTTACGCGCCTGAGATGTTCTCCCTGGCCGGGTATACGGGCAACAAACCTGCTATTTTGGCTGGATGCAACTTCTTCGGGTACACAGCCAGTCTTGCCACGGCGATATACCTTGCGGATCGCATAGGGCGTCGCAAGTTGATGCTCATCGGCTCTTCGACGATGTTTGTTGTCTTGATTGTAGGTGGCGTATTGGCACACGAAGTCATTTCGTTGGCCGGTTCGAATCCGAGTGTTGCGTCGGGGTGTGGTGCGGGTGTGACGGCTGTGTTGTATGTTTACACGTTTATTTATGGGAGTACGTGGTTGACTACTTGGTATGCCTTTCTAGATCCTCTCTTGGGGTCAATTGATGCTAATCGACGGGGTAGTTGGGTGTACCCAACCGAAATCTTCCCTCTTGCTACCCGCGCAAAAGGAACGGCGGCAGCGACAGTCGCATTCTCCGTGGCTGGTGGTATCATCAATGAAATCGTACCATATCTTATTGATGCCGTGTCATTTTGGGTATTTATACTTTTCGCCTTGCTCAATCTGGTGATGCTGGTTCCGATTTATCTCTTCTATATCGGTAAGTCGATTCCGTGCATCATACTTCTTGCGTTTCTCGCTGACGATGTTTCATTGTAGAAACGGCTGGTCGACATCTTGAAGACTTGGATTATCTGTTTGCCAATGATAGCCCATTTGTATGGAATGCAGAACGCGATTTTGCGGCTATCAAGAGTGCGGAAGCTGCGGCTGATAGTAAGGTTGTTATTGAGGTTGAGGGAGAGAAGTCTAGTTGAATAATGACTGTAGGGTACAGTTCACGCTACGAGGCTTTCTTAGAGAGAGGCTTTTGCATAATCATTGAGGTGGGCAGGTTGATAAATCTGGTATTAGATTACAGTCCAAGAAGGCCCAGATATAGCGCTTTTCTTTGATGGAGTTATGGATCCCATAGAATACAAGGGTCATATGAGAAGTCACAGGTTTTATCAACTGGGATTTCTTTTTGATTGATCATTAGGTCCTTGAAGTAATCTTGTCTGAACTTTCACATTGTTAACCTATCAAAGTCTCTGATACCTATGAAGCTGTATCCTGCTTCGTTCGAAACCTATCATAGTAAACCACAGCCTCCAACAAAGCCTGTGTCCCAATCGCACTGTATGAAAAAATTAGTCCATGTCACCAGCTTGTCGTTGGAGAGTAAGACTTACCAGTCTTCCGGCGAACAGTACTCCTCCGGATGATGACTGACTCCATCACGACAAGGCACAAAAATCATCGTCGTCGGGCAGCGTTGACTGGTATACACGCTATCGTGACCAGCACCGCTGGTGATATCCATATACCCATCCGGTCCGACGAGATTATGTGCCGCAGCTTTCACTGCATCAATGCAATTCTTATCAAATCGAACAGCAGGAGAATCAGTGTCGATTTGCCACGTAAACGAAACCCCCTTTCCATCCTGCGCAGCAATTTTATTGAATGATTCGAGACATTCTGCCTGCACTACATCAACCACCCTGTCATCTGGATGTCGGATGTCGAGCGTAAACGTCACTTCTGAAGCAATCGTATTTGTAGATGCGTTGGATGGAATTTTGAATATCCCTGTTGACGCCAATGCGCCGTGTCGCTGCGCAATCCCGTTAGAGGACGCAATCATCCTCGAAGCTGCGAGAAGCGGGTCTTTACGTGCGCTGAATGGTGTTGTGCCGGTATGCGCGTCCCGGCCGGAGACGGTGAAACTCAGCCATCTGTATGCCTGCGCACCTTGAACGATGCCTATGGATCGTTGCGTCTGTTCCAAAATGGGTCCCTGTTCAATATGCAGCTCGAAATGTGCGCCAAGCGGGTATCCAGTTGTAGTGTCGTATGAACAGGCGATCTCGCCGAGGTAGCCGTGTCGCTCAAGTTCGGATTTGAGGGTTATGTCGGGGTTGTGGATATCACGTAGATCCCATGCTTCCTGAAGCGGGATGCTTCCAGCCCAGACACCGGATGATGCCATTGATTTGGGGAATCTAGCTCCTTCTTCACTTTTCAATAACATAATTATCAGCAACATGTTTAATTATAACAATCCATTGGAGGTAAGTATACTTGGTCCAATTAACCAACCCAATATCAAACCCTGTCTGATACCCATTCTCTTTCATCGTTCTCAACACTTCCAAGGCCGCCATAACACCCAAAATACCATCATATCTCCCTCCTCGGGGTTGAGTATCCAAATGACTACCCATGGCAATCATAGGCGCCGACGAGTTCAGTCGACCTTTCTGCCTAGCGAACATGTTCCCCATCTGGTCTACGTGAAGTGTGCATCCCAATTCTTGCACTTGATCACCTAGCCATCGACGCACTGTCGCGTCGGCGTCAGTGAGGGTGAGGCGGGCCATGCCTGTGTCTATGGGCTTGCTGCAAATTTATGAGCCGAGATGTCTTTGTAGGGGTTTTTGGATGTTTGACGTACTCGCTATATCGATGAGCTGCACCCCATTTGCATGTGTCATGGAAAGTCTCCCATAGTCGCGCGGAATTGATCTTGAGGCTTTGCGTTGTGGATGTCGAGGCTAACCGTCTTGCGGTTAATGGGCGGATTACGGTTCCAGCGGCTTTGGTGAGTAGCACCATTTCTATCAACGAGCGGTTGAACTTTAGAGATCGCAGAAATGCTGAAGACTTTCAAGGTAGATTCTAAGAAGTTAGAAGCAGATAAACAGTTTGTAGTTGGTTTTGAATTGAGTTCGGTGCGATGCGCCCTCCGGTAACATCGATAAGAGGGTTGCTCCACATTGAGAAGCTTCTATCTTGGCAAGGATCATAACCTTAAGTTTATTGAATATCAGTATTTAGCACATCTGATTGCAAAACCAAACTTTTAAGCTAACAAAAGCGCGACAGATTCAATGAAGGAATCAATCTGCCTGCGAAGGCGGTGATATACAGTGTTTCCGGAAATCGGTGTCACCCCCATACTCTTCCATTAGAAGCTGCAGCACAGTCCTCACCTGGATTTCTTGGTTGTTACTTCCACGGGCGGTGCAACTAACCATGGCTCCCAACCTAGCAAAGTCTACTCTTGTGTTGATTCGTGATATGACTAGCAACAATGGGCTAACTAGATCGGAGATAGTGGCAGCTGTAGACTGCGGCGCGAACGCGCTATTCCCAGAATTCAGTCTAACCAGCGACTATTCGGTAGTGTCAAAGCTCCTCTTAGAGTATATCCGAGTCATCCATTATTTTTGTCTTTTGGCATTGTTTTACTTTTTTTTTTATTACACTCCAATTTATTTCATTCTACTTTTTAATGCTGAAGTTAGTGTTCTGTGTGATCTTGGACAAAAACTAGGCATCCAGATCTAGGTTCAGTAGGGCCCCATGTCTGCCTACGCTAAGAGCCGCCTAGTTAAGCTCCGCACGAGTTCATGAATCCGCATTATCCCGCAGATGGAAATTTGAGTACATATCGCAATCAAAATGTCTATAACTGATCTCCCGCCGGAATTGCTCCAATTGATCGGAAGTCACCTCAATCAAAAGGACACATGTAACCTGATATCCACCTCGCATCGAATGCACAGCGTGTTTCAACGAAAACTCTACACGAATGTGATTTTCGGGAAAAAAAACGCGAATTCGGCCCAGAGTTTTCTCTACACTGTGGTTCGGAACCCCGAACTGGCTGTCTGTGTTCAATCTCTAGCACTTGCGTGCTGGGAAACCCACGTAGACTGGGAAACCGACCGGAAATCCGAGAAAACCATCGAAAGACCCAATTTTGACGGTGATCTTATTCGGAAATTAGTTGATGAAGCAACCGAATACCCCGAAGAAGAGAAGTCGAAATGGCTACAGGATCTCGAGGAGTTTTATGACGATGCCTGGCTAGCATTGCTCATTCCCCGATTGACTGGTCTACGGAAAATCGGCTTTGAATGGCCGTTCGGTTCTTCCCATGTTAGCGTAATGCTCAAAAACGCTGCCATAAATGGAGGCTCCTGTTTCCTTCATCTTGAAGAAGTTAACATGTCTTGATATGATACGGAAAATGCCGTCGACTCGTTGCAGATGCATCCGTTCTTCATATTTCCATCTGTGCGCAAAGTCAGTGGGTGGAAAGTGGCGGAGAATGCTAAGGAGGAAGAAGATCTCGAGCCCGACCTTACTGAGATTCCTGACCCTACTGAGATTCTCAAAAATCTTAGCCTCCCATCTCGATGCTCAAATGTAACGGATATTGATCTCTCGCAAACCAATGCTACGGGGGGAATGCGAGAATGGATCCGGGCCTGCAAAACGTTAAAGTCCTTCCGTATCATCCACGGTGGAGCATGCATCTCATACGATGATATACAGCCCCGCAGACTCTACGATTCACTCTCGCTGCACAAACCCACGTTAGAGGCTATCTGGGTTGAGCATGACGAATACGCGTCAAACAGCGACAACGAAACCGAATGGATGGGGTCATTTGTCGGTTTTTCTGCCTTGAAATTTCTCCGTCTCAGTTTATACAATCTCGTGGGACTCAACGAAGAAGGCTCACCCACGCGAAAGATAAGCGATGTGATTCCCTCGTCACTGGAAACATTGTTCCTGGACATTCAATGGGGGGACTTTTGTGACGTCCTGGATGACTTGGCGGAGATCGCCACCTCAAGGAAGTTTCCTAAGATTGCCACGTTCCATATTGAGACCTGCGATCAATTTAGTAGTCCAGAGGAGGGTTTAAAAGTTGAATTGTTACAACAGAGGTGTCGAGAGGTTGGAGTTGCGTGTCATGTGCATGATACAAAGAGTCGTGAGTATATGGAAGGTATCCGGCTTCGGAAAAGCCTTTGGCCCCAGTGCGAGGCAGAAGACCTCGAATTCTTTTGGTAGTGACTTCCTATATACTTTAAAGGACACACAGGGAGGTACTGTAGATCGCAAAAGATAGTGACTCTAACCGGGGCCAAATCTGGAAGGAAGGAACATTTCCCAGCAATATTCCTCCGCAGAACATTTCCATCCGTTTCCTTTATCCGCTCCCAGTACGAATGGTGGCAGGCCGAAGTCTTGTTCCGTGTTCTTTGCCACCACACGGTTAATCACTTTTACCCTCCACTCGATCTGCTAATAAACATAATCTAACCGGCGCTCCACGAGTGTTCCTCCGTCATCCATCTCACCTTGTCGCATAAAACACAGTTGATCAGATTGCGGGTTCGGCAACGGTGATGAACATTTATGGATATTGGTTCAGTTACTAGTGAGGTGTAGATTACAGATGGTGTCTATTCACGGCCAGGTGTAGTGGTATATGAAGGAGTCGGGTCCCGTAGATTAGGCAGATAAGTTTGGTAAGTGCCATCATTATCAAAGGCAGCGTAAGCCATCCCGTCCAAGCAGTAGACACTACTGAGGAGCCTATTCATGGTGCCATCGTATGTTGGCTGGAGACCAGAGGCTGCCACCACGTATAGGGTAAGAGGAGTTGTGTCTGACAGCAGGATTATTGGTCTTCCATCAGTTCATATTTGGTAAATCGGCTATTGTTAATCCGGGGATTTCCTATTCTCTTTGGAAATTGCAACATGTGATTCAATTATTTGCAAAAATAGATAGCAATTTGCTAATCCTTTCAGACGAGTTTTGATATCTCGCCCTGAAATGGACTTTGGTCTGTGAATGTTTTGATAGTACGCTTCTCTGTAAATGAGCTATTAATGTCCAACGGTATTGTGACAATGCATGTTCTTTGTTCTAGACTGACCGCAACGGCTTTATTCGGAAAGACCCGGTGGTCTCATTCTTCTTTGTATACGCAAGGGGGTCTAGACGGCGTCTTTAGATCACAGTTCTGTCGATAGAATAGATGGTGATAATCTTAGTGCCTGTGGTTGTATACGCAATGAGGCTAGTTTAGATCGAACACGAGAAATATGTTTCTACACCTCGGAGAGTAAAGGGAAATAAAAGTAGATATATTAATGTTGCGTGGAGAAGCACATGCCTCTACCTTACCAATGCTCTTTAGTCATGATACCGTCTAGTTCTGAGTCCTTTAATACAATTTTGTGGCCTCATAGTGAGTTATACCACAATAGAAACAAGCAAGACCGTTATTAGGACTAGATACTAAAGAAAATACGCTAGAGACTTCTGGAAGAGATTTGTTAAATGTTATTATTTATGTGCTTATGCTGTAGCTAGGTAACCTCTGGCTTGTCCTGTAGAAGTAAATATCAATATTTGATATCCGTTGTCATCTCTTCTCTAATAATGCCCCATATCCGTCTTTCGACGAAGAACATGGGAATAGGGACGATCCGAGCCCCAAACGAACGAGCACACCCGATAGACTTTTTGCCCCTCCTCTTGACAGCGCCCAGTAGCGGGGTTTTGCTCACACCATCCATATCCTCAAATGATCAATAAGGAAAGCTAAACGAATACGAATTCTGAGTAAAAACACACCATGATCAGCTCCCATCCCACTTCCTTTCTGGGCTTGAAAGCCGATCAAAAAAATTTAGAAACTCGTGGCATGACGTATGTCGATATCGTCTAATTTATGACTCGTGCAGACACGGTAGCATATCGATCGAGGACTCGGCACATTTGAAATAAATTTGAGCATGTAACCTTGAATCATCTGACAGGTCACCACCACGGCCGTATTTCCTCCTTCGGGACTCGAAGGATCTCATCGGCGGTCTGAAAGGGCGTCGATTAATGAGAAATCGCGGGAACATTAAGCCATTGTCGGAATTTTTTTTTTTGGTGGAAACTAGGACATAAACAGGTTTGGTAGGTAGATCTATCGGTTTATCTGCTTTGTGCGGAGTTTAAAAGTGTGTGGACACTGCGGAGTATAGGTATAACAGGCTTTCCTAATGCCATATACCCCGTAACCCCGCATTATAGCACGAACGATCCCGAGGTCTGACCGGGAGTTTTTCTAAGACTACTTGCAAGTGCCGGAGTTGCATGGTTCTGATGAGGTAGGAATTTTCTATGGCTAAGCAAGGGCGTTGTCTTTTGCGTTTGTATTCGTGTTTGGGATAAGATCTTCAACTTCGTTCATATATCAGCATAGTGATTGTAGATGAATAGTATAGGATTAGACCCTCATCTTTTCTAGAAATAAAATTCTATTTCCCAAGGACAATGACCAGATTCATGCTCACAACTGTTCGAAATAACTTACAAATGCAAGGCTCGTCCATAAAATTCTTGCGATCAGTCAGAGCATGAACTGTTTTCCACTTAAGGCAAGACCTCCGACCTTGCAGGTCTTGGATCGAAAGGTTTTTTTTACTTTATAGAACTTTTGGGTGGTGGCTTAGGCAGAACTTGGGGATTACGCGGTTGTTCGAATTCTGTAAAATCGTCTGCTAATTCCTTGGTGGTGCATTTCTTTTGGTAACAACTCACCACCAGGGCGGTTCCTTTGGCTTCAATGAGACATGAAGGTAGCAAAAAATAAAGCCCCTGAAGATCCGGATGCTGATTTGACTTCTGTACAGTCTTTTAGATGTTGATCATGTCTATAGTCACTCGATAAACGATTGGTGCACTGTAGAATATCCGGATCGCGTGGCATTCCCCAAACTGACGCCTAATTGACACATGTTTCTTGCACAAGCTATATGGCATGATGTTATGCATATCACATCTCCCTTAACCCGTATTTTATTCGACAATCTTCGATTACCTCTATTTGAGTCCTCTTATAAATCAAGTACGGATGCATGAAGATTTTCACATTACCATGGTAAGGCTAGAAGCCCGCTTTGAAGTGCAATGCTTAGTGTATCCACTCATTGCAACTTTCCGGTCACCTGGACAGTAATTCATTTAAACTCAAGCAACCGAGGCCGTTGACCATACATGTGCAATTCAACATGGAGATCAGGAAAAGAAGACATTGAGTGTTTATATACTGCGTGTTTAGATAGGTCAAAATTCCTGGATCGACGAAACAAGTGATAAGAAGAAAGGCAACTACCGTAGCCACCTAATCCTCGGCAAGTCAACCCTCAGAGAGTGTAAGCCTCTTTTTAAATCCAATAGAGACTTCACCATGAAGTGGTCATTCACTATTCTGTCTCTGGTCTTGGTACCATATGCCACAGCAGCTCCGGTAGAGGAAGTCAAACGTGCAACCACACCCACAGTCACCATTGCTGCTCCGGCTGCCACCATTGTGGGTGCCAAATCTGGCACTGTCGATACCTTCAATGGTATTCCTTTTGCTGAACCACCTACGAGCTCTTTACGACTTAAGCCTCCCGTAGCCCTGACGACCGGATTGGGCAAAGTGACTGCCACTGGCACTGCCCGATCTTGCCCTCAGATGTTCTTCTCGGACAATTGGAGTAGCTTGACAGGTATTCTCGGGACACTCATCGACACGCCCTTACTTCAAACAATCACCGATGCGGGTGAGGATTGCTTGACCATCAACGTTGTCCGACCCACGGGCGCTGGTCCAACATCAAAGTTGCCAGTTCTATTCTGGATTTTCGGTGGTGGATTCGAACTCGGTGGAACTTCTACATATGATGGCACAACTATTGTCGAAAACGCCATTTCTAACGGAACACCCATTGTCTTCGTTGCTGTCAACTATCGGGTTGGTGGGTTTGGGTTCTTAGCTGGCAAGGAGATTCTCGCAGATGGATCTAGCAACCTAGGTCTCCTCGATCAAAGACTAGGTCTCCAATGGGTGGCTGACAACATTGCACAATTTGGCGGAGACCCCACTAAAGTCACTATTTGGGGAGAATCTGCCGGGTCCATCTCAGTATTGGATCAAATGCTTTTGTACGATGGAGATTACACATACAAAGGCCAGCCTCTTTTCCGTGGTGCAATCATGGACTCTGGTAGCATTGTTCCTACAAACCCTGTGGACGGTGATGCCGCACAGAAAGTTTATGACTCCGTGGTTTCTGCTGCTGGCTGCTCATCGGCAACTGATACACTAAATTGTCTTCGTGGACTTGACTATACCACCTATCTTAACGCAGCCAACTCTGTACCTGGTATCCTCAGTTATAACTCGGTTGCTCTATCCTACCTACCTCGACCGGATGGTACCGTTCTCACAGACAGCCCTGAAGTACTCGTCAAAGATGGAAAATACGCACCAGTCCCTATGATCATCGGTGACCAAGAGGATGAGGGCACATTATTTGCCCTTTTCCAATCTAACCTCAGTACCACACAAGAAGTCATCGACTATCTTCAAAGCGTCTTCTTCTCATACGATGGGAATGAGACTATCATTGAAGGACTCGTCAACGCCTACCCAGACGACATCACCTTCGGCTCCCCTTTCAGGACCGGCATCCTAAACAACTGGTATCCTCAATACAAGCGTCTAGCCGCCATCCTCGGCGACGCCGTTTTCACCTTGACACGCCGCGCATTCCTGAACTTAGCCAACGCTGCCAACCCGAATGTACCAAGCTGGTCCTATCTCTCTTCTTATGACTACGGTACCCCTATTCTCGGCACCGGTCATGGCACGGACATCTTACAAGTCTTCTACGGCATTGTGCCGGATTATGCCTCTTCAGCGATTTGGTCATACTACTTGTCATTCATTTATGACCTTAATCCCAATGCGAATACGACTTATCCCAACTGGCCACAATGGAGTACTGGGAACAAGTTGGTGAATTTCAACGCTAATAGTCTGACCACTATAACGGATAATTTCCGTCAGACGCAGTATGAGTATCTATATCAGTATATGTCTGACATTAGGGTATAGCTATAAAAGTATATAATGAAGTTTTTGTTGAAATTGAATCCCTTCAAAATCAAAGTTTTTGAATATCTGATTTGTGTGAAGGCTTAGTAGATATATGTTCGCTTCGCAATGGACTTTGAAATTCGGGCTATAGACATCACTCTTAGGTGAAGATTGGCACTGTAGTAGATTGCATCGGATTTTGAAGACGTAAGTATTTGCAAGAAACTCACGATACTAAAAGAAGATATATTGGTATGATGAAACGCCTGGAAGACTTCGCTTCGCTCCCATCCGTACAATATCATCGGGACTGCCAAAAATCACCATCGACTCAAGATCACGAGCGCGATCTTATGAATTCTTCTTGTTAACCACCACTGAGTTCTCTTGACTGGTGCCTTCACGTATAATTAATGAATTGACAGTTTCTTGATGTCGAGATTTTGGCAATGCCTGAACTATCTAAGTGTTGCGTGATTGGCATCGAACAGTCTTCTAGTAGTAAGTTGATTCTTGTTTTAGTCTGCTGTCAAGGGCTATATCTAACAAATCCCAGAGCTGCTCCAAGGAGTTGTGTTTTTGGCCGGGCGCCAGATTTCAGGACAGACGCTGCGAATGCTTTTAGGTCGGTATTGCAGGTACAGGTACATTAATGAGAGAATACATACTAACATTAAGTGGAATAGCATGTTGGTCTGCCCTGAAATCAATGAAATGAAATGCTTCCCCGATTTTTTTGTGACTTGTAGGTATTTGTGAGTATTGTGAATATTACCTTGGTATGTATGTATAGAACTGGTCCGTAAATTGTGGGCTTTTCGGATAGGTGGTTTGACCGATCACGTCCGGCAAGCGAGTGCAAAGTCGGGTAACGATAAATGTCAATTTCTCAAAATCGAATCAAAAGCGTCGGCTGAGGATGCAGTGGAAGGGAAAAGATTCGATGATTTGCCGTCGGGTGCGTGGCGTCGTTGTGATCTTTGTTCCTTCCTCTCTCACGCGTCTGTCTTCTTGTTTCAATTCTCTCTTATTCCTCGCCAACTCGCCCGTGAAACCACTCAAGTACGATTATAATCTTCAAGGTTAAAACTCGCGGTCAACAGCTTCCCTCATGTTTCGATATTCATTAGGCGATCGGTCTATCTCACTCAAACTGCCTGATTTTACGCAGCAAGAGGTAGATTTTACTGATGCCTCTTTTTTTTCGTCAAGCCCAGACCGCCACCTTCCAACGCCAGCTCAAGTCAGAGCTTTATCGAAAGATGTCGGTACTTGTGGCGAACCAGCCCCCATACGTTTTGAGGACCCCAAATTAATCGTCAAATTTGGTCCTTCTCGCCATGTAACAACTACTGAGGCCGTGAATCTTTGGATGATTAAAAAAGTTTTTGGTGACGGCATTCCGGTACCTGAGCTCTTCGGGTGGCGCGTTGATAGCGAAGGCTATGTTTTCATATATATGGAGCTCATCAATGGGCCAACTCTTCAAGAATGTTGGAATCAACTAAAAACCAACGATAAAAACGCGGTCATTGATCAATTATCTCGAATTACCGAAAATCTACGCAAGCTTAAGCAGGATCCTTCCAATCAATTTATCGGTATGCTTGAAGGTGCAAGGAGTCTTCGATCGACGTGACTTACATTTATGTAGGATCGATAAACAACCGGCCTCTTTTGGATTATGTCTTTGCGGATCAACCGACAACTGGCCCATTCTCCAGCGTGAAGGAGTTTAATGACTGGTTTGCACTTTGCCATCAATTACGCTTTGAACGCAGATATGACGACCCCAATCGTTGTTTTCTACCAGATGATGGAGAGGTCAAGCTGACTCATGCGGATCTAAATCGGCGCAATATCATACTTCCCTCTACCAATCCCCTTCGGATTGTAGTTGTTGACTGGCAGCAATCAGGATGGTACCCAGATTATTGGGAGTACTGCAAAGCAACTTGGACAGTCTCATATAAAGACGAATGGCGTGAAGATTACATTTACAAATATTTGCAGCCTCGTGAGGACGTCTACGACGTATTTTGTGAGTATACTGCGGCTATGGGTGCATTCTGATACTTCACGAGCTCAATTTCACATATAGAGCATTAATGACAAAATAAAAGAATATGTAAACAATGATACAACGTCAAATAAGCATTTACAAATCTCCATCATGTGCTACCAGATCTCTCGCTTGACGTATTTGGTATCGATTTCTAGTCTGGTAATCCTAAAACCCATTGAATTCACCTGGCCAGCAGGTGGAATTTCCCTGCAGTGCTCAGACCATGCGACTACCTCGGTACTGGGCGCAATCCAATTCCAAAGCTGGGATGGTCACGGTGAGATTGGACGATTTGGATCGCTTCAGCTGAGATGTATCCTTTCGCAACCAGGTGGCGGACGTATTCCATGGTCCACTCTTGACATCTTTTATTTGTAGTCTATGAGAACCATTAGCGAGTGATGACCCAGTCCAATCGTCAAGGGGAAAGGCTTACATCGTTCACCGGAGCCATGAAATTTACGCTGATTCCAGGAGGTCGCACTTGTGTCGCTGCGATCTCTAGGTTCCCTCTGGGGGTGTTCTCAGTGATAATTCGTCCGGGATCCGGAACCTCGACAATATGAGACGAATCAACCTGCCCGATAGGCCAAATCTCGTGGTCTGTTCCGGTTAAAGCTGGATTATAACCTCGCTTAAATTCGAGTGCAAAGCCAGCCATTGGTGCCCCAACAACATGTATCGAGCTGCCGACCTGCGGGTTTGCTGCTGAAGGGACCCATAATGCAAAATGTGCACGCTGGTGTGGGCTAGGCCGAGATGAAATCAGGTAGATGGTTCGCGGCTCCATAGTGAGGGACTCCTCTTTGCGATTGCTTGTAGTTTCAAATATTGACTTGACAATGTAAGACAGGAGTTTGATTTGTGATGTTCTATATCTTGAGCATCGGGCAAGCCTCATGGGTTTAAATATCTACAAAATGCTGAAGCCTACGATCCGTTAACCAGCGCTGTCTCGAGCCGCCAGGAGTACTTCCACGGGTCATCAATGAAACAACGACCGGCAATGATGTCAAAATTATCCCATAATTTGCTATACCTGGCGCCAACCTGGGCACAAGGTCTCATATACGCGCTGCATGTACAAGGATGCATGGTTGTTGTTCGAGAAGGGTTTTCAGCCAGAGATTTATTATCCTCAAATCACCATCCTATCAAATTAACAGCTCTTAATCTGAGTCTCTACACTCTTTCACCGCAGTTAGGACAAGAGTCACATCAAATATCCTTCCACACATTTAGCCCCGTGTAATCTGTTCCTCTTTGGACTCTGCAACCTTACGAAATCAATCCAAGTTGACTAGGTATCTATTGGGGAAGGAGGATCTAATTCATATTTTACAATACATTGTGACACGAGACGGAATCAGCGCTGTTACGAATAGTTCCCTAAGGAGATCGTCTCCATATGTATAAGTACTCCATGACAAGTTGCCACCTTCTGTTTTCACCGCACATTACATAGTACTTTAAGATACATCCAGAGAATCAAATCAACCTAAGATCGGCCTCTTGGGCTCCTGAAAGTCACCGAGATTCCGATGTCGTCAATACTGCGTTCATCACGACGATCAAACTTTTTCTTTTTCCTCGTCAGTTGAAAGATTAGCCCTTGCATGCAGATGACAGAAAGTGCTCTGATCATTCCATGATCCTAAATGTTACACAAATTAAATTAAAATAAGATCCAAACCCCATCACAATGAATCCAGCCGGAATGTCATTCAATACGAAGCCAGAAGGCAATGAGATCATATATATCTGATATTCGGCTATAAAACCTCCAAGACATACTGCCTGTGTTAAGCTTTTGCCTCTACAACTTCTCATAACAGTTCTCAAGTCAGTTAATACTATCCACAAGTATATTCACGCCGGTTTCCCTTATTTGGCCCACCATGGTTGACGCAGCATACTATAATCCAAATTTCAAGCAGACTTACTTCTTTGGTGGTCGCCGCTATGCCCGGATCAAGTTTACGCCTGCAAAGAATGATGACCAAATAACATTCGGCCCTGCCAAAATCGAAGATCACTGGCCATCGCTGAAGTCTATCGGTTTTGGTACTGTGGATGCTGTTCTGCCTGTTGAAGGTAGCGGTGACGAGGTTTATATCTTCCATGGCAGCCGCTTTGCTCGGGTGAAGGTGGTACCCGAAACTAAACAGGATGAAGTTGTCGGCGGTCCTTGGATCATTACAGAAAGATTCAAGAGCCTTGCATCAGCCGGATACGATACTATTGATGCTGCAATGCCTGTTCCAGCCAAACGCGGCGAAGCCTACATCTTCTGGGGCGTCAACTATGTCAGAATCAATGTGGATCAAGACAAGATTGTGTACGGCCCAGCTAAGCTCTCTGTCGAATGGCCGGCCTTGACCAAATCTGGGTTTGACTCAGTCGATGCAGCGTTGCCCGTACCTGAAGACCCAAAAGGATTGACATACTTCTTCAGTGGAGACCAATAAGTGAAACTCGAAGTCATTGCGTCCGCTCCCGACAAGCCCAACTTTGGACCCAAGCCTATCAAGGATTATTGGAAATCCCTCGACTGGATCTGAACGAATCATACTTCAGATTCGCGTTACGAAAATATGATTAAAGATGCTGGACAATATTTCGAACAAGCTTTCTAATCGAATGGGCATTTCAGAAGCATCACAAGAATCATAAATCTCCGAGGAAAAATGAGTGAAAAGTTACGAGCCCGCTACTGGGTATTTACATAAGTGCAATATACAATGATATTTGACCAGTGTACAGTTCTTTAAAGGATTTAAAAAGTTTAGTATATTATTATATAATAAGCGAAAAACGAATATTAAAAAGGTTTTTTTAATATAAATAAGTAAAAGCTCTAAAATAGAAAAAAAGTGTAGGGCCGTGAATCTCCCGAGGCCTTACCCAGCGCCGAACGTACGGATTATTGGTTGCTCAGCTCCGAGGCGCACTACGTGTTATATAGCTTCAACCTCCGTCCTCGACACAACGCTGTCTACTTGAGGTGGATCCAGGTCCGTTACATGTGGTTATTTCCTGGTCACAGCTCGTTCCAACAGAGGACAGCGCGTCGGAAGTCGAGTTTGCGTGATAGTTTCCGTTCCGAAGCAAAGGGATGTTGTCACAATATCCAGCAAAGTAAAGATTTAGAGTAGACAATGAAGTGTTCAATAATCTATTGCCGATATAGAGATAATAGATAAAACATAGGTCCTTGTAGGTTCAGTACTCTATGAATAGTTGTCACGAGTTTGGGGCTCTGGCCCACAAATAGAATCAACCGTTGATGGAAGATATCAACAGGCCTTTCGAGTTGAGCCTTGGGGCTAGGTTAGATCTGATAGGTTAGGCTCGACGTTGTTGTTAGACTGGTCGGCCAGCTAGGATAGCAGCCCTCAGTACCATAGCTGCTCCAGCCAGTATATCAAATCTAACTAAGTAGTTGGTTTCTACTGTCGTACTGTGCCCGTCTGGGCGGATATATATATATAACAAATCAATGCCTAGGTTGAATTGAAAGTCAAATATCCGTAGAAAATATTCATTATATTTACCTAGGCTTAGTACTCAAAAATATCTCATACGGTTTTCATCATGGCTTCTTAGCAACTAGTCATTTAGGCGAGTTTAGCGAGTTTAGAGAGCTACTGGACGCCTCCGACCTTGCATTGATGACAAATCGCTTCTCGTTTCGACGGGGCAAAGTAAAAGGAATTTTGGACTCAGGCCTGCGACTTTCTCTGTAGCTAGGTATTTACATCTCTATACAATTACTGGGTTATGTGTATTTGATTAATAATGGATGGAGTTACTACACTCTTTCCTATCGTTGAATGCCGTGATAGCCGCAGATGGCAGTTAGGGTATGAAGAAACTCATGTGTTCCATTTTATACATAATTTTCAGCGACCGAAGCTTCTTTTGATTACTTTCACTACTACTATTATTTTTTGAACTTCCCACACTTCGATGACCTGGTTGTTTCAGGATATGAGTAATCAATATGAGCATTTGACATAATCAAGCACATACTTCCTATAAATAACAGCATGCAAAGTCTCGGATTACACGCATACTCTTACTCAGTCAACAACAACAACCCAGAAAAAACCAAAAAGGAAATTTCAATCATAAACCAGGCTCACATCATTGAGCTACGAGCTCCCGCTTGTAGCTATATTTTATCATGGAACGAGTTCCAGCTACTCAAGCTGGGGTACAGGGACCACCAAATGCCGGAATAACAGCCTGGCTCCAGGTCCTCGGCGGGTACCTTATATTCTTCAACTCTTGGTATGATGAGGTATGCTCGAAGTCTGTTTAAAGACCTTCCACTGACCGAGGGACTTTTAAAAACAGGGGAATTGTCAATACATTCGCAGCATATGAAGACTTGTTCCAGACAACCCTTCTTCCGTCGTATAATTCTTCAACAATTTCTTGGATTGGTACTATTCAAGCGTTTCTTCTCATGGGCTTGAGCATCATTAGTGGCCCGATTTTTGACCGAGGTTATTTTCGACTCCTAATCAGTTTAGGCTCTTTCTTGACCGTCTTTGGTGTTATGATGACGAGTTTAGCAACAGAGTACTATCAAATAATTCTCGCACAAGGTGTATGTGTAGGGATAGGGGGCGGATTTCTCTTCGTCACCAGTGTCGCAATTGTCAGTACCTATTTTGATACCAAAAGAGCCCTTGCTGTCGGTATCATGGCTTCTGGCGGAAGTATTGGAAGTGTGATATACCCAATCGTCTTTCGAAAATTACAGCCCAGGATTGGATTTGCGTGGACAACACGAGTAATTGGATTCATTGCTCTTGGCACGTTACTAGTCGCAATTATGATAATGAGAACACGCCTACCACCCCCTAAAAAGGCTCGTCCAATGGTTGATTTTACAGCCTTCAAAAATATGCCCTACACAGTATTCAGCATTGGATTGTTTCTTTCTTTCACTGGGCTCTACATTCCGATATTTTATATTGTGTCGTATGCTCGATCGATGGGGATTGATACCGATTTGTCATTTTATCTGCTTTCAATTCTCAACGCGGGTTCGGCATTTGGCAGAGTCATCCCTGGGCTCATCGCTGACAGATACGGAGCATTGGAAACTATTATAATCTGTACACTGACCTCGGCCTTACTCGGATATATATGGTTGACAGTTCATTCTTTGGCTGGGCTGGTGGTAGTCTCCATCATCTATGGATTCACTTCAGGAGCGGTCGTTTCACTCCAGGCCACTGTTGTGGCATCTTTGGTTCCCAAAATTTCTATGATCGGCACATGGATGGGTATGAGTCTTTTCATGGGTGGTATTGGCATCCTTATTGGAAGTCCCATCAGTGGAGCTATTGCGAATTCGTCGTCAGGGTTTTCGGGTGCTTTGATATTCGCGGCCAGTTTCACGGTGGCGGGAGGTACGCTATTTATATTGACGTATGTATTGAGATCTAGAAAGTGAAACTGTATTTATAGGTTTGTGACTCCTTAAACGTCATGGAAGTGATGCTTTTCGAGTCTGATACGTGTAAGATCCACGTCTTTGTCAAAATGTATAGACTGTTTCTTTAATATCGAGGCACTTGAATGTGTGGGTATGTTTTATGCAGCGCTTTACGGCCAATCTTTTATTTCTGTATTGATCCTTTTTGTAACAGCTGGTCATCAATGAAGCGATCAATGAGACAATCAGTATACCGCTGGACAGTAAGACATACGATGCAAGCTTCTTTATACTTATACTTACCTAATTAGAGCCCTTAGTAGAGGTTCTAAGAAGACCTAGGAGTATCTATTTAGGCACTGCCCTAGATTATTTAAATGAGCACATCCCTTAAAGGGCTTCTTTCCTTCTCCATTTTCCTTTCCTATGCTTGTTATTTTCCATGTACGTGCGCACCTAGGTTTTAGATCTATGCATTAGCCGGATTGTCACATTTAAGTAAATCTTAAAGCAAATGCTGCGAGGCCGTAGAGAACTAGAAGTTCCAGACGACTTCTTCTTGAACACACTTGAAAGTTTTATTCTTCAAATTCAACGTTTCTACCCCTTATTGACGTTGTTTGACTGGATCTTGCGTGGATGCTTTGCTTTAGAGAGAGGATGGGAGCCTCATCGGTATGCTAAGTGTGTTTAAAAATGGTATAATTATCTGGTACAAATACTGAACATTCTATATTCTTCGAATCAAATTTTTTTAGGCCAAACTGCACAACAATTACCTAGGTAGATCAAATGCCGTGTCGCTATCATATCAAAGCAGTAGTGCACTTGTGGTTCTCTGCCACATCACATTTCGCGGCCCCTAGCATACCGACTCTTCGACCGAATCCATGGACCAAATTTAAAAAATAAATATGGTACTGTAGTCAGAACAGCAGCAAGTATCCCAAGCAATGTCAAAGCCCAATGAACAACAAGCTTGGTATACATTGGAATCGTAGCCTGTACCATTGCACCCGACGAAACGTAACGCATGAACGTGTTCATAGTCAATGCGCTCGCCGCAAAAGCCTCGTAAGAGTCAATGAGGTATAAGGAAGTTGACACGAAAAGAGCGAAGTTGCCAAATCCGAACAAAAATGCAGCTGAAATTGGAGACCAGATACTGATGTGCGGATAAGCTGTCCAGGCCATCCAAAAAATCGATATCGGAATAGCTGGTGCTCCTAGAATTGAATACCAAAGAAAGAACTCAGGCTGCAAGCGACCAGATTCTTTATCACTTGCTTCTCCATTCGAATTCTCCATGGTCGATAGTACCTTTTTTGCCATACCAAAGACTAACGGAGTTAGGGCCATGGAGCCAATAATTGTACCGACCTCCATAGCAAGGAAAGTAAGTCCTGTCATCCCCGGAGTCAATTGGTATGTATCCTGAAAGATAAACGTGAAGCCATTGAGAAATCCAAACAGGATTATGTAAAGCAAGGACAGATAAGCAGTCCATATCATGATTACTGGTTCCCGGACAATCATGAGGAAAGGTCTGATTAGAGCAATTTGCATGCGTCTCGCGAATTTCACGTGTTCGTCGACCTCAAGTGGAGACTTGTACCGGTCATTTCCCGTGATTTTACGGATTTCTGCTGCTTTCCACTTGAGCAGGATGGGTTCGTATGTTTCAGGCTGGAAAACAATCAGCGAGAGAAGCAAGACACCTGCAGCCAGAAGTGACACCCATTCAGTCCAGCGCCAGGACATGTGATCTGTCTGTGCTATAAMCCCGCCGATCACCGGTCCTATATAAGGCCCTGATGAGCCAACAGCTTCGCAACAACATTAGCTACCTTCCGTCATCTAATTGGTAATCTTTATCATACCTGCAAATATAGGAAATGCAATCAACCTGTCCATAGGCCTCCAAAGATCGCTGATCGATCCTCCGACAGTAGATAAAGGTGATTCGCCACACAGTCCGGCGAAAAATCGACAAATCAATTGTGCTTCAATCGATTT